TCGTTTAATTGTTCCTATAACCATTGTATGACGCGTCATTCTATTTATTTCGAAGTCGAGATGTATATGTACATGTATGAACCTCTCAAGCTCTTAGCATTCACCACATTTACCATGGCCTCCAAATGTTGGAATTCTAAGACGCAAGCGAGGTACGAGGTTAGGGTTAGAATGTTGACTTCGGACCGGCGCGTATGGCACAGCATCGAGCGCGTCTTTCTCTGCTCCTCCATGTCGTCCTCCTGCTCCTTCGCCTTCTGACGACATACGAGCCGCCGTGCTCTCATTTTCTTTTCCCCGCCCGCCACTCCCTTCTCATCCTCACCATCCACCAATCCATTAGCTAGCCTTGGCGCATGGTGCTCGCGACCTATGTGTTCCACTTTCTCCAGCTCATACTGTCGATTGGTCGCTGCATACGGCTGAGTTGCCCACCCGCCCTATCGCAGCGCCCTTCGGATACCTCCCATAGGTCAGGGTCCGTACGCCGGGGCCGGGAAGCGCTCCGCGCTTTCTCCCCACTCGACGTATCTTCGCAACATGCTTCTTACCTTACTCAGATACCTTCCTGTCTCCTTCTCAACATCACATACCTACTTATGCTGTGCTAGAGCAAGAATCCAAAGTTTACAAACCATGCACAAACATTCCGGATGTTTCAACCTGTTTGTCATTGTTTCAGCCCGTATCACAACACTTTGAGGTAAGTGTTTTCACCGAAGGCATGAAACATCTCAAATCATTCATCCAGCTGACGGTTCATTTCGTCGCACTCTTAATTCACGCACTCATTGTTGCTGTGCGATACATTCTGTCCAGCATTTACTTTTGTCCGCGCACTTTCTTAAACAAGACAACCTCTCACCCAAAAATACATAATGGGAAACATTTCCGATCATTTACAGGTATTCCGGGTACATTGCCGATCGTCGCTGATGTCTCGGTGTACGCCGCCACAAGTCGGCCCCGGCAAAAAAATCCCTTTTGAGGTACTCCGTATTGAAGTCGACGTCCTCCGAGTCTTCCTTTCCCTCCCTCACTGCTTCACTCCCTGAGTCTCTGTGACTGTAATGGATGCCAACCTCCTCGGTCTGCTTGCACGCGACAAATGCCTCTACCCTGACTGTCCTTCAAGATGTGCAGGGTTTTTTGTAGCGGACTCTGCAGGCCTCGTATTCCATGTGCGCATCATTCAGTCACTGTCCCTAACCGTGCATGCTGATCATGATATTCATATCTATCACAGATACCTCCTGATCCTACTACGCTATGCTCAGGCTGTGGTCACCCATGGTTCTCTCACTGGGGAAGAGCTTTACCGGAAAATGATCCTCGTCAGCACTTTCGTCGAGGCGTTTGCTCGTCGACCAAGTGTGGTAGTTTTTTCTCGGTGAGTCAGGCTTGCTTTCCCTAATACAATCTAGTTCTTCTAATATACACCGTATATATTATAAGCGAGACCTGCCGTGGCATTCTCAACGCCTTTGTGTTTGCACCGCGCCGTGGGGAATGCATGCACTCATTGGTGCTGAGATGTACGTGAATTCTTTCTTCCGCTCTTTAAGTCCTGCATGTTGTCTCATGTACTTCGCTATGAATTTAGTGAGACCCAACCCACCCGTCCCAGCTCCACTGTATCTATTGCAGGCAGTAGTGCCGCACCTATCAGTATCTTCAGTGGCGCCCCAGCCCCGGCCCTCAACTCGGCAATGGCAAGGCTCAGTCATTCTCTATCATCCATGCCGACTCATCGCAGCTCAGGACAAGCACCGGCTGTATGATCCATTCACATTATCTTTCGTTAACACACACCTGATATACGTCTATCCAGTTCGGCACTCCAACTCACCAAGATGTCGACGTCCTTATTTTACCCTATGTCCGAGACGTACGTTGCTTGCCTACTATTTCTGTCAATCTTCAGCACAGCATTGACATTCATTCCAGCGTAAGGGATCAAACTACGTCCACAACACTCATCCCTCTCCAGATATGTGTTTCCGGCTTGAGGACTGGCAGAAGGTTACGAACCAGTTCAAGGCCCATAACCTTACGTTCGCATGCTCTCTTCCTCGAGATGGCCCTATCTGGTCGGAGCTTGACCAGGCCTTTGGCAAGCACTGCGAGACTGCTCACTTTACCATTCGCACTGCTCAAGACGTTGATGCCAACACCGATAACCTCGATGACCTGAAATGTCTCAACTGGGAACTCCGTTCCCCCGGGAAAGGCCGACGTCCCAGTGAATCGATCTTCTTCAAGTTCTCTGACTGGGTCAACGCTCAGACATTGGACCTCAAAAACATAAAAGTTCATAGCAAGAATGTCGTTAATCATCTCAACAAGCAGCGTCTCCTTCTTGTCATATGTATGTCTTCCTATCGTTCCCTATAGTTCCTCTACGTCTGATCGCTCATTCCTTGCAGCCCCACTCTACAGCAACATATGCGGCCCGATATCAGCTCTTCTTTCTACCAGCATTCCACGTCTACCTACTGATAGCCAGCCACACCAGTGCTTTGCCTGGTACGTTTGTTGGGGTCAAATGGAGAGTCCCATGAACCATGGCGAGCCGATGTGTTTGTCTGGCGAGGACGGATGTCCGGGTTACAACATCAAAGATACATCGACTGGGCTCTATCCTTCTGTTCCCGGTCCAAGGACAACAGTATGTTTCTCAACTTGACCAGTTCTCTATCGCTTTTTGTCACTCACGCTTATACGGTGATTCAGCAGCCAGCTTTGAGTTTGGTGGAATCGACTGTGGCGGTTGCCGCCGCCTCTTCGACTTCATCCTCCCGTCAACGCTCGCATTCCATGGACACGGTGAAATATTTCCATATACTTCACGAAGTTTCCCTTCGCTAATATGTTTTCAAGAACGCTGAGCAAGAACGAAACCCTCGTCGTGCTCGACTTGAGATACAGGTTGCTCATCCCACAAGTCTGTCTCTTCATGTGAACGTCATGTCTGACTGACTTCACCATCGTTGTTATGGTCTTTTTAGTCGACACCAGAAGCCATCCCTGCTCCAAGTCTTGGACCCGAAATGCAGGTACGTACTTCTCTTATCTTGTCATCAAACTCGTCATGTTTATGCCTTTCTAGCCATCTGGGCCACCGCCACCCGAGATCACTTCACTGCAGGTACTTCTTCTCTCACCTTCGTCACCCACGACTTTGTCATGCTCACGCCTTTCTAGCCATCTGGGCCACCGCCGCCCGAGATCACTTCGCTGCAGGTACTTCTTCTTTCACCTCCGTCATCCACGACTTTGTCATGCTCACGCTTGTCTAGGCATCTGGGCCACCACCACCTGAGATGACCTCGCTGTCATCAGTACCTCAAGACATTCAGACGGTTAGTCTGGTACTCTCTTATCTTTCTTTTTCTGTACTTATGTTCAAACTTTACGGCTGCACAGACATCGGCTGGCACTCCGCCGTCTCTGACTACAATAGATCATACTCTTGTTGCCCCTCAAACGGTATGCATCCACATTATATTTCAATACCTATCGTCATTCATGTCCGTCACCTTTATGATATTTAGAACACTACTCCAAGCCATCAGCGCGAGATCCAGACTACTACCCCTATCCAATACATTGATTGGAAGATTCTGGTCAGGGCAATCGCTGGCCCAGGATACTGGGGAGTCGCCGGTGAATCTTCGGACCGCTTCTATGTTCATGGCACAAGTGTTAAGGCCGTCGGCGATACTATCATGCACTACATCGAGTCTCTTCACGCACATGAGATTGCCAACCATGACGACGGCGTAGTATCCTCTGGGCACTCCAACTTTCAGTTCGGCATCACCTCCTTAGAGATAAAATCCTTTAACGCTGGTAACGGAGGTTGGCTTGCTCTGTTTCGTGGAGATGCTGATGTCCGTGTGTATGTCATCTCATTTTCTCCTCTCGAATGATGGTCACTCTGACCCTTTCTTCACCCTACAGAAACGATTCAGTTGGCGTTGGGCTCAAGCGTTCAGTCATGCGCTACGTTATGTCTGAAGCTGCACCGGCTGATAAACAGCATTGGAAAGGTAATGAGCGCTTATATATTCAACCGGTAATCACACCATGGCAAAACCTTCCTGCTCGTAATGCTCGTTCGCGTATGTGGGGTACTTGTGCTGCTCTTCACATTGTGTACCTACACCTCGCTCCTATCCCAATCTCCCCCTTCCTTCTATATCGCTTGGTCCGCCCAGCACTCGATTGTCCCCTTGACCTCATCCGATTTGTCGACCCTAAGGCCGCCGAAGTATTAGAGCCCTGGTACGACCTCGATCACACCGACCCCTTGCCAACCAGTCCTACGAGCCCTATCTTGCAGATTTTCATCGAGGCTACTGGACTTACGGTACATACATCCTTGTAATTTAACGTGACGTCTCTCATCCTTTTGTATAGGCTGCGCATATGTCGTCCCAGCGCACACCATCAACACACCAAGGTTATATAAACGTCATTGCCAGTGCACTTCTCTTAGGCACGTTTCCTCCTAATACTCTTCAGTGCATGTTTCACGAATATTTAACGATGTTCTCCCATCCCGTATATTAGGGCACCCTGACCTGGATGGTGTCCATGATTTCAAAGAGTTCAAGATCGGGTTTGACGTGAAGCTAACCGATGGAAGATCTTTGTTGGAGGTCTGTACTTGATCTATTATCTTCGTGTCTTCGTTCTGACCGGCTTATCAGGCCTTTCCAAATGATCCCAAGGAACTGACCACCCTCCTGAAAGCATTATACAATCGCGATGTTCTCAACATGGAACATATTATTGGTGCCTTGCGCTTTATGACGACAGACTATTCTGACAATGTCAAGTCAAATACTCTAAGTCGGTTGTTCCAGTTGCGAGTCATTCGGTATTTACTTGGCCATGGACATCCCAACCACCCCACCATCCGTGGCACATTCGTCACAGATCAAGTATTTGTCGCCACACAAAATAACCCATCCATCCGTGCCAAAATGTTCATCATCGCCATGACTGGGAGCGATCTTATCCCGAACGAAGTGTCTTGGAAACTAAAGGTACAAATATCTCTCTAATTTTAATGTATGACCCGTTCTGACATCTTGTCGCCTGGAAGATACGTTTACACCACAAGGCGATCTGGCTCCCGGGATGGGCAAAGAGCTGGTATCGTGATTCCCGGGTTCGTACTTGTAGTTCAATATACGCATCCATACCGTCTTAACTCATCCATTCACAGAGGGCCAACAGCGTCATTAACGATCCTCCGATATTTTTCCACACATGCGACAGCGCTTGTGATATCATTGTTCATGACAGCATCGAAGCGATGCTCTCCGAGCCGCTCGGAGACCCTGGTACCGCTACAGCGTTTGATGCTTGGTTCCATGGTTCCATGATGACTGGATTGGGATTCAGTGGTGAATAATTGTGTAGTAGAATAGACATGACCCAAAAAGATATACGTGTTGGAGAGAAAGTTACAGGGCATCGACTTCAAGCTCATAGACGTCCGTGATTGTGGCAATGTGGCCCAAATTCCAAGGGCCCGCAGATCACGTGGCGACGCTTAGCCTTAGTCGTGCCAAGTTCCAATTTATGCTTTTCGACTTCCCTCCGCCAACATGAATATGTCTCTACCTCACAATGGCAGCTATATCATAGCAACCATATTTGAACTAGAACGTAAGCTCTGATTTATTCACTCTGCCGCTCAAAAACTCATCAATGCTGGCAGATGGATTGAGCTCTTTTGCTCGTCGTCGTTCAGCCACCGAGTCTGCTGCGTCCTCTCGGGCTTCTGAACCTTTACGTCCTGAAAGTGACCATGGAGTCCCAGTTCACTTGCGCATTGTATCGCCAGGTGCGTCTGTGCTTTGTTCCAGATGCTCTCACGCTTATGTATAATTCCTTATCCATTATTGTAATGAAGACGGTCGATCATTGTTCGAAACTATTGACCGTCATGGGACATCTCAGCCATACATCCTCCTCTTCATCAAGCTCCGGCCCTCCCTCTTGTCATTTGATAGAACCCCTGCTCTCCCAGGCCTTCTTAGCCTCTCTATGCTCTACTTTCTCGACACAGCCACTCCCCCTCTTGTTCCCTCTTTCGCTCACCTCGGATTGGTTGAGCATGATAGCCGGGGCTTGTTGCGCTCATCCCAACCTCTCACATCCGTTCGTGAGTCTCCACATATGAACATCTTCTTTCTCTATATGGTCTCAAAAATTGCTGCAGACAATGTTCGGATGGAATCCTTCTGGGGCGCCCATAATCAAATTCCTTCTCCGCCTATGCTCATTCCACGTGTGTATGTCGAGGACGAGGGTTATGAATCGGACTCGAGTCTGCCAGCGTTGCAGGATATTGATTGAATAAGCTATTTTCGTTGTTGATTACCTTACTCTGTATGCATACGAGTATAGAAACAGCCTCTGCATAAACCCTGTTAGAATTGAGTAGGCACTGAGCTTGTGCCAAAATGCCTGCTGTCTCCACCATTTCAAAGAGCTCCCACGGAGAGGATCAGAGACAGCTGATTATTGTGCCCGCAACAATGTTCATTCGTCAGAGTTTACCTTGAACTTGCTGTGATCAGTGTGGCGACTTTCGTACACTGCTGACCATCTCGGAATATGCCGTGTGGCCCGTGGTCAAACCTCGAAGACCATATATGCTCTTCGGACACAATTCCACTTACTGTGCTACAACTGTGGCAAAGGTATGTGTAATTCTTTACTCAGATATTGTCACTTGTTCCACATATCCACCTTTTGATTATTGTGACTGACGATCGGTAGACAGACCAGTCCTTGACACGGTTGCCTGGTGGTATTCTGTAAGTTTGGCCTCAGGTCCTCGCCTATTTATCCGATCTTCAGATGTAGGCCCACAAAACAAATCTTGCCGTCCTTTGGAGCCATTGCTAACCCATGTGTAACACTCCCTTCGTATTACCATCAAGCAAATACCTGGAGCGTTTTCGGAGGCCTCGAAAACCCCGGATACTCCACGAACTAAAGGACACGAAGGGCTGTGCAAAATCAAGGGTGCGAGTTAGTCAATTGCTGGGGAGAGGGAGGAGGGGTGGACACCGAGCGCCAACGAAGACACGTACCGTCAAGCGAACACCTGGAGCGTGTTCGTAGGCCTCGAAAACCCCGGATACACCACAGACTAAAGGATGCGAAGTGTTTTACAAAATTGAGGGAGCGAGTTAGTCAATTGCTGGGGAGAGGGAGGAGGGGTGGACACCGAACGCCAACGAAGACACGTACCGTCAAGCGAACACCTGGAGCGTGTTTGGAGGCCTCGAAAACCCCGGATAAACCACAGACTAAAGGACGCGAAGGGCTGTGCAAAATCAAGGGTGCGAGTTAGTCAATTGCTGGGGAGAGGGAGGAGGGGTGGACACCGAGCGCCAACGAAGACACGTACCGTCAAGCGAACACCTGGAGCGTGTTTGTAGGCCTCGAAAACCCCGGTTACACCACAGACTAAGGGACGCGAAGTGTTGTACAAAATTGAGGGAGCGAGTTAGTCAATTGCTGGGGAGAGGGAGGAGGGGTGGACACCGAACGCCAACGAAGCCACGTACCGTCAAACGAACACCTGGAGCGTGTTCGGAGGCCTCGAAAACCCCGGCTGGACCACAAACCAAAGGACGCGACAGGCTGTGGAACTTCCAGTGAGGGCGGTCCCATATGAAGAACTCGATAACTTTGACAACCATTCCCATCCTCTCCAACGCCGTGATCGCGTCTTCCGTAACGACGATGCATATTTTTTTTTTCACCACGGCACAAAGATAATCCGGACTCACCATGCCAATCAACTCATTCAACACCCCATCCTCCTATCCCTCGCCGCCATGACGCCCTTCTGTATCCTTATGCTGCTCCTCGTAATGGACGAATTAAGCGGCCAGCCGAGGAGGACGTCGATGAAGCCTGCGAAGGCGGAGATGCCTGGTAGTCTGCTTTTGGGGTGGGACGGTGAAGTGTAAGGGTGTAGGATAAGGAGGGAGAAACGAAAGTGTGGGGAAACGCACTGGTACAAAAATACAGTCACGATGATAATCTCCAACGGTGCTAAGATAAAAATCATCCAGTCAGCATCTGCATACACTCATCTTCCCTCTCACACATCCTTCCATCCTCGATGAAGTAAGACTGACATTGGGGACGTACCCCTGTAGATGAAATATATCCCCGATATCATCATCGCGTGCCCGAAAAGGCTTTCCGCTTGAGCGCCTTGTCGTAAATGGAAGCCATGAGTTCGGTGCGGATGTGGGTGCAGGCGCGACGGCTGTACCAGAGGTGTTGGAGGTCTGCTTGGACCTTGGGGGTGAGACGGGATGGGTGAAAGCGTCAGTGAGCGTATGAGGGATGTGCGGGTAGAGAGAAGAAGGAGAGGTGAAGCATGACAAAGCACAAAGAGAGAGGTGGGTGGTTCGTAGAGGATAAGAGGTTTGAGGCGACATTGTGTCGTTATGAGGAATGGGAACACGGAGTGAGATATAGGCAGGGAAGGCAGTGATTGTATAGCCGTAACCTAACAACGTAGACCGTACGTCCACCTCATAAAACGACGACGACACAAAAAAAAGCACCAAAAATGCACCTTCGTAACAGTACACAAAAACACCAGTACCGCATACACATACCCCTGGCTGCGCTTCGGCTTTGCCAGCTCGGTATGGTCGTTGATGGCCTCGAGGATGCGGCGGAGGAAGAAGGGGGAGGCATAAGTAGTTGAAGACGACGGAGATGAGGGTGAGGGTGAAGTCAAGGCTTTGGGCGTTGGAGGTTGAAAGAGGGAGGGAAATGTATGTGTTATGCAGGGTGATGTGAGACGAAAGGAGAGGACGTACATAAGATTGAGAGAGTTAGCAGCCCAGCGGAGGAGTCTATTCCGCCTATACATCCCAGGTGAGATCAATTACCGAATGTATGCGAGAGAAAAGAACCTACTTGGTAGCGCTAAACTTCACACGTTATCATCATACACCACGCCTCTGACCTTTAACACTAGCACCACAAAATGTACGACATACAGTGCCAGGAGGTCGATTGGAAGTGTGGCGGAGGGAATCGCGATAGGACGGATCGTGGCGCAGAGCCAGGAGAGCGAGGAGGGCGAAGAGGTTGGGTCGCGGAGGGGCGTATGGAGGGAGGGATGGGGTTGCAAGTGCGAGCCAGACGAGGACGATCGTACGCCAGAGCAGGATTCCTGTGGTTGTAGTTGTGAGAGTTGGGTAGAGAGGTGGTTTGAGAAGAACTATGAAGAACTTACATAGACATGAGAAACAGTCAAGTATGGGATGCACAATATCTGTGAGAACTCGTGCCCTGAGCACGAGCTTACTAGTGGCCATGTCTGCGGTACTGATCAACCTTGATGGTAGATCCCACATGAAGAAAGCTCAGCAAGTTGAACGACTCACTGAACAGTGAAGCTTTCCGAACTCTCATCTTCTTGCACTGACCAGACGACTGTTCCATACACTGTGTGGCTCAGACGAGTGTCCCTGAGGGCAGTGGTGATGCGCCGAGCAGTCCTGTGGCGGTTGTGATCAAGACACCCAGTATGGCTAATTTAGAGGTCGCCGAGCAAGACTGTCACACAGGACTAGTATTCAGTGGATGGGCCAAGCATTGAGGTCGAATATGGTCGAATGCAAAGTCAATAGCCAAGTGAGGTGGCACCCGTCGAATCACGTGGTGGTCCGAAATCTTGTCAGTCCGAGCTCGGGCTGACAGGATTTCGGACCACCCTCATCGCCTCTTGTGTGGCCCATTCGCCATCGCTCACCACTGCTCTGGTTCCAGTCTATCTTGGGTGATACCTCTGGTGGAGAAATAATTGCTGTGCATTGGGCTGATGGATGAATTTTCTGACAGTGAGTTTCTCTCTTCCCTGCTCTTGAAGATTGTGTCTGACTCGAGAACGGCTTGCACTGCTGTTCGGAACACAGCTCACAATGCGGGCATTTTGGAATTGCTTGGGTCGCGTCCGCAGGACACGCATCCGAATAATGATTTCGATCATTTACTCGGTTTCGGCCATACGGGTAAGCTTTCCAAGTCAAATATTGTCTAATGTGGCGACGACTGACTGGGCCCTTCAGGACATGGGCCGGAGTCACAGACCACAAGTGCGCCCACCCATGTCACCAATCGAAATGGTATATTCACTTATGAAGGGTTTCAATATATTCTGACCATGATTTTCTAGCTGAATCGTCACTTGAGCTCGTGTGGGATCATTTAGAACCAGCATCCAGTGCCGAACTCAGCACCATGTCTGGTGAGAGAATTTCTGCATCTGTCTGTTTCCTTTTACCAATGTACTCTTTTTGATTTTAAGCGGGCCATAGAGTCCATGTTGAGTCTGCACAAATGGATGTCGGACGATGGTATATCGGAGGTATGTCTCTCAATTCGTATGTTGGCGGACGTATACCATTGAGCTTACTCAATTCCTGGGCAGACATCGCTTTGGATGAACCACCCGACCAATTCTTCGGTCACGAGATGAGGGAGGCCACGATACGCGTGCAGTCATCCACAGACGTGCAGATGCCACGGCCGAATAGTGCAGGACCTGTGCCATCTCCGAGTGAAGCAGATGTCCCAGTTGTCCCAACATCAAACGAAGGTGACAAGGAGCCCGGTATGTAATCGTTTCTTCCTTCATACACAACGTCCTTATTGTTTCAAAGATCCACTTCCCTTCGGTCTCCGTCTTAGTGAGGTGGCCCCACGTGCCCCTCCGCCAGGCGAATTTCTATGGACTCAAGAGCACATTGTTTGTCGCGAGTTGGATGCCGATTCCCCAGAACAGCTGCTTCCATTTGCAAGTGCTGAACCCCCGCCAGGCTTCACGTATCCGCAGTCTCCCATCTGGACACGCCGTCAGGACCGTCGGTACAGCTGCGGTGTCCACTACTCCGCCGATTGGAGCTCTGATGTGTACGCATTGCGAGCGGAGAGCGATCATATCCTCCGCATCGTGACACCGCCTGGCGTTTCCGCGAAGTGGGACGAGTCGCGCTCATGCTTTGTGACACACAATATTGCTGGCGCCGTGAGACTTATTCCCGGGATACCTTTCGCGCAGTACGTGGATGGAGACCCAAACTCGTGTCTGACTGTTGCGTGTCTCCAAACACTTCAATCGCTTTCGGTCTTCCCTGAGTACTCAGAGATCGAAAACCTCGTCCTTCAGCTGATGCTTTACACTTATGGACGAGAACCCGACGCCGACAACCCCACTCGCATTCCTGCCATCTACACATTTTCATGCCTTAAGCGCAATGATCGGTCATCCCAGCCTAACAACGACAGCTATACGGGATCCTACAACCTCGCGGCCACCGTCGAGCAGGGCGATGGACTCGGCACATTCGTCCCAGCAGTGCAAGCTGGATTTCCAGAGGCTCGTCGACACATCTCTATCGTTCTCGGTATCCTTCACAAACTATACCGCCTCATTATGCCTCACTGTCTCACGAAGGAAGAGATGGACCTCATCGACTTCCACTCCCGCTACAACAACACGTTCTCTTTCGGTGGTCTCGAGCCCGGACCAACCGCCGTCCAAATGAATGTCTCATCAAGCTTCTCCGGTGAGGACCTCCTCAAGATGCTGGGTATCATTCAAGGGTCGTGGCATTTCGACAAATCCGATGACAAGACACGACCCACTCTTTTTATTATCTGCCTCCGTCTTCCTAAGGGTACGTACACTTTTTTTTCGAAACCGCCCTCATAATATCTCTAATTGCACTTATTTACAGGCGCCGATCCCGGACCGTTTTTTCTTGGTCGGTTGGGCCTTTACTATCAAGAAACCGGTTTATACTTCATCTCTCTTGTCTTCCGTGGCAACGATATCCACTCCGGCTTCTCGCCGTCTATCCATTCGAGCATGCAGACCGATACACCCCTCACGTCGACCGATTTCTCCCACATTGCTACTCTCTGCAAGATCGCAATCAACAGGGTGGGCTACGTGCTTTATCAGAGCGCTCAGGCTATACAACGGAACACGAACTTTGCTGTCACCGCACCCACCATCTTCGGTAACCATGGATCCCTTTCTGCCAGTCAACACCGCTCTCTCAACTTCGCACAAGACGGCCGTCACATTCTCGGCTCAGGTTTCGATGCCAGTACCCGGCTAGCCATCGAAGCCGCTTACGGTTTCTACAACACTCTCGCAGCGTCCGGCATCGTGCTCAACGAATCAATTATGTCTATCATGGGGCGCATGACTTACAAGGATGAACTCACAGGCAACCATCTTCCGATAGGACTGCCACCATTCGACCCTTCGCATCCGCCCGACGCAGAGTTCACCAAAAACATGTCCGCATACTTCAAACGATACTATCTTCTCTGTGATTCTGTCCATCTTGGCTTGACGAAGGCGATGTATAGGAAGGTTCAGAAGGAGGTTGGGAGCATGGACGCATCTGTAGTGGTGGCATCGACCTCGAGACTGGAGCTTCGCCCGGTGCTCACAAATGTCGAGCAGGGGTCAGCTCCACCGCGTCACCTTGTTCGTGAAGTTCTCTCGAAGACCTATGGTGGAGGCGCCAAGGTCAGTCTCTTCCATTCTAACTTCCCTGCCGATACTCACAAATAATACAGTCCCTCTGGAAGATGATCGTAGATGACGGGGATGCCCTTGAAGTGCCTGGTGATATGCATAATTCCTGGTTTGTTCTCTTTTATCGAGCTCCACAACACCCGCTGACTGTGCCACAGGATATGGCATGAGGTGAACAGACCTGCGTTGTACCGTTTCATGGTCAAAGAAGGTCGAGGTGCATTGATAACATTACTTATCCTGTGTTCCACCTGGTCTAACAGCATGTGATCTAGCTACAACATCGAGTGCTCCGAGTGGTGCCACATCTTCAGGTGAGATATATCAATGCCTGTCTGAGTATATGCTTCTTACATTTTGCTTTACAAAGACACATCCGTCGCACAATATGGCAATTCCCTTCTTGCGGTGACATCAACAGCTTCACCGATGAATGCGGTTTCTGCTCCCGGGCCCCTGTTCCTCGCCTCGCATTCAGGTTCTCCAGAGACAGACTGTGGCGAAACTGAGCCGAACCCTCCATCATCCGCCTCAAATATGGTAGCTAGTCAAGCCGCTTCTCAGTCTCCATCACTGCTTACGCCACGACCACTGCCGCCTCCGACCATGCCATCACTTCCGTTACCGCCTGCCCCATCTGGTGTGGCCACCTTGAATGGCCAGCGGGCCACACGTTCATCAACTCGAGCCAGCCAACAGAGCTTGGATGCTCAGCCGCTCGTCACTGCGCCTGCAAGTCGTGAAGCAAACAAAAGCACACCAAAGCAGCAGCAGAAACGTCGGAAGCCTACGACCAACAACAAGAGCCGAAAGAAACCGAAGATTGTTGACTTACCGGACTCTAATGGAGAGCCCGAGCTTGACGAGGTGGAGGATGACGAGGCGGAGGATGAGGAAGTGGAGGGAGATGGGGGAGATGTGGATGAATTAGAAGATGATACGGATTATTTGATTGGAGCAATAGTGGGCCACGTACGTCTTCATTGCTATTGCTATCACGAGCTCCTCAGTGATGAATGCCTGTTATAGGAGATCGATGCGGATGGGGTTATAAAATATGAGGTGTTCTTCGAGGGATTTACCCTCGCAGATAACGGCTTCTACACAGAGAAGCAGCTGCCGTACGTGTATTTGCTTCTCTCCATTCCTGTCATCTCTGACGGAATGTACACACCCACAGGCATGCACGTCAGATGCTGCGGGCATACAAGCAGATCACGGTCGACGCGGTGACTGGAAAGTTTAAACGGGACAAACAGTCATTCGCCTCGCAACCCTCTGAAATCCATCGCGAAGATCTCCTCCATGGTCTGCTAGACGAGGATCGAATTCGCGATCAAGTCAACACGTTGGAGGAGCAGCATGCCGGCCTCAAGCTGTCGTCCAAGAACATGGGGACCAATATCACGACCGTCCTGCGCAAGCTCTTCCCTTTCATCGAAGAACAGAACAATCTCAGCGACTGGCTTCGTATCCTCCCGCTCAACATATACAACTGCACTGAGCCACAGACAGGGAGTGTCAACATGTGCTTCCAGCGAGTTCGCCAGGCCGTCAATTTTCTCCCAGAGCTTGTCCGTGCTTATTCCTCTGCGACGATCATGGCATCACTTCTACGATGGCAGTACTGCCGTTGCATACTCGTCATCTATCAATTCCTGTCCACCGATCTTCCGCATCTCGCCACCATCCTCTTTTCTGGACACCGATCATTCCTACCTTCATCGACATCAGGTTTGCTCAATCCCGATACGAATCCTGAGGGTGACGAATGGCTCTACAAACACTATCCCAAATACGCACCTCTCGTCATCCACATCCTGGAGTATGTCAAGACTTGGGTCCGGTATCAGAGACGAATGTACCAGAAGAAGTCCTCCTCCCTTCCCAGCGGTTACAACCTCGCTCCCTCCGATCTTTTTGGTCTTCGCCCGAGTCAGGGACCGCCCATCGAGCTCCCTATGCTGCAAAAGTCTCTTCACTATGGACCAGGGCCACGTTACGATGCTGCACTCACGTGTTTTATCAAACTCGTCGAGGACACCATCATTCTCCCAACGCTCTCTGATGCTGACAGCCACTTTAACGGTAGGCGAGCTCGGTCAGAGGGCGATTTGGGTGCCATGCGAGCACGGTGCATAGTACGTGGTGCGACACTTCAATGTATTGTTACACACATGCAGACGGAGGCCATTTGCGCATCCGAACACATGCGTGTTCTCCTCCAAAGCCCTAGTCTCATTTTCTATGCCCAATCCGTCAATGAAACTCGTATCAGTCCCTTCGTCCTCGCTCACAAGCCCGAGTTCATCGCTCCTCTTCGGCAATGGCTCAAGAAGCACGTCACACCTGATGCAAGAACAGCAGCGATTCATCTTGGAGATTTCTTCCAGCGATGCAGCCACGAGATCCAGTTCAATCGCGAGCTTACGTACGAGCAGTTCTACCAGGACATTTCGCCCGAGCAGATACGGACAAAAAATGCCAAGTCCGCCACAAACCCTGGACCCGGCCCTCACCTAACCCCCACAGTCGAGACGCTGTTGCTTAAGCGTGACCCGCCACATTATGGTGGCCCACTCCTCCTCATCGATGAGGCCTTTCGCAAAGCCACCAACCAAGCTTCGAAGCGGTCACAGGCTCGGTTGTTCCTTGATGGCCATCATTACGGCGAGGGGAAGAAACACCACTCACACGGCGATCCTGACCAAGTCAATCCCATTCGCGAGTTCAACATCACCGCAGGGCTACTACGAGTGAAGGTTCCACCTCACAAACTGACGACCAAGAAAGGTATTTCTGGCTTACATTTACTCCTCCACTTCTGTTGCTTATGTGCCACATAGGTCTCTCAGTTCTGTTTTCGTTCATGAGTACTGGTCAGTCATGGCGAACCGCGAAGTTCCTTGCGCTCTCCGATGCTCGCAACGGCAAGGAAGATCGCTTCTTCGTTACCAGCCTGGTTGAATGCATAGGTATCTTCACCGAAGGCCTCATGCATAATCAACGCTGCGCTGCACAGAATCCAGGCATCGAGTTCAATCCCGAGGACGAGCGTCTACCCTCTGGAGCTGTTGACATGGTCCAACTCTCGAACAGCACCTGTTACGGCTCAGCTTGCAATTTGTTGAAACTTCATCCAACTCGTCGCAAGAGCGAGCTCGGTTTCATGACGCCACCCAAATTTTCCCTTCGTGAGAAGTTCTCACCATTCTGGATGTTGATTGTGGAGATGGAGTGGATTGCTTTCCTTGGTGACATGTTGGATCAGGACCCTGCGACTTATCATGGAAGACGCCCTACATGGCTGGCAGCACTCACACTATTGACGAAGAAGCTCCAGATCGATGGATTCCGCTCAGGCCTCACCGCTCTTCAGACCGCCAACAATCTCGTCTTCCTTGGTATATGTGAACCACCCTCGGCGGATACTGTGGCACAGTGGATTTGGGAGCATCCTGGTCTCGGTGCTTTCAAAGGTCTCCAGAGTCTTGGCTTCCAGCTCCATAATCGGGATCATGTCCGTGTAGCATTCCGCGCTTTCTACGACCATCTTGACCAGCATCTTTCCCTCGAGATGAAGGCGGTTTTAGGATTTGGGACGCTGTTTGTCGAACATGTTCTGTGCAAGCACAAGCGCTGGGCCACACGGATCAAGGAGTTCAGTCAGTGGGTGCTGGAGGATGAGGCAATTGAAGTGGAATGGCTAAAGAAGATCCACGGTGATGAGTGGCGGTCTGTTTCGCTTCGTCTTCGTGATAGTATTGGCCATATACAAGGTATCATATCGCAATTTCAGGTATATTTCTTCACCCCAGCTTCAATGTTATTCGAGCTGACTTTCAGTGTAGTTCTAGGTGCAGACTCGGAAGGGCCAAAATCTCGACGGGTGTAGCATCTGAGAACTAAGTCTCCATCTGTCTATTTATCTGTCTTTGACACCATAGCCAGTGCGCGACGAGAAAGGATGGGTGCAATGTGATGGCGCGCCACATTTTTACTCGACAGAAAGTGTTTTGAGTGGCTTGAAATCCTATGAAACATTTTGAAACACTTTGAAATGACATGGAATCCCTCTGATGACGGCGAGTGTAAATGATCTGAAATGTTCCACTTCAATTTCAAATTTTCTGAGACATTGCTGCGACCTCTTTGAGACACCCGTGCACGTGTCCAAGGAGACCACAGCTGGACACGGAAACGTCTCACCATTTTTGCGCTGAACCTTCATCTCAGTGCTGTGACCTGTCCTGCCTACGGTGCGTTATCCTCCCCAAAGTTTTGACTCAACCAACTCTCTGACTTCCCCAATATGAACGAAAAGCATTATGGCCGATGCACGACGGACATCTGGGCGACTTCGAACGTCGACGGATCGAGAGCGAGACAACAATTTGACCGAGCATTATGGGGGACGAAATATGGGGGCAACAAGCACTGTGGCTGGACAAGTTTCGACTGGTGATGGTGAGTCTTTGCATTACTTGGTTCTTGAGCTTCATTTGAACAATCCCGGCGTAGGTCTAGCCAGATTCCTGGATCAAATTCGTGCAGACAGCAGCTCACCATCGCTGCCTGAAGTCATTGATGTTGATGCGATCCCAGATGATGTGGCCGTGCGCAGCATAGCCCAACGAAACGATAGGGACGGTCCGCGTGAACTTGAGAGAGTCAAAACGAATGGGAAGGTCTGCATAGCTGAGCTCGAGGCCCAGATTAGAATTGCTCTCATGAGTTTGGGGATTTCCGGAGAGGAGATTGCACGATCCAATACATTGGAGGTACGTTTCCTTCATATTTGTAGGTGGCAAAAGTAAGTGGTCTGATATGGAGCGTATTGAAGATCAATGAAACGCCACAAGCCCCAAGTTCACACGATTCCACAACAAGCGAGCTGCATCCTTGGCCAGTTCCTGCTATCACCGGTACGAACCTGCTTAATCTTGTGACTCTCGCGACATCTTCTGATGTGAGTACGTGTCCAGTGACTTCTCCATCGTCTGGTCTCGAGAGTGTTCCACAGAGCTCTGGAATAGGACTGCCTCGTCCATTGGCTGGAAACGTCAATGCCCCCGAGGCTGTCCTGCCTACATCTCACTCCAACAACCTATCCCACTCTGCTGAGATGGTCGGGCCCAGCATCTCAGAGGACCACACCGCTCATCATAGCAACGAACCCACGCCTGACGATTTCCTCGCTTCCCTATTCAACTCGAACCCCCAACAGGCGCTTGTTCTAGTCGGTGTCAAGGACGGGGCCATCGTACACCAACCCTTTGTGCGCCTATATCTTCCTCCATCATTCTCGCTGTACACCCTTCTGGAGACACTATTGAATGAGGGTGGCGAAACGGCTTCTATGCTACGGCGACTGAAGGCGACAGAGGCTCGCGTGTCCACGTCTCTCACCTTGCTGAGTATCTCGGATGCGAGGCACAGCGACTGGGAGTTGGGGTACTCCGAGCGTGGCCTACTCTGTGATGCATGCAATTTATATTCTCCAGTCGGGGCAGGCCTGGTGGCTGCTGTGACGGATTCTTTTGAGCGAGCCTCAATAGTCGAGCGACAATCCTTGCCCCAAAGCACGCCATGCTATGTGGTGTATGTGTACGGTGATATACCGGTGAGACTTCCCGTCAGTGTCTTCCAGCACAGGATTCTCGTCTGACAGTTGTAAAGTATGGTCAAGCGGAGGTCGAACAATCTGGCCATACTCAAACTCAAACATCGCGAGTTAGGAGTCCATCTGTAGCGGTACGTCTAACTTCAGAGCTGAAATAGCTTACGTCTACCTGAGCTCATGTAATTTTTGATAGGTAACCGCTACATCGCCAGAAGCAACAACCAACGTCATATCATCCACCAACTCGACCCTGGCGATAGATGAGAGAAACCGCTCGCCCTTGCTGAAACCAATATCTCCCGCCATCAAAACATATCTTGATCGGTACCATGGCCTCATGGGTCAGAGGATACTCAACATCAAACAGGGGCGTTATGGAACGGCATATACGCATATGATGGTCGTGCAGTCGGCGTTGAATGTGTGGGATGGAGTCGGGATCAGTCTGAGGACGGCGCCCAAGTCGGTGACAAAGAGTCTTGGAGGAGGTGATGTTGTGGTGATATCCCCTGACGATATATCTTCCTGGGTAGGGTGTGTGCACGGGACTTTCAGGCAGCACAAGGCGATGTATGACCAGGCAAACCGCCTCTGGCAACGTCTTGTTGGTTCTCGAGGGCAGAATAGTCCAGCCCCAAACGTGACTGTTGAACGCACCTTTCAGATTCTGAATCTCATTTTCAGTTCTCCCAATTCCTCGTTGATCGTCTCAAATGTTGCTGGGCCATCTGCAGCATACGACTTGATCAACATGACATGGGAAAAGTTCAAGAAAACTATAAGTACGTTCTGCCCTGCTTCCAAAACTCAACGACTGATACTCATGTCCGTTCATTTCTTTCAGGGAATGTCGGCAAGGATGCATAAAGGCAGTGATTTCCTTGTTCCAATTGTATGTTTTCGAATGATGCAACCCGAACGGCCACTTGTTCCAGTCATTTCCAGAAATTTCACCAAAATTCCATCTTTCTGCTTTTCGTCTGGGTCGATCAATGGTGATCACGCTACTTCAAAATTGATGCTGTGTCTTTTTGTGTTATTGCATGAACTTCATGATAGAATGTACCCACTCAGCGACACCCTGAAGGAACCCTTCCTTTCAAACCTGTGGCAAGCTGTTGATGGATAAGTTTACGCCACCGCCACTCAGCTGTTCTCAAGCGAATGTGGTAGCCTCTCATGTTCCGGCTCCCACCCTTGTTTCTCTGAACTCGTTCAACACTCCACTACAACTTACGTCTCTGTATTCTGATACCACCAGCTTCAGGCGGCTGCAAATCTACCCATGCACGATTTAATTTCTTTGACTCAGGTATCCTCCCTTCAGAGACTTCTGCCCCTATTCGACCCCAAACCCGAGGGTGTCCCTGTACAGTTGCTCGGTCTCTCCGACCCTTCTCATCCCTAAGTCACACTGTACTGTACTCGATGCAGACGTGGCTACCCCATGATTAGCTTCGCAAACCGGTGCATCCACCACACAAACAAGCAGCTCACATTCGTCGTTGGAAAGAGCGATGGCATTAGACGAGGGCTGAGCTTCATCGTGTTCATAAACTGGCATCATTCCATTCTGAGCTCGTGTCTGCTGAGCGTGATTCGAAGTCAACGAGGATTTGATGGAGAAAAAAAGAAAGTTAGATAGCCGATGAGGGCGTACCCACATCTGTCATCCAACCCGTGAACAGAGCCGCCACACTCACCTCCGCCTCACTCAACGATAGTCCCACATCCGTGGCTTTGGGTCCCACTTCTAATCATCGATCCCGTATATGTCACTCCACAGAGACGAAGAGCCACTGCCTCATTCTCATACTTCCCTGTCCTCGGCTTTTACACCTCCCACGCATAACTCTGCTCGCAGATCTCAAAGCCTATCGAGACTCTCTCGTTTGTTGACTTCTGAAGGCTTGGATCAGACACAGACACGTGTACCTGAGTGTATATTTCCCAGTCCAGCAGCATCTAGCTCAGGCTTCACTCGAGCTGATGATTCATTCATACCCACCACCCGTAGTACCCGTAGTACCGGGCACCAGAGACGCTATGATTCCATACCTCCCCTCCCTCCGCAGAGCTTTTGAACAGACTAGGGCTTCCGGGCTTAAACAGCCTTCCATCTGTGAATGCGAGTTACTTGTGTTCACAGACGCGAGCATCCACACCTGCTTCGAGTTCCCATCCCATGCCGTTCCGTCTCTATCCCTGGAGAGAGCTCTGAGCCAGTGACCCCGTCAAGGATGTCATACTTGCCATCTGCATTCTCGGTTCCCATGACGCCGAGTACCTCTACGAACTCTATTCCCACCTCTCCCATCACTCCACTCTTAGGGAAGGGTCGCAAGCGGTCGGGTGTGGTTAAGAAGCGAACGGTAGGTGTTCTTGCTGTTGGTGCTGACCATCTCGCAACAACCAAGAACGGTTCTACCATGTCGACCTTCTACAAAGATATTGTAGATACTCACAATGGGTTGAAGCGGTAGCCGAAGTCGATGAGCTCGCACCACCACCGGAGGATTTTGCGGTGGATTCGGGAGAGGACTCGTAGGCTTGTAGGGTACTCATCTTGTTGTCCGCACCACTTGTGCAAAACATCTTGCACACATGACACTTCATGTCTATGAATCAATGAGATCGTTTGCTTGACAGGTGAAGATAAAGCTGATGAGATCAGGAAGGGAAGAAATAGCCTCGAGTGTAAGTAAGACACGTGTGAACAAAGATATTATCGTAAAATAAAAACAAAGGCATCACATCAGTTCTAGAATAAATGCATATAGTAAACATATGCATATAGACGCTATACAGCAATCATTGAATGTTAGCCACAGAATCCATGTCCTGGAGAATTTGTCGCATTTTCTGGGAGTTGAATTCCACTCAACCAGTCCGGTGTCCGGTTTAAATCACCCTTGATTTACCATGGCTACGGAACCTTGTGCTCTCCCCTGGCTCACACAACCAATACAAGAGCAAGATTATATGCATATTGACACGCATATTCATGTGACTGAACATCTCATTCAGGAATGAGGACCTAGAAGTACAAAACCCGGCCCAAGACGAATCCTCTTTGGTGGTGGAGGCTGCATGTCGACATCGGATTCGGCTTGACCATCTGAGCCTTCCTCCTCCGTATCACTGCTACCATCCTCAGCACATCCGACTACAGTTGCTGCCACATCCATTCCTTGTCCCTTCTTCGCAGCCTTCTCTGCCTGTTTTCTCACCTTCTCCTTCTTGAACTCCGCTTCCCACTCCTTCCCTTCCACTTTAGCCGTCAACTCGAACCCCTGTACCTCAGCCAAGAGGGACTCTCCATACATGTCACACCATTCCATCACACCATTCCATAGTCTCCCCTAACGCACCAACCAGCCCGTCCATGCTGCGAATCTTTTCGTATGGGACAGATGCAAGTTCAGATATTGAAGTGTTGTCGAGTACAAAGTAGTGAGGCGTGCCGAGTGGAGTAAAAGATCTGAGAGTAGGACTGTGAAGCCAACCATTGGGCACAGCCGTCATGCGTGAGCGTTGATATTCTGGCCTCGTCGGCGGCACTTGGGGACCGCGTCTTCTCTGAGAGGGAGGTGCAGCGAAAAGCGGTGAGCTTGGAAAGAAGGATAGGAAACTGAACGCAATGTTGTTCCCACAACAGACACAACCTTCGTCGACAGCAATAGCTAGATAAAAATGTGATCAGCACAGACAAGGGGTGATAGCTAGTGGACGACAATCTTCAGTGGAATTATCATTCATACTACCCTTAAGGAACCGACGAAGGCACTCAACACATATGGCGAAGTCCTTCACTTGCTGGCTAGTCTGCAGCTCCTTCGCAGTAGGTTTCTTCGAAGGCTCCCATGCCCATGATTCCGCCATGAGAAGACAAAGACCCTGCAGCTTCCAATCTCGGACAATGCGACCAAACACTGAAGGAGGTCTTCGAGACATTGACACAGCCCGTACCGGATTACGCATTCGATGTCGTCAGTATTCAAGCCCTAGGTTCAGAGTACGGTGTTGTATTTATCAGACAGTCAAGATCTGTAGTGTTTTCCGGAGCCGGTACCAGCAGACATAATTATGTCGTGTCCAAGATGCAAACTAACTGCTGGAAGGATTTGGTCCTTCTCTCGTAGGCAGATCTTCCCTTCCAAAGATGAATACATAAGACCATAAGCAGGTTCTGCAAGGTCTGAGCCAGCTGTAGCAGAGAGATCAGCTGCTGTTTCAAGAAACTGCGGAGAAAGAGAGGGTATAAGAGAAGCATGATGTCCAGTGTCGTTGATATCTATGCCAATATACCTTCCGAGAGAGTGCCAGAGCGTATACACCGTGAGCGGGGACTGTGATGGTGGAGGGCCACAGAGAGTGCCACTCAAGAACGACGCGGCGAAGTTGTCGAAGGCGCGAGCTCACGTGACTTCTGACTAATACCGGTCGGCCCTGCCACGCCACTCCGAGTTTTACCAGCCTGCTATGCAGAGTACTCGCGCCAGCCGTCACTCTCACCCACGTGTAGCAAACTTGGTCACCAGTCTACACAAACAGGACGTTTCAACGAAAGTGCGGACTTTGAATTCTGTCCCTGGAACTGTGGGGCGGATATCTCCACCACAGTTCCGGGGACACACTCGCGTGGCCTTGTTCCGTGGTCGGATCTGAGATTGACTTTGGACGTGTTCGCTACGCCTTCATCATTCACGTCTCTGTTCATGTCTCTGTTCGTATCTGCCCACTCCGTTCCAAGGATGTCGTGCACCACTCGATCTTCGTGAATGGGTACACACATGAGGTATGTCTCTCAATACTCTCCATTCGTTCACGCTTTCAGGATCAAAGCAATTGAGGAAAGGCCTCTCGCTCTGTGCATAGCACGACGACATCGCCGTCTGAATTTGCTCTGACACTGAAGCGGTGCGAGGCTTTGCATACAATCCCTAACATGTAGTTGTCTTTATATGCTAGAGAACTTGGATCAGCATGCCAGTACATACCTCACTGAGGTCCATACATAGCTTGGCATAGTGAGCCATAGGCCTCCTAGGACCTTGTAAGACGTTTCTACTGGCACTTATCAAATGGTCCTCACCATTATATACGAGTCAGTGCAGCCTGCTCAACCTATGTGCTCATATTTGCGCTATCTAGGTGCGTGTCTTTTGTTTCATTTTTTTTTGGAAACCTTAGCCCCGTGTTCTTCCTGTCGCGCCATGAGCCATAGTGTATGTTGGTGGGGACCGCGGCTCTCCAAAAATGAGAAACCATGGTCGAGACGATCTGGCTATCTGATGGAGAGTCTGCGGAAGCTTAGGTGTAGTCATTCATCTGTTCTCCAACCAACATGCGCTAAGGAACTCTGGCAATGCCGTGGCTGGCAAGCATCTCAACACAGCCGTCACAATTTTAGCCAGTCAAGCATATCTTCGCTCTGGTGGCTCGTCAAACACTCATTTTTCCGTCTTCACACCTCTCTTTGAGGGACACTCACTCCATGTTAATGACAATATTCATCTCTTTGTTTGTTCACCCACATGCTCATCTATTTGTGCGACACTATACTCAAATACAACGACCCACGCCGTCAACCAACACCCACATCACCGACCACAAACCTTCCTCTCTACATTAAGAAGGGCACGATGTTGTCCCAGACCCAGGCCCACCAACAACTCCCCGTAATCGACCTTGGTGTACCCCACCCCGAGTCCTTCCCTCTCGTCGACGGAAAACCTCCCATCATGTCCCCGTCCCAGGGATACCTAGGCCAAAGTATCGCACTCCGAGGACGTTTGGGCTTCCGTTTCCGAAGGAGGTCGACACGAGAACGAGTGCGAGCAGGGCCGACCCCGAATGCGGGCTCATCAGTGTCCAGATCTACGCTGCCCACTGCACCCAATACAGCCTCGCCCTCCCAGTCCTCCACGCCCAATCCTATTCCCAATCGTAATCCCGCAGCTCCCACTTCCAACGTCATCACCACCTCCTCGACATCCACCACACCCACCATCACCCAACCTGCCTACGCCACCAAACCGCCTCGATATGCGCACTGGGCGATAACCAGGTACGCGCCGTCACGCGCCGTCACGGACAAAGAAGACTCGGGAGCGGGAGGTTTATGGCGAGGGAGTTTGGTTGTGTAATGCGGGTGTGCATTGAAAATCCGGATCTTGCTGCGAAGGCGGTTGAGGTGGAAGAGAGGGAGGGTGTGGATGGTGCTGGCAGTATTGGTGGTGGAAAGAGGAGCGGGACAAGGAGGTGTGTTACGTTAGAGGATAGATCAAAGGGTGAAAGTGTGCACACATGGGAGCGGGAACAAGAATGCAAATGGGAGGGTCGAATGAGCACGGAGCGGGAGCAGGAATGGGCCATCGCAGGACGCGTTGGACATGCAGGCAAAGCTGTTCAACGTGATTCACAAATCGACGGAAAGATTCAACTAGCAGCCGAAGGGAGGTCCGTCAGGAGTAGATGTCGACCGAACACAGTTTTGAGGCCTGTGATCTGCTAAGAGAGTAAGGAGAGGGAGAGGGTACGGGAGAAGGTACCGGCGGTGGAGGAGGGTGAGGATCCGATGACGCTTGGAGAGTATTTGCATTGAGAGATTTGAAGGCGAATGAGGCGGTCATTCTGGGTTGGGAGTGGGACGACGGGAATGCGATCCATGCGCTACCGGCTCTCATCGAGGCCCCACATTTTTTTTCGTGAGCATTAATTTTTTGTTATCATCCTGTGCCGTCATGCGGTTTGACTTTCATTGCGCTTGCTCAATTCTTGTCATATTTGATTTTTGGGGTCCATTCCGTGCGTTTATTCTTTGTCTAATACTTTGTACTAACCAGATCCCTATGGAACAACAGGCCACATCAAGTCACCCACCTCCGCACGCAAATGACCCACATCCTCCACTCACTCACCTCCACCTTCACGACTTGTGCCTGCGGCTCGAAATCGAAAGATTGCGCCCTACAAATGATGGCCGCGTTCGTAGATGGAGAGATTCCGGCTCCTACCGAATCCACGTATCCTCCGCACGCATACCAACCTTCCTATCCGACCTCCCACTCTTATCCGCAGAAACGACCGGGCGTGAACGGACGCGACTCAAACCACCCTCCTCTCCAGTCGCCGTATACACAGACGCCCCATTTCAGCCATCCATGGGCGAGTAACTATCATAACCCGACACCGACACCTACGACACCCTTTCCGCATTCTCCATTGGTCCCCGATTCGTACGTCCAGCCCCCGCACCTGTATCGCAAACCTCACTCCACGACCACCTCCACTTCATTTCGACCACCATCCGCCGGCCCGTCAAGTTCCAAACCTCGCTCATCCACCCACCGACCGAGCACAGATCCGAACGCTGTAGGCCCATCGAATCCGAACGTTGACCTAGGGCCGTTAGTAGGTACCCAGCGCGGCTTCAGGACACGAGAGAGGGGCGTCGAGGGATGGAGTGGCGGGATGGAGGGTGTCGAGATGGTTCCATCCAGAGATTCGGAGGAGGGATCGTCGAGGGATGTGCCAGAGGTGAGGGTGAGTCCTGCGACGCGGAGGAGAGATGTGAAGGGGAAGGAGAAGAGTGTGGCGTGGCGAGGGGGGAGAGTATGGGGAAGGGTAAAGAGAAGGCGCGCGAGTGAGGGTTCTTTTTTTTTCTCATTTTATTTGCTCATTTTGATAGACCTAGCCGCACTTCGTCGATGTCGACATTCTTCAAGATCGTGTTCCGGGTCCGTTTCTTCGCTCATGGACGAAGATAAGGTCGGCGATGACAGGATGGACAGTAGTGATATCTCGGCGAGGATACCGCCGAAGATGAGGAAGGGGTGGATTCGGAAGACTGTCCCTGTCGTGGCCAGTGGGAAGCAGTCTGTCGAAGGGTTGGACAAAGGCAAGATCAAGCAGAAGGATGGAACTGTCGAAATAGATACAGAAATGGACGGTGCGTCGACTCAGTCATCCGCCGCTGGAATACAAAGGCTGACGAACTCTTTCAAGGTCCGACATCGACAATATCGACACCGATGCCGACGGCGAGCACCATGCCTCCCCCTCCTTCCCCTAACCTGACCACCGCCGTCCCATCCTCACCTTATCCTTCCCTTTCGCCTGCGTACAAGCCTCCTTCCGCCACACATCTTCACCCATCCGATCGACGCTCCTCCGACCCACTTTCCTATCCCATCTTCGCACCTTCCATCGCCACGCCCAATTCTAACCCAACAACGAGTGGCCCTGCGATAGCGCCAGCGCCGACATCAGCCACTGCTACACCGTCACCGACCACTCACTTCGTGATGCTCTCCCTGACCTCACCACAGATCTGTCTTGGCAGCTCGACGACACAGATTGTGACTGGAACGGATCGCCCCCACGAATGCTATCGTTCAATGGATTCTAGGCGGGTGCTATGGACGTGGACGGAGACAGAGACGGATGTGGAGCTTGAGAATGCGGGGAGTCCACAGTCGCTGTCTACAGTCGAGCCATTGCGGAGGAAGGAGTCGTTGGCAGGTAGGGACTTGGAGGGGGTTGAGGAATCAGAGAGGCCTATGCAGGAAGTCTCGTCACCGGAACAATCCACTCGAACTCAGGATGTGACTCGTATCCTGAGTTCACCCACCCTGTCGTCAGCATCCACCTCCACGATACACAATTCGCAACCGCCAATTCTGAATGGTCCCATCGAATCTTCCATCCTCAAATCCCCTGCGTCGCCCGACACCGTTCATCCCACCTCCCACTCGTACTCACCGTCGCCGTCCACACCTACCAATAACCTGCGTACTGGGCGATAACAAGGCACGCACCGTCAAGGACGAAGAAGGGTCGGAAGCAGGAGTTTTATGGAGAGGGTGTTTGGGCGTGGAATGGGGGGTGCATCCGAATGCGCATCCGCGGCGAAGGCTGGTGAGGGGGAGGAGAGGGAGGATGCAGAGTATACTGCTGGTGCTGCTGGTGGGACAGGAGTGGGGGTGGGAGAAGGACCGAGAGAAGGAGGGGAGACGGGTTGCGACGGTTTGGGGAGGGTGTGTTGCGCTAAAGGATATATTAAAGGCAGTCTGGTGTGAGCGATGAAGCAGATCAACGTCTGGCGGTGAAAAGAAAGACAACCCGAGCAAGTATACGATCCGTAGGCTCCTTGGCTTGGAAGAAGTATTGGACCTCAGCGAACAGGGCTTGACCATCAGCAGTTAGAGGCAGTTGTAAAATACAGCTCTCAGCAATCTACTCGCCAAAGCAGCCCTATATTGTGCGGCGGCCTGCGCTATATAGTGTGTGTCCCATATAGTGTGTCCATAATTGATTTTTGTACGATGCAATCGCCGTACATCACGCTGTTCGAGAGCACAGGATAAGTACATTATCCGCGATGACTTTACTCGTATGCAGAGCAAACACATCTATCTCCCAAGCTGTCCACTCTCCAAGTTCCTTCGGAAGCCATAATTAAAAAGACGGTGGCAAATGGCATGCAGATGTAAGTATTAGGATTGTAAGAAGATATAACCAATGCATTAATGTAGTGTTACGGAAAGTATTATTGAAAGGCAGACACATCTGTGTATAACGACCGGTACATAGTTTCACAGGACATTACTGCATGAATCCAAACAGCCTTACGAACAATCATATCGCGGGAAGCAAGAGAAGTACCAAATTCTGCATACAATTCCCTGTCGAGAATAGCAACTTCCTGTGGCGTAAAAGGACAGTTCGGAGGTTCACAGGGCACATCAGATAATCTATCCGGACTGCCTGCAGATGCAAAAGGGTTTTCGCTCTCCCATTCCTGTGGGTTATTTTCAAGGTGGTGAGCGAGGAGTGTGGGGTTACCATGAACCTCCCAATCTATGCCGTATCCCGTGGGGTCCTCCGTAACGACCTGATCATCTGCGGTGATGTAGTCCAACCCTCTGGCGCCGAGCTCTGCCATGCCCATTAAGTACATCTCTTGGGGAGAGGCCTGACGCTGAACACCTCTCCCAGTGATAGGATGCGAGTTCCACGTAGCGACCCAGTCAGTGGCGTCGGCGTTGATAGACGCGAGAAACAGATGATGAAGGAGCCAGATATGTGCTGCCCGTTCAGGATCGAGGGCGTGTTCAATAAGATGTTCTAGCTCAAGGAAGAACTTCTTCCATTTGGCACCAAAACCGGTCGTGACATCGTACCAGAGTCGCTCAGAGCGGGTGTTGTGGACACTTCTATGAGGTAAATGAGCTTATGCTGAAAGAAAGGAGGGTAGAATGTCAACATACCGTCCCCAGATGTATGAACCACGACCTATACCCCTTGTTGCATCCATATCACGAGCAACATCGACATTCTCTGTTCCATGATCTCCACGGACGCGGCTTGGTCGTCCATACAGAGCCACACCAGCGAGAAATAGTGCCAGGACGGTGGCAGCGCGATTATTGCAGTGAACACGAAGGGCAGTGACGAGGCGAGAAAATCCGTCGATGAAACAGTGAATGACAAACTTCCAGCGTATAAGGCCTATATCGTGGAAACAGTTAGTGTTGGCAACGAATCGTACTTTTGGTGAGAAGACTGACCATGCTGTCCATCATGGTGCCAAAGCGAGTTGGGACCAGCAACTCTGTATGTTCGGCGATGGAGTCTTCGATCGCCAAAAGCATTTGTAGTACCATGAACACGCGCATAGGAGGCGGTGATGCGAGCCATTGGAACGCGATAGGCCCGGGATCGTAGACAACCATGAATCATGCGGCGGCCGAAGGTCGGGAATACTTGAAGGATTTCGGCCATGAGACGGTCGAGTTCAGTATCAGAAAGTGTGGATACGGGTGGGGTGGATGATGTGGTGGTAAGCAGAAATGAACCATCGTCTTGCTCTACTGAGTTGAAAAGAGGGGTACCAGGTTCGACCAGTCCAAGGTCAAGGGCTCGTCGACGAACGGTACGTGAACTGATTTGCAGAACACGCCCAATTGTTGTGAGCGTGGAGATATCCAGAGCAGCAGCAAGGAATATAGGATCGATCCAGATCTTTGGTCGGCCACGACCGGACTCAGAAGAGAGTGTCGTGAGGCTGAGCTGACCATCTGCCGGGTCAGACGATAGATGGACGGCATCATCGAGAAGTTGAACCATAAGCTCGATACTGTGTTGAAGGTTGCGGAATTCATCAAAGGGGATGACGTGTCGATTCTATTGTAGCATGAGAAGACAAGATCTTGAGAACTATGCGGAAAGAAGCGAACCTGTGAGCATGTGTTGAAAAACCTCATAACCTCGCGCTGGCTTCTACGCAGCTGAACATAGTCTCCCAATTGGGTACGAAGAGCGTCAGAGACCCGAGTACAGAGTCGGTGGTAGTCAAGTCTGATGTTCTGCAGAGCATCTGCCATGGCTCGGGCTTGCCACTTGTCAGAGTGTGGCGAGGACTGCAAAACAAATAATAGTGTTATAAGTTAACTACAATGGAGAGAAGGGCATTACAAGGGGACGTGGAACACACAGGAAGATCTGGTGGTCCAAAACTGGAGTCAGGGGGAAGGGCCTTACAAGTGAAAGGGGGTGTCGAATGCACAGAAAGATCCGGTGGGCCACAACTGGAGACACAGGCGAGAAGAAGGAGCATGGGAAACCTTGAACAGGAACAGATGAGTCGGACCTGTTCGGACTTTGAATGGCATGTCTCCGAGTCGTGGGCTGATATCATTCGCCGACGGCCTCGGGGTGACCAAAAACAATATATATGAATGTTTTGGATGGACCCTGGGCTTAGTGATTCAAAACATTTCAAAACATGTTGAAGCATACAAGACCATGGCCAGCTATTAGGCTGTTTTTAGGAGAACTGTTTGCTGGTATCCTCCATTATGTTGAGACACCGTACAGAGTAGTTTGAAACAAAGTGAAACGAGTCAAAGCAGATATAAGTACCACATATGTGTGTGGATCAAAATGTTTGAAGGTATGGTGGATCATGCTGAAGTAATTGGTCACCAAGTGGAATGTTGTGATACAAGCAAAACAGGGTAAACATGTGATCAAACTACGACTAGATGCCTGGAAGGGAAAATAATCGAAATGAAACATTTCGAAATGGCCAAGAATGAGAATATGAGGGCCAGACGGGTTCGTCACGCATAAGGGATGGAGATTGGCAACATACTGTCCGAAACGAACCTCCATAGGGGCCACAATAATTCAACTTCCTGTTTCTTTGTTTCGAGGTCTTCGGCCACATCGCAGTGGCCACCATTTCTTATCATTATTCGGCTAAGACGAGCGCGAGAGCAACATGAACGACTCAGCATACGAAAGGCCTGAATTCTCCTCCATTGCCCGGGCTGTTTTCCTCTTCTACGGTGCGTTCTAGGGCCCGGGACACTCCTATGGGGGTTGCCCGAAGGGCGACCTCGAAAACAGGTAAAAATATGCAATTTCAGCCTGGCGAGGGCTTAAAATATGCAAATTCTGGGAAGGGTAGGGCGCCTATTGGCGGGTTTTGTGTGGCGAGACAGGCTCGATTTTACCCTCATAACCCCACATAACCTCAACTTATCCTAACCTAGCCTAATCAGAACCAACTTCTGTCACATCTGTTGGATAGGTTAGGGGAAGGTGAGGTTAGGTTAGGTAAAAGTTGAGGTTATGTGGGGGTCTACACCAATAATTTGCCAATAATACGCAAATTTTCGGGAGACCTCGGTGCTCCTAGGCTTAAAATATGCAATTTTTCAGGAAGGCTTCGCCCTCAGATCGCGTAAAAATATGCAACTCAAACCGGGCAACCCTCATAGGAGTGTCCCGGGCCCTTGCGTTCTATTCAGTCTTCCAATTGAAGTTACGATGTGTTGATATGTGTGGCAATCAATGTTATGGACGCAGCTTTGATTATCGCTGCGAACTAGGGCTCCGACAAAAAGTCCTGAGCCAATGATACCGTGTGTTAGTAACTCGGCGGCCCCCGAGGGACTTTTTTACAGGTGTTAAAAACAGTTAAAAACAGAATATTTAAATTGATTTACATATTATATTTTCCCTCAGGACCTGCCAGTTTCGACTTACCTGGAGGGCTTTCAAAGCACTAGCGATTCTTGTGAGTGTCTCTGGCTACTATTTGAACTCCTAGAACAAGTTCTACAGCACATACACTCATGATATGTGAGGCCGTTGGCGAGAATACTCGCCGTATGTACTAGACTCGGAAGCTGTGGCTGGCGGTCAACGTCGTGGGAATAAGTTAGGGTAAAGTCATGTCTAGGTCGCGTTAGGGGCCCTAGAGGATGGAATACGACGCCAGGAGTTGGTCAGGCACTCGAAAGAGTCTTCCCTGAACGCGTATCTACTCGTCCAGACGTCAGGATTTCTTACACTTTTTTACAGATCTATATAGCACCGTTGTAGCACCGTATCGGGAGGGTTGTTAATAACAAGTTATAAACAGTTACTAACAGCACTTTTTTACAGCTGTTATTACTGCCGTTTGCATAGAAGACTGAACGCACCGTTTTTTTTTCGCGCCGGGCGTCTGATCTCTACGTGACCGTGACGACGCGGTCCGTCAGCGCTCGTCAGCGTCCGTCGAGCGCCGACCATCTTTCTTGGGCCACAGTACGACTAGTAAGTTACTGCCGTTGTCGAGGCCGGTCAGTTTGTATGCCTAGTGAGGTAGGGAGCATGAGTTTAAGGACTCAAAAGCATAGAAAAGCTACTGGTTGCGTCGAAACCACTCAGACGAGATCACTTATATCCTTGTGGTTCCATACAGAGGTAAATTTCTACCAAAGCAACTGTGGCACCAATAGATTCAAGCCGACTCGCAACCGACTCGCATACTTACCAAGTCAACACGATGCCCTGAGATGAAGCAAATTATATCGCAATTGTCTGCATCTTGTATGACACTCCCTATCCCTCTGAAGTCGAGACAGATGGCTCTGTAAATGGGCACGCTCTGAATTCTACAATACTCATCACGGCACCCCCAATCAGGCGCATGGCATATGCGGGGCGAGGTCCAATCCCGGTGCGGACAATTTTGGGTCAGAAAGTGGTTCCATGTTTGATCATGGTGCGTACATTTTCGGTCTCCCAAGTACCCCACGTCCGATCCCAAATGAGACAAAAGTGGTGAGCTCGCAGCGAGGTCCGATCCTACCATAGCCCCAGTGCGCACAAAAGAGATAAAAATGACTCGTGAGAGATCCGCTCCAAACACTCGCCGACGAGGTGCGCACATAATGACAAATAAAACACATATTTTCGAGCTCTATGCTGGGCAAGGTCCGATACGAAATGAGTACCAAATGTCCTCCAAAACAGGGCACCCGATCCGAGTGCGTACATTCCGCTCCCAAATCGGTCCGGACAAAAAGGGCAAAATCCGGCGATTTTGGATCGGACCTCCCTAGGCATATGCCATGCGCCTCCCCAATCTCGCCGCATCACTCGGTGTCCTCGGACGGCGTTGTCACGGTCACAGAGCGCCAGGCACCGCGCGCACAAAAAAAGTGTGCGTTCAGTCTTCTATGCAAAGGGCAGTAACTCCCGACTTATTGTCGGAGCCCTACTGCGAACGCTGCTGTTGTCGTTTTTGCCGCTCGCGTGAACATCTGGCAGGGATTTTATTGTGAGTTTATTCGCTGCTCTTTCTTTCTCTCAATAAGACTGGTGTTGGGTACCCCGTGGACGGGAAACACCACTATGCTCTACTGGTATGCCGATCGTTCGGGTTTGCCTCTCCCACGTCCTGGTATCCCGCAGTTTTCATCCGAATTCAGGTGGCATCGAAAACAAGAGACGTGGCACGATCACGGTCAGATTCGTGATGTTGTCATGATAATCTATCTTTGTTTCACGAAGGGTGTAACGAGCACTTCATATACCACACAAGTCCTCGTTCCTGCGATCTCGAACCCCAGCTAGACCCCGTCTCCATCCGTTCTCAGATCTACACAAGAGTAATCCTGACCTTTTTGCCCTCTCTCCTAGATGCCGCTGACCTCTTCCCTTTCGGTCTCTCCATCGCCACGCTCGCTCTCGCTATCATTATGTACGTCTCCAACTCTCCCTCCGTCCCTCTCCTGCGCGCCAGGCTGTTTCCATCATGTCTTCATTTCCTCTGCATTTGGAACTCTCGCTAAATTAACTCTTTGTCTTTTCTCCGTGATGCGGTGATCCAGGTTTATTCTCGACGTCGGCTTCGATAATGCTGTCACCGCGCGACCACCATTCGAGCTTGGTGTCAGCTGCGTGCTGACCACTTTGTGGACTGGTGGGTGTTTCTCCTGCTTTGAGATCTTTTCACTGTTTTTCTCCCTCTCGTCTGCGCTCAGCGGCACCTTTCTGCCGCACCCACGTCTCCGTTATTTTCGTCAAAGCGAGCTGACGTCGCGTTGCTCGTATAGCGTTCAACGCCTTCTCAACCTCTCGCTGGGCCAATATCCCGACCAACTGCAACGACATCCCATCCAGTGCGTTTCTTTCCCTCCCTTGCCCCTCTATCCGCCGCCTGTTTGCTTCTTGGACTTCACTGACTAGACGGCATGTGAACAGGTTACTCCGATGCACGCACTTGGTGCAAAGATGTCGGCGCGCTGAAGATCTTAGTGTGGATTAATTGGTCGATCAGTGCGTTCATTGTCCCCTCCCTCCATCCTTCCACTCCCCTATCTCGTCTATTCCCCGGACTCTCGTCCAGAGTCACTCGTCTTGCCATACTTACTGGGATCCTCGTTGTTCCCCTCCGCAGTCCTCGCCTGCTTCCTCCTGACCACGACCTACACCCTCCTCCAATCCCGCACCCACCAGAACCAAATCTGGCGCATCCCCCTCTCGCGCTTCCGCCCCGCCCCAATCAACGACATGTTCGTCAGCGCCGGCGGCATCGCAGCCTTCGATCGTGCCACCCGTGTCGCTCCCCTCTACGGCGGCAAGGAAGGGAACGAAAAAGGCGAAGGCGCAGGCGAGCTGGAGAGGAAAGGTTCTACTGGATGGTGGGCGAACGGCGGGAGTGGATTCCGCGGGAGTTTGCAGAGCGCGGTGAGCGGCGGGAAAACGAAGAGCACGAAGGGGATCCGGCGTGGGATCCTTCCTGCCGGTTCCGATACTAACGCAGCCGCTACGACTACATTGGCGGACGGGAGGATCATCGTCGGTGGTCAGGGGGCGGAACAGTTTGCGACGAATCTGAACCAAACGACCGATTATGGTGGTGTCCAGGTCGCTGTGGCGGATTATGGGTATGGGAATGGGGGTGACGATCCGTTCGCGAGGTCTCCGAGGTCGATGGGCGGGATTGGAGAGGACGGAAGGACGATTGCGACTGGCATTACGGAAGTCCCGTTGGGCTCGCCGGTCACTCTTCAACAGAACGCTACCGGTGGAGGTCTTCTGAGTCCATATTACACTCCCTCGACGCCAAACGTCGCGGGAATGGGCTATGGAGGTTCGGTCGCCGGATCTGGATCAGCAATTGGAGGGGATGCAGGGTATCCGAGGTGGAGCGGTAGTGATGCGTATAATGTGCCCAGTCCTGGAATTGTTGGGAGTGCGAGTGGATATCCGAGCAGACAGAGCAATGCGAAGACGGTGAGCGGGTACGAGGATGGCTTGTGGAGCGGGAATGGACTGGGTGAGGTGGTGTGGAAAGGAACGGGGAAGACGCAGCCTTCCGCGGCGGGTCCGTCGGCGTGGCAGCAGCAGGGGAGTGGTGGTAATGGCGGGGGAAGTCCAGGTGGGGCGGACAGTACGAGTGGGAGTGCGTACAGCGTTGGGAGCTATTATCGCTAAGCTGGTGCTGTAACGGCTGACAGTGGCCCTACTTTACTCTTCGATTTTCGTGTGTAACCGTATCTATGAACTCGTTTTCTTGGATCTTGGGAGTTCGAGCTTCCGAGGCTTAACTGCTGGACCGGGAGTGTACTTATTCTTATACATATCTTGCTTTGCCTGTATATGGCACCTCCTCAGTATCTTTTGAGACATATAGCTATTGTGACTTGGGCCGCGAAGGGAAGGCTGTCGTTTATGTGGTAAGTACCCGGACCGTCCTTGCAATAGGCCGTCCTCAGGATCGGCAACGTCAAGTCGTCCTCACACAAGTAAAGTAATAGCGATAGCAGTCGTTTGCCTGTTATAGACTCAACTATCGTCAAGGTATTCGAAGAAGCTCTCGTGGCGATTCCAAAGTGTTTTGATGGCCTGTGGCGCAGTGTGGCGCCCCGAAAGGCCCCGAACCATCTCTCCTCCCTTCGGCTAATCCCGTTTCTCAGAATCAGCAGAGCGCTTCAATAAGTTACTCCTCCGTATTTCTGGCCGCGATATCTCATGGAGGTACTGCACAAGACTCGCGACTCCCAATTCCCGACTCCTTCGCCGACGAATTTATGAATACAAACACAACGCTATAACATTGCATTTCCTTCGTCTTCCCCCATATATGTACATCGCCCATCCTACACAATCATACAAACGAAATACACGACATCAAGCTAGTAAAACACACATATAAGAAAGCACAGATCTTTGCATACACAAAACGCCTATACGCCCCGCCTCAAACGCTCAGGCCTTAAACCCAATGTTATGCTTCACCCTGACGAGCTCGGCCGCAGGCGCAGCCTTGAGCGGCTGCACGGGCGACGCCCCGAGTTTCTTCGCGAGACGGTCTGCGAAGGATTGGTCGACGGCGGCGAAGACGGAGACTATTTACGAAAGAACGAGTCAGTACGATTTTGTCGCATCGAAAGGGATGATGCAGGCAGCCGGAGGGATGGAGGGTGAAGCGAGGGCGGCGAGGGGAGGAAAGAGAGGGGAGGTATGGGGGAAGCGAGGGAAGGAAGAGAACTAAAACATACGTTGACGGTCGCGGATCTCTGCCTTCTTGATGTTCTTCATGTGGCAGTACAAGTTGTAGATGAGATGCTCGCGCTGGGTGTCGTCCATCGCCTTCGCCCAGAGCGCGCGGGGCTGCTCGAAGTCGACTGCAAAAAAACAGATCAGCACCGATCGCACCACGATAACACGACGAGGAAGGAGTGAACGTTGAAAAATACGCACGCTCGTTAATCTCGCTCAGATCGAGACGGGCGTTGCCCAAGAAAACCTCATGCTTAAAGTCCTTCTCCTCATACGGCTTCTTCTTATACGCCAACGGCGCAATCGAACTCTGATAATTCGGTCTCGGACCCTGACTAACAAACGTCATCGCCCCATCCCTCTGGAAATTCGCCACCGGCACGACAGGCGCATTAACAGGCAACTGCTGATAATTCGTCCCAAGACGATGTCTATGCGTATCCGGATAACTGAAAAGCCTGGACTGAAGCACCGGGTCCGCGGAGGGCTCGATGCCCGGAACGAGATGGGACGGCGAAAACGCGGCCTGCTCGATCTCCGCGAAATAATTCTGCGGGTTCTCGTCCAGTACGATCTTCCCCACCGGCCTCAGAGGAAACTCGGAGTGCGGCCAGACTTTGGTTAGGTCGAGGACGTTGTAGCGGAATTGTTCGGCTTGTTGGGGAGTCATGGTTTGGACGTAGACGGTCCAGGACGGGTATTTCTTGGCTTCGATGGCTTCGAAGAGTTTTTGGGTGCTGTAGTCTGGGTCGGAGCCGCCGAGGGAGCCGGCGGTGTCGTTGTCGAGGGTTTTGAAGCCTTCGTCGTGGCGGACGTGGACTTGGACGTAGACCCAGTCGCCTTCGGCGTTGACCCATTTGAAGGTGTGGCCGGAGTAACTGGTGATTGGATGAGAGTCAGGAGTTGAACGAAGGAGGATGGGAAAGACGAGAGTACGTACCCATGCATGTGGTAACCATCAGGAGTACCACGGTCGGAGAAGAGAATCATGACCTGGTGAGTCGACTCTGGGTTCTGCGAGAGGTAGTCCCAGAACATATCGGCATCCTTCAGATGCGTCTGTGGGTCACGCTTCTGGGTGTGGATGAAGTGAGGGAACTTGGCTGAACGACAGCGATCACTTCGTCAGCGCCCAACTCTCACTTCAGTGTGACTACGCAGTTGTACGCACCAGGGTCACGGATGAAGAACACAGGAGTGTTGTTGAACACCCAGTCGAGGTTACCCTCATCAGTCCTGATCTTGATCGCGAACCCACGGGGGTCACGAGCGGTATCCGGGGAACCCGACTCGCCACCGACGGTGGAGATACGCAGAGTGGTGCGGGCGCGAGTGCCGACCTTCTTGAAGAGGGAGGCGCATGTGAGGTCGGAGACGTCGTGGGTGGTTTCGAAGTATCCGTGGGCACCGAAGCCTTTCGCGTGGACCTGAGAAGGACGATGGGGGGAACCGATATAGACATGATGAGGAAACGGAAGACGGGAAGGTAAGAGAGCGGGAGCGGTATACGTACGACACGCTCAGGAATACGCTCGCGGTCAAAGTGGGCGAGAAGATCGATGTGGTGGAAGTCTGGTAGATAGACAATAGGCATTAGAGGGTTAATTGCGAAAAATGATAGAGACTTGGACGCACCTTGCAAGAGCAGAGGACCGGTCGTGCCGATCTTCTGGGCACCGTACGGTACCGCGAAGGGAGCACCGTTGGAGGTGGTGTAGGTCGCATCGTCCTTTCCTTCGAAGACTTGCTGGGATGGCATGGTGTTCTTGGTTGTGAGATGAAAGAGGGATGGGGGATGGGAGAGAGCTGTGGAGCAGGTGATGGTGTGGACAGGGGTTTATATACTTCCCGGCTGAGTCTATAGTCTCATGAAAGGATTACCACTCCGCCGAAAATGGATCATCGCCATCGCAGTCGTCCTGATTGGCGGGGGCGCACGACCTCTGCTATTTCGGCTCGATGGACGGACACGGACCATGTCTCTTTCCCGTTCTCATCCAATCGTCTCTCGTCCGATGCATTCTGTCATCGGGCGAGGCCATCACGTTCCAGGACACTAAGCCTTGGGGTGGTCACGTTGAGCGGCTAGGCTGACAAGAATTGGAGCGTGCGAGGTAGAGACAAGACATCGACGCCGTCGACTCGACCCTCCACGCAATCCCAGCCGCGGAGCAATCGCACATCAAACTCCGCTCGATGTCCGACACTGCCCTCGGCCGACCCGTCGTTCTCGCTCTGTGCCACCGACTGCCTCTTTCTGCACCATCTCTTCTCGCGGCTGTCTCGCAAGTTGTCTAACATCAGTAACGCTCAGCGTTTGTTGCGCATAGCGTATCGCACAGCAATTGATTCGGGGTCCGTAAATGGTCGCCCTGTGACCTGCTATCGACTCAATCCGCAACGGTCGCTCAATCATCTGATGCTCTCACCAAGGACACATGCCTCTTTCACTTTCCCCATCCCTTCATTGTTCTCTCTCTTCCCGTCTTCTCGCTCTTCTGATACGGTTCATACTACATCCTAGACCTCTACGAACCTCGCTGGAACGGGCTGGAACATATCTTCTCGCACTTCATCCACTCTTTCGTCCACCATGACATCACAATCCTGAGGCTACATTTCCTATCTCGTTATAGGAGAGTGCTCAGAGGCTCGACAAATCTCTTGTTCTCAGCTGCTCTTCACCTCGTTCGATCGATTTTGCTTGTGCTGGTCATCTGTCTTCTGGCCCTCCGACATTCGCCTCTTAGTCCGTCCACATCACTTTGCACTCCGGAGCCCCTGTCCTTCGACCCCTTCACGTTCCTCCATGCTCCGAACCCCTTAGTCCATCGTCACCCGCTCTCTCACGGCGCAATTGACTGTCCTAGGAGACTGTCGTGCACGTTCAAACATCAAGGCTGCCCGTCTTCCTCCGTCTTGCGCCTTCACTCTTCTCGTCATCTTTTGTGCGCCACCTTTCGCCACCATGATGAGTCCAGCGCAGTCCGATTGGCGCCTTGCATCTTAGTATCTCCGCAAACAGCACCCAGCCTTGCTCTGTTCAATCGCTCCGATGACGATTTTCTTCGTTCGACCTCGCAGTCCTCTTCATGGCCATCGCGTACATGCACCCAGCCGCGGTTGAACATTGAACGTTGCACGGTTAATGACGTATGCGGGGTAATATCAAATTCCCCTCTTTCATTTTGTTTTGAAATTTTTAGACGATGCCGATGACGTCGATGAGCCTCCTTTGCTTACTCGTTACGCTTACTGTCGAATCGGGATCACGTTGTTGACTTGTCAATGTCATGGTCGAGAGTCGAGTATTAGTCAGGCCTCAACGTCTGAGCATGGAGGGGATGAGTCGTACGATGAACGATGAACGATGACGATCTCGAGGAGAGGATAGGATGGGTTATTGGATCGGACGGTCCGGTGGTGATTCCGATGCATATATTCGACTCGGAGGTGCGTCTATCGTTGTTCTCCCTTCTGAATGACGATCGTACTTACCGTGACATGGCCTACTTCTCAAATCTGTGTAGTATGATCAAGTCTTACCCTTCCTTGTACGAGGGATCTCTTCATTTCTTGTCTTTCGGAACCTGAATGTAGAGTACATCGACGGCACTCGCTGAATAGACAGATATGCTATTATACGTGCGAGGGCTTTACTTGTAACGTCACAATGTCTCCCTCAACCGTCGCGCGCAATCCGAATATTTTCCTATGTCTCTACTCGCATAGGCTAGACAGAGAAAGCCCACACAAAGTCCTCATAGTACCAAACAGCCTCTACTCACAACAGCGATATTCCCGCCGATGACTCTGCATAGCCTGAGATGTTTATCGGGCATTGACTGGAAGAGCCTATAGCCTATAAGCATAAGTAGTAGTATACCCCCGTAAAATGCCACAACGCATCACCCAAACGGTCTTTTACATAGTAACGAAGCACAGAGCGATGCAACATGTACTTACTCGTACAGTCGCAGTGTGATCCAAAATAGTCTAACGAACTTTCCTAGCCTGCTTGAGTATGGGGCGATAATTATAAGTAGATGACTGGAAAAATGGATTCGACATGGATTTATCTCCCTGGCGGGGAGTCGAACCCCGCTCTCGCGCGTGACAGGCGCGTGTACTAATCCGATATACTACCAGGGATGAAGTTGCGCTCTCCCTGAGTAGCCATCACCAGCTGCAGCTGGTCCTCTCTTTGGGATTTAGGACTTCCGCCCCTTCCGTTTGGTTTTCTTTTTCTTTTAAGGAGAAGTTAGGGATGTGGTCTCCTGGAGGGTTAATGGGAAGGCAGTGAATAAAGTAGTAAGAATTTGGGATCGATATTTCGGTGTGGCGGGACCGGCAGTTTCCGTTTGATTCTTTCTTTTGACCACCGTCGTGAATAGGGGTTTTATGATACGGCCCCAGAGCTCATTTCTGTCTGGCCAGAGAATGCTCCACCTCGAGCGCCGGCCCCGCATATGACGAAAGCAGCAGCAGTCGGCGTATTCCGCCTCGAGCTCTCGGATGCTGCTGAAGGTGCTACAGCACATATTCTCTTCAAACGACTTCAGGTCAGGCTTTGGAAGCACGATTAGACAGGATCCCGAGAGTTGTACAAGAAGAGACGGCAATAAATAAAGAGCGGACAACACACGCTCGATGCAGAGGCGGCGCGAAGTCTCTCGTGGGAGATTTGGAACCGGGAGCCACCTCGATCTCTGGGCTCATAAAACTCTGTCCCCAGCTCTTCGAAGCGCCCGTATCATAAAACCCCTAATCATGATCGTCCCTCTTTCATCTCATGCCTTTGCGGATGTGGTCTCTCCACGATACTTATAGGCATCGTTGAACATATGTACCGTTTTGTCGTGTTCTTGGTGTCAATCATACGGAACGCTTACGGAACGCCAACAGATGCGAACGCGGCCGCCCCTGGACTCTTCGTTGCGTTTTACCGGTGTGCTAACTTGCTCCAACTCGAGCTTCATCATGATATATCGTCGTATCCGGACACACTCTATCCAAGCCGCCTACAGGCTACAAAGAAGCCGGAGGACTCGTGTCTTCCGTGGCTCACGGTCCATACAGTCTAAGAGGGCTGAACAGGTTGAACGTTGTGGCTCCAGTAAGGCTTCGAAGTCAATAGTGCTTAAATCGGGTCGGATCCTATGTCTCTAGCGTTACCAAGTAGCTGGGATTTGCATAGAGATGTATCATTGTGTTTGTTGCTCGTATGCTTGACGCGGAATGGGCTTGTTTGAGCCAGACGATGACGCGTCATATTTCTCTTCAGAGCACTCGTCTACTTCGATTGGGGAACGACTCGAAGTCGTTCTTTGTGTCTGACTGCGGGAGAGGTCCCTATATGCTACGCGCTAAATCAGACTTGCGTCTGTCTATTATGAACTCGCACCCGTATTAGCATAACATTCAGTGAGTTTTCATCCAGGATCCACACCGGACTCTCCGCGATTCACTGACTTACATAGTCCATCATTATAGACCACCACCACTCCACGTGACATCCGAACCCCGCATCAACGTCTTTCGAACCTCCAATCGCCAAGCTGCTAATACGGCACAACAGGCAATGCATCGGTTCATCCTCGGCCAAGTCCCCGTCCCAGCCGCCTCTCCGGTCCCATGTCCAACCACCCACACAACCACCAACCTTCTCTACCATACCCGTCCTCCACTCGCACGCCCCCCAACCTCCCATCAGTCCAAGAATGTCGTCGTATCTTCGGTTGAAATCTTCACCTCTCCATCTCAACGTCTCTATTTCTCCTGCGTTATCTAACCCGTCAGGATGATCACGAGCCCCATGCACGTCTCGCTGGCCCATCCGATTTCATTCCGGTTTCTAGTAGAGCGTAGGGAGGTCCCGGTGTCGTGATACTCTGATACTCTGATTCCTTCAAACAGCTGCGCGGATCGCGTGCGTGCGTCTTGGGTTATGAGTGGTTTATATGGACGGACGGTTATACTTCGCCTATACCCTGCGCTTGCGAATTGACGGCGTGCGTTGCCTGAAAGTATGCGCCCTGAGTCGTTGTGAAGTGTTAAATAGATGAGCGGGGAAGGATGATCGGCGACTGGGATACTGTTCGATTCGACGTCGCTCGTCCCTCTGCCTTTTTGTACGCGCCAAAACCCGCCATGCTTCGACGCGTTTTTCTCGGATTGTTGCCTTTGGTGGGTTCGGGTACGTGCTGATGTCCTCGCTTCGAGCTTCGATGATATATTCGGGAAAACTGATTCACCGTGTCTTTCCCCCTCACCTTTCCATCGTCATCCTGCCTACCCCATCTCTTTCCTTCTCGCAAACGCCTCATTGCCCTCGATTTCAACGTCCTCTTCTCCACCACCACATAATTCTGTTTCCAACTTCGACTCGCGCTCTTACTCGCACTGACACTCGAACGCACACCGAACTCCAACCTCTCAGCCCTCGCGCAAAGCTCCAGCGCCTACACCGACTCCGGCAACGGCATCGTCTTCCAAGGCTACACCGACCCCGTCCACAACGTGACCTATGGAATCGTCCTCCCGCCCACCACTGAGACTTCTGAAGCGACCGAGTTCATCGGCGAGATCGTGGCGCCCGTCGCAGCGCAGTGGGTTGGAATAGCTTTGGGTGGTGCTATGCTTGACAGTACGTGGATAGTTGCCATGTACTGGAAAGACATGGAAAGGAGGAGGGGGAGGCGCTGATGTGTGTGGGTTTGTGTTTGTAGATCTTCTGTTGGTGGCGTGGCCTAACGATGGCGATATCGTGTCTTCGACGAGATATGCGACGTGAGTCTGGGTCGATCTTCTCTTCCGTTTTGGGACGCAGAACTGATTCTGTTCGGACTTTTGTAGAGACTACGTGCAACCGGTGTAGGTCACCCCCCAGCGTCTCATCCATCCCGCTCCTGGTCGTTCATGGCGTTAAACTCTGTTTCGCGTTGATTAGCGAATACGACGGCCCGACTTTGACTGACCTGCCCTCGACTTCTGTGAACTCGACGCATTGGAAGTGGGTGTTCAGGTGCCAAAACTGTACTAGTACGTACCTTGATTCCCCCTGTTGACGCCTTGGCGGGTCCGATACTCTTAAATTCAGTTTGAGATGATGATGGTGCTAATCAGTGAGATTTTCGTTTCAGGCTGGTCTGGCGGAGGAAGTAAGTCCTCAAACACCGATACCCGAAAAGTCCGAATGATCGAGTTTGCATGTGTGTTTTATTCGTGGATGAACGCGAAACAAAAACATAGGTCTTGCGACGACAGGCACCGGAGTGCTCGCATGGGCCTATTCGGACGTTGGAGTCGATGACCCCTCGGACCCGCAGAGCACTTTCAGCGAGCATACGGATTGTAAGCGCGCATCCTCTCCTTTTCCTTTCGACCTTCTCCGACGCCTTGTCTTCCCGATCTCTCATCCTTGCCCACACAATGTTTGCGATCCGTTCGTTCGTGCTCCTGTCCACAGTCGGGTTCTTCGGCGAAGTCTACTCAGCGGCGCATAGCGATAACTACGATGCATACCTGACTGGAGGGACCGGGACCGCTACGACGACTACCCCAACATCGACGACTACTACGTCAACGGGCCCGACCTCCACGCCTACTGTCACTGTTTGTCATTCTACATTCTGTTTGTACTGCCGACCCAGGGCTAATCTGGCTGACTTGGAGTATACAGGGTACTCCGTACGACTACATCATCGTAGGCGCTGGACCGGGCGGTATCATCGCTGCAGACCGTATCTCAGAGGCCGGAAAGAGTGTAAGATTTGATTTGTTCGAGCTGCATATGTGAGACAATATGCTGAGGGTATTCGTGCGTGTGCCTAGGTTTTACTCCTGGAGCGTGGTGGACCATCGACGGCTGAGACGGGTGGGACGTACGATGCGCCGTGGACGGAGAGCGCTAACGTTAGTTTTACTCTGCGACTATGTTCGTGAAGGTGTTGACTCTGGCTCGTGGTCGCAGTTGACGAAGTTCGACGTCCCGGGTCTCTTCGAATCGATGTTCACGGACAGTAACCCCTGGTACTGGTGCAAGGATATCACGGGTAGGTACCTATCTGTCTAATTTGTTTGTCTACAGCTTGCTCATGCAAAGCACAAGTTTTCGCTGGCTGTCTCCTCGGCGGTGGAACATCCGTCAACGGAGCGTGAGTTCCCTTCCCACCTATCTTGGCTCGATAGTTCTAATTAGCGTGATGTGATATCACAGTCTGTACTGGTATCCCAACTCCTTGGACTTCTCCACTGGCAACGGCTGGCCATCGGACTGGCAAGACTTCCAGCTCTACCTCGACAAGATGATCGCTCGTCTCCCGAGTACAGACCACCCGTCCACAGACGGCCAGCGCTACCTGGAACAGTCGTTTAACGTTACGCAGCAGTTGCTTGAAGGACAGGGATATACACAGATCACGGTCAACGACAATCCGAACCAGAAAGACCACGCGTATGGGTATTCTGCCTTCGATGTGCGTTCTCTTTCGTTTTTTCTGTTCCCATCCGCAACGCCGTCTGAAGGAAGTGTATTTATTCTTCATGTGCACAGTTCATTGGCGGACAGCGCGGAGGCCCTGTGGCGACGTACTTCCAAACCGCCAGCGCGCGCTCCAATTTCGTATATAAGGATTACACAATGGTCAACAACGTCGTCCGCAACGGGTCCCAGATCACCGGTGTGCAGACCAACGACACTTCACTCGGCCCTAATGGGGTCGTCCCGCTCAACCCTAACGGTCGTGTCATCCTTGCTGGTGAGCTTTACGGTGAACATCTCACTCTCGCGGAACAATAGTTCTGATGGGCTATGTTGAATTGAATAGCCGGATCGTATGGTACACCCAGGATTTTGTTCCAAAGCGGGATCGGGCCCAGCGATATGTTGAGCATCGTCCAATCGAGCACAGCCGCTGCCAACTTGCCACCTGCATCCGACTTCATCGATCTTCCCGTGGGATACAACGTTTCAGACAACCCATCGATCAACGTAAGTATGCTGCCCCTCGTCCAGACGACCTAGATCCCTTAGGAACGAAGCTGACTCTTCGCTTTTTGACACTGTCGATGGTTTAGCTGGTCTTCACTCACCCATCCATCGACGCGTATGAGAACTGGGCCGATGTATGGAGTGACCCAAGGACCGCAGACGCCGATCAATATTTGCAGAATCGCTCTGGTGTCTTTGCTGGTGCTTCGCCTAAGTACGTCTCTTTTTTTTCGGGATTCTTCGTATCTATCTCATGGCGATTCCTTGTGGTACAGAATGAACTTCTGGAGAGCTTATTCCGGAAGTGACAATAACCAGCGCTACGTACGTCATTCCTTATGTCTATGGTTTGAATGCTCTAAATGACCAGTTCCTACTACCGTGCATACGTGTATGTAGATGCAAGGGACTGTTCGTCCTGGAGCTGCCTCCGTCAACACGACCTATGCGTATAACGCTAGCCAGATTTTCACCATTACCGTCTACCTGTACGTCCTCCCGCTGCCCAACATTTTTTTTGCTGAAACAATGGAAAAAATGTGCACTACAGTTCCACTGGGATCACGTCGCGAGGTCGTATAGGAATCGATGCCGCTCTGAGAGCGCAGCCCATCGTCGCACCTTGGCTAACAGACCCTGTGGACAAGGAGATATTGATCCAGGCATTGAACGACGTTGTTTCAAATATGGGCAACGGTCAGTCTTAGCCTCTTCATGTCTGTTTTCACTCCCATCGAGTGACCATGGCTCATTTGTCTTATCGCAGTAACGGGCCTGACGATGATCACGCCTGACAACACCACGACAATATCCGAATACGGTCAGTTTGGTCTTCTTTCTTGTTTGATCATCCCATGTACTGATTGTTAATCCATCGTCAATCAGTGGACAACTACGACCCGTCAACGATGGACTCCAACCACTGGGTCGGGTCCGCCAAGATCGGGACGTCGGCGACAGATGCGGTAGTCGACACGAATACAAAAGTCTTCAACACCGACAATCTAGTGAGTTTATGCTCTGCAGGTCTTCCCTTGTTAAGATTGACGCAAACACGCTGATGCCACGTCTACGATCTCCGCCAGTTTATAACAGACGCCTCGATCATACCCAAGCTCCCAACCGGCAACCCCCATGGGACACTCATGACGGCCGTTGAACAGGCTGTCGCTAAAATTCTCGCCCTGTCGGGTGGACCTTGATGATTATATAGTCAATGGGCATGGAACTGCACCCAAAACAAATTGGGACATGAGTGAGTGATAGGGAGTGTGAATCGACTTATTGCTATTCACGGTCGTGCATGCATATATGGTTCCCAGTCCACCTTCCTTCAAACCGTATTTGTGTTAGTTCTGGACCCTGGTGTTCCTGAATAGTTATATTGTTTACGGAAAATCCAAATACCGTGACCTTTCTCAAGTATGACCAAAAACATACCTGAAAAGTAAATTGTCCCCTGTCCCGAGCTCCACGAATCTCGTAGGGAGGGTTGACAGGATTAGGAATGTCAAACTCTCACACCACTGACGTATGTAGGCCTAAGGCCTGACAGGTCCAAAAACTGTAGTATGTATCTGGTATGTATGTCAGGCTTTTGCGTGATGCACCGTTACTTCTTGCTTGATACCTTGAGCTACATAGCTCTGTCAGGCATGATTAGTAGCGAAATGGGATGGTGGTGGCCCAATTGAGAGGGAAACTGAGTGGATGTGACTGCATCGTATAACGCTGCCTATACTACCGGTACCAGGGCCCGGGAACGTTCAAGTTAACGTTTCCCATGTACGGTAACGGTTGGTCAGGACCTCAACTTGAAGCCCCAGCCTTATGCTCTGACCATCCGTTTTATTTGACGTGAAGGTCACAGTTCACTAATCCAACTCAAGCGAGTCCTAACGTTATATGAGTGAACGATTTCCTTCACGTCAAATATAACGAATATAATGGTCAGAGCCTAAGTCCTAGTCCTTCACTCGGGCGACTGCGTGATGACACATCACGTGCTCTAACAAACAGATGCGCGTTGTTTTGGTGGCGTTTGTTCCTTGTTCCCGGCCACTCTTCGACTAGCTAACTTGTATTCTCGCCAGCTGTAATCTTTTCGCCTTCTGCAGTGAGTCAGCCCAAATCTACGCATAAGGCGACGGATCACGCATTCTCTTCCTGAAGAACTCAGCGCCCTCTCTTTCCTGCCACCAACGAGACTCAGACATGCCGCTTACCTACACTGCGCCGCTCAACATATGCACTCATGCTCTCAATTCTTCACAACCGGAGTCGTGGCCACAAGTTGTGGCAGACACAGTGCTGTTGTTGATTACGCCATTACCTGCCTTGATTTCTACCGTAGATTCTTCAATAATCTTTTACTATCTGTCGTCTCTGATTATGAATGTATTGCAGGGTCCGCACCCTTTCTTTCTCCGTGAATCATCTAGGCCCTTGTCGGGTGAACTGGAGTCGACATTCACCGAGTTTCAGTCAGACTCTGTGTCAGAACAGGATGGATGGATTCTCGAGGTACTAGACAAAGTGCTTTCTACGGTCGCCGTGATGCGTTCCGAGCATTACTCCTTCGAAAGGGGACTAAATCCAAGGACACCGTTCTTCATCGGATTTGTACAAAGCATATTAAATCCGTCGTCAAGCGACAACACGCTAATATTTCGGCAAGTTATGGCAAATTTTCATGAAGCAAATATACCTCTCACTCAATTTTACAGAGAAAATCTTGCTTTCGTGCTCCCGAGGTACCCATTTGCAGGAGAGTCTCCTTTATTCGGACTCTTCCCTAAATACTCCTGGGCTACTCTATTCGGTTTCTGCTCGATCCCGACTCGCAGATGGGAAGAGCAGGCCGATGAAATCATGGAGGATCTAGCTGTGACGTCGATCCATTCATCGTCGACCGGCTCCGATAATGACGGCAATAGTTCATCGTCGATTCTACTTTCCCCTCAGTTTGACCTTTACCTTGATGGCTCGCCTGTGCTCGAGGAGGAGTACTCGGACGACTCGGACGAAGATCAGATATTCAAGCACGGTTGCGACAAGCATCCTTTCATTGACAGGGACGTAGATCCGGACGTTGCTTGTGTCTTCATCATGGCCGAACAGCGCAGGATCTATCATGCGCTTTCTTGCGCATTGTATCAGAGACGCGCCGTTGGCATTCATGATCCCATAATTGGATTGACCTTTGGGGATCAGGACCCCTATCTGTGGCTCGTTATTGGCTGGATAGGAAAGGATGAGGTCAATCCAGGCCAAACCCTCGTAAGTCGCTTTATTACTTCCTCTTTCGTCTCTGACCCCATCTCTGCCCAGCCGAAGGTCCACCTCATGCACACTTCATTCGACAGCGAACCTTCAACACCGCATGGCGTATTCAACATGCTTGACCCATTGTCTGCCATTCATCTCTCCCGGGTTCTTCTCTCTGTACGCGCCCAGTTTCCCTATATAAAGTCTCAGGCGATACGTGAGAGCAACTCCTCGCCGTTGGACAATGACGCCCAGTTGGAGCTCTCCTGGAGGTCGGATCAAGTGCTCTCCGATTTTCGAACAGAGCCTTCTCTCAACGACGTGATCGCTCCCTGGATTGAAACTCTACCTTGTCGCGAGTGAGCCCACTCACCACGCCCAGTACTCCCCGCCCACTAATATCCTTCTCTCGAAGCAGCCTTACCGTTGAGACCCTGGATAGTTCGACGGATCTGATGGCTCCTAGAGGTCATAAACCAAATGTGAGCGAGATATGCTCATCTCTAACCATATCTAACGTGTGTCTGTCTTTCAGCAGAATAAACAGTCCAAGGGAGGCAGTGGCAGAGCGGCTAGTAGTACTCTTGAGTAACTCTGCCCTTTCCTTGGTCAGAATCGGAATTTGTGCTCAACTGAGGATTAATAGTGCTGTTGACGAGGATGAAGCAATAGACCATGTGAGATCTGAGGTCGACGTCGCAAACCGGTAGGCTCCTTCGTCAACCCATAATCACTGGTGTAATTTGATTTCCCTTGTCCTAGCTCAGCCCCGTCTCGTTTCAGGAGCAAAAAATCCACGAGTAGCTGGTCGTTGTCAAAGTAAGTCTTGCTCTCCTCAGGAAGTTAGGAACTGTATCGCTGATTGCGCTGACCAAGGCTGGCCGCTCGACACCCCGGCGACTTCTCGACGCCTGATTCCACAAGCAAGTATCTACTAGGTCGAAATGTTGCGCGGGATACGAAACTCCCTCACGAGGTCTACGACACACTAAAGATGGACCGCGCAATGGATATAGCTCTCACCAAGTCACAAGAGTACGATGATATGGTAGCGCCATTTTGGCCACCTTCCTGGGGAACCGTGGTACGTACACTGTATGATCACGCACAATAACATCGATTGATTTTAGTCAAGAAGGACCTGCCGCAAGTACGACCAGAACAGAAGCATCTTTGCCATGAGCTACTTCGCGCGATCAAAGCTCGAAGGACCTGCAAAACCCGCGTGCCCATCCAGGATCTCGACGATGAAGCCCTGGTAAACCTTATGACCAATCGCTTTCAACAACTCCTAGATATCGTTGAGGAGGCCCTTGTTTTGAAGAAAAGCGCAGAGGTCATCAACATACCAGAGGCAATGTTTCGAAGTGCATTCGACCGCTTAGTCCATCTATTCTTTAATGGAGAAGACAATCAATCAGAAGGACGACTCTCCATGTGAGTCAATTTTGATTTCATTGTTCGGTGATCAGGATTCTCATGCGCTTGTTTCAGCCTTGAAGCTAAAATTTCGATGCCACGCAACACTTTAGCAGATGCGTTGCTGTCGGAGCTGAAAGACAAGCTGGATATGAGGAAGGTAGTACGGTCGTTCACCAGGGAGTCCAGCATCATAGGCCAGCACCGCAAGGATATTAGTCTTCATGCCGATTTCCTCTTAGATTTCGAGATCAAGAACCCCCAATTCGGCATCCTCCAGAACAACGTGAGGGCTGCGAAAAATCTGCTCGAGAAAGCCGTGGAACAAATGGAGGTTAATCCGAAGGATGTTTTATCTGACGCCACACTCGAACCACCCACCGGGACTGTGGATAATTTAGGTCTCGTACGAATCAAGGACTTCTTTTCACCTGAATCACCTCCGAAGGATGCCCTCAAATCTTTCACGCTTTTCGACACATCCAGGAAGAACGCAAAGGATCTTGCTTCACACGATGGCTTCGTCCACAATATACAGCACACGCTTGGTCGCAAGATCAATGTGGACCAGCCTAATGACCCTTTCGCATCGGCCAGATACGATTATCTAGTGCAGGATGATTCATCACACGTCACTTACGACTCTCAGTCTCGTTCGTTGTTTTCTTCAAGTTGATTTAATGCGTGATAGTTGACCTTCCCCTCTGTCTGCTTTAGCACCTCCGCCTAATCCTGTATCAAGCAAGAGAGAAACCACAGTTCCGACTAAATGTATGTAACGTCTGTCATCATATCCGCCAGAATCTCAACAGTTTCTGCACAGCGATCAAGCAGGATGAGAGCCTGGACGAACTCGTGGATCTCTTGCTGCCCCTGTTGGTAGACGAGTACAAGAAGGATCTCGATGCGTTTCATATCCAAGGCCCAAACGAAGTCCGAGCCTATCTCATCGCAGCTCTTAAGTTCCTAGGTGTCTGCGGCATTGAGAACTTTCTCATCGCTAGTGTGTATACCGAGGGGACCATGGGAGTCGTACAAGGAGGATGGAAGGATGATGTCTCGGTGAGGCCTCTCTTATTTGTGTATCCTGATCTGCGCTGATCGTGTCATTAGGGCGAGGGCGGTAAGAATGGCGCAGTACATCTCCTCGATCGCAACTGTCAGGCTTTTGATATCGCCAATGTTCTTGGTGCTTTCAACTTTGCCGTCTTTCTCGCCCGTCTCGCCCACGTTCGTGCCCCGAAAATGCTCGAGCTATTCGATGACGACAAACGCGCTGCGCTGCATGAAAAGCTTCGAGATCAGGAAAGCGACGTCTACAAGTGGAAGTACTCCTCACAGCTGGCTGAAGAGGGGTTCCAGGCTGCCAGGCAGAGGTTCATGAACCAATAGAAGGCGCGTCACGAGCAGGTGGAGGCAAGACCACGACCGCTTGGGCCAACGCTTTGTTCTCAGTGCTTGTCTGTGTCGTTTCTGAAGGTTCGTCTACGTTTTCTGAACATCATGTAGGCTTGGCTCGATTGGCTAACATGCAATGTATTTTGGTAGCCTGGGCTCCTCGGTTTCTGTCTGATGATCGTCATCGTTTTGCTGAATCGCAATCTTCTTGCCCTCTACGTCGTTGTTATAATGCCGTTCCACTTGTATCACTCGTCGTTTCTGTTTTGTTATTCCATATGTATACGCTGTCACGACCGCTGCAATCCTCATACGTTCACCCTCCACGAGGTTCTTAGAATGCCGTCCCCCTTGTATCACTCGTCGTTTCCGTATTATTATTCCATATTTGTACGCTCTCTGTCACGAGCACTGCAACCCTCGTACGCTCGCCCTGCACGAGGTTCTCAGAATGGCGTTCCCCTTATCTTACTCGCCGTTTCTGTTTTGTTATTCCATATTTGTATGCTGTCACGAGCACTGCAATCCTCGTACACTCGCCACGAACGGCGAAGACAATCTGGCGCTACTGCAGCCTTAGTCCGTATAATATGTACGGGCCGCCTAGGGTATCTCTTGTACGACGCAATAGCATACGTGTTAGGCGGATGATGAGCATGTTCTGTCGACTAGAAATTCATGCCATGCAGAACGGCAAAGTGGTAATAGAATTACTGTGGCCCAGCGGACCACTTCGTATACGGCATCTTTTCTGGTCGGGTTCGAATATAGGTAACACTGATGTATGATCACGGTATCTGACCGACCAGAGTCCATGGATCTCGTACGGGCATCGATTCGTTCAGACAGAAGGACACACTGAAAAGAAAACTGCGAGTAGGTGGTGAACGAGAGATGTATCGTTGATATTGGGCAGTAGGGTAATTCAGGTAACAAGTCGGGGGATTCCTCCCTTCCAATGAGCCTATGTGAAGAACTTGCGGTTCTCGTTGGGTCCGAAGAGGTCGTGTCTGATCTCGGGAAGCATCTATACGATATGAAGGCGGACGGGGAGGTAAATTTCCAGACAGACTATGAGAGGGAAGATGGGACAGATGTTTGACGCACCCTATCCTCCAAAAGCCGCAGACGTTCATCGAGCGTGTTGTCCAGCGTGATCCGTTTCGTTCCACTAATGAGCTTGATACCGCCGGCCCTATATCACAAGTTCAGATTATCGCCAGCCAGTCAGCCGACGCGCACAGGGGCCCAGCCACACCAGTGACATCGTAGCACAAGACGAGCAAATGGACTCACAACTCCTCGTCCAATCCACCCTCGACTTCAATTTCGACCTCCCTTCCGCTAATCTCTCCATACCTCTGCTTTGCGGCATCCACCGCCTGCTGCACCACCTCCAAATCCTTCCCCCTCGCGTATACAGTGACACTTGGCTCGAGAAGTTGCAAGAGACCTTGTACGATGACGCCCTCGAGGAATTGGACGTATTGGTCTGGAGAATCGGAGGCGAGAGAGACGATTTGGGTGCGGGCGGTTTGGAAGAGGTTTTGGAGTGCTTGTTCGCGAGCGTGCAGGAGGCGGAGTCGGGATTTGTTGGTAAGAGTCGATTGTGTGCTATTATCGATTGAAATGAGAGAGAAAGAGAGATTGGTGGTTGTGTGAGTGATAGTGCGAGTGAGTTGCAGAAAGTGGGTGCGTACATCTTCTGCGCCGTTTCAGCACCCTTGCGTTTCTTCTCGAATTGGGCATCGATTGCCTGCTGTTCCTGCTTCACGAGCTTTGCCTACAAAATATCATAACGAGAGGAAGTCGGAACGAAGCGGAAAGGCCAGAGGGGAAACATTGTCAGTATCATGTCGCAAGTTATTGCTTGCGCGGTATACAGCGTACCTTCTCGATGGCAAACTCCTCGTCAGCTTTGACACGGATCTCGCGGGCCTTCTCCATTGCCTCTTGCTTGATGAATGCCACCTATAGTATCCAACCCGAAGTGCATGATCACATAGCGTAGATAGCCCGATTCGGGTGGTAAGTTGTCGACAATATGAGGGTAATGGGCGGGTCGCGTTCAGACAATATAAGTGAAAGAAATAGGTCAGTATCGCTTCAATTACTCAAACATATGTGTGGATAGTGAAAGGTGAAAGCGTATGCCGTCTACTTTCACCAGTGAACGCTACGCAATGATGATATGGTGGGGCAGCTAAGGACTGGTACTGACCATCTTGTTCATCTCGTTGAGGACCTCATCATCATTGAGTGCGCGTGCGGCCATTCTGAGTTCTAGTTGAGAAGAGATGTATAATGGTTGGTGGCCGGGTCGAGTACAGAGGGGACCAGTGGAAGATGTAGTGAAGCAGGAGAGCCTTGCTCAGAATGTCTATGTTCGGCTTTGGAGCCATAGCATCGGCTCGGATACATTTATAATATAATATACAAGGCTATATAATAAGCATTAATGGGGTAGTGGTAACCTGGGTCGTTGCCATCGACCCGCCGGGGGTTCGATTCCCTCTTAATGCATTCGATCCAGCCTGGCTCCAAACCTTTTTGACTCTTCGTCAGAGAAGTGCACACACGCTATTATGGTCTAACTGGATTGACACACGACAGGAGCAGTTATCCAATTCACCACTTCACGACTTTTGATTTTACTCAAAGTCCCCTGAACCCTGAAGGTCCTTGCAAGTCATCCGAGCATTCTTGCAACTTCTTGTCATCGGTCAGAAACACTTACTACTGATGGTAGGTATTTGCCTATGTGCGACCACGGCGAAGAGCCATGAAGTCCAGCTATCAGAGTTCGAAAGATGGATGCCATATATTGCGCAGAAGACATGCCCTAGTACCAAGAACTTTCAATACAATTTGAGCACATACACAACAGAGAAGCAATCCTTCATCGCTAGTAGACCTCGATTGACGTCTCCTCCTCAATATGTTTCAAGACACGGGAGCTTATCCGTGCATTGACTACGCACTCGAGGTGACGTTCGGTGCTCAGTGTCAAACAATGTTCCTTACCACCCTCTGTTCTACTGCCAGTAACTTCTCGATTATCTCCTCTGTCTCAGCGTAACCGATATAGCGATGGTCATGTCATGCCGACTTTCCAACGTCTCGAGGTGTTCATCTCCGAGAAGCCTCTGCTGCACGGCACCAACGTGTCGATAAATCCTTTCCGCCTCCGCATGACGGCCCTGCAACGATAGAGCGAAAGCCAGATCGTGATCCATTTGTGACGTCTGCTGATGCTCTTCACCCAGTACAGCCATCCCAGCTTGTCTATACATCTCCTCCGCCTCCGCATAATGTGAGTGGTCCAACAGAGCGAGGCTCACTTTATCCCCCAAAACATTCCTCGCCTCTACTAAGGCCTCGAGTGATAACGGTTCTGTTTCTACGGCACCGTATTGGGCCAGATGTGTTTCAACGTCCGTGGGCGTTCGGGTTCAGGTATGGCGTCGTGCAAATTTGCCGCGGATCTTCAAAGCGAGCGCAATCCTCCTTGAATTAGTCTAATTGAAGAAGATTGTCATGGAAATAATCGGTTTGCTTCCATGACTGCTTGAGATGATAGATGCCGAAACGAAACGACTAGCAAGTCATCTCAGCAAGGTCAAACATCGTTCAGAGTGCCTGGGTGCTAAGAATAGCTATCCAAAAAGACCGGAAGCCAGTAAATCCGTATCCTTACACGAAGAGCCAGCACCATCGGGGGTGTGAACTTGAGGAATGGAATACGATAGAGGCTCTAAAATGAGCATGGTGGTGATGATATGACAGCCTGAGTTCGATGAGTCTGCGTAGAGAGCCATCCTTAGCCCGCAGGAGGGATTCCAAACTGACAATGGTCGCCCTAGAACATCGGGCAGTGTTGTAATCAAGGTCTAGGTGGTAGAAGAAAGGAAGATTCAGGCCGCTGGCTTTTGGGAGAAATCCGGAGACAGACAAAGGAAGGAAAGAATGACGACGGTGAAATCCGAGTCGCAGTCAAATCACAATGACGCTTCGGAAATAACCGATATCTTTTCTCCCTCTCCCACTCACAAAGGGCGCGAGTTCGACCCCCAGCACCCGCATTCTAACTTATTGCAGCTCAAATCCTCCATTTCTCTGTAGCATCTAGGAGTCGATAGGCATCTGTTGTTGAAGCAATCATGGTACGTCAAATTACCATATAGAGTGCTCAAGAGTTTGACAGAAACTAACGCATTCTCTGCTCCCAAAGCCCGTCTGCACCGACTGTGGTGGCACAGTTATAGAGTACGATGCAGCAGCCGGTAACGGCTTTTGTGTCCAATGCGGCACCGTTATCGAGGAGAACACCATCGTCAATGAGGTTTCTTTTGGTGAGACATCCACTGGCGCCGCTATGGTGCAGGGAGCCTTTGTTGGACAGGGAGCAAGTAAGTTATTACAGACGTGTGGCGCAATGTCTATTCCCTAAATATGTTTCGCAGCACATGCAAGAATGGGTGGCCCGTTCGGCAATAGAGGCAACTCAGAATCAAGGGAACAGACCATTGCGAATGGTAAGACCTTTATTTGCGTTCGTAATAGGGGTATAGCATTGCAATGGCTGACTCGCCATACAGCGAACCGCAGAATTTCCCAAATCGCATCCAATTTACATCTCTCCGAAACGGTATCTATGTCGGCGAGCCGCCTTTACAGCCTCGCTGTGGAACACAAATTCACTAAAGGAAGAAAGGCAATGAATGTTGTCGCGGTCTGCCTTTATGTGGCGTGCCGTCAGAAAGGGACGCGCTCCCTGATGCTCATCGACTTTTCTGATCTCTTACAGGTAAATCTATCTCATTTTGGTACATACTTTCTTTCTCTATCCAGGGCTGTGTAGAAAGTGTGATGCTACACACCCGCGCCACAGTGGCACACCTCCCTTTCATCGAGCCAATGTAACTAACGTCATTTACTTAGGTCAATGTTTTTGAGCTTGGACATACCTACCTCCAACTTGTCCAAACACTCAATCTACGCCTACCTCTCGTCGACCCATCCCACTACATCTCCCGCTTCGCTGCTCTTCTCGAGTTCGGCGACGAAACCTCTCGCGTCGCCACCGACGCTGTCCGCCTCGTCCAACGCTTTGACCGCGACTGGATGACCAAGGGCCGAAGACCCGCTGGAATTTGTGGGGCCTGTCTTCTTCTTGCTGCCCGAATGAACAACTTCCGACGGAGTATAGAGGAGATTGTGCAGGTGGTGAAGATCGCCGATACGACGTTGAAGAAGCGACTGGATGAGTTCAAGAGGACAAGGAGTGCGAATTTGACTATTGGGGATTTCAGGACGGTGTGGTTGGAAGAGGAGATGGATCCGCCGGCGTTCTATAAGGATAAGGAGGGCGAGGAAGGGGGTGATGAGGAAGAGTACGAGGATGGAGAGACGGGGAAGAAGCGGAAGAAGAAGGGTAAGGGGAAGAAAGGAAAGAGAGGGAGGAAGCGGAAGAAGGTCGACAGTGAAGACGAGGAAATGGAGGATGCTGAAATGTTGGAGAAGCAGCCTGGTACGGACCCTTCGCAGGAGCAGGTCGAGTTACGGCTGCAGCCGTCCCAGGACGTGAACATTCCAATCGACCCCGCACTGTTCAATACAGGTATTCTGGAGGGTATCTCGCCTCATGCGGATCCTCTTTTCCTCTCAGAGACTCAATCAAGCCGTCCCCAAGTTCTGGATGATTCGAATATCGACCCTGCTCTGCTAGATCAATCTGCTGCCATGTCATCGCCACCGCCACCCGTTCACAATCCACCACCACTCGCCCCCGGTCAACAATCCGAGATAGACACGGAAAAAACTGACGACGTCACTTTTTCGATTCCCTCAGAAGAAACCGATAAAGAACAAGATTTTGCCGGTGCACCGCCACCCCCTGAGGACACCGCACTCGAAGCAGCCCTGGACGAGACTTTGGTGAACGAAGTCTCCAATTTCTTGATGAACAAACAGGGCACGGAAATGAATGACGCTCTGACGGAGATGACGGAGCGTCAGACGGCCGGGTTCACTGTTGTGGATGAATTATTAGGACTGGATGAGGACGAGTTGGATAAGTTTCTTTTGACTGACGAGGAGGTGAAGATTAAGGAGAGAGTATGGGTCGAGATGAATAAAGAATATCTGGAGGCGATTGCTCGTGGGTATCCTCTCGTGCTCTTTCTGCAGCTAACTTCTGACCCTGAATATATTGTAGTGAAAGCAGAGCAACGAGACAATGGTTCTACCTCCAAACCACGCAAGGTATGCTAACCACTATATATCAAGTCAAGCATTGGCTAACGTTCTGTCCAGAAACGGAAAACCAACTCGAAGCCTCGTGACGCGTCCACACCTCACGGAAATACGGCAGCCGAATCGGTCCGCAGTCTGTTAAAGCAGCCAAAGTACAGCAAACGAATCAATTACAACGCTCTCAAGGACCTGTTCGGTGGCCCGAATGCTACGTCTGGTGCTGGCGACGAGAAAGACGATGATCACCAGTTGTACACCATGGACGATGATAAGGATGACGAGGTAGTGGACGAGGCGGGTGGAGGAGTTGGTACGGGGACCGGGCAGTATGGAGAGGGTGGGAGTGATAAAGAGGACGATTATGGGTGGGAAGAGGGGTTCGAGCAGGAAGTATAACAGCTCTCGAAAGGCTGTGTATATTGTACAGTGTGTATCCCTCGATTTCTTCTCCGTTTCATTGCAACATTTCTGGTTTAATGGTCTCGCCAGGGTATATTATATTCAGCATTCATGTCATTTTCCCGTCATCATTATCTCTTGTTCCTCGGAATTTTGGTCGCCATGTGTATTTAGCCTGCGTTGTTTCTACTACTTCTCATCGAACTCATCTCCTATGCATCGAGTGAGCAATATTTACCGTCACTTGTTCCGTCGCGGCATACTTTGCATACCTTTTGACACCTTCGCGGTTCTATACGTTGTTGACGGTCGAATTCGTGTACGAAGTATAGGCGAACCCGATACGGGAGTTGGTCGTATCATACACTGAATAGAAGCGCTCGCTGTAGTAGCAGAGAATAATATTAGATGGACGACCGTCCGGTAAAAACGAGGGAACTTAGGAGCATACAGGAAAGTGAAGCCCAGAATGAACTGGAAAGAGAAGGTATTGCCATAGGTGCTGAAGATTGAGTAGATTGTTCCCTCATCTCCATTGATGAGAGAATTGTATGCTGGAGGCCAGACCTGTGCGTCCGCATTCAGCGTGAACGTTTCGCCGCTGATGATGAAGTCGATCGGCTTCAATGCAGCAGCTCTGTTGACCGAAAATGTGAATAATGAAACGAGTAATGAAGATACGTGTAGTGTACATAGACTTACTGTTCTGGAGTGAACGATACCAAATTGTGCGTTGACTCGTAGGTTCCACCGGTAGCGGCCATGTATGCCTCAAACTCGCCAGCAGCCAAGTAAACGAGGATAGTCCCCGTGTCAACGATACCGCTACCGGAGAGGAATGTAGTGCCGTCGTAAGAAATGTTCTGTGAGATGTACCAGGAGCCTTCTGACGAGGCGGTATATGTGAGGTTTCCAATGAACTGGGAGGTACCGACTGTAGGTAATATCAGTCACCACGAACGAGCCTACAGAGTGATTTGATACTCGCCTTCGCCAAATGTGAGCGAGCCTTGAGAACTGGGGGAAGCCACGAGGGGAAGAGCAATCCCGACTGACTCAACGTCGATGAGTCCTTGCGCAAGCATATTGTTTCTGTGGAATTAATCAGAGCGCGAATTGTGTTATATCGAGAGCAAACGTTCTTACGTGAAAGTGGGGACGACTTCGTCCGGCTTGCTCGGGAAAGTCCCTGCCGTCGACGCTACCTGAGCCAAACCAAGGACGCCATCGACGCCCACGAGTTCAAAGTCGCCAGTTTTGTTGCTGACGCCAATTGACTGGTTTGTGACCACGACAGACGAGGGAAGTGTGATGTCGTCAACGTATTCGAATCCATAAACGTCTCCTGTACCATAGGACAGGTAGATCGAATCATTGGTCGCCACACTGCTCGTGGTTGGCACGTAACTCTTGTTATTCCCAACCCAGAAGTTCGAAGAGCCGGTGTCAACTAGCATGGCTGTGAAAACAAGGTCAATAATCTGTTATGTTGGGATCAAGGAAAACGGAGAAATTGATTGCTCACTGTACTGAGTTGGCGGAGTGCCTACACCAACCTCGGTTGTGTAACCCACTGCGTCGCTCGAGAATGATACTGGGGATATCGGGGACAGACGCTCGCCGCGGGCATATGCGTTTGATAACTGCTCGATACGAGCGCGGTCGACATTTCTTCCAGTTCCACTTCTGACTTGCCTATTGATGGGTATTGTAATGCGAGGGCTGGCTGCGATGCCACGAGCGAGAATAATCGCCAACGCGAAGATGGATGCTGTGAACATGCCTGGGGATTAAGTGCACCGTGAATGATCGTATAGGGACCCATCTTATATGAGCCACGCGTAGACGCGTGCCATCGTCACGCTATGGTGTGAACTCAATATCTTGATGGTGAGTGGGAGATTGAGCCCGTAGCACGATGGTGATACATGAGAGCGAGGAGATGTATCCCCCGATGGTGTAAGCTGGCAATGGTTGCAGGAGGTTGCATCTGGTACAAAAGGCACAAGGTGAGGTCGGCATGCAACACATTATTGCTCGGGATCATGGCGATGACGAGACGCATGGCTGCTGCTGATGGGTGTAATACGTGGAAAGATTCCTCTACAAAGCGTTGAATGATCATGCTCCTCGTGATACGATTGATTCCCCTTGGTGATATCCTTGTCGGTCTGTGGACGAGGAGGCAGCGATGAAGGAGCAGCCAAAGGCCCAAGACCAGGGACAATACCGACAACCAACGCATGTTCTGAGCCAGAGATTCAAAAGCTAGTGTACACTTCCATTACTGGAACGGAGAGTTGATTGTGCACCTACAAAGATTGTCGACATGTCGCTGCAAGTCCTGTCGAAGTCGCTACCAAATCCAACAAGGCATGACCTTGAAGTTCATGGTCAAGGAGCTCCGGCTAGCTCCGAGCACGCGAACACAAGGATGTGGCCCAAAGTGGCCCAGCTTCGCTTGAGCTCCCCCGTCCGCGAGGGGGAAATACGGAGAGCTTCTGAGGTGTCGAAATTTCAGCACCGACTTCGACAATAATTTTGCCGATTTCAATCCGTGTGATCTAAACTACACATAGTAGCATCCGGTTTCCGTATTCGATTGTACAGCTACAGACCAGCCACAGACATACATGTTTAGTCGATACATTGATGTTCTTCTACGTCTATATCGTCTCAACACTTCCATCCTTACTCCTCGTCCTTATCCTCCAACTTCACCACCAAATGTTTCCTCGCCACGATCGCCCTTGCCCCGGGGATGACCACGATCGTCTGCGTATTATCAATAATCATCGCCGGTCCCCTAACCTCATCTCCAACCTCCAACCTGTCCAGCTCATAGACCCTCGTATCATGCACCCTCCCCACGCCTTCGAAATACACCGAATACCTCATCGCGACCTTCTCTTCCTCGCTTCCCTGACCACCGACGACCCTCGTCTTCAACTCCTTCAACTCCTCAAACACCGACTGCCCCAACGAATCGAACGTCTTCCCTATCCCTCTCACCTTCAAATCATCGACCACGATATTCTTCGAATCGAGCAGGAACCCAAACTCGGACTTATACATCCTCTTGAACGCTTTCTCAAAGTCCTCCTGGCTCTCGCCATCCTCACCTTCACCGGATTTTTCGCCGAGTTCGGCGGAGGGAAGAACCATGAGCGCGGTATCGGTCCCGTCGAATCGCATATTGAGCATGCGTTCGATGCGAATCCGAGAGGGCTCGAAGCCCTGTTTGGTTAGTTCGGAGCGGACGGTTTTGGTGAGGCTGTTTAGGCGGGATTGGAGCGTTTGGATGTTGGTGGCGTTGTAGTTTGCTGAGGAAGGTTCTTGGATTTCGTGTGCGCTGAGAGGTTTTTGAACAGTCAGATACTTAATCACATGCAAGGGTGTCGGGGAAGGAGAGAAGAGGGGGGAAAGAAAATGAGAAGGACATACCGGTCAGCTAGAGCAAGGCCATAGGCGGACAGAATAGAACTGTAGCGATGGATCAGGATCGTCTTGATGCCGAGGAGTTGAGCAATCTCGCAGGCATGTTGACCACCTGCACCACCGAAACTGGCCAATCTACATTTCCACATCGTCATCAGTATCTTTCTGGGGGCGACCCAGATGAGAGTAGGGAAGTTGAGACATACATGTGTCTCGATGTTGCGTATCCCCTTGCCTCCGTCAGAGCACGAATCGGTCGACACATCGTCTCATTCGCCACTTTGATGAATCTGTGCCACAGTAGTCTCGTGAGTCGCGGAACGGCGACGACAGGAAAGAGATTTAGAAACGAACCCGTAAACGATCTCATCCAAGTCCAACTTCCTCTCCCCACTCTGAGCGATACTCGCATTGATTTCCTCCGCGACTTTCTCAAACGCGACCTTCGACGCCTGTACATCCAACGGCTCTTTCTCCGACTTTCCAAAGATCTTCGGGAAATAATCCGGTACGAGGCGTCCCAGCATCAGATTCGCGTCTGTTACGGCGAGTGGACCGCCTTTCCTACATTCCCGTATCAACATCGTTTCAGTTTACGGTGATTATGGTGATGTGGACAGGATAGAGAGAACGAAGCGCACCGGTAACATGCAGGTCCAGGTTCTGCTCCCGCACTTTCAGGACCTGCACAGAAGAGGCCGTTCCGGAAGGTGAGGCATGATCCGCCCCCTGCAGCGACAGTGTTGATATCCAGTTGTGGGGATTGGATGGTCACGCCCGCCGTTGTCGTTTCGTACACGACTTCGTACCGTCCATCGAACCGCGAAACGTCCGTTGACGTCCCTCCGACATCCAACCTGACATGGAATGAGAATGAGTAAGAAGATAGGATAATTGGAGAGAAGGCGAGGATGAGCCCACCCAATCACAGGCGTCTTCTCCTTCTCGTCCCAACTCGTCAACGCATATCCAACCACACCCCCCGCCGGCCCACTCAAAATACTCTTCAATCCACTAAACCTCTCCGCATCTACCAAACCGCCATCACTCCCCATAAACTCCACCCTCGGACTCTTCACCCTCCCATCCCTCAACTTCTCATCGAACCCCTTGAAAAACCCATCCAGATATTCGCGCAGAATAGGGGTGAGGTACGCGTCGGCGGTGGACGAGACCCCTCGCGGTACCATTTTGATCATCGGGAGGAGTTGGGAGGAGAGCGAGATTTGGGGGAAGCCGACGGAGGAGGCGAGACGGCCGATGAGAAGTTCGTGGTTGGGGTAGGTGTAGGAGTGCACGAGGACGACGGCGAGGGAACGATAGCCTTCTGCATAGAGCTTTTCGAGGTCGGCTTTGATGGCGGCTTCGTCTGCACTCCACACGCCATATGAGTGCCTGAGAGAGGGAGGGGATGAAGAGGTGGTATACATACCGGGTTTTTGTAAGATCCTGACTGCTTCGCCCGAAATACCTCTTACGATCTCTCCTGGACCCTCTGCATCGCCCTTCCCGTCCCATCCCTTACCTCTATACCCCCTCTCCACCTTCCCATCCTCAGTGAAGACAACCTGATGCTCCTCTGACTTCGGGTCACTCGTGTATCCCACCAGAGTCACTCGTTCGTCTACCTCGACGACGGCACTGTAGAGGGGTGGGGGCCGACGGATGTTGAGGTCAAAGATGCGGGGACGGGACTGGTTGCCGATGAGGAGGAGGTCTTTAAAGCCTTTGGTGATGAGGAGAGCGTGTTTCTTGCCTTTGCGTTCGAGGAGGGCGTTGGTGGCGACGGTGGTGGAGAGGCGGATGTAATCTATGAGAGGCCATGTACGGTCAGTTACACATTCAGAGATCGATAGACCAGATGATTGAAGGCAAAAAGGTACAAGCAGTGGAAGGGAAGGGGGAATGATACATGGTGCCACAAGTGTGGCCCATATGCTCGCGAGCGAAAGACAACGATTGGACCGAAGGGTATCGACTCACCGATCTTTGATGTATCAAGTGTAGTCCCTCTAGGGATACTTTCGCCCGTAACCTGCTCCAGTACACGACGAATCCCCTCCGTAGGCGCATCCTGGTAGTTCGCCGGATCCTGGGACACTGGACATTAGAGCACCCAAGTCAACACACGCTACGAAAATGCTCACGACAGAGATAAAGGGACATACGAAGCTTAACTACAATCTCCTTCCGCTCGTTAGGATTCTCTGGATCAGGATATGACCTAGAGGCTGATTAGCTTGATAGAGTGGCAGTGTGGCGCAAGTAGACGCACGCATGGACATCGCAGAAAGTTCCTCCCCGATCAGCGCAGATGCGGATTGAACGGTCTGGTATGTTCAAAGAAGGCATTGCACTTTGTTTGAAGCAATAGTCGAACTTTGAGGTCGTCGTGGTCGGTAGGTGTACAATCCTCAGGATCGGGTGTGACACGTCAGGGTGAAAGCCTAGATACACTTGCTATTCTCAGTCAGTTTTGAGCATGGTAATTTCAGGAAAAACCAAGAGTGTAACGATACCTCTCTTAGCTGCTTACAGAGACGTTGAAGAGGTGAAGGAAGAAGGGACAAACAGCGCCCTGGTATAAACGCAAGGCCTCCCGCCGCGGCACTCCTTGTCCCGTACTTCTATGTCATCTCGCGTGCTGGAGTCAATTTCTGGCGAGTAACGACAAGCTTTCGGCCATATTCTCCTTGCAGGCTAGCTTAGCGTCTCTGCGGACCGTACGATCCATTTCGTTAAACGAGTAACGCTTTGGTCAAACTTGAACATGCTCCACGGCCTTCCCCCAGAACTGGTCATCCATATCCTCTCATTCCTTCCATTCCAGTCTCTGAGTGCTCTCCAGCAAGTCTCTCGCCCATGGAACGACTTTGTCCGTACGAACCAGACCTTGGTATACTACAATGCGGCCGTGGTCCACGACTTCATCCACAGTCCGGCGGAGAGTCTAACGTCACTGAACGAGGTCGTTGGGCGACTGGAAGGAAGGCTTTGGCGTGGCGTGAAGTCGTGGAAGGACTTTTGTGAGTGCAGTGGCTATCCTGATACTCTTGCGGATTGTGAACGGGTACAACTACTTCTAGGTAGACGGCGGTTCCAGCTGGAGAGGAACTGGGCTGGACAGGGGCAGTCGGTCTTTCGAAATATATCGCCTGGGCGCGACGATGTGCATCGACTCAAAGTGGATGAGAAGGAACGTTTCTGTATCACTACGCATATGAGAGGTCAGTACCCGAATGTTCTTCGTCCCTTCCGGTTTCTAGTCGTCTATGCAGATATGGCTCGACGCAAAGTGCCACAATGCTCGGTTGAAGTGGCGTGTAGACCCCCTTTGTCCCTCTCAGACACTCTCGAAGCACGATCATTGACTGCTTATCCCAGGTGGACTCACTGTCACTAATCTCAACCCGCCTTACATCCTCTGGGCCATACCACCCGTCAGTACCAGCACCACGCCGCACATACACATACTGCAAGTTCGTCCTCTAACAGCCACTGGCACCAACCTTTCAGATCTGCGTCGAACAATATGCACACTGCGAATACGACAATGGCTTCCTCATCTTCAACCGTCTAGGCGATGCACACGAAATATGGCGTCTCGCGCATCACATCCCCGAAGGCACCGTCTCGCCGAACTCGCCTCCCGACTTCCTCCAAGTACGCACCTATAGCTGGACATCCCGAAAATTCCGTACATGTCTCTCCACCTCTCCTCCCCCCGACAACAACACTGATCAGTCTAGCCATGGTTACGCATACCCCTCCGAACTCCAACGCAAATATCTAAGGGGACACTTCCGCCCCTGGGCCCTCTTCGAACACACCGAACCCACACGCGCGTTCCGATTCGTGTATCCGACACTATTAGTCGCGGGCGAGTCTTCGCTTTTCTTTTATGACGTTACGACGGGGGAGTTGAAGCAGACGATAAGTGATGCTGTGGATTCGAAGATAAGGTATGTGGAGCTGAGTGAGCGGCATGCGTTCGTGTGTACGGATGCGAGTTTGAGTGTGTTTGAGAGGACGGCGGCTGCGACGGAGACGGAGCGAGAAGGCGAGCGCGCGGTGAAGAGGGTATTGAGGTTGCAGGATTTTTCGGGTGTGGGGCCGATTTATAGGATTTTGTTACCGGAGATGCCGAGGATGGCGGAAGGCTGTATGTATGGTGGAGAAGGAGATGGTGAGGATGGTAGTGAGGCTCAGACTGTGGTAAACCCGAAGATGGCGATCGTACCACAGAAATTGGAGGGAATCTATGCGACTAACGTGATCACGCAGGAGGATGGGTATTATGCCGGTATGTACGCGTTTCTCCTCTCGCAGCAATCGGTGGGCATTAATACTGAACTCTCAATTGCGCCAAACGTCGTAGTTCACGTCTCCGAGGATGGTCGCGATTTAGTGACGGTGCGCTCGGGGGACATCATCATCCTGAAAGACTTCGAGCGCGTAGCGAGAGGCGAAGCCAGTCTTGCGGATGTAGCCCTGTTCCTCACTCTCGACGGGCCTCGCGCAATCAATTACCTCGCCTATGCACATGGCAAAATCGCCGTCGCGACCGTACGTCTCTCCACCCTCCTCTGTTTCTACAGCCTCATATATATCGCCATAGATTGAATTCTAATACTTTCGTCCACAGACAACAGGTTTCTACATCTTCTCTCTCGACGCCTCCTCGCACCACCTATCTCTCCCATCCACAACCTCCAACTCCACCCGTCACGCCCCCCTCCGAACACCCTTCGGCACAATCCCGCCAACGTTATCCTACCCACAGCTCATCATGTCCCGTGCCCTTCCAGTCGAGAACATATCGTCGCACGAACATTTCAGTTGTTTGCAGTTGACACGGACGGGGATGTATTTCACTTGGGATCCGTGGAGGGCGACGAACGAGGTGAAGAGTATGGTGTGGGAGGCGCAGGTTGAGGAGCAGGGTGTGAGGTTTAGGGTAAGGGCGCGATTGATGCGGTTGCGGCAGGAAAGACTGGAGAGGCTTGTTGCTGTTGGGGACAGGGAAGAGGAGAGTGTGATGGAGACGGAAACGGAGACGGATGATGAAGAGGAATCAAGATTGAAGGATGAGTTGGGGCTGGATGGGGAGGATGTTAGTGATGAGGCACGGATGGCGAGGGATGAGGAGATCATGGAGGATTCATTGATGAAGACGTTTCCGCATCTGCATTGGGCGCTTCCGGGTGAGTTTTCCTCTGATCATCTCGTACGAGTAGAGTTGGAGCCGGAGCTGACATGGACTTGTACGTGCGTGCGTGCGTGCGACGTAGGGAACTATCAGCCGAGTGTGGGTTGTATTGATTTGAGTGTTATGGATGTCCATGGAGTCTGAGGAAGTGAATAGTGGTCAAGCCTATCGTGTCATCGTGTTTTGTAGCTTCATGTCTTCTATCCAATCCTCCTCTCATGACTACCTCCAAGCCATATGCCTGCGCTAATTGCTATTCCAGGCCGATGTTACTGCCTATGAATGTGAAGTATGGTAGTCCCTATGTATGATATCAGCGCACGGTAGGAATAAGGAGCACAGTGCTTGTGGCTCCCATTAAGAAGAGCCTAACAGATGTAATTTTGGAGCAACGAATACATCCACCCTCAAAGGGGGCCCGTCTACCCCAAGAAATGATAGAATAGTCGTCTCGTATGGAACGATGGAGAGTGGTCGCTGGTGGAAAATAAAGAAGAGGAAAGAAAAGAAAAGAAGTCAAAATAAAGGGGCTACACATCATACCGCACTCCCTGGCGGGGAGTCGAACCCCGCTCTCGCGCGTGACAGGCGCGTGTACTAATCCGATATACTACCAGGGATTACAATTTGGTGAAAAACTAGTATATAGACAGTTATTGCGTGACTTGAACGTCTGTCTCTTAGCTACAACCGTTAACGATCTTCCCTCGACGCGCTCATCTCTGTCTACCATGAGCGGAAACGACCTCTTTTCTTTCCTCGACGAAGAAGACAACGATGACGAGCAGAACATCGTCGAAACCGAAGATGCTGCTCCCCCCAATTCACCCCCTTCCGCTGGACCAAGCGCAATGGACGTAGACGGCGCCACATCCACCTCTCCTTCCTCCAAAAAGCGTAAAGCCAACGCTTCACCGACTTCTCCTGCCTTTCCACCCACAAATGGCTCCACGAATAACGATAATGGGATGCATGAGGTCGCTATGGACGAGGAAGAAGATGCTGGTCCTTCGTCGTTGAAGAAACCTCGGATAGCGGAGCCGAGTCCGGTGCCGTTTGTTCAGCCGGTGGTGGTGGATGAGTTTGAGACCGAGGCGAAGAGGGAGGTGGCGGCTAGTGCTGGGTTGACTGGATCGACGGAGGCGGCAGGGTCGAGATTGGAGTTGAAGCATCAGGTATGTTTTACTCATGCTCAATTCACTTCTCGTTCTAGAGGGTGTCAGTGCAATTGGCTCGCCACTACTAGGATGGCACATGTTCATTGCTCTGAGGACGACGGGTTTTCTCTCGTGATATCTTGTGGTTATGCCAGACTATTGTGTCTCTTGAGAATAACCTAGAGGTGAAGTTTTGACAAGTGTGGCGCCCGAGGATAATGAGTGGCGCATTGAGGCATCCCATATTTTGGTTGGCGTGGTGGATGAAAACCCACTGGTCCACAGACTCGTACATCTTGATAGATTTCCAAATGCATTTCATATCCTTTCTCTCCACAACCTTCCTCAAAGCCAAGTACGCGTTGCTCATCTCTTATATGTACAGGTGCGACATCAAGTCGCCGTCCCACCAGGCTACAATTACATCCCAATCTCACAACACGTCCCACCCGCCAAACCCGCTCGCGAATACAAATTCACCCTCGACCCCTTCCAACAAGTTTCCGTCTACGCCATCCAACGAAACGAGAGCGTTCTTGTATCCGCACATACCTCGGCCGGTAAGACCGTGGTAGCAGAGTATGCAATCGCTCAGGCTTTGGCGAATAAGCAGCGGGTCATCTACACGAGTCCTATCAAGGTACGTTCTTCTCACCGTGAAGTACGGTGTGTCGTGTATGGCATGGTTGTGTGGTTGTGGCACTTTGGGTACGAGCGATACTCATGCTGACGGCAGGCTCTAAGTAATCAAAAATACCGAGAGATGGAGGCGGAGTTTGGCGATGTTGGACTTATGACTGGAGATGTCACTCGGAATCCGACAGCTTCGTGTTTGGTGATGACAACCGAGGTATTTCGTTCACTTTATCAAATCTGCGAATTTTCACTCAATACTTCATTTGCCTAGATTTTGCGTTCAATGCTTTACCGTGGTTCCGAAATCATGCGTGAAGTTGCCTGGGTCATATTCGACGAGATCCACTACATGCGCGACAAAGAACGTGGTGTCGTCTGGGAAGAGACCATTATCCTGCTTCCACACACCGTCCGCTACGTCTTCCTGTCCGCCACGATCCCGAACGCAATGCAGTTCTGCGAGTGGATCTGCAAGTCACACGAGCAGCCTTGTCACGTCGTGTATACCGACTTCCGTCCTACGCCACTGCAGCATTATCTCTTCCCGGCCGGTGGCGAAGGGATCTATCTGGTGCTGGATGAAAAGGGCGAGTTTAGGGAGGATATGTTCACGAAGGCGATGGGCATGCTTCAGGCGAGTAAGGGCGAGGATCCGGCAGACTCGAAAAGTGGCGCCGGACGGAAGGGCAAGTCAAAGAAGGGCGGAGACAAGAAAGGTATGTGCTTCATTGACTCCTTTAGCCCTCAGATCGTCAACTAAGCAATACACTTGAAAGGCCCCTCGGACATTTCCAAAATCATTCGCATGATCATGCTCAAGAACTACAACCCTGTCATCGTCTTCGCCTTCAGCAAACGCGAATGCGAAGCCCTCGCCCTCCAACTCTCCAAGTTCGAATTCAACTCCGCAGACGAACAGCTCACTGTCTCCAAAATCTTCGAAAACGCGATAGCATCGCTCTCCCCGGATGACCGGACCCTCCCACAGATCGCGAACATCCTCCCGCTCCTCAAGCGTGGCATCGGCATCCATCACGGCGGGCTGCTCCCCATCCTCAAAGAAGTCATCGAAATTCTCTTCCAAGAAGGTCTCATCAAAACCCTCTTCGCTACCGAGACGTTCTCCATCGGTCTGAACATGCCGGCCAAGACCGTCGTCTTCACCGCAGCGAGGAAGTTTGACGGGAGAGAGTTCAGGGATCTTTCTAGTGGTGAGTATATTCAGATGTCTGGGCGAGCGGGAAGGAGAGGGTTGGATGATAGGGGAGTTGTGATCATGATGTGCGATGAGAAGTTGGAGCCTCCAGCGGCGAAGAATATGATCAAGGGAGAGGCGGACAGATTGGATTCGGCATTCCATTTGGGGTATAATATGGTGTTGAATTTGATGAAGATCGAGGTCATCAGCCCGGAGTATATGCTTGAGAGGTGTTTTTTCCAGTTTCAGAGCAGCGCCGGCGTGCCGATGCTCGAGGATGGTAAGCACTTTTGCCTTCCCTTCTTCTTTGGCGGGATGCAGACTACGACACTAACTGTGATTTTATGATGATATGATGATGTAGAGTTGAAGAAGGAGGAAGAAAAGAAGTCGAGCATGGTCATTCAGGACGAGGATCGCGTTGCAGAGTACTACGAGTTCCGACAACAGCTCGAGCAGATGAACGCAGACTTCCGAGATGTCATCACACACCCGAACTACAGCCTCCCCTTCCTCCAACCCGGCCGACTCGTCAAAGTCAAGCACAAAGAGCTCGACTTTGGATGGGGTGTAATTCTCAACTATTCAAAGCGGCTGCCTGGCAAGGTTCGTATCCTTCCTATGCACTCGTTGGGACCCTGTAGCATGACTGACTGGCGTTCCCCTCCTCCTCAATAACAACAGAACCGGCCAATGCCCAAAGCAGAGGAACTCCCACCACACGAACAATACATCCTCGACGTTCTCCTTAATTGCGTCAAAGGCTCCGTCGTCCCCAAAGACCGCAACAACATGACGGCCACGCCCGGCGGCATCCAGCCATGGACTCCCGGCTGCGGACTGAAATCCGAACCGCTCGTCGTTCCCGTGCTATTGTCGACGATCGAGGGTATCAGCCATTTGAGGATATTCTTGCCGAAGGACTTGAGGAATCTACAGTCGAGGGAGACGGTGTGGAAGAGCGTGCAGGAGGTGCATAGGAGGTGTCCGGATGGGATCGCGTTGTTGGATCCGATCGAGAATATGGGCATTACAGACGATAAGTTCAAGGCACTTGTCAAGGTTCGTTCCTCCGTACCCTCTTTCCTCCGTACCCTCTTTCCGAGTCTGGTCAAATTGCGCATCTGATCTCGGTGATGGTCTTCAGAAAATCCAAACAATGGAACAAAAGATGTTCGCCTCCCCTCTCCACAAAGATCCCCGACTCCCCGAACTCTACTCGCAATACACACTAAAAAAGGAGTCCCAAGAACGTGCCCGCGCGCTGAAGAAGCGTATTCAGGCTACGAACGACGTCCTGCAGATGGAAGAACTCAAGTCACGGAAACGCGTCCTTCGACGTCTGGGATTCACTACCGCGGACGATATCGTGGATATGAAGGGCAGGGTGGCTTGTGAGATTAGTACGGGTGACGAGTTGTTGCTAACAGAGTTGATCTTCAACGGGGCGTTCAATCCGCTTACGCCGGAGCAGTGTGCGGGGTTGTTGAGTTGTTTCGTGTTCACTGAGAAGGTATGCCTTCACACTCATATTCAGCTGTTAGTGTACCTCAATACTTATGCGATGTGGTGTGGTGCGTTCGTTGCAGAGCGAGCAGGTGACGAAGTTGAAGGAGGAGCTGGCGGCGCCGTTACGCGTTATGCAGGAGATAGCACGTCGGATAGCAAAGGTCTCCCGTGAATCGAAGTTGCCACTCGTCGAAGAGGAGTATGTGCAGTCATTCAAGGTCGAGCTCATGGACGCGGTCGTCCAATGGTGCCGTGGCGCCTCGTTCTCCGACATCTGCAAGGTACGTTCAGAACCTTTCCTCATTTCCCTCTTTATACCTACTTCGTTCCATTTTACTGACGACGTTTTTACCGCCATATAGCTCACCGACCAGTTCGAAGGCAGTCTCATCCGCGTCTTCCGCAGGTTGCAAGAACTCATCCGCCAGATGTGCTCGGCGGCCAAAGTCATCGGCAATACCGAGCTGGAGCAAAAGTTCACAAAGGCGTCGGAGATGCTGGAGAGGCCTAATTCGGTCATTTTTTGCTCGTCACTGTATCTGTAGGCCGTTGAGCTTCTTGTTTCTCTCCTCCTTTGTATTCTGTTTTTCTGCCAGTTTTAGTCCGTACGCTTATTGGTTTTTGATGGGCAAGTCTGGTATGCATGATCAGCTCCGTGGAGCTCAATGGCCAGTGCATTGCCTGTAGCGATGCCGCAATATTCCTCGTCCTCAGACAGCGCGAGCTTGGAAAACTAAAGATGAGCGCAGCGGGAATGTCACTGATTCAATTGTATTCTTCAGCCACATCGCCAAAACTGAGCGTATATGAAGGCAGGATGATTGTCTACGGGTCGTTGGACGTTTTTCGGGCGTTGTGGTAGGATTCAGAAACATGTACAAATCAACCGTCGATCTTAACCCGAGTTCAACAGAGGGAAAGAAGCCTCATACGGTGCTTTGTGAAACTACACCACCTCACTGTCGAACTTCACACATCTTCCATCTCATATTATCAAACCTAGACTGCATTGAATGATCATGGGGCATGTTCATACTAAACATGTGAAAGGCGTGCGATATGCGGGAGGGCGAGTAGGCAGAGAAAAGATACACAGCAAACCGAGCAGAGAAAAACAGAGAAATACACTGAAACGGAAGTTATTTAGACGACCGTGCCGGCGTTGGAGGCAATACGCGGCCAAAGGTCAGCCTACATCATAAAACAGCAGCACACAATATATAAGCGACGAGCACTTTGATCACTGAGAAGAAAAGTGACGTACGCATTCTTTTGCGACTGGGCCTGTGATAGCGGATCCCTTCATCTCACCCTTTGGGTTGACGATAACACCAGCGTTGTCCTGAATGCAGAGACATGTTAAGAGACTTGAACAAAGCGTTACGGGACAAATGAAACTGACTTCGAAGTAGAGGAAGAGACCATCCTTGCGGCGCCACGATTTGCGTTGACGAATGACGATGGCGGGCATGGCTAAAAGAATCACAAATCTCCGTTAGCAACATCCTTAATGCCCCAACCACTATTCCCACAATCCTCTTTCTATAATCTCCTGCCGTCTAGCATCCAGTTCGCCCAACCCACAAAAACCACAGAGAAAGCAAAGAAAAGGGACTCACTCTTCTTCCTGAGCTCAGGCTTTCCCTTCTTCACTGAAGCAACGACCATATCACCAACACCGGCATCTGGAAGCCTGTTGAGATGGGAGCCGAAACCGAAGGGCTCGATGATGAAAAGCGACTTGGCGCCACTGTTGTCCGCGCAATTGAGGACGGCACCCGTGGGCAAACCCAGGGTGAGCCTGAATTTGTTACCCGAGGCACCACCACCTAGTAAGGCCAATCCCATCCCGACCCAAAGAAATTTCAATCCAGCGAGACCACCAGGAATCGACCGACAGGAAGACAGCAAAACAAACGAATAAGCAGTCAGATATAGATCCAGACATCGAGAACTTGAAATGAAAGATGCGCACCTCGCTGTGCTGCCATTTTGTGTTGTCTTGAGGGTCCTGTAGAATCGCCACCACGACGAAGAGGTTTCCAGCAGCGCAGGCCTCCGTGGGAACGAGCTGTACAGTTCACCGGCACTCACCGGAATGTGGCGCCGCCCATGTTCGGATCTTCTCGGGTGGCCCAAGATACTTCAGTTTCTGTCTCTCCTCTTTCGCCCATCGGTTGGCAACGGTGGCTATTTTATGAGGAAGACTCTTGATCCTCTTGCATAAAAAACAGTCTTTGAGCTTGCAATAATGCCATATGCACTCTCATGCATAACTAGTTCATGTTGCTCACTGCCGGTCTCTCCGCAGCGTTCAATTACTCGAAAGACTATCGTTGTGAAGCTATTACACGCTCCTGATCATTTCCTTTGTGTTATCTGAGTTCGCCTTGAACTGCACCGAATTAACCTTGATGAATCAAAGCTGGGATCTTTATAGTGGCCCAAGCCTGCCCAAGCCCCTATTTCGTTGCCACGGCCGCACATGGCTGGGAGTAGACAGGAAGATTATACTCCCCGCATCGATAACACCGTTGGGCTTTGCTGCGCTCCTTCCCCGTTCTTTTTCCTTAGATGGCCCTGTTGGGCCACTTTCCATACTTGATATCTGGTCATGAGGAGTGGGCGCCATTCGTCAATTGGGGATATAGTTCTTCAACTGATACATGGTGAGGAATGGCGAACAGCAGGTTATGATCACCAAGTGGAGGGTTATGACACGATGATTGAACCTACCACGGCTATGTCATTTGCCGGCTTTGACGTTCTGCATATACTGTTCCTGAGGCTGCTAGCGCTAAGTGCACCACCATCTCGCCCAGGCCGATCGCATTTTTCCCTCGCCCGACGCCTATAAAAGCTTCGCTAACATCTGATCAGAATGAGTTCACATCATCCCAATTGACTGTTCACGAGATTCACCGCGACCTCCCATCCCCCACTAAGTACCGACTTACATACAACGATGGCACCAGTCACCAACGCTCGCCACATCTTCCGGGAGATACCAGAGGGTAAGTCTCCTCGCCCTTGTCTATCATTGAGACCCATGCTAAAGCATAGCTATTTCAGGTGTACCGGTCCCAGGGAAGAACTTAGTTCATGATACGTCCGAGACGATCGACCTGGACAGCGTCCCCTTGAAAGGTGGTATTCTGGTCAAGACTCTCGTCCTCTCCATTGATCCGTTCCAAAGGAGCCGGCTCCGCGAGGAACACATCAAGGGCTACGTCGTGTGTATCCTCCTGCGCTCTCTGCCTAATGGATCTGACACGTTTGTCTTGTGCGCGTACAGCCCGCATTCAAGATTGGACAACCGTAAGGGCTCAGTAGGCCTGGTTTTGCATGACCTTTTACTGACTTTTGATCTTGTCTCAACAAGAATATGGAACATCGGAATTGCGAAGGTTGTTCGCTCCGAACACGCAGACTACAAGGCCGGAGACTATGTGTACAACTGGGAAGTCCGTGCGTACCGTTCTACTACCGTCTGCCTCCTCACGCCTGTCGCCATTCTTTTTTCGCTGGTCTGATGGATTTATTTACAGCCTTCGCCGAGTACGGAGTCTATACTGAGATTCCAACGGGGATGAGGAAGCTTGAGTCGAACGAGGGAATCTCGTGGCCGGCGTGGACGGGTGTTCTGGGTATGCCTGGACAGACGGCATACATGGGATGGAAGGAGTACGGAAAGCCCAAGAAGGTACGTTCCAACCTCGTTGTTTCCCCTTGTACTTACAAGACTGATATTGCAATCTCTTTCGTTGTGGTGTTTCATTTGACAGGGAGACACGGTGTTCGTTACTGCGGCCTCTGGACGTACGTCTTTGTCAAGGCCGATCTCTCCTTTTTTTGACGTGAACTGACGTTGACCTTGAAATGAGCAGCTGTCGGTAGCGTAGTCGTCCAGCTCGCCAAACTGGAAGGCTGTAAGGTCATTGCGTCCGCCGGGAGCGATGCCAAATGTGACGACGTCCGTGCTATGGGCGCAGATGTCGTGTTTAACTACAAGACGGAGAGCACGAAGGAAGTACTGCAGCGTGAGGGACCTCTTGATATGTGCGCATTTCATGTGGTTTAGTTGTTAGGGAAAGCTGGCTGACTTGTGTTTTGTTGCAGATACTGGGACAACGTCAGTGTTCTATTATTCGGTTTAGCCCATTCCAATGTGGCCCAAGGGGCAGAATAATCAACTGACCGTCTACGGATACAATTTTCGTATAGGTCGGCGGCGAGACGTTGGATGAAGCATTCATTGCGATGAGGGAACATGGTCGTATCATCGTACGCCCCTTTTCAGCCTGATGATACTTCATCTACCTGACTCTTCCTCCAACAGCAATGTGGGACTATCACTACCTACAACGACCCGAGCGGTAGCGGACCCAATGCCTACGGCCTGAAGGTCAGTCTCACTTTTTTTGTACCCCCTTCATATTTCAATATTATCTCTTCATCAATCCGCGCGTTCATCCGATGGCTAACGTCCATTTGCATAGAACTACTCCGCCTTCTTCCAGAAAGAGCTTTCCATGTTCGGTTTCCTCATCCCCACACTTTACCCCAAGTACGCCGAGAGCTTCTTCGCCGACATGGTCCCGCTCGTGAAAGAGGGTAAGATGTGGCATAAGGAGGACGTGACGAAGGGGTTGGAGAACGCTTGCCAGGCGTTGGTGGATGTGTTGAGCGGGAAGAACCATGGAAAGAAGGTCATTCTTGTAGCTGAGGATTAATATTGAGTTGTATGATATGCATTGGGCGGTATATAAAGTGTAATGTGGTTAAGTTAGCTGCGTTTTATCCTGCCAGAGGCGAACTTGCGAGATGGACACGGCTGAGCAAACAGGAACAAACACAACTCATGTCGGCCGACCGCCGCACCTAACCTTACTCCAGGGTTGAACCACATCCCTCTTGATCATGACCCATGAGGACCCTGGCCACATTCTGGATGGTCCTCTTCGACAACCACAAGTCTAGTCTCCATATCACGATACTGGCTCTCTCGAACTGAACGTCCTCGGCGCATCTCCACCGCGGCTGAGTCATCTCGGCGACATCTGCCGTTCAACTTGTCATATTCGTGCTTGTTCTCGTCTTGCATCGGAGGGTGAACGGCGTTGAGAACGTCCCAAAACACGCAGATGCGCTTCGGCAGCTCTGCGGCAGAGGTCTTTACGGCTAGCTGAGCCCTGGGTCCGTGCGTAGCTTACTTACAGGGTTCTGGGTCGTCAGCTTCCTACGGGTAGCCAACGGGCAGTCACCCTGTGGCGCCTAACCTCGTACGTTACATATAAAGCTGGTTCTCTGCAGGCCGACTATGACTCCGCTTCCTGCCCCTTCAACTCTCTCAGCTTCTCCTTCGCTCTAGTGCAGTACGACTTATGCACTTCCAGACCTCACTCCACCTCATAACTAAAACCAAAATGTCCTCATCTGGCACACAGTCGGCAACCTCGAGCTCCTCAGAGCTCTCCCTCCACCGCTGCCACTCTAGCTCGTCTTCCCACTCTTCTTACTCATCTAATCGCTCTCAGACATCGACGTCGTCTTCTGCCTCTGGACACCACATCAACCTCAACCTCAAACAAAAATTACACTCTTGGTTCCGGTCCACTCCTCGAACCAAAGTGCCCAAGATCGTCATTCACCCACCGGACGAACACGACGTATTCGTCAAGCCTTCGATACCGAGGCAGGATTGGCGACCTTCTGATGATGAACAGACATTGAGCTTTGGTGTTCCGGAGCGGGACGGGAGGGGTAGATTGTTTGGGTCTGATGAGGGGGTTTGGTTTCCGAATGGGCTATGAAGCTGTGCGGAGTCTCTGCCCGTGGAAGTGGGAGGGTAGGAATCGCTGGGGGAGCGATAGAAGTTGATGTGATCGCTAGTAAGCTTCATTGTTTATGGATGCTTTCTCCGTCCTCCCTATCCATTACATCCCCGTTCTTTTGTCCTGTTTCATTCATCCGGTAGAGAGACATGACTGATGGTTGAACCTACCTGCACGTTAACGAGACAGATTTATTCCCTCCAACGTCTAGAACACGACCGCACCTTGCGTCATCAAAATGCACTCGCTCTTCAACACAATCATACCCGCCCATCGCGTCACCGCCGCATGCCTCTATAAACATCTAGACATAGACACGGGCATCGGCCGCTCTCGCGTTCGCATCTTACATATAAACTCAAAGCTCGACAAATCATCCGCCTCTCCATCTCTTTGACACTTATCACAAGCATGAATACAAAACGACGACAGTAACACCAAATACCCACGACTTCATGACCACCAGGGTTACTCCACCCGGGTATCTTAATTCGGCTGTCATTTACGCATATCTATCTATCTGGAAGGAGAGGGATTTGGTTACTAGAGTCGAGTTGCGTGGGACGGAAATGATGCTGTACACCGTCTGCATAGGTTTCTCTTTACTAGAATTTTTAATTAGATTAGCTTGTATAAAAATACATTGTACTTCTATCTCCACTCATGCCTGCCTCGTCTGCATCTCGACGAGCGTGACTCGAATCCATGGCATAAACGCGGTGTCACAGCGTGACAGATTGGCTCTTGAGAGGAACACGCGTTGGTTGAGTTGAACGTCGACTCAGTCTCAGACGGCTTGGAAGGGCGCTGCCCTCGTCCACTTCAGACATCTCTTCTGTACTTCACGACAAACGAACATCAACGATCTGTACGACCCACCCTTGTATCGCTGTATTTTTCTTTGCAACCTTGTCGTCACACATACCTCGTGCTCCGATACTTGTCTGATTCTGTCTGATTACTATTCTGGGCGGTGTTGAGTCCTGTCCTGTGGCTCAGCTTTACCGTCCTGCGAACCTACATACCTTGGCTTTTCCTCCCGTTGCTGCTGGATAAACCGCCATGCCAGCACCACGGTTATCACATAACGCAGAGACGGCGCGTGTGGCCGCTCTCCAGGCCGAGTTCAATGAGAAGAAATGGGTGTGGGTGCCCGATGAGAAGGAGGGCTACCTCGCCGGCTGGGTGCTGAAGGAGGAGGACGAATTCGGCGAGGTCATGATGAACTCTGGGGGAGAGGTGCGCCTTCTCTTTGTCTGATTGTTCAGAGAAGGCTGAGAGACTGAGTATGGACATTGTTTGTAGGTCCGGAGGTTACCACTCTATGCTCTCTCGAAGATGAACCCACCCAAGTTCGATCGCGTCGAGGATATTGCAGATCTCACATTTCTCAACGAAGCCAGCGTAGTCCACAACCTCAGACTACGCTACGGCTCCGGAAATATCTATGTGCGTATCACCTCTCTACGCTATCTCGATACAACTCACCAACGATAGTGCCACACCCACAGACTTACTCAGGCCTGTTCCTAGTCGCCATAAACCCCTACCAGTCCCTCCAACTTTACACAGACTCCATCGTCCAATCATACCGCGGAAAACGTCGGGACGAGAACCCACCACACATCTTCGCCATCGCCGAACGCGCATGGGTCAACATGGGCGACGAACGCGAGAACCAATCCATCCTCATCACCGGCGAATCTGGCGCCGGCAAGACAGAATCGACGAAGAAAGTCATCCAATATCTCGCCGCCATCGCCACCGACACGCACCTCCCCTCACACAACACCGGCAGCACCGTCACCGCGCATTCGACGGGCGGCGGACACGGCCATTCGCAGAGCATGTCGCATTCGTCGTCTGCTGGCTCGATATTTGGGACTGGGGTGGCTGGAGCGGTCATGCCGTCGACGGGGATGCCGAGGTTGAATTCGGGGAGGAGTCATAAGCCACACCAATCCATGTCGGTTTCTGGGTCCGGTTCCAATTCTAATATCAAGTCCAAGTCCCGCCTCGGGCTCCTCGAACGACAGATTCTGCAGGCGAATCCCATTCTTGAAGCGTTCGGCAACGCGCAGACGCAGCGGAATAATAATTCGAGTCGGTTCGGAAAGTTCGTGAGGATCAGTTTCGCGCCAGACGGGAGCATCGCGGGCGCGAATATCGATTGGTATTTGTTGGAGAAGAGTAGGGTTGTGATTAGGAGTGAGGCGGAGAGGAGTTTTCATGTGTTTTATCAACTCATTGCGGGTGGTGGGGCTATCAAAGGTGCGTATTGCTAGTACGAGTGGGGATGTGATGCTGACCGGGAGGGGTAGATACACTGCTTCTTGACGGTGGTGTTGAGGACTACGAATATCTCAATAAGAGCCGTCGCGAAGTCGATGGTATCGACGACTACGAAGAATGGAATGCTCTCAAGGTCTCCCGCTCTCCTTCGTACCAATCAATTCTATTGTTAATATTACCCCCCTTTCCCTTGGTTTTTCATATTATTATAGTCCGCCCTCGAAACCGTCGGCTTTTCTGCATCCGAACAAATGGACCTCTTCCGCATCGTCGCCGCCATCCTCCACCTCGGCAACATCACCATCACCGCCAGCCGCAACGACGACGCCACCATGCCCACCCCCTCCCAATCCGAACGCGCCTGTCACCTCCTCGGCATCCCCCCCTCCGAATTCACTCGCGCCCTCCTCCGCCCCCGCGTCCTCGCCGGCCGCGAATGGGTCACCCAAGCCCGCACGCGCCAACAGGCGCTCGAAGAGCTCGGCGCGCTCTGCAAGACGCTGTACGAGAAATCGTTCGGCAGTCTCGTGGAGAGGATCAATAGGGCGCTGGATCGGCCGAGCAGCAAGAGCACGTTCATTGGCGTGTTGGATATCGCGGGGTTCGAGATTTTTGAGGTGAATGCGTACGAGCAGTTGTTGATCAATTATACGAACGAGAAGCTGCAGCAGTTTTTCAATCATCATATGTTCGTGTTGGAGCAGGAGGAGTATGCGAGGGAGGGGATCGAGTGGGATTATGTGAACTTTGGGCTGGATCTGCAGCCGACTATTGACCTCATTGAGGGAGGAACGAATAGTGGTGGAGGAGGGGGGCAGCAGGGTGCAATTGGCGTGTTGAGTCTGCTGGACGAGGAGTGCATCATGCCGAAGGCGACGGATCTGACGTTCACGAACAAGTTGCACCAGCTGTGGAGTGGGGACGCCCAGCTCGGGATCGGGGAGGAGCCGCATCCTGGACGGGAGAAGTACGAGCCTTCGAGATTTGACCAAGGGTTCATCGTGCACCACTACGCGGGCAAGGTCGAGTACCGCACGGACGGATGGCTAGACAAGAACAAAGACCCGCTGAACGACAACCTCACGCGCGTCCTCGCCTCGTCCTCCGAACGCTACGTCGCCTCCCTCTTCTCTGACTTCCTCGTCGACGCCAACGGTCCTGGAGCGCAGAACGGTCTTCCCAATATGTTTACGATGGGCAAGAAGAAGCGCACGCTGAAGAAGGGCGCGTTCCGGACGGTCGGACAGAGGCATAAGGAGCAGCTCTCATCCCTTATGGCGCAGCTCTATGCGACGCAGCCCCATTTCGTGAGGTGCATCGTCCCGAATGGTATGAAGAAACCGGGGAGGATAGACGTCCCGCTCGTGCTCGACCAGCTCCGCTGTAACGGTGTCCTCGAAGGCATCCGCATCGCCCGTCTCGGCTACCCCAATCGTCTCCCGTTCCCGGAATTCAGACAGCGCTACGAGGTCCTCACGCCCGGGATCATTCCCCGGGGATACATGGACGGCCGGAAAGCGTGCCTCCGGATGGTAGGCGGGCTCGAGCTCGATACGTCCATTTTCAGGATCGGGACGAGTAAGATCTTCTTTAAGGCGGGGGTGTTGGCGGAGCTGGAGGAGAGGAGGGACGGGTTGCTGGCGGATGTGTTTGGGAGGATACAGGCGTGTGCGAGGATGTGGGTCGCGAGGAGGCAGATGAAGAAGATATTGAATCGGGCGGTGGCGATTAGGACTATTCAGAGGAATGCGAGGATTTATACGGAGTTGAGGGAGTGGCCTTGGTGGCAGCTTTATACCAAGGTAAATCTTACCCTCCCTCCATCTCTCTCTACCTCTCCCAATTCCCTTGCTATCAGAAACTAACTGGGGTCTTTTTTATTGCATTTGCTATGTTGATGTTAGGTCCGCCCATTACTCGCAGCGACCCGGAACGACGACGAGCTGCGAAAGAAGGAGCAGGAGCTGGCGTTGATGAAAGAACGCGCGGAACGGGACGTGAAAGAGAAAGAAGCGCTCGAATCGCTCAAGATGCGTCTCGAATCTGAGAAACGCAAAGTCGAGGACCTGCTCTCGGCCGAGCGCGACCTCGGACTATCGAAAGACGCGCTGCTGGAGCGCTCCAAGAACCGCGAACTCGAGCTGAACGAGGAAGTCGCCGCGCTGCAGAACGACCTCGATAACCTCGACTCGCAGCTGGATCGGGTGATGAAGATACATAAGGAGAGCGAGGAGAAGCATAGGGCGTTGCAGGAGGCGTTCGAGGAGGCGGCGGAGCATTTGGTGAGGCTTGAGGAAGAGCAGAAGGACTGGGAGGGGAGGGAGGAAGAAATCGGAGGGCTATTGAGGGATGCGAGGGAAGAGGTAGATGGGTTGAGGGGGGAGAGGGAGAGGTTGGTGAAGGAGGGGGAGGAGTTGAGGGCGTTGGTGGAGCAGAAGGAGGAGGATCTGGCGAGAGCGAAAGAGAGGATGGAGATGGCGATTTCGGATTTGGACTCGAAGCTCACCGTCGAGACGCGCAACCGGTAGGTTTCTTTCATTAACTGATATACACACACGGTACTGATGCATGGGGCTGCAGGGACCTTGTCAAGGATCGTGCGGATGCGTCCGAGCAAGACGCCCGACAGGCCAAAGAGCAGCTCGCTGAAATGGGCCGAACCGCGACGGAGTACTCCAACATGATTAAGCGGAAGGAAGGCGACGTCGCTCGTCTGACGGCCGATTTGGACGCCTTGAAGACAGAACGCAGCCAGTCCTCAAAGGAAATGATCGCCCTTCAGGTCAAAGTGGAAACCCTCACCGCCGAGATTCAAGCCCGCCGCGACGACAAAGAACGTGACGCTTCCACACAAGCCAAGCTTCACGAGGAACTGGATGAACTCCGAGCACTCATGGAAGCGAAGTCCAGCGAAGACGAACGCAGGAGCGAAGTCGAGAAACGCAAGGACGAAGAGCTCGTCGATCTTCGTGCTCAGACGTCCAGTCTCCAACAGGACCTCAGCGATCTCCGCAGGTCGACACTCGAGGCTCAGAACAAGATGAGAGTCGAGTTGGAGACTTCGACCAAGGAGCATCAATCGCTCTTGCACAGCCATCGTTCGTTGTCGGATAGGATGTTAGCGACGGAGTCCAAGTCCAAGAAGGCGGAGGCGAGCTTGCAGGAGGCGGAGAAGGCGAAGAGGGCGTTGGAGTCCGAGTTGCAGTCGTTGAGGACAAGGCAGATCGACCTTGATGGGGAGCTTGCGGAGACACAGCGTGCAAAAGAGGTTCGTATTTATCTATCATCAAAACATCTTCATGTCCGCAACTAAATCTTCAATACTTGTCCGTATACAGAGCCTTGAACGCCAGCTCGCATCGGCCCAGACGAAGTACCAAGACTTCGAAGATGCAGCTCTTCAACTCGAGCGGGAGAAGAACGCTCAAGACCGTCAACTCGAGACTCTCAAGAAGCAGCTCGAAGCGGAAACCACGAAACGGTCTCAGCTCGAGAAGATCGCGTCCGGTCAGAAGCAGGAGATCATACAGTTGAAAGACAGGAACGTCAAATTTGATCGTGAGCTCAACAAAGTCCTTACCGATCTCAAGAACCGCGAATGGGACGTCAAGCAACTCGAGTCAAGGCAGGACAAGACCATCGTAGAGCATGTCCACGTCCTAGAAGAAGCCAAGCGGGTGACGGATCGTCAGCTCCAGGAGGCTCAGTTGGATTTGCAGAAGCAGGCCACGTATATCCGATCTTTGGAAAAAGCAAAGGCTCGTCTAGCGACTGAGGCGGAGGATTACGCGAGGCAGACTGACCAGGAACACCTCGAGGTTCGGGCGAAAGAGAAGGTGGTGAGGGCCGCAGAGGAGAAAGCGAATCGGGCGATGATGGAGGCTGAGAACGAGAGGAAGGGAAGGGAGGCGGCTGAGGTGCACATCCGGAGACTGCAGTCTGATCTACAGAACACGCAGAGTCAGATCGCGGACGTCACGCAACAGTTCATGTCGATACAACGGTCAAAGGATAACCTCGAGACCGAGCTCGCACGCCTCGCTGACGAGACGGAAGGGCCGAATTCCATGGCGAAGGTTCAGAGGCAGTACGAGTCGAGGATATCTCAGTTGGAAGGTCAGCTCGAGGAGGCGCAGATGAACACAGTTACCGCACAACGGATCCGCGACCACGTCGATCGCCAGCATGCTGAGATTCGGAGACTTCTCACGAGTGGTGCTCCGAACGACGATGATTTCCGATCACGTCTACTCCGAGAACTTCAGCTCGCGGACGAGGAGATGGAGAGGGAACTCTCTTCCCGCCTCCGACCGTCTCACACCGGCTCTGACGCTCGCACGATGGCCAACGTGACCCCGTCGAAACGCGCATCCTTTGGATCCAATGGGGCTCTTCGTCAAGCCCGCGAATCCCTTGGTTCTTCGTCTCCCAGGAAGTCCGACGCTCAGGTCACTGCCCTCAAGCAGCAAGTCCAGGTCTTGGAGCTTAAGATGGCTGCCACGGACCGCGTGCGCCAACATCTCGAAACTTCGTTGAGGGACTTGACCGCAGAGCTGGAGAATAGCGATGGATCGAAGCATTCGCTCGAGCAGTACCGCAAAAAGTTATCCAAGGAAAATGGACGACTGGCGGAGTTGCTCGAGGATGAGGCGGAGGCCAGACGGCATGCGGAGGCCGCAAAGCTTGATGGTATTCAACAGATGTGGAACAAGTTCCAGGATACTATTGCTTCTGAGAGGGAAAGTTATTCGCGTTTGGAGGAGTCACGGAAGGCCTTGGTGTGTGTATTCGTTTGGTTTCCTTGTGTTCGGTTGCTTACTGTGAGTTTGCAAATTCAGATCGTCCAGCAGCGCAACACGCAAGTCGAGCTCGAAGACCAACGTCGGCAAGCTCAAGAAATTGCTCAGTCTAAGAAACAGCTTCAAGCCGAGATTGAGGACCTCAAGGATCGTCTCGAGGCCGAGACCTTAGCAAAGAACGAAGAGACCAGTGCGTATATTGTCATATCTTCATCGATCGGTCAGGTTTTGAATGCTATCAAAGGTTCTAGGCGACAACTGCAAGCCCGTTTGCAAGAGGTGGAGATCACCTCCTCATCGTCTTCCACGGTGCTTTCAGGTAAGATTTTGTCGGGCCTACTGCACGCCGTCAGTCGTCTGACTTCCGCCTCCAGAGCTGCGTGAGGCTGTTGAAACGTTCAAGTCAAAGGCTGAGTCCTACCGTAGCCGATTGGAGGCTGCTGAGATCGAGAAAGTGAAGGTTGCTCGTGCTGAGTCCTCTGGTACGATCATATCATTCCTGACACATGAAACTGTCTGACACACCCTTTGTAGTTCGCCGCAAGCTTGACGAGACCGAGAAAGTCGCTCAAGATGCTATTGCAGAACGCAATGCCATCGAACAAGGGCTTCGAGAGGCTCAGCAGAGGATTCAGGAGCTTGAATCACGTCTCGACGAGGAGTCGCGTGAGTCTTCTGATATGGGTGTCCTTCGCCAGAGACTCTCGGAAGAGATGGAGGATGAGCGCAAGCAGTACCAGAAGGATCTTGCAGACCGCGATTTCAGCGCAGATCAGACGCGAAAAAAGTATTTTGGTGAGTATCTGATATGCGTATCAATCATCGCAGTTCCCGAAGCTAACTGTGGACTCCTTAGCTGAACTCGCAAGCTTGAGCGATGGTGAGCTTCTTCCGACAGTTTCCTGAGATAGTGTGGGGTCTGACAGCCTATGTAGAACTCCAGAGTCAGCGCGATAACATGAGCAAGCTTCGCGAGGAACTTCGCAAAGCTCGCTCGGAGTACGACGAACTCCAGCTCCGGTTCGATGACGAGGTCTACAGCGGTGGCGCCTGGAAGAAGGAGAAGGAGCGTCTCGAGACTAAGATCAGCGACATCAGCAAAGCTTACGAGACCTCTGCCGCCGCTCAGGCTGAACAACAGTCTCAAATCGTTGCCCTTCACTCTCAAGTCCGCGAGCTTCGTAGCGTGCTCAACGATGCAGAGGCAGACCGTGCTCTACTCCAGAAGGCCAGGCGCTCTCTACAAGCCGAGTTGGAAACCATCAAGCTCGACCATGTCGACGCTAACAAGATGAGCTCAGACCGGGAGCTGCAAACCCTTCAGCTGAAGAAGCAGGACCTGGAACGAGCGTTGGAAGAGCAGGCTGACAGAGTGGAGATGGCGTATGATAGGATGAAGAAGGCGGAAGGCCATGCTCAAGAGTGTCAAATGGAGCTTGGCAAGATCCGTGTGGAGAATTCAGAGATGGACAAACTCAATGTGAGTGATTTCCAATTCATTAAGTTCGCTCAGAATGCTAATAGTCTTTGACAGGCTACGTTGGAGAAGCAGGTCAAAGAGCTCAACCTCCGTATCGTGGATCTCGAGACCAAGTCCTATTCCCGCATACAGCCATCTACTTCGTCATCTGCTGCGACCGTGCGCAGGCTTGAAAGCCGCGTTGAAGAACTCACGAACCAGCTCAGTCAGGCTACCAGGGAACGGCATACTGCTTCAGTTTCTCGGGATAGGGATGCGACGTTCAAGTTGGCAGAGACTGAGAGGCAGAAGGTTCGGCTGGAGGAAGAGGTGCGATCGTACGAGGAGAAGATCAACAACATGAGGAAGCTCGTGAATGACATGGTACGTCTTCCGTTAGTGTTGGAACGCTCGTCGCTAATCTTTGTCGTTGTAGCAAACGACCGAAGGGGAGCTTCAGTTGGCAAAGAGGCGAGCCGAACGCGAAGCAGCTGACTTGAGGCAAAAGTCCTTGAAGTGAGCCGTCCCTTTTCCTCCCAATTTAAACACGATCTGATATCGTTCTACGAATCGAACAGTCTCGAGCGTCAGGTAGAAAGACTGAGGGCCCGACTGGATCGGCCACCATCTGCGCTTGATCGGGATTCGCCTTTGGCCTCACCACGAAAGTTTAATTCATAGAACCGGTTTCTAACATGGACATTCTGATTTCACGCACGCAATTGTATGTTATGGACTGACACACCGTATTTCCGTTTTTTTTTCTCGATCTCTTCTCTCTGTTTCACCATCTCTGTCTGCCGGTACTGTCTGTATTTTATGACGACTCGTTATGACCGCATTGTCACGATTTATCTTTGCTTCAACCTGGCTGCACCACATCGCGATAGTGTAGTGGGTACCGAAGTACACGAAAGGATTGGAGGAATATCCTGGTGTCGCGAGTCACCATCTTCACCATGCGTCGCAAAACGCGAATCGCGCAAACTGGATATCACAATCCACCCACACAATGATGATGATGTGCTTTTGGATGTTTCTCTCCACTAAGTCTTGCCTGGGGTTGAAGCACCCAACTGCCGAGAAAGATGTTCATTACAGCGTAAGTGTGAGACGGGAAGTGTAGTGGTAACGGCAACAGTATAGGGTCATAGGAATGTTAAGCCAGACGAAAGCATGACAGCATACACAGGATAGCGATACACTTATAAGTACATTGACCAGTCCGCAAGCAAAACCCAATAGCGTCTAGCATCCAATTCGAAAGTAAAATATCTACCATTTCTCCGGACTAATAGAGCCGTCGTGAGCGAGTACATGCATACAGTCATGAAAACAACTCATGACTACTCACCCAAATGTATGTCCTGGGGGCGGGGCCTTCAGTGCCACGTTGTTCCAGTCAGCAGTTTTCGTGAACACGGTGTTTCCCCACCATTTCTGGATAGTGTTCTCTCCAATCCGGTTATCGAGTGGAAACTGCAAACTATACGCACCACTGCTCGTTAGCGGGAACATCGTGAACTCCACGGTCCAACGAACTCTTACCAAAAGTATACCAAAATAGTCCCTATGGCTGTTCCCGCATCCAGAGCCGCGGAGAGAACATCTGTGGGAGGTATCCGTGAGTCACTGTGAGAGCTCACACGAAAGAGATAGGCAATCCAGTGACAGACTTACAGTTGTACTTGGCCCAGAAGTGGAAGTACCGTCGGCGAATGAGGTATTGAAAGATGAAGCCGAGGATAGCCCATGGAACAATGTTGCTGGCGTTCGCTGGGGGGAACAGACTAGTAACAAAATTTAGTAGATGATCTTTTCCATTCGTGTGCATGCCCTAGAAACTCACCCTAGTCCTGCAAACATGAGGCTGGGAGTGGTTGATGAGTATTGGCCCAGAGCGGATGAAAGTGAAGGCGATTGCTATACTGACGGGAAACTAAAATACCGCCAGTGGTTAATAAGTCGAGAGCGATGAGTGCAACGAGGGCGTGCTCACTTGACGTAGTTCAGCCATGAGTGTGGCCACCGTTTGCTAACAGCCCACAGAACAACAGGTCCAATGGCGCCATAGATAAAGAAGAATACGAGTTCTTCAAGCTTGATCAGTCCCTCAGTTGCTGGCTAGATGCGTTGTCTACGTACCACTGTGAAAAACAGGCCCATTCAGTGAACAAGATACTGAGGATAACGGGTGGGTGCGGGCTCACTAGTATATCTGGCCCTTTGCGAACTGCCGTGCCGACCCAATTACTCCCCATATCACAGAAGATGTGCCGAAGACCTGTACTCCTGCGCAGATAAACCTATCATTCATACATTGAGAACAGGCTTTCACATCATAGATTAGAATAAATCGCACCCATTCGCCTGGGTTGTGCTGCACAAATCACTGATAAGAACACCGTCAGCAAGGTCGTATGTGTCATCGTGGAAAAGGGAGCTACAGACGGTATATTGGAAAACATCCTATGTAACATAGTCAACCTACGTGCAAGCATGGAAGATGGAACCGATGACTTACCAACTCTGCACTCCAAGCTGAACAGTCCCTGTAGGTGCTATGTCATCAGCACTCTCTTACCTCCTCACAGGTACATATACATACCAGCGACGATCGTAGCAACAATCTGATTATTGTAATGGCATCGTTAAAGCAATTTGAATACTTCGCTGGAAAGAAAATGACTGACTTGAGCCCAAAACATGGTTCGTTGAGGAATCTTCATGTAATGACCCAGCTTGAAGTCGGCAGTGAACATGATAGCTTATAACGCCAGACAAGTAAGCCTTGCTACAAAGAAACAGAATCTGCGGCGAGAAACATGCCTTGGAAAATTGTGATATAGGCCCATGTCTTCAGTAGGTCGAGGTTGTTAGAGCTGGTCTGCGCAGCGAACAAACATGACAATACCTTGAACCTGTTGCAAAGTACCCGAGTCAACATTCGTTGCAATAAATATTTGTAATAGGACACACTCACATCATCATGGCTATGGGCTTTCCTGGCATCATGAGTCCAACGATAAGTTCGCTGAGAACACTTTAGAAATCATTTGAGTGCATGCAACCCTAGAAACTGATGGGCTAAGAGCATACTTTATCCCAACAGAACGGTTCGTGATAGCTTGAATCATCCCTGAAAGACAGGAAATACCAAACGACTTCAACACTACGCAAGGGTAATGTCACGTCCAAGTATAGTGCCTACCGACGGGGATCAGGAAGAAAAATGCTGTTTGTATCGTCGGAGAATCAGTGTAAGAGTCATGGCTGATCGCAGGCCTGGACTCACCAAGCAGAAGAGCCACGACGAGCGCCCAGATCGTCATCTTCGTCGGCCACAGCTTGATTGCCAGACATGCGAACACGAACGTCACCGCTGTTCAATGCGCCATCAGGATCAGCATAGGACTTAAAACCTTCAAGTGTAGAAAGCATACCAAATATACAAGCGTACCACCACTCCGGGACTACACAGATGTTTTGGGTGGCATGATGAGAACCAGGAAACTACCAAGACAAGAAACGACTGCAAGCTTGAGGTCGACGTACCCTGCGGATACCTGGCCATGAGTTGAGCATGGATGTCTGGCTGGTCTCTTAATGTACGATGGATGTTTCGCTTGATAGGGTGCCAAAAATCTAGTGGAGACAACAGCTGATCAGATATATTCAGTACCTGGGGGTGATCACAGGTGCGCACGTATGACGGAATGAGTAACAAGAGCAGTGATAGACGCGAATGCGGTCCCATACGAACTACAGGAAAGCCAGCATGCCATTAGTCTGACACGTGCTCACATCCTCAAACAACGTCGTCAGATGCTTACACTGCGAACGTCATTCTGTATCATTTATGGGGCGATGGTGAGTAGGGAATTGAGTGTTATTCTATGAATACGTACGAGAGGAAAAGCGGGCTGTACTGCTCGTAAGCTGTCACGTTCAGCGTTCCATCCAGATTTAAAATCTTGGTGAGGTTGTATTCCTTGCCGGTGTTGTCGAAAGCAGTACGAGAGGACATACTGTAAACAAGTTAGAAAACGGCGGGATTAATGTTGTAAATTACTGCTGATGTTACTAGATCTCTTGGACAAACAGAGTGGACTTACGGCAAATATTCCCCAAACCAAACGTTTGAATACTGCAGAGCAGGCCATTGATGTACGCATCAGCACCGGCACTAGAAAAAACGGCAAGAGTAACATAAACCACATACGTATAAAGCCGGTGTCACAATCCCTGCGATAGGCAAGTCGTCGTTAAACATTCGGACAAGGCCAAGCATAGTACAATAGACCCGTGAGCACAACTGTACCCGATCCCGCGCTCGTCCATCCACCACGCTCCTACACACGAGCCCCCACACGGATAGACAACAAAGAAGGGAAAACAAGTGCTTACAAAAAAAGAACACAAAGCTTGCGAAAATGTTCGCTTCCGCCCACCCTTCAGGTGTCAAGGCATTACGTGTTCATACATTAGTGGCACGAGTGTGAGATGCGGTCAGTGTGTCAGTGAAACGTCGGGATTAGTACAGGGAAATGGACGAACATGGGGTGGCCAGCCTGTGGAGCGATAGTTAGCGAGGGTGAGAGTAAGCTCAGGCATAGATCAATACGTGGGCGAGTGCGGTCTCATGTCAGAAGCGGACATATTGACGACTCTGTCACGGTTCCGAACCCGCAGTAGCTCACGAAATTCCTGTAATGCGTAGGCGGCCTGGGACGAAAGGGGTGGGCAAAGGAAAGATGTCGTGAAGAGGACTTACGGGCTCCCTGTGTATGCAATTTGATTCCAGTCGAATGAGAGCATTGAGAGCCCCAATCCACTTCTATACCTGCAGTGAGAGGGGATGCGAGCATATCAATTTGGGACGGGCAGTGTAGTCAACGGATGTAGCCATACCCGAACAACTGATTCACTACCTGATATAGACTATCAGCTATAACTTGAAGTGGCGTATAAAAGGATATAAATACCGTATTCTGAGGAGCAATCCAGCATGCCCATGTGAAGACACTGTGTCATACCATGCAGAATCAGTGAGGTACGAAACAAAGAAGGGAAAGTCCTGAGTACCTCAAGGCTTGGAAGAGGTACCCTGGAATTATGTCTGGATAAAACAAAGGTCAACGACGGCTCATTTAGCAGAACGCTCGAACTTACACCAAACAACGGCACCGCCAAATGCCCAGGTAAAGAACCTCTCTCGACTGACACCTCCCTCTCCCCAAGGTCCTTCATAATTTTGGGAGTGGAGAGTATTGAACAGCGCACATTCCACAAGTGTATTTGGCCATACTGAACAAGAAGTACCATGTGTCAGGACAAGTGAAGCCATCGCCTAAGAACGAGGGGTAGTGTAACGTACTCATCGAGGGGGGCAAAACCAGGAACCGTCTTGCGATACCACCGATAGAGAAACCGATCATTTGTGAAGACATGACCAGCCTTTATGACATTAGCCAAGCTGAGAGGTGAGCCTAGTGGTACTTACATCCACTGATCTATAGAGCGACTAGGGTGATCAGTGTCAGGCGAGATCAGTGAAGCGGAAACTACTGACAAATGAAGTTGAATTCTTCATTGTAATACACTCGTTGGACTGCAATGATATCCGTCTTCGACAGCGTCAGCAAGCCATATGTTGTGCCGAAGTGCGCAGAAGCTATCACTCACAGCGTATGCAGACTGGCCGCTCACACCCGCCATTACCGTGACTAATACCTATGCAGATATTTTTGAGTTCAGACGTGTTGTAAGGACAATTCCAAGAGTCGACAGACATGTTCTTTGATAGTGAATGGCCCGGCGTTCAGGGCTATGCCAAAGATTCTACGATTCGGCACAATGTAGGCCCATAACCGACCGATAGGATATACTAGAACTAGAGCCACAAACTAGGCGAAATATTAGTCAGGGAGAGACTGTCTTCAGTAAGACGACCTACCCCCGTGATGAATATAGAGGGAAATCGTAAAGATAGAAATTGATTTAGTCCAGGGAATAGCTGGATGAGAGGTTGTCTCAGTTTGAAAGCAAACGCGGCGCGGTCCAAGACTTACGACAGCAGATGCGATTCCGAGTGTCCATGAGCGCAACGTCGATACAGGCATCTCGGTGTCGTCGAAGTTTGCAACTGCCGCACGAACTTCTGGGTAAGGTGAGTCATCCTCTGAAGTCCCGTGAACGTGAGCTCCAGTTTGCGAAGTTGGATTCGGAGAATTGACTGACCGAGCCCTGCACTGTCGGGGTCATAATTTGGGTCGAAGAAATCAGAGGTAGTGGGGACCTATGCAGAGATTCGATCAGCTATAGGTAAAAAAGGGTGGGAATTATTTTGACAAACCTCGTCCTCCTCTGGGGAATGTTGCAATTGAGTGAGCTCAACTCCAAGTAGGATGATCTTAAAGACCTACCTGAAGACTTCTCCGCATCACGGAAGCTAGAGCTGGACACAAACGATCCTGCACTTTGTCTGTCTCGATGTGATTCTTCAACAGTTGAGGGCATTTCATTCTCCCAATTGAGAGTCAGCGTCAAAATTACTGTCGGTGTGCCAGTCGTTCAAATATTGCTGCGCCACTGTGCGATGCGTTCGTTGGATGGCAATTTGCGAGAATGGGTGGTTTCTCGCGTGGAGACCTGTGAACAGTAGATTGTTCACCTACCAACCTCTTCCGAGGATTTATCGCTACAAAAGATAAGGTCGGACGACCATCAGAGATAGAACATAATGCAGACTAATTTTGCATTCTACTCACCGCTAAGAATCCTTCGTAAAATAGTTCAACGTACACTTGGGCGAGCTAGCTGTGTCCACCGGATGTGTAGTGCAGGGCACAGTTCGAGAGAAAGATAGTGGTAGAGCTGAGGAACAACATCCGTGGCTCCGCTAATGTGCGACGGGTCGACTTTCACATACTCACACACTCACAAAGCTCCTTCTCTGTTCTTTCTTTCCACGTGATTTCTCCATGTGGGACCCCGGCTTGTCGTCTCGGAGAAACGTTCAATGTTTGGCCTTCCATCGACTCTTTCTTCGGACCTTTCCTCGCTCTTTATTTGCCTATAACCTTTCGGACTACTTCACGTACCTGTAAGATCCGTCGACGATTCCTACGTCCTTGGCTCTCTCGACACTTTGGTGGCAAAACACGGGGCTCGCTAGGAATCGGAGTCGGGGACACGCGCTTTACCTTCGCACACCTCCGATGGGACGCAGCCTCCATTCTGGATACCACCCACAGATCCATACTCGAATAGAGGGTATCATCTCATGAGTAACTACCACTCTCAGTGGCATTCTATCTATAAGTTACTACTGGGAAGTGTATATGACTAGTCTATTCTTTACTCCTTGACTTTTGCTTCTTGGTGACCTTTACCACTGGCTACAAGTTACGGTACGATTGTCTTCTAACCCCACTCCAAGCCCCTCTCGTTGTAGAGCAAAATCTGGTGCCTGATTGTCTGTCTTCTACAGAAGGTTTCCTCTCGACGATAACCGGATCTTCGCGAGGTGGTTTCGACCCAAGCTGGACTTCATGTTCGTACCACATTTATCTGCTCCTCGTCCATGTGCTCCTCGTGCGCTCCTATCTTACTGCCTAGAATAATGGATGCGAGTCTGTTTTCTACCTTGTCTAACATTCATAGAGGCAAGAGTATTGAGACCTGAAGGCATTTCATAAGGCATGCCCGAATATCGAGATCGCCCCTGGTCGTCTCGCCGAGATGTTTTCCCATATTCTCGTTGTGCCGGGCATCTTCAGATTGCTTTTCAGCATAACTTATGATCCGGCTCACAAAATTACCCTATGCTATTTCCCGAAGAGCCCTGATGATCTACGATGAATCTGGTCCTGAAGAACATCAGAATACGCAATGGAGGGCCAAGTAGGATGAGATGCACTCTTTCTGACCACAAAAACTCACACCGAACACATTTTCCCGGAGATCTGAGCCCGTATTTGCAAACATCAGTAATGTCCACTGCAATCCGTTGTCTCTGTTCTATCGAGCGCGATGCCCGATTTTCTCAAGACCTTCCACCTTCAACTTTGATCTCACAGGACACCCGGATTCATGGTAGTGGATCAAAAGCCCTCAAGACCCCGGTAATTATAGCAGCGCCATGTTCACACTCTTTACTGCCATTTACAGATGCTCATAACGTTTCTCTCTTTTTCCACCATGCCTTCTTGTTCGAAATGAGGAACCTGCATGTCTGTAACAACATTGAGATGAACCTTCCAACATCCACCTCCTTCACCGAGTCCCACTTCGCTGTTTTCGAGCCCGACTCTCCCTGTCTCCCCGACTCCCCGATTCCCCACTCCTGAACCTGAGAGATTTATTTTTATATCCCTCGTCATTCGTTCTGCTCTCGCAACAGGAGTACCCCAGGTGCCACAAATCATCGTCTTTGCGTTTGCGTGGACGAGGACGTTCAGTACGACTGCATGGAACTTCTTCTCATTGCGCTGCCCAGCACGCAGGTCTCTCACGTCTCTTCGTCTTCGCATGAAGGACCTCACTCGGTAGAAACGACTTTTTATGCGACGGGCCGCAACGTCATCATGTTGACTATAGTCTCAAAGCTGAGCACGACAAGGGAAGCAAGGATGGCTTGGGATGTGAAGCAGAAGTATATTGTACGCATCCTTCCTCGTGCCTCCCCTCCTTATCTCACTAATTCTGGATGGTGGCGCTTATACTTATAGACGCCTGGTCTTCGCTACAATCACTATATGTGACTCTGTTCTTTTCTTGCTCGATTTGAAGACGAAGCGGTACTCGCTGCGGGACAAGTTTGGAGCTCGACCGACCAGGTGTTCTTCATCTGAATCGCTGGCCGCTATCAGAAGTCGCTGTGCACAAGTGTGCACATCTGTCTCTTGGAATGTGCGACAATCGTGTCTTCTCGGCATGACCCTGTTGGGACTTGTCTTCGAGACGATATGAGAGCTCGGGCCTTGGACATAACGTGGGTAAGATGCGGAGATCGATGACTCCGTGACCGAGGGCGTGCGCATATTCGTACGTGAAGGTCACGGTGAGAGCTTTCGTTCGTTGCTGTGTACCGAGCTACAAAGGATGTACGAAACGTTGTTAGATACTTATATACATGCATATGTTTAGACGTAGACTCACGATTGGATGGTGAAGCCCTGATACTGTCCGAGTCTTCCGTGCCGAGGAGCGTCATTCCGGGCTTGTTGGAGGTGTCCTCGGGTGTATTCTTTCTATCATGTCCGAAAGGGTCGCGAAGGATATAGAATGTGAAATGCTATGTTTGAGTTTCCTCGTTGATTGAATTTGGACTTGCCTACTTTTGGAGAACCTCGGAGTAGATGGGCCACAACGAGTGGCCAAGGCTTCGGAGAAGTTCGGACAATTCTGACTCCGCTTCAAATGGCGCTGGCAAGGGTTCAAGGTTCCAAGTTTGCCGCAATCCAAGTCGTTCATGACCACCCCAGCATTTGAGCAGGGGTACGCAGTAAGTATTCAGAGCAGCGAGGAGTCTCCGCAGGATGATGAAGGTATTCTGTAACGAAGCAAGGCATAGCGATGTGTGGCGCGCCACCTCGAGCTTCCAGGACGTCTCGCAGCGTCTCGTCTTTGCACCAATCTCGCCCTCGTGGGACTTGGCGGCAGAGAGAGAATGACTTGCAGGACATATAAAGCAGCCGAGTCAAACTCACAGCTAACTGTGGCCCACATCGCTCAAACTAAGTCCTTCCCCTCAATCGCCTCCTCTTCGTTCTCATGTATGCGGTGTCGGCCATCGCCTCCATCCTCTAAGTCGTCGCTGTCTTGGTTTATCGTCATAGGTCCTTGGCCGGTCCAAGAGTTGCTCGCAAATTGAAGGGAAGAAACGGGTGCGTTCCGGGAGATGGCGACAGAATCGAGAGCTGAGACGCCGTTGTCTACGATGATGATCACGATAGTTGGGTATATTCCCTGTGCATAGATAATGATAAGTACTGGAGCGTAAGAAAATATACGGAAGCGACGTCCGACTGTATTCTCGAGAGGTATGCAACGATAACAAAGGGACACTCACGACGACTTGTTGGCCCAAGGTAGTCAATAAAACGGGGAGGAAATTTCCTGCGCTCCCGACGGGGAATGTGACGGGAACAAAATATGATAATTGTGTGGTCTAGTACGTGGATAGAAGTGTCAGTTAGAGCACAGCGATAGATGCTGTTCCGAAGGAACAGAAGATTGTGGCGTAGCGAAGTATCATCGAGGGCACGTACCCATACGAAGACATAGATTACACCAGATTCAACGATAGACCACAAGATCTTTTCTATTCTGTTCCTTCGGTGCGGTGTGTCTGTTAAGGCAGCTTTTAACAAATTTCTATGCCTCCTGTGCCGCCAAGACCGCATAAGCCTGGAAGTTAGCTATACCGGAGGCTGTCGTTTAAATTATGCAGTACGAAAAGGATGTACCATGCGATGTAGCCAATCGAGCCTGTTGCAGCGATGTTTGTGAGGATAGAAAAAGAGATAGCAGCAATCTCTATATCAGTACAAATTGTGGCCAATTCGGCAGGGAATCCTTCATGAATGATGCAACCAACGAAACCCAGGCTCGAAGCTATGCGTATATTCATAGGTCGCGGTGGTCAGCGCGAACAACGCCGTGGTGCGAAGGAGGATAGGCTGACCGAAGGAACCGATGAGCAGAGCGATTAGTACCGCCCAGAGCTTGGGCAAATCGCGTGTCAGGACACACGCTCTCCACACTACGATGCAGTCACCAAGCCCGAACTTAAGCGGAAACGAATACGAGGTAAGGCCTCGCGAATAGCCTATTTTGAAGAGAGAGAGCGTGCGTACCTCAAAAGAGTATATGACGTCCTGAACTCGACTGAACAGTGCGATTATGCGGCGCCCTCTTGACACTCTTTCTGAGAATGGTAGTTCGATGTCGTCTATGAAATAGCTTCTTATGCTGATGTTTAGGACCGCTAGGTCGAGAGCCCACAATGCACTAGAGCATAGGAACATCAAGACGACGACGAAGAGCAAAGCCATTCTAGCGTTGGAACCATGTGTAGTTCGACTAACAGACACGAGTTAGTGTCCAACAAAGGAAGCAAGACAAGGACAAGAGCTGAAGATAGGTAGACGTACGTTCGCAGCTTTAAGACCCTGAACCATAGAGCTATGTAAACCGCTGGAGGAGGCGTTGGATTAACGATCAAGTTGGAGAGTAGCATAACTCAGCGCACCATAGAGCATGCTCTCGAGAGCAAGATCGAGACTGTCAAATAATATGAAGTATCCGACAGCTTGACCAAGCTGGCCATCAGCTGGGGACAAGAACTCTCTTGATCGAAGGACAGTCATCGTGACGATGGTGACTGGACTAAAAGCAAGATGCCTTTGACCCGGAGCTTCTTCTAGAGAGGACGAGCGTGACCGAGATATCACTCTCGTTCCGTCCCTTTATTATAACGCTCTGCACCAGTCTCGATTAAGCCTAAAACCCGCCTTGTGTTTGGTATGAATGCATCTGCGAGTACCGCAAGTTCCCATACCGGAGAGGTGACACTACTAATAACCCAGAACTACTGCAAGACATCCGTTCAGCCCACAAGGTCTAGAATGACGAGACGGGGATCACTTATGGCAAGTATAGCCACTGTCTACGACGAGATGAGCTGAGGCTCTGGGTCGATAGGGATATAACGATACGTCTGCCTTGGCAAGATTGTATAAGTAGACCCGTTGTAGCCAGACAAACAGCCCAACGTCGCGGTGCGATGAAGCTTCTCATCTCTGAGACACGCAGAGCTCAACCATGAAGTACTTACTCTGAGACCCGGTACTGACGCTTCCGAGCCACGCAAGGGGCTACTTCGTATACGAGGACGCACCGACATTCACGGGCTTCAGAAAATCGGGGATCCAGGTTGGTTAAGGAGGAAAGCTTTCGGAGGGATGTACCGCGGGAAAAGGTTGCCAGAAGTACTAGAGCTTACAGAATCCCAAGGCCAAACATGCAGTAGTAGGAAGGTACAGAAAATGGCCAATATAACAGAGCAACTTCCGCCGTCCGGCGGATGGGGGTAATTCGTAAAGGGGACATGTGTGGCGCGCCACTGAGGACGTCTATGGGCGCTTGTCGCGGACGTTGCCTTCGATCGCGGGAGAGTGTTGGGGAAGACAGTCTGTACGGTTGACTGCGACGGCGACAGCCAACGAGTTGACCCTTCCCTTCCTTTTCTCACCTTTTCTTTTTCCTTTTCCTTTGCTTTCTCTTACCCGCAAGTTGCTCCAAGTCCCCGAGCAGCCAAGTCTATCCACGACAGAATTCGCACGAACCCGCAACCCCGGTCGAGCACTCTAATAGGTGTCACCGATCCTCATCACATCCACCCGCACACTCGAACTTGCGAGTAGACTTGAGGTCTGATAGGACTATAGATCCTCGCCTTCACTTAGCTTAGAAGAATAAGCGACTTGCATTCGACAATCATGGCATCGTCATCTTCCGCATCTGCGTCATCATCAACGGCTGGGGGGTCCTCATTAACAGCCCCACAAGGCCAGAACGCACATCCACTACTCGCCAATAACGATGAGAAGAACAGGTATGTACTTTGTTTGTCTCCGTTTCCGTATAGGGGCCTCCGCGAACTAATGCCGCGCGTCCGTTGAACGTGTATTAGCGTCGTGATCAAGGTCGGGATGGTGGGAGACTCACAGATCGGAAAGACGAGCTTGATGGTCAAATACGTCGAGGGCAGCTTTGACGAGGATTATATCCAAACGCTAGGTATGTATTCCATCTCGTGCTTTTACATTTCTACGCTTGCGGCCTGCACATTCGGGGTGGCGATGCAGTGCGAGCGCTCGAGCGAACGAGTCAGCGGGTTTTGCGTTTCGCGTGGAGCCAGCGAAGTCAGTGCTGGAATTGGTTTTGTGGTAGTGCTTGACGGCACTCGACGTCGAGACCCATAGGAGCACCCAGCTTCGTGCAACTTAGGCGTTGTTGACCGTTTACCTGCTTCATCGATGACGCGCACTCTTCGCCTTTCAGCCTCTCCCAACCACTGGTCTCCTTGTTCGTCTTCTCTGACATGTCTGTCGAGGCCAGGAAGTAAGGTACCGAGTTGTGGCGCACTCGAGCACTGCTCTTGTGCAGCTCAAACCAATATGTGTCTATTCTGGCGGGAGCAGGAGCGGCGTCTGTCCTCGGTGAAACGCAATCTACCCATCAACACGGTCTCATACTTTCTTGTCGCGCCCGTTCTCTCGCCGCCGTACATTCAACGAGAATACTGAAGCACACTTTCGCCTTCCCTCGTAGGTGTCAACTTCATGGAGAAGACGATCTCAGTGCGACGAACAACCATCACCTTCTCAATATGGGATCTTGGCGGGCAAAGAGAATTCGTGAACATGCTTCCGCTCGTGTGCAACGATGCCGTCGCTATCCTTTTCATGTTCGACCTCTCGCGGAAATCGACGCTAAATTCCGTCAAGGAATGGTATCGACAAGCGAGAGGCTTCAACAAGGTGCGTTCTGTTCTTTTTGCATCCAATACCGTTCGGATAATGACAACTCCCTCTCCTATCTACCCTTTTCTTCGACCGATATAGACAGCCATCCCCTTCCTCATCGGCACAAAATTCGACACCTTCGCCACTTTCCCACGAGACGAACAAGAAGAGATCACAAAGCAAGCGAAACGGTTCGCGAAAGCGATGCACGCCTCGCTCATCTTCTGTTCGACGTCGGCTTCCATAAACGTGCAGAAGATCTTCAAGATCGTGCTCGCGAAGGCCTTCGACCTGAAGTGTGTGATCCCGGAGATTGAGGGGGTGGGGGAGCCGGTGTTGATTTATGTGGATGTTTGAGTGTCGGGGTTGAGGGGTTAGAACGCGAGGCGGGGTGGAGGAGAGTGTGGTGGAAGGGAACGGAAGAGACAGAATGGGATAGGCTGTTCGAATATAATTGGAGGATAAGAGGAATGGGTGGCGCGGTGGACCAGAGCTAGACGACATGTAAGATCTAGGATATGGCGCATGGGTAGGATAAAGCAGAGAATCCGTCGGTCACGCGCGGGGGGTGGATGGCGGATGGTATCGTGGACAAGGGAGGGTTAGGTGCATGCGTGAGGGGGATGACCAGTACAGGTAAGCATAACCCAGCATTTCAGAGCTCATCTTTAACACGACGTGTATTCCCGTAGAGCTATCTGTGTCTGTGGAAAAGCTTTCGGCGTGGTATTTCGCAGACGCGAAAACGGTAACGTCGCTCCGCATACGGCACAGAAGTCGCGCAGATATCCTGCGGCTGGTCATCGATACATCTTGGGCTTCGACATTCATTTTCCTCTTAGGTTTCCCTTCTTCCTCTCCTATGCCCCCCTCGCCCTAGTATGCATCACCCCTTACCCCGCCTAAACCATAATGTCCCGATCTATCTATCATCCTCCCTGCGCGTTTGCTTTCTGTAAGCATGTGGCTTGCGAGAGTTCTCGTCAATCCTTTCCTTTTGACTTTCTTTCCTTTTGACTTTCTTTCCTACGGAACCTGGAATATAATGGACTCTTGAGACTGTCCTGACCACTGTGAGCGTGGCGAAGGCGGAGTCCAGCTTTCATCACGCTTGCATCACCCAAAAAGGTGGATATTTTCCGCCACCCCCTCGCTCCGCCACTCATCTACAACTTCTCACCTTCCACTCCTCATCCTCTCTCCCTTTTGTTCTCTTCCGGGCACTTCTTGTCTCCGCCTTCGAGTTCGTTTCATTTTCAGTCTCATGTGGTTGGATCAGTCTTGGTTTCGTTGCTATCGCATCTCTTTCAGTATACATCTTCCATTCCACTTCGTTCCATTCTCCCGAATCATGCACACGATCATACATCTATACGCGTAACCGTACCGTTATTTGCCCCCTCTTATCCTCTACATTTAGTCCCATCCCGCCAGCTTACAATTCCTGTTCGCGTTCTTATTCCTCACTTGCTATGCGCTCGCCCGTTCAATGGAGCTTCATGCACAATCCCGCCACGTCTTCCTCGTCGTCCGCGTCATTCACCTTTCTCGTGCTTCTCAGTTTCTGTCCATTTCTCTTTCTGTCCGCTCTAATCATTCATTACCTCCAATCGCGCCACAGCCAACGCTTGTTACATACAATTTTCCCTGCATTCGCATTTCTCTCGTCATATTCTTTTTCTCCTCATTGGAATCACTTTGGTCTTGCGTCTCCCTCACGTTCTACCTAGTACCTCTTCTACTCTCCACCCCCCTCCATCTTCCACCCCAACCGCAGTTTTCGGTGTCTGTTTGTGTTATATATTCCGTCCCGTCTATTTTTTGATTTCCGTGTCGTAAATTTAGTTGTTGTCAGTCGGTTAGTCGGTTCGTGTAACTGCGCCATGTTTTCGCTTTCGTCCAGGCGTCCGTGTAAGTTGACACTCTCAAGCTGCGACGACTCCAAGATTATTGAGCACCCAGCCTTGCTTAGTCGAAGGCTGGGATGTTGAGCTCGGTTTGAAGTCGAACCACCACATCGGTGTTCGCCGTTGGGGATCTTGACGACAACCTGAAACGCGGTCGGCCCGCCGTTGTGGACGGACTCGAAAACCCGGTCGTGATGCGGCTCACGCGTGCGAAGGGCGTTTAGCCGAGCCTGGGAATCCGAGGTCAACTTCCGTTCCGATGAGCGCAGCCATCTCTCCCTCCCTCCCCCTTCTTCTCGGGCATTTATCGCCTGTTTTCTCCTCATCAACGTCGACGGTGGCCTTATATTTTCTGGGTTGAGCGAGAATATCCAAGACGGCTCTGTTCACTTACTTTGTGATCATTGACCCGCTTGATTCGAGTTCGGGATCTTGGATTTGAACGAAGGTAGGCATGACGGTCTCTTCGGTTTGTTGATTGCAGTGGGTGTTCGCGTGGGCTTCCCGCGATGTTTGACGTTGTGTTTCTGGTGCAGGGGAATCTGATTATGATTGTGATGCTGACTGGAAACCTCCTTTGGACTAGCTTTGAGCAGGCTGTATTATCAAAGACCGACCAGTCTTGACGCTCGTTCCAAGTTCGTCGCGCTGGCTTCTTGAAGGCAATCAATACCCGCCCCCACTCGCAAACCACACTCCTTGACACTACCACTCCTTCAACCTCAAAACTCTCAATCTCGTCCTGTCTTTCTTCGGCAGCTTCACTCCATTCGTCTAACTTCAACCTCATCATCGCCATTTTACTTCCCACCTTCAATAACGATGCATATCGCACACAAGCCCAACCGCTGGCGCTTTCCTGTCGACAAACGTCAGACCTCCGACGATGCTCCCTCTGCAGCTGGCATCGCTTCGGCCACCGTAGCCACCGTCTCCGACCAAGAGACCGCAGCCACCCAATCCCTCCTCCTTGCGGCGACCAATACCGCTACGGACTCCACTACCATCGACCCGACCGTTCCTCTCGCAGGCTCAGCCGCAATCATGACGCTCACCACCTCCGATGAGCTGTCGGCGACCTCGACCGCCTCCGCGTCCCCAACAGCAGCCAGCGCTAGCTCGAGTGCGACTTCGGCTAAGCTTTCCTCGGATCTGTCCAAGCTCTCGGACGGCGCGGTCGTGGGGATTTGTTTTGGTGTGTTCGCGGTACTGGCGCTGTTGCTCCTCATCGTGAGGTGGGTGTTGAAGAAGTGGGTGCGGGCGGATGACCATGCGAAGGGCGATGAGAGGAAGACGGAGCCTTGGTCGAAACTTGGGGAAGATGATGATCGGTGGGACGGTATGGGCCATGCACCCCCGCAGAGCACGATCTTCCCTAACGGTCCTGGCGGCGGGGGTAACGCGACTGGTGGCGCCCAACTCGAGAAGAGTCCTATCGGGACCGTCAAGTCTAAAGCTTCCGACTACGCCGACTTCTCGATGTTCAAGAAATCAAACTCATTGCGTTCGAACGCGCATTCGACTGAGGAGAAGTCGCCCTCACATGAGGGCGCCTTCGACGCGACCACCATGCCCAACTTCGCGAAGTATACTCCCGATCTCGCTCAGCAATTCGCCGAGGACGCCGCTGCCACATCTGACCGTTCGTACAAGGGCCGTGCCGACGGTGCACCCGTCGTTTCATGGGACGGCCAAACCGTAGGCGACGATTCGTTCCTCTCGATGCGCAGCGTGAGGATGTCGGAGGCGCCCCTGTCGAGTTCACCTGGGTTCGGTGCGGTGAGGCAGATGTCGGACGTCACGGTTTCGTCGCCGTTGCACCGTTGGGAGCAGGCAGAGGTCATCACGCCCATCGAGACCGATATCGGAGAGGCTTCGCATGGCCAGAATCCATTCGCTGACACCGTCCAGGAAGATCCCAGACGGAGCATGAGCAATCCATTCTTCGGCGCACAGGAGGCTATGAACCCATTCGCCGACTCGTCTTCCGCAACCCGCACCCACTCGAACCACCCAGCCAGACGCTCTTCGGTCAAGACGAACGTGAGGATTGATTCGGTCATGAGTGATCACAGCACGGTTATGGGACGAGGGGAAGTTCAGCAGCAAAGGACGATGCAGAATCTATTGGCGGCGTTGGACACAGATGTGCCCAGGGCTATTCCGGGCGCCGCGACTGGGGACGATAGGTTGTCCGTGGGCGTGACGCCGAGCATGATTTCCGAGTTGTATACGGCAGAAGAGGGCGACGATGGGGAGAGTGTCAGCCATTTCCCGATGCCACCAACTCCGAAGGCGGCATGAACGGTTCACTGTAATTCCCATTCCCTACCACGTTTATCCCCAGCTCGTTCAGCCCCAGCCCTGAGTTAACTTATATCACTTTCATGAGATGCTCTACCCAGCACCTTCGCCGCAATTGTTTCACCAAACGCACTGAACCCTTCTTGGAGGCCAGCCTCCCTCATCAACATCTCTCGTCCTTCCACTTCGCGAACCTCCTGCCTCGGTTGTTACCCCTCTCTTCGTCTTCTTTGTTCCAAATTATCCCCCCTCTTCTCCTTATTCTTTTCTTTCAATTCTCCAAACGTTGATGCCCCCTCCTCCGTTCGCCACGCTCGATACCACAGCCTATCCTGCCTGCTTGGTTACCCCCAGCTGCTGTCACAGTACGTACTTGTTCTTTTGTTATACGTTCGTCGTGCCATGTCATGCCCTTTTCGTTGCGTTGCGTTTTTTGATCGTCCTCTGTACACTACTTTACTGGACCGCCGGACCGCTACTTACTTACCTACCTTCCGTCGACACCTCGACCTTCGCAACTACAAGTGTTACATGCCATTCCCTCGTTGCCCAAATACATACGTCCACCCGCATGTTCACTTATCCTCGTCGCAGCGCGTCTGGAATATTCCGTAACGGTGCTTGCACCCATCCAGGTTTGGAGTACGTCGTCGTCATATCCCATCCACCCACTCATCCACCAACGCAATGTACATCGGACCTGCATTCAAGTTCTCAGTGTTACAAAGAGGCCCATTCGCCCATGTCTATACATACCATCGCGACGGGATGCTTAGCATTTTGCTATGTGGATTTCGGCTTGACAATGACGGCCTTCGGACATGGATACTTTTTTTCTTTCTCTGCTCGGACTTTCTGCAGTACTTCTTTTTGATTCACGCTCTCCGATGCTTTCGTTTCTTGTCATCTTTCGAATACGCAATGTTGTTTATACTTACATATGGCTCTTTTTACTTACTTTCTCTTGCTTCTCTGGATGTGCCAATGCCGCTCAAGGAAAACATGCCCGAATGACATGAGAATTTCTTCAGTTCAACAAAAAACTTCACGTTCATGATGTGCGGTGATACTCGGAGGGGCTTGGAGGACCGGTCACTGGCAGTGAGCACACATACGATGACCGTGTATGAATGCAACTCCAGGGGAAGCCACCGGAAAGTACTCGGTGAAATTCTTTCTGAATGGTTGCTTCAGCTGGGAAGATATTCAGTGTATTCGAGGCCAGATCATTATACCCCAAGGATTGGGAGGAATATACTTCTTCTTACTGTGGCGTCACTCGAGTGGCGTGAGTATGTTTGCGGATGGGGTTCAATTTAAAATTCGGGCATCTCGAGCGCGAATTGCAAATTTCAGCCAGTCCTTCCTGCAAACGACGACGTTCCAATTGCTCTCATTCGCCTTCGAGCATCACCTCTTGCCCACGATTCTCATAAAAACTTGACACCTATTGACTCGTATACGATTACCAGTTCATTCACGCTCTTGAACCACAGGCGGGCCCTCTCTAGCCGCCGAAGACATCGTGACTTTCTTCATGTGTACATGTGTTTTGCATGGCCATAAACTCTGCTCTCGAGTCGTCACTTGCAATTTCGCCAGTAGCTCTACCCCGTACTCCGCCGCTGCATACGCATGAGACCACAGGACCGAATGGTGGTACTTGTTCATAGCCTCTTATAGACAAGTTTTCACTCGAATGTTGTACGCATCTTTCCCTTCCAGACACATCCGTCTCCACAGTAAGAGCTGAACCCGCTGTACACATTTGCAAAATCGAGCTCAGACAGGCTCCTACAGGTTCCTTCTGAATGCTATATCCGAGATATTCGCGGCTGGTTTGTCTTTGGTCTCGATCAGGAATTCATTGTGCAAACACTCAGAGTCACCGGTCTATGCCAAGTGCGTACGTCTGCAACAGTCGACGGAACGTTGGGCAATAAATGGAAATTATGTACATCCGGTCATTGCGAAACATCGGAATATCTCTCTTGATGGCTTCGACGAGCCACTGCTTCCTCCCTCGGAGACTCTGTCTTTTTGGTACTCCTGCTCACGACGCGGGCCATTAACGCTTTTCGGAGGCGGAAGCCTTGGAGAGCAGACTCTACGAGTTCCACTGACTCAATTACCAGAGCAGACGTCTCTCTTTGTAATAACACTTGGGCATACTGATTGTCCCCGAACGACTCTCTGGGTCTAGTATAAAGAGCTGAAGTCTCTGTCGCTCTGGTCTTCAGTAAACCTCCACAGTCCATTGCACCACAGGGTCTACAGTCTCTCGATCATCTTCGCCATGTTTCGCTCCTCAGATCTTCTTGCATTCCTGTTCGTCGCCGTCGCCGTCAGCGGCCAACAAATCGGTGAGTCTATGGTGGCAACAGGCACTCCCGATGTTCGCTGACTGGTTCAATTATGCAGGTACATTGACGCCGGAGGTTCACCCTCAACTTCAGGTGTCAACTTGCACAGCTGGAGGTGCTTTCACTGCTGCTACCAAGCCCATCGTTATTGACTCCAACTGGCGTTTCCTGCACAATGTTGGCGGTAGCACCAACGTAGGCCTCTTCTTCCTCGAGGCCAATACATTTTTTCATATAAAACCTAGTGCTATTCTGGCAACACTTGGGACACCACACTCTGGTAAGTTCCATCAATATTGGCCGCCGTGGAAGTCATTCCTGTGCGCGAGGCTAACGTTTGCTTGATGTTCGACAGCCCTGACCCGGCCACTTGCGCTGCTAACTGTGGTATGTACCCGATTCGAGGCCAGGATCGTTGAGGATATACATCTCATCACGCGACGTCTCTGATCAGCTCTCGATGGAGCGGACTACACCGGTGAGATTTATCCCTATATCACCCTCCCAACATCATGCTGACAGCCTGCTCTCTACAGGAACCTATGGCATCACGACGAGCGCAGATGCACTCACGCTGAAGTTCGTCACCCACGGCCCCTTTTCCACCAACATTGGGTCTCGTGTCTACCTCGTAAGCTGTCCACCTCTTCGCAATATCCGCTTCTCTCACTAATGCAGGCTGACTCTCCAGATGGATTCTGATGACCTCTACCAAGAGTTTAACTTGCTCAACCAGGAGTTTACGTTCACCGTTGATATGTCCCAGTGAGTATATACTTTTTCCATGGAATGGCGTTGCAGTGGCTAACTTTCTTCGTTTCACAGGTTACCATGTGGTCTCAATGGTATCTTTTTGTATACATCATTGTTATACAATGACCAACTGAACATTTTCACCTCTAGGTGCTCTGTATTTCACCGAGATGGATGCTGATGGTGGAGTGGCGAGGTTCCCCACCAACAAGGCTGGTGCGAGATACGGCACCGGTTACTGTGATGCTCAATGGTAGGCAATCTCTTTCCGCTTTGACTGAATGTGTGAGAAATGCTCACTGCACACTTTAGCCCACACGATCTTAAGTTCATTAATGGAGCGGTACGCCACTCATCTGCCTTAGACTTACGAGTTTCCACCACTCATTGCCACCATCATGCAGGCTAACGTCGTTGACTGGACTCCGTCGCCCACCGACCCTAACAGTGGTACGGGCATGTTTGGGACATGCTGCTCGGAAATGGATATTTGGGAGGTAATGACGTTTTCGTATGCAAACCACAAGCTACTCACCGTTCTTTTTGGATGAATAGGGTAACACTATGGGGGCTGCATTCACCCCTCACGTCTGCAGGTGCTTATTTAGTTCTTGATTGACCATCGTAGATCATAGATCAACTTGCTTTTGTTATTCCAGCGTTGTTGGCCAGACTGAGTGCTCCGGTATCGACTGTGGTGACGGCGCGGATAGGCAGAATGGTGTTTGCGACAAGGACGGTTGCGACTTCAACTCCTTCCGCATGGGCAACCAGACATTTTTTGGCCCTGGTAAGCTTGTGCTCCTCGCCTACATGCTTCTCCGCTCATTTATCACCTCATTTCAGAGAAAACTATCGACACGACTCAGCCTATCACCGTCGTTACCCAGTTCATCAGTGCGTATACCTATCTGCTTTTTCTGTAAAATATCTTTCATAGTAATCGACTACATACAGCCGATGACAACACCGCTACTGGGACGTTGACACAGATCAAGCGTATATACGTTCAGAATGGTGAGGTCATCCAGAACTCCAACACGAACATCCCTGGGCTTGCCACCACCAACGCCATCAGCGATGCCTTCTGTACCGACCAAAAGACCGTCACCGGTGACCCTAACACCTTCGAGAAGTTGGGAGGCTTACCTGTCCTCGGCAATGCATTCAAGAAAGGTATGGTGCTCGTCATGAGCTTGTGGGTAAGTATCAGTTTCTTCGCTTTCCAATGCCGTGTCCAAACTCAAGCGGTGTATTCAGGACGACCATGCCGCCAACATGCTCTGGCTCGACTCTAATGACCCTGCTGATGCCAATCCCGCCACTCCTGGTATTGCTCGCGGACTTTGTTCGACTACGTCTGGTGTACCTGCTACAATCGAGGCACAATCGCCCAACTCCCAGGTTATCTTCTCTGGCATCAAGACTGGCCCCATCGGCAGGTACGCACAGGCTCTTCTGCTTGCGTTACACTTCACCTGTCTGCCCCGCTCACGCTTCGTCTTCCCTACAGCACCTTTACCGCTTGACCTGCTTTAGTTCGTTAAAAACTGGTAGGTTCCTTTTTTTTGCTACAACTCGCTATTGATTGATATTTTCTGTCGGCATCACTGGTTTGCACAGGTGTCTTGCTTGAAAGTGTCCGATATTGAATGAGTTCTCGGCTCGGCCTTGTGGAGGGTTCTTGATTGATGGTTGATGAGGCCTGTTGATATATACCTCGCATCGCATGTTCATTGTCGATATACAAAATATTTTTGCTACTGGCCTACTGCTCTGACATTGCGCTGCAGTACATAAACTGGCTGTGCAATGAGCTGATGAACTCCTAAAAGTCCATATCATCGCATCATACTCTTCTGCTACATCGATGTTCAAGCTTGCCCGTATCGAGCTTGGCTTGAGCGCCCGTGCTTGATCTGAAGAGAAGTAACTTAGCGATGCGCAGGCACGGTGTTCTCATGTTGTGGCGCTAACTGGCAAGCGCCGACTCGGATCCTCGTCAACTTTGTGGCCCTTCCCTTTGCCTTTTGATCCTGTACGACTTCCAAGGCTGTCCATTAATAAGCCTGGTACATCCTCTCACCGCTTGCCTTTCTTTTGACAATATCTTCCAACAAACTTGTCCCCATACATGCCTCGTATGGATAAGTTTTGCGGTTCATATCCAATGACCTCTTTCTTTTCATAGCGCTGGTATGTAAAGCTTCCCCCGCACGAAGCGGATCGGCGAGCATAAGTGACGTGCTAGTAATGTAACCATAGTCTCGGCATCGGAGAATATGCGCATCCGAGTCGTTATCAACTCGTGCCTACAAAAGGCGTACAGGTATATATGAGGAGCCGGGTATGCTTCTCGGCAACGAATGCTTCATTGCTTCTATCGCCTTTTTCATCCATCCTCCTCTCTTCGAACACGCCAGTGATGAAGTTGGATGCGCGCGATGACTCTGGATTGACTGCAGACCAACAGATCCTTCTTGCGGGCTTTGGAAATACCATTATTCATGACTGTGCTGTGATTATCGTGGAGAGCATGGTGTACGGTGCGTCGCTCTTTCCTCGTTTTCGCCCAAGGCGCTCTTTGCTGACAATGCAGTTCAACCTAATCCAGCGGTGTACATTATCACCTTCTTTTCCTTACTACGCATACTGAGGTACTTGGTCTTCTTCAAGATTTCAGCTGTCTATGAGAGGTTGACGCATTATGAAACCGATCATGATACTTCCAGACGAAAAGGATTTCGTTCGAAAGCCAAGGCTGCACTACTTCTCGCTTCTCTCCTCATGTTCCTGTTCTCGAGCGCTTTATGGGCATTGGATGTGGCAGCCCTCACATTGAGAACACGAGCGGTTCTTGTCGTCAATTTGGACACGCCTCTGGAAGATAGACTGGACAACGGGAGCAATATAATCTTCACCTTCAACTGGATTCAGGATATCCTATACTCTTTCGAGGTGCGCCTCCCTTCAATATAGTCTGGCTTATCGTGGCAGCTTAATTGATATATGTTGCTGTGTTCGATCCTTGGTTTCCTGCCAGTTCGTCCTCGGTGACTGCATTGTCGTCTGGAGAGCATGTGCTTTGGCTCGTGGTAATCGACCGTTGTTGATCGTGTTATCCCTCCTTCTCCTGGGCTCTGCTGGTAAGTGTCTCCGTTCACGCCTTCGAGATATTGATGGAACTCATAGTTACGGTGTCGTCGCCATAAGTCGCCAGCTTGACGTTCTTCGGGTGCATCATCCACTACGACTTTCCTTTTGAGTCAGTGGCTCTTTGCACGAACGCCGAGGTAGCAGCGCTATCTTTATCTATAGCGACGAATATCGGAGCGACAGGATCGATTGGCTATATAGCATGGTGCGAAGTTTGTTTCCTTGCTTTCTGTACCGTCTCATTCTCACGCACTTTTGTCGAGAAGGCATCATTCGCTGCTGGTGAGGGCTGCTCACGGCGATTCTAAGTATTGCAGAAGTCGCCTCGAGAAGATTTTATGGTCGCTGGTTGAGTCCGGGATGATCTATGTCGTTCTATGGGTGTGTATCCTACCTAATGACTCTTACTAATGTAGACGGCTGGGGTGATAAATTGACCATGATTTTGCTCTCTCATTAGGTTTCTCAAATCTTTTACTTCCTCCCCATCGAATTCCCATCCGGAAGTCCCGCATCGTTCATCCAAATCTTCCTGAGCAGTATTGGACAACAGATTGCCGTATGTCTTTGTTTGCATGATCCAGCCCACCTCTCCCTCATCTTATATTGTGCTGATGGTATCTGACTGTTGCGATTGTATCATAGGGCCTGTATCCAACACTCATTATCCTCATCGTACATCTCGGCCTTTCGCAACTGGACTCTGTTCCAGCCACTCAAAATAATACGATGGTGCATACTACACTACAATTCGCGACACGACACGGCAGCCATCAGATCTCTCAGTCCCATGGAGGAACTTCAACGAGATATAGCTCTGGAATGGATGGGCAGGAGCTTGAGCTGGGACCCGTAGGGGTGGACACCCAAACGAGTGGCGTTCCGAGTCATGGAAAGAGTATTGGCATTGTTAGAGTTAATGCAGGTGATTAACGTTGTTATGACTTGAATGTGTTCTTGTAAGAATGATTAATACCCTACGGACGCTGTAATGTACTGCATCTGCGTCAAGTATGTTGATGGGAAGGAGAGAAAGTTGGAACCATTTTTGCAAATACGTAGGGAGTGGCCCAATCGCCACTCACCAAAAGCACAGGCTATTTCCGGGACCATGGGAAAGTACACGTGTCCGTCGAAGTCTCTCACCCTCAAGTTTTTCTACAACGTTGAAACTTGAGGCCGACGACAACAAGTACTCACGAGTCTCAGACGTCCCTCTCTGGTCTTCTATGTGGGATGTTATGTCCTCTTTCATCTATATTATGGCCTGCTGGGCGTCTTATCCACGTTTCCCCGAAAATGATCCTCTGTATGCACATAACGGTGGGCTTTTCAACTCTCATGGGTCACAAGCGTCACAAGGCCAAGACCCCTGAACTTCAATTGTGCCGGATTGCTGTTTTCCAACTTGCATAGCTCGTGGGTTTGAGCACTTGACTGTCCAGGGCAGACACCGCGCTCTCATGCAACAACCCGTCTGTTTCGAAAACGATACTTCTGTGCGGAATACTTCCAAAATTCTTTAGCCCTTCTTTTAGGCCTACTATGGTTTCGTCAAGGATCGACATCCACTCATCATCTGACGCAACCCACAGAAGTTGCTTCGTAGTGGCATGGTGTTCCTGGTACTTCTTGCCAATAACAAGGTCTGCCAACCTTGATCCTCCAACATTAATATAAATCTCTTCCGAATCTCATGCATACGCCTTTTGCTGGAGGGGTGCCTATCCGGCATTTCAGCTGACCTCTCACCGGGCAGTCCTACGGTCCGCCGCTTCATTTGTTATAGGGGAGATGGTCAGGCTCTACTCGTCGCATATTCATGGGCGGCATTCGTGATCCAGTTGGACTCTATAAAACCTGTCATGCACGAGGTTTCAATGTTGAACGATTATTCCCAGTGTTATTCTCTTGACTTTACCTCTTCGATCGCGACGAAGCCATGGTAGTATCGGCTACGACAACGAATAATGCGGTATCAGATGGCGTCGACTTGAAGTGGCTGGACGGGAAGGCTCCTAGCACCACCATCACTGGGACTTCCTTCGGCGTCCCTTGGCCTCAAGGCTCCGTGGATAGGACAACTTCAATCGCCATAAACTCTCCGGACGGTACAGGTATACCTGTTCAGACATGGCCGCTAGCATAGTACGTTCAAAGTTCTCAGCAACCGTGGTCCCGGACATGGGTACTCACGGTATACCACTTGTTCTACTGGTGGCGTCTTGGTGGCGTCTGCTAGCTGGCCGGATGGAAGCCTGAAGTGGACTGGTCATGCCTTGGCGGCGAGTGAAAACTTAACAGACACATTCCATCTATCAGTCGACACTCCCACGGAGCCCACTTCGCCAGTCGATGTGACACAAACTTCCGACCAGATTACGGTCACCACTGGGTCTTTCACAGGTACGCCTGCATTCCTCATGTATGAACCTCTGATACGAGACTTTCTGGTATCTTTCAAGCGGTATTCAATACCTCCGGCACTACCATCATCGACAGTCTTTCCCTGGGCGGCAGCACGAAGGCACAAGCAGGGCAGCTCATTGTACACGTCCAGAATGGGCCTGACGAGCCGGAAACTGAAGGTTCACGTCCTTCGGTCGTCGCAACAACGGGGACTATCGAGACTGTGACTGTAGAGCAGGATGGCCCCGTAAGAGCCATGATCAAGGTTCGGGTCTCGCATACCATCGTCCACTTCACCTGTATTATGCTGATTAGCGTGCAAATAGGTCACTGGGAAGTATGAGGGCGGTGGTCATGCCGCGTTTTTACCATTCACGGTCAGGTTCTACATTTCGGCTGGGGCCACAGCGGTACGGCTGGTACATTTTTTCATCTATGACGGAGATCAGTTCAACGACTTCATCAAAGGAATAGTGAGAAACATATTCTTCGATTCTGCTTGCTCATTCATCGCACTCACGCTCAACTCGCAGGGTCTCACATTCTCCACACCGCTGTCCGACGAGCTCTACAACCGCCACGTCCGTTTCGTTACCTCCACCGGCGGTATCTGGGGCGAACCCGTTCGCGTCCTCTCCGGCTTACGTCGCGATGCCACCGCCGCTGTTCTTACCCCACAATTCGAAGGACTGGCCACACCCGACATTTCCACCTGGCCAACAACCGTTTCTTCCGGTGTTGACGACCTTCCCATCTGGAACGATTTTAGGTTGGATCAACTCTCGCCCACGAGGTGGACTGTTGCGAAACGGACAGTAGCAGGAAGTGCTGCGAGTTGGCTGAAGAGTGCTGGGTTTGGAGAGAAGGCGGCCGGTGTGGGATATATCGGAGGTGCGACTAGTGGTGGAGTTACGTTTGCGGCGAGAAACTTTTGGGAGGGGGCACCGAGAGGGTTGGATATTAGGGGTGCAGGGGGCGACGCTGCAGCAGTGACAATTTGGGCTTATAGCCCCAGGGTAAGTCCTTGTACTTCATCGCACTTGAACTGCTCAGGCAAATGCATTCCTCATGTTGACAGGCGGAGGCCATGGACATGAGACACTACGACACTACCGCACACGGCGTAAGCACTGAAAATCCTGATTTCCCTGCTTATATCTAATGGCATTTTATATAGCTCGATTTGACCTACGAGGATGTCGGCGATCCTGATCCAAATCCCATCGGAGTAGGCAGGTGATTGCACAGCGTTCAACTCGCATCGGAGCTCTGAAGGACTGGTACATGGGCCCTCCGTAGCTAACTTGATTTTGCCTTTCACCATAGATCATATGAGTTCACACTTCAAGTAGAGTCTGCAACTCCATCCCGTGATACGCTGGCTGATTTTGCCTCGGTCATCGTGCGTCTTTCCTTGTGCTGAACCGAAATTACCGAGAACTGACTCTTGAATTAGACGACTGTTCCACAAGTCGTGGCCTCTCCAGAGTTCTATGTCTCTCGTCATATCTTCGGTGGACGATGGTAGGTTTCGAGCTTCAGCTTTGAGGGTAGGGTGCCTTCTGACTGATGTCTTTCTCGTGCAGGAACGTTCCGGACACATCGTCCTCTGGCCTCGCCACAATCGAACAGCAAAAGTCGGACCTGCTCGATTTCTACGTCAATGTCAGTTCAGCAGATGAGCGATTCGACTTCACATGTATAACACTCTTCCATATTGGAGTTCCTGACTCGCTGTCCTTCTCTCCGACAGGAAATTGGCCAACGCCAGTTTTACGGCTTCTGGGACTACGGCGACTTCATGCATACCTATGGTCCGCCCTCCGAGCTACACCCTTGCGCATGTTCTATCTGATCACTCACTCTGCCATAGATCAAACACGTCACACCTGGAGATATGATGTCGGGGGCTACGTGAGTTTGTAATTCCCGCTTCTCGAGGTTGGGCAAGAACTGAACATAGCAAATGCAGGCCTGGGACAATGGGGAACTAGGTCCGTATCCACTCTTTTTGTCCTTATTCTAGTCTTTCTCACCACATAAATTTTTACAGGTAGCGACCTGTGGATATGGATGTCGTTCCTTCGGACTGGGCGTGCGGATATTTTCCGGATGGCGTATGCGTTGACGCGCCATCTTTCGGAGGTTGATTTCCATCATATTGGACCATTCGCTGGCCTTGGATCTCGGCATCACGGTACGCTACTCATCAAACTATGTAGCTGAGCAGGATGATTGACCTGTTTTACGATATTCGTAGTCACGCATTGGGGCGATGGTGCGAAGGAAGCTCGGGTCAGTAGTAGTACCATCAAGCGGCCATTCTACTATTTAACTGGTACGCCCGCCGCGAACTTCGAACTGTATGATCTATCGATTATTTTTATGTAGCGGACGAGTTGGTCGGTGATATCATGGAGTATTCGCTACAAGCAGATCAAACCCTTCTTCAATGGGAGCCACTTCGTAAGGTTGCAGCTTTACCTCCTCAAGCTCCTAGCCGTGTCCGCATCGGACCCGACTGGACGGCTTTATCTGGAAATTGGTTCACGCAATGGGAGAGGACGAACGATAGCAAGTGGAAGGATAGAATCGTTACCGGGATGGTGCATTTTCTCTATTCGTAACCCGTGTTGCCTTCTGCTGACTGTTCGGTCTATGATGCGTGATAGACCGACATTGCGAACATGAAATTCGGCCTGTTCTCTGGCCCGCTAGGAGGCGCTGTTGGGTGGTTCCCGGATACAGCCCACTTGTTGGACGAGGGCGGCGAAGGCGAGGATGCGTACGTTCCTCGCTGAGCATCCCGCTTCTCTGCGTATAACTTCCCCTGCGTACAGGTACGATCTAGCCTATATCTTCGGAGGTGGCGAGTTCTTCATGGAGCTCGTGGAGACAATCACGGAGGTGCCTGCATTCGACTCAGCCTGGCTTGATTTCTGCAAATATTACAACGCTTCGGATGACGAGTGAGTCATTGCTGCTGTCCCGAATTCGGAAATGGCTGGTTGACACATCTTTCTGCTAGCCAAATCGCAAAATATGGAAAGAAGCTGAGCGACAGGAGCTTCCCCCAGGTACGCACACGCACACCGGCCCCATTTCTCCACTACGGCGATTTGTTAATTTTTATACTTTCAACCAGTGGTATGCCAAATTGACGGCCTACGCAGGTGAACCACGGGTAGTACGAGCGCATGAGATGTCCTAGTTGCTGATTTTGATGCATACTTAGGTGAACGCCTGGGTGATGACACCCTGAAACAACAAGCGTGGTCTATTCTCAATGCCAATACTGTTGGTGTGTGGCCACCAGCAACCCAAGTCGGCGGAACCGATGTTCCTGCCCCGGTTACGGAGGTGAGCAGTCTCATGCACCATCACAGCGGATGCAAGGATGAAAGAATGAAACTGACGGCTGCCTGCTAATACAGATAGCCAATATTGCGACGAACGACTCTTCAGCACTCTCCGTTTCTCAGTACGCCGTACTCGCTATTGCGCCTGAACTTGCGCCTACCTCTTTCGTCGCCCTGGACTCGATATCGGAGTCTCTCGCTGAGACATCCACCGTTGCGACATCCACGCCGTCATTGCCACTCGCTGAGAAAAGCCCAGAGAAAATTGGCAAGGAAGGTGTGGATCACCGCGTGAAAAGAAATGGTGCTTGGAAGAGGTTGCTATGCTTCAAGTAGTCAATCGAGGCGTCGTCGTGTGTTGGACCCCGTAACACGTATTCTGCTCTTGTTTAATTATTTGGCTGTATATTCAGTGAGCCGTGACAATGGGATGCATCTCCAAGATGGTGAATCAGAAAACAATAGGAAGTTGGCCTTTCATTTTCGATCGTGGGTGAAACCAGAAGTCAGACGGAGAGCATACAAAAATAACAAACGCGAGATTGGGCTATATTTGATTCGACCCAGGCTCGAACTGAGGACCTTCTGTGTGTTAGACAGATGCGATAACCAACTACGCCATCGAACCATGACTTCTTTGTCACCGAGGTGGATAATGATCTCATGAAAAATAGTTTTGAGGATTTCCATACCTTTACAGTCGCGCAAACGGTGCTCAAACACAACGGAGAACACTCCACTGTAATACTGCAATCTGTAAGATATTTGGCGACATGCCCTGATCCATTTATTATAAGCTACTGCTACAATTCAACAGAGGACAACAGCTCAATCCTCCGCCACAAGAATAACTTTCTTCCCATGGTTCTTCCCACTCAACACATCCACCAACGCCTGACATGAATGCTCCAACCCCTTCGTCACATCCTCCCTGTGCTTTATCTTTCCCTCTTTGACAAGCGGCACCATGTCGGCGAAGAAGCTTTCGGCGTATTTGGGGTAAAGCGAGAGTACGAGGAAACCGAACATTTGAAGCTCCTTCTGGAAGAATGCGGAGTAGTTCTGCATAGAGGGGCATTAACGACCGAATCAACAACGGTGGCTTGATACAGAGTGGACATTTGGTGACAAAGGACGTATGTGGAAAATGAGGCCAACCTTAAGACCGTAAGCACCGGGACCGCTACCGTTGGGGTCGTTGTAGGTCGAGATAGTCCCACATTGCTGTCGAGCGGTGTCTCGTATAAGTAGAATGCTAGGAAGATCACATGTTCGTGGAACGTACGATGATGCGGCCATGCTCCCTCATCGCAAGGAAAGCCTCGTCCAACGACTCGCCTCCAACCTATGTGATAACAAACAATCGACCACCGATCAACCTCCCATCCTTAACGCCACACCGATGAATGAACCGCTACTCACGTTGTCCCAGTATCTTAAATAATGCACCGTATCAGTCGGAGCAAATAATGACAACTGGATAAAACGACATACACATCGAGCGGTCCTTCACGCTGAAGAATTTCCTTCGTACTCTCGGTCTTATAGTTGAAAACGACATCGGCACCCGATGCGCGCACGTCTTCACATTTGGCGTCGCTGCCAGCTGAAGCGATGACCTTACAGCCATCCAGCTTTGCGAGCTGAACAACTACGCTACCCACAGCTGCGTAAGGTGAAAGCGAATCAGTCCGAGTGAAGGGTGAAGACACTGAGCAGAGCTCAAACGTACGTCCAGAAGCCGCCGTGACAAATACCGTATCACCCTATCAGACGGGAAACGAGAATCAGTATTATGAAGTAATACAGACTGGATGGATGGAAAAAACTACTATGAACGTACCTTCTTGGCCCGTGCGTATTCTTTCCATCCCATGTACGCCGTCTGACCCGGCATACCCAGGACACCGAGCCACGCAGACCACGGAATCCCTTCGTTTGACTCGAGCTTTGTCGTCCCCGCTGGGATCTCCGTAAAAACAGTGTATTCGGCGAAAGCTAGTATGGACAACGTATGCGCACATGTGAATTGGAAACCGGCTGTGGATCCGTGAGAGTCTACGCACGAACGCCCCAGTTATAAAGGTAGTCGCCGGCTTTGTAGTCAGGGTGTTCTGAGCGAATGACTTTCACGATACCGATGTTCCATATTCTAAAATCAGGTTTTGAGATTGAATTTAAGATCAGAGGTATTTCGCCATAGAACAGAATAGCAAAGGCCACAAGTCTGAGGGTCTCATATACTCACGGCTGTCCAAGTTTGAATGCAGGCTACAAGTTTATCACGACCCAAAATCAGAACCAAAACTCATAGAGGGAGAAACGGATAACAATACGCACGACGTAGCCCTTGACATGTTCTTCCCGGAGCCGACTTCTTTGGTATGGGTCAATAGAGAGGACCAAAGCCTTAGTCAAGATGCCGCCTTTGAGTGGTACGTTGTCCAAGTCAATCGTCTCTGATGTATCGTGAACCAAGTTCTTTCCTGGTACGGGTGCACCTGCAGGAATTGAGCATCAGCATATGCGTGGCCGGCGGGCAAGTGTGCTGTGTGATACGAAGCATACCTTGTGGAATCTCCTGGAAGATATGGCGGGCGTTAGCGATTGGTGCCATGCTTGTGTGCTAGTTCTGAGTGGCGGGTGTGATGCTGTGACCGAAGTTGGCGATTGGGATGAGTTGTGATATGGTTCTGGTGGGAGTTAAAGCGAGCCCTTTTATAGGTCGTAGAAACTGGGGACCGAATGCGCCTGGGCGAATAAGTGGAGTCACAGTAGTAAGCAGCAGGGACACTAAGCAGGAAACGTGAAGAAACTGAACTACATGGGAGAAGTGGATGCGGCAGATCTCAGAGCCGTGATCACTTCACTGACCGTGAACAAGATTTTCGTGACTCTTGTCTCCTGAAAGTGAACGATCATCATCATTTGCACCGTTAGCCAGATGCTTCCGCTTGGCATATACTTAGTCTGTATGAGGTCGATTCACGAAGATTGCGATGTAGGACACAAGTCCTTGACTTTGGTTAGTGGGTGCCCTTAGTGCTTAGGAGAGTCTGGAGATATCCTGGATAGCCCGATGGCCGACCCAGTCTCGGCGCGGAATTTTTCGATCTTCCCAATCGCCGGCGACAAAATGGGAGGTCTGCGCCACAGCCAGCAAGACCCAAGTTGGGCCACCTTACACTTGGAGAGGATGTCCCTCTATACAAGCGCAACAGTAGGTAGTAGGTATAGCTTCAGAGATACTTGGAAAACGTTAGAACATGTCCTATACAAGCAAGAACACAACTGTTCTGGGATCTTCTGCATGTCTCGTCGAATTGAGTTTCGGTATGGGATGAGGAGGGCGGATCCTCAGGCATCAGAACCGACGTCTACGTATGGGAAGTCCGGCGAGTGTGAGCAAGATACGGTATCCCCATAGTACAGTCAGAGGACTCGGCGATCCTGAAGACTGTAACACAGACCGGAAAGAAGAGAATGTTATGACTCAGGACCGCATGTGCGCATGAGCACAGACCGCAAAGAACCCATATGTCCGAGCTCGAGATTTCGACATCCAGAAATGAGAGAGATCAGTGTTTCAATTTGCTGGGCAAAGGAGCATGTAGAAGATGGTCACGACGTTGCTTGGGCGCTGTGTCTCGCTCCCGAGTCCGAGTCATCCGAGGCGATGAAGGAGAGAGGAAACATAAACCGGCATTTCCCGGTAAATGAACGCAGGGAAGAGCCGAATCATGCAGATTCCCTGGGCCATGCGTGCCGAACCAATGGAATTGTTCGCGGCATGACCCAAAAATTGATTTTCGGGCAGTTTCGATGTAAATTGGTCACGATTTACTGTTCGTAGGCCCGCGTACCTGCGTGACCATCGGGTCAAATATGTTCGCTGGCGCACCCTGCGTGATACGTGACGAACATATGGTTGAAAAGCTACAGTCCGTCGAAAGAGCTCGTCCCGGAACCACTAGTGATCATCGCGAGAGGGTGCGCGAGTCAGGGGACATATGCTAGTAACATGCATAGTGAAGGACTCTCTGACAGACACAAACTTTAGTGTGGCGGCTTGGTGGCGGCGAAGTTGATCATGTTTGAATTCAGTCAAAACAAACCAAAACAAAGCCGGTGACGTCAGCGCGAGTGTCACCGCCTTCCGATGGCCAACTACGAGACATAACAATTGAATTTGAAGTAGACTTCATCCCTGGTAGTATATCGGATTAGTACACGCGCCTGTCACGCGCGAGAGCGGGGTTCGACTCCCCGCCAGGGAGCATCCGTCCTCGAAAGGTTGGAATGTCTTTTGACCCACATTAGTATAGTCTCTAAAATCTCTTCGCTATACTTGGATTTTGTGGTTCATGGTCAACGCTTTCTAAAGCATCACACGCATCGAAACCACCCGTTGTGCTACAGGGCTACGTACGTGATGCACACAGTGGGCGAACGCGCCTTCCCGGATGGCATGCACACCTAGAGTGGAACGATCCTCAGACACAGGTATCGCTTTACAGTCTGCCGCTGGGAACGCGGTGCACAGTGAACAGAGATTGACTCTGCAGCGAGAACAGGATTGCCAGACAAAACCGAATAGATGCATGGCCTATAAGTAGTAAACGGAATCACATACATAGCACCGAGCCCGACAGACTGATGGGCAATGACCCCGAGCAGCGACATGACAGTATACCTACCCTTCCAGATCGCTCCCACTCCCTATACTAACCATCTCCACCTCACTCTCATCTTCGTCCATCACCACGTCCTCCTTTTCCTTATCGTCCTCCTTCTCTAGGTCCTTTTCCACCTCGCCGTGCTGCCTAGGACATTCCACCTCCACAGGAGCCTCGACCTCGACCTCAATCTCACCGACTGCTTTGGTTCCATCGTCGAGGACACTCATCGCCACATCGCTCATTCCCAAAACAGATTGACCAGAACTCGCATCTTCCACAGTCGGCGTCATCACCGCCTCTTCCTTCCCCTTCCCCTCCTCGCCCTCCTCTTTCTCCTTCCCAACACCCACCACCTTCCTCTTAACGATCTTAACCCCCTTCACCTTCCCTCCCTTCGCCCCTGCCCCCGTCATCCCTCCCGTCCCCGTCTTCAGCGCCGACCCACCCCCACCGCCTAACCCCGACGTGAGATTCCTCCCCATCTCAATCCCGAGGCCGACGTCGATATGGGGTGCTCGGGTTTTGGACGGCTGTGGCTTGGAATTGGAGGGTTTGGAGTGTTGCATGTGCCCCGTCGCGCGGCTGTTAGTTGGACGTGCGGAGGCGGAGGTGGGATTGTGTGTTGATGTGGACGTGGAGGGTGGTGGTTTCGCGGGAAGTGAGGGGTGGGAGAGTGTTATGGTGGTGGTTGCGGAGGAGGAAGAGGGGTTTGGTCTGGATGAAGTGGTAGATGTGAGAGGAGGTTTTTCTTTTTGTTTCTCGAGCTGTCGAAGCTTGGCTTCCATGATCGCGATCTTATCTTTCGTCCTTTAAGTGAATAACCGTACGAAATCACGTCAGTCTCAATTTCGACTGGAGACCAGAGGGTACGGAGTGGGAGAGAACATCGAAGGTTGTGTGTATGAGGGAGACGGAGACGTACCGATCCCTACCCCCCTCCTGCGCACTCTTCAACAAACTCAACGCAGTCGGTCTTCCCGCCTCATTCACCATCCTCCTATATCCCCTATCTCCACCACCTCCACCCCCACCGTACCCACCCCCACCACCATATCCTCCACCCCCACCACCATATCCTCCACCACCTCCACCGCCGTGTCCGCCAGAGTGCGAGGGCGCAGAACCAGGGAAGGCGTCCGTAGGCGCTTGATGCGCGAACGTGACGACGAGACGACGACCGCGGAGGAGTTTATCGTGCGCTTTGGTGAGTGCGCGTTCGGCGTCCTATGATGTATTGGAGAGCATGAGTGAGTTAGTGATCATCAATTGTCAATTGGCGCGAGACTCGGAGTCTGTATCGGCATAGGTCAACCCCGGGTCTGAGCAAACCGAATGCGCCAGAGAAAGAAAGGAGAAATGGAGAGAGTAAGGCATGGCGGAGAGTGGGGAAATGGCATAGCATGGCAGCAAGGGTTCATCGTCGTCGGATGGATGGACGCATTGTGGCGCGTGCGGGTGTGTGACCCATAGCCCGTAGCATGTAAACAAAAGACCCGGGGTGAGCATTCGACATCTTCAATCAAACAACGAACGAAAACGAAGGACGGGAACGAGAACGAAGAACCGGGGAGAAGGGCAAAGTGAAGTGAAGAAAGGAAAGAGGAAAAGCAAACTTACAGCCGGATCGACGTACTCGACGAACGCATATCCTCTTGGTTTCCCCTTGAGCGGTCCCGACTTGTGGAAGAGGTAATCGAGGTTGGAGAGTTTTCCGAACTTCGAGAAGATCTGGATGAGGGCATGTCTATTTCGTGATCGAGTTAGTTCGTAGAGCTATTGCAGGATTCACAGAAGGAAGGGGCGTGCGGGGCGTAGGGTAGGAAAGAAAGAGAAACGCACTCATCCACCGAATGTGACAGATTTCCTACATATAGTCTGTCTTTGAGCAGCGTACGAGACCGAGGCTGTTGTCCAGAAGAAGGGAACGAGGATAAGCCGGAAGGACCAGCGACGGAGGACAAAGGTGAGGGCGAGGGCTGGGATGGGTAGGATAAATGCGTTTCGACCGTCATTGGTGTAGGCGTCGACAGTGACGTTGGGGATGCAGACAGTTTTGTGCTTATATCTGTGCTGCCAGTTTGGTTTGGTGTAGGGGATGTTGAAGCAGACATCATTGTCGTCGTCGTCGTCGTCGTCGGTAGTGGTGATGGTCGTCGTCGGTAGTGGTGATGGTCGTCGCTGTGGTGGCGAAGAGTGAGTTCTGGACGGAGAAAGTTCGGGTGCGACAGGATATGGGTGACAGTCAGTATAGTATCTAAGTTTTGGTGGTTCCCAGTGGTTCGGTGGCGTAGTTGGTTATCGCATCTGTCTAACACACAGAAGGTCCCCAGTTCGAGCCTGGGTCGAATCAATGGGAATATATATACTCATGATTTTTGCTTTTGCTCTCCTGAATAATCGGGATTTAATGTGTCCTTAGAATTGACACTGGTCTTTTTGTAGCAGTTGTGGTAACGATATAGAAGGCCGGTCAGTGCTATTTCGGAAGTCTTCATTCTGGGTTGTACATGCTTAACCAAATGGTCACGGCAGCGCCAGAACATGCCTGCGCCACGATAGCGTATGTGCATGAGCCTTCGGTTGGAAGCAGACTTGGTAGGCTAGCGATTATACATATATACATACTCGATACAGATTCAGACTCCACCTTTATTTAATTGTGTGTTTATTCCACTCCACCGCCAACCGTCCACCATGATTCGGACATCCCATGATCCCACTCTAATCCTCCGCAACAACGATGACCTTCTTCGCCTTGCTCTTCCCCGTCTGCACCTCCCAAACACCCTGCCCGGCCTCCTTCAACCCATAGCTCTTATCCTCCTCGAACTTGATGACCCCGTCTTTTATCAATTTCGGGACGTCGCGGTAGAAGGCCTCGCCGTATTTGTGCAGCCAGTGGAAGACGAGGAAGCCGTTCATGGAGATTTGGCGGGCGATGATGCTCACCATGTTCTGTGGGCGGGTGAGTGCAGAGTGTAGTGAAGTCATGGATGGGGATAGGGAAACCGTGGTGGGGAACGAGTGCGTAGAGGAAGAGGATAAAAGTAGGAGTAAGAAGGGAGACAAGTCAGCGTCTGATGGTACTTATCAGAAGAAAAATAAAGAGAAACGCACGGTAATCCCGCTATACGCCTTGGGGCCATTGTACTCCGTAATCATCCCCACCTCGACGAACCTCGCGTTCACGTTCGCATACTTGAGCGCAAGGTCGAGAACTTCGCCCCCGACGTGGTCCCAGTAACTAATCCACATCAACACATCGCAAAAAAGTTAGTACCTGGCATTCAGCTGTGAAAAAAGGAAAGGAAAACGCACATATCGATCGGCCCCTCCTTCTTCAGTATCTCCTCCGTGCTCGTTGTCTTATAGTTAAAGCTCACATCCGCGCCGAGCGACGTACAGTATGCGACTTTCTCTTCTGAGCCGGACGAGGCGATGATCTTCAGACCTTCCTGCTTCGCGAGCTGGACGACGAAGGAGCCGACGGCTATACGTGTGATGGAGTGGGGGATTGAGTTGCGGATAAACGGGTACGGCGGAGAGGCAGGGAGGGAGGGAGTTGAAAAAAAACACGCACGTCCAGCGGCAGACGTAACGAATATCGTCTCCCCCTTCTTCGCCTTTGCGAACTCTTGCCACCCGATGTACGCTGTTATACATCATTAGCATGGTGGGACGTGACGAATATTATAAGTAGGAGACGCACCAGTCTGACCCGGCATACCCGCGACGCCGACATAAGCCGACAAGGGGATCCCGGCCTCGTTCTTGAGCACGGTGAGTTCGCCTTTCTCTGTGCTGATGAAGTATTCTTGGAATGCTGTTTGTATACAGGTTTAGTTTAAAGGTTCTCGAGGTACATACAAGGTAAAGCGAGTGGTAGCAAGGGAAGAAAACGCACGGAGGGAGCCATAGACGTGATCGCCAGCCTTGTAGGAATCGTTCTCTGAGCGGAGGACTTTCCCGACGCCGAAGTTGGTCATTCTGTACATAGTATTATGATGAACAGTTAGCATAAAGTAGCATTATACATTGTATACGATGAAAGCCTCCAGATATGAGAGAGATAGGAGGAGAGGAGAGGGGAACTTGAATATGACGAGTAACGAGAGACTCACGGTTTACCGAGCGGGAATGCGGGCTGATCCATTCCAACGTAACATTAAACCAACAGAACACCCGAAGAAAACACAGTCAGTACACATTCTAACTGTTACTCATCTGCCAGAAGTCGAGAAAACCGGTAAACGTACCACATAACTCGCCACACTCTCAGGCCGCATGCGTCCCCTCATGTACGGGTCGATCGAGAGATAGAGTACCTTGACGAGGACACCTCCATTGAGAGAAACGGTCTCGAGGTCGATAGTCTCGGAGGTGTCGTAGGTAACGTGTTTGCCTGGTTCAGGGTAGCCTGGTGTATAGTTCACGACGACACGAAGAAAAAGGCAAGATGAGCGAGTGAGAAGCGCGACTCCATGCAATGGAAACGTACCGGTAGGGATTTCAGAGAAAAGAGAACGGCCGTTGGTGATAGGTGCCATCGTTATTCAGGTTCAAAAACTCAAAGTTGGGGTAGTACGGAGATGTTGAGATGATGGTGATGAGAGCTGGTCGATAAGTGCAGTCCCAGTTTCCAGACATCCCGGCTTTTATAATTGTCCGACCTTCGGCCAGGAAGATTTTCGTTTGGCGCATCCCCGGGCCATCGTCAGAGTATCATGCGCATAGGATAATCGAAAAGCTTATCCAGTGCGCCAGAAAGACTTACTCAGGAAAGAAAGAAAAATAAGTGTGGGGATGCCGCCGGGATGACAACGACGATGATGACGCAGTAGAGGCGGGACCGGGATATATCGCTGAGACATCCTATTGGTTGGCTTTCGAGTTCCACAAGTTTCAACCATGCAAGGTTGAGCACGACCATCGTACTGCAGTACGGTACACTTGAACTACACACAAGGGGCAAGAAACGTGGAAGGGTAGGTAAGAGTTTGGAAAGCATTGTCTTTCCTAGCAATCGGTGATTAGCAGTCGGGGCTGGTCGGAGTCTGTCCTTCAAGCACATTTCAGCAGTGTGTTCGGGACGCAGCGTCTGACAAGGTTGAGAGGATGAAGTTCGGGCAGGCTCAGCAATGAACGCAAGAAAGCCGAGGGTTACATGCTAGGAAACTGGCCTTGGTAAGGAATTCGATCCAATGGACGAGTGCATGGAGAGGAGAGTTAGAGTGTCAGTTAGAAGCGATGAAGTCACTGCGAGGTCCCTACAAGGTCACTGATCGAGGAGTGAACAAAGTGGTCATTTCATGTAATTGGTCAGCGAACTAAGAACAAACGTTGGTGTTGCGGAGCGCCCAGGAGGACTCTTTGCAGACTTTTCTTGAACGCTCGATAACCAGCTGGATCGAGAGCGAGTCCGACTGCGACTTCCCCTCTTCTTTCAGTCTTTGTCAGAATCCTAGTACTTACTTACCACACTTCGACTCTCAAGCGTCATTCCCTCCCGACTCAACACCATAAGTACGTGGGGGATCGCCGACGTGCCACATCTCGAACTCCGGTAGTCCGCTATATGCCGGGGACACAATTCCACGCCCTTTCTGCGCCACGTTGGGTGCCACGCCACCCGGACGATCGTTAACGTTCCTCGTCGCCATGCTTCCGCAAAATAGAGCTGAACGTAAGTATATCGATGGTGCTTTTGTCCTTTCTTGCCCGATGCTTGCCTGTCGGCCGTCTAAGTCGATTCACTAAGCCCTCGAGTTAATGATGTTTGAAAGCGAACCAAAAACTGCGTAGATTCATTATCATCGTAAAATTACATTTCTTGTGCAAGCGATGAGATGAGCTGCTTCCTTTCTTCCGTGCTGACGTGTCTAAACCTGTCTAAACGCCTTTTCATGCCCCAAAAGACTGCAACTCCGCCACCTGACGCTCAAGCTCATCGACATCCGCGCTCTTCGCCACATTCTCCCTCAACCACAAATCCATCTTCTCGACGATATCAACCACTTCCTCTCCGCAGGAGACACGCATCCATGCCCAGGTAAGCACCACCGCCTTCACCAAATCATCAATGCCGTCGAACTTGGCCAATGCCTCCTGTGTCGACCATCCTTCCCAATCCGTCAATCAACTCCACCACCTCTGTAGACTTCTCACCAAAGGAGTCGTCGAATCTCTACATCCTGACAAGCTTGTCCAGAACCTCTGCGGTCTCGATGCCGGAAGTAGCCGCCTGCTCTTGGATGAAAGACATGGGCGAGTCTGCAAAGGGATCGGACGTTCTGAGGAGTGAGGCGGGTTCTACACCTCGAGTCGCCGCGGCAGCTCAAATCTGGGGAACTGGAACGGCGAACAGCCCGTGTGGGAGCCCAGATGGAGAGGGAGCGTCCGCCTTCCCGACGACACTCCCGCTGTTGTCGACCGCGAGGAAACTGGTGTGGCGGCTAGTGAGGCTATACCTCTGAATCCGAGGTTGATGATATCCTCCTTGAGGTCGTTCGCCGTCGGGTTTTTGTGGATGTCAGAACGTCCGAGCTCACGTTCGGAGATGACGGCCTTGGCCGCGAGAGTGTGCAGACGAGCGAATGAGCCGATGGACCCACAACCCGCGTCCCATCCTCACGGATTACGACGAAGCTACATATCGCGGGCCCTCCGAGAACACTAAAATTGTACGTGACCTGGTTCGCGACCGACGTACTGGGGTTATGGAACTTTTGGATCAGAGTAACCCAGGAGTGAACGTCGATGATAGAGGCGGTGACTTTGCACTCGGTGAGGACTAGAGGCCTAGCCTAGGAGTGGGAGACGCTAGGCTGCTGTCCGCCACCGCCTGGAGCTACGGCTGGAGGGGGACAGGGGATGCAGACGGGGGGTTTGGGCTGTTGATTCGCGGCGCAGTCAGATATTGTGTGATTTGGGTGGAATGAGAGAGGGTGGTTTGTGCGACGTCTGCTTTCATATGGATACGGATGTTTGTGGCGTCTCTCGACGAATTGTGCCACCAAGATGTGCAGACGCAGACGAAGCAACGTGGCTCATACTCTACGAAAAGCCTAGCTTCTGCTGCATTTCTCGGTGGATGAAGACCCTCAAAAGTATATCGGACAATCATTTTGCGTCAAATCCCAGAAGGAATCATAGCATTCACACTTGTGTGTGCGTGCTTTGGAACTCAACAGACAGGATGTGATGTGAACTTTGGAGCTACTTGTGTGCATGATGAGCGTGCTGTGGCCAAACGAACGTTCAGCCGCGACCCAGTCGGCATGGAACTCGGTGGTTTGACGATCCATGGGGGCCTCCCAGCGTCATCAGGACTGACTCGAGACCGATAAATGTCACCTTGTTCACTGCCTCAGGCGCAAGCTTAGGAGTCCAACGACCATCTGTTGTCTCGTGGGGTCCTTGGTTCGATGAATGAACAACTAGAGCGCACAACGATCGGATCCGATGAGCGAGCGAAAGCTCAGCGTCGAGGCGATTATCGAGGAAGACGCTCATTTCGCGATGCATGGAATCGTTCAGACGTTTGTGCGTCGGATAAATATGTCATCGTCAAGAACCTCAGACGTCACAGCCTTGCGGCCTGTACGAACTGCGTGCTCCAAAGGCAAACAGCTGTCTAGCCCGAGGTCCACGAAGCGTACTCATCCTCGGCATTAAAAGACGCAGGTCGACAGAACTACGCACCAACTTACTAAAAGGTAGTCGTATGAACATGTGTCCACTCCGGACGAAGTGGAGAGCTCGTTTGGCTCATGCTGTGGAAGATTGTTTTCCTGTAAATATAAGGAGAAACACTCTGAAGTATCAGACCAACCAAAAAAGCTAAACAGCTTCAAGAACATGAACTTACTGACCTGTGTTATGGGATATCGCCGATCCATTCTCGCTTTCATTCTACTGTACGGACGATCATCATTGATCGTATGATAGAGTGAGGTGTTCTGGCTGCCAATGCTATATTCAAACAAATGACCGTGACGAGGTTGTGGTCGGAAGAGAAAATGGTTTGCCGTTCCGGAGAGCACCGAAGGCTGCTGAGTCAGCTCTCATGTTCGTTGCAGGTTCTTTTTTTTTTTTTTTTAAATTCAATTGTATTTGTATAGCGCCAGCGAGAGCCAGGGGCGCTGCGTGTGTAAATACATACAACCAAACCACAAAAGTAACCGCATGAGGCGCCCGAAACCGAACCCTACATAAGCGAGACCACTGTATGCGTATTGCGGAGCCTTCGGGGAAAAAACCGTCCGATCCTCAAGAAGTGGTCTGACCATGGCCAGACAGAAAGTGGCGAAATAAAGAGAATACCGGAAACACGTTATGTAGGAGCCGGGCACAAATGAGCAAGAAAATCAATCCACCGCCATACTCGCCGCTCCCTTCCCCTTCCCCTTCCCCTTCCCCTTCCCCCGCGGCCTTCAAGCTTTCTTGCGTAGTAGTCCTTCTTCCATGCGGATGTGCCCCATTGCTCTTCGTCCCATCTCGCTCGATATGTACTACTGCCATCTTCTCAAAAGAATGGAACAGCTAAGACTGGTCGATTCCAAAAGGACCAAATGGAGCACGTTCAATGTGCGTCTAAGTACAGGGCATGAAGGTAGCCGATCGAGCACTCAGCGGTCGCTGGCAGGGGCCCCAACGTGACAGTTGTTTCATCTCTCAGTTCATGTGTTTATGGTCTGGAGTGTGTATCGGATGATCAGGATCCACCTATATCACAGCCTCTATCCGTATTCACATCTGATAGTGAAGCTCTACGGTCGTGGGCGTTCATCGACATCGAGTTGATGCCCAAGCGTATCATTCGTCTCTTGCGTCATATTTGGTGACACCAATGATAGCAGACACGGTGGTTTGAGGTGTCGGACTTGCTAAGTCTTCTTCACATAGGGTTGCGGGGAGATCGGTTCTCTAACCCCCTCCACATAAGCACCCGTCTCTCACTGTCGCCCTATCTGTTTTCTACCGTTCGCACTCGCAGAAATAACATACACGTCTGCTTCAAATATGTTTCTTCCGTGGATCAGTGTAACTGTTCATACGGTCAAGGAAATTTTGTGGCATCTGCATATGTGAGTTGCTTCTCTTCGCTCACGGCTCGATCTGGTGCATCTAATGCCAACACGCTCTTAGTTACCCACATCCTGAGATAAAGTCTGTCAAGAACTCAACTTCTTCCATATACGTTTGAGCCTCTCCCCACAACTTATTCAACTTCGTTGCCAGGCCCGATATTCCTCCCAAGCCTTCTGAGCACGATCACGTCGAAGAAGAACCCAATGTCGAAGAGCAAAAGCCAGACTCAGCGTAAGGACCTCAACGTTGCCAGTCTTTTTTGTTGTGTGACATCTTTCCTCTAGTGCTCCAACGCCATCCCAACCACCGGAGGCCACTCAAGACGAAAAACCCGACAGGGACGAACAGCAGCCACAGTGCGAAATTTTCTCCGATTGGACGCCTTGCTTGAGAATGACACATTTTCGTTCCAGTGCGCCGCCGTTCACGAAGCCTTCTGAAACCAGTGAAGATCAAGGGACGTCTGAAACTGATGTGCAACAACCACAGTGAGTGCACTATAATATTATCAGCCCTCGTCCGTATTGTGACATATTCGTTGCAGAGTTCCATCGCCTCCGCAGCCTATCCTCGTCCAACCGTGAGTTTATCTCCTTCTGTCCACTCAAAATCATTGTTTTATGCAGTTCTTCAGTCCATCGTCCCGTCTCTACGCGCTTGTCATCGGAATCAACGACTATGAGCACACCAGAAAACTCAGCGGAGCCGTCGCCGACGCGGACGCGATGGTACAGTTCTTAAAGACCTCCGCAGGCGCCGTGGACAGCAGGATCAAGAATCTACGTGATCGGCAGGCGACTCGAAACAATATCCGCGAAAGCATACGTCTCCTAGCTTGCTGTGACGATATCAGAAAGGACGATCCGATCCTCATCTTTTACGCCGGACACGGAGGCGAAGCAAACCCTCCCACGGACTGGCCTTCTGGAGGCGCGGGAAAGAAGATCCAAATGCTTTTACCATGCGACTTCGTGCCTCATACCTCCAAATCGGAGACCGGACAAGGCATCCCCGATATCACCCTATCCATTCTTTTGACCCAGCTCGCGAAAGCCAAGGGTAACAACATCGTGAGCAGAATCGCAAAGCTTCTGCTCCGACGACGTGATACTGACTGTACTTACGCAGACCATAATCTTGGATTCGTGCAACTCCGGTTCGGGTACTCGGAAGGACTTTGAGGATCAGTTGGTCGTCTCGCGCGGTATTGATATTCCCGACAACTACGCTATATTGCCTACGCTGGACGAAGATCTGTTTCCCAAAGATATCCCCCGCGCTACTGCTATTGCGGCTGGATATGAGAACTCGGGTTTGGCGTCACATGTCCTACTTGCTGGATGCAGGGCCACACAAACTAGCAAGGAGGATAACGGTCGTGGTCGGTTCACTAAGGCGCTGCTGGAAGTTCTAAACTCGGACGGAACGGACAAGATGACATACGAGAAACTCATCGAGCGTCTACCTCTCCTTCCCGAGTTCGCTATCCCTCCTTCCATGACATCGCGATATCGTCTGACCTTTGTGGCTGTTTCTGTAGGCAAGATCCGCAATGCGAAGGCATACATAAGTCGAGAATCCTCTTTGACTCCATGGTCCCTATCATGGGACGTGTTCTCCACCGTGTCACGGAGAAGAAGGCTGGACTGTTCGAACTAGAGGCTGGAGAGGCGTACGGAATCACGGTCGGAGCCAAGTTCAACGTCTATGCAATCAAGGATCCGAACTCTCGATGCCTCGGTGTCCTCGCCGCCGAGAAGACTACCGCCTTTACCACCGAGTTACGTTTTATTCCCGACGCCTCTCCCTTCACGCTCCATTCGAAACCTGGATACGCTCTTCAAACATGGGTAGGCGAGAAGCAGGATCTGCGTTTGTCCATCGCGGACGATGATCGTCTCTTAGACGTCTACGAACGCACGAGGATTGAGATGGACAAGAATCGGCTGGTAGGGAAGCGAGGAATTCTGCTGGTGGAGAAGGACCAGTCCCCCGATATTGTTCTGACGATGCAGGGCCACAATGTCGCATTCGAAATCACGGACAAGTTCTGCGTCGACCGGGGGCTGGCGACCATGCCTTTCGCCGTCAGCTGCGACGCCAATGACGTTTTTCCTGTCATTACTAGCGCTGCCGACTTCTATTGGCATCTCCGTCGCACTTCTTCTGACAGGCGCCTTACCAGCAAGAACATGGTCCAGCTCGAGTGTCATGAGCTAGAGGGAACCGACGAATGGACTGATGACCTCGTACCAATTCTGAAATCGAAGGGCGAAAATATTCTCTCACAAGGAGTTATACACGTAGTCGCAGACAACCTCGCAGCCTACGGATTCAAGGTCACAAACAAGACGAACCTACCTCTCTACGCCGCGTTGTTCTACTTTGATATGAGCGATTTGAGCATCAGTATGTTAAACAATTTCCCGTCTGTCTCACCGTCAGACCACTAAAATCTTTAGCAGCCTCGTATTATGAGCCTAACAAAGCTAACGACGGCAACGTTGACCCGTCGATCCCAGCTCGCGGCTCTCTCACCATCGGGTACGGTTCGGGTGGTTTTCCTCCTCGCAACTTTTATCTGCGCGATGATCAAGACTTCGACATCGGATTCTTGAAGCTTTTCGTTTCGACAAAGCCAGCCGACTTCTCGCACATCGCGCAATCCTCGCCGTTTTCGCGTGATCGTGGTAGTGCGCCGCCCTCGACGCCCAACCGTCTCTACCTGTGGGACTCGATTCTCGTTGGCCTCGTCCAGCGCAGACCCACGAAATGAATGCTCTAGATATACATGCGCGGTGTGTTCGACCGTCGAATAACTATTCCGGCCTTTTAAAATTCGACGCTGACCACTGGAATTAGGCGCCCGACTGCTTTTTATCTTTCTGTTGCTCTCTACGTGTACGTGTAACTCCTACTTCATTGCCACTGGCTCATCTGATCACATCTTCTGAACAGCTATATAATCCAAAAGCTCTTGCTATCCTCATTGTTCTTCCACTTCCATCCCAGTCGGTCACCTCTGTTGTGTACGATCACAAATGTAGTCAGAAATTTCACAAGGTTGAATTCACCATTCGCCACAAATACTGAAGATGTCTCTCCATATTATTCCGAACTTATATCGGTCCCACGGTTCATGAACTAGTCGACAGCTTCGACTTCGAACGTTAACTCTCATTTCTATCTTTCAGCAATTACGAGCCTACATCGACTCGAGCGAACTGGTCGCTCCAAACAAAGCACCGTAAGTACAGTCGGCGGAGGCTAAAATTACTCCGGTTACCCTTCGACATTACTAAGCAATCTCATCCACGATGGCCTTCACCTCCCTCAGACTCCTCACAATCTTTGTTGGTCCACCTACATTCGGCTCCAGGAGTCTGTCCGCCCAACCTTTACCTACTCGGTCAACCCAAATGGCACGCATTCCTGATGACCGAGCACCGCAGACGTCAAAGGGATTCCTGTATAAGGTCCGCATTTTCAGGTGAACTATATTATGCAATACGAATTAGCAGGAGTGAGCTAGACGTACCCGCTCACAAGCCACACATTCTGTGGCTCATTCGTTTTCCCCAATGATTGCAGCAAGTCTTGGTATACAGCAGGTGATGGTTTATATCTCTTGACGTTGTCGGTAAGATGTTGGCCTTCCACGAAAGGAGAAACACCAGCGGCGTCGAGAGAATTCGAAACCATCTGTGTTGGTTACAGAATACGTGACTGAGTTTTGGTTCTCTAAATAGGTGAAAGTAGTTGAATGGACCGAAACTTACGTCCTGCGTTCCTATCACGCGTATGAACGGATAATCAGTCCATGGTACAAATCGCGTTTCTTCCCGAGACAAGGGGACGAACCGTTACTGAACACGGTAATCTTTATATTATTTTTCTCTTTCAGCGCCTGCAGTGCATCGAAGGCGTCTTTGAATCTGGCACCCCCAAGCACACGTACACTCACTGTAAGTCAACTTGTCCCGTATTCACAAACCGTCCATGGAGGGGGTATCTTTCATGGGACCAAAACAAAAAAGAAAGACGTACGCGCCGAGCGTCTGATATGCGCCACATATATCTTCGGCATCGCTATTCGAAATATCGAATCCATGTTCAATGGTGGCGTTGATGAGGCTTCGACGAGTTACTTCGTCAAAAGGCTCGTAGAGCTCTATTAGTTATCAACGTCTCCGGGTATTAAGATCCTGTGTGAATTGACTAGTAGATGGCGAGCAGACAAACCCATCGAGTTCAATCGCCATGTATACCTATAACGTTAAAGACCAAACAATGTGAATGCTGAAGTCCTGAAACAATCAGGAAGGAACTAAGAAAAGGGGAAGCGTACTCGAGCTGATGCTTTCTCCAAGTTATTGCCACCTCCGCCGCCTTCTCGCGTGAAACCTGAAGCTTCTCCTCTAACACCTTACTGATGCTGCTTGTGTCGAGAAGGGTGCCGTAGACATCGAAGGCGAGGACTTGATGTACAGACGTCATCGTGAACTAACAATATCCGTTCGTCACTGGTAGAGCTGGAGTCAATCTTTCTATTAGGAGAGCGGAGTGAGGTATTTATAAGAATGTCTGCACGGAGGCCCGCATCGGCGATGGTGGTCTCCCACGGAACCCTCACCGAGGTTGATGACAAAGTCCGTGTGCCCACTTGGTAAACTTACAAGTTACAATGGCAGACAAACAAGACATTACTTGACAATACCAAAAGCAAGAAGTACACAGAACATGCCGAAATTTCCATCACAGCCAATGTCGAGCCAGTGTCTCCAGACCATCCCTGTAACAGAGCGACGATTACGAGTCCATGACCCCTCCGTGACTGCGGCGGAAAGAAAGTAAAAGAGGACACCCATCCACAAAATATATGCAGGACGACCAACAAAGAAATCACCAACATGCTGGCTCTTAGTGTTTCTTCGCCTCCACATCTGGGTACAACTACAAAAACGCAATCCTCAGCATGAGAACGACCAAAGGCAGAATACAAGGAATAAGCGTTACCTTTCCCGGGTTCATAATCCCCAATGGATCAATAGCCGCTTTCACCGTCCTCATCAGCTCCACCGTATTCTCACCCAACTCCTCGGTGAGGTACTCTTTCTTGCCTACGCCAACGCCGTGTTCGCCCGTACCTATATACAATTAAATCGTAGGCAAGTTTATATTCATTGTTAGTGAGACTATCGAGGAGTGGTAGTGATAGGGAGACGACGACTTACACGTCCCGTCCAACGCAATAGCCCGATGTGCGAGTCTGTGAACGGCCGCGCTGACCTTCTCAAGCTCTTTATCGTCTTTGAACAGCATTAGTGCGTGGAAGTTGCCTGGACACAAGAACGGCAGAACGACGGTGAGGATGACGATCCGGTGCATAACATGTGGAAAAATAGGATGATAAACGAACCATCTCCGACATGCCCTACAATCGTCGACTTGATCCCCTCCTGCGCCATGTCCTTCTTTGTCTCATATACCAACTCCGGAAGTCTCGAAACCGGTACACTATCCAGTCACTCCCATCAGCCTCCCTTCCCTTTCCACGCATTCATTCCAACGACCATAAAGAGAAACCAACTTACCAAACATCCGTAGTCCAACACTTACTCCCCGGCGCGCTCGCCAACGTCGACATTAGCGCATACTTCCTATTCTGCCAAAGCTCCGCCGCCTCCTCGTCGCTCTTCGCAAACTCGAAATGTTTGCTCCCGTGTTTAGAAGAGATGGAACGGACTTCGTCCGCGGCATGCGATATGGATTTCGGGTTGCCTTGGATTTTGAAGAAGAGGGTGTCGTTTACGCCGAGGGGACGGGAAATTAGACCGCCAGAGTTTAGCGTGCGCATCACTGTCAGGACAAGGTATGACACGTAAGTCCGAGTGGCGTCGAGGATGATGGAGGGAGGTGTGGAGAGGTATGAACGTACTGTTATCGTCTAAAAGCTCGACACATTCTGTGAAGCAAGCAAACCGGCAGCCTCTTAGAGATAACGTATGGCCGTACAAATGACCATAAAACTCACGTATAGAACTCCCGTACGAACTTCCCAATATCTCTTGAACCGCACTCACAGCATGCTGCACGTCAGGAAACTGCGCCATCGCGACCTGATATGGGACCAATGGTGCAAGTCGAAGCGTGGCTATATAGCACAATCAATCATGCACGTCAATAAATTCCCTTTCGGGCGGAGCGGTTTTGAGGATCGTAAACGGAGAAAGGAAACGTACCTTCGGTGACGATACCCAGCGTCCCTTCCGCACCGATGAAGAGTTTCGTGGTATCAAAGCCAGTAGCCGATTTTCGCGCACGTCGTTTTGTCTTGATCACCTTTCCGTTCGGGAGGACCACGGTCTACACGTAGCAGGACCACACCAAAAGATCGATTCAGACCCATCAGTCTGCAGGGACTCAATGAAGAAACCGAGGATACTGACTAAGTTCAAGAACCATTCGCTGCGAGCAGTGCCGTACCGCACGGCGTTCGCTGAATGGAGGGCCATTGCTCAATATGCGGGAGATAGAGGGGAGAGAAGATGTGCTTACTTCCTGAGCAGCCTGTACCGACCATACCGCCGATTGTCTAAGAGCCACATTACAGAGTCAGAACTATTTCAACATACGGGGTTGCAGGTCTTGAGTTCCATTAATATGGGTCTCATGCCAGACAACGGAAATCCATTTGGGCAGGAATAGGGGCTGCGCCACACAGTGTGGCGCCACAGCCAATGGCCACGGGCCACCACGATTTACAGGCCACACTTTGCTGACATAGAATCTGGCGTGGAGACAAGACACTCACAGCTCCTGGACCTGGGTCAAGCTACGATATTTTCCTCGTTAGAACGAACCAAGTCAAAGCCGGAGTTCGTGACACATACCGGAAAGAAAAGGGGGATACCCTTGTCCTTCAACGTCTGGTTGATATCTTCCCACCGTGCTCCAGACTGACAAACAAGGTCCCCATCGCCCTCTATACAATACTATGAGTACTCGAGCAACGTTTCGAGAATATGAGCGTGGCCCACCATTGATCTTCAATAATTTGTCCATCCCTGACAAATCTATACATATACTCCTGCTCTCATACTACCCACACCGGCGTCACACTTGCGTCAGCATACCTTCTCCCGCCCCACATTCTCCCAAAACCAGATGAAGGCCGCGAAAAGGCACTCACCCCTGCAAAATGACCTTCCAAACTCGTCGCCCCACTATACGCCGTGATCGGTACCCTGTACTCCCTGGCCACGTTCACAATCTTGACCACGTCCTCCGTACTCTTCGGTCTCACAACGACCGCATGCGGTGATGTAGGATGATACGAGTTCTCCGACGAGCCATAACTTTGAAGTTCGTCGGGATCGGTCGCCACAGCGTCTTCGCCAGGTAAGAGGGTGCGTAGTTTTGCAATGGCCTGTTGGACTTCGGACGGGGAGGCGTAGCGATCGTGGTCTATGCTCGTGTACAATAATGTCAATGAAGAAGAAGAAGAATTGGAAGAGGGTTGGCGTGTACTTGAACTATTCGTCCATCCCGATGTCAAGGATGACTTGAACCCATTTTGAGACCATATATAGCCATCTGCTATGAGGACGACGGTAGCGGCTGCAAGAACCCAGAGTGATGCTCGTGAAGGAGGACCAGAGGTGGGTTTCGGAGGTTCCGACTCTGAACTAGCATGACGCGTGAACGAGTGAGGGATACGGCTGGCTTTGGCTACTGTCAGCCTTGTGGAAAGCCCTGTACTCCGTTTTGTGCCCTTGAAAGTCAGGTTCCTAAGCATTTCTACGAGCCCACTACGTGCGAAATAGAAGGAGAGAGGGAGGAAGGCCGAAGAACGAGAAGAAAACGAGGATAAGAGCGAAGGTCATTATATACCGGAACTCCGAGTACTGGCAGTAACATGACGGTTGAAATAAAGAGTGGCACGTCAGACCGGGTCAGCAGCTCGCAATACGGCATTTCTATTTTGCAACCATCTCGAGGCCGATATGCTCGAACACGCGAGTAGGCTATTGGACAAAATCTGGACACAGACCGCATCGCATTGAAAACCAACAGAAAATGGACAAAACGCGAGCAATATCTGGTTGACCCTGGGAGATCATTGTGGCACACCATCATCACGCGAAAGGACTCGGACCAAAAAGAGATGAGATGAGAGGGATGAGATGAGATAGATAGAATAGAATACGGAAAACGACACGTCTGGAGAGTGCAATGTGAGTAATGCCACGGGTCATCATATGCGTGCATGATAAAATTCTACGGTATGTGCCAACACCATCTAATCTGTCGCTGTCGCCAACTTGACCCAAAAAGTTCGCACCGCGACCGCAAGCAGCAAATTATAAGGGCCTATTTATCCACCACCAATCCGTCCATTTTTTCCTCTCAAACGAATCACTGCGCCTTCTTCTCCACCTCCGCCTCCGCCTTCTTCGCATCCTCGATCTTCTTCTGCTCCTCCTGCAGCGCCCTCCTTTTCTCCCTCCTCTCCCGTCCCCTCGTGACGAGCTCCCTCGGCTCCAGATCCGCGAACAAATACTTGCATACCCATTCGATCGCCCAGCAGCCGATGAAATCGAGGATCATGCTCGCCGTCAACTTGAACTTAAACTAATAACCACACACTACACGTCAGCCCTGTTCTGTTCTTCCGGGAGACAGCAGAAAAAGTCAGAATTCAGTACGCACCGAACCCTCCATAGCAACCACCTGCAACCACCTATTCATCTCCGGCATGAAATCCGTCGACCCAGAAAACGCAACACAGCTCGCCCCAACGAGTCCCCAATACAACGCCGGGTTCTCTCTGATGCCCTCCCGGAAGGGCCGGCCTTGGTAGTTGATCGCGAACGTCGAGACTTGTTGCGAGAGGCCGAGGAGGAAGACGGCGGTGTTGAGTAGGTTTGGCTCGAATTTCGCTTCGAGGTCGATGGGGCCGCGTCTGTGGGGGTGGGTGGGGGGATGGATGGAAAGGACAGGGCGGGGCGGGGAAGGGTGCGGCAGGGCAGGGTGAAGTGTGGGTTAGTTGTGAGGAGATGAAGGAGGGAAGAGGGGAGAGAGGAAAAAGAACGTACTCTTCAAGAACGTGCGCAAGCTCGGTGATATAGACCATCGTCCCGATATGCAGCGCGAACTGCATCAAAACGGAGAGCAACACGTAAAAGTTGAAGATATTGCTCAACGGCCGTTCCCTCGACAGTTTCTCCACAGGCTAAAAACCCACAGAAGCATAGTCAATCTCGAGTTACGACTCAGAAGTAATACTCGCAGGGGAAAGGAAAAAAGGCAGCAGGAACGCACCTTCGCCCGCGAGATACACAAGAAGCAAACGCTCATGAGCATGCCCGTGATCGTGACCTGATAATCCCCATACTTGATCCCGTCGAGATACTGCACGCTGAGCGAGTAAGCGGTGATGAGACAGTTCAGCGCCAGGATCTTGTACATCTGGATCGTCGCCACGAGCGTGCAGCGGCCCTGGCGGATGATGTGCGTGACTGTCCCACACCACGCGTTCAGTGACCGTAGATTAGGGTATAGGGAGGGGGGAGAGCAGTGAAGAACGCACTAGCAGAGACGTTGGACAGCTTGGACGTGAACGGCGCGGCGCAGGACGCATCGCCCAGTTTAATCTTCGGAACGTCGTCCTCTCCCTCCATCTCCGCCATCTTATCCGTAATCGCCGCCAAATTGAACTAAACAACCGTCAGCCCCCCATCCTACTCAAACCATCACACTCAACAATGCTGAGAAACACACCTTCTCCATCGGATTCGCCTTCCTCCCCTCCTTCTGTTCCTCCGCCGCCTTCCTCTGCGCCTCAACCGCATCCGGGAAAAAATGCGCAATAGCCGGCGGAACAGGCGGCGGCGGCTGCCCAAACCTCGCACTAATATTCAACTGTGACACATAAACCTTCTTCAACCTCTCCAGCCTCTCCCTCTCCGCGATCTTCTTCAGGTCTTCAACCGTCCCATCCAACAACGCCACACCAATATGAGCCTGCTTCAGCGCGCCGACGTCGTTCGTCCCGTCGCCCGCCATGAGCGTCGTATATCCCAGTGCTTTCAGGGACGTGAGGATGAACTCCTTCTGCGCGGGCGAGACGCGCGCGTAGACCCATGTGTGTTGCACGAGGACGTTCCATGCGTCCGGGCGGGACTCGAACTGCTTAAGCGCGGGACCGGTGACGCAGATGTCGTAGGTGGCGAGGAGGGAGGTGTCGAGCTGTTCGGAAGGGTCGACGGGGATGATTTTGGATTCGTCGACGGTGCGCCAGGTGAGGTCGGAGGGTGATGAGGGGTTCTCGCGGACGTCGAGGATGAGGGCTTCGCGGTCTATGATTTCGACGTCTTTGGCGACGTGGACGGCGGTGAGGGGGTTGTCGCCCGTGATCATGATGCACTGGATGGGTGGGTGGGTACCGGGCGAGGGGGGTAGGCCGAAGGGGGAAGGTTAGCAGGGCTGGGAAGGCAGAGAGCGAAGTGGGACAGAAAAAAAGGGAAAGTCACATACCCTATGCGAAGAATCCGCTAACATCTTCAAGCTCTCCACCGCGTCCGGCTTCAGGGGACAATGGAAAACCAAGAAACCAGCAAACACGAGCCCGCTCTCAACTTCGTCGCGCGTGAGCTTGTTGATCTATCCACGCCACGTTAGCTCCCAAACAACACAATCCTCATCGTCGAAACAGTGGCGTCGAAACAGTAGTAGGAGGGGAAAATGAGCCGGAAAAAGGACGCACCTCCCCCCTCGTCAACCCCTCCACCTCCCTCATCCCCAACGCAAGCACCCGACTCCCCCTCCTCGTATATCCCTTATAAACCTCATCGTACCCCTCCGGTATAACACTTAACATCCCCCTGATCGTCTCCGGCGCGCCTTTTACTGCTATGAGTGTTGAATGACGACCCGAGGTGGCAGCCGAGGAACCAGGAGGGGAGAAAGAGGGAGGGAGAGAGGAAACGGTCGACATGCGTTTAAGCGCGGATGAGAACTGGAAACGGCGTTGAATCGTTAAACCTTGTCCTCCTCCCTGTCCCTGTCCACCACCTCCTCCCTTCCCATGTCCATGCTTCTTACCCTGATGCTCCCTAACCGCCGCCGCCACCGTCCCCCCCATTCCCTGCTCACCCGACTCAAGCGCGGGAAGGACCATATCCCCCATCTCGATCCTCCACCCCAGTGCCTCCAACGTCGTCTTCTCCATCGGGTCTCCGACGATCGTGCCGTCCTCGAGACGGACGAGGGCGTGCGCGGCGGCGAGGGTTAGGGTTGTTAGGCGGGAGGCGGAGGTTACGGGGAGGAGGGTTTGGGGGGAGGAGGGGCTGTGGGGAGGTAAGAAAGGGAGGGGGAGGTGGTTAGTAAGAGGAACGAGGAATGAGAAGTAGAAGGGGGAGCGAGAAGGGAGAAGTAGAAGGGGGAGCAAGGACGAGGGTCAAAACGGTCAGGAGTGACAGGAGCGGCGGGTGAACGGACTGAGCAACTCGCAAGACAGAGGCCATCAGGGACGTGAAATGGCGTTTTCGCGGTTCTCATTGCTCAATGAATAGAGCGCACGCAAAAGTGCACAAGTCAAAAATAATCATGAAGACAGTTCCTATACAAACACAGTTTTCGTTTTCGAAAAAAGTGAAAATTACGAGCGCCATATAACCTTGCAACCCGACGGTCTAAAGGCAATGCATATGGCGCTCTTTTTCTCGGTTCTGCTTGCACGTTATGACGAAGAACGAACGACATTCTCTAGAGAGCCGTCGAGACGCCACTTCACATGCCGTGCCGTTCGTCGTCGGTTCCTGGTGGCCTCTGTCCCAGCCTGTAGCTCGTAGCTCGTAGCTCACACCCCGTAGGCCACAACCCGTAGCCCATAGCTCGCAGCCAGAGATGGAAGTGGAAGTTCGTAGTCGAATGGGGGAGAAGAAAAGGAAAAAGAAAAGAAAATAGCAAAAAAAACAAGGAAAAAGAAGAATAAAACGCACTCAACGCCCGCCACACCCTCCAACACCAAATTCTCCGCCGTGATCGTGCCCGTCTTATCGAAGCAGCAGACGTCGACGCGGCCCGCGAAGGGGATGCGGAAGGGTTCTGTGCAGAATATGGCTGTTTTCATACCATACGTGTCAGATCCTTCCTCCAATGCTCTCGGAAAAGGGGAAAAAAGGGGGGGGGGCAGGGCGAAGGAATAAGGGAGGTGTGAAGGAGTGGAACAAGTGCGAAGGTGATGGGCTCGAGGAAAGGGCATCGAGAAAAACGAAAGACCCACCAAACTTGCTCAACGCCACCAAACTCGCATTAACTGCCAGACTCAACTCCATCGGCAACTCCGGCGGCACCACGCTCGTCACAATCAACACGCAATCCAACAGTAACTTACTCTTCTTCAATCCTCGCTCTACGCCTTTGATCCAGACGTAGGAAGAGGCGGCGATGGCGAAGATGAGGAGGAAGGCGATGAAGAGGATGCTTTCGAGAGAGGAGGCGGAGACGGGGGAGGTGCTGAAGATCATGGTGCGGACGAGTTGGCCTTGGGAGGTTCCGAAGCCTGTTCTTAGTACCAAACCTAAGCAGCCACCATCGGGCGTTGGGCCACCTCCGCCAACACCACTTCCCTTCCCGCCCTTGCCTCCCTTGCCAGTGCTAGGTTTGTCGTCGATGTCATTAGACGAGGAAGAGGTAGCTTGCAAGAGTTTAGTCCCGCTGAAAAGCACCTCGTTTTTGTGTTCGCCGTCGGCGTCGAGTAAGTCGGTAGGAGAGAGGAGTTGAATGGATTCTTTGAGGAGGGGGGTGGATTCGCCGGAGAGCATGGCTTCGTTTACGATGCAGGAACCGTGGAGGAGGAGGATGTCGGCTGGGATGTTGGTTTCGGTTTGATGGGCTCTTACTGTTCGTTCGTCCACACACACACACACACACATCAGCGCTCCTTCTTACTTCTATCACCTCTCAGAAGGCAGGAAAGGGAGGAGAGGAGAAGAACGCACCGACAGAAACCAAATCCCCCGGCAACAACTCGTCCGACTGCACTTGTCCCCACTTCCCATCCCTACACACCATAATCCCATACGGCACCACGCTCATCGTCCTAAACTCCGTCAACGTCCTCAATCTCTGCCATACAACCGTACACTCAAACATGACGAGCATAAAGAGGGTGAAGAGCGAATAATACCAATACTCATCGAGACACCACAGCGCGACGCAAAAGATCTGAAAGACGAAGAATGGCGCGGTCGCGTGTTCCGCGAATAATTTCGTGAACGACGGAATGGGGATGTTGAATTCGTTCTTGCCGTATTTCGCTAACACGCTAGAGAGTGCGGAGGTGTTGAGGCCGCGGGTAAGGGGGGAGGAAGGGGAGAGGAAGGAAGAGAGGGGGGGACGGGAGGAGGTGAGGTAGGGGAGAAGGGAGAAGGTTAGGGGGGAGAGGGAGTGGACTGTGTAGGTGTCTTGTTGGTAGCTGAATTTGTAGGTGGATGGGTCGGTGGGTTGGACTTTTTCGAGGGGGACGATTTCGCCTTCGCCGCGGTGGGCGTGTGGGATGATGCGGATGCAGTCTGCTTCTTCCAGCGAACGGGCCTATGCAATCATGTCTCCCTTCAACAAACTGAACCCTTTACAATCACAAAGAGGAAAGGGAAGGGAAGAAGCGCACGGAAGTAGTCGTAATCCAAGCCTTCGCGCCCGCGTTCCACCTCGTCACCAGAAAACTGAGCGCATGGCCCGCCCCAAGCGTAACACAAGCGAGAAAAGTCCACTCCTCGCTCTTGAGCCAGTCGTCGTATTTGATGTAGTAGGCGTAGGCGAGGAGCGGGTAGAAGCAGAGGAAGGGGAAGGCGTAGATGTGCGTCCAGGTGTTGAGCGAGCAGCGCAGCTCGGCGCGTGCGATCTCGCTCGAGACGACGTTGACGGTGACCATGACCGAGTAGACTGGCGGTCAGGGTGGTCAGTGTTAGTGTTTGGGAGAGAGGAATAGAATGAGAATATACGCACCTTCTGAGAGTCTCGAATACGCACGCTTCAGGCAACAGACGTGGATGACCGCACAATTCTCGAGCGTGCGTGGCGTAAGTCTCCGTCACGCAACGTATCGTCACCGAGTGACAAGTTCTGTAACGGCGACCATAACACGTGTAACGCATCCACCCGTATTGGGCGCTACATTGTTCGCCTGTCCAATCCATCCAACCCTCACCAAAACCATCGCCCCAACCATGGGCTCCCACGTACGCCTCCCCTCTCCATCATTCACCCTCTCGTCCTGTCCTCTCACTAACCTATGTACATGGCCAGATGACCCTCAAACGAATCCTCCGCGAAATCGCAGACCTCAAGAAAGAAGACCTGGGCAACATCACGCTCGGTCCTCGAGACATGGATAATCCCTATCTCTGGAAAGCGCGTCTGCCGGGACCTGAAGGATCGGTGTATGAAGGCGGGATGTTCGAGGTGGATGTGCAGTTGGCTAATGATTATCCGTGCGCTTTCTCTTCCTCTTCTCCCTCTCTCTATGTAGTAGCTGATGCGAGACGCTGCAGATTCACGGCACCGAAGGTCTCGTTCCTCACCCGGTGCGTACGCCTTACCTAACATAATCGACTGCAATGCTCACGTATGGAATGAAAACAGGATCTATCACATGAACATCTCCGAGCGCGGAAGCGTCTGCATCGATATATTGAAGCATAACTGGTCGCCCGCGCTCTCCGTATTCAAAGTCATCCTCTCCCTCTCGTCCCTCCTCACCGATCCGAACCCTCGTGCGTCCTTCCTTCCTTTGCTCCTCTCTCCTTCCTTCCCTTCTTTCTGTCTTCCTTCCTTCCCCTCCTCCCCTCCTCCCGTCACTCCGCTCTCGCCACTCTCCCGGTCCTCCCCTGACCTGCCCTCTTACCTACATACAGAAGATCCCCTCGTACCAACCATAGCCCGCGAATACCTCTCCCAACGCCCCAAACACGACGCTACCGCCCGCCGATGGACATCCCTCTACGCCTCCTCCACTCCTGCCCCTCCTCCTCCTCCTGTCCCTGCCTCTACCCCCGCTACCCCTCCCACTACCTCCGCTGCACCTGCACCTGCACCTCCTACCCCTATCACCGTCCCTTCTGCCTCTGCATCTGCGTCCGGACATGCCCCAGTCCCAGTCCCAAGCCGTACATATTCCCATTTCAATCGACCTTTCATACCCATGTCCGCATATGATCGGGTCGTCGCAGCCTTCGTGGCAGGGCATGGCCATAATCTCAGACAGACAGGGAACGGGAATGGGAATGCATCAGCTTCGGTTTCGGGGGGGTCGACACCTACGCCTACACATCAACCTTCAGACGCATATACTCCCAATGCGGGCTCGTCGTCTTCGGGTGGTCCTATCCCTATCCCCACGACTGGCTCCACGAACGGGCGCGCAAAAGGCAAAGAACGCGCGACGGGCAATGTGAGTGCGGGTGTTGCAGGTTCTATAATCGAGATCGACGACTCAGACTCCGGCTCGGCTGAGGACGGGGATGAGGACGGGGATGGGGACGACGATGTACAGGATGTGACGGATGTGACGGAGATTAGGGGGATGGAGAAGGGTAAGGGGAGGGGAGGGGGTGGGGGGAGGAAGAGGAAGCGGGATGGGAAGGGTACGAGTGGGGGACATGGAGAGGGAAAGAGTGAGGGAGAGATGAAGCGTAATCGGAGTATCGTTGATCTTTCGGTGGATTCGGATGATGATGGGGAGGTCGAAGTCGAGGGAGGTGTGGAGGCTGATGTCGGAGCGGAGAGAAAGGGTAAGACGAGGGAGGGAGGCAAACGGCGCAAGATCGGGGAAGGGGGCGGTGGGAGTGGGTCGTCAGCAGCGGGGGCGGGGGCGGGGAATGATGTTATTATCATCGAGGATTAAAGATGTCGATGAGCCGTCGGTCGTTCTCATTCTCTCGTTCCCTCGTGTCAGCAATACGTTCACGGTTCATCCACCTAACTTAAATTAACTAGTACGCATGTTTTTCGTTGTAACTTAGAACTCTCAGATTCTGTGCATTGCATTGTATCTCTCTACTTCGCCCCTGTGCTGCCAGCCTTATTTGCATCATCCACCTCCGCTCATTCATCCATCTCCATCTCCATCTGCATATCACATTCTCATTGACAGTTCGAATACATCGCGGTCTCCATCGTATGAGCATGAGCATATAATTTATGCAATGTATTCAGTCTGAGTCGGACTCTTTCCCTTTGTATCTCGTGTGTGTATGCGTATGCGTTGGGTCGAGGTCGGTAAGGTGTCGGTGTCGGTGTCAGTGAGTATCCTGACCATATAAGGCTTATGACCATCCAGGCTGCTCACAATGATCCGGGCCACTCGTGAGTCCTCCTCGCTCTTCGTTTCGTTCGTTGATCATCACGTGCTTATCACCCGTGACTTAGACTAGTATATATTATTTTTCGGGCGTCTGACACTGTTACAGTCTCCCCTTTTCCTCAGAGGTATGACTGATTGGCCCGGGTTGCGCTGCTGGTGGGTCAGTGCTCAGTGCTCACTCTCTAAAGGCTCATTCGCATACAGGACCGTGATAGTATCGACGGAGGGTAGGACAGGAGACCGAAGTGAACTTGGAGGCAGGAGTGAAAAGATATTGTGGAGTTATGTAAGTGCTACACCCCTTTTTCACGACAAAGGACAAAGGACTTACCACTTGGCTCCTTGACATAACTCCCTAGGGTCTCAACCCTCTCCCTCTCCCTCAGCCCCCTCCCTCACCCGGCCCAGCTGAGGTGTCAGGTACGTACCTATCTGTTACAGTCCAGTAACTTACGGTATCAGTATTTCCAGGATGTTCATCAATATCTGCCAGTGGCAGGTTGAGGTATAAGTACCTTGAGAGTACTGTAACTAGTCCAGGAGGTGTGGCACACGGCATCTGAATCGCTGAATCACCGATGCCCTCGCATTTATAATTACGTCGTCGTCTTCATCCCGGTACAGGTTTGGGATTTGACAGCGGGAGGACGAGATACGTTTCAGAGACAGCGCTCGATATTGAATATCGAGGCGAGGCAGTCAGTCCGAACTGAGACTGTGCATTTTGATGTGGCGGGATGGCATAGCGCAATACTTATCATCATTCTAGGCGTATGTACAGTACCTTTCATTCGGTGCTACAACCTTGGATGAATGTGATGCACCAATGGCACTCAGACCTTTAAACTGGACTGGACTATGTACTAGCAAGAATGATCATCTTTGTCGCCCTCACGCTCTGAGGATGTTTTCCATGATGAAGATGAGCCCAAGAGGACTACTTATTATCTTCCGCCGATCCTGGCATCCTCCAATCCTTCGGACAAAATATCTTGAGCAATAATCTTGCCCTCGTCTTCGAGAGTACTTATGTTGTACGGTTCGTCGCCCTCTTGCCTTGCCCCTACCAATTGTTTCTAGCATATAAACGCAGACTGACGCCCCCTTGTTCATTAGCGGTATACATCTTTCTAGTAAGTATTCACCCTATTGAAGCTCCCGCCGTGCGTGCGTGTCCTCTTACAAGTAATTCCGTTGGCACGATCTCTCAAGTCCATCTTCGTTGCCTGCCAGTCGGCTCTTAGACTTTTTCTACCATCACCAGCCGTCCAGGGTCTGGCTCTTCCAAAACCAGGTCTGCTCTCCTCTCCATCGTGCTCTTGATATTTCTGTGCTCTAGCGCTTTGTGGGCGTTAGATGTAGCCGAGGTGACACTTGGCATAAGAGCGGTCTGGACTCTGGATAAGTAGACGAGAGTCGACTTCAGGCTCAAGGCTCTCGAAACATCGCGATCATCGTTCCTGCGCTACATTTTTGCAGCTCCTCCAAGCCCGAGTCATGATACTTAACAGCGATGGACTGAATCGTTCGACGCTGGCGTATTATGACGTGGACACGCCTGTGTCAGTGGATGAGGATCTTGATGAGAGTCACGAGGGTGGTGGGCTTGCGGTCTTATCATTCAGGTCTCTTGCTCAGAGGTAAGTATGATGAAGGGTGAAGGAGGTGTATCAGAGTGGTGTGATGGCTGAGGATGGGACCGGGTTGGCGTGAGTCCTTGTTACGAGTGGTGTGACTTGCATTTGATGTAAAGGTAAGTACGGTATCGCCGTCACAGTTCTTCTCCAGTTTACTTCGGCCTCGCTTTCTTTTCGAGCCCGTCCGAATGAAGGACGAACACTGAAAGAAACTAAACGACTGTAACGAGCGATGACACAACAAAGATTTTGGTTTACCGATAGCTACATAGGATGACAGTATGGCAAAAATTGGGGAAGTATAGGCCATATGATTCGACCCAGGCTCGAACTGAGGACCTTCTGTGTGTTAGACAGATGCGATAACCAACTACGCCATCGAACCATGAGCAGAATGCTTTACGAAATTATATAACTCGTATGGTACAGTTCGTTCACAAAACACACCACGGGTGACCCTATGTTGTTCCACTACAATCTCCCGTCTCGAACTTTGAAACTAGTGGTCTACTTCTATAACTACAAAGGTCTGTATAAAAAAATTGGAAACGCTACTTACTTGGTACATTCGTTACGCGCGTACACACAACAACACCGACAACAGCTCAATCCTCCGCCACAAGAATAACCTTCTTCCCATGATTCTTCCCACTCAATACGTCCACCAACGCCTGACACGAATGCTCCAACCCCTTCGTCACATCCTCCCTATGCTTGATCTTTCCCTCTTTGACGAGGGGAACCATGTCGGCCAAGAACCGGTCGATGTACTTGGGGTAGAGCGTGAAGACGAGGAAGCCGAACATTTGGAGCTCTTTCTGGAAGAACATGGAGTAGTTCTGTGTGATTGAGGCGTGAGTGACGGGGTTTGCAGATGGTGGTATGATGGTATGTTGCCATTGTTCGAAAATATAGAAAAGACCGACCTTGAGACCGTAAGCGTTGGGGTCGTTGTAGTTTGAGATGGTTCCGCATTGCTGTTGAACGGCGTCTGGTGTCAGTAAAGCGTGAAGAGGAACGCTTATTTGTTCACGAATAACGCACGAGGATACGACCATGCTCTCTCATCGCGAGTAAGGCCTCGTCCAGCGACTCGCCGCCAACCTATACAATATCAGTTGAGCTACTTCCTTTGATGTCATACAGGGCCAGGCGAAGATACTCGCTACGCACATTATCCCAGTAACTTAAAAAGTACATGTATCAGCAACGCTAGTAGGATGAAAATAAATAAAGAGAGTACTTACACATCAAGTGGTCCTTCACGCTGAAGAATCTCCTTCGTGCTCTCCGTCTTATAGTTGAACACGACATCTGCGCCCAGTGCGCGGACGTCGTCGCATTTGGCATCGCTGCCAGCTGACGCGATAACCTTGCAGCCATCTAGTTTCGCGAGTTGAACGACTACACTGCCGATGGCTGTGTACGACGAGATCAATATCAACATGCTAACTGTGAAGAGGACGTTGCACAAGACTCGAACGTACGCCCAGATGCCGCTGTGACAAATACTGTTTCTCCCTATCAGACGAGTGTTAGCGAGAAGAAAGTCAAGAAACAGAAGACATATGAGTTCTGTAGGCGAAGAATGGAAGACCAAGTCGCACCTTCTTGGCACGCGAATACTCCTTCCAGGCCATGTACGCCGTCTGTCCTGGCATACCCAGCACACCGAGCCACGCAGACCATGGGATCCCCTTGTTCGACTCGAGCTTTGTCGTGCGCGGCGGGATCTCCGTGAAGACGGTGTAATCGGCGAACGCTACGAGCATAGCAAAACGACGTGTCAGCGTAGCTGAGGGATTGTCAAGTAGAAAGAGGAGAATATATGCTCACGGACGTCCCAGATGTATAGGTAGTCTCCGGCTTTGTAGTCGGGGTGTTCTGAGCGAATGACCTTCACGATGCCGATGTTCCAGATCCTGGAGCCAGATGACAAAGAAGTATCCGGGGTGAGCAAAGTCTCTTCGTAACATGGTTGAATCAAATACGAAGGCTGTACTCACGGTTGTCCCAGTTTGAACGCAGGCTGCCAGTGTACACGATCCAGAGTCAAAACCACAGGTCATACAAAGAAAAGCAGAGTATTATACACACGACATAACCCTTGATATGTTGCTCCCGGAGCCGACTCCTTACGTATGGGTCGATGGAGAGAACTAAAGCCTTGGCTAAGATGCCACCTTTGAGTGGCACGTTGTCCAAATCAATCGTCTCTGACGTATCGTGGACCAGGTCCTTTCCTGGGACGGGTGCACCTGAGAGATTGGGCGTCAGCATATGAGAGTCTAGCAGTCAACCGGAGGCTCAGTAGGGTTAGTACCTTGTGGGATTTCCCGGAAGATGTGGCGGGCATTGGTGACGGGTGCCATTCTCGTGTGCCGGATTTGGATGGTGGATATAAAATAAGAATTTGAAGGAAATTCGTCGTTGGGATATGAGCGAGCCCTTTTATAGGTCCTTAAGTACGAAAGACGTCATGCGTATGGCTCCACTGTTCGTGAACTAATAGTGAAATTCACCTTCTGAATGTACACACTGACAGCTATTCTTGTCTCGGACCCATCATTTGCCAGGCGCTCCCACTTGGCACGTACGCGTTGTCCGTACGAGGCCGATTTTTACTGCATGTCAAGGATACGATGCGAAAAGACAAGTACAACAGTAGGTGCCAGTAGGAGCGAACTGGTCGAGGAATTTAAGAAGAAGATGTTCTGGAACTCACGGTGGCCGCTGCACTCCAATATAATATTCCCAGCAGCCAATGAATACCTCGTGACGATGGTGACGAAATAGGAGGTTGGCGCAACAGATAGAGTCAAGGTGAGCCACATTTATGTCTGGAAGAAATTGTCTTCTATTGTAAATAAGAAAAAAGCTGTGAGTTTATGGACCACGTACCAACGCTTCCTTCGCAACCAAGGACATGGCCCCTCTGTGATACTATTCGTGAAGACCTGCATGATCGGACAGAGTTTCAATACCATAAGTACAAGGGCGATGGGTATTGATGTCCGCGTTTGGGAAATGTGGCCAATGTAGCGTACCAACGAAGTCCGTTGAACACCACTCATGGTTCTCGGTGATGCTAAAAAAACACGACAAAATACCGAGAGAAGGGAATGTCATGAGTCATGACCTGGACGCCGCAACTTGAATGATGAATGTGGCATGAGCGCGGAGCCTTGTCTTAGCTTTAGAGGGTTTGACGGTGCATATGAGTACTGTACTTTTTCGCGCAGAAGTTCACACCACCGCCCCTCGGCTGTTGCCGAGATGACATAATCCATCTGTGTCCCGGTTCGCAGACGTGGTGGGACAAGGGACTAAGACTCCAACTATTTAATGTATTTACTATGTATACATGGTTAATACCATATACCCTATACATGTATGTACGGGGGTCGGTGTATTCTGTACATAAATAGTATGTACATGGTATATACAGTTTTACTATGAACCAAAAAGTCTCGAAGATTGTGGATTCAGCAGGGTGCTGGAAGGTCATAAAGCACCTGATAAAAGTGCTCCTCTTTACTCAGATCTTCAAGCTACCCAATATCTTTAGAGTGAATATGGTAAAAGTTAAGATAATATTAGGTGCTTCATTGTCAACTTAAGCTCAGGCTATATGTGCTTGATTACTTAGTCGATGGAAGATAATCGATAGGAGCTTTCACTCTTCGGTTTAAGGCATGAGCGTGCGTGTCGGGGGCGCGTAGTGTTGGTGTTTAGGCAGAGATGTATGAATTCGATCTATGTGTGTTACTACTACTAGTTTGACGTCGTGTATTGTATGATTGTATCGGATGGGATAAGTGATTTGTACATATACGGAGGAAGAGGAAGGGAATGATGAAATGCGATGTTACGATGTTGTGTTTGTATCCATATATTCGTCGGCGAGTGTGCTAGTGTGCAGTACTTCCACAAGCACGCTTCAGAGATATCGATGGCCAGGAGTCGGAGACGGAGAACGTTTTTTCTCAAAATTCGCAGTCGGGTCGGAGTCCAGAGCAGGAAGTAGTAAGTACCCGCGCTGTTCTCGAGGAGTCCAAGGGCGAGTTCGAGCAGCTGTTCACACGGGCTATGGACTATCTGTTCCCCTGAAGTTCAAGGACATGGGGACGTTGATGGTCGGTTTGAGTTTCCGAGGAGCGATAGATATGATAAGGATTCACGCGTTCGTATATTATTATATTGATGGGCCTATCCCTGTCGCTCGAACATGATGGGCTGGTCGTATTTTGTGATTTCGTCAAACAATGTACAGGCTGGACTCGGTCTTCAGAGGAATAATAAGACGACGGCGACTGAACGTTTGTGCGAGATGCTGCCTGCATAGCGATAGAGAGAGAGGACGGAATTGTCCGTCAATTTGTGCAAGAGGTTCCAACTTACAATGACCTCAACGAATTCGAAAAACTGTCATCCTCAATCAAAATATTTAAACGTTCAGTCCTCCGAGGTTCGGGCCCAAGGCCCCTCCACAGGACAGCCCTGCATCTCAGCCGCCATACGGATGACTTCCTCACAGCCCACTACACATGCACACACACACAGAGAAAAATAACAAATGATCAAACGTTACACGGAGGCTCTCAAACCGAGACCATGAATTTGCAGGAAGACTCACTTGGCGCGTACCGGACGGGTCCCTTTTCATAGACAGTGAGCAATGGAGCACAGTATGCAGTGGGGCCGGCGTCAACTCACCGTCTCCTCCAACCTGTAGCCCTGCGACATGTACTTGGGACCGGGTAGATCCTCGGCTTTTAAAAGACCAAGGTGAACTTGGAGGTGTTGGAATAGGCGGAAGAGGCCTTGAGGTTCGGGTTTGTACCATGGTTTCGCTTGAAACCTTGGTGACGGTCCATGGGATGGCAAGTAAGACCGGAGAACATGGCTATTGAATATAGTAAACACACCAATCCGGCCGCATGCGCGGGAGTGAGCCGTCATTGGGTGGCTCCTCGAAGTCGTCCCTCGTGAAGAAGAGTCGAGGGGTCCAGCGGGGAAGGAGGAGGTATCGTTGGCATATCGCGATGGAGAGAAGCGTGTAGTTCACGAGGTGATGGATATAACGAGGTTGTTCGGGCAGCCTTTGTTAATAGCAGAATCAAAGTAAGAATAAGAAAGCCACCGCATTAGTATCGGAAAGTCAAATAACAGGTCGGAAGCAAGCTAGGAATGGATGAGACAAAGGCTCACATCATGCTCATGCGAACACGATCGGAAAGTAGGCTGATCACTACCCTTCTCACAAAAGCTTGAAGGCCGAATGCTTTAGGAACGGAGTAGGTTAGTTCGTTGAGTGTGCCTTCTGCGAGCTTATGGTTAGTTTCCGCTGGGACCATGTGGGCTCGTTCGTATTCCTACAGTGGTGGCACGCGTGAGTGAGCGCTACAACAAATGCCAATGAGACGGATTGCTGGAGAAGATAAATGCGTACTTCCAGCCATGAATCATACGCTTCCAACGACTCAGGGATGTCGTTTATGTTCATGAGGGTGCCGATCTGGCGCCAAAGAACGAATCTGGCCTAATTGGTCAAACGAGTCAGGTCTGTAAGTCATGCAGGCTACGGGAAAGACGGTTTGAATTCCACCTGGCATTCAAGAGGAGAAAGCCTGCGCCATTCAAAACGTTCCGTCCAGTTCTGCAGCAGTCAGATTAACTGGATTGAAGTTTGGTAGCACCAAGAATACTTGGACGTACGATCGGCTCCTTGATAAACAAGCCAAGAGTATACAGATAATCGTTGTTGGTCTACAAAGCGATTAAAACCGCCTGTGGGCATGGCCATGCTGAAGATAGAGTGGTCTGAGAACACTAACGATTGGATACTTCGCGTGCAACCAGTTGACACGGGCCGTAGCAATAAACGCTCGAGGATCAGGAGAGGAGCCTGAGTCTGCTTTGGCAGACTCTAATCGAGTCGTTGGCGTGATAGGGCAGGCGGTCCAAGTTGCTATATGCCAAGACGAAGATCAACACCTGATTAGAGCCAGTATGTATTGGTCTACGCACCAACGATGATTCCTGTCTGAGGTCGAAATGTTAGGTCGTATATCGAAGCAGGAAGATCATCAAAATGCTCACATCTAGGTAACGCTTCGACACCGTATCCGCAGCGGTTAGCTCCTTCGACTTTGCAAGTATACTCGATATCGATGGCTGATGTATTCTCATCATCAACCCCACTGTTCCATACCACAGTCCGACAGTCGCACTTACATTCGCATACGTCTTGAACAACGCAAACGCAAGAGCATACCCACTCAAGTTCGGCATATCCCAACTCGATGATAAAAGGACGATCTCCTGCGCCTCCTCCGGGGTCAAGCTGTCGATCTTATGCACGTACTTGCGATGTATGGCTTCGTACTTTCGCCATCGGGAGAGTCGTACTAGTAGAGCGTAGAACAGGAAGACGCCGGCGGCGATACGGCCTTTTGACGTTCCCGCTGGCGTGATGACAGACTCGCAAGATTTCAGGATTGGGGCAAGCCAGTTGTTAGAGCCCGAAGACATACTGATCACCGTCAAACCAGAACTGCGAGAGCAACTTGAATCCGCGGTGAGGAGAAAACCAATAACGGGCGTCAGACAAGTCAGAAACGAGTAGTCATCATTTTTTGGGTGTCAGCAGTGAGAAAATCTATGCGTAGAAATAAAGGCATGCCAGAGCTCATGACGGTGGTGTTGAAGCGCTCTGCTGATTCTGAGAAACGGCGTCAGCCGAAGGGAGAATAAATGTTTTGGGGCGCCACACTGCGCCACAGGTCATCAAACTCTTTAAAATCACCACGACGACTTCTTCGGATACCAAAGAGAATATCGCTATTTTTACCTTGTGTGAGGACGAGTTAACGTTGACGTTCAATCTTGCCGATCCTGAGGCCGGTCTATTGCAAGCCTAACGGTCCGGGTGCCACACAGGGCACAACCTCTTCGCGGTACAAACCACAACAGCGATGATATACCCTATGTCCCGAAACAGGCATGAAGAGGTGCCATATGCAGCCAAAAAAATATGTATATAAATAAGTACACACCAGGTCCAGCAGTCACTAGTTAAGCCTCGGAAGATCCAAGAAAAACAGTTCATACACAGTTACACACGAAAATAGAATAGTAAAGCAGCCGTGACAGTGCCAGCTTAGCGATAATAGCTCCCAACGCTGTACGCACTCTCGCTCACACTCTGCTCCTCACCTGGACTTTCACCACCACTACCACCACTCCCCTGCTGCCACGCCGACGGACCCGCCGCGGAAGGCTTCGTCTGCCCCGTCCCCTTCCACACCACCTCACCCAGTCCATTCCCGTTCCACAACCCATCCTCGTACCCGCTCACCGTCTTCGCATTGCTCTGTCTGCTCGGATATCCACTCGCACTCCCAACGATTCCAGGACTGGGAGCATTATACGCGTCACTGCCGCTCCACCTCGGATACCCTGCATCCCCTCCGATTGCTGATCCAGATCCGGCGACCGAACCTCCATAGCCCATGCCCGCGATGTTTGGCGTCGAAGGAGTGTAATATGGACTCAGCAGACCTCCACTGGCAGCGTTGTGCAGAGGAGTGACCGGCGAGCCCAACGGGATTTCCGTAATGCCCGTCGCAATAGTCCTCCCGTCCTCTCCAATCCCGCCCATCGGCCTCGGAGACCTCGCGAATGGATCGTCACCCCCATTTCCATACCCATAATCCGCCACAGCGACCTGTACGCCACCACCACCGCCATAGTCCGTCGTCTGGTTCAGATTCGTGTTATAGTTATGATAATCCGCGCTCGGATCGAACGGATTCACAGCGAACTGTTCCGCCCCTTTCCCACCAACGATGATCCTCCCATCCGCCAACGTCGTCGTAGCGGCTGCAGTGTCGGACCCAGCGGGGAGGATCCCACGCCGGATCCCCTTCGTGCTCTTCGATTTCCCCCCGCTCACAACACTCTGCAGACTCCCGCGGAATCCACTCCCGCCGTTCGCCCACCACCCAGTCGAACCTTTCCTCACCAGCTCGCCTGCGCCTTCGCCTTTTTCGTTCCCTTCCTTGCCGCCATAGAGGGAAGCGGCACGAGTAGCACGATCGAAGGCTGCGATGCCGCCGGCGCTGACGAACATGTCATTGATTGGGGCGGGGCGGAAGCGGGAGAGAGGGATGCGCCAGATTTGGTTTTGGTGGGTGCGGGATTGGAGGAGAGTGTAGGTTGTGGTGAGGAGGAAGCAGGCGAGGACTGCGGAGAGAAACAGGGGAGATCCAAAGTAAATATGGCAAAATGAGTGATTATGGACGAGAATACGGGAGATAGGCGAGATCGGGGAGAGCAAGGATGGAGGGAGAGGATAGAAAGGAAAGAGGCACGCACTGATCGACCAATTGATCCATACTAAGATCTTCAGCGCGCCGACGTCTTTGCACCAAGTGCGTGCAGCGGAGTAACCTATTCACATACCATCCCGTCAGGAAAATCTTAGACATAACAGGCCGTTCATCAAAGAGCAACGGAGTGAATAAACGTACTGGACGGGATATCGTTGCAGTTGGTTGGGATGTTGGCCCAGCGAGAGGTCGAGAAGGCGTTGAAGGCTACATGATCAAGAGAAACACGGCGTCAGTTCGCTTTGACGAGAATAATGGAGGTATGGTTGCAATGGAAGGTGCCGCTGGGCGCAGACGAGAGGAAATAAACTGGTGAAAGATTGCGAAACATAAAAAGACCCACCAGTCCACAGGGTGGTCAGCACGCAGCTGACACCAAGCTCGAATGGTGGTCGCGCGGTGACGGCATTATCGAAACCGACGTCGAGAATAGCCCTGGATCACCACATCACAGCGAAAGACAAAGAGTTAATTTAGCGAGAGTCCCAAATGCAGAGGGAATGAAGACATGATGGAAACAGCCTGGCGCGCAGGAAAGGGACGGAGGGAGAGTTGGAGACGTACATAATGATAGCGAGAGCAAGTGTGGCGATAGAAAGACCGAAAGGGAAGAGGTCAGCGGCATCTGGGAGAGAAGGGGGAAAAGTCAGGATTATTCTTGGGCAGATCTGAGAACGGATGGAGACAGAGTCCAGCTAGGCTTCTAGACTTCTGTGGTGTATGAAGTGGTCGATATGCTCTTCGTGAAACAGAGATAAATTGTCATCCCAAAATCACGTATCTGACTGTTCGGGGCCGCTGTAAGACCACGATGGTGCCACGTCTCTTGCTTTCCATGCCACCTGAATTCAGATGGAAACTGCGGAGTACCAGGACGTGGGAGAGGCAAACCCGAACGATCGGCATACCAGGAGAGGATAGTGGGGTTCCCGTCCACAGGGTACCCAACACTAGAGTCATATTGAGAGAAAGAGAGAGCAGCGAATAAACTCACAATAAAATTCCTGCCAGATATTCACGCGAGCAGCAAAAACGACAACAGCAACGTTCGCAGCGATAATCAAAGCTGCGTACATGGTACCCCACATCAATACATCGTAACCTCAATTGAAAGACTGAACAGAACGCACCGTAAAAGAGAAAAACAGCCCGGGCGAGGGAGGAGAATTTAGGCCGTTCGTATGCTGTATCGTTCATGTTGCTCTTGCGCTTGTCGTCTTAATAGATAAAAAGAAATGGTGGCCACTGCGATGTGGCCGAAGACCTCGAAAAAATGAAACAGGAACTAGAATTATTGTGACACCCGGTACAGCAGATCGACGCTTGAAGGCAGTCGAATGAATTGCAGTAAGTGGGACCAAAAACGAGCACGGCCAGAAAAAAAGAAGGTGAAGTGAAAGGAAGGGAATGTCGAAGAGAGCGAAAGGGAGAAGGGAGAAAGGTTGAAAAGGCTACAGCCTCCTGGACTGCGCGCTAGGTATATGATAGGGCCAGTCTGAGAATGATGGTTGAATGGATCAACGTTGTACAGAGCGACCAGCACCACAAAGAACTCGAGAATTGACCGGGAGCATGAGCGGCTGCGGGATCAGTTACGGTTGCGAAGGACGAACCGGGGCCTTAGAGTGGGGTTAAGGCTTAGTCCACACAAGGGAGAGCTCTTGAGAGCATATCAGAGAGGCAGCAGCTTGCATTTGCGATTTATTCTAGCTGTACAGTACTATGAGCAGTATACGGAGATGAAGAACAAGTAGTGCAGTTCGTAAAAGGAACATCATTTGAGTCCGTCGATCAAAGCCACCGCTGCAGCCCCTGGAGTGAGGTTAAGGCTCACGCCACAGGTAACGGACTCTCGGAAGTGAGCGGATGTGGCCCAACTTGAACCAACTTGAGTTTAATAAAAAGTAAGTACCTGACGCAAGTAGCTGATCGGCAATGTGAAGCATTATAGCCTGAGCGTCAGAAATAAATTACATGGGATTACGCGCAAAAAGTATACAAGAGAGATGGATTAGTCCACGACGTTTGGGTCTTTATTGGCAATTGGTGAAGCATCTCCTTCACTGCCAACCTCCAGAGACTCAAAATGGGGGTAATACGGGCAAGAGGATTGTCCCGCTTGTCTCATAAGAGGGACTCGAAGGGGATGATGATTCATGGACCGAGCCGCATGATGTTGTCAAGGCTCAAGCACGAGGTACTAAAGGAGGGTTTAGCGCGTCATTCCAACACAAGGCAAGGGTCACCATAGTCGAAGACTAACCTTCTTCGTGAATAGGAAAGCGAACCTCGCTACCTAGACAGCAAAAAAACTCCATCCTCGATTGATGAAAACAGCCATCCGTTATCGCGAGGAAATTGTCTCTGGCTGAGCGGTCAAAGTCGGACTCGACATAGCAGGCTTTCTTCGTCACAGGATCACGCGCGACGACTCGAGTTTGCAAGCCAGTAACACGAACAGAAAGACCATTTTCCCCTGGGATTTCTGCCCCTGGTTCGGTCAGCAGCGTCAATGTCGTGAAGTAATATGAGGGTTGACGAAAAGTGAAAGGATGAGCACATACATTGTGGCCATGGCATGTAGCCGCGCTTAACTCTTTCTGGCCATTGACCAATAGCCCAGTCTGAGAACCTCTGGTGAGCCAAGGTGTCATCGATTTTCTCGTCGTCGAACACCAGACCCTTCTTCTCAAGAAAAGCGGCAACATCGTCGTGCTCAAGCTTGTAGCCTGCTACCCAGTACATATCTACGGGAGAGTTGGTAAGTTTGGAGCAGCCAGAGATAAACAATTCAAACACACTACTGATTTAATTGATGGGTTAGTATGAACCAACGTAAAAGTGGGGAGATTGTGTGAAACTTAGTTTACTTAACGGAAGTGGCGGGTCGAGTTTATATAGCTTCCCTTCGGCGACTTCCGAGAAAGCGGAACCTATTGTTCCGACACGACGGCGACGGCGAACTCGAAACTTTCTCAAAGCTTGACCATCGCTGTACTGTGGCGTCAACTCTGAAGCAAGCGCAAATACTTCGAGTAAAAGTAATCACTACTTTAAACAATAACTTGAACAAAAGCCCCCGTTTCAAGCGCAATCTGACAATCAGTTCGGGTGCCAGCGTGGAAGTTGCAACTTGGTTGCAACTGTTTGTTGCGAGTTGGCGTTTCTAATATTGTTCGCAAAAATATACAAGACAGATCGGTCAGTTCACATGATGTTTGGGAACTTCGTCAAATGGTCAAGCATCTCCTTTATTGCCACCCTCGAGAGACTCAAATTGGCAAAGCACGACGAAGAACATAGCAGTGAAGGGATGGTGATAATTTATTGTCCGAGCCGCACGTTGCTATCACCGGCGAGGGACTAAGTAATAGACGTAAAAGCCCAACATAAAACAATACGGCAATCTTAAGTCGGAGACTAACCTTCACGTTGAATAGGAAAGCGAACGTTATAAGATGGGCAGGTATAAAACTTCATCCTCAAATATTCGAAAGATTTCTCCGTCATCTCGATAAACTTGTCTCTGGATGAGATATCAAAGGGGGTCTCATGAAGGGCCGGTTCCTTCCCAGCTTCCGGCGCGGCGACAACTCGAGTTTGCAAGCCGGTAACATAGTAACTTCTGTCTCCGTCTTTGCGTTCCGCATTTGGTTCAACCAATAGCATCAATGGCTGTGAGGCAACATGGACTTGGAGGATAACGGGCGAAAGGATGAGCACTCACATTATGGCCATGGCACAAAGTCTCCCACAGGCTTTCCTAAGCGTTGAGCTATAGCCCACTCTTTGAACCTCTGCTGAGCCTCGTCGTCGTCAATTTCATCGTCTGGTAACACCAACTGCTTCTTCTTTAGAAATGGCAACATCGTCGTGTTCAAGCCTGTAACCTGCAACCCAGACGGCCATACTACTTAAGGATCTACAGGTCCAGTGCAACCAGAGCACAGAGATTCAGAACGTAGTACTAGTTCGGTTGATCAGTTGGTCTTAACCGACCCAAAAGTGGGGGATTGGATGATGGTCGACGGGCAGCGCAGATGTTTGGGTCGAGTTTGTATACTTACGTGCGTTCTCTTCGGCACCATCCGGGCTATTGTTCCGACGCGACGGCGACGGCGAACTCAGAACCCCCAGCTCGAGTTTGATCGTTGATACAGTATGCTCTGGCGTTGACTGTGGAAGAGGCCAAAATGTACCGAATGTAGACAGGGGCTACAAGAGCATGAACGAAATATCCATGCCATTACAAGCGCCATCTAATCAACATTTCGGGTGGCGTTCAGGCCAGTTCGAGCAAGCGCTTGCTAGTACATATATGTCCATGGCATCCGCCACCGAGCACAAACCGAAATTTGAAGAAAGAGTGAAAGGATTATACTAATCGACTGAGTTATCAGAAAGGCGTCGTACTGGAGGGACTGGGAGGAATGATTCGTAAACCCAGCCTTCGCACGATCAAGCGCGAGGTACTAACGATGGAAAGTTCAGCATGTCTGCGGATATTAATAGTCGTAGTTAACGACTAACCTTCTGGGTGAACAGGAAAGCAAACCTCTCTACGTGGACGGCAAAATTCTATCCTCGATTGGTCAAAACAGTGATCCGCAATCGCGAGGACTTTATCTCTAGATGAACGATCGAAGTCGGAATCCTGAAAGCAGGCTTTCTTCGTAACGGGATCGAGCGCGAGAACTCGAGTTTGCAAGCAAGTAACACAGCTCTCTCCCTTGTCTGGAAGCTTTGCCCTATTTCAACCAGCAGCGACATCAGTCCCCGTGAAGCATTGGACAGAACGGGTGATGAAGTGTATCTAGAGTGAAGAGCTTGAGATGGGCACGCACATTGTGGTCATGGCATACCCGGCGCGCTCGGGTCTATTTGAGTGCTGAGCGATAGATAGCCCACTCCAAGAACCTCTGGTGAGCCACAGTGTCGTCAATCTCCTCGTCTGGTAACACCAGGCCCATCTTTCTGAGAAAAAAGACGACGTCGTTGTGGTTGAGCCTGTAGCCTGCGACCCAGGCGGACATATCCAGTGTTACGAGAGTGAACCGGCGGGTTGGTGATCAAGAGACACGAGTTGATCGGAACTGAACGAGGCAAGGCCCTAGTGCGCTGGGGTTAAAAGGCTTTCATTTAGACCGCTCTCGGAAGTGGACGGATGTGGCCCAACAAGACCCGGTCATTTATTGAACGAGAAGGATCAGAAAGAACATGCTCAGTAAGCAAGAAGGAAAAGGATGGGGGAATGCGGATGTGGAACTATAAATCACAGGACAGTCGCAAGACTCTTCCTATATTGACGGACAGCCAGCAAGCGGCGGAAGCCCGAAATATCCATCTCCTTTGCGGAGGGTTATGACGGCATGAGAAAGGCATGTTAGGACTGGACTAGCTGAGGATACGCGGAGAACTATGAAGTATGAGGGACATGGAGGAGCATGGAGGTCGTTGTAGAGTCCATAATGAGTCGGGTGGCACCCAATCCGCCGAGAGCCAATGATCCTGTCGGAAACAAACGGGTGTGGCTCGAGGGCCGCTTATTCGTCGGAACACAGCCAGTAGGCGGCTCTGTTCCATTTACAAATGAACCGGACGGACGCTGATTGGGTGATGCGGTGGATATCGTTGCAGACGATTGGGACGCTTTGCCAGCGCCGAACGCGTCGCGCTGATTCGGCCAGGACCGGGACCATTTCATAAAACTTCACAGAGCTCTCGCCGTCATCTTCATCTTTCGCCCGTCCCCCGACTCCTTGCCCGCCCTCTCTCCCGCCCTCCAAAGCCATCATGCAGGCTTCTATCGGTGCGTTGCTCTGTTCATGCCGTGCACGACGTCTTTGTTGACCCGGTGCAACCGTAGTCCGTAGGGCCGCGACACGGTCCCTGGTCCAGAGCAGGCTCGTCCAGAGACCTGGTCAGCTCCATGCCCTCAACAAAAGGCTTCTCTCGTCCACCCCAGTCGCACGCAACGACCCAGCCACGGTGCACATCTTCTTTCTTTCCTCTCGTTACCTGCACGGACTCTTACCTCTCCGTGTCCACTTCTCGCCTTCTCGACATTCACATTTCTAGCCACCACCGTCTGCCCCCCTTCCCCCGCCGCTCCCTCGCGTCTCCAGATGGCGCAAGTTCCTCCAGACCCTCGGCCGCGTTACCCTCGTCACTATCATCACCTCCGGCGGTGTCTTCTACTACGCCACGCAGTCGGATAAGCATCCTGGCCCTCAACTGCCCTATGATCCCTCGAAGAAGACCGTCGTTGTGCTCGGAACTGGCTGGGGTTCTGCGAGTTTCTTGAAGAGCTTGGATACCACGGATTACAATGTTGTACGTCTCGTCTTCCTTCTGGCTCTGTTTCTCCTCGAACCATCAGGCGGGGCGGTGAAAGGTTACATCGACCTCCACCCTTGTCGAGTGACGGCTATCTTTGGATGAAACAAGCATCTTGTACGGCGCATGTTTCTGCGTGCTGTACATTGCACTGTCAAATCATGGATTCTGATATGTCGCGAGTGTCGTTTTCGACTTGGAACATACACTATATGCTTTAGCTACAGCATCGTCGAGTCTCGAAAGTCCCGGTGGGGCTCGCGCTTAAGCTACATACTTCATCATGACGTCGTCATGCGCGCTCTCCCCGTTCTATCCTCGGCCCACTTGAAGATTTTCGTTTCGCACTCGCTATCCCGTCGCAGATGACCGGTCAGAGTGCCACTTCAACATGCTCGCGCCACACCATCATCGAAGCTTTCTCGCATGTTCATGTGCTTCGTCGGATGACGTATTTCGCCTGCTTTGGGCGATCATGTTACCGTCCTCCGCCTTCGAAGTTCGAACAGGGGTTCAGTGGCACTTGCTCAGTCGTGGCGACTGTCCTGGCCTTGCGGCGTTGCTTTTTCACGAGTAGATCGTTGGTGGCAATAATTCGGCGGGATTTGCGTTTTTGCATACTGAGCGTGCATTCGGCAGTCTCGAGAGGGTCTTTTACTTGGTTTAGTTCGTTCCTCTCGAGGTTTCCGGGCTCACCAAAAATGCATCGTATATGCCGTTCTACCCTCACTCTGTCTCTCACCACCGTCACCACCTGCTTACTCACTCTCACCATCTCCAGGTCGTCATCAGCCCCCGCAACTTCTTCCTCTTCACCCCCCTCCTCCCCTCCGTCGCCGTCGGCACCATCTCCCCCAAATCCATCCTCCAACCCATCCGCTACATCACCCGGCACAAAGAACGCTCCGTCACCGTCATCGAAGCCGAAGCGCACTCCGTCGACCCCATCGCAAAGACCGTCACCTTCTCCGATGACTCCGAAATCCAAGGCGCGGTCTCCTCCACCACGATCCCGTACGATTACCTCATCTACGGCGTCGGCGCCGAAACGCAGACGTTTGGCATACCCGGCGTGCAGCAGCATGCGTGTTTCATGAAGGAGATACAGGATGGGGAACGTATGAAGAGGAGGTTCTTGGATTGTGTGGAGAGTGCGGGCTTTCCCGGACAGAGCGACGAGGAGATCGATAGGCTGTTGCATTTTGTGGTCGTTGGCGGCGGTCCGACGGGCGTGGAAGTTAGTGGAGAACTTCATGATTTCTTGGAACAGGATCTGAAATCCTGGTACCCCGAACTCTCCTCTCGCATCCGCATCACCCTCGTCGAGGCCCTACCCTCCGTGCTTCCCATGTTCTCCAAGCGCCTGATCGATTATACAGAGTCGACGTTCAAGGAGAGTAAGATCGATATATTGACGAAGACGATGGTGAAGGAGATTAAGGAGAAGAGTGTTGTGCTGCAGATGCCGGATAAGACGATACAGGAGGTGCCGGTTGGGATGGTGGTTTGGGCGGGAGGGAATAAGCCGAGGGTGGTGACGAATGATTTGATTAAGAGGATTAATTCGGTCGTTGCGGAATCGCAGACGAATAGGAGGGGGATCGCTATTGATGGTGCGCTCCCTTTTCTACACTCTTTCGCACCCTTCCGCGACATAGTCCGTAACTGATTTTCTTTTCTTTTCTTTTTCCTCTGTGTTGTCGTGATGACGGCAGATCACCTCCGCATGGTAGGAACCGACGGCACCGTCTTCGCCCTCGGCGACTGTACCGCATCCTCTTACGCCCCTACCGCGCAAGTCGCATCCCAACAAGGCGCGTACCTCGGTCGTCTATTCTCCCAGCTTGCGAAGCGTGATGCTTTAGCGGCTGCTGCTGCGAGTGCGGTGGACGAGAAGGAGGTAGAGGGATTGAAGAAGCAGTTGGAGCGCACGGAGAAGTTGAGGCCGTTCCATTATAGTCATCAGGGGAGTTTGGCGTATATTGGGAATGAGAAGGCGATTGCGGATTTGGTTTTCTTTAATCAGAAGGTTTGTCTTGCTCTTCCTTCCACCGCTGAGTTTGTGTTGGTTCTGACGAGTGCTGGGTGATGCGTGGTGTGTGGTGTAGTGGGCGTCCGGAGGCGTGGCGACGTTCCTTTTCTGGCGGAGCGCGTATTTGAGCACGTTGTTCTCGATGAGGAATAGGGTGCTTGTGGCGTCGGATTGGTTGAAGGTTAAGCTGTTTGGACGGTGCGTTTTTTCTTTTTCTTTTTCCTCCCCTCCTGGGAATGTTATTGGATCGGAGGCTGACTGTGATTGTGACTGTTTACGTTTTAGTGATCTCGCTCGCGAGTAAATTCACTCGTGGAAGTAAAGTACTTAGCATTATTTCTTTTTGCATATACGTCCTGTTCTCTCCAAGCGCAACCTGTCCGCTCGTTCATTTTTACTTCATTGTTCGACCGCTTTACTTTCCAAGCGATACGAGCTAGACGTACCGCATTCATATGCATATCCTACCGTCAAACTGATCCATCCTCAGCCTCAGTTGATGTCCTTTTATCCGACTATCTCGGACGGACATACCGATAGACTTTTGTTTCTTTGCCGTTCGTTCGGCGTGCATCATTTTTCCCTTTCCCGTTCAGCGTGCATACAGAATCCAGATACAGGCCCCGGCTTCGGTTTACCCTACGCCACACTTATACATCCGCATACATACCTATAGACGTGTTCCGTGTTCCGTGTTCCTTTCGGTCGATTCGTTTGGTCTTGACCCTGGCCCGCCCGTTGTTCATTGACCATTCTGGACACCATTATCGTAGTATTAGTATGTTACTTATTTGTGCGAGGCTATATAGACGGTTCTTCTGTTCCTTTTTCATCATTTCTTGATTGACTGCGCCATCTGTCCGATTCGAACTCGGCTCTGATTTTTGGACGGTGGTGCTGAGAACCGGAGAAGCCGTACGCGGAGGTTTGATTGAGAGTGGGACGGCCTACTGACGTGGCTGGGAGCACGGGTCGATGGCTGGTACGAGCATATATTCTACTATTTCCAAGCTCGGTATATTAATTCTAGTTATCCCTCGAAAAGCCAGACTATATATCAAGTGATCGTTAAGTGGATCTCACTCGCTGAGCGATGATACCATTCAGTGGCATTCACCGGCCTGCAGAGAGCGATCGCGCCATAGGGTTGGTACACCCCGCCTGCCTAATCGGGAAGACAAAGAGAACTTGTACAGTGCGCTTCCGAGACCGAGACACGTTTTTTCGTCTTCTCGTTCGGGACGGGGATTTGCCGGGTGGTATATATATGTGATTGGGGCTCGCTTGTGGAGTCGTCTGTCTGTCTCTTCCACCACTTCCACGAGCGCGGTGACGATCGCACTTGCGCAGCTTTGACTGTCTGTCATCAAACTAAATCCTCATCGATAATGCATCCACACCCACGCGAGCGTAACGCCCATAATCTATAACCTCACAACTACATCCATCTCCATATCCGAAACGTAAAATGCTCACCGTCATCCTCCCCGCCTCCCACGTCCACCACTTCTTCTGCGGCGTCTCCGATCCCTTCTCCCAAGCCGAAGAGGAAAATACGGTATTCGAGGCTCTGGACTGTAAGCCTTGGGGCGCTGTGGGGTACGCGCCTGATGGGTGGTTTGAGTTGGGGATTCCGAGTGAGAGGGAGTTGGGTGCTAGTTTGAGTGATTGTGTCGGCGGCCCTACTCTGATGTTCCCGGATGCGGGGAACGATGAAGGTTCGACGATACCCGGTGCTGCTACACCTTCTTCGGGTTCAGTGGTGGTTCAGACTTCGATTATGCCACTAGAGGCGACATGCTCACCGGACGATCTCGATACGGATACGAATACGAAGGGTCTGGGTTCCGAGCCCCCGCACGCTCCTTCAAACTCGACGGACCCTTGCACGACGACCGATAACATCTCAAATATTGAGCGGCCTTCAACATCTCTAGTATCGTCGACGTTCAAATGGCCGCCAACAGAACTACCCACATTTATAATCGATTCTCCTGCGTCCTGGGACGGGAACCACGCGCACCCGGAGGACGTGTATCTGGCTGCCTATGATGACGGGGCGCATCTTTTCGTTCCTATGGTAGGGGCGTTTGGGAAGTTGGATAGGGAGTGGGAGAGACGATTTTTCCCTATGGCTGAGGAGGCTGGGGCGTGTGCGACCGCTATAGAGGGAGATGAGAGTGGAGAAGGTGGGGGGAAAAGTGGTCTTGATGGTGTTGTGAATGTGGAAGATGGTGCTAATGATAAGAATTGACTTTTGACTGCTCGACATTGTGGTTCGACTAGGATGTTAGGAAGTGAGGCTCGCACATGGGACGAAACCGTTCGATGGTACTTTGTCTCATCGAAATGCAAGTCTAAGTTCGTATTCACGGTCGAAACGCAAGACAAATTGATCGTATAACAGCGCTTCTTAGTAGGGTACTAGTCAAAACGGAAAGAAAGTCGGTGATCGCCTTCAGGGTACTCAAAATACTCTGGAGGATGAAAGCCTTGACCTTCGAGGTCCATAAATTGACGGAGCAGGTCGGGATGAAGGAACTGGCCATACTCGTGGCGTTGGGGGAGCATTCCAACCGAGAGATATCATCCCGTGGCTCTGCACCGCAGAGAAACTCTGACATCTGCGACGACAAATGATCAGTCTGGTGTCATGAGTTCATATGTGGGCTAAATTGAAAGAAATAAAGAAAAGTGGGTCCGCATTGCACTGACATGCATCCACTCTTCGAGTAGTGCAGCACTTCAGCCTGAGAAGATCGGGGATCTGCACCGAACGCACTAATCAGACTCCATGGAGGATAATTATAAAGCGAAAAGTTCGTAGATTATCTGGAATCGTGTATGTCATAAACCTTTAGGTGGATGATAGTCTTATGTACTAAACTAGTACGGCTGACTGTCATGGCCTCTCACTAGCATTGAAAGGGAGAAAAAGCTCAATAATTCAAAATTTGGTGAAGACGACTCTGCAAGAAGAATGTCAAATAGACGTACCGCACAAAATTATTCTCAAGGACTATCGACAGACAAACTCAGAAGATCTCGAAGCTTGATCGTTGCGAGTGGCCCAGAATAACGATGACAAGCTATGGCAAGCCTGACGCCAAAAGCGGATCACAAAGCGTGTGAAAATCCGCGCTCACGAGGACGCATCGCCACAGATCGGCGCCACCCCGCCACGTCTCAGCGGCAAGTCTCCTGGACCGTAACCACCACGACTGAGCATCCTAACTTGGACCAGGGAGCAGTAAGGACTATTATCGCAGCTCTATAATCGTATATCGGCTAGGTATGCTATGTTCCACATCTACAAGATGTGTTTCCTGGTATGCTCGCGGGAGTGGCACCACTGGATTGCCACTGGACCATGGCGATGCTTCGTCCGTTGTCTTGTGGTCTTTCCTATGCTTCATTTCGCCGCGACCCCCTGAAACTGCACGAGGCTCTGATTTTCTACGCACTCTATCCTGCCTATATATAACGGGCCTGTTTCGTCAGAGACGGACATTGAGGGACTTCAGAAGCTCAAGGCATCGAGAGGGTGCACGTTGAACGAGCCGTGGTCACGTCCGAGGATGCCGCTCGCTGTCCCAATTTGGCTGTCCGTGCCGTAGCGTTGTCGAGTTCTCTTTCTGATCGCTCTTCGCTGCTGTTGCTTGCGTTGCTAGCGAGAAACTTGTTCGACATGGATGGCTGATTTCCTCTTCAACAGGATTACACCTTCTATCTATCTTTGACTTCTGCCACTCGTTTCCTGAGTACGGTCGGCGAATGCAATTACCGATCTTCTTGTCTTCGTAAAGGAACTCTTTTTGTGAGCTTTTTCTGTCTCTATGAGTGTACCACGCGTAACTAACGCGTCCACGTGCTCTTTTTCCTTCAAGTGACGCATCATGGGGGTCCCGCTTTCTCAATCGCGGCGCGAGCTGCTCGGCAGCAAGTTTCCGGAGGATCCTTACGAGCACCCATATAAACCGCGACATGAACGCTCCTTCAGATGTGCGCTCAGAACTATTCTTTCCCTCTCGGCTTTACTCCTGGTTGCTCTCTATCTGTCACCTTCATTGTCGGACATCGTCTTTGGGACTGTCGCCATGCGTCTAAGGTACTTGGCTGAGATTGCAGGCTTGCTGGTGGGTGCTGGTGGAGTCGTATCTATCGTTCCTACAACATTTCCTACCTCTGGAAATGTAATGTGGTATACCGCACCCGGAGCCAGTTAGTATCTTTATTATATGTTCATTGAACGATAACAGCTCAACTTTCTTTTACGTTGACAGCCTGGCTGGAGGATTATCTTCCTGTTGGTAATGGGTATCTGGCAGGTAAAACTGTTATTTCTCTTCCTTGTGGGCATGAACTATTGCTAATAATGAGTGGACTTCAGCTATGCTTCCTGGTAACACGAACCAGGAGAATACTCAATTGAATATCGAGTCTCTATGGAGCGGAGGACCTTTCCAGGACCCAGTAAGTTTGAGAGTTGCAATGTTCAGTTTTCACTACCAAGAACTAATATCTTTCCAGACATACAACGGAAGCAATAAGCCATGGGATCAGCGAACTGCTTTGGCTCAGGACATGCAACAAATACGTCAGACAATATTCACGGATGGCACGATTGGGGGTAAGATCAAAACTTCCGCTTCTGCGCTGTAATAACCTGTACTCATTATATCTACTTTTAGATGTCGAGGTCCTAGCGGCTGATATCGGCGCTTACGGTACGGACACGTAACCTTCGACCAAGCAGGCTCTGATTGGCAATCTTCTAGGTTCTTATGCCGGCGCTGGCTTTCTTCTCTCAAGCATAAACGTGACGGGCGACGTTACCGGTTATACGAGATGGTTAGACATGGATTCTGCTCTAGCCCGTACTCAGTGGACGCAAGATAACAGCACGTTCCTTCGGTGCGTTTCTACGACGTTTAGATAATCTGCACTGTCCTGATTGTACATATCAACAGCACGACGTTCTGCTCGCATCCGTCCCAGGCCTGTGTCGAGCATATTAACACAACCTCCGCCACACTCCCGCCGCTTGAGTATGCGTTCGATATCACGCAGGAGGCGGGCCTTCCCACCCCTAACATCACATGCTTCGACAACTCTACCCTCCAGATTCGTGGCCTTGTTGCTGATCCTGGTATGACCTACGAGGTACGACTTTTTCATCGTTACGGAGTAATACTTGCTCATTATCGACGTTCGATTAGATTTTGGCTCGTGTTCAGACCGCTTCTATATCCGGCTCAGGTGGCGAAGTCTCCTGCAGTACTATCGATGGCGTCGGTGGCGCGACGAACGCCACCCTAAGTGTGACCAACGCTACCGAATCTTGGATCACTTGGGTCGGAGGAACAGACTTTGACCAGACTGCGGGCGACGCCGCTCACTCGTTCTCCTTCAAAGGCTCGGATCCTCACAGCGCCCTCGTTTCGACTCTCACCATCGCACTTTCCACTGGTAGCTCGAATTCGTCCAACGCCACTTATCCTTCACCCGTCTTCGCAGCTCAACTCTCAGAGCACGTCGAAGACTACGCGGCCATTGCGACTGTCGTGTCGGTTGATTTAGGTCAGGTTCCAGACTTGACTACACCGACGGATGAGTTGTACGCGTCGTATGAGACCGATGGGACAGATCCTCATCAGGCGTACGTCGAGTGGTTGTTGTTCAATTTTGGAAGGTACCTTTTGATCGGGAGTGCGAGAGGAGCGTTGCCTGCGAATCTGCAGGGCAAGTGGGCGAACGGTATCACGAATGCCTGGAGTGCAGGTACGCACCTGCTCTTCACGGTCTTTTGAGATATCGTTGACTGACGTTCCCTTCGTTGTGGCTTCCGTTTGATGAAAGACTATCGTAAGTTTTTCCCTATCGGTTTCATTCATGGGGATGTCGTCGTATCTTTTCTCACATTTATACCTCAGACGCCAACATCAACACCCAAATGAACTATTGGATGGCGGAACAACTTGGTTTGAACGTGACACAGTCGTTGTGGGATTACATGGAGGTTCGTCTCTCGTGGAAGAAGCCCCCTTGATATACCTTTAACGCTGGCTATTTTACAGCAAAATTGGGCTCCCCGTGGTTCAGAGACCGCGAAGATCCTGTACAACATTTCCGAAGGATGGACCACTCACAATGAGGTATGCGAGCAGCCCATTCTCTGCCCATTTAGTTCTGACTGGGTGATTTCGCTGTAGATGAACGTACGTTACCCTATTGCCGCAGTACAGGCCATAAATCTTTGCTAATTGCGTGTTATGCAGATCTTTGGGCACACCGGCATGAAGCTCTCAGGCAACTCTGCACAATGGGCTGATTATCCTGGTGAGCCCTTACGCATCCTCATTGTCGAGATCTCTACTCATAGTACGCTTTTCAGAGTCGTCGGTCTGGATGGTCAGTTTATTCCCACTAATCCATCAAATCTCACATGTTGACGACCTGATATTAGATGATTCATGTCTGGGACCACTTCGATTACACCGGCGACACAGCATGGTGGAAAGCTCAAGGATATCCTTTGCTCAAGGTCGAATGCAGTTACACATTTCTCGAGCCCGACCGCTGATTCTCTGTTCACAGGGAGTAACTCAGTTCCAACTCCAGAAGCTCATCCAGGACGAGCACTTCAATGACGGGAGACTCGTTACCGCTCCATGCAACTCTCCAGAGCAAACCCCGATCACTCTCGGTAATTCTCCTCATGAGTGTAAAATCGTAGAGTCATCGAATTGATATGATTACAACCACCTTACAGGCTGTTCTCACCAACAGCAACTCATCTGGCAGCTACTGAATGCGGCCGAGAAGGGATACCAGGCCGCAGGAGATACTGATGCCACATTCCTCAGCGGTGCGTGTGTCCCAGTCACGTCCATGGAAGATTCTCATTTTCAGTGTGGCACTTCTAGATGTTCAGAGCAAGCGTGCTCAGATGGATATGGGTATCCACATCGGTTGGTGGGGCCAACTGCAAGGTTCGTCAGATCGCTACTTTCCCACCGTGACTATCCAAACCAACCTTTTCCTGCGAATCTCTAGAATGGAAAATTGACATGGATAGTCCCACGGACACCCATCGTCATCTCTCGCATCTCGTCGGTCTCTACCCTGGATACGCCGTCGCATCTTTCAACGCAACCGCCCAGTCGCCCATCTACACTAATAGCACTCTGCAGCACTACACTCCGATCGACGTGTTCAACGCCGCCGAGATAAGTCTCATCCATAGAGGCAATGGAACAGGCCCGGACGCGGACTCTGGTTGGGAGAAGGTCTGGAGAGCGGCTGCGTGGGCGCAGTTAGCGAATGCAACTGAATTCTACCACGAGCTCTCGGTACGTTTCTTCGCCCGCATTGCACTCTTTAGTTTGACTCACCAATACTTCTTTGTGCAGTACGCCGTTGAACGCAGCTATGGACCGAACCTCTTGAGCGAGTATGGTCCGGGAAGCGGAATTTTCCAGATCGATGCCAACCTGGGGTATCCTGCCGCTGTCATCGTAAGTCTCGCCCATTCTTGCTTCCAGTAAGGTGGTAAATGCTAACACGGAGCACCCGTACAGAACGCTCTCGTTCAAGCTCCCGACACCCCGGCCTACTCTGATACCCTCACCATCACTCTACTCCCCGCCCTTCCCGACAACTGGGCCAAGGGATCAGTGACCGGCTTCAGGATTCGCGGTGGAATGACCTTGGACATGAAGTGGAGTGACGGCGAGCCGACCGAAGTGACTATTTCGACAACCGAACAGCCGTTGGGTGCGCGCCCTGTGCAGGTCAAGTTCAACGGTGCTGTGAAGGCGACTTTCAGCACTGGAACCGTCTCGACGCAGTCTATCTCTTTCTAATCCCTTCTATCCTTAGTACATTTCCACGCTGAATCACGAAATATTGTATGATACGAAGCTTCGATCACTGAATGTGCCTATCCATCTTTACATGTATTTATCTCCATCTCCTTGTAAATGAACTATCATCATCTTGAAGAAGAGCTTACTGTGCGGGGCGGAACATATTTCCATTCGGAATACCGATGCTGGCTGCAGGTATGGCAGGTATACGGAACCTGATCTTCGTTTGGAGCATATGGGCCACAGTGGCACCTGCACGGCGAAAGCCGTGCTGCCGAAGCGAACTGAACTCCGCAGGGGTACAAGGAAGATGTGTATATGTGGAAGTAAGGACATCATTCTTCCGCTCAAGACGAGTCACAGGCGTTGAACAATGCTGGAGGACAACGAATTCCTGGTCCCTAATGGGAGCAGGTCTTGCGTTCACTTGAATAACCACATCGGGACAACACTCTCACGCTTTCCATGGCCCAGCCCACGCGGGCCTACCCACGCGAGCAAAAGACCTATCGACGTCTTCACCCTCCTCCTACCCCATTTGGACAATCTCAGCCACCCACGGGATCCCACCCACGCGAGCAAAAGACCTATCGACGTCTTCACCCCCCTCCTACCCCATTTGGAAGCTATCAAGTCCCGCGCGAGCGCGAACGCTGCGAACTCTTCCCGCAACACTTGATTCTTATGTTTTCGTGTGCATTCATTATTTTCCCAATTTTATTCTCCTTCGTGATCTTTCAATCCAATTGCATGGTCTATTTTCGTCCCTGCTTTGACATAGCGCGACCTTACAACCTGGCCGATATGAACTACAACATGATAACTTGAACGCTTTGATCTAAGGACCGAAACAGAATATGATTATGACAGTGGCGCTGACGACTGGGAGGATGACGGTTGGTTGGTCCGTGAATCTGAATCAGACGAGGCAGACGAGTACTAGTGGCGGCTTACATGCCAATGGGGATGAGGACGGCTGCTGGAATTGCTTAAACGGTTGGTTGTTGCAAGATCTCGCTATTAATGCTGTGGTTTTATTATTTTATATTTAATGTGATGATGTGTTGTGTCTTTTGTGTTCTATGAATCCACTCATGAGACACTTAACTGGATCTACGTCGTACCTCGTACATGACACCTGGCCTAAGAATCGCGACGCTTGTTGCGTTGGTTTTCACTTACAGCGGTTTGCAGAATCGTAGTCGCACCTCGAATTCACGCAGAGAAGCTCTGCTCCACACGACGCCTTACCCGACACTCCCGACGGGGCTGCCACGAGTTGGGCCACATCGCTCTTGCAGGCCCTCAGTGCACAGTACTGAGCTGAATTTCGCGCTTTTTATGAATATAATTGGTACAGCGAGGCCCTGCGAGTTAGGGGCTACTCAGATAGTAGGTTTCGTTCAATATTCTGAGGTGGAATACTACTCGGTGGTCAAATGTGGCCATGCCATTGAAGTGTGCCAAGGGTGGCGTTCGCTTCTTCAAATGGCAAGCGGTGCGTCAAGAACCGCCGGTCGCTCCATCGAGAGAAAAAGTGGGAGCGACTACGATTCTGAAAATTGCTGTAATATTATAGATGCAACGTGATCATTATGTCACGCTCCAACCAATAGGGACCAGGTGGCGCCCGGAGGGCAAGTGTATAAGACGGGAGTAAAAGGCGAATAATCTAGGCATTAGTGAGCAACCGCTCGTCAGCCAGAGGCTGACGGATTGAGACTCGGACGGCGTGCTTGATTCTCTGGATTGGTTCAGGTATGGCGCAATGCCTCGAGTACCCACTTCAATCGACTTTGGCTATCCTACATATGCATGGCTCACCATACGACAAGAATAAGGCTTTGGTCTGTTTCTGGTTTCTGCGTACCCTAACGTTGCTATCTCTTCGGTCCTCTTTTCCATAGTAGCGGTCGACCATGTATTTCCGGTTGGTCTCGCTCACTGCCCTTTTGTCAATCGAATGGGCCACTGTCTGCTCTGCAGCAAAGGTTCCATCTAGGAGAGAACAAGTTCCCTTACTAGTTGCTGAACAGTCCAAGCCGACGAAGCGTGTAGCTATCGTGGGGGGAGGGACGGGCGGCGTCACAGCGCTCAAGACGCTACTAGGCGACTTGCCATCTGAGACGACACGCGACTGGGAGATCGTCCTCTTCGAGCAACATCGAGATGTGGGCGGCGTATGGTCAGCGTTACAAAACTCCGTTTCCCTCGTTTTAACTCACAGGATGCTTCGTAGGCTTCCCGACTTGGAGCCACCCAATTACCCAGAACTCCCTGGAACACCGCTATACCCTCGGCTCAAGACTAATACACCACACCCTACTAGTCAGTCTCCACTGTTGGATACAGCTGACAGCCTTCTCACTGAATATGAATTCCCACCATTATAGTGACGATACCCAACTTTCCGTTTAGACCTCTCGTATGTCTTCCACTGGTTTTGAGGTTATATCTCAGCTGATGCAGTTCATTCCAGACGGACCTCTACCCTCACCATCCATATGTACAACAATACCATGCCGACATCATCTCTCACTGGAATCTCTCATCTTATCTCCGACTCAATCACGAAGTCCTTGAATCGCGCTGGCTTGGCACGAGCGAGGACGGTCACTGGCGCCTGGACGTCCTCGATCACGTTCAAGGTCGCACTATTCAAGCAAATTTCGACCACCTCATTGTGGCGAACGGACATAATCACTATCCGTACGAGCCAACCTTCGAAGGGAGAGAGAAGTGGCTAGAGCAGTCGAGCGACAGGATTGTCTTCCATTCCATATTCTACCGTGAACCGGAAGACTATGCGGGGAAGAACGTCCTCGTCGTTGGTGGGGGAGCTAGTGGGCGCGATATCGCTCTCCAAGTCGTTGGGATCGCCAACTCGGTATGTGCTGGATGTCTTTCTGCGAGCTGGCACAAAGCCTGACTAGCATTTTCTTGACTGTTGCAGACGACGGTTTCGTTGAAATCCACTGAGAGAACCAATAACCCGGCTTTCCCCTCCATCCCTGGAGCCGCCTTCAAACCTCGGATTTCCCACTTCACGTCCGACTCCGTCGTATTCTCGGACAGCTCTGAGCTGGCCCACATCGATACCGTCATCCTCGCCACCGGATACGATTATCGCATCCCATTCCTCACCGCAGGTGGCCATCTCGACGAAATATCCACCAGCGTGACTCTCGATTCGACACATCCGGCCGCCATTGCGGCCAGCAAATCGGAGCACCTAGTCACCAATCATCGATATATCCGACCCCTCTTCTCCCACGTCCTCTCCCTCGACACCGCATACCCGCTCGGAGCCCTGTACTTCATCGGTCTTCCTGTATTCGTTGCCAACGCCATCTCCGACACCGCAGGCGCTCTTTTCACCGCACATACGATCGCAAATGCTTCACTCCTTAGTTCTCGAGAAGAATTTCTTGAAGATTTATCGCGTCAGGAGCGGGAAGTCTCTCGCGTTGGGGATCCGTGGTATATCGGGCATAGACAGGTAAACACGCAAGGTCCCAGCGAAGAATCAAATCAAGATCGGCTGGTGCGGTACTTGCAGGTCAGGGGTGTGGATCAGGACGATGACACGGGCGGGTCGCACAGGCATGGCAGTGGGATTATCCCGCCAAAGGGGAAGAACTTCACAGAAGATTGGAGGATATTGGGGAGAGGGCAGGGCGATCTGCTCAAGAAGGGTTGGGAGAGAGTGAAAGCGAGCGGGAGAGATACGGTTAGGCAATGGTTGGCAGGTAGGGAGACGGAAGGGGAGTGGGCCGACCTTTTGCGAAAGCTCATAAGATGGGAGAAGGAACAAGAGAAGGAGAGCGTGGCGAAGAGCTTGTGATATGCGGTAGAGCCCCTCGGTCCTCACTTTATGGATATATAGTTGGCATATTGTTCTCATGAGTACTGCAGCATCGTAATACTTATACGCATGCATACATAACTAAACCTATCTGAACGCGTATCTTTGAGCTAAGGCAATCTATGCCCGTTCAAGCTCGCCTCAGTAGTTCCTGTGGACGAAGTGTGAGTGTACTGTACCGTCCTGTATGGTTGTAACGTAAGAGCATGGAGCCACCGTCGCCACGAGTCGCATCCTAAGGCAGACCACAGACACGAGGAAGAATCAGGTAAGTAGTATGATACCTAGCTCTATAAAAGCGCGAAAAATCTACCGCATATATTTCCAAGTTGAAATCAGGCGAACAAAGGGTCTTAGTACTTATTACCGTGAGAAGAGAGGTAAGATCGGTGCCGCAACACATCACAATCGTTCTGATTCTTATAAAAAGCCCTCTGGATAAGGCTCCCTCGATCCACAGATTTTCCCTCGACACTTGCTACACTCACATCGCCACATTGCGCTATGCCGTCATCTCGAAATTCGGATCACAGTCAAACGGTCGCAGGCGAGGAAGCTGTTGCAGCCTGGTTGAATTCCCTCCATAAGCTTGCCACGCGCTCGATCTACGATATGTCTTCCACGGTGAAGGACTGTATCGAGACACCGGATTCTGTCGCAGAGGCTCGCATCTACATGGGCACAATGATATCAACTGTTCGAACGTGGATGGGAGAGACCCGTAGCAAGGGCAGTGGGCCGCCAAACGAGCTAGTTGACGCACTTCATTTAACCTCAGACAACGAAAGGCCGTTAAGAGAGGACGCCGTTATCCTTTTTGACAAACATCCCCTACCACGTTTCCTTCTACTTGCTTGTGGTGAGCACCAATCAGTGTTGTCGGATCCGGGCCCAATGTGTGATTGATTATGATTGATGATTTTTCAGTACCGGACTCGGAATCGGAGCGCAAGCGAGCTCGTGGCAATCCACACCTCACCGCGTACGCGTCACTTTTCTCTTTGTGGCACCCTATTGTGCGAGCGTTACTGACAACGGAATATTAGAGCTGAACAAGCTGTTCTGTTAGAAGCTGCTTTCCGGAAAGAGTACCTCGGAGGGGCGTTGACGCGGTTCATAACTGCGTTGGAGTTACACAAGGAGGACTACAAACTAGATCAGCACTACGGCCGTGTCATCGCCATCGTGCAATCTAGCGGTTCTGGTAAATCACGTCTGGTTAGAGAGCTTTCAAAGAAAGTGAGTACCACATACGATATGTTCAAAGCGTACATCTAACTCCTGGATTGGTGTATGATTCTCGGAGTATCCCCTCCTCAGTGTGTGCTTCCGAGATGATGCTAAGCCCACCACTGGGTGGCCTCCAGGCGATATACCTCCAAAGAACTTCTTCGCGCTGCATGCTCAGACGGGACATTATAAGGTATATTTATCCCTCATGTTTTTGTGGAACGGCGATTGTTAACTGGTGCGCACGATTAATCTCTTGATTAGGGCGAGGAACAGGCCGCCGCTTTCTTGGGTGCGCTGATGGAGGTCATCACCGAGAAGATAGATATTTCAAAGAATGATATACTGGCTGGTTGGGGTTATCCTGCACCGGGGGAGGAAGAACAAAGCACTAGGAGACGACTTCTGCAACTAGCCATGGATCGTGCGACCAGCGCGTTATCAACCCACGTTTCTTGGCTAAAGTCGGAGCGCGAGTGGATAGCTCGCCTCAAAGAGATGAGTTCCCCGGATCAAACAGGGAGCGATGGCACTTCAGCACAAACCAGCTCTTCCTCCCCAAAGAACAGAGACCTCCCTTTAACTGCGTCTCCCGACTGGCACAGGAAACTCTTCGCAAAGTTCTGCACCAAAGGTTTCAGTGCTCTTAGCGAGAAGCTTGCGGCACTCGGACACCATACTTTCTTCCTCGCTTTGGATGAATGTGCTGAACTAGGCGAAGAGGCGGAGCGTAATGATATAGAACCCTTGTCACACATCACTCTCATTGCCATGCAGAGGATCCTTAAGGCAGCAGACACTCTGGACGCCAAGGTTCAGTTTTGGTTTCTTCTCCTCGATACGAACTCCAGTGCGTATCTCCTTGCGCCATCGGGACCACGAGCCAAGTCCGGCCGCTTGGTAAAGGGAATGTCGCCCCTCGTCCCATTCGTTTATCTTGGCTTCAATCAGATGGCGCATGGAATCACGATCGAAACGGCACGAGAAGCGCTTAGTGTTGAACATCTTCAACGATTTGGGAGACCAGTGAGTTTTTTGCACCGTGACGTTCATTTTTTCCATTGTTCACCAACCCACCAACGCCGTACAGTATTGGTCAACGATGCCGCCTTCCATGGTAGTCCAAGCCGCGAGCGAGAAGTTATTCTTCCAACCCAAAGACGGTTCCGCCGAGTTCTATCCCGGCCATATTCATCACGTCTTCGCTGCGTTCGCTTCACGTGCTGCTCTCGAGTTATGCAACAACGAAATGGGAACACGCCTCGCAGCCGAAGCCGTTAGCCATCATATGCGGATCGTAACTGCTGTTGTTGGCGACAAACTCGAGACCAAGGCCCCATCGGAGCCCGCTCTCGCCCTTGCCGCAGCTACTGCGTTGACCGCTAACGAGGAGGTGTACAAGGTGGCGTTGAACGCTCTGCTCTCGGAGTTGGTTCTCAAAGACCTTATTCTCAATCGCGGAGATCAGGCCGAGCTCTGCAGTCGCCTGCTCTTCATCCTTGCCCGAGATCAGGCCGCGCTCTCAGTTCATGGACGATTGATGAACGACGACAAGACTCGTGTGCATGCAGTCACACTCGCAGCTGTGCTCGAGACGCTGCTCGGTCCCCAGTATGGTTGCCCTGACTCCACGTCGTCGTTACTCCCCAAAATCCGAACATTCTGTCAGGCGCGTTTTGTCCATTGGGCGCACTTCCATACCCTGACGAGGATACTCGACGAGATACCGATTGAAATGCTCGAGTGGGCCTGGTTCGTCGGCGCTGCCATTCAGTGTGCACATAACCAGCCCGTCATCGACGGTTTTATGGTCCACTACTTCGGCGACCTCGACGAGCCATATGATCGGGAATGCCTAGGCATCCTCGCCTGGAAAACCAAGGCAAAGGAGGAGAGTGCCTCGCAAGAACTCGGATCGCTCCTCACCGTTCCGCCAATCGTGTATAAAGATCGCAGTGGTACAACGCGACGTGTCAAGGACCAGACGATCGTACTGCTCATGGACCTCTGTAGTGAAGCCGGTATTGGACATAAGACAGGACCGAGGACCCAACTATTGCATCGCTCAGCCGCCACTCCGTACAACGCACCTAACTTGACTAACACACAGAAGGACAGGGTTTGGAAAGGATATTGCGACCCAGCGCGTGGAGAGAGAGAGCCGCAGAACTTTTTCATCAATATTCGCGGTCGGGACCCGGAGCAGTATCCCGTTACGAAGGATTACAGGGAGCCATTCCGCGCACTCTTTAACAATAGCTTGTCAGGAAGTCTGCCCATGGGTTTACACTTATTAGAGCAGAAGATGGATAGGCTCATGAATCAGTTCGAGTATCCCGGCGAGGAGGACTGAAGGACGTTTAGGATTCAATTGTATACGCTCATCCGAGTCCTGTGCAGTTCAAGTTGTGCACAGTTATTCCCCATCTACTATCCGTATATCTCGTACAAATATCCGTGTTCTCTTCCTGTTCTGCTCTCATTATCCGAATCATTGCCGCATGTTAGTACGCCGGTCGACCAGTTCATGCTGTCTCCTCAGGTTTTGGATTATACGAGGATCAATAGTTAAGTTGGCCGCTCTGTTCTGCTCGTTCGATTTACCCTTGAATGCGAGGGATAGTATTTGATCGTCAAACTGTGCGATGTGACTACTATCTAATGGCAACTCGAGTATGCATTAACGATTCAAGAAATGTACCAGGAGATACTCGGTTTCGTCGAGTCACCTACTGATCTCAGGCTCACAATATCCGACTCATATATGTAGAGTAAGTACTATCGATTTAGAATATTGAACCCTTCGCCGGAGCTCGTATCCTCACAAGCAGTTGGCGGAGGGACTGAACCTATTTTTTGAGCTAAGGCAACCTATGCTCGTTCAAATTGGCTACAGTTCCTGTGAACGAAGCGTGAGTATACTGTAGTGTTCTGAGTTCCCGCCACAAGCCTCGCCACACTGAATTACTATGTAACGGACACGTCACACCAACCGCTTCAGCTCTCCGCACGTGGTCATCGCCCCGTCACATCGTTACGATAACGTCTTTTTTCCGGTTCCCACTGGCAGTTTTGCTGTACTTTTTCGACCAAAGGTTCGTCACGCGTTCTCCGCGTTGATGAACCGAACAAAATCCTGCGTGACCTCACGCATAACGCAGGGTGAGCACAGGCGCATGGCATACTATCACTCCAGTAGTGTTCGGTATTAGATGGGTGTTCGGTATAACTTTTTCAAGGCCGCGCCCCTCCCCGTACCCACATGAAATGTTCTGTATAGTGTAGAGGGCACCTGTATGAGCCTATGGGCAAATTTTCTGTGCTTCCGTTGCTCGTACGCAGTCTTGAAGGAAGAGGTACTGTGTCAATAAAATCATTTCCAGTGTGTTGCTGCTCTCGGACCTTGACATCTGGGCCTGGTGACCCAAAAATATTTGGGCATATGTTTTCACACCGTATCGACCTCCAGTATATTTCTCCGAGAGATAGATCCATTGTCGTCGTTGAACGCCGGATGGTTGACCTGAGCGAGCACTCTCGTCTCGTCACGCTTGACTAATTTGGAAACTCAATTGAATCTCCGCATGGGGCCGCATCGGCAATGATGTTCTCCGACGGGTCTTGGGTGGCAACATTTCTTCACACTCTCGCATCGTTGTATCCCAATTCCTTCGAATGAACCTGCTAAAATCGATAGTGGCAAGTACCACACGCGAGTACCAATGATACCCTCACTCATCTTTTTTCTTCACCTAACAATTATAATAGATACACAACACTTTGCCTCGATTCCAGTGTGTCCGAGCCAATAGCGGAGCTTGAACCCAACGATCACGGGCTCGTTACGCTCTCGTGACCGTCGCGCGGAGAAAAAACCGAACACTCATCCGCAAGATCCGCAGAACGAGAGACGAAAGAATCAACCGTTATAAATTGCGTGGGGGGCATTGTGAGTATTTGCCATGCTACAGGCCAAATCCTGAACTTTCCCGCCGTCTGCAGGACGTCCGGGAATATTTTATCGGGTTCTCATACCGAACAGTGCTGGAGTGATAGTATGCTGGGCGAGGTCCAATCCTGGTGCGGACAATTTTGGGCCAAAAAGTGGTCTCATGTTTGATCATGGTGCGTACATTTTCGGCCTCCGAAGGACCCCAGGTTCGATCCCAAACGAGACAAAAGTGGTGAACTTGTGACAAGGTCCGATCCTACCATGGCCTACAGTGCGCACAAAAGTTGCACAAAAAAGATAAGATGACTCGCGAGAGAGCCTCTTCAGACACTCGCCGACGAGGTGCGCACATAATGGCCAATAATGCCTATATTTTCGAGCTATATGCTGGGCAATGTCCGATACAGAATGCGTACCAAACGTCCTCCAAAACAGGACACCCGATCCCAGTGCGTACATTTTGCTCCCAAATCGGCCCGGACAAAAAGGGCAAAAATAGTAGTCTCCCACAGTCAGACCTAAGGAGGGGAAGACAGTCGTTCCCCTTAGATAAGGTCTGCACCTCAACGCGCCCCGGATACCGTAGGTCGACCTTCGAGTCCCGCTTTGCTAACTTTTGCCCATATAAGGCAATTCTCGGTAATGGGATTCTGATGAAGCCGGTTGCCGGTGGCTGCGGAGTCAGGCGGAGTCTCATGATCACCAGGTGGCACTGTGTGGCTCCTTGCCTCTCCTCAGCTCCCATGTCAATGAGGAGCTTAGACTGTCCATAGTCCACCACTAATTGGCAGGCATAGAGCTTAAATCATATATATCAGGGCCTCCGGGCTGATTACACACAGATGACTATGATCATAAGTAGGTTGCAGAGAAGAGGTAGTATACTTAGTGTCGCTTGTACCGCTGCGTGAGCTGAAAATATAGATACATGAGTTGTGACAAGTCAAAAACATTCTACAATGGTTACATAGGACCTATTCGATTCACTGGTAGCATTTGAGAGCGTGTAAATGGGCTATTGGCGTCGAAGGGGGATGGAATAAGAATGACAGGCGCGACGCGTTTGTTTGTTTGGCTTCTCACGTGGTCGCGTTTATCGCCGAACGTCGACCTGCGGTATCAACCCCGCCGAGAGTATCAGACTAAAAAATAGACGGTTTTGGATCGGACCTCCCTAGGCATATGCCATGCGCCTGTGAGCACTGGGTGAGCGAACAGTGACCTCGGCAGGCGCTTGCGCAAAATAATAATTTTCGCAAGCGCCTACGTTGTTTTCTGAACCATTTACGGGTCCCGTCACGCTCACGCACGGTTTCTGAACCGTGACCCGGGCGAAACTGATGGGTGACGTAAATTCTTGATGAACCTTTGGTCGAAAAAGTACAGTACTTCTTCATCGATGTGAATCCAAAGAAAGGCAGAAGTGTCCAACATGTTTACAGCCATAAACCACAGAGAAGTTGAACAATTTCTCAACATAGATGTTTAGTTGGTTCGAGACCTAGAAGAATCGGAGAACGTCTATGTAGATACAACAGTAAATAATGAGTCCGATATGAAACGGTAAACGAAAGTGTCCGTAGAAATTGCGAAAGGTAGGTTTCTTGGCCAGCTAGCGCAATCATATCCCTGGCATGACAGTGAGGTCGATACATCCCACGCTTGGCCAGTAATGGCCTGAGGACGACAATGCGAAGAATCAGATTCGGTCACAGAGCCTCGTAGCACACTTGAACTCACCCGGGAGCGATGCGATCATAGCATCATAAGTTATACGAGTAGCGACTTCCGTGGACAGACGTACTGGACCGTGAAGAGCGGCTGCAACTGCTTCGGGTTCATCATAAAGCTGGACGCCAGGCAGTAGACCTCGCACATCCCATGTGAAGTAGACCCGATTCCTGGTCATTTGTATGCAGCTGAGGGAGGACAGGAACGGGTGGCTCTCCAAAGGTTGAGCTATACACAAGGACATGCGCGGAAAAGATCGTTTCGGAGACGGTGAGCCACTTTCGTCATAATCGTCATCGGTAGATAATCCATGGTGCGACGCATCTGTGGTAAAGATACACAGACCGTCTGCCTGAATAGAAGATGAGTAATGTACGATGAACGAGCCTTGGAAAATTCATCCGGACTAACATGGGCGATTGCAATCCTGCCGTGGTTGAAGGCGACGTATATAAACTCAGTATGCTGGTGTGTGAACACGACCGCTATGTCAGAGACCGAGACTTCGCCACGACAGATGCGCTCCCAGTCTTGCAGGAAGGTAACATCGGCTTCTCGTAGTATCACCATGTCTCTCCCGTCCTCGGATACGTGGACTGGTTGACCGTTGGTCAGATATCTACACAGCGATATCACATCGAAGATTGCGAAACCTACCTGCAACGAATTCGTTTCCGACTTCATTGTCCCTTCCATGCTTTAAGACTTGCGGAACCAGAACGGCATCGGAAGACAGGCGGGAGGGGAACTTCTTTGGTTCGACCGTAATATGATGATAACTGTCCTGGGCCGACTTGCGAAGAGTCAAGAGTTGCGACCCATCCGCTCGCGAGAACACCCGCACCCAGTCCTCCGTAGCGATAAAGACATGTCGCTCACTTAGCTCCAGGTACGTGACCATATTCCACGCTGGAGACGAGTCCAGGACGGCGTTCTCCAAGACTCGGATTTGTTCCCCCGTACGGACGTCGTGAAGATACATGTGATGCTCTCCCGATGTGAGCAAAGTAGGATACACGAAGCGGAATGCCAAGGTCTTCTCCGGATATGAGATGAGTGCCCACGGCCGGAAGTGTCCTCGATTGTCGCCGGTGGTAAAGTTCCGAGCGTAAGCTTGTTTATAATACTTGGTCTGTTTGTCGTCTGGAGGTGCGCGCGAAGCGGTCTCGCCTTCTGGGGCGTCGCAGACGAGGCGCCAGATCTCCTTCGCATGACCTAAGCGGTCGAATACCAGGAAGCCATTGTCGTACTCGCAGTGCGCATGAGCACGCACGTATTCCTAAGAAGGATCGAAAGATCAACGAACGTCCGACGAGGTCACAAATAGTCGACCAACCGCAGATAAGCTCCATATTGTATAGGTCGGAAACAGATTGGAGACCCTGAGGCCACCTGATAGCCAAAATAATGATTCTCTGTACAAGATATGCAGGAGCCGTAACGTACCTTTCATGTGAGTGGTGATCAAGAACTGATGCCGCTCATCGACTTTGATGCGATGAATATCATCTCTCCCGGTCGACAAGTTACGCAGAACAGATCGTCCACGCCCCATCCAATTCTTCTCTAGCTGGAACCGACGTCTGCCTGTATACAGAAGCGTGCTAGGTAAGCAGCGATTGCGTTCAAGAGCAAGAAGCAGCACCGACAGAGCTCTTTCCAAGACTGTACTCCATTCCACAGTTTCCCATGAATTTCTTCGAGAACATTATCGAAAGCTGCATCATTGTGGGTGATGAAGTTGTGGAAGTATGCGGCGTTTCGGTAGATGGAAGACTCGTTTGAGGTGATGAAAGCCTGCCACGCCGGAGACACTCGACAGAGGACAGCCACCGTTTGAAGAGGGGTATACGAGAGTGTCGCTATAACAAGCTCCGACGGAAGCACGTCTAGCATTCTATCCAAAATCAGTGTATTTTATCCAGAGAAAGCTAGTGGACGAGCAGTAATCGGTGGAAGTTCTAACCAAGTCGTGAGTGCCACGTCTGAGAGTCGTCGCCACACTTTCGCCGCTGATGACATCATCATTGAAAAAGAACCATCTATTGTATTGTTTATTCACCCACAGCCCACATCAGGGAAAGTGGCCGGCTCTCTGGGCTCTCTGGGCTCTACCCTCCTTATTGCTGCGGAGGCTCGGAGGCTCAGAGAGCCTCCAGAGAGCCCGGAGAGCCCTAGAGAGCCGGTCATCTTTCCTGATGCAATGTACAACACATAAATAACGATTCACACGAGCAAGTATTTTCCACATGCCACCCGCAACACGAAGATTCCCAATCACCGACCCGACACCTTACGCACTCGTATACTTCTCCCAAACCTTCTGCGCAACCGCATCCCTCGGACACACTCTCCCCGTCCATGCTTGGAACTGCTCATACCCCTGCTCTAAAAGCACCTCAACTCCCATCACCGCCTTCCACGCCTGCTCTTTCTTCGCCAACGCCAACAACGGCGTCTCAGCCGGCTTATACGCCATATCCACGACGACACCACCTTCAGGACGGAAGAGCGACGGAGAGAGAACGAGGGCGTTAGTCGCCGCAGACTCGATGGTGGTAGCAGAAGCGGGGACGGTGGACACAATGACGCTTGGCGCAGGACCAGGCCACGAGCCCAGGCTGTCGATGACCTCGACGTTGGCACCTGGAATGGCGTGGAGAAGAACCTCCGCGCTCGACCTCGTGCGATTGAAGATGTAAATCTTCTTGGCGCCCAAGGCATGAAGAGCGTATATCGCGGCCCTGGAGGTTCCACCGGCGCCGATGACTAGTCCAACTTCGACCTTGTGGACGATGGCGGGGAGACGGGAGCGGATGGACGCGCTGATACCTTTCCAGTCAGTGTTGTCGCCATATAGGATGTGGGAGCCATTGGACTTGTAGACCGGAATAATCGTGTTGACGGCACCGATGGCTTCAGCCTCGGGAGAGAGCTGGTCAAGATGGGCCATTATATCGCGTTTGAACGGAATCGTGACGGAGGCGCCGCCAAAGTCGGGCGAAGTGATCGTAACAAGTACCTGGCTGTCGACCTCCGTGGTCTCAAGGATCTCGTAGTTGTGAGGAAACCCCAGAAGCTTGAAGCCAGTATTGTGCAATGTCGGGGAGGGTGAGTGAGCGATAGGAGTACCGAAGATGTAGAACTTCTTCGACGGGAGTTGACCCATCAAATACAGCGCGCTCTGGATCTCTGCGAACGAGAGCTGGCCAGGAGCAGCCTTGCTTGGCAAGAGAGGATGGGTGATGGGACTGAACGTCGTATTCAATATCCTCGAAAGCTGTCCCTCGACGCCCATGTTAATCGCGAGAACGGGCTTAGAATCCAGTGCAGCGGTAACCTTGCTCACGAACGCGTGCAGATCGAGGTTATCTTGCAAAGAGTTGGCCTTCCCGACGATCTTGACGATATCCCCGAACGTGTTCGCGAGGTCATACTTGTCCTTCACCTCCTGCGTGTTCCACTTCATCCTCCCACTCCAGTCGTGCCACGACGCAATGATCTGCGAATGACCTTTGCGTGAGACCAAGTCGCGGATCTTCTTCTCTGGCCAGCTGATCTCCACGTCGATATACTCGACACCAAGACGAAGAGCGAGATCGAAGAGTTCGAAGGCCTCCTTGACCGACGAGTCGGGGAACAAGCCACCCTGGGAGACCGTCCTGGCCGTAAACACGATGGGCAACGACGTTTTCTGTCGAAGCGCAGAGATCTGGTCCGTCACGTAGGCCGCAGGAGGGACGTAAGCACCGACATGATCAAAGTCCTTCGGCGAACGGAGCAAGTCCACTCTCAGCTCGATAGCGTCCGCACCAGCGGTGATCGTCTCGAGCTGAGCAAGAGCCGGAGTGACATCTGGGAAAGTCAAGGACAAGAAGTATGACCTCTTGCCACGGGTGACGTTCTGAGCGACGTTAGGTTTCTGGCCAGTGACGTGGCCGAAGAATCTCGCTACCTCTTCGCGCGTGCCCCAAGGAGGTGTCGAGTACAGCGCCTTGGTGGAATCGTCAGCAGGGATGGCGTCCTGACTTGTAAGTGCGCCCGTGTAGTTGACGAACTCATAGTTGCAACATTCTGCGAACCATGGCTCCCTGCGCGCGAACACGTCCATGATCGGCTCTCCGTACGCAGGCCTGGCCGTCTCCTCTCCGAGATACTTCACCACCTCGTCGATCTGGCGTACGATATGAACGACCGGAGCTCCCGAAGCAGCATACGCCTTGAGGACCTCCCTCGCAGCGGGACTTTCGACGACTCCACCGCCGAGACTGATGATATGCTTGGTAGGGAAGTCGCGGAGGAGCTCCTTCAGGATATCGGTCTCAGTGGTACGGAAGGCAGGCCAACCATTCTGATGGACGTATTCTCGGACGCCGATCTTGAGTTTCTGCTCGAAGTAGGTGTCGGCGTCGATAAAGGGCCAGTCGAGGGTGGTAGAGGCAAGTTCACCGATGTAGCTCTTGCCAGAGCCGCGCATGCCGATGATGACAACGGAATTGGAGGATTCACCGTCGATAGGCCTGCTAGCGGAGGCATGGGCGGTGGAGCTAGAGAGCTCGACGCCTTCGACGTGGAGACCAATCTAGGGTATACGTAGTAAGCACAGAAAGCAGGAAATAATATAGGAGGAAGCATACCTTGTTCTCGAGATCATCCCACCAGTTAGGCCAAGTCTTCTCAACACACCGTTTCTCTTCGATAATGGTGTCCTTGATGGCAGCACCAAGGACGCTGAACGCCATAGCAACACGATGATCATCGTAGCAGTGGACGCTAGCACCCTCCTTCAGCTCCTCGATAGGGCGACCATATATCTCTAGCCCATCGTCTAGCTCCTTCGTCTCGATGCCAAACTTAGCTGTTCATCGCCACCAGTCAGTACAGGCATTCATATAATCTGGAACGGCGGTAAAGAAAGAAACGAAGAGACATACCAAGCTGGTCAATCATCGCCTGTATCCTATTACACTCTTTGACCCTTTGATTCGCAATCCCCACAATCCTCGTCGTGCTCTTCGGACTCCCATCTCCCAGCTCCCTCCCCTCAGATGGCGCTCCCACCGCCACAGCCGCCAACACACTCGCCGTCAAAAACGCATCCGTCATCGGCTCCATATCAATCAACCCAATCGCCTTCAACGACCCTACCTTCGGTCCTCTGACCGTCGTCTCCGTCTCCGTCTGCACCACCTCACACCCCATAGGCTCCAAAACCTCTTTAGCGAACCGGGCGTCGCCTTGGAGAGAAGAAGATCCAATGTTGGAGATCGTGCACGAGGAACCGGTTATGGCGGCGATGGCGAGAGGATAGGTGGCGGAGCTGGCGTCAGATTCGATGCTGTAGACGGACGGGTTGGTGTATGTCCCCTTCGGGATGGTGTATACATCGAGAAGCTTTCCAGCAGCATCGGTCTCGCGCTTGACTTCGATGCCGAACGTCTTCATCATCGCGATGGTCATGTCGATGTAAGGCTGTGAGATGACCTGGCCACCAGTCAACTCGAGGATGACTTGTTCGGCAGCATAAGGAGCGCAGAGCAAGATGGAAGAGACGTATTGCGAAGAGACGGTCGCTGCGAGCTGAATGCGTGAGCCTTTGAGGCCGGCAGGGGCAATGGAGAGGGGCAGACAGCCTTGGGATTCGAGGTACTCGATGGAGGTACCATTAGCCCGAAGAGCGTCTACGAGAGGGCCAATGGGGCGTTGTTTCATCCGAGCGTTACCAGTGATGATGGTGGTGGGCGCGAGACCGGAGGGTTGGACGAGAGCGCAGACGGTAGTGAGGAAGCGAGCGGCTGTGCCAGCGTTCCCGAGGTAGATCTCCTTGCCTTTGGGAGGAACGGAGAGAGAGCCTTCGCCACCATGGACGACGAGGGTCTCTCCACCATCTTCCCATGCGAAGCTGGCACCCTGAAAGCAATGTCAGGATGATTTCGGAAAAAGAGGCAAGAGAACGCCGTACCTTGAGCTCAGCGAGAGCGGCCATCATGACCTGGGTGTCATCCGAGTGCAACAGGTTGCTCAGCCTGCAGGTGCCCTTCCCCAACGCAGCGAGCACCAAAGCACGGTTCGAGATACTCTTCGACCCAGGCGTAGCCATCCTGATAGGATCCTGACTTGGTTTCCCTGGCACAACCTTCGCCGCCTCCGAAAGCGTCTTCGCAATAACGCTATCCTTCACCACACTCGCCTTCTGCTCCCATGTCTTCCCAATCGCACTCAGAATGACGATCTTCTTCTCCGGTCCACTGTTCTTCTTATCGATCTTCATGATATCCAACAGCCTATCCACCGTCAACAACCTCGAGCTCGGTAAACTCGCGATATGCGGGTCCGTGAGCGATACGGGCAGGTTATATGCTTTCAACGCTCTCGTCAACCTCCCCACTCCAACCTGTCCCAACTTCCCCAACTGCCTCGCCACCTCCGCTTCGAGGATCATACCGACGGCAACGCACTCGCCGTGTAGCATGTTGGGCGTGAGGATGGCCTCGATGGCATGTCCGATGGTGTGCCCGAAGTTGACTAGGTTACGAAGACCGGTGAGTTCGCGCTCGTCGTTGGTCACGATGTGGGCTTTGACGGAGATGGAGCCGACGATGATGGAGAGAAGGAGGTCCTGTGCGGCGGAGCGGGTAGATTTGGTGCGTCCGGAGTAGTTTTGGGAGGGGGTTTGAATGGCGGCGAAGATCTCGGCGGAGCGGGATTCGAGGGCGGCGAATTCATTTTCATCCCAAATGGCAGCGGTCTGTTAAATATGCTCCGTTAGTTTCATGCAATTTGAAAAAAAGGAAATTGGAGTAGGTAGTCCGGAGATTTGAAGTACGCTCGCCACAAGTGTGGCCCACGCCACACAAAAATAGGATGGATGGTCGATTACGACAGGGAAAAGGGATACAGCAAAGGAGGAAACGACAGAGAGCAGAGAGACAGGAGCCAAAAACAAAAGGAAGGTCGTGCTGTGAATCGAAAAGAGGGAGATGCTTACTTTTACAACCTCGGCCATGCCATTGGAAAACTCGCGAGCAGGGAGCGTCTCCAGGAAAGCAGCATCAATGAAGATGTATTCCGGCTGCCAGAAGGCGCCAATCAGATTCTTCCCATGGGGCGTGTCGATGGCAGTCTTGCCGCCAACGCTCGAGTCAACCATGGCGAGCAAAGTGGTCGGGATTTGTACGAAACGGCATCCGCGCATACTGCACTGATCACGTTAGAAATCACGCATAGTTCGTAAAGGCTGAAAGTACGCACAAAGTAGCGGCTACGAATCCTACGAGATCTCCGATGACACCTCCCCCAAGGGCGAGGACAACAGTGTCCCTAGTGCATCGGTTGAGGAGCAAAAAGTCCTCGATTTCCGCCTTTCCATCTCTGCTCTTCGAGGTCTCGCCAGGAGGGACGATGTAGGTCAAAAACTTGGCTTTGCTACCGGAGCTCTCGAAGCTCCTCTTAAATTCTTCTTCGAATGCCGTCAGATGAAGACCGGCGATATTGGTGTCGGTGACGAGCGCATAGGCAGAGGCAGGGAGGGTCTCGAGGACGGTGCGGACGATGTAGGGAACGAGGTGGAAGCCAGCATGAATAGATTCCTTGCCAAGGATGGATACTTTCTTGATGTCTGTCTCCGCCATGGTCGAAGGCGGGGAGGGGGCGAAAATTCGATGGGGACGAAACCAGTCATTTTGTTTCGTCTATAAAGTTACAGCACACCCTGACCGTGGGAATCGGACCTCTACAAACCAGCGTCTAGCAGCATCCAGCCTACGAACGTGGCGCGGAAGCGCTCACCGCATCCCACCATGTCCTGCTCGATGGGGTATATTTCTAAACGTCGTCCGTCAGCATGATCCTCTGTTTGCTCAGCAACTTGTGTCTCAAAAAGAGCACTATTCCGTCCGGTCGTCTGCTTTTTCATTCCAGTGTTCTGCCCTCCTCGATCCAAGGCTACATACTCTGCTCACGACAACCCGTCGTGTCCTCCGAGTCTCTGTGCTTTCTGCCGTTCAGTCCGGACCTTTGTAACTCAGTGCACTTCCGGTACTTGCGGTATATCTTTGATCATCCCCATCGAATCTCACAGTCGGACGGTTTGTCTGCATTCGCTATGAAGAGAGCCAATGATTGGTTGTTGAGCGAGGCGCCACCGGTGCTGCCTCCATAATCCTGTTGATGCTGATGCACTGCTTTACATCCATCTATTCGTAAGGCCATCGAAGACAACGGTGTCAGCATAAGTGGCTCTTTATACACCGTCGCATTGCAGGCTACCGTATCCCGAGGTCCATGGCCCAATCCCTGGCTCGGGAAACGAGAATAACCAGTTGAACGTTCGTTTCTATACCGCTGCAGCCGCTATTTGTTAGAGGGACACTGGTTTACTCTCCAGCGGTTGAACCTGTTTACTCACACCCTTTCCGTATAGTCAAACCGCTCCGTGGTCAAACCGTTCATAGGCCGTATGTTCGTCTCAGCGAAAGGCAGTCCCTTGGGCCTTCGGCCTAACTTGCTCAATATTGTCAGGTCTAAACAGGGGTCAGGCCTGGCATAGTGGTATACTCGTGGTCATATCGCAGGCCTATTGTGTCTATTGCCACCAGTGACCAAATTCTCGTTCACTTCCAGTTGGCCTTGAAATTATCAAACAGACCCGAGCGCAGCTCATCCTGAAATTTGCGCCCCTTTGTGGTAGTTGTTAGTCTCGGGCTGCCATCAAGGTTCAGGACGAATGATTGAGTATACGCACAGACCGGTTGATAGGGTTCGAAAGGGAGTCCATCGCACTACCCTGAGGCGAACTGAATCTGCTTCGCACGCGTATACTTCTCGCAGCTCACTTCCATCCAGTTTGCCTATGGAACTCATGAAATGGGCCACAAGCTGACTTCGCGCGATGGCTCTTGTGGTTTTTCTTGTTCACAAACCACCTGTAGATTGGAGACTTGAGGATGGGCCTCGCGTGTTGATGTTAGTAACAAGATACCTGAGCACCGCGAAACCCTCACCTTTGATCTCGGTGAAAAAGGTCAGTCGCGGTATTCCGATTGCCGTGCGATACCAGTTCTAACGTACTCTAAACAATCGTTCGGCCTCAGTCAAATAGCCCGTATTCGCTCTGACCTGCAGACCTGCACAACTCCCATCACCAGGATGACTCCTAGGACCTCACCCCTTCTCTCGCTCGCCGAAATCATCTCCTCTGGCGTCCGTACCCTAGAAGCTGCGTACGCTAAGGAGGGTGTTCCCTACCCATTGCTCGATGATCCCTTCAAGCCAGGCCCACTCGGCTTGGACGCCGACCCAGCCCTTCAACAGACCAGTCGTCTCATCGTCGCCGCCGCTTACCAGATCATCGCGAGTGTCCGTCATCCGATGGAGACTGTTATGGACTTTGCGCCCGCGCAGTACATGTCGTCTACCCTCGGGACGGTCGTAGAAGCTCACGTTCCGGACGTGTTGAAGGACGTTGGAAGTCAGGTACGTACTTTTTCTCCTGTTGATTTTTTTATGCTCATGTTACGGACGATTACTTAGGGTCTTCATGCTCGTGAGATCGCCGCCTACTCTGGGGCGGAGCCAAGCATGATGGGTCAGTATGCTCTCCGGAAATTCGCAGAATGTGGTCTCATGTTGAGTGTGTCTTCGCTACAGCACGGGTTCTTCGCTACCTCGCCACCCGACACGTCTTCCAAGAAGTGACACCCAACGTTTTCGCAAACAACCGAGTCTCTTCTATACTCGTCAAATCCCGTAGCATCAAGGAAATACAGGCCAAGTAAGCTCTCCACCGTAAAGAAGCTTTATAGACTTACTCACCGATGTCTTGAAGTCCAGCGACACAATACGAAGGATCTACCGGCGCGGCAATCGTGGGCCATTTGTACGCCCTCGTAATCATACTGGACTATCGAGAACCCGACTGACATTGCTGTTCTATACTTCCGATCCCAAAGCACTAACGAGGGTCTCAAGAGCTCGACCGCCATGTCCGAGTACGTGCGCGAAGGCTACAAGACAGCCGGGGCGCCTTTCAACATCGCTTACAGCACCGACAAGATCATATGGGACTATTTCGACGGTCCTGGAAACCAATTCGTTCATGATCGATGGACGGCGGCGATGAAGAGCGGAGGAGATCGCTTTCCTCCCGAAATATTCGCATCAGGTGCGTCGTTTCTAGGTTAAGGTGCATAAGCATTTCTTGATGCATAGGCGACAGTGTTCGACTGGGGTAAACTCCCTGACGACAGCGTGGTAGTGGATGTGGGAGGGAATGTGGGCACTGTGACTAGAACGATCATGAAGGCACACCCTCGACTCCGCTACGTCGTCCAGGACCTCGACAAGACTATTGTGGATGCCAAAGGGGTCAGTGTCCAACGTGTAAATGCCCTGTTCCTTGCATTGACTTTGCTCGTGCTTCTTAGTACTGGCAAGAGGAGGACCCTGAAGCACTCGCAAGCGGCCGTGTAATGCTCCAAGGTTTGTGTTTACACTATTCGCCTCTTCGATACTTGCTTCATCCAATTTTCTATATAGCGCACGACTTCTTCCAACCTCAACCAGTGAAAGACGCAGCCGTATTTTTCATGCGTGTCGTCCTCCACGACTGGCCCACCACGAGCTGTCGCGCCATCATGCAGAACCTTCGTTCCGCCGCCTCTCCCTCCACCAAACTCATACTCTACGAATCGACCATGCCTTATGCCTGTGAGGCCCCCAGTGGCTTTACGGATGACAAACAAGCTCCACCTCGTCCTCCGTATCCTCTTCTTCCCAACCTTGGCTCAGCGATGGGGAACTTTCTTACCATGGTGGACATGCAGGTTCGTTTCCTCTCATGCCTCCTCCGACGTGGTCGACGTCGACGGGGTACTTATTATGTTCCTTTGTCTCTGTAGATGTTGGCGCTCATGAATGGTCAAGAGCGAACTATCGAAGATTTTCGCGCGCTGGGTGATGCTACCGGTTGGAAGCTGGATGCCATCACCCCCGGGATGCTTTCGACCTATGTGTTCTCCACGGCTTGAAAGAGGGGATCATTGAAGTTGTTGTTCCTCTCATCTCCTCGCTATTCATGTCTCCTCCCTCTGCTCTTGCTCACCTAGCTACGTCCAACGCTTGACACGAATTATTATTCTCTTATCAAGCCCGCCTAGCTCAATCGGTAGAGCGTCAGACTCTTACGTTCTCCCTGGCGGGTTGATTGTCAGTTGCACAATCTGAAGGCTGTGGGTTCGACCCCCACGGTGGGCTAGTCCCAATGGTGTATCGTCTTTTTTCCCCTGATCCTAGCTGGAGGAAAGCAAGAAAATTTTATTCAGGAGGACTGGCTGAAATTACACCCGAAATGACACCGGTTCATTTTTTTATCCGTCCTCCGCTGGAAGGATTACCATATGGTAAGGCCAGCCAACCCAACTGATGGTTTGTCTGACGATCCACAAAATGCGGAGGATGGGGGGACGAGAGCAACGGTATGGTCCACGTCAAAGGCCCTGGCGGTTAGAACTTCACCGGGAGATGCCGAAATCATTCTACGCCACAATTGTTTCATCGCATTGGTGGCGCTGGTTGGCATGCATATGCATGCCAGCCGATTGAACCGCCTGGTTTGAGATCGAATGCTGCTTGGACCGTCCAGGAAAGGGTATTCAACTAAGGACAGCCCGCGAGTAAATGCCATCGTGAGCGAGGCCGCTGAAGTCAATACTGTGGCGCCCTCAAGGCATTGAACTCTGCTGTTTCGTCTCAATGGTGTGGATTTCGCTCCCAACATGCGAGGACCCAATAGAACATCAGGGTACTCAAAGCTTCAGCCAAGCCAAGATTGATGCGACTGGCGCAATTTCGCCATTGATGACATTAACGATATATCGAGACGGACACTCACAAAACAAAACAAGGACGACGAACGAACAGACAGCCATTTGGTGCGAGAGAATAAACAAGCGTGACACGATGGAAAGCAAGATATGCACGGCGACTGGAAAATGGTGATGACGACGGAAGTGAGATGAAAGGAATAAAGCGAGAATTGAGCCCGTATCACGGTTCATGTACAATGAGAAGGTATCTCTATGGGACAAGGGGGCGCGTCAGATGAGGTGATGACATTGGTGGCCTGGACGGTGTGAACGAGTTCTGGGTGGGATGGGGAGTGTGGAGCAAATAAGGATGATGGACGGAAGTGGAAGATGTAGGAACAGAAAGAAGAGCACGATGCGATGCGATAAGTCAGTATGCGACAGAATATGAGACGGCGCAGGCGGGCGTGGTGCGTTTACTCCAAAGGTTCTTCTCTCGGAACACCACTGCACAACAATGATCATCAGCAAAGCTCGTTGGATGAAAATGAAGGAAACCACATACAGGAGCATGACGTGTTGACCGCCCGCACTAGCCCCGACAACTTTCCAGGTCTTCAACGCCGTATTGTGCACCCTCGTCGGCAGATGTGCCTCTTCCGTCTTTGGACCCAATCCCAACTGATTCGACACTCCCTCACCCCACGAGTACAAAATACCACTCTCGTCCCATGCCAAATTGTACCTCGAGCCGCTGGAGATACCGACGATCTTCGTGCTCGAGAAGCCCTCCTTATACGAGGGCAATTCTGGCGTAGGCTCGTCCTCGGTAGGCGGAGGCGGGAAGGCGATCCTAACAGGCTCGGGGACTCGGGCGTCGGGAACGATACGTTCCTTCTTGTCGTCCTCTGCAAGCTCTTCCTCAGTCAGCTCCTGACCAGCCTCCTTGGCTTTCTGAATCTTCTCTTCCTTGGCCTTCTCCCTCTCCTTCAACTCCTCCTGGAAAGCCTCGTCGATAATGACCATGGCAGGATGATCAGGCGCCAGCCCCAACCGCCCAGCGTCTGCCCTTCCGCAACCCCAAACTTCTCCGTTGTCCAAAAGGAAAATGGTGTGGTGCTCGCCCCTCCCAATCTGGATGACCCTCGCACCATCGTGCTTCGCCGGGTTCAGTGCCTCTACTTCCGTCGGGGCCGTGACATGGCTCTGGTTTCCGCCCTTCGCATTGCTGACTCCGCACTGCCTCATCTGGTTAAGCCCCCAAGCATAGACGACACCCTTCTTGTCTACGGCAAACGAATGATGGTGTCCTGCGGCGACGAGGACTATGTCCTTGAGCGGAAGGGGTTCAGGCCGGAGGCCATTCGCCTTGCGGCGCTCCATGATCTTGCGTCCGAGCTGGAAGTTGACGCCATTGCCCCAGGTGTAGACAGTCCCGAAGGTAGTGAGAGCGAGCACATGGTCTTCTCCGCAGGCAACGCTGCAGATTTGAGACTTGGAGAAGGCAGGGAGGGCGGTAGGTTCGAGAACTTTCATAGCGTGCTCACGGATGCCGTCAAAACCGAGAATGCCGTCGGACTATAGGATAAATCGAGGCCATCAGCAGGGCCCATCGCGAAGCAAGAACGTGAGGATACTTACGCTGAATGAGCCCCATGCGCGAAGCTCGCCCTTGTCGCTAAGTGCGATACTGCAGCTGTCGGACGCGGCGATGAAAGTGGTACGGAAGCCATCGAGGCCTTCCACGAGATCGAATTCGGCTTCGAGCTCGGCGTTGTCTTTTCCAGGAATGCCTTGCGTCTTACGGCCGAGGGCCATGGAGTCGTTGACACCACAAGATCGGATCTGTTGATGCAAAATGAACGTCAGACAAATGGTACGGCCACAGAACAAGTCAAGAGGTGGGTGGCCGCCGGCCTCATCTAGCTCCTAAGCGCTAAGGCCAGCTATAACTCGCTTAAGAGCATGAGGGTGATGTGGCACCGTTGACAGGATGTTGAATAACATTTGTATAAGGTCTGGCCTTGAGAGAACATCACTTTATCGCAGTGAAAGTGTTGGTCGGGTGGCGATGCGCCGAACGGATAGGAAGAGCCTGCCAAACGTGGACGAGACACGCCTACATGGATATTCGCAAGTCTCTCACATGCGACATAATGATCCACAACGATGGCAAAACACGAGTGGTGAGACATCAAGGACAATAACGGCGTGACCCCCGACAACCGTGAACAAGGTCGATGTGGCGCGATGTGGCCCAAACGCGAACAATGTGCAGAGGAAATGGAACGCACCTTGCCGTTCGAATCTAAGACGAGCGAATGCATACCGCCAGCAGCCACCTTCTCGATGCCATTGGGGCCCATCGATCCGTTCTCCACGAGGTTGTGGATGGTAGCGTGCAGCCTCGGCCTGCTGATGGTCCCCAGAGTGTCCATGCCCAGCCCGAACTGACCCGTGTCACCCGTGCCAACAACGAGGAGACTACGGGGCTTCTCAGACTCATCCTGGGGTACAGGAAGGGGGAGGGCGTTCACGGGTTCTGGTAGAGTGCGAGAACGCTTGAGAGACGAAGTGCGCGTCGTCGAGGCGGTGGGCCCTTGCTTGCGCTTTCGGCTACCGGTAGTAGCAGTGGTGACGACTGTCGCGGTGGATGCAAAAGATTTGTCGTCAGACTTCTTGGAGAGTGATGCCTTTGAGGCAGACTTTGTCACAGCTTTCCGTGTCGAAGCTTGAGCAAGGTCTACTATCAGTATGTGTGAGTGTCCCAGTCCAAACATGCAACGTACTGCGTGGTGCTGGCGCTATATTTTCTTCAGAGCTGGTGTTTGTAGGTACTGTGACTGTTGAAGAGGTGTTGGTTGTGGCTTTACGCCTTGAGCTAGTTCTGGGAGGCATAGCTAGTGAGATGGGATGGTGGTGGTTGAGAGGAAAGCTGGGGGGTCACTGCGTCGCTCGAATAAACACTTCCGTTCCGGGTCATTACTGTCCCATGACCCATCACGTGACCCATCAAACGAACCCAAGGCGCGTTATTTTGGCAGTGTTTGTTCCTTCTCCACGGGCCGTCCCAATCTCCCGGCTTGCCCGTTTCAAGTTGTATTGTCGTTTATGATCTTTTTGTTTCTACATCGAATGTCTTTTCATCTACGCAGAAGAGGACTCGTCACACAATCTGATATTTCAGGCCTATCTCTTTCCCGCCACCAACAAGAGATCCTCCCTAGTAACTTACCTACACTTTGTTCATGGCACTGTGACTCAACGGAACTTCAACAAACATGCCATCAAGAATCGTCAGGGAATCATAGTAGTAGGGTAAGATATCGATCGGCATACATGGGACCGTATGACAACAAGTAATTATTACTGCAGTGCCAGGCTCAGCGACAGACTATAATCTCATACGAACAGACGGAGAAGGGTCTGAGATCGTGTGCAAAGCATTCATACACTGTTGAAGGGAGCCAGTAGCAGAAGCCCTCGAGTGGTCAATATCCCGATAAAAGCTTCAATCCTAGTCCACTCGAAACTAGTTAGTCGTCCGGAGAGTAAGTTGGAGCGATATCTAGACGCTTACCTGCCTGCCGAAGTACGATAACAGAGGACGAATATCTTCAAGTACGACCTCTGCATACCGATATCCCTCTTTCCAGTTCGAGACGTCGTTGGGCGGAAGAGCTATTCCATCTGCATCCTCGTCCACGGGAAGATCAACCGACTCGCCAGAGTTATATTCCGAGCCTTGACCTGAGTCGTCCTCGAAAGAAGAGTATCTCTCGCTCGCATCGTCGTCATCGGAAGGTTCGTAGTCTGGATCCTCATCCGTGTCGACATCGTAGTAGAGACTCGGATCCTGCCATGAAATACAACAGTTCGTTTGTACCACATCAACAGAGTCGGGGAGTGTCACAAGGCGTATCTCATCGTGTTGCATCTGATCGTCCGGGGGAAGTAGGAGTGGGAGATCAAGGAACAGAGCGAGAGAGTGGTCTAACAACCTAAAACCTCGGAATGAGGGTAAAGCTGTACAGAAAAGTGCAGTATTATCAGAAGTTACCCGAGACGGATCAATCGGCGCATCCCAAAGGTCGATCCACCTGAGTTTCGGATGAGAAGATATCTGGAGATCGCATGATCCGGAGAGAGTGCAAACGAAGTGCTCTAATTCGGGACAGGCCTCTACTAGAGGCTCATAGTTGATTTCGTTCTTTGGGAAATGCATATGTAAGTATCGCAGTCTGGTCCCAAACTGTTGCACCACCTCTAGAAGATAGCCCGCGAGTAAAGTAGGATTCACATGCACTGGGAAGTGGTTGGCGCAAATCGTGAGGCGATGAAGGTCTGGTGCATCTACGCACTTGCTAACATTGATCAACGATCGAGCGCTCCACCGCATGCGCCCGTCCGGATTGTCACCTAGATGCGAAGGATGTCGAGGAGACTTGACGACGAATACGAGGGTTTGTAGTTGTGAAATATTAGAGTCTTACGACTGGGAGCATGAAATTCGATATTCGGGACCGCCAATGTGAGAACTACGAGGGTGTTGATCGACATCATCATCGGAAGGGGAATACAGGCAGCCTGCGTGAGGTCAAGATGGAATTTCTTCAACGTCTTTGAAGACGCCACACGCTCAAGTGTCGGGATAAAGCATTCGAACCCATGGACGGACGGCCAATCCCATGGCCCCTTGAGGGTCACTTGTACGTCCTCGAGTCGTGGGCACATGCGCAAGATCTCATTCATGCAGAGCGATACCTTGCGTTCGAGACTCGTAGCTATTGAAGGACAAAACACCAAGCTGCGAACGAGGGGACCGAGAGGCCTGCGGTTGGACTCGGAGGGAATGAGGTCGGAGCGAAGAGCCAAGAGGAAGGGATAGACTTGGGACACACAGTCAAGGACAACATCTTGGTATAGATGTTTTTGACCGATGCCGTTCCATAGGCGGCATACAGTCGTGATGACCCTAGCTGTGCGAATGTAGCGACGAGAGGCTGGTGGCGCAAGCCCCCAGCCATAGGTAGGATTGAGAACAATGGCAGGATCCCGATGAGCTACTGCAATTGTGAAGATCGAATCCCATATCTCGAACGGAAGAGCGAGGCTCTGTGCATGGGAGTTATGATTCAGCGACGACGCTCATGAGTTTACAGGTTACTCACCATGACCGATCCTTTACTTGAGGGTCTCGAGGCCGGACCAAGATGGACCGTGACTATGAACGCAGACGGAGTCGAAATATAGCGAAGGAAAGGGCAAAGGGTTCCCGCGTCACAGAATATAAGGAAAAGCCGCACAATGGAGCCTGTCTCAACACAGTGCGGCTTGTGTGTACAAGTACAAAGGAAAAACAACGGTGTACGTACGTTCTAGGACCACAATCGATGCTTTTATGCCGGAGTTGGGTGGAAAAACTCGTGGGGGCCAGAGAGCAAAAGATGATTCGACCCAGGCTCGAACTGAGGACCTTCTGTGTGTTAGACAGATGCGATAACCAACTACGCCATCGAACCATACGTATGTGCCCCTTGGAGTAAATGTAACGTGTTCGGCTGCACCCTTCCAGGCGAAACTCGGAAACGCCTGTTGAAGTCGACGTGAAGCTTGAACATCCCCGCTCATCTTGGTCTTCAGCTCTTCTCCAACAATGCGGGACCAAAATATTTACAGTCTCGCAAGGGCTCTTCCCCGGATGGTAAGTCTTTGAATAGATCCAGCTGTGCATTTTTCTGATGCATATCATGGATTCTTTTGTAGAGCTGGGACCGACGCAATCTGTTCAACCTTTGGCGACGTTCTCAAGGCCGCCTTCAAAAAGATGCCGTATTCACAGACACTAACAAGACCCTCTACCAACAACGATGGTTGTCCAAAAAGCTTGTCCGAGCTTATCACGGCGACTACATTCCCGAAAAAATCTTCAAACGGTGGTACCTACCACAACTTCTTCCTGACGTCCGGCCACGAAAACCTTCCGGCAGTTCGCCACAAGCTATCGACCTTAGCAAGTGGGCCAATCAGGAGGAACACGTTAGTAGGGAGTTGAAGAAGAGGGAGAGAGCGGCAGAGTTGAGTGCGGTTGGGAAGAAGGGGTTGGCACCGGTTGGGAGTTTGATGTTCATGGAGGTGGAGAGGCGGATAGACGTGGTCGTGTTTCGATGTTGTTTTGCGCATAGCATCTATGAGGCAAGGAGGCTGGTCATCCATGGCAGGGTACTGCTCAACGGCAAAGTGGTGCGTGTTTTTCCATTGCCCTCAACCAGAGTTCGGCAGAGGCGTTGCCTGGTCCTCGTATGCATAGCATGCTGTTGTCTACTCTGGTGGCATACTGTATCTTTAGACCGTCGTTTGGTTTTGGTACGCCGAACATACTACCCTCTAAGAGGTGAATCTCCGTATCACCAAGAGGATATAGCCGTCGTTTCTGGCATGCCACGACTCGCGTTCTATATCTGTTCACCCAAAGGTTTTGTATTCCCTTCAATGATCATAACGCGTCGCAAAACGCGTAAAGACATCCTCGCTAGCCCATGCCGAACTCAGTGCCTCTCCTTTCCACGAATCTATCGCTAATCATCGACCCTACAGCACCAAAATGCCAACACCCGACTCGCCCCAGGCGACATGATCACCGTCGACCCAAAAGCAGTCCGCTTCATCCAGCCTAAATACGTCTACGAATCCGAAGCAGCCCAAAAGGCAGCCGATCGAGCCCATTGGGATGAAGTAGAGGAAGAGCTCAAAGCGAAGAAGGCCGAGCGTGACGCTCTGCGTGCACCTCTCGACGAGAATGGCACCTCTTCTCTCGCTCGCGACTACCCCGAAGCCTCCACCACCGACTCCACCTCAGAAGCAACATCTGCGGACTCCGAATCCTCGTCCGAATCAGACGTCGAGCCTTCAGAATCGAAATCGCAAACTCCTACAGAATTCAAATTCAAATCCCACAAGGGGCTCACCCCATTCAAACTCCCACCCTACGCCTCGCCTTTCATCTTCATCCCAGCCTACATCGAACCCTCTTTCAAAACGTGCTCCGCCATCTACCTGCGTCATCCTACCGCACGTCCCGGATACTCCGAGATTCCGACGCCCTACCATGCGGATGGGGAGATCGTCAGACTGGCTTGGGAGTGGTATACGAGGGTGAGACCGAGGATGCGGAGTAGGAGTCAGTTGGCAAGGATGCCGGAGAATAGGAGAGTCATTGGAAGGGACGAGAAGACGGCCGTGGGGACGTTCTGAGCGGTGATCAGACCTGCTGAGAGGGTTATGACTGGCGGGGATGCGATGAGTGAGAATCGGACGGCGGAGAGAAAGTGGCGGGATGTGGCGAAGTGGCGCTGGTCGAGTTGAGTGGCGCCTGCGAGAGGTTGCTTTGGTCTTACCGTATGTTCTCTTTGGGCGCATTAATCCTTCTGCTTGCAATCTGTTCTCCTCTCACTCCTTCCCGCAACACTGGCCGCTACCGATGACCTTTTGTGTGAGGTCTGCCACGGAGTCTAGAAATGACTCTTGCATGGTAAGTCTCCATCATCCCGTCTTTCTTCCTCTCGATTGGTCTCGAGAGTGTGTGGCGAACGTCGCAGATCGCCATCGATCGTCAGGCGCAGTTCTCTCACTACCATCACCGTCGACGCAGATCGTTGATGGCCAAGGTCGCTTCTATCGCGGACTCAGGACTGCGCAGGCCCTTTCTTGCTTTAAGGTCATTCGTGGAGAGGAAGCACGACCTCCATTGACTCTCACGCGTGTGCGTTTTGGTTGGCCAATACTGTGAAACGCATGAACCAGCCGTTTGCATTGTGCGCAATTGTTGGCCCTTCCGCTACAGATTCTGTATTGCCCTGTTCCGCTCGAAAACCCGTTCTACGACATGTTCCTACTCTATGCATCTTTCGGTGTGATCGTAGCTATTGGCGAGCATCGGACTGCCTTTGCACGACATGATTGGCCGTGTGGTTCAGACAGGTGTGAATCCACTCGCCGCCACACTTCGACCGTGCCTCCTGGTCCTTGGGCTCTCCGGTGCTGTGTTCGTACTGTGTGCTGGTCACAACAGCGATCCGCAGCGGCGTTGAGCACTGGGAGAGCAGTTTGTCCTCGACTGCCCAGTTTGACAGGTTCCTTGTTCAGGCGATACGCACTGGTTGCGTTGTCTTGGTGTTTACGGGGAAGTGCCCGAGATGGGCCGCTTCTTTGTCCTTTAGCTGCTGCGGCGTTCATAAATTCTACCTGTGAGGCTGACTTCGTCTAGTCTGTGAGTTTGTCCTGTTCCAGTCGACTGCTGTATTGTGGCGGAGGGGTCTAGGCGCCTTGTAACGTTTGAGATTTGAGCTTCGTGGCTTTTCCGACTGGATAGTTTTTGACTTCAACGAATCGCTGGGGAAGAGTTCAATCCCTGCTAGATAATCAATCGCTCGTTTGACTAGTCTTCAAACGTTTCTAGTATGTCCACAGTCGACGAACGGTCATGGTGCTCTCTTTCAAAACTAGTGACCTGCTTCGAAAAGGGACGGTGACGGTAACGGTGCTGTTCTTTCGTCCTCGCGGCGGTGTTGCTCTATGTATATATGGAGCACAAGGTGAATATGGGAGGATTCCGAGAGTTTCAGGGTCTATCATCTTCTACCATCAAGCTACTAAAATCGACATCGAGCTGTTCAGACGCTCACACTGGCAACGCTCCAACTATCTAACTGCTAAACGAGTATTTTATCACTACCATTCGATGACGATCTTCGTGATCGGAGTGGAAGCGTATTCTTATCGCTGACGATTTGGAAGGAGGCATCCTCGCCTAACATCCTCGCCATGCTGTTTGGATAGTCTCAGCTCTTGTCATTGGACGGCAGGACCTTCTTCGTCGTTGACTGGCTGAGGTTCTTCGTTGCTACCTTATCGCTCACCTCGCTTTGAAGGAAGTCGAACGAGCCCTGCCAAGTTTTGTGCATAGACAAGGCCTCAGATCTCTTAGTTGGCTTCGTTGGGCGCTGTGGTTCTTGACCGGTACCAACTCGGTGCTGTCTAGAGTCTTTCATGAAGCTGTAAGGTACTTACTTTATATCGCCTACGTATCCTTTGGAAGAACAAGCTTATAATATGCCAAGTTGCTCCCTGTTACTCTTGGACAGAATTCGATCGAAGCACGAATCGAAGCCGTCGCTAGCGGTCATCCCATTGAACGCTCCACTGGACGTTCATGAAGCTATGCAGGAGATAGAGAGCTTCTATCCTTGTTGTGTTGCTTGGCATTCTTTTTCGGAACTCGGATCCAGACGCGAGATTTGAACAGAAATGATGGAGGGTACTTATTGTATGGCGAGGATTGTCCAACCGACTCCGTCTTCGAGTTCCCCGTGGATGGTGGTACTGGATCCACCCGTCACATAAACAAATGAGGCGTCACTAGCTGTAGACCGGTAAGGAAACTTAGGAAAGACAAAGACCGACAGGTCTGTAGATGGATATTTGTAGAGGACCATGGACAAGCCTACTTACACCCCCGTCCATACAGCGTGGGACGTTGACGACCGCTTCGCTCTCCGTCATGTTTTTCTTCTCGTTATTATTTCGGTTTCTCCGAATCCATCATCCGTATGTCAAGTTGCGAGATCAGAGATTCATGGAGAAGACATATACGCATATGGTCCCGGTGGTTTGTTGAGGTAGCAACCGGCGCTCGGAAGCCCGGCGGTACGGAATGATAGCTGAACTTCCCTGAGAAGAGAAAAAAAAACCATTCAGCGCCAGTAAAGCACCCACTGCCTCAAATGTAGAATACGGTGCTGGTGAGCAGAGTGAAAAGCCCGAGAGAAGTTGCGAAGTTTAATCCTGCCCGGTGCTGGGACACTCACAGTTAGCCGTCCCAGCGGGACACGGAGAAGGTTCGTCGAAGCACGTACCGCTCTGCAGGAACGACGCCGCAGCAAAAAACCGATGTCTGTCCCGTCTTGGCAGGAACAAAAAGTGCATCATCATCCCTGCAAGGGGCCGAGAGCGAATCACGGCTCGTCGCTTAGTTGCCTGACGTGCGCCTTCGCCGCAGATATTGATTGTTTCCACTGCGCCGGGCGGAGGCCGAGAGGATGGAGACTTGTCATACATTTCGGGATTGAGAAGTGCTTCTGCTGACGGTAGCCGTTCAGGGGAAGAATCAGAGATGCCGCAAGAGCCACTTTGAAGTGATAGTCGACCGGAGTGGAAACAATGGAATGCGCGTAAGCATAGGAGTTGAGTCCAGTAGTACGTGTTATTATATATACGGTCTTTCGTCGGATAACATGGAGGTATAAGTAAATGAAAGAAGAGAAATATATGGGTTGAATAGAGGTTGTATGGAAGTGTGGCGTAACAATACGGCGTTCTCTGGAATGGCATCGATTCACGGGCAGGATTGCGATGAGTCTGTCTGCTCTCATGGCTTAGGGTGGTGGGAAGAGATGCTCGTCCTGGACGAGACTCCGTAGAAGAATCGAATTCCGTTTTGCAAGGAGAAGAGCGAGCCTGGAGAAACAAATACCAAAGTGGGATTCCTGCCCAGTTCGGCCTGAGAATGACTGAGTTGTCGACCGGCCACCCACACGGATCAATGGCAGCAGGACGAAGCAGATCAGGATTTGTAGGCGAACGCTGTGATTCATGGGCGAATCCGTCCACAATAGGATGGGCAAGAGCGAAATTGAGGTGGAGTAGAAAGTACGATATTGGCCACCTGCCTGTTGGTGCAGTTCGATTGAATGCGAAAACTATGAAAAAGCTGCAGACTTATTATACCGTCCATATCCACGCATAGTAGAGAGCGCTCTGGGAGCAGTGGCCGGCGCAAGTTCTGATGATGCGCTGAACCGAATCAGTGTATCCGGTCAATTGTGGTGATCGAGACGCTACCACTCGCTTGGGCATTCAACAAACTGTCGATCCTCCACAATCAGCGTCGTTTGCACTTCTTTCTCTTCCACCACCACCACCACCACCTCCTCCTGCTCGAATTCAATCTAATGCCTTTTGCATAGCCGTAAAATGGTCTCCATTCCCGGCAACAACCTCAGCCCCTTGGAACACCCGATAAGATAAGATGGTCGCCAGCGCAGTGCCACTCGAATACTTTGTTACAGTTGTCTTGAATTGGGGCTGCGGTCGGAATGCAATTGGGAAAATGTCGGTGGAGGGCCTCGATGGGATGATTGTGAGTCCAGCATGATGTGGTGAATTGGCTGCGACGTTGCGAGGCGAAGGAGGGCAGTTGCCATGCGTCTTCCTCGCGCTCCGACCGTCGCACCCCGGATGTGTGTTCCTTGTCCGTGCTTCAAGGGTACTGCGCTAGTGCACGAGGTTTCTTTTAGTCCTTGCCTCTGTCTCCACAGATTACAACGAGATCTCTTCTGTTGTCCTACATCCACCGCTTTGTTCCCTGGAGATATAAGGCCCTCCCAGCCACGACAAACGTACCCTCCTTAGTTTCGCCTCTTTCTTTCCGTGCTTCTCTTCGTTCCCCTCTTTTCTCTCTCCTCTCTCTTATTATCATCAGGCTGGTTAACCTGATCCCGTCCCCCTTTGACTGATCTCATAGACACGCTCGCTCTCTTTGCAATGGCTCAGTCTTCCTCTCCTTCTGCCTCTTCGACGGCGGCCGCTGGCGGTGCGTCCTCCACTGCTGCAGCGAAGGCAGCAGCGGCAGCCGCCCCAAAGTTCTCCGACACCGATTTCGTCTACCATATCGATCTCTTTTTGATTTGTCTCTTCGGTCTCTACGTTCTCACCACACTCCCCCGCGCCATCGCCCGCTATTCCTACACCCATGGCTTTTTCCAGGGCCTCATCCTTCGCTCCGGCTCTCCGAAGCCCTCGAATTCACCTTATCGCTCTAACACGATGAGGAGCACTGCAAGCCGTGCGACCCTCGGTAACGGATCAGACGAATCGCACACCTACGCCTCGCATGCCAACTTGGTCCACAAGGGCAATGAGGCCAACTTCGCCAACAACCGACCCCCGACCCGCGTCCCTCGTTGGGCCACCGTCATTCACCCTTTGGTTTCGTACTGCCTCAACAAACGTGTGGCTGCGGGATTTTCGGTTGGAAAGGTTATCATCTCCTTGGCCTATACCGCCGTGGTCTTCTACGCGGCGTTCTATGGCCCGGAGGTCAACCCATTCTCAGACTCCGTTCGTGCCGGATTCGTTGGGACGTCACAGATTCCGATCGTCATCGCCCTCGCGAACAAGAACAATGCCCTCAGCTACTTGTGTGGACTTGGTTATGAGAAGGTTCGTCGTTTCTTTTTCCCCTGCGCGTGTTTTTTTCGTTAACAATATTGGCTCTTGCAGCTCAACTACCTTCACCGTTTGTCTGGCCGTCTCGTGGTCCTCGCCATTAACGTCCACGCTCTCGGTTACAGTGCGTCTCGGGTTTATCTATTTTAATTCGCCGAAGCTAATCCCGCTTGTTTTCCTCCGCAGTCTACAAGTGGTCTATCGCGGGCACCATCGCCGAGGACCTCGCTGAGATGAAGATCCTTTGCGGTGTCATCGGTCTCGCCGGTGCCGACGCTATCTTCTTCCTCTCCATTCCGCTCATCCGCCAGCACTGCTACCACCTTTTCTTCTACTCGCACATTCTCGGCTTCTTTGCCTTCATGATTGGTGTAAGTCTCGTGGTCCATGTTTCTCTCCTTGAATCTGCACAACTAACCGCGCTCATTTGCTTCGACATGTTATAGGGACTTTACCACTACCCTCCCTGCGTTCCATACTGCGCCACCGGTCTTATCCTCTACGGTGCCGACCACCTCTTCCGTACCCTCAAGACTCGTACCACGACCGCCATCCTTACCCCTCTCCCTGCTCTCGGCGCGACCCATATCTCCATGCCGAAGCTCACCGAGGGCTGGCGCGCAGGCCAGCACATCCGTCTGCGTGTTCCCGCCGCCTCTGGCTACTCCTTCTTCGGTGTCCTCTGGAACTGGACTTTCGGACGTGCCAGGCCGTTCTCCATCGCTACTGCTGCGGGTGGCAACGGATTGGACTTGGTCGTGAAGAGCAGGAAGGGCAAGTGGACTGGTGCGCTTTACGAGTGTGCGCAGGGTCAGGATGGTAAGGGGTCGCCTGGCGGCGGGTCCAACTGGAACGAGAAGGAGAGGGACATGGAGTATGGGTTCAATGGTGGACGTGAGGTTAGGGTGTTGGTCGAGGGACCGTACAGTGCGTTCGTTCCTCTTGCTCGTGCATAGGACGTCTGACTCATCGGAATTGTTCTGCGTAGGTGGTCCTGGGTACACCATGTTCACTTCGTACTCTGGCGCCCTTCTCGTCGCCGGAGGGAGTGGTGTCACCTTCATTCTCTCCGTTTTGGAGGATATCCTCCAGAAACACGCGGAGGGCCGCAGTCGGCTCCGTGTCATCGAGGTCGTTTGGTCCGTTTCCGACCCTGGTACGTTCTTACCTTTTGGTCTCTTTTTCCATTTCTCGGAGCTCCAGAGTTCCTTCATTTGCTGACCTGTTCGTGTTTGTCTCGTTAACAGCCGTATTGAGTAACCTCCTTCCAACGCTCACCGCCCTCCTCCGCCCACGTCCTTCTCCCCACGCATCCCTCCAACTCCGTATCACCGTCCACTACACCCGGGCTCCTAAGTCTCTCCCCCCATCCTCATCCCTCCCCGCCGGTCTCCGTCTCCTCCCCTCCCGCCCCAACCTCGGCAACACTCTCACCGAGACCGTCGATTCTGTCATTTCGACGCACGCGATGGGCAGTGGAGGATACGGTGGCAAGGGAGCCGTGACGGAGGAGTATCCTTGCGGTGTCATTGTTGGCAGCTGTGGGCCGGTTGAGTTGGGTGATCAGGCAAGCGATGCGGTGGGTACTGTCGATTGGAAGAGGTGGAGGGAAGTTGGAGGGGTGGAGGCGTACGATGAGGTGTTCGGGTGGTAAACGCCCTACACTTTTTCCGTTCCTCCATTTCTTCCTCTTCGCCTCTATGCCGTGGGTCTCCGGTTTCTCGTGGCTGCGAAAGCGGCTGTGTGTGTGAGCATGCCATCACGTAGGGGAGGGGCTTCGTCTTCCATTTTTTGTGTATCGCCTTGGTTCGATTCGTTTGGGAGGTGGAGTTCCGACGATGGATGCAGGGAAAGTGTGTCGAGTGTGGGTTGGTGAAAAGAAGGCTGCTGAGCTCATCGACATCGTTTGCTTTTGATAGTTCCCAAAGCTTCCGACCCGATCTTGCTCGTTCCGTTCGTTCGCTTTAATCGTCGTCGTTCGTTATCTCCGCGTTACCCCCCTTTCCTCACTCCCCCACAAGGACTTTCAGCGTTTCGGTTTGGAAGTCCTTATGGCCCCGAACGCTCGACTATTATTTATTGCGTACGAATTCCTGCAGCGCTTCTTATTTTACGTTCAACCTGGCCTAGTGCCTACCTGCTTGATTTCTTGTTTCTTGCCCGTGCTGCTGGTGTGGTGTGTTATGGTTCGTCGGCGGAGACCACTGGTTTGGTCTCTGTCCGCGATCCTCCCGCCGCCCTGTAGCTCCCACGATTTCTCGGTTCGTCTTTCGTCATCTGTCTTTCCTGCTATATTTATTCTCCTTTCCGCTGCTGTATTTCGTAGCTACCCTCCCTTGTCACTCATATCGATATTTACGTGTGTTCGTCGATGATTCAGAAGTTCGCCGCCGTGCTATTTACTCAGTTATTGCTAGCAATGATATGGTATGTATGGCTCTGGCCGGGGCACGTATTTAGAAGATCTTGGATCGGATTCGGATAGAACGAATGTGGATCGAATTGTAGTACTATAGATGTTCTTGTGAATAAATGGTCCAGTCGGGATTGTGCTTGTGCGTGTCCTTCGTAGTTTGGATATATTCTCACGAGTAGCAAACACCTTACATCAAGGTTCCGGATGAAATTTCCCACAGGTTGAAGCAAACTGAGAGCAGCTAGAGAGAATCTGAGTCTGAATGCTGCACTGTTGCCATATTGCCGAACTTGAAGCACATCATCCACTAGCAGAGAAAGGGCTTGCTCTGACCCTACATTTGTGCAACACCATCCGCGGAAGACTCAAGATAGTGCACGCACAGGCGAGATGTTCAACGGAAGACGTCTTCGCACCGTTCTCAGAGATGTGAGGCAAGCTGTCGGCATCGAGTAGGAGAATGGTTTTAAGCTATGATTGTGGATTTCGATTGGTGTGTGAAGGTTAAAGAGGCATGGTATTCCGTTGTTTTGAATGAAACAGAGCTGATTCCCTGGCATGAAGTTGTTGTTTGTGGTGGTCTCGTGTATAGACTATAAATAGAGCATGTGATAATTGTACACGTCTGTAGTCTTATGCTATCCCTTCGAAGATATGGACAATAGTCATCCAACCTTTAGAGTCACATCCTGGATGAAGCCGCACCGCCTGGCCCGAGCTCCTTCATCGCCTCCAGGTCCTCTCGGTGGTCGGGAAGATTGACATTAGATGTCCCCGGTGTTGGATCCAAGCTGGTGCTAGTACCGGTGGCTGATTCAGAGTCCGAGTCAGAGGGCATCACCAAGTCTGGAAGTGAGTTTGGATCGCTTGGTATATTGTGAATGTTGCCGGGCTCGATATTACCAACGGACCACACACTGGTCTGTTGTTCTTGCTGCATTTGAATGAGAACGACAATAATCGTTGGATATAGGCCCTGATAGAAAGAAGTAGGGTTAGCCTACAAGCACTGTGTGCGTGCTGTGAAAGTGAAGAGGCGCGGGGCACGAGCCAATATTGGTATAAAATGACGCACGGAGATTTGATTGTTAGTAGAGTTGATGATGACCTCTGCATAGCCAGCTGCGGAATCCTGGGGTCGCAGACTTGGCCAATACGTCCAACATTTCGAGACCTAGACGACCATCGATTAATCTTCAATTTCCACGCCCGGTGGCCGACTATGAGGTGGTACGTACCCAGATAAGCAGGTATATGAAACCGGACTCGATTAGAAGAGCTAAAACATTCTCTACAAGTGTCCCCGTCTTCCTTGCGCGGACTGATTTGACCAATTTATGGTGTGTCCTAAATACCCGGAGCTCAGTATCATGATTCTACGGTTCATGACTGAGAAGGTGGCACTCACCAGGCGGTATATGCAATGAGACACGTCGCCGCGAAGTTGGTGGCGACGGAGAGAATGTAGCCTCCAGTTTGGGAGCGTGCACAAGACTGCGCTTCGTGTTCGAGCATGTACCAGCCATGAACACCCATACAGCCAATGAAGAAGGTCGCAACGGCTGCGGAAAAAAAGAAGTAAAGATCGACAACTTAGCCCAATGGAGCTAAGAAAGGTGTTTAGTACCTACCACCGGAAGCGAACAGCAACACCAGCGGTGCGATGATCAACTTCCAACGATACTGGACTAAGTTGCATGCACGCCACACAACGATGGCATCACCGAATACGAACTGTGAAGGATCCTGTCCCGTCAATGATGCGTCTCAAAACGATCTGATCATAATCTAACCTGAAATGAGAAAATAATGGTTTGCGCAAGAACGAACTGATTGGTATGGCTTGAGGTGTTGGGGGCTATCCGCGATGTGGCGTCCAATGTTATAAGGGCCGTCGATAGAAGAAACATGAAGCTGATTGAGATGATCATGAGCAGGTAGGAGCGCTTGTTCTCCTTCTTCCGGTTACGCCTATTGAGTCGATCAATCAGCCTGCGATAAACATCGTACTGAAGCAGAACGTAAAATGCTCACGTTAAGCTTCGTATAGCAAGAATCATGGAAACAAAGTAGATGCCTGTTAGTTGGCATGGGTGAGTAAAAGTAGAGCAGGGACATAAACGACTGGTGCATTTTACCGTATAAGAAGCTCTCGGACATAAGAGCACATACGCTCTGAACGAAACCGATTCCGTAGTCTGATATTGGTGCAGGGCAGTCTGGAGACGTCATTGTGGCTGGCTGAGGGTGACTGAGAGTTTCGACGGCAGGCTTGGGACCAGTTAGCTCAACTCTTCTCTCTACGTAGCAGCATTTATATCGGTCCGTTCGTAGATTTAAGCTGTAGAATGTCGTCACAGTCCAGCATCGGACACAATCCACAACGCAAGCAGTGCACTTGCATCGCGTGGATTGAGTCAAAGATCTGCAACATAACGCAGCCTCATATTCAGTCAAGGGCTCTGAAAGCCACCTACACTGAGTCGCAAAACGACGACTCCGGATGACGGACGGTGGTGTGTAGCCGCCTGAGATTAGATCGTAGTATAAGAATACCGCTTGCAAGGGGAACCAGCAACAACTGACTGGAGTTGGTAAGAAGGTTTTGCCTCTAATACGCGATCAGATCGCAGGATACAAGCCAGGCGTTAGTGGGTATGCTGTACCGTCGGACCTTGCGGTGTCGCCCTTTTTACTTTGTGAATTCAAGCAAAGATGCAGAAGATGAGCCTAAGTTGGCCACATATCGGGATTAGTGATATGCAAAATGATTGGGAATGAGTGGATACAAGTTTCCATGATGATATTGACGTACCAATGACCGTGGTCAGTGAGCAGAAGCCCGCGTGATCATACAAACATATGAAAAATAAAGGGACCCTGACCGTAGCTCTCACTGCATCGCGAAGCTTTGTGGCGCCTGCTGTCACCGCCTCTTGCAACACCACGCGTGGGAATTGTTCGGGCGATTCACGCTCATCTTTCCAGCACTGTTATAGAACAAAGACCTCAACGGTACCAGCTAGTTGCAGCTAACGCGCGGAACAACTGCGATGTAAATTCTTGATCTGACTGTTCCTCGGTGTACCTGAGAATAACCGGAAACTGGAGCAAGGAGTTAGCAGGAGCTCATACAAGTATGAGTTTAAGAGCTTCAGAGAATACAGGGAAAGCAATGTAGATGGTTTCATGAGGAGAACATAGGAAAGGAGCTACGAATGGAGATGACTGAGCATTCAGGTCTGCGACCTATATCCAGATTCCGCGCATCCATCAGTTCTGCACGTCTTCATTGACATCCACACGAACGATAACCTTTCCTGTCGCACGCCCCGTCATGGTCCTTGCATATGCCTCTCTCACATCTTTGAACGAGTATATTGAGTCTATAGGGACACGCAGCAACCCTGCCGTTGAAGTGCCAATGAGCACGTCAAGGACGACACCAGATGCAAGGCAATAATATGCGTACCTTGATTTACGAGCGCGACCAATTTCTCAGCCCTCTCGGAATCCAGCGGGGTCCTCAGGAACGTAAATCTGCGAGGTGTTCCGCCGAACCAGACAGGCAGCCACCTACTCAAGAGGACGTCGAGCAGAAATCTGGAAAAAGAGTACTACAAGCACGAAGCGGTTCAGTTCGAATAGTGCAACATAAATTCCCAAGAGGTATTGTGCTAGAGTCTGGAAGAGTGTCATCGCTGACTTACTGAATTGAAGTCTGCCCCAACTGCAAGGTAAATCCCAGTCGGGACGAGATACGACATCGAATCCACAAAAAGCGGCCTCGAACCAACGCAGTCGAAGATCATGTCGAAGTTCTTCGCACCGGAAAACTGGGCGGTAAGTTGTTCGTGTAATGGTTGCGTAGTGTAGTCGACAGCCTGATACGGAAGGTCAAAGCTCATTCAAAGTATAAGGAGTACGAAAACCCTGTACCTCATCTGCTCCCATCTGCTTTATGAGCTCGAAGTTCTTTCGAGAGCAAGACGCTACAACATATACACCCATAGCTTTGGCGATTTGAATTCCTGCCAGGCCGACCGACGTAGAGCCCCCTTTGAGAGATTATAGATGCAAGTCGTAGGACAGGCCATAACCCCCAGATAAATAGTGTAGCTCGTGCGTACCATTTATGAAAAGCCGCTGACCTGCGCGTAGCTTGCCTGCTTCGACTATCGCATGATACGCTGATAGAATAGACCCGAATTCACCATTCAGCTTAGGAACACAATGCAGAAATCGTGCCATACACGTACCAGTCTGTACCCTGCCATTCAAGGCCGACGCTTCTTCCCAGCTGAGGAATGTTGGCTTGCTCGTGAGTTCATTCTCTAAAAACGTAGCATGCAACGCAAGGGCGCCACGACCCATCGGAATTCTCCCTACGGGGTCCATGACCTTCAATCCGAGCAATATATTAATGACGACAACCCAGTACACAACGTCCATAGAATGAAGAGACTTACACCGAAGACTTCATCGCCAACCTTGAACCTACCCTCCTTCTCTTCCTCTTCGTATACCTCTTCCACAACTCCCGCTCCTTCGTAGTCTGCGATCTCTTGTGCAACAGGAAGCCAATAGGTTCGCATCCAGGTAGGGATTACACGCCAGTAGTACGTCGTGCCCTTGTAGGGCGAGGCGAACTTCATGCGGACACGAACTTGGCCTGATTTGAGTGCTGGAAGGGGATGATCGGGAACGTATTTGAGCACGGAGGGTGAGGAGTATGCGCCGCGGGAGACAACAATCCATGCGGGAGTCGTCCCGGTGGACGAGAGCGAAGACATGTCAATCAGGTTCCACGGTGTATACGAAGGCGAGTGTCTTTAAGTGGGAGCAGGATGTGAGTGGGAGTAGGCTGACATGTTCAGCATGTGCGCTCATTATAAGTCTCTAAAGGAACCTAGGTTCGGCCGTGAATAGTCAAGCCAAGACTGAGGATAAGTTACTGAAGGCATACAATTTCCCTGGTTCCTCCCACCAGATACCGCAGACGAGCAGCGACGCGACGTGTAATCGGTCGGATTCAACTGCATACATCGCAGAGGGCACTCTTATCTGACAAATAGACAATGGACCTGGAAAATGGGTCATTGGACCATGGCGCAATACGGTAGCACTGTGAGCGCGCAACTAAGACGCAGTATTGCAACCCGGAAGTAAGACCAGGAAAGGGCCAGAATATTTAGAAAATTAGCTTCCGACATATATGATGCCAGCTACAGCCTATTGACTGGGGTTTCCGACCTGCCAAAAGGCTGCATAATACTTACAGCGAGTTTCGAAATGATACGGAATTCCATCTTTCGCGTTTTGGCTCAGCCACAGCTCGGCAGCGACGGAGCTTGCGACGGCACGGAGGTCTCCGCGAACTTGTCTGGACCGTTTTGTATAACCGCTGTGGCCCAACTGTGGCCATCCATGTTTCTCGCTCTGTCCGTCAGTGTAATCAAGAAGAAAGCTCTGTAAAATACATCCATAAGTACAAATGTCTATACGGCAATATTTTCACAGAAATACGACCTTAGAAGAAACTGTCAAGTGATGACTTGCCCCATGCTTGTCGCCAGAAGCCTGCACGCATACCAAAACCTTTGAAGAACATTATGTGAATCTAGCACTCATCAATATTCTATAATTGGGTAATTTCCTCCCTCCCATATGTTCCTCTCGGTTCCCTGTTTATTTACGCACAGGAATTTGAAAGGTCATCGAGCACTTTGTGCATTGGGCCACACACAGGCAAGCCTTGCGGAAATTCCCGTGCCGCGCATGATCCGTCACTGCCGAGCTGTGGCTGAGCCAAAATGCGAAAGATGGAGCTCCGTATCATTTCGAAACTCGCTGTAATACCCGTAGCCTTTGAAGTTGAGGTAGAGAACCGGAGTCGCCCGTGATCCACCGGCACAGCCACAATGGGGACAAAAAATGGGCCCATCTGCAGAAGGTGGCTTCAGCTTTGAAGCACAAGGATTAGAAAGATGACAGAGCGCACCAGAGCCTACTCCCGTTGACGGAGAAAATACGCTCGGGTTACGGAACATGTGCGCGCGAAGGTTTGGAGTCGGCGGAGAGCACACGATACCCCAGACATCCGAGTGTTCCCCAAGAGGTTCAAGCATTCGTCTGTACTTGTGAGCTCGATAGTTCATTTCTGCGTTGTATCATTCCACAACACCAGACTTGATACGAGTACAGACTGGTCCATGGGTATAATCTTGCATGCGAAGAGAGAACATCCCGAGTGTTCACCAACAGAACGACAATTATCTCGTCATTATTATGACGCCCGAACTCAGTAGTATTATAACATAAAACACAACGAAGGGCGGATCTAAGACACGGGTATAACTACATCATGCAACCCCACGCGAATGAATTAGCGTTGTCAAACTGGCAGCCAACAAGGTAACTTACCAATAATCCGAAACAGAGAGCGGAATGAACACATCCTCCTTAGCACTCTCTATAATCCTATCTTGTCCATCCCAATGGTCGTCTTGAGCGTGCCCACGGCGCGATGCAAGGGTGTCCAATCCAGCTGCTCTTGCCTTCCGAGGAGATAGTACATGCCGCGTTGGTAGAGGAACTGGAGGTGGTACGGGAGGTACTTGTACACGCCAATGACGAACAGGCTCGTGATGATCGTGAAGAGGGTCACTATATATGCCCAGTAAGCTCTGGTGGCCCACGAAGTGAAGAATAAGGACGACGCACTGAGAAAAGCCTTCTCCCATGGCTCCAACATGGTAAACACGAATGTGGCTTCAAACCAAATTCGGCAACGCCAAATCATCGCGCTCAAAGGGGCAGATGGAGAGTCGTACGGAGCGAGGTCCCAAGTGAAGATGGTAGGCTCAGCTTTGCGAGCGGGCGACGCGGTCGCTACACCGGTGCTGCTAGGGCTGGCGCTGGCCGCCTTGGGGGTGAGAGTCGTCGTGCTAGAGTGTGCTGACATTATTATATAGCAAGAAGAGACCAAAATTGGCAAGAATATGTTCGCCGAGGTTCGGATTAAAGTGGGTGCTCGTCGCTGTCAGATCACAGAACTGAGAAACGAAACGGAAGGATACACGACTTGGCCGATGCCGGCTTCGGCTGCCTTTGCGTTCTCACGCTCGCCGCCACCCTCCGTCGCCACCTTCGACAACGACGGCGATATTGTCACTCAGAGAACACCAAAGAAGATCGATAAGTGCAAAACGAAGCCTGGGTATACATACAATCGCACAGTTACAGTTACATGACTTTGAGCAAAATCTAACCGCTACTCCCGACCTCAAGCGAAAATTTCCGACTATGTGGGACCAGACGCCTCCACCCCGTACAAGCAGGTCCACGGCACATCCCATGTCGTTTCCCAAGATACATCACGTCTGTTAGGTCGAGACCTTGATGCTATTGAGACGCACGACCAGCGGCAGCAGCGCCATGTTCTCACTCGCCGCGTAGTACTGCACGCAGTCAATGTGGACCTGCATGGAAGGGACGGCTCAGTCAGGTCGACCATACATCGAGTAAAAGGACGAGCGGAACGAGTGCTTACCCTAAGCCTATATTTGGATAAGCAGTAAATATAAAATCATCATTAGGTGAGCGGCAACGGGGAGAAGACGTCGCAGTCGGCACGCCCTCCGAACGCCTTATGGTTGAAGCATTGCCCCATGGCTTCCGTGCCGTGGAGGACGAATGATAAAGACAGAGGATGACTTACCAATGATTGAAGTTGGTCTCGAACTTTGTGAAGAACTCCCACCGCTTTTCCGATGTCGACTGACCCACCTCTCCACTTTCCGAAGCAGACACTACATGGACCGCACTCTTCGTGAGGTGCATCGTGTACAACGAGAAAGTGGAACACGTCATTATCAGTTTTGAGTATGCCTGATGCGATGGTTTATTAGCCACGTAGAATTCACCAAGAGGGGGGATAATTAACCCACCTTGAGGAGCCTCGAACTCGTCAACATACACTCCTTCGTACACGTGTCCAGAAAGTCAACATGATCTCTTAATAGCTGGTCCACCGTCGTCACTTTCGCCAACTTCGCTTCCAGCGTCCTCCAATTCGGCTCAAGCACCTCGAACGTCACAAATGCCAAAATCTGCTGCACCCACGCCAACATCCTCGCCCGCAGGACGAACACCCTCAGTCGCCACTTCTCGAACTCCGGCTGCTGTGGCATCGGAACCCGCCACGGTGTCGCCTTCTGATCGATCCACATCGCGGATAAAGCTTGTTCGACACTTTTTAGGTGGAGGAGGAAGCGGAAGATGAGCTGGTATCGCAAAATGGTATTGCGCGAGATGACGAGTGAGAGTGGAAATTTGACATTGAAGTCGAGCGTGAATACATCGATGGCTGCGTAGAATGCGAATCAAAATGAGGAAAACATAACGTCGTCAGTCATAAACGTACCAGAGATTTGTTTCTTGTCGTCCTTCTCCTTTTGTGCATGCACGCCGTTCTCCACTCCCTCTTCGAAGCCTATCACCCCATTCACACTCACGACCTTCAGTAACCAATCGTACAGTCCGCCCTGGGCCAACGCTACCCTCACGTCCTCCCTAAACATCACATCGTCTCCATGCGCGTCTGCATTCAGTACAATGTCTAGTAAACTCTGCAGTTTCGAGACCGAAACCGACTTCACTGGTCTGCGCAGCTCCGGATATGCAGTGTCGAGGAAGTTGGTGAGGAAAGAGGCATGCGAAAGGAAGAAGTACCGCTTCAGGCACCGTAGTCGCGGTATCAGGTCTTGATCCTTGATGAGGAGTTGTAGAAGAGTGCGGTTTGCGTATGTGTAATCGTCCTCGATGGATTTATAGAACCTGAGTAACTATCAATTAGCTATCGGGATGAACTGTGGGGTGCAATGGCACTCGCTTTTCGTCGTCCATAGAGTAGCTCTCTTCAATGATACTCTTGTCTCGTCGGACGTCGATACCGCACTCCCGAATCACATTCAAATACTTCCCCGCGAGCAACACCTTGTGTTTCCAACTCTCGAGCAGTGGCGGTACGCACGCCCCACCGGGTAGTCTTCCGCTCATAGTCCTGGGCGGGGGAACACCAGCCTGCAGTCGCGTGTTGGGGGCTGATAAGGTCGACCCGTCTCTCAACTAACCAATACACTCCGTCAGACGCAGCATCATTACCAACCATAGAAACACTCACCGTATACCGCCGGTCCCAGTATTCATCCGTATAGTCCTTGTCCAGCGTACCCCTATCGATGAACTTGCTCTCCTTCACACACAGCTCCTCGTACGGATCTACTAACCGTCCAGTTCTCGTCCACATCTGCAACATAGCCACATAGGGTTTCCCCGCCGCCTCCAACAACGCTCCGTAAACCGTCTTCGCCGCCGGATCTCCCGCCATATTCTGCACCCTATCATGCAATATCGCCAGCACCTCTCCTCCCTTCACCGCAATTGAGCTCGCTTCGATCCCACCGCCATCGATCTGCGATAATACGGCTTTGAGGCCAGCGCCACCCAGTCCGAGGGCTTCATTTCGTTCCGCATCTTCTTCATCTTCTTCGTCGTCTGAGGAATGAGAAGAGGATGCGCTGTCGTCTGCGTTGGCGAGTTCGGTGGTGAGTTGGTAGATGAGGTGAAGTGTGTGGACGGTTGGGTGGACGTAGAACCAGAGTTTCTGGAGCGTAAATTGTGGGGAGGTACTATAGGCATGCTCGAGTTGAGAGAGGAGGGTTTGGTAGTCCTGTCAAAAGTGCACACTTGAGAATAGTGCAATAGCAATAGATCATCCCCGCATTCGTCTTGCAGCAGAATATAGGGCAACGAACATACCTTCAACATATCCCGAATTGCTGCACATAATGCATGATTTACCAAACCGAAGTCCAAATGACTTCGAAGCTCGATGAAAGATGAAACGGCGGTGTAATATGTGGCGAGGGGAAGTATCCGTTCCACTAGATCTCGTAGTGACTGGTCTTTAAATTGTCAGGAAGGTCAGAAGACGTTCACCATTCAGCCAGTGGGCCACACGCACCTAACTTCCTTGAAACCGTGAATTTGATCCCTTGGAGTGGATCGTCGTCCTCCGGTGAATACTCTTCATGATACGTGACATGGGTGCCTTCAATACCCTAACGCGACGAATATGTCCTAAGTTCACGGAACCTGGTGTGTTGAATAAGGTAGGACGCACCATCAGCACATAGAGCAAGTCTTCCAATATGACTGCCTCTTGGATCTCCAAAGGCATGGTCTCGAGTTGTTCTTCTTTCGCTTTACCTTTCGATTTGGGCGCTGAAGCGCCTGAAGCAACTCGTACGCGTGAATTGAGAGGTGCGCGAACGAAGGACTCTTCAGCGATGAAGGATGGTTCTATGGGTCCTATAAGTTAATTTCTGAATCAGTTGAACGTTCCTGAGTTTTTCATGGTAAACAAAACGTGCCTCCACGTCTGTCATGTTGCATGCGTCCATCATACACATCTTCATCCTCCTCCTCAAAGCCTTGTCGATTTCGCCTGACAGATGCGATGGTCCCTGTTACCTGCGAGAGATATAGAAAAGGTCGTGACACAAATTAAGGACAAAACACTCACTTTTGTGTACTCTTTCGTCGAGAGTGCCAAATTCTTCCTTCTGCTTAGACTGTTACGATTTGGAGTGTAGGGGTTCATGATGGACTTGGGTGGTGGTGGTGATGGTTAAAGACCAAGTTTCGATCGCGTCTTGGGCGCCACACACGCGCCTAACATGATGTGGCGTGGAGGCGAAGTGTTGTTGAAATACGAGCCTACGAAGGCCTGCGACTCTCTGCGACTGTCTACAACCTTCGTTTTAACCCATATTCATCTCGACTGTTTTTCTCTGATGTCCGTGTCGGTATTTGTAAAACTCATGGACTCCTTAAATAATCACGGAGCACGCCTTGATCCAACATTCAAGAAATGGATAGTTACAGCGACACGCAAGCTTGAAAACACGCCGGCCGAGTTTGCCTGAGTGGACAAGGTGGACACAGTACTAGTCGCGCTCTTTTGATGCTCTCGATATGAAAAGGCTACATGACATCCATTGGGTGACTTTCCGTAGGGGGTTTGTGCACGTTCTAGGCCTAGAACACAGAAAAGAGGCTCAGATCGATTTTTGATTGGCTGAGCCTCGTATTTGTACTTCTGTGCATCAAGAAACACTCCTAGACTCTGCTACGGAAAGTCACCCATTCAAGTTGAGGACCACTCGGTGTCCATTCGTTCCATTGTGGCTGTGCTTGCTCCAGGAACGTCTCGCGCTGCCCTCTATCGTGACCGTAGCGCACGCTCTATAGTGGTCTCTTCGACGCCAATGCTTCCTAATGTCTCTCAGATGGGATTGTTTCACTTGATATTATTTAAGGTCTTTCCTGCTAATGACCATCACATTCTTGATCTGGCGAGTACTTAAACCAGCGAGGCTTAGTACGAAGTTCTTTCAGTATTCCCCGCTATTCCTCTCCAAGTCCCAGCTCCAAACTGCAATGTCCCCCTCGCTCGCGTCTACCGGAACTACTCCCGCCTGGGTAGTTTCCTCTCGTGGTCCATACTCCTCACGCGCCGCCCTCGAATATGTTCCGGACCATCCTCTGGTAGCACTTAAACCAGGCCAGGTTCGCGTTCGAATGAAGTTCGCGTCGGCGTACAAGGGCACAACATACTCCTGGCATGTAATACCCACTTTTGTGCGGAAGCATGTGTTCTCCACCCCACATGAGATCGCAGATTTCGAAGGGGCGGGTGTGGTTGAGGAGGTTTATGAGGGACCCGGAAAGAAAAGTAGGTTCAAAGTTGGCGATGAGGTGTTTGGTGTAAGCTTTCTCATTTCAACTATTTTGCCCGGGATGATAAACCTGATTCTGATCGGTTGCTCTTCAATGTGGCTCTTGAACAGGCTATGGATCCTGTTGGAAAAATCTCCGCGGGCCGTGGTGTAATGGCTTTGCACGCGACGTACCTTGAGGGGGAACTCTCGCATAAGCCGAAGCTCCTCACCTGGGAGGAGGCTGCAGGTGCGAATGGCATGGCTCAGACGGGTGTGTTATATCCAAATTTTTGTCTCTCAAATGTGTGTCCTTGCTGATTAAACAATGCGGGTGTTTGCTCTTTTTGTTAGCCTATTTCTGTATGATCGAAGTAGGCAAGCTTCGCGCGGGACAGCGGATTTTCTTAAATGGTGTGTTTGCACAGCTCATTCTACACCCCTTTTCTTCTGTGACGGCACTTGGGCTACGGTGTGACTTATCACTATATTTTCTAGGCGGCTCTACGTCGGTAGGGCTGGTAGGGATTCAGATCGCAAAGGCAGTGGGTGCATACGTTGTCACGTCTTGTTCGGCAAAGAACTTCGACCTTGTAAAGCAGATGGGGGCTGACGAGGTAAATTTTAAGTTATATCTGGCTGCGTAACTATCTGACCCGATCTATTGTCACACTCAGATCTTCGACTACACTGCACAACCCTTACACGAACAGCTAACTGCCAAATTTTCCGGTGCAAAGAGCTTCGACCTGATTTTCGACGCCGCCGGTACAAGGTCACTGTACTTGCACAGTCCATCTTATCTTATTCCGAGTGGGCGATTCCTTGCTGTCGGAGGCGATCTCAATTCCGTATGTAGCTCGGTTTCCTTCGAGATCGTCCTTCCCCGTTTACCACGTACTTCATACTGATAGGATTGAATGCGTTTGCTCAGTACTCCGTCTCGCGCTTCATTCTGGATATCTTCCTGAACACATGGCAGCCGACCTGGCTCGGTGGCACGCCTCGCAAATTTACCTTCCTAAACACTTTCTTCAATCTGGAGAGGACACAGAAGCTCATCGAGCTCATCGACAAAGGTTGGTACAGTGCTGTCTCACCCCTTATCACGACCGCTGAAATGACGTTCATTGAAACCTTACAATAGGGATGCTGCATGTACCTGTGGATTCTGTCTGGCCCCTCCAAGATGTGAGGCAGGCATATGAGAGAGCTCTTTCTGGACGAGCGAGAGGGAAGGTCGTCGTCCGTATTGATGCCGGTGACATGCAATAATGATAGTTATGGCCCACCGTACTATACACGCTTAGGGTTATGAATAAGGAGCACCAGCACACTAGCTTTCGGTCCTTGGATCGAACTTATGCTGAGCAGGAGAAGATCGAGGTCGTTCAAACTTTAAAAACTTGCGCCTACATTACGTCAAAGTCGGTGTTAACTTTGGATTGATCAGGCAAATTGTTCGCACGGTGCGCGCAGAGCCAAACATGAACCAAACGACAGTGCTTCTCTCCCCTCTTCGTTCTCTACCTCATCGTTCACGGACCCCTTCGTCTTTGGTTTCGTCGTCGTTGTGCATGATGTTCTCGCTCATCTTTAGGCGAAGTGTGTTCCGCACACCCGCCATTTTTAACACCTCTGTCCCATTCCAATTCCAACAACAACTTCAAACGCGAACTTTCTTAACCGCGTCGGCACCGCGTCACCTTGCCGCCCGCACGACCACGGCCACGACGAAATCCGAGGCTGGGTCTGGCACAAAGGCAAAGGCACCTTTTCCTAAAGCCAAATCTGCGACCAATGTTAAGGCTGCGAGTAAGCCCAAGACGAAAGCTCAGGCGAAGCCGAAGAAACCCAAGGCAGCACCCAAACCCAAAGTCAAGAAGATAGTGAAGCCTCCTCGTATGTCTCCTTTTATTTTGTATCTTCTGCTTCGCAAACCGCTGACGAGGCTGCCATTCTCACTCCTACCCACATTCGGTGCATCTGATGTGGTCACGCCTGTCAATTATCTCTCTTCGTCGATATCAGGGGTCAAAGTAACACGAGAGGACTTACCACCCAAGCGTCCCGGCTCGGGCTACATCCTCTATTCCTACGATTACAGGGCTACTCATCCCGTTGACGACAAAACTGTAACTGCCCAGCAAGAATTGGTGAAACGTATAGGTACGGCGTGGACTGAACTTCCCGATGCAGAGAAAGCTGTTCGTACTTCAACACCTCTACCGTCGCAGGCGCGTGGTCTTGATTTTTGTTCTGTTTGAATGTATAGTCGTATGTGGAGCGCGCGCGTACCGAGTTCGCAGCGTACAAAATCGAGTACGACAAGTGGGCAGTCAACGTCCGTCCAGAGGTTTTCAAAGAAATAAACAACAAACGCACCAAGAAGGGGCAGGCCAAGCTTAGGAAGCCACTCGATCCTGGCGTGCCGAAGCGCCCTCTCAATGGCTGGACGAAGTGAGTATCTATCTACATCGTCGCTTACTTTCCTGCTATGATTATCTTTCCGCTACTTACCTCGTGTGGTGATTATCAACAGTTTCCTCACCGAATTCATCGCTCAACATCCCGAAATCGCTGATGGAACTCGGAGCGACCGCGTTTCCAGGTGGTCGAAGGCTGCTAAGGCTGCTTGGGACAGCATGTCAGAAGAGGAGAAGGTTCGTAACTGAGTCCTTGCTTCAGACTCTACTGTACTCGCCGCAATCCCTTCCTGCCAGTTTCTCACCATAGTTTTTTTTGCTGACCCTCTTCGCTTCACCTGGTATATAGAACAAGTACAACGAACCGTACCGCCTCGCATTGAAGGACTATAAAGACAAGATGGTTGCACATAATGCTGCTCTCAAGGAGCTCGAGGCCGCCGGCCGTGCTTAAGCTTGATATGGAGTCCTGACATTCATACGTCTTCCCGAGCTTTCCGTCTCATACTTACTCCTGTCGTCATCGTCCGTCCACACGTCTCTCGCCCAGATCTATGCCTGTGTTACCTATCGTACCGTTCACCGCATATGCAGACTTCGTTTTTAAAATGAAACCCAATGCTTGTCCAATGATATTGATTCGCAGCGCCTGCCGAGATGTTGGCCCTCCCTTTTGTTCCGGGTGCATCTCCTGATTATTACTATGTACTCGATTATGCTCAGCGATTGATGATGATACTCATCTATATTCAGGTAATATCGGGGAGGAAGTAAGAACGTGCCCCGGTACTTCGACCGTTTGTTTTCAACAAACTCTACATACCCAATATATATTACTTCTTGTTCCCTCAACACGCTTTGCCAATCTATCCAACTTGATCGGCATTCCTCTCTTGAAAGCCCCGCCTCCGCCTTCTCCTTACCGCTCACAGCCTTCATCAGCCCCTGCCACATCTCAATTGCCTTGGACTTGAACCCGCTTACTCCCTATTTACTCCAAAGCCTCCGAGAACGCCTGATGCACATCATGCTCGTGCAGCCACCTAACCGACTTCTTCTCCCTCGCCCACTCCTGAATCTTCTCTTCACTCCAACTCCTACTCTCCCCAGGCCTGTTCGCGCTGGCCCTTCTCGAGTTCCTCACAAATTCCATGACATGTTCAATGTGCGCCATTCTTGTCTCCTTATAAATTTCCAGGGATTGGGCCAGTCTTTCCTTCCTATCGCTTGCAGTGGCAGAAGGATCGGTAGCGTTTAAGTGAGATAAGGAAAGGTAGAGAGCTCGAGCATCGTCTATGGCGAGACTTCCTCCCGAGGCGTATGCACCGCCAAGAGGGTGGAAGGAATCGCCGATGAGGAGGATGCGTCCGGCGTGAGTTGGTTGGGGGGCGTAGTCTGCGGCCCAGGATTCGTAGGCTTGGATCGAGGGAGTGCGGGCGAGGATGGCGCGAATGTGGGGATGCCAGTCCTGTAATGGTCATGGCCATTCGAAAGTGGGTGGTCAGATACGTTTGGAGGATTGGAAGATGAGAGCTCAGCGGGATACCTTGTAGTAAGAGCGGAAAGTATCCAGGTCGGACTCTTCGTTCCAGATGAGTGTCTTGTCTGGGTCTCGTTTGTCAGGGTCGACATAAGTCATTCCGACCACAGTGAAGGTCCCCTTGCCTGACGAAAGAGCGAAAGACGAATCTTAGTCCACAAGAGATTGAGCCGAGAGCGAAAATTATCGTACCCATAGCGGAGGAAAAGAAATGGTTGTCAGGACCAATGACGTGGATTGAATCACCTATGTCCGGTGTCTCTTCCCGGAGATCGTCGAGCAGGGATATAGGAAAGACGCCACGGAGCACAATTTGGCCGGTGAAGGTGAGTGCAAAGGTTGGATCGTAGGTTTGTCGCACGATCTATCGAGAATAAGCCGGTGAGTCAGGTTTCTCGCGATTGTGGAGATGGAAGGTACTGACCGACTTCAGGCCATCAGCGCCAACAACTAAATCCGCCTTGAACTCTTCGCCATCTTGAAATCGTAGAGTTGCACCTTCTTCGTCCACGTCAAGGCCGACAAGACGCTTCTTGAGATGTAGATGGACGACTTCAGGGCGGATGTTCTCTATGAGGGCGGCGAGGAGGTGTGGTCGGTAGAACCTAGCGGTATGGTGCAGTGGGTTGGTTACCCCGGGGCCAAAAGTATCTTTGGTGAGGACTTCGAAGGATTTCCAATGGCTGTGACAATCGAATAGTCCTCAGTACGATAGACATGGATAATATGGGTAATATATTTGATTGAGAGTAGCATACCGATACAACATAGGGAACCCATGTGTACTTCGAAATGCCAGATCGTCCGTAAGAGCACTCAGGGCACCGACCTCTTCCAAGCCGCGCATCCCATTAGGCCCGAGTGCGATGGAGGCTCCAACCTGTAGAACCGGTAGTCGGATTATATTTGGCACAGGGTCAGTCAGAGCGAATGTACTGATTGCATGATTGAAACACGAACCTCACGGAAGGCGGTGGCTTGCTCAAAAACATGGATCTGTACATTTGGAAGGCGTTGAAGAGTGACTGCAGCACTGAGGCCTGCGATGCCACCGCCACAGATTGCGATCACCAATGGAGTCGCCGTAGGAGGAAGGCTCGAATCCGGCATGTTGCTTCAAAACCGTCTATGGTATAGCGAAGCAGGATCAACGCTTTCAAAGCCTAGAAGACGGGTTCCAGCTGAAGAAAGATGCAGAATATTGGAGAGTCTGTATAACCCTCTCTTATAAGGACCTCAGTATCATCGGAGACGGTGCGTCTATTTGAACAGTCGAGAGCTGAATTGGTCAAATGGCGCGATTGGGGGTTCCGTTGATAAGCAGGAACCTGGGAGCGGTATTCAGCAGGTTGAAAGCCCGTACACTCATCAGGCTCTGAAGGCCAAAAAAACGCTGAGAAAATCGATCTTTCTTCAATATTGTCGACGGTGCACGGTATGCCATGAAGGTCGGTGACTTTGTGTAGTCGTGAAAAAGATCAGAGACAGGTCTCTACAAGAAACGTGTGGTTAGATCCGAACGGTGGAAAGGCATGTAAGATAAGATAATCAAGTGGCGATCATGACGTTCAGCATCGCCGCACGCTTGCTCTCACCCGCCACCCACAATAAACGCATCAACCCCGCGGTACACATTAGCTAGGACACAATGACCGAAACAGGGCTTCCAGAGGGCTTGTTTTACGACTTATTGGGGTTCGAGGATCTGCAAACGGCTCACAACATCGAGGTAGCAGGTCAGTTTCTCTCCTAGTCTCATCGTGCGCAAATGCTGATACCCACTTTCTGGTCAGGATTTCCTTCAGACGAGGCTGCTTCTCTCGAATCGTTCCGGTTTGCGTTTTTATCTTATCTTTATAGTCAGTTTGCCACACCGCTGATACATTCCGCCCATGAAGTTACCGACAAGCCCAGGCTCCTACCCTTTTCCTTGGAGCTTTCCTGCCCACATCGATGGGCTCAATCGACCCTTCCCGAACACTCATAGGCTATGTCAACTCCACACTCTCGCCATCTCCCACATTGACGCACACATCTATGTCCCAACATGTGTCCTCACCGGATGCCACATCCGTCTGCGTCCACGGCGTTTGCGTGCACCCAAAGTGGAGGAAGCGCGGTATCGCCACTGCGTTGATTCGTGAGTACCTCAAGCGCATCCGGGCAGAGTCAGTTCAGAAACGCAAAGAAGGCGGTGGAGGTTACGAGAGAGTGTTGTTGATCACACATGAAGAATTGAGACCGCTGTATGAGGGTGCTGGGTTTGAGTGGGTAGGCAGGAGCGAGGTCAGACATGGAAGTCAACCGTGGTTCGAAATGCGATATCTCCTGCCTATATCACCATCCGATGCTGCATCTTCTTCCAAGCCAGACTCACAGACACTGACCGGCCTCGAACCGCTCGCTGCTTCCGTTTCGTCTGCTACATCTTCTACGATTACCGCCACCGCCCCTTCGACCAAACCTGCACCCGAGATCTCAGAACAAGCACAACTCACACAGACGCAAATTCCCCCGGGACTGTGGGAAGCCCTGCAGTCTCAGTCTGCGGGTGGCCCGGGAGTCGGAGGGAGGCAGAGGCCGAAGGGGAAGCTGCTGGCCAGCCTCAAAGGCGGTCTCGATGAGGTCTCGATGGAGAAGGGTGGAGAGAAGTGGAATTCGTGTGATTTGGTGTGTCCGAGAGAGGGGTGTGGTAGTATCATACTAAAGTCCGCTGTGGCTAAGGTCGTGGAAGGAGAAAGTGTCCAGGTGATTCCTCTCCTGCTGATTTCTCTCCTATCGTCGAGTACCTTGATTGCTGATTGATACCTCTCTTTTTTGGGTAATGCTGCGCTATTTCGTTGGCTTGCTATACCTTCCCTAACACACGGCACAGATGGAACCACCTGAACGCTCTCAACCACTCCTCCCCGCTCTTCCCACACCACCCACCACAACCTTCTGGTGGCACATCGGACCAGGCGCGAGTCCGATGTCCTTCGAGAATGTCGGGTTCTCCAAGGCCGTCAACTCCGGTGCGTACATATCCATCACTTTGTCCATTTTCGTAGTCCTCATCCAAAGCAATCTTTACTTGTGGTAGCCGCAGAAAAGCCTATGAAGCTCCTTGCATGTGCTGAATGTGATCTGGGACCAGTGGGATGGTGCTACGTAGGCGGAGACGAATACCACCTCGCTGCCGGAAGAGTCGGGTATCGGGTCTAGTCAATTATTGAACATAGAGCCATCGTATCGAGTTGATACTGGTGTACCGACGTCGGCACACAGTCGCGTGCGCCGCGAGTACTGAAACAAAATGTCATCTCTGTAGGAGGGCGGGGAGTATCTGGGGCAGAATGATATAAATATGTGCCAGATATAAAACATAAACTACCTAGTGTCCGCAAAACACAGCCGTTCATGTCGAGTCCAAAGAGCTTGCTGGACACGAAACGGCACGGCGCTACGACCAGCTGAGCCACGGCGAACGCCGCGTGGGCCACCTTCCGATCGGACACAGGCCTCTGCGCGACTTGTCGTTGTTGTTCTGACTTGGACTTGCTTCACCACGAATTCTCACTAGCTTTCGGATGCTTCTGCTTCTTTTACCTACCAGAGCGGTATTCCATTCTCCGAGGCTTGCCATGCATAATTGAGCTGAGCTGGTCGCGAAAGGATCATACACGGTTCAACTCAGACACGGTCATAGGGATCATGTATGACGCAGCGTTCCACAGCTGCCTTCGCGATATAAAGCTCGTCAATCTTTGCTAGTCTGGTGCCCCCACCCACCAAGAGCCTGAAAAGCCTACATAAAATCTTCCGCCAGCAGTCGAACATGTCTTCCTCGTCATCGCTCTCCCAGATTCCTCGCAGCTACGCGACCGCCTCCGCTGGAATGCATCCTACGCACACATTGCCTCTGAAACTGCAGGCCATCGCAGACGCAGGGTTCAAATACACAGAGATAGCATTCCCTGATCTAGAGGCGCTTGCATCATTTACTTTCAACGGCGAGTACAAGCAGCTTGACGAGAAGGGCGAGGGAGATGTGAGCAAATTGGTGGACACGGCGATTGAGGTGAATAAGATCTGCGGAAGCTTGGGTTTGAAGGTGCTCAGTGTCATGCCGTGAGTCTTCTTGTCTTAGTTTACGGTTGTGTTGCGGCCGGTTGACGCGATGTGGACGATGGTACAGTTTCCCGCAATTTGAGGGCTACACTGACCCGAGAAAGAAGGAGAATAGTTTGAACAGGGCCTGGACTATGTTCAAGGTCCTACATGTAAGCCCGGTCATTTCTATGATATATGCCTTCCTCCACACCGCTCAACTGGTGATGCGGCGTTCATCTCCTGTGGCGGTGGTGCAACAATAGGGTCTCGGATGTGACATGCTCCAGGTCGGCTCGACCAACGACCCGTCGACAAGCGGAGATTACGACGTCATAGTTGAAGGCCTACGAGAGCTGGCGGACGAAGCAGCCAAACAAAACCCGCCGATTAAGATGTAAGGTTCTGACCTCAGTCCTGTTTTCTCACTCACTCACTTCGCTTAACCATATAATAGTGCGTATGAAATGTGGGCCTGGGGCGTCCATGCGTCAGTAAACCATCACACTATGTATCCGGTTCAACTAACTGAGTACTGATACTTATTTCAGGAATTCATGGGAACACACCTGGGACATCTGCAAGCGTGTCGACAGGTCTAACTTCGGCCTTTGCCTCGACACCTTCCAAATCTCCGGTTTGCCGTTTACCATGATAATCTCATATTATTCTAGCTACTAAATCCAGACGGATTGTTCATCACAGCTATCTACTATGCCTCGAAACTCTCCAACAATCTTTCTACTCCCTATCCTCTCCCACCACTCCCTGCACCCTCCCTTGCCGACTCTCTCACCTCACTCGCGGACACACTCAAGCCCCACATTGACAAGATCTTCTATCTGCAAATCTCCGATGCTGCATTCCCCCCTGCATCGTCCGCTTTCTCTATGCCTCCGTCTACTGGTATGCACGAGCTCAATGCTGTCGAGAGAGCTGCAAAGGAGAAGGATGTCCATGTGCTTTATGCATGGTCTGATTCGTGGAGGCCTTTGCCGTTCCATAAGCAGGTGAGGCCAGATGCTGAGGGGATCAGGGAGGGAATTTTGCCGGTCCTGGATATATGTAGAGCAGTGTTGAGAACAGGATGGAGGGGGCCTTGGAGTTATGAGGTTTGTCTTCTTTTGATTGTTCTTGTGTCTGTTGCGTGAGAGGGATAGTTATGCTCAGTGCTGACGTTGGTGCTTGGGTAATGCAGGTATTCTATGCAGACAGTCAATCAAAAGAAGACCCGGACATACCGAGAAGGTGGACAGAAGATGCAATGAAGGCTCATGAGCTGATCTTGGAAGCTCTGCAGAATGAGGGATTCTGAAGAGTCTCGGAATCTATGAGTATACAAGTCTTCCATCATTGTAGTATCATATGATTAGGGCTCAGAGCACCCACTATAATTCAATTCAAGACTTTGACATTAGATCATGGCATGGTTTCTATAGAAGGTGCATAACATGGAAAACCATCTACCTGAATATTATGGGCCATGGTCGAATGATACAAGGCAGAGGCACTCTCAAATAGCACAACAATAGACCCGAATTGAACTACTCTGTTACAATGCTATACATGCCTTCGTGGCTCAGCTGGTTAGAGCGCCGGTCTCATATTAGTATGAGTAATCAATTGATTACCTAATCCGGAGATCTCCAGTTCGATCCTGGACGAGGGCAGTCTTTTGCTGATCACTAGTCCGGTCCTGGTTGAGGGCAATTTTTGGACGAAATCACCAGTTCGATCCTGGTTGGGGGCAGTCAATTGATTAAATCACCAGTTCGACCCTGGTTGAGGGCAATCTTTTGATGTTCGGTCCTGGTTCAGGGCAATTTTTGGATTGAAATCACCAGTTCGACCCTGGTCGGGGGCAGTCTTTTGTTGCGCTGGCCCTTCTCCTCCTTTAATGCAAGTTTGAAGCAATTGGGAGGGCGGCGGATCCAGAGAGGGAAGAACAAAGGTGACGCCACCCGCTGAGCCGCGCGCGCGAACGGTGGGTGTCGCTTCGATTCTGACTATGACGCGTGCCACTTTTTCGTCTCCTCCTGCATCCACCAACTATCCACCACTATCGTGCCCACGGCCACTGTATCCTGTTACAGGAACTTTGTTCTTTCAGTCGACGTTGCTATTTCGAGCCGTACGCTAGTATTCTCACCGCTTCTTTGACGACACACTCGCAACACTTAGAGGTCTACTCCGATTGGAGCCCGGCTATGCTCCAGAGTCTTGTCTTTCATCACTGTTCAGAATCTTGTGGGCCTCGTAATGCTTCTGATGTTGACGACCTCGCAAGAGCATCGACCGACTCCCCTCTTCCGCCGATATCGCTGCTTGTTTCATGTTGAACACCGGCCTTGTGGGAGTGCAGTGACTCGCCTTCGAGGGCCACAGTGTACCACCCTTCCTAGCCTTGGCGAGCTCTGTATTGCGTTGTGGTACACGGTTTGGGCACAAAGGCACGCTCTCAGCATCACACCAACAACGCAACGATCATCTCAGGCCCTTCCGCCACACTAGGGGTTTTATGATACGGCCCCAGAGCTCATTTCTGTCTGGACAGAGAATGCTCCACCTCGAGCGCCGGCCCCGCATATGACGAAGGCAGCAGCAGCCGGCATATTCCGCCTCGAGCTCTCGGATGCTGCTGAAGGTGCTACAGCATATCTTCGTTTCAAACAACTTTATGTCGGGCTTTGGAAGCACGATTAGATACCATCCCGAGAGTTGTACGAGAAAAAATGGCAATAAATAAAGAGCGGACAAGACGCAGAGGCTGCGCGAAGTCTCTCGTGGGAGAATGGAACCGGGAGCCACCTCGATCTCTGGGCTCATAAAACTCTGTCCTCAGGTCGTCGAAGCGCCCGTATCATAAAACCTCTACTCTATCTAACAATACGGAGTACGTTACCCGCCAGTCTCCGTCTATTCGATATCCCTGACCCTGACCACACTCACCGGTCACCGTCGGGTGTCCCGACTTGTAGCACGATCCATCTCGCGCCTTCGGGGTCCTCCCCAGCTCGAACGAATCACGTCCATGCATCTATATGTGCTCGCGAGGTATGAGAACCTCCCTCCGGCGATGTGATCCCCGAAACCCGTTGTACAGTGGGAGGCGACCGAGCTCTAGCATATCACCTCACGCCTGGTCTGCGGTATGTTTTTGCCGTTGGGAGTCCGTGTCCGTGTCGCTCTGTGCATGTTAGTGGTAGGGCACAGTGAGCGAACCGAAGAGGACACAAGAGGACACACGGGTATGGCGAGTGATATCCTGTCTAGTAACCGTCCGGGGAGAAGCTCATGTTCGGTCACGGAAGAGTTCTCGGTCGGACCTGCGCCACGGATGGATGCTATTCTTCGGTAGGCGGAGGTGGTGAACAGTACTATGTAAGCGAGACCGAAGGTTCGTGTGGACGCTAATTCCGGAAGACAACTCGAGCCTCCTGCTGTCACGATCCATACCTATCGCGCACCCCGCATAACCCCACCCTTCCCTCCACCCGTTCTCCGGCTTGACCCCACCTCATTCACCCACGAAACGCAAGAATTCAACTCCTCCACCGCCACCGCCACCATCGATCTCTAAGCACAGCCCACATACCCCACTTCCCCACTCCGACTCGTCGACATCGTACCATTTCCCTATCCCCGACTGGACTACTTATCTCAACATTCCTCGCCTTCCACTCCATGACACGACCGCAAAACGACTCGCTGTGGATTGCTAGCCGCCCCATCGCTTGCTTTATCCTTGTCAACTCTGTCAGTACTCGGCCCTCACGACGAACCGTTTGTTCTACAGACTGTGAACTGAGGACCGCAAACTGAGAACTCACCAGCACCCGTTCTTCTCAAACTTCAGTCCCAAGCACCGCCTACATATCCCTACTCCGACTCTTCAACATCGTAGCATTCTCCCATCCGCAACTGGACTATCCCAATCTTCCTCGCTTTCGACTCCATGGTACGGCCGCAAGCAAAAGTCCCGCTGTGGACCTCAGCATCCACCGTTCAACAAGCACCCGCTTCATCCGTGTAAACTCCGTTGGGACTCGAGACTTATTATCGTCTGAGGTTTCACCTTTCCTCTGCTGTATCCTTCTACGGTTCCTTTTCCTATATGGGCTGTGCACTGTACTGTGGTGCTATACGCCCCCTATAGAGACGTTTCGGAATGGTGAAATTCGCCATTGGAGCGCCCGCCAAAGTGGGGCGGTCACGGGCCAAACCGAATGGTGAATTTCTCCATTCCGCAACGTCTCTTATATCCGCGTACCTCTTATCGTGTATGTGTGTAGGCATGTACGACAAAACATGTCCTTTAATCTAATTATAATTCCGATTGAAGTGTCCTGTACCGTTATCCATTGACCGTCGATCGTCGCGTCCGCGCAAACAGACGGCTCGGAAGATGCATGTATCAATGTATGTATGTCTGCCAGTCGATCATTCCCGACTTGTCCGTTTCTCTGTTCAATTGATCGTCACTTCGCCACCGTGACTTCGCCGTTTTCTTCGCCATTCGCTTCCTCGATTGGCCACCTCATTGGCTTGACGATCGTACGTATCAACGTATCAGTGTATCAGTGTAATGCATGCATGGATATATGACAACATCTTTTCGAGTATCGAGTATCGGTTATAACTAACTAACTAAGTAAAAGAGCGGGGGGATAATAAAGTGTGTGTGTGTGTGTGTGGGAGCACGCGCGCGAAAAGAGTGAGCGGCGAGCAATAAGTGAGCTAGCGAACGAGCGCAAGCGCAAGCGATAGTGAGTGTGAGTGTGAGTGTGAGCGATAGTGAGTGTGATCAACAGTAAGCGAGAGTGTGATCGAGCGAGCAAGAAAGAGAGCGAGAGATTTGGGAGAGAGAGCAAGAAAGAGACAGGAGAGAGAGAGAGAGGGAGAGGGAGAGAGAGAGAGAGGGAAGAAAGTCTAAGAGTTTTCAAGTCCGTTTGTCTGATATACGTATGCATGTATATGTACACCCGTCTTCATCGTTCGTCTTCGTCTTCGCCCCGTCACTACACCATAGCCAACACCAAGCACGACCGACCGACGCAACCACGACGCACGTACGCACGCACGGGCAACGGCACTGGCAAAAGAAAGAAAAGAGAACGGACAAGGGAAGAAATGGCACAGACGAAGATAAGACAGTGTGGTGGTGATGGCAGTGACAACGGCAGTAATAGAGGAGGTGGTGGTAATATCAACGAACGTCCATATCAGAGTCCAAGTCCGTTCAATATCATCGGTTCCAGTCCATCTAGGGCCCTCTATCGTACGTGTACGTGACTATATCGGCGGCGGCGGCGGGGGCGAGTGGGGGTGATGGAGGAGGAGGTAGCAGTAGAGGAGAGAGGAGAGGAGGTGATGATGTCAAACAAACAGCCAACAAACGCCAAGCAACGCGCAACAAACAAGCAACAAGCAACAGAGAAAAGAGACCACGAAGGGGAATAATACCAAGCAACAAACAGGGATCAAAGGGGAATGAATAGACGAACAAGAACGGACAACTATACCACGCGCGATAAACAGTATAAAGGTGGGACGGTGGAACGGCGGGGCACGAAACGAACGAGCGAACGAACGAAGTAAGGCAAGAGAAGAGAGACGGGCAAGCCCACGCGGCGACGTACGTACGTGGGTGAAACGAGCAAGGCGAAACGAGCAAGTGACGGAGGGGAGAACGAGGAGGGCATCGACGTATATTCGAATGCGAGTCAGACGGCGACGAAAGACGAAACGAAAGACGAGACGGAGACGAGTTCGAGGGTATGTCATGCGGGGTATAAGCATAAGCAGGAACGACCAACGACGACGACGAGCGCGCGCGCGTGTATGCGAACAGTTCTGTCCCACCCACAAACGACGAGCGAGTGAGTGCACAACCCAACCCGCCCATCTAACACAAACTCCACATATCCACACTAGCGATCCTAAACGCCCTCGAATCATCATCGTCGCTCCACGTCGCGCTCCACGTGCTCTGCTGCTCCGCGAAATCCGTCATGGCCGTGATGGACGAATCGTACCAGGGCTTGTCGCCCGTCGCGTCTGGGAACCAGCCCGTCGTGCCGCCGACGGCGAGGTCGAGGACGAGGTAGAAGTCTAGGTGAGGTGGGTGGGGGAGGGGAGGGAGAGAGGATATCAGCGTGTGTTCGTTCGGTGTTCGACGGAAGAAAAAGTGAAGTGGAAGGATGAAGCAAGTACGGCAGGATGAAGTGGAACGGCGAGACAAAGTACGGCAGGATGAAGTGGAACGGTGAGGCAAGTAGGCCAGGATATTATAACAGCAAGGAGCGAAGGAAGATGAAAGCGACTAGTTGAAAGGCGAACACTCACTCTGATCAAACGGCGCCGCATTCGTCCCATTGCTCCAAATATCCTGCACCACGACCTCGATCCCGCTCGTCCCATTCGTCGCCGTCGTCGGGAAATCGCCGCGTTCCCAGAACGATTTGCCGCCGCTGCCTGTCATCTATATATCCGCACACATAGTCAGCTTCTACTCCAACCAACTTATCGCCACCACTCGAACTCGGAACACAACACGAAACGGAGAGGGACTCGGAACAGGAAGGAGGAGGATGGAGGAGGATAGGAGACTAGAAGGGAGGCTAGAAGGGAGGTAGAATGGGAAGACAAACCTTAAGCGCCAACATAGCAGTCAACCTCGAATCCACATAACTCTTAATAAAATTCTCCGTCCACTCGATCGTATACGTATGAAAGCCCTGATCGTAGCTTGTCTGTTTCACGTTCTGCCACCCGTAGCTCTTCGCGAGCAGGTTCGAGAGCGGTCCGTAGGTGAGGATGGAGCGGACGTAGTTTGAGCCTTGGGCGGTGTAGGAGGGTCCGTTGCCGCGGGCTTGCATGATCTGTTGCACCACACCGGGGGGCGTCAGCATCTGTCAAAAAGGCGAGGGAAAGGCAAGGCAAGGAAAGGGAGGGAGGGAAGGAGGGAAGAAGGAGACTAACATCGATCTGCCCACTCAAATACCCATCCCCATAAACATTCTCAACCGGCAACATCGTAATACTAGGCCACAACCAATCCCCCAACGGCAACTTCGCCTTCACCGTCACCTTCCCATACTTAATACTATAACTGCTTTTCGTGGTAATCCTCGCGCTCTGCACGGGCTGCACCACCGTGTCCGTCGACGAATCGGACGTGACGGAACAGGCGGTGGTGTTGTCCGTGGTACAGGCGTCGCCGAGATCGAAGGTGTAGCCGTCGAAGACGGAGTCGGAGCCGATGGAGTCCGAGGTGAGGGTTGGCATTATGTAGAGTTGGTTGTTTTTGAGGTAGAGGTTCGAGTCGGAGGCGGTCGCCATTTGGAAGACTCCGTTCCTATACACGCACGGCTCGTCAGCATCAAGATACTTCCATGCGGACGGAGAGAGACATACCCGAATCCACCAAGCTCGACGTCCCTCGCCCACGTCCCTCCCGAGTCGACATCCAAACTCGAAAAGTCATCCGAAAAAACCGAACAAAGCTGACTATCCGGAATCATCTCCTCCCCAGCGGCAACCCAGCCCCTCCAAATAATAACCCCACTGATCCCCAACCCCAGAATCAAACACAAAAGCACCGCCCACCAACTGAGCCGTCCCCTCGTATCCTTTTCTTTCAACCACGGCTTATCCTCCCTCGACAGTTTCTCGTCCAACAGCGTCGAGTTCATAGGCGCCTTAGGCTTCGCGAGCGCGAGGTTTGTCATCGACCCGCCGGCGGGCGAGCCGGGCAGAGCGGGATACGAGCCCATATACGCATGTTGGGGCGGGACCCAGCTCGACGGGCGAGAAGCGGGCGAGAGGAAAGGAGCACGGAAGGACGACGCGGCGGAGGACATGCGACCTGATTCGCCGGGCAGGCCCGTGGACGAACCATGTGGGGAACCATAACCACCGCCTCCACCGCCAGCCATGAACGGAGCGTAAGGTCTCCCACCGAGATCGCGGTCGAAATCGACGTCGAAGGAGGAGGCGTCGCCTGACATTCTTCCGCCGGCGCTGTAGGGCGTGGCCATGGTCATCGAGCGCTGTTGCTGGTGCTGGCTCTGGCTCATGCTACCGACTGCTGCGCCGGCCGCAGCGTAGCCGCCGTGGGAAGAGTTGGAGGTCGAGTCCATAGGACGTCTAGAGAGGGATTCGAGGGAAGAGCGGCGAGAGGGTCGAGCCGCGCCGGGCGGGAGGTCGCCGTTGGAGTACGGGAACGGATACGCACTGGGCGGCTGCTGGCCGCCGCTCGGGCCTCTCGCGCGCGGGGACTGGACCTCGACGATGCCGGAGTTGGGGGGATAGAGCGGGGCACCCTCGGCGGAGGACGGGGATTCGAAGGGGTTAGGGATGGCTGCGTTGGCGGAGCGGAGGGATTGGGTGGCGGAGGGCGGGAAGGTTGCGGTGTTGGGGGTTTCGGACTCGAGGGCGACGGGGGCGTAGCGTGCGCCGGAGGAGCGACGGTAGTGGTGCTGCGAGCGAGGCGGACGGCCACCAGAGGTGCTCGGGTCGGCGGCACCAGGGACGGCGCCGGGGTTGTTGTTGCTGTTGTTGCCGATTTCGCGGTCGGATTCGGAGGTGGGGTCGGGAGAGGTTTCTTGGGACGACCACGAGCCGCGATCGCGAGAGGCGGCGAGGAAGTGCGGTTTGGGTGGGGAGAGGGGCGAGGAGGGACGGGAGCCGAGACGGGGAGAGACGTTGCCGTCTTCGTTGTCGCTGAAGCTCGAGCGGTGTGCCGCTTGGTTGTACCGTGGCCGCCGGTTGTAGGACATCGTGGACGGGTGGAGGGTGAGAGGAGAGGGAAAGGGAGAGGAAGGAGGTCGAGGGCAGAGCAGGCGCAGATGAAGGAAGGTGGTGGGAACCGATAACACTTTATTTTCAGCCGCTTATCGACCTCTGCCGCCCTCTCCGGGGTCCTCCTCAGCTGCTTCCCTCCAGGCACGGCCCACTTCGTCTAGACTTTTTCGCTTCGCTACCCGCCGTCGAACATAAATTGCCTGACATCTCTGACAGCCACCATTGCGTCACACTCCCTCTCCACCGCCCGTCGCCCCAATCTAAAAAAATTAAAAAGGCGGACCTACCAGAACACCTTCATCTCCGTTGAACGCCACCCCAACACCCTCGCTCGCCACTCAACCTCACCGTCCTCCGTCCTCCGCAGCGCCGCCTCATCCTATTCTTAGCCCCCGACGAAACTAGCACCTACGATAAAGTACCGTACCCAACGCCATTATAATTACACGCTGCGCGTCTGCGGCACCTCCCTCCCCGACCTTTTCTGATCCTCCCCGTCCCTCGCTCCCTCCGCGGTCCGTTCGTTCGTGTAGATGTACTGCGCAGCTGCGGTCCTGTCAATGGCGCGAAATTCGAGTCGTCGGGATTTCTCGCACTATTGGTGCACTTCACGAATGCCCACTGTGCGATTTAAACCATAGCCCCAACAATCAACAGTACAGTACAGTACAGTATCGTCGACCTCCCCCACCTTGCGCTTCCAATAAACCGTTCGTTCATTCGTACACCGTTCGCGCCACACCCCCGGTTTTCCTCCGTCCAAAGCACATCCTGGCACACCGCGGCATCCCCCCCACCGCGGCCGGCAACAGTTACAATACCACTCTTCTCGACCTCTCGACCTCTCAACCACGCAGACCCACCCGGAGCCGGAAACGCACCGGGAGGCGGGGTCGGGGACGGGCAGGGCGTGAGATGTAATTAGTGGGTAGCGAAATTACTGTAATTAGTGGTTAATGCTTTGCTCAAGCGACGACACGACGCAAGACAAGCGACGAGTATTGCATCCGTCGGGAGGGGGGATGATAGTGTCGGGATGGCCGCTGTACATGGGGCGGGGACGGGCAGAAGGTGGCGGGTGGCGGGGATGAGATAGAGATGGGCGGGGAGGATGACAGTGATGGGATGAGGATGGGGATGTCATGATGTCGAGGAGGAGCAGGAGGATCCAAGGAGGATCGTGATAGAGAGGGTAATAGTGGTTCGGTTTCAATTGATTTATTGCTTTGTCGCGCATGCTCCTTCGAGCGGGTGTCTATGGACAGTATGGACGGTTCGGGAAATTACTGAACATAACTCAATCGACGCTCAGTTCAACAAAACGTCTATAAAACAAGCCGACCGCGACGGCGAACCACAAAGACAAAGACAAGAACTGCTCAGGAACATTTCGACCCAACAGACCCCGTCGACGTCATGATCAGCCTGAGCCAGCACCGTCACACCCCTCCCTTCCTTCCTCCCTCCCTCTCTTCCTCCCTCCTTCCCTCCCTCCCTCCGAAATTCCAATACCACCACGCTAACACACTCGTCATCGTCCTCAAGCTCAACCTCGCAATTGTACGATTACGATTACGATTACGATTTGTTCGCCCTGTCTCACCCGTCGTCACGGTGCAGCATGCAGACTAGAGGAAAGACTTCGCAAGTCGAGAAGAGAGAGTCGAGAAGAGAGAAGATTAAGGCCCAGGGGCGGAGCTAGCTCGAGGGCGGGGGTGAGGGGAAAGGTTGAACTTGATAAGTGTAGTACGTATACGTTGATCATAGGGGCAGGGCAAAACTTTGAACGGTCGCACGACATCGATACGGAGGGCACGAACTATGACGACGAAGAGTCTTTATGAATCATGGCCGACGTACCCATGTAGGCTGTGTATGTTGCGATTCTGAATCTAGTACGGAAAGCTACATCCCGCCGACGCTGCCAGTGTTAGGAAAATCAAGCGCAAAAAAAAAGAAACAGAGACGTACCTCCGATGCCACAACAACAACACCTCTCCCCTCTCCCAAACAAAGAACACCCACACTGAACACCACCAGTCCGTGAAAAGTTGCTCCCCGTCCCTGTTCGAATTCATGAGCATGCATCGTCTTCTTCAGGCTTTCATGCTTTCTGATATCCGGCCGCACTGCACCGCTTTCACTTAGCTATAACGACCATAAGCACAAGCAGCATAACAGTACTAGTTGTACCTGTACCTACCGCCGGCCTCTGCCTCCCTCCCGACATCTCTTCTCCGTCCCTCGAGCTCCGTCCCTCCCAACGTCCTCGCCTTCTCGGAATCTCGGAACAAGGATGATCAACACGGCAGTGCCAGCAAACCCGCGAACCGGAAGCAACACAACACAACAGCGCAGAAGTCCCGTCACGTCCAAGTGGAGCAACCACACTGGCATTCACTAGTAAGTACCAGTACCAGCGTCGAGACGTCGATGCGCGGTACCGAGAAAAAGGAAAACCATACATACATAAAGGCTCGTCGGCGTCGGGATGTTGTGTCAGTCCAATCCAAGTTACGCCAGAGTTATTCCCGGGCCATGCATATGGAAATGTGCGTGTACACTAGTACTGGCATAGGGACCAATCTAAATCGACGAAGATGACAGTTCCATCGTAACCCGGCCAGTGTCCATCGGGATGATGGAGTGACGATTATGCGGGAGGATGAGAGGCGGACGGACGGAGAGCTTGAGGAAGGGGGAGAGGGTGAGGGTGATGGATAGTTCGACGGGCGGGTGGTCGAACGGATAGTCGGATAGATAAATGAGCGGATAGATGAATGAGTGGACAGACGATGACGAGAACGAGGACGAGGACATGGTTGCCTCTTCGGCCCAGTTATGGTAGTTCAAACGAGTTCAGTCGCCCAGTAGTCCAAGTAGCCAATGATCTAGTCCTGGCCTAGTCTCCAAATCGTTCAAGACAAGTAGTCGAGTAGTAGATTCGAACGAACGAATAGTGAGCCTGAGGACTCGGATGGGACTTGCCAGACAAAGAGAAGAAACGTACGGTACTCAGGGTACATGATGACGATGCTTGTTATTGAGAGCGAACGGTCGAGAACGGGCTGATGGTTCCTTCGCGAGTTACTTGTGTAGCGTCCTTTCGCTGCGTAGAGGTCTCATCAGAAACCCAACTCCAAAGCCCAACTTGACGAAATACTCTTAGTTAGAACGAGATTGTCTCCCCCGAGTCGACTCGGAAGAGAATGAGCACATCTAGAGTCCTAGACCAGCTTTAAATTAGCGATAGAATAATCAAAAACGAGCAAGGAAGGTCCCCAAGTGCAGTAGCAGAGCTCCCATGGACAGTGCCGGCGACCATTCTTGATCGAGAGACCGTCCGTCTCCCATCTGTGTAGAGTACACTCGCATCTTCGAATTCCCTCTCACCCGCATCTGCATCTGCAATCCGAATCTGTGCCAGCGTCAAATCTGCATCTGCATCAACAGCAACGGATCTCGAGTCTTCCGGTCCAGATTCCAGAACATCATGCTCGACATCATATGCATGTAGCGTACAACATCAGAATCCCAGGGACGAACGCGAGCGCCAAGAGTGTAGAGTCGAAGAGTGAAGAGTGAAGGGTGAAGTGTGAAGCGTGAAGCGTGGGGACCGTCGTGATGGCCTTCCACGTTCAACAACCACCACCGCGTCGGTATGAATGGTGAACTGAGATATGAGGTTTCCTGTACCCGTTCAGCTCGAGCCCTCCCACTGCCAGAGCCTGAGGTGCGTAAGTTAGATCCGAGCTGACCGACCTTTGATGCATTGAAACCTCGAGTTCGGCCAGGTTAGGTTTCGAATTATAGAAACAGTTGAAACCTGCACGGCGGCATCTGAATCTGATTGTCGTGAAGGCCGGTATACAGTAGTAGTAGACCCCCGAGCACCAGCAAAAAAAAACACCATGATCAAGAATCAACATTTCAGCCCAAAGTCCCCACAAGAAAGTACTCACAAAACAAGAAACAAGAACAAAATCACACCACCTGGCACACGCCCGTATTCTTCCCTTCAAGTTCCCAGGCTACCTCATCCCATCCCAAACGATGACGCGATGACGTATATGGCTTCAATACTACCGAATGAATGCTTTAGCTTACGAGGGTGATAGCCTTGTATGGCTCGTAAGTTACGCCGCGGTCTCCTTTGGAACTGAAACGTTGTGTTTCTCATGCAGGTCGCCCGGTCATGGGATGTGGATGTGGGTGTGGACGCTCGCACATGGGGTTACCTCAACATCCTATTACCAGCATGTACCAGCATACACTTACACGCTGGTTAATCGTCAAAGCGACAAAGCGTCAAGGCCAACGCGTGAATCTATTCGGATCGTCATCGCACAGACAGGTGACCCTCGAAACTTCCGACTTCGTCAATTTCCTCCGGGACATTGCAGCGATGACGGCTGCGATGAAATCATGTCGACAGTTACAGGATTGCAGTGAAGTAAGGACTCGGGGGACTCGGGAAGATTGGGGGAGGTTGGAGCGATGGAAAACACGCACAGGATGGGTGCCAGTGGGTGGCGTGTTTCGGAGGCTTCCCCTTGAAGACGAGGAGGCGGTTCGAACGACTCGGAGATGTGGTGAACGAGGAGAGAGTTCTGCTTCGATAATATTAATGTTGGGGGTTGGGATGGCCGGGGTCTACAATTGAATGAACAAGTCAAAAAAGGAATCCTAGCTTGCGGAGGAAGATTCGCAAAGATTGGAGTAGTGGAAAACACGCACAGGATGGGTGGGTCGGTGGCGCGTTCGGAGGCTTTTCGCGACATAGTAAATAGAAAAAAGACGAGGAGACATATCGAACGATTTGTAGCTGTGAGGAGTTCGAATGATGAGGATGTGGGGAGAGTTCTGCTCTGATGATGGGACAAACTTCTGCTCCGATGATGGGATGGAGATGGGGATAAGGATGAGGATGACCGGGGTCTGCCACGATAAACAAGTCGAGAAAATAATCCTAAACTTCGAAAGGCCTTCGACTCCAAACTCGGAGCCCTTTGGAGACAAGCGGGAGTACATAGGATACTGACCACATTTCTGATGTGTGATGTTTGTTTGATGGGCCGAGTACATAGGCATGTACTTTGACACGACAAGACCTTCAAAAGACGTTCACTGTGCATGATCGCCTGTACTGATAGTATGGTTCGGTCACAGCGGCAGCGACAGTGATAGCGGTAATATAATGAACTCGATCATGGGCGAAGAAGGTGCACGACAAGGTCAATACCTATACCTATCCCAAAGTTAAAGGCGAAGCCGTGGCCCGAAGAACAAAAATGAAGAAGGAGTAGCCGACTGCCTGCCATCGTACGAGTCGCAGTCAAAGTCAAAGGTGATAACGGCAAAGGCGACGAGTCCGATTTGACGTGCGTTCTATGCGAGCCATCTAACCTGACAGTATGATAGACACCGAACGCTAGACGTGTACACTGATACGCCGGCCACCTATAACAGGCAGAAACCTGAGTGATTCACTTTGGCAGGTTTGGCAGCGCTTAGACTAGGGCGGACCGTGCATACCTACCGCCTGAGATAGTGACAAGAGACCGCCTGCGTACGACCGATTACCGATTGCTTGTGAACAGACGTTCGATGTCGGAAGTTCGACACTAGTACGAGCACTGCAGTAGATAGATGCGGCTCTGAAGCAATCGACCCCAATGTAGCCAGACTTGGATCGTGCACCCTATCGTGAAGAGCTCAATAGCCTGAGGGTATGATAGCCAACGCTAAGAGAGAGAGACCCGAAAACAGGTCTACCTCTCTATCTCTAGCGCTTTCATATCGATGTGCCATGTAGGAAGTAGCGCGATCACCGTTAACGCGTTCGGATGTTCGACCTTGAATGTTCCCCAATCTGTCGCTGTCGTAGCGAGTAGCGATACGACTAGGACTGATGATAGAGATGGCCGAGGAAACGAGCTTGAGGCGCGCCAGCGATGAATGGAATGGACGCGTTCAAGTTTACCGGATAGCAGATACACCAGATAGCGGAGAGCAGATAACACTGCTACTTGATACATGATACTTACTCACTTACATGGGGATTACGGATTGCGGATTGCGGGTGGTGAGCGGTTTGATGGGCTGTGTAACTGGAGAGACAAGTGAGAGGTATATAAATAAGTTGCGAGATAGAAGAGAAGGAAGAATGGAGGGTTCGGATGGAGGATGGAGGATCACGGAAGATGGAGAGGTGATATACTTATGTAGCACGCGACTCGGACAGATGCTTGAAGGAATTGTGCGATCAATCCATCATTAATTTTTTGGTGGATAAAGATTCTGATTCTGGGTACGTTGCTGAATTCGTGTTCCGGTGGGAGAGACTCAGATAGTGGTGTTAGGAAAGGGTATGAGGCCTACGAAGCGTGAAAGTTGGAGAGATGCAAAGCCTGTACGGTTCAAGACCTTCGGGAAAGGATTCTTGATGATGTTTTGTCATGACGAGTACATACACAAAGGAGAAGAAGGGGCGGTGATTGTGAGAACCGAACTTGGTGAGATGGAGAGGGGACAGAAATACTTATCGACAGAGACTGTAAATAGGTATGGCCATGGGGAAGAGCGAGACGCCACATTACCTTTCGCGTTCGTTCTTTCTTGGGACCGTGGCGTCGAGATGTATGACCGTGGTGAATTGATCGTTCCCGACCGGTAGTCGGTGATTTCAGAAGTTGTATACATCGCTATGGCGGACAAGCACTACGACGGACATGGAAGCTTCGTAGACGAGAGCAGTCGAGACTTTCTTGATAAATTCGCCGTGGACGGTCGGGAGAGTTCGGAAGATTCGCGTAGAAAGTACTGTAAGAGCGCCCAAGGACGCCTCGAGTCTCGCTGGAGGTGTGAGTGGATGGAGGCGGCGTGTGGGGATAATTGAATTGGGAATGCTGACTTGCGATTCGTGCGTGGGTGACGGCAGCGATTGGAGGGGAAGAAAGAATATCGCGGGAAAGGGTCGCTGTCTCGAGCAGGGCTGGGTGTGGCAGAGTGCGGACGAGGGAACCGCCGGCGCAGCGAGCGAGGACCCCGGGGAGCGCGTATGATCGGGTGAGGTAAGGAAGCGAATTGACGGCTTATCTTCGCTGAGTGGTGCGCAGATCTCTCCAAGCTTTCGCGTCCACCTCTCGTTTCTCTGCTCGTTTTTTCAGGCTAAGGTTTATTGGGTTGACAGACGTCGCTTTCCCACCAGTCGCTCCTTCCTTCCATCCTCCTTCCCTCTCGAATCACAACCGTCCTCGCCGTCGTCGACTATCATCGACAGAACAAGAGGCATACCTATACCCGCCCTCTTCTCTCCCTCCCTCCACCACAAGGCGTATATTCCCACAACAATCTCCTCGTACCCCGCTCCCTCTCCCCAGTAGCGAGCAATGGATTACGACAGATACGACGCCCTCCTCCACTACATCTTCAAGCAGACCCAGGGCGATGCCTGGTTCCGTCCAGATGCGAACGACGCCATCGCCGCCGGTGTCGCCATCAAGGACGACTCCACAGAACCCGCAGAGTACAGGATCTTCCCATATGAAGATATCCGCCTCGAGCCCTTCGAGGTCGCCGTGCGCGCCATGAACCTCGTCGTCGCCGTCAAGGTTCGCAGTGCGGTCGCCCATGCCGCTGTCGGCGAGGTGTGAGTGCCTCTTCCTCCTTGCCTGTTCTATTTTCGTCTCTCCTCCATCCCTCCCTCTCTGCATCTGCTCCTCTCCTGCGTGGTCTTCTGCTGGAAAACAGTCGAGGCTGTACAACGAACGTCCTGCTGCGGTTCAGGTCCTCGCCACTTCCCCGTTTTCAGCGGCCGGATCGTCCGTCCGCAAGGGGATGTCTGCATTCCTCCATCCCACGACCCGTATCCAGGCAACCCTTACCTCCTCCCGCCCCTCCTATCCTTCATTTCTTTCGTCTTTTTCTCTCGTTCCTCTCGCTTTTCCACCTCTCCCTAGTTCCTTATCACCGTCCGTCGGTGGCGAGGCAATGGATTCCGCGGTCATAGCGAATACCCGTGCGAATCGCGGCCTTTCCGGTATTCGAATTCCCATTTCCAATCATTTCAGCCATTGTCGCTCGCTCGATCGACAGAATGACCTCATCGTTCTTTCGCGTCTTCGCATCCCCGAGCGCGCGCGCCAACGTCAGGGCGTCGGCGTCGGCTCGCGTTCGTTCCTACCACGTGTTTTGTTGGGCCGGTCGTGGGCTCGACCCGCTCGACTTGGTCGTTTTTTCTTCCATCTTGAGCGCAATTTGCAATTTCGTTCCTGCGCCGCAGAAAGACCGTCGTGGAGCGGTTGTCAGGGTGGTGTTAGTTTTTTTGAATTGCTGGTGTTATTTTTGGGCTTTTTGAATCGGGTTTCGAGGATGTGAGGGGTGATGGAGACCTTGATGTCGGTCGGAGGAGCAAAATCCCTTTGATGTGGTCTAGTACGGCCTAGGGAGATAGCGAATGCGCCCCCGCCGAGGATCCGAGCTGTCTACGCTCTTCGCTTCTTTATTCGCGTTGAATTGTACTTGCACGTTACTGACCTTTTCGTCGCAATAGTGGCCATGACGAGAAGAGCGTGTACGTCGATGCGAACACCCGCATCCAAATCGTCGACACGATGATGATGCTCCCTCACGCCGACCGCGAACAACACGCCGCCTTCATCGTAAGTCCAGTTCGGTAGAAATTAAAAACACTACAACCAACTCAAAATTCCCAAACAGCGAGACGAGCGCGTCCTCGTCGTCTGGTCCGACTCCCTCGAAGCCATCATCCCAACATGTTCCGACTTCGAAGAACGCCTCATCAAACTCCTCTGGCGCGGTCGTCCCGGCCCAGGCTCACACATGTCCTCCACCTCGCACGCCAACTCCTTCGCGGCCGACTCCGCCTCCGCGACGCACTCCCTCGTCGGGATCACCTCCCGGTCGTCCCACGCCGGCGGACGGCCGTCCGGTCTCGGTGGGGATTCCGAGAAGAATGGGTATATGGGCGAGGTGACGAAGAGGACGGTGACGAAGAGGAGGTGGTATGGGAAGAAGTATACGATTGAGGTTACGGAGATTGATGGAGTTGATGTGGAGAGCTTGGGTCCGGAGAAGAGGCCGGCGTTGCTTTATGCCCCGGTTTATAATGGGCTGGCGATGGGTCTTGCTATGGGTGTGTATCTTTTCGGCCTGCATCGGTGGAAGTGGTGGGGTACTGATGTGGTTTTTGGTGCATTTTTAAGTGTTCATTGGGAACGGGATCAAGACGTTGTTGGTTGAGTTTAGGCAAGATAACGGATTCATTCGTTTCGCGCTGGTTGCGGTGATGCCCCTCCTGCTCTGTGTATCACTCGTGAGTTTATCCCTCTCTTCGCTCGCCTAAAAAATCGAGAATAGTTACTGACGATGACGATTCTCCACATCAGTTTTTCACGCTGCAGATCATTCAAAACATCGCCATGGTCGTCGGTCCTGTCGTAAGTCCCTCCTCTCCCTCCCTCACGCGTCCCTTCCCGTCCTCACAGCGTGATATTCGACGTCAAACAGGCTCAGTACCACGAAAACACAAAGTATTACTCCGCCGTCAAGCCTCGGCCGAACAAAGAGGTCGACAACAACCTCCCGCATATTTCGATTCAGATGCCCGTGTACAAGGAGTCGCTCGAGGCCGTGCTCGCGCCGTCGATTGCTTCGCTTAAGAAGGCGATGCAGACTTATGCGAGGCAGGGCGGGACGTCGACTATTTTCATTAATGATGACGGTATGCAGGTATGTTCCAGCTCTCTTCTTCTGCCGTCGGAGTGAGTGAATGGACCCTAGCTGACGGTATTCGTGTGCATAGCTCCTCACCGAGAAAGAACGCGCGGCTCGTCTCGCGTTCTACGACACGCACGGGATCGGCTGGGTCGCTCGTCCAGGACACGGTTCAGGCGGCGAAGAAGGCGGCGCGCCTTTCCTCCGTGCCGGTCGTTTCAAAAAAGCATCCAACATGAACTACGGTCTCGCTCTCTCCCGAAAGGCCGAACGTCACCTCGTCGCGCTCCAAGAAAAAGAACGTCTCGAGGGCTCTAGGAACTCGACGATCGAGGGCGGATATCCGTCGTCTGAATACGGCGTGGGGGAGCTGCCGGGCGATATTGAGGAGAGGGCGCTGCAGATGGCGGTGGAGCAGGTTTATGAGGAGAGTGGGAGGAGGCATAAGCCGTGGGCGAAGGGCGGGAAGGCGTGTAGGATTGGAGAGATTATATTGATTGTGGATTCGGATACGATTGTGCCCGAGGATTGCTTTAGGGATGCGGCGAGGGAGATGGCGGAGTGTCCGACTGTGGGGGTTATTCAGCATGAGTCTGGTTCGTTTTTCCTCGGAGAAGGTTTCAACGATGGTCGGTTTACTAATTGCGCTTTGTGTTTGTGTTCGTGCTCGATAGACGTCATGCAGGTCTCGCACAACTACTTCGAGAACGGTATCGCGTACTTCACCCGTCGTATCAACAAGTGTATCTCCTTCGCTTGCTGCAACGGAGAAGTCGCGCCCTTCGTCGGTCACAATGCTTTCCTCCGCTGGCAAGCCGTCCAGGACGCGTCCTTCATCGACCCCGCGGACAAGCTCGAGAAGATCTGGTCAGAGTCCCATGTTTCTGAGGATTTCGATATGGCGATGAGGTTGCAGCTTCGCGGGTATATCATCCGTTGGGCGACGTATTCGCTCGGTGGGTTCAAGGAGGGTGTGTCGCTTACGATCGATGATGAGTTGAATAGGTGGCAGAAGTATTCGTACGGTTGCTCAGAGTGAGTTCTCTCTTCTAGCCCTTCGCATTCTCGTTTGCTCTTGCTCTTGGTGGCACAAATGCTGACCGTCGTCTTTCTTTCGCGCAGGCTGCTCTTCAACCCCTTCATCCGCTGGTTCACCCGCGGCCCCATCGCCCCCCAGATCCACAGGTTCATCTGGTCCACCGCGCCCTTCCACTACAAGATCTCGATGCTGGCCTACATGTTCTCCTACTACGGTATCGCCGGCTCCATCACGATCTCCATCATTAACTACTGTCTCCTCGGCTGGCAGTTCCCCATCGACGATTTCTACATGCATTCGTTCGAGATCTGGCTCGCTACGACCGTCGTCTTCTTCGGGTCGGGTAATATCGGGTTCACGATTTTGGAGTATCGCTTGGGTGAAAGGGGCTTGGTTATGGGTCTGTTTGAGAATATTAGATGGATACCTTTCTTGTGCGTTTTTTATTCTCTCCTCTGCTACTTACATCTACGTTGTTGACTGACAATGACTCGAACCGAAACAGCTTCTTCTTCTTCGGCGGTCTTTCCATCCCGCTCTCGCAAGCCGTCCTCGCCCACATGTTCTCCTACAACATCCAGTGGGGCGCGACGAAGAAGGAAGTCGAGCGGTCGAATTTCTTCAAGGAGATCCCGAAGATCGTCACCCGGTTCTGGGTCCAGCTCTCGATCTCCATCATCCTCATCGCGGCGATGGTCATACTCTCGACGTCGCTTGTGCCGCTGCAGTGGAAGATCGACGGGTCGGCGTGGGCTGTGATTTTCCCGCTGGCGGTGTCGGTGTCGTGTCATATTTTGTTCCCGGTATGTTTTTTTGTTGATTTATTTGGGGGGAGAGGGATGGATGCTGATTGTGTTTTTCTAGATCGTGCTCAACCCGTGGTTGATGGTGTTCTCGTACTAAGCGCGGCCTTCTCTCTGCTCGTCTATCTGCCTGCTTTTCCTTCTCTCCATTCCGTTTCACTGCCTGCTTGCTCTCAACTCGGACTCTGCGCACGACCACGCGTTCTCTCTTCTCTCTGTTCTCATACCACATAGACATCGACTGCAATCACATACATACATACATACATACATACGCATACGCATATCGCATACATGCACACACTCTTTTTAGAACCTGCTAACTATAACCCAAATCCAACCCCCTTGCTACCTACCACTGCTCTTCTCGTCGCTCGTTCGTTCATCCTGCCGTGGTCTGCGTATTTCGTTGAACGATATGATATGTATGTGGTTCGGTCGTGGTCTTCCCGCCATGCAAGGACATCGCTAGATTATCTGTGTATACCCAACCATCGTACCCTGCAGTGCGCTTCCCCCCCTCTCCTCTCTCGTCTCCCCATCGCGCTCTCATCCACACTCACACTCACTATCTCACCACGACGCTCGACTCACCACGTCCCCCGCTGTGCGACGAAGTTTTTGCTCTGCTCGGACTTATAGCTTGTTGTACGTACGGCCTGCTCGATGACGTGACGTGGCGGGGTGGGTGTTGTCTGCTGATGATGCGTCTGTCTGTCTGTTAGTTAAAATACTGCTTATTGTCTTTTACTTTTTTCCCTCTCCTCTTTTACTTTTGCGTTTGACTTTGCCCTCTCTCTTTATCTTGGCTACGAACACTTTCGAACAAATCATTCGTTTGTGTTTTCGTTGGGTGGTCTGCAGATGCATATACGATCGATTCGGTTTTCTCTACCTTGTTATTCCGTGCAGTCAGTCAGTCAGCCTTGTATATAGCATAGCATTCACGCGCATGCATGCCGTTGCGTTGTTCTCTACGACCTGAATTTGGGACTCTTTCCTGTTTAGCTTCTTTTTGCTTACTTTGTTCGATTGACGACCCGTCCGCCTTTCGGCATTCTGTCAATGAGGTACGGTTTACGGTAGGTGCCCCTGTCGCTTCGTCAACCGGGACCTCTGCCCGTTCCCGAGTCGTTTCTCCTCCACCTTTTCTTGTTCGCGTTCGTAATTGCATATAATGGGGCATAATTCCAGTTTTGATGATGTTGCTGTTGCTGTCGTTGCGTATTGGTTCGTGGGACCCGGATGGTTTCGTCTCGGGAGGTTGAAGCTTGGATTGAATTGCATGAGGTACTTATTCGGTGAGCTGTGTGGTTTAGACTCCCGAAGTTGGAGGCGGAGCAAAATTGGGCAAGTTTCAAAGGAGGATGATGTGTCTGAGGAGGCTCGACTTCTCCGCGGAGACATGGCTACTACTGAGAGTTCGATTTGCTATTTGAGGCCCTCGCAAGTGCTTATATATCAGACGGTTCACGGTAAGATGGTTCTTGGTATTGATGGGCAGGTCAATTGTTCGGCATAAATACTGAGATAGCGGAGGACTTTTTTGTCTGGCAATGTAGATGGGATAGTGAATACCACTGATAACCTATTGTTGTTGACCTTATTCCATCCCTGGTAGTATATCGGTTTAGTACACGCGCCTGTCACGCGCGAAAGCGGGGTTCGACTCCCCGCCAGGGAGCTAGCGTATGTCCTGGATAACCTTTTTCTTCTCGGGTTTCTCGGAGCACCTGTATTGTGTTCATTACTCCGTGTTTCTGATTTTTGTTTAATGCTAGTATAGGATCCGTGATCATGGTTTCTACCCATGCAAGATGCCTTGCTTGATCAATAGCCCCGATAGGTCGCATAGCTTGAAGCAGTGGTATGTGCATCATACGAACACTTAGCAATATCCGTCGAAACCGTTGTACGGAGGCAACTCCCATATATTCACTAGAGCCTAAGCTTAAGAGACATCGGTGAGAACAAGACATATGCAAATCCAGCGCCAGCCCTTTTACGAAGAGGCCCTAGCATTATCATGATTGTGTCGCCGCCTGCTGCTGCTGCTTCTCCAGCATTCTCCTGTAAAGCCAGTCATCAGCCCCACTCACCCATCCGATAGAAGAACATGAAAAATTGAAACACTCACTGTCTCGCAGCAAGGATCATCCTCTCCTTCCTCTCCCTCAAACTCCTCTCCCTCTTCTCAGCCGTATCCTCCCACGCGGCCTTGCCTCCAGCCTCCTCGAGCTCCAACGCCACCTTCCTCGCCTGCTCCTGTTTCTCCAGTTCTGCGGCCCGCTGTTCGAGCTTGAACCGCGAGATGAGGGTTTCGGATTTACGGGAGGCGGATGCTGAGGAGGACGCTAAGCCGGTTGGTGTGGCGCCTGGGCGGGCTTGCGGGGCTGTTGGGGCGGGTTGGCGGGGATATATTGTGAAATAGGCTGGTGGTGGCTATGGAATGGGGTCGAACGAAGGGGTTGGACGCGATGAAATGGCAAAGAGATGTGGTATGAGTGAAGAGCGAGATAGATGAGTAATGATGGACGAAAGTGGCGCACTGCGTCGAGGAATCCCCGTTCTAAAATCTTCTCTGTCGTCCGCTCCACCGACCCCGTACGCAACAGATCATAATGCACGTTTTCTCTGTGAAGTGTGAAGAAAGACCACCATGGTCACGTCAGACATTGCGGGTCGTGTGCACCAGGCACTACTCACCGCGGTATATCCGGGAACATGCCACATATCTGGTTCGTCTATTACATTCAATGAAATTCTTCAGTCGGTCGCATTCGCCTGGTTATACGAGCAGAACGATAGACGTACCATCTCGTCCGACACTTTCTTGGGCTTGAACTTAAGCGCCCTCGCAGCAGCCACATCTCCAGATGACTCTGCGCCTGTTCCACCAAGTGGCGTCATAATCATAAGTTTAAAGCAAGCAAGGTCAGAACGCAGAACCCGGACAGATTTATATTTTGTTGAACATTGAACAAAGACGAACGTACTCGGAGACGTGACCCAGCGGAAGATGAAGATGATGACAGCAAAGGCAACGATAGCGTTCACGACTTCGGCCATGAGATCACAACAACGTCGAGAGTGGACCTAAGACCCAAGAGAAACAGAAAAGTAGGGAGACTGAGAGTTAATATAGATACGGTAAGTCGACAGTAGACGCGTGAGGTGAGTTGACAGAAAGGAAGTAGTTGAAAGGGTGGTGGTGGTGGTGGTGGTGGATGGCGGTCAGCGATGCGGCGCTGAGCCGACGCGATGAGTCGGAGGCTTGGATTACGCCACCTCACTATCATGCCACTGTGGCACCCCAACATCCTTGGTTTTATGGGAGACTTGCCCTTGTGCTTCATCCCCCAAAGTCGTGTTCGGAACAGTAAACGCACGGTCCAATCTACGCATAGATTTCTTCGTGAATCCCCTGATTTATGTACGCTCCAGGTGTGCATACATTCACGCACGGTCAACGGCTCCTCCTCCATACGTATACAAAAAATCCATTCCAGAGCCTGAGAGCGACGTACTTATATATCGAAAGTACGAGAGACGAGAGACGAGTAGCGAAAAGCGAAAAGCCAAAGTCCGATAACATATATAACAAATCGACACTGCACCCACATCCACACCCATATATTCCAGAACGAATACATGCATACGTACGTGCAGACAAGATTCACATTGACAGCGACAGCGACGACGACTCTGAGCGAAGCGGAGGGGGGAAAGAAGTGGTCAGAAGGGACGGAAGGGACTTGAGATATATAAATAGAGGAAGACAGAAAGAAACAGAGGAAGAGAACAGAGATATCGAGAGCGAAAAGATGAAGGTAAAGAAAAGCTTGAACCATGGACCGAGGACGGAGACGAAGACGAAGGCAGGGTAGGGGATTGAAACTGAGTCGATACTGTGATATCTGATACAGTGAGCCGAGCTGATCAGAGCAAACAGAACAGGAGGAAAAAAACAATAATAAAGAAAATACGAAATCGAAATCAAAAAAACAGACACAAACGAAGATGGGCCCGCGAATCTGTTACGAGATAGTCCGAGGGTTGGGTGGGAGAGGGCATGCAAAATGTGCAGCATGCGGTCAAGATATGTGTGTGCATAGACAGCAGACGACGATAAGACAAGAAAGCGGTCAAACGGTCGAAGGGGTCGAAGGGGTCGAAGATCGAATGTGGGGTATGTATGTAGGATCTGTATCTGTGAGTGTGTATGTATGTACGTATACATTGGGTTGTAAAAAAAGACGACGGGCGAGGGGACGGCAGGTCAGGAAGGACGAACGGATGCATCGGCAGGTCAGGTAGGACGGACGGATTGACGGAAGGATGCATTGAAGGATGCATCGGCGGGGAAGGACGGACGGGCGGAGCGGTGGAACGATAGAAGGAAGTGGAGGAAGAATCTACTTTACAGCCCATTCGCATAACTGATACTCTCGCTCAAATGCTCGTCCGCAGGATTATACGTGAACCCCTGGAACTGATCCTGCACCGTCTTCGAGAGCTGCGAGTCCTGGACGACGGAGTCCTGTGCAGCCTCGCTCGTGAACTCTTGGTCGAAATTGGCGACGTCGAGCACGGATTCCTACGCGGCAGAAATATCAGGTTAGCGAGGAGAGTATAATTCTGCGAGGGGTGATACTTACCACACTAGGCTTGAATGGCGGTTGGATTTTCTTCTGCAACAACCTGCGTACGCCACAGGACATCAGTTTCACATCCCCCGCAAAGAAAATAAGATCCGCAATTCAAAAAGCCAAGAACTCACTTCTGCCAATCCACATGCCTCGCAAAGAACGCATGCCTCTTAATCTCCTCCCCCCCATTCGCACCCAACCTCTTCGCCGGATCCCTCTGCAACAGCTGCGCGATCACGCTCCTCGCCTCGCTTCCCATATCCTCCGGGAACGTCAACGGGTCCTGCAATATCCGCTGATACATCACGTTCACGTTCTCATCGTAGAACGGCGGGATGCCGACCATCATCTCGTACAGGAGCACGCCGAGCGTCCACCAGTCGACGGTCTTTGTGTACCCTTGCGATTCGAGCAGCTCGGGGGCGATGTATTCCGGGGTGCCGCAGAATGCTGGTGGTGATGATGATCGACAGGTGTGAGTTCAAGGTCAGAGGGTCGGAGGAAGAGGTGGTGGAAGCGGAGGTGGAGGTGGAAGAGGAGGGTGGATGCGAAAGGAAGAAAGAGAGAGCACGTACTGTTCGTCTTCTCTGTCTCCGACATATTGAGCTTACACAGCCCGAAATCGCAGAGCGCGATATGGCCCGTATAATCGAGCAGGATGTTCTCCGGCTTCAGATCCCGGTAGACGACGTTGAACATATGCAGGTGCTCCAACGCCGAGAGCAGCTCCGCCGCGTAGAACCGACTCCGGTACTCGTCGAACTTTCCCTCCTTCTGCAGATGGTAGAACAGCTCTCCTCCGTTCACTGCACTCACAATCACCACCACCACACCAGAATCAGTCAGTCATCCGCACCGACGTCAATGCATGCCATCGTACTCACCAAACGACATCACCAAATAAAGCTTATCCGGATTCTGGAACGAAAACTTCAACGGCACAATAAACGGATTATTCACCAACGCCAACACCGTCCTCTCCGCCAATATATGCGTGATCTCCCCCGGTCTCGAGGCTATATTCGCCTTGCGGATCGTCTTGAGCGCGTACACCCGCTGCGTGTCCTTCTTCCGCACCTGCATCACCTTCCCGAACGAGCCCTTGCCGATCACTTTGAGCAGGTCGAAGGCTTCGATCGTTAGGGGCTCGTTTCGAGAGGGCTTGAAGGCGATGGTGAGGTGGAAGGAGCCGGAGCCGGCGGTGCCGGTGTACCATTGGTCTGAGACGTGCTGTGTGGGTGGGCGGGTAGGTGAGCGGGTTGGGTAGGCGTGGAAGAGTGAGTGGGTTGGGTACGTGTGGATGGATGGGTGGTATGGGCGATGGGCGATATACCGTCAACAACCAGGAACACACAAACAGAACGAAAATTACGCGAAGTGACGAGAGACGTACATGTGCGTCCAGCGCCGGCGTCAGATCCACACGAGCCATAAGCAGGTCATTTCCCATATCGTCCTGGCCTTGCACGCATTGCGCTGTTCGGAGATAGGCAGAGATGGAGATGGTCGACGTTCGTGAGACATCGCTGGAGGGAGGAGAGACGGTTGGTTAGTACGATGAGTGTATGGGGAGTAGAGTACGACAACGAATATAGAGGAAGTAGAGCACCGCGACGAAAGAAGAGGACGACGACAACAAAACCAAAGGACAACGGCAGAAAGACGAAGAACGCAGAAGCCACCCAGAACGAGTCACGGAACCTTCGCATCTCCGATCCCATTCCCAAGCATCTACTGCATGGAACACACCACACCACACCGCACAGCCCCTATCCCCTGTCCCTCAAACCATCCTCGCAGATCTTCTTTCGTTTCTATTTCTAAAAACACACGCCATCCAATCCAAAAGCTATTCCTATTCTTATACGTCCGATTCTAAACGCTCCACTGCGATACGGCTATCTTTGGCCGCCGCCTGGCCCACTCAGCACACAAACCAAATGTAAGGCGAGCGGTGCAAGTGGCGAGCGATGCATCACGCCACCGACAGGATCAGTGGATCAGTCAGTCCACGAAACGAAACGTTCGTCTGTCACCATGACATTGACAATCGAAATGGTCTGATGCAGAGGTCACTTTTTCCCCCCAATGATCCCATACTCCCATGCCCCCACGCAACCCCACCAACACCGGTCTGAGCGCAATCATAGGCAATCGTGCGCCTCACGAAGATAAGGCATCCACAGAGGTCCACAGAGAACAACAGCAGAGGCATGAGGGATATTTATACGCCCAAACCTTCCACGCGAAGGTTCGTCGTAGGGAATGCAATCCCGCAAGCAAGTAAACAAGCAAGCGCAGGGTCCTTGAGCACTCATGATATGTCCAGTCGGCGAACTCGGTGGATGATGATGATGATGGCAACATCATCATCGTGCCGAAAGGCCCCTAACCCATTCGGAGAACGCAATTGTCTTTGGTGCGCTGGGCTTAGGGTCTAAGTCATCTGCTGCTCCTTCGTGGATACACTGCTCGCGTCACCCACTTCATGGAGGATAGGAAGGAAGACATGTGTCGAGAGGAGAGCAGAAAGCCTTCCTCCAAGTCCGAGCGGACCCTCGCCACACGTGCAAACCCAACATGTAACACCATAACACAAGACGCAAGACGCAAGACTAAAAGCGAACAGCAAAGGGAACCCGAAAGACGAAAGCCGAAATAGAAGAGAGAGCAGGACCCACAAATTCGCCCTATAATTCCACACCGGATTCGCGAGATCGCCCCCGAGCGCATCGATCAGAATCTCGTTCTTGTCAAACTCGAGGACGACGTAGGGAAGCCACCAATAGCGCCGACGTTGCATGCTCTCGCGATTACTCGTCGATGTCCGGGGCGGGCCGTTCTCGAGCGCGCGTTGGATGATCTCGGGGATTTGGACGCCGGGGGAGAGGGAGAGGCCGCGGCCTGTGTACGTTGGATTTGAGAGGGATGGACGAGGGTCAGTCGGTGGCGATTTGGGGTGGGGGTGGGGGTGTGTATTTGTGGGTGGTTAGGAAGGGATGGAGGGATGATGCATGGATGGAGGGAAGTAATAGGGGCGTGAAACACAGAGACGAGCACGCACCAGATAGTATACGAATCGTAAGAACGCCAGAACGGAAGTTCGGTTGATTCGCAACATTCGGAGGCGGCATGGGCGTCGTCGAACGAGAAGGAATGGGGGTCACCGAGCGGGACGAGACCCCGAGTTCCTTCGAGTCCTTGTTTTCTGTCGTTGATAATTCACCGTCCACCATCCCACATACCCATCACAACATCACATACACACATCACATTCAACAACTCAGAGTCAGCAGGAAAGTAAAGAGAGGGGAAGGAAAGGGGAAGGGGAAGGAGAGGAAAAAACGCACTCTTTGAGCCGAGTTTCCAGGACATCGTCGTCGTGGTCGAAGAGGGAGGTGGCCATCACGACAGGGCTCAGGAAGGTCGATACCCCTTTGGCGCCCGGAGCGCCACACACGCCCGATCGGGATGCAATGGCGCCACAGCACAGTATACTGTACTATTTCGACCCCAAGTTCAGTCACACGTCACAGAGACCCCCTCGGTGAACTCCATATGGCCGAGGGTCACAGGTCACAGGCCGCTGTGAACCAAGGAAAAACCCTTAGAAAATCAATATTTTTCGGCTCGCGCCTCCGGCGCGACATATATGGGCATTTTCGGCGATTTCCGGCCCCTTGTGAACTCAAAGTCACAGCGGGGCGCGGCCTTCGGCCGCTACAGTGTAGGCCCACTCCTTGATCCGCCACTTTGAATCAATTCATTTTCTTGCTCCCCTTCCCGTATTCATTCAAACGGTCAACTCTGAGGTTCATATCATCCACAAAGGACCTCAGAATAAAATATACACGGTGCCCAAGGTGAGTGAGCATTATTGGGAGACCAAAATGTGGTGTGGCACCCGAGCGCCACAAAGTATGGTTCCTTGATCCAACCCCGCACTGCACGATTCCCCCTCATAACAGTAATGCATGCTCATTCAGGTACTCAATATAGCCTTAAGTGTCCCATACCTACAGTTTTTAAGAGTGTTCTTCAAGCTGGGGGAGCTGTAGGCGGCAGATTTGCAGTGGATCAAGGACCGGGGTTGGATCAAGGAGTGGGCCTACACTGTATGAACTACGATTTTGCCAAGTTCACGGCGTCACAGGTCACAGGCCGTGAACTTGGGGTCGAAATAGTACAGTAGTAAGCAACGGTGTCCTCTGCAACGATCATGACTTTCTTGCCACTTCCACAGCTTTCTCGAAAGTACTGGTATGCATCCCATGACAGTCAGCAGCTTGACTCGTCATTTAATTTACTTTCGGTGCTCATCGATGAAGCCGTCCGTACTTATTCACGACAACGACTCGGCTGGGCCACACACTGGCAGCCTGAGCAAAGCCCCTTTCCAAGTCTCCCTCGCTTGGCCTTCGCACATCTATATCTTGGGAGGGATCTAACCAGTCCACTGATCCTACATATCTACGTCATTTGCGGGGACATCGTTTCTGCATTCACTGGTCGTAAGTTACATATCGACACTCCCGTCACATCATGATGGATTTCAATTTCAAGACCACAATCGATTACACGCCATAAACATCAGTCACTACGACCACGGAATGTATGATTCTATGAAGCGAAGTTACTTGATTATCCACTATCATTCGTGAACAAGAACAAGAACAAAAACAAGAACAAAAACAAGCACAAGCACAAGTACACAAACATAGTCTCGAGCCCGAGCCCAACATGACGGTTCAAAGTCGCTACAGTATCACGAGGTCGGACGTGAGGTGTAGTAATATGTGAGGTGCCAGCGAATGCGTTCGTCTTCTATGTATATGTAGCAGCACGAACATTAATTTCCTATCCGTTCCCGCCTGCCAGTGAACAACTAGTAGTATTATGTAGAAGACGGACTTCAATCGACTACCGAGGCCGTTGTGCGAGTGGGATGTTTAATCAGAACAAGCCAGCTCTCAATTGAATATTGAATATTGAATGTTGAGGGAACAGTGGGCCCAAACTCAAGCGTCTGTACAAGATAGTACAAGATCCGGTCTCGAAGCATATTGAATCTTCAAGTTCGCTGTCAGGCACGACTGACGAGCACACGAAACAGAACAGAACAGAACAGAACAGAGTACATACGAGACCCAGACGTGGCAAGGGCGAACCGCGGCCGGTGTATATACTACATGCGGGTTCCAAAGCGCTCCGAGTCGCAGCGCTGGCGAGGACTAGGACCGAGATGCCACGTAGAGTTAGCGGAGCAAGATAGAATTGAGTGAATTGACCCGAGGATGAGGATGAGGACGAGTCTAGCGTTGGTACTGTAGTGCCTCCGAAAGCTATAGTAACACGATTGAAAGGACCCAAGTATTCGGGACGAGTGAGTCGGATGAGCAGCATGGGACGCTTAGACTGAGTCGAGTGAGTTGAAAAGCGCTCAGTGGTCGGTACGAAGGAGGGCTTTGTTCATGAGCGTCCAGTACCACTGATCGGAGATTCAAGTACCGAGAAGAGTAACTACTTAGAGTTGCTGGGCCGTTGAGTAGTCGAACCCATCGAGCCCTCAAACGAACAACAAGCCGTCCAGCATAAGTATTATAGGAGACCTCGGAAGCGCGCAGCGGGTGAGGAAGTGTCACCCACGCGTTCACCTTCCAAGAAACAAGGCGAAGAAAGACCGATGCGAGAGAAAGAATGCCGTAGACCAGACCTCGCCGAGCGTGGATACGATGAACACGATGCCGAAGAATAACGAGTGCAGCCCAGAAAACCTCGAGAAACAAGCCAAAATAAAGCGCTCCTGTGACGCGTGCGTGAAGAGCTCTCGCAAGGCACATGGAGAGTCTGTGCCTAACCTTCGCGCGGGGTTAGGGGGATCCGTAAATAGGTTGCTGTAGCGGAGTTTGAACCCGTAATTAGACAGAGCCCTGCAGCTCCGAGCAGGCCCCGCTGGCCACGCCATCCAAACCACCCCTTCCCTCCTTGTCGCTATGCCAGACATAGTCCAAAAGCCGTCCCAGCCGTGGCTCCTGCTGGAAGAAAACCAGATGCTGCTCGCGACGCTGGCCACGCTGACCCTCGCCACCGGCTCCGCCCTCATCTGGCGACGGGCCCTGCCTACTGCTTCTGAATCTCAGGGCGACTCAACGAACGGCGATAAGGCGAAACCTTCGCTCATACAGTCCGCCCTCGCGTCATTGCACCTCGATAGTCTTGCCTCTGGAGCGGCCCTGGTCGAGAACGAAGGCGGAGGCAGCGGAGGCGGAGGAGGCAGCGGAGAGAGCGCAGATGGTCACGACGCGCTGGACCGTGACGGTCGTGCGCATTCGAGGAACAACGCACGGCCGAAGGAGAGGAGAAGGCGGGGAAAGGATCCGTTGAAGGATCTGTCCAAGAACGGGAAGAAGCTGAAGGACATCCTCAGACAGAGCCAGCCCAAACGGCCGACGACCGCCTCGTCCGACGACGCCACCACCGCGACAGAACACAACTCGCCACCGCAACCCGCCCCTGTCCTCCTCTCCCGCGACCTTAGCTCCTCGTCCACGACCCGCACTCGGTCAGCAGCAGCGGCAGCGTTGGAGGAGGAGCAGGAGGCCACGCCGAGGCCGTCGCCTCCTTCCGTTGCGTCGGGTTCGAGGCCTTCTCACGAGCTTTCCTTCCCACCCGCACCAGTACCCGCACCGCCATCCCCTCCCGCCTCACACGCATCCGACTCCCTTCTCTCCCTCCCAGAGTCAACAACGGAGCACCCGCCCAATCGCAGCTCCACCATATCCATACCCTCATCCTTCAACGCGCCCTCCACTTCCACTTCCACTTCCACCTCCGAGTCCTCTTCCCACCTCGCTCCCCCTACTTGGTCCTCCTCCACCTCCTCCTGGGTCGAAATATCCTCCCCCTCTGCCGGCTCTTCATCTTCATCCAAACAACGGCCGAAACAAAGATCCCGTTCTCGCAATCCGAACAGTTCGTGGGACTGGGACGGTCAATCGCCTTTCTACCGTGATCCTCCCCCTCGGTTCAGAACCGCCGCCGCCGCCTCCTCTGCTGCCGGTGCAAATGGAAATGGAAATGGAAACTCTCCGCATCTCGCGCCGTTGACGCCCCAGTCCATCCCCTCCTCGCTCCCCATCTCACCCGCAGAATCACCGAGCAAGTCTTCCTTCCCATCTAGTAGTAGTACCTCCACATCCCTATCCATACCCTCCTCCCGACACGCAGCGCCCTCGCCCTCGCCTGGTCCCGGACCCTCACGTCAATCTACTATCCGACGTACACCTACACCGCGTTCTACCCAAACTCCTCCTCCGCAGTCTTCTTCTTCTTCCAATCAGACCCCGAACCCGCTCTCCTCGTCTTCCAGTCAGACCCTAAACCCACTATCGACACAGACCCAGATCGCGTCGTTGAAGGGCGCACTAGAAGCCGCGAAGATGAGGGAGGAGAAGTATAGAGGTGAGGTGGAGAGGTTGGGGAAGGAACAGGAGGCGATGAGGTGGAAGGTTCAGGAGGAGGCGGCGGGGTGGAGGAGGAGGGAGGTTGAGGTGAGTTTTTTTTGGGTCTTGGTCTTGTTGTTTTCTTCCTGAGATGTTAGATGGGCGATGCTGTGGCGGGGGTGTCGCCCGCGGTGCACAGGGTCGGACAGTTGTCTGGAATCCGGCCGTACAGAAAGATGCGCACGACGTTCTAGCAAAGAGAACTTTTCTGATTTTTTCTTTGCGCATTCTGTTGGCTGGAGTTCTGTGCGGCTGGATTTTCATCCTAGTGTGTTGTGCTTTGGCTATTCGCTGAAGGAGCAGGAATGAGGACGTGATGCCCGTGGTTCTCTATCTTATATTTCATCCTTGTGTTTGGTCGTCCGTCCACCGCTCTGATCAAATCAAAACTGATGCACCACCCCAATCTATTATAGCTACATAACTACATCCAATACCTAGGCCACACACTCCAACTATACGCATCCAGCGTAGCCCCTATCCCCGTCCCCGTCCCTGCACCGAACTCATTCCCCGGTCCCGGTCCTGGAGCATTCTCGCCGCTATCACCGCTTTCGCCAGGTAGCACTCAACCATTCTCACCTAATGGTAGTCAACCTCAACCGCCACCGAGCTCGTCATCGCCTTTTGGCTCGCCCATGCCACTTCAACAGCCGTATTCGATGCATAATTTCGTGGCGCCACAACATCAACAGCAGATGATGATGATGAATCCGATGGGCATGTTTTTTGGGACTGGGATGGGTGGGGGTGTTGGCGGAAGTCCGAACGTGAACGGGAATGGGGGTGTCAATGGGAATGGGAATGGAACCGGAAGTTTGAACGGAAACGGGAATGGAAACGGAAATGGGAATGGGAATGGAAACGGCAACGCAGCGACGTCCTCAGCCCCATCGTCCGTCGGGTCTGGGTCCGGAAGTCCGGTGCAGTTTGATGACGGACAGAGAGGTCGGAGGAGGGAGAGGTCGGTGTACGAGGGCGCGAACGGGAACGGGGTGTTATCCCACCACGGACATAGCGAGCGAGAGGATGGAGAGGATGTGAATACGGATATCGAGGACGGACCGCACGGAGAACTACCAGCACAACGCGAACACGAACAACGCGAACAATCAGGGGGAGAAGAAGAAGAAGAAGAAGAAGAACAAAGCGACGCGTACGATTTCATCGCAGGAGCCATCTTGAAACGTCCAGAGAGTCTAAGTTTGAGGCTCAAGAAACGGGGCGCCGGGAATGGGAATGGGGGGAGTCAGAGCGCGAGTCGGCGGGGAGGGGCAGGGGCAGGGGCGGAGATGTTGAAGGCGAGGTTCGAAAGACCGGTGGAGATGGAGGAGTGTCGGTTTCCGTCGATTGAGGATTGGGGGAATGCGTTGGGTGTGCCGAGGAGGAGGGTGGAGGTTGAGGAGGAGGTGTGGAATGGGGAGGGGGAGGGGGAGGGGGATGTCGCTGTGGGTGAGGAGAATCAGGATGGAGAGTGGCAGGGGGGAGAGGAGAGGGAGGGAGAGTTGTTGTATGACTCGGCGGCGATCATGCGGTCTCCTGGGTTTAAAGAGGACAACCATGGCTATTCGAATACGCTCGAGATCCCGCCGTCGTTGGATACGGAGACGCACATGAACGGTGGAGATGGCGATTCGGATCCACGGACGGCGACACAGACGGCTCATGATGTCGATTTTCATGATCCACAATCGTGATAAATCAACTCTTTCTCTCAGTTCTCAAGACTCTTTCCTTCATCTTTCCCTATCAATATCATATCATATCATATCATATCATATGTATTTTTTTCCTCTTGACCAACTCCTTGCGATGTGCGCTCACGCATCAGATACCACAGAAACAGAGACGGAAACGGAAACAGAAACAGAAACCAAAGCCTGCAGTTTTTTTATGAAGTATGAAAAAGATTTGTGATGTTCTTGTTCTTGTTCTTCCTGACTCGTCCTTCGCTTTCGACCACGCCTGCCCGCCCATCACCGTTCTTTGCGTTCGAAGTTCTTCCCCCCGCTCACTCTCGCTCAGTTTCTTCACCCCATCCCACTCTTTACGCTGCAAGCACTCGCATCTGCGTCTTTTCCCTCACTCGTCTTCTTCATTTTACGCGCGTTGCTCGCAATCCTCAATCCTCAATCCTCAATCCTCAATGGAGGGCCTGCTTCCTCATCCTCTTCCTCGTCCTCGTCCTCATCCGTATCTATGTCCCCATCTCGCCTTGCCCTTCTCGTTCGGATTATTCCACTCTTGTCTTGTTTTTTTATTATGTCTTTCATCATTGTCTTTTTCTCTTGGTCTGATTGTTTATCTTATCCATCTTATGGCCCGTTTTTGGTCGCTGTCCTTTTCTCGTTATTCTTTGTCTGTCTCGGTTTACTCTCGTCTCGTCTCGTTCCCGTTCCCGTTCTCGTATTCGGGTCTCGCTGCTTATTTTTCTTCTTGATTGATCCAAGATCTACGTATGGTCCTGAATTCTCCGTTCCATGTCCCTACATACGCATATATCACATTACATTACTTACTCCACGCTTCACGCTTCAAGTTCACGTACACACGCACACGCACACATGCACGCATGCACATACTTCTTGCTCCTTACCCTTGTTCTTGTTTCTCTTGGTTTTGATCAGTCGTCGGTTGTTGAAAATGACTTCTTATTGTCCTCCCCTCCCGGTTCTAAAGAACACAGACCACCGAACTTCGAAACCCAAACGCCCAATGTCTGCAGCATTTTATTTCTTTAATTCACGCTTCACGCTTCACTCGTTGATTGTTTTGATTTTGGGATGTATACTGAATCTGAATCTAAATCCAAATATTGACCAAGACGAGCAGACTGGTCTCCGCTGTAGTGCCTGGTGTGTTTTTGTTATGAGCTACGTCTCAGCGTGCGGGTGTCCTATTCGAAACGGGGCTGTACCGCTGGAAACGCATGGGACTTCATAATACATGGGGGAGTTCAGAATGATGGGTCGAACTTGAAAGCAACAAAAGGAAAAAAAACCCCCCAAAGGGTCATCGATTCATCTGCTAGCGCACGACTTCTGCAAAGGCACCATGGAAACGGCCTCGATATTATTTGCAGTATAGACCTATCGAACACCTCAGCACATGACGGAAGTGGGAAGGTCTGAAGCTTACCACTGGAACAAGCGTCGTCTGCGCACCTCTACCAGCGCCGACCTCTTCGTCCTCATTCTCATCAATATCGCCATCCTCGTCATTGTTCCACGAACTAGAGTCTATACGCATATTGCCATCTAGGTCCCCAAGCCATCCGTCCTGTGTCAAAGTATGGGACGTGGCTCGTGGAAGATCGATAGGTAGACTCGGATGCGGCAGCCTCCCGTGCTTGGTGTCGTTTCGGTGATGCCAGAAGCATCGCAGATTGAGTACCATGCGATTGACGAGGATGGTCGGCGCTCTGTGTGGAATGGTCAGGGTCAGCAACGATGATGATGATCGCTATGGTCTCGGGATCCCATGGATCTGAGACGCACACCGTGAAACCGGTCGCGATACTGCATCCCAAAGGACTCCCAGCGAACTGCGGTATCAGCTGTAGTACAGAGTTGGAAGGTGGATATTGATCGTTAGGTGTTAATTGGGACTTTATGAGTATATGAGAGGGTAGTAATCTTGCCTCGGTTTTCAAGCTGGCCTGGAAACGCAATGCTGGTCTGTGTGTATACTAGCTCGCGAAGTACGGGGATGCTCACCACGTTCAGAAGTACTTCCCCAAGCCCGACCATAAGGAATGCGCTGCATATCTCTGTCTAAATATACCGGGGACTATGCTGTGCTTGGCAGAACATGCTTACAAGTAGTAGAAAGTGCCTAAAAATTGGTCAATATGATTAGTTTCGAAAGGGATAATATGGACGAAGCCTGTGTACATACCATCGCGAAGCAAAACCTGCGTGATAGATGCACGTCCAAGTTGATGGGCCTCCATCGCATGGGAAACGGTCTTCCTGAGAGTCAGGACAAACACCATGGTGTCGAATATGATCGGAAGCACTGATCCCCCAATCAATCGGACCAGGACCACCCCTCGATGGGCGTCCTGATAGGTAACTGTCCACAAATATAGGTCGATAGAACTATTTGAAGTACGGGCGGGCAAGTCGCACGGACGAGTATTGAGAATAGGGTCGAAGCGAGGCGAGTTCGCAATTCGTGAGTCGATGGAAACTCAGATGGGATTCATGTCTTACCTCGGATCAACGTTTGCGGTGATAATGCCACATCGAGAGAGAATACTGAATAGAGTGCCGTCTGTGGAAACCACCCTCACGAGTGTTGAGTACTGCCAAGATGATTCATGAGATATGTGCTCTGTGACAGTCATATAAAGAAGAAACAACTCACGTAGATGATGAAGAAGGCCGAAGCTAGAACAGGAGCGAGGAGGAGTACAAGTAACGTGGTCCTTCGAGAATAGATGGCGAAGACGCGCAGAGCAAATAACACTGCAGCCAGATCGTCAGACTCAGTATCCTCTGCATTTCAACTACACACTATAAAAGCTTAGGTTTACCACTGGTGATTGCAGAAGCTAATATGTTGAAGGTTTGTGACGCGATAAAGATACGAGCACATCTAAATAATATGAAACATGAGAATGACAGAGGTTGCCGAAGAATGAGTCTAGAGTTACGCCTCGTTCGTAGTGTGCCCTGGAAGGTTGAACGTCAGCTGCACCACCTGGTAGCAGAGGGAGCTATATCGATTAACGACGAAGAGTGCCGAGGTCAGAGAGAACTGCCTCGACCAGACCGAGCTGATCTCTTGGGGCAATGTGTCGCAAAAGTCCAGTGTCCATACGACTGCAAAAGTAATTAGACAGAGTGAAACGAGTGAAAATGGTTGAGCAGTCAATAGAATATATAATAAAGACGTACCGAGGGCCGCTAAACTAGCATAATTGTTGAGACCCCTTCAAACAATCGTTAATATTACCATTCGTCCAGGGAGCCACAATCGTGTGCTCACCATAGCTGTTGCGAGAATATGAACTGTGACAGGGCATTTGCTTCAGACATGATATATGGAGGATAGAAAAGATACGGAGAGACCAAATAGAGCACATACATTATATAGTATCGCTCATCATGACCCGATATAGGCTGCTAGGTAACGGTCTAGATATCTGGATAAAAATCATGATATGATGAGATCTGAACGAAGTAGATGTTTGAACCAGAACTACGTACACATGAGCAGGTGGAACGCGTCTCAATTCACAAAGTGACTACGTTGAGTTTATCAGGGATAAAAATAGATCATTTACAAAAGATTGGGATAAAGATGGCAACGTCGAAAAATGAAACACATTTTACTGTGTCCACCTTAACCAGGGATAGCGGTAACTCAATCGCGACGTACTTACTAGTTTCGTGCTAAGTCCTGCGTGGACATGAAACTCATGAGCAGATTTAATAGCCTGTAGTCAAGATGAAGATAGGACACAAATATCAGAAGATGTGCAGGTCAGTATCAGGAAGATATGATGTGATTCGAAGGATCGCTCAGAGATCGGCTGTAGTTGAAGTCAGCATACAATAGACGTTATCTGCAGCCTGAAAAGTAGACTTTTGAGTTGCAAGGCGACGCAAGCGAACTGTAAAAGTGAGAATTTTAACTAAAATTTCAGTTCGAAGGGGAAAGTGCAGGCCAGCCGTGATTGGCTGATCGACTCCATTTGGCCTGCGTCTGGCACTTACCGAGGGTTCGAAGCGAACTATGAAAAAAAAATTGAAGTTTACGAGCTCTCAAGCAGCCAATTTGAAGCTCATAGAACCTCTCGGTTTTCAGGCTGCAGATAACATCTAATCAGTCATAAATACAATTAGTAGTACAGACACTTGATGATGATAGCGCGCAGATCGAGGGTGAGAGTTCGTTAAGAGACTTTGTAGAGCCATAGTGAGCGTTTCGGCCGCTCAAAATATTGCGACATCGTGAAGTTGTCGTGCAGTTAGCGCCAACTCGATCACAAGGCTTGGACAAAGCGCTAGTAGTGCCCAAAGAGGAAGGCGAAAGCTTCTAGATTCAACAAGTGTAAACAAATACACGTGGATCCGTGAAATGGCCCTGGAGCGACGATCGATGGTCCTTTGCTCTGCGACTGAGTTACCTTGGTATCTCTTTCTAATCTACACATAACCCATGATGTAATCGTTACTCCGAAGAGACTGGCCATTTATCCACGGAGTGGCTTGTCTGTGTGCCAATATTTTGTGTAATTAGCGCTAGCTACTCCGAGTTCAAGGCAACGACTGTCGTGGTGCCATTCAAGTCCTGAGTATTGATGGAACACCGGTCTTTGAAAAGATCACCATTGGGAGGTGGCACAGAAACTGCGTAAGTACCGTGTGCAGCATACCTGAGAAAGATGGAGTACTTACCGCGCGCCGGCACTGTTCTAATTAACCGACTCTGCGCAAGCTAGGCGGCTCTCATTCAATATAAGCATCTGGAGGCGTCGACGACGCTCTTCGCATCCCTTGATATCACGTTCCTAGAATCTCAGAACCACGACCGTCATGTTCTGGGAGAATATATAGCTACCAATGTGCCCCACGAGCTTCCGACATACGCGCGACCAAGCCCTCCAGGTGTTGAAGTGCTGCTTCAAGTCCTGATGTCGTTGTCCTAAGGTAATCTCGTACTCCGTCAAGTCGTAGAACCTGCAATCCAATTCATCCGTCAGGTTTGTCATGAACTTGCCATGGGTGGATGCTGATAGGCACAAGAAGCTGCTGCTGCTGCTGAAGTTCACGCCCTTTTGGATCATCCAACACCGTCTCGTCCTCATGTGCCTTGGTTCCCAATTACAAACGGGCGAGGGATGGAAGCGAGAAAAGAACAACTGCTTCGTGGTATTTTTAAGGATGAACAGTCCACACACCTGCTCCGCGTACGTTCGAAACATTGGCAAAATGGCAAAGACGACCATGAAGAGCCATGAAGCCTTGTACAAAGAGGGCGCTCCGAGAATTTTGAACATGTTTGCCATAGCAGGGAGGCATAGAAGAGAAGAAAGACACACGATAGGCGGAGGAGACTCATCTTCGTCCATAGGCGTGTGACTCGATTCATTTTTGGTAGAGCACGGATGGCCATAGACGAGAACTGAGACCACTGCTTTGAGAACAGCCGATGATTCCTGTCACCGTCAAGACAGAACCACAGATATCCGGGGGGTGACTGGTGGTCATGGCACCGAGGCAAAAGTCCGTGGAAATCCGACCTCCAAATAATATGCGTGAATATAGATGTACACGACCCTACAGAGAATGATCCTGGCACAATACATAACCAAAGAAAAAAAAAACGGGACCAGAACGGCCAAACGTGAGCTAGGCTGCGTAAGAGTGCCCTCTGAGGAAGAAGAGGAAGATAGAGAGGACCATCAAGGCTCGAGCCCAAGTCGCCACAAGAAGGGTGGAGGCTTGCGGCTCCAAGAGAACGGCAGGGCCAGTGAAAGCGTAGGTCATGTTTTGAAGACAATGATGAGGATTAGAAGAATAAGAATCAGGAGAGCTATGGTCACTGTCGAGCCTGTCAAAGCCATCAAGCCAACGCCACATGGGTGTATCAGTTTCTCTGACGACGCAGACGCCACACTGTGACGCAGGACGCACCGTGGTTCTTTGCACCCTTCGCTACCTTGTCCAAGCTCTTCCTCGCACGGGCAAGGCGACTATGTGTTCGGTCGAGGTCAGTATCGAGCTCCTCTAAGAGGCCGGTGTGCGTGTCGAGTTCATCGTTTATCTGAAGGGATAAATGATGTTGTCGCGTGATTGAGTGTGAGAGGTTCTCGAGATGCGTGTCTTGGTCTATAGGAAACAATGCGAAAGCAATAAATATTAGTTGGAACAAATGAGATTGAAAGAAAGCCTACCGCTCATCATATCCCGTTGTTGCTGCAGCATCATACTCGGGTCCACCTCAGGTTCGTCCTGATACGGCGTATACACTCGATCCTCGTCTCCACCCCACTGCGACCTCTGAAGCTCCTTTCTGTCTCCATCATCCACTACTACTTCATCCACCTCCACCTTTACTTCGGGCTTCGTCTCCGGAAATGTTTCCACACCCTGGAGCTCGCATACCTCCTCGCCCAACATACCCCTCATCCTCCCATACTGACTCTTCAGCAACTTGATAGCTTCGGCACCTTCTCCACCAGTCGTCAGATCCTTCTCTTCAGCTTCTAGTATTGCCACCCGAAGCTGCTTTAGATTTCTTGTGATCTGTGGAATGTGAAGATTCGAGGTCGTTGCGCCGTTGCTATTAGGTATTGATGATGACAGTGACTGCAGACGTTGACGTTCAAGAAGCAGAGAAAGTGTTTGCGTTGATAGTGAGGTTAAGCGAGCTAGTGAGGAGGCCATCGTGGTCGTCGATCACGGCGGTGTGGAGGCTGTCTGTGGTAGTGAGAAGGACTTCGTTGAGGCCGGCAGGTGGAAGTAGCGAGAGCGACAATTGCGAATTCGGCTTAGGGTAATTCGTCTAATCTAAGTACATACAAAGCCGTTTAGATAAGATTAGATAGGTGCATAGGCCATGTCGCCACCCTCGCCACCGGCCTGCTCGACGGCGATCCGTTGCAAGGTTCTGACCTTGACTTCCACCATCCTCCCGAATATATAACAGAAATTATCGTTCCGTAGACCTGTGTTGTCACTCATATCCCCCGGATTGCTTCCAAGACTGCAATGGCCTCCAAGATCAAACTCGCCCTGCTCCTCTGCGATACCCCCATCCCCTCCGTTCTTGCTGAGCACGGAAACTATACGTCTATATTCACGAACCTACTTCGCGATTCCCTACCAAAAGATAGTGGGTATGACTTTCAATTAGACCCATATGACGTTCGCGGGAAAATGGAGTACCCGGAGGAAAGTCTGCTCAATGGAGAGGATGGGTATAAGGCTGTTATCATGACTGGGTCTGGTGAGCACTTCCTCTATTTCCTGCATGTGACGGATGAGAGATGACGCCGGGTCCATTTTTTTTCTAGCCGCCAGTGCTTACGAGGATGTACCATGGATTAACAAACTCGTAGATTGGGTTGCTTGGCTGGCGAAGTCTAAACCGGGTACCAAGATCGTTGGTAGGCAGAACAGTTCCAATACTCGCACTCCGTACTTTTTAATTCATGCCACCTCTTTCCTATCCTAACCCAGGGATATGCTTTGGTCATCAGATCGTGGCGCGAGCACTAGGAGGCTCTTGTGTCCCTAATGATGGGCGATGGGAAATTGGACCTTGTGAGATCGACATGACTGATCTCGGAAAACAAATATTCGGCTTGGATGTCTTGGTGAGTAGAGTGCTTCTTCTATGCGTCTAGAAGTCCTCCACTGGTTCGCTGTGCGAGTCGGCTAGCAAGGACGGGGTTACGCTGTATTGTGGCGTAATTTGAGATGTGCAGCCGGATGTTACCTGAAATTCGCCCATCACCAAAATTCCTGTACACCGTTACAGAACTTACTCCCATCACAGTAGCACCCATTGCGCTAGTTTTCAGGACATTTCGTGTGGTCAATATCGCGAAATCTTGTCGCACGACAGGCGCCACACCGTTACCTTCGAGAAGTAACAGATGGCGTCGAATGGTTGGACCAGCTCATGAACTGATACCATAATCTGACCGTCTATATCCAATGCTATACTGATGACCTTCACTCATACCAGAACATCCAACAAATGCACCGTGACCACGTCCCCTCCGTCCCACCTTCCTTCCACCTCCTCGGTTCAACCCCCGTCTCTCCAGTGCAAGGCCTTGTCCGCTTTCGTTCCTCCTCACCCGCCGATTCCGCCATTACCAGCACAGACCCGCCCGCTTCCGATATCCCCCCTGTTGAGCGGACGCTCAAAGACGTGCACATCCTCACTCTTCAGGGCCACCCAGAGTTTACGGCCCCGATAGTGAAGAAGATTATAGATGCGAGAGAGGAGGCGGGTATATTGAAGGGTGATGTCGTCAAAGTTGCGAGGGAGAAAGAGGAGCAGGGATGGAGAAATGATGGGGTGGGTGTCGTGGGGAAGGCGGTATGGGGGGTTGTGCTGGGTAGCTCGTAAGTTCAGGTTTGGCCGGATAGTGAAGTTAGAGACATGCTATGTCTGGTGTATGAAAGATGTGAGCCGACTTATTAGATCCATATGTTGTATTCCATCTACAGCATGTCAGTTGAGTTGGATCATTGTTCTCTAGGCATATACAACAGTATCATTGTTGATTAAATCTACTAACCAAGAGATTGTGAACGCGACAGTTACAACTTCAGTCGAAAGCGCCCTCACCCTGCCCCACAGTACTATCTTCGCCGGCTGGACTGTCGCCGTTCTCATGCTGACACCACCTATCCCACCTCCCGCTTGGTATATATTTCCAAGCATTCTTCCCTATTCACCATCATTCTCGCCGTGTATCCAACTGCACCCTCCTCGTCCTGGCTTGCCTTTCTTCTCGCCCACTCTACCTCGTCCTCTTCTTCTCCTCTCAATTTACAATGCGCCAGATCGATAAGAACAACCGAATTTTGCAGCACGCGGTTGACGGGCCCATTGTCGTCGTCATCGCTATTTGGTCCGGGGGTTAGGAGCGGTTCGCGAACGATGAAGTTATCCATCCGGACATCCTCGTTCAATGCTTCAAAATCTCCTACACGGTCCACGACCGCCACAGCCGCGGCCCGGAAAGGTTACGGCTTTGTGCTGCGAGAAGCCCGAATAGGACAAGATTGAAGGTGATTGAAAAGGACCGACTGGGTAAAATCGTGACTCGTGTCTTTGGAAGTAGAGCCCCATTAGAGCCGAAGGGCACTGAAGTTGTTGGAGACACACTCCAGTTTCTGTTTCAGGGTACAAGTCTCTGTTAACAGACCTCAGGCAGTCTATTGATACTACCGTCAGCCAACCTTTCAGCAGGAAACGACCAAGGAAGGACGAACAATGGGGATGTTGACCGACAGGGGGATGCGACGAGTCGGAAAGTGAAGTCACCGTGGTAGTGAACGCCACACTCATGCATACTCTAGTTGGGTTGGGCCACAGATCCTTACCCTCTCAACATGGCGTTCTATGTGATCACGTCACGACATTGCAGTTCCAAACTATCATACAAACATTCTAAAACAGTTCCAAGCATAGTTTCATAATTGCTTTCGACCCATCAACCGACCAGCTCTATGTCTTAAGCCGTTCAATTGTACTGCGTGACCTTCACCCCCGCGATCTCTTCCTCTTCTACATCTAAACCTCCTTCAACCTTCCTAACCGTCTTATTCCTCCCATACAACCTAGTCCTACTCCTCCTCCACTCATTCATCGTCAATACCGCTCCCTCTTCATTCTCTCCCTCTGCTCCTCCGCCACCAGCGGCCCTTTTGACACCCGGAACGTCCTTGATACCCACCCTCTGCAGCACGGGAGACTCCGTGTGAGGAAGAAGTTTCACATCGTCGTTGGCCATTGAGAAGTAGAAGACACCGACGCGGGCGAGATTGGACTGGGAAGGTGGAGGTTGGGTCACGCGGTGGATCGTGGGTTTATAGTAGGAGCCGGAGAGGAAGTTGATGACATCGCCGGTGTTGATGACCTGTGGACGTACGAGTGTTATCAGTCAGAACAGAATACACAAATCTTGTGATAGCCGTCGAAATATATGTACAAGGGGGTAGGTGAGTGAATAAATGAACGTACGAGGGCATTCTCAACGTGACGGACCCAACGCCACTTTCCATCTGGAGAAAGAATTTGGAGACCAGAAATGGGCTGCGACCAAAGCACTGTCACGCTCCCGATGTCTAAGTAGATGTATAAGACACTGTTCAGCATGCGCGATTCTCAGAATATGGGGTGTAGTATGTGGAGCACCTGTGTGGCCCTTGAGCCAGACGTTCTTTGTTTTAAGCTCATCCTCCGCCGAGCGAGGGAAGCTAGAGCATCCAAGAGGCGACGTGAGATACAACAATCCCAAGACAGCATATGTGGGGAGACTGACTACTTCATGAACCGCACTGTCATAGAAGCACGCAATCAAACCTCGATGGTCAACGAATGAGAGTGTACAATGTGGCCAAAACGCACCTGAGCTCTCATCGACACCTTCGAACTTGTGCTGTTCAACCAACGCATCCTCTGGAAGCTCGAGTCCAATAGCGAGCAGCCTGTACAGTAATCTATCGTCAGTCGCTTGAAATACTGTTGGGTGCTCTCGTGAAGAACGCACCTAAGTATTGGAAACACAACGTTAAAGTGGTTGTGTTTCGCGAAGTCTTCCAGTTCTTTTAAGTATGGTCTCAGGAAGGTAGGGTGCTCTCTGTTGTAAACCTTTCGGTTGACTGGTGCAGCAATGAACGTGAGGTACATTAACCAAACATAATCCGTCAAAGATTTCATAGAGAGTTTGAAGGCAAGCCACTGATATGAGCTCAAAGAGAGTAGAGCACTCACTATTGTACTGTTCGATGGAATCATAAACGCCTGGTTCGATTTGCTGTACATCAGATACCCAGTCAGTTATATCCCGGCTGGATACAATGCCAATAAAAACACACCCAAACATTCCTGGGCTTATATCCCTCATACGCCTCCGCCTTCTGATCATCGACTGTATACTTCTCCTTCTCCTCCTTACTGACACAGTCGAAGGTCGCGTTCGCCAAACTAAAGACACGCCTTGTCTGAACATCGTCAAGGTACAACGACCAGAACCAGCATGCCCCAGTAGCACAATACAGATAGTCAGTCGATAGTCGGACTAACACAAAGACACGCGACAAAATGATAGAGCCAAGGGTGGACGGAAGTTCCAAATGGGCCGAGGTATTTACGAAGGGTGAAGGGAACATACCTGCTCGGCAGTGTAGCCATGATTGATAGCGTAGAAGAAACCTTGAGTTGTCATAGCTTCGAGCATCTGTTTCGCGAGAGTGCGACGCCCGGCGGCCGTGGACGCTTGAGAGAGGTCAATAGAAATGAGGTCCGCCCATTCGACTGTTCGGAAACATATCGGTCAAAGATATTTCGACTGAAGTAGTACGGCAGAAGAGGAAACATGCGATGGGGGCATAGGGGAAGAAATGAAGGATGTAACTTACGGTCTTCTGTTGCAGTGGGAGGTGGTGTCCATTCTGGTATAGCACTTGAAGCCTGCTCTGATCCTGTGATCCTCAAGGACTTGCTGGACCTCGAGAATATGGCAAGCCAGAGAGACACAAAGGAGTTAACAAGCCAGCGAAATGGATTCGGAGCCATATCGTGTGGATACACGCAATGGAAGGTAAGTGGGACGAGAGGAAGCGCACTTCAGAGGGGGACGGAAGACGAAGGAACATTTATATAGTAGGACGGGAAAATGATGACAGCGTGTCAGCATATGACTTCAATCGCTGGGTGTCCATAACAGCGCTCAGGATTCCATATCAAGTTATGATACTCGACCTTTGAGTTCTGTGTGGTTTCTAGAAGTGTGGAAGATGCGGGACGGAACGATGCACACGATAGGCGCTGCATCCTAAGAAGGTTTAGTTACTGTCTGGAGGTTCCACCAGTGTCCACTTGCATGTCTTACTAGTGAATGAGTTAACAAACGAGGAAAAGGGGTTTAGCTACCGTTTAAAAGGTTGGAGGAATATAGTCCACTATACGAGGTATTCAGGTGGCAAAAAGAAAGTAAGATCTGGGGATGAACGCAAGAGAAGAGGGCTCCACAAAGCTAGAAGAAGACTCGTGCACGGTAGAAGGCGATCTAATCCTGTATCCTCACACGAATCGTTTAATAAGTGAAACGGCGTCTTCGAGTCAGGAAATCAAGATACTTACCGTTGCTTATCGATTCAAAGTCGTCCAGGACTGTCATGCCGCATTGACGTATACCACAGGCATAGGGAAGTTTGCTTGGAGGCAAAGTTCTAGAGTCACACGATGAGATCGAACCTGTATCGTTCTCCTTGACCGGGCATCTGACCATGCATCGACATGGATCTCAGAGACTACTATCCTTCCGACTCCCGTCCAGAGCGCCGGGTATGTGGTCTCTTGGTCAACACCGAAGATCATATGCGATGTGGAAACGTGTACACAGTCCATTGTTCTAGTAGAGAGCGACATAGGTTGTACGACGTGGCCAAACATGAGCCATGGAATGAAATTAGATATTTTATGATTGGACACCTTTATTTTTGCGCATGCCGAGGTCATATGAACTGAATGACGATGTGTTGCACGTAGCATTGTACCCCGACAAGCGGGCCGAGGTAGTGGGCGCTTCTCAAACTGAAGTACTCTCGCCTCGAACAAATGTGGGTAGTATGCATTGATCATTGACAGCATTGGAAAGAACCTAGAAGCGAGTCTGTGGGGATATCATATGATGTGTCCAGCCAGGGCATGTCTACACAAGCAGTTGCCTGTGAGTCTTGGGGGTGAAACTGAGTTCCGAAGGTTACCGAACCGATATGGTCCGTGAGCACTTTCTCAGCACGAGTGTTTAGATGTGAAGAGCCGAGGATAGTCACTCCGAGGTATTAAGAGCAACCAATGCTTCGATGTTCAGGTCGAAGAAGAGCGAAGAAGAGCTGCGAGACATTCACTCGGCGAGGAATGACCGGTGAGCAAGAAAAGCAACTGGCATTTCGGCCGGTAATCAGGCGCAAGACGAGACGAAATATTGCGAGCAGAAATCATAAAAGACAACAAGCTGTTGGCGGAGAGCCGATGATGATGGAAGGAAGAAAGAAAGTGTTCGGAAGAAACCGTGAGGAAGGAAGAGTATGACCGCCGCACGTGGGAAGTGGCTGCACAGGAATGTGGGGAAAGGGGCGTTGCGGGGAAGCGGCGGACGGTCAGACGACTTGACGCTCAGAGGTCACAAAGCCTGCAGTGGTCGATGATGTACATACCCATGGAGGGACATGCGCCCTACATAAAGACGCATTTGGCTCACTTTCCCAGACACCTTGTTCTTTACGCCCATCTTCCCCGACTTCGACCGCCATTCGACGAAAATCGTCCATAGTGTTCGTTGAACTCGACTCCAAGATCGCGGCGACTTACTACAGAAGGAACAAAGAATGTCGAGAGCTGTTCAAGATGCTGCCCCACCATTGCCTGCAGGAGAGAAGGTCACATCTTTACCGGCGAAGAAGAAACAACCCTATCCGTTTTGGCTAGGAGGTGTGTCCATTTTATCTTTCTTTGGAGACCAGACGCTGAGATGAAGCTTGGAATGGAAAGGTGTTGCGGCGACCATTGCTGCGTCCATAACACAGTGCGTTTGGAACATGAGCAATCTTTCATTATCGTGTGATACTCAACGATTCGATTCCACGTTATCGTCATAGCCCATTGGACCTCACCAAGGTCCGCTTGCAGGCTTCAGGGGACAAGCGCATGATCGCGTCCATACAGAAGACCGTCCGAACAGCAGGTACGCACACCTTAACCATGGTCCAAATACGGCGTGTACGATGTTGGTACAGTATGCAACGTTGGCTGATCGATATCTTGTATAGGATTTCTTGGTCTCTTTGATGGCATCACTGGAACATGGATGAGACAGATGAGTTACTCGGTCTGCCGCTTTTGGGCGTATGACGAGAGCAAGAAATTGATCGGCGCTGGCAAGTCCTCATTAATCATTTCTCCATACAGCACCCCTAATAACGCGGAAGACTAACGTCTACTTTCGCAGACAACAAATCACCAGCATGGAAGCTTGCGTTAGCTGGTAGTATGGGTACGCCGTTTCCGCCATGGTCTTCCCGGATATCATCCAGATATCTCACAATGCTTGTCTCCAGCTGGTGGAATTGCTGGCTTGGTTGGAAACCCCGGGGGTAAGCCTCCTTAGACTATCAGAAACTTCCCACCAACTGGCTGAGAGTATACTCGTTTCTTCTAGAGATCGTCATGGTCCGATTACAAGGTGACTTTGCGAAACCACCAGAGAAGCGCTTCAACTACAAGCACTGCTTTGATGCTCTCTTCCGGGTACGCCTGCTTCTCTTTGTGCCACACAAACTCTAGGCCAATATCATTACATGCTGCAATAGATGGTGAAAGAAGAGGGTGTCTCTTCTCTGGGGCGTGGTGTTGGACCTAACGTATTTCGTGCCATCCTGATGAACGCCTCCCAGCTAGCCTCGTCGGTTTTTGTTTCATGATTCTACTTACTTGACATTCCCTGATCCTCTTCTGCATCTAGCTATGACTTTTTCAAGGCCGAACTGCTGAAGACTCCGTACTTCGACGACAACATCTATTGCCATTTCACCGCCTCTTTCGCCGCGGTACGCCACCAACCTGTTCACATCCTAACAAGCTATCTGCGACTATGACTGATGGTCGAAACATATTCTATATGACATAGGGCACTGTTGCGACAACTGTATGCTCTCCCGCTGATGTACTGAAGGTCAGTTGTTGTTTCTTTCAAGTAGCCCCTATTAGTAGGCTGACACGCCACCGCCACATCTCAGAGCCGCATCATGAACGCCTCCGGACCTGGCTCAAACGTGCGTTCCTCCTCCCTCTGCTTTCTTCTTACCCCATGTTTTTATCCTGTTCCTCTATTTTTCGTTCTCTCCCGCCCACCCGTTCAACCCCTTTATTCGTGGATCCAAATTCTGACGCCACTAAATCTCTTTCGGCTCCTGGCCACGTAAACAGTCAACGATGGCAGTAATCCGTCAATCTTTTGCCAACGAGGGACCGATGTTCATGTTCAAGGGCTGGGTACCCGCTTGGTCCCGTCTGCAGCCGACTACGATCCTCATCTTCCTCACCTTCGAGCAGTTGAAAAATCTGGTGGATTGGAAGAGAGGTACGCAGAAGACTCCGGAGCTGTGAGACGCGTCGGCCTACGACTAGACTGGCGACGGGCGGACGGGTGCTGAACGGCCAAGGGGCGAGTTTGTGCAAGTGGAACGATGAGAGACGTAAGGCAGTGGAGGCTGTTAGGGTGGCGCAGCCTGTGGTCATGCAGGGGCGGTGACGAGAGGAGACAGTGAGTGACCGGTCAGGAAAATTGGCTGGCCTTCTGGTGGTGGTGGTGGTGGTGGTGGTGGCGGCGGCGGCGGTGGGGCTCAGTCAGAGCTGTGGTAGGTACCGCTGGTGTCAGTGTTCGAGATGCTTATGATTTGGAACTGTATGTATGATTGATTGTACGTTAGAGTGGACGCGCCTCGCGGGATCGGAGGAACACCCTACTTCCCATCCGCACGTCCTTGTTGTGTACTTTGTCCGTGTTTGTTGATTGTTGTTGTTGTCTATGACCATCATATCTGTTCTATTCTGTTCTGTACTTACCTGATGTGTACTCATGCCGTGTACACAGCCGTCGAGCTATATATCTCTGTACATTTGACTGATGGACTGATGTGTGGCCCGCTTTATTACCTAAATAAAACTTATACACATACTTCATCCCAAAGCCGGAGCCTCGAAGATCCTCGTTCACCTTGCGGTGTACGGTGCCACATCGACCATGTGGCACAGACGCCGTCCGGTAAAGACGGATTGTGTCACGGCTATTTATATATAACCCCATACCCCCGACAAGTCCATCAACTCACGAACCACAACACTACTCTCAGAAGTCTTCGTACAGACGATATTGTTGTGAGTTGACATCGAATGACGCACTTACGATTCAGATTAAACGGCAACTATTATAATTCCCTAGTTTTTCGTGATTCATGGGTATAGTAATCCGCAAAAGTAATCCGCAAACACAAAACATTCAAGCCTTCGACTGCTTAGACTCCGCCTTCAACTTCTGCACCAAGTCACGAACCAAAGGACTATCCTTGACCCACTCCCGATAACTCTTTGCCTGAGGGTATATGGTCAACGTTTGCTTCTTGTCCTGCAACAACAGAAGATGGGTCTCTTGAGTATATGGATAAAGTGAGTCATAAAACAATTCTGCTTACCCGGACACCACTTTCAGGTCCCGCCCTCTTGACGTACTCCCAAGAAAGATACATCAATTCCGCGGCTGGGTGATCGACAAAGCGTGTGGCTTCGAACTGCTCGGGAGTAAGCTCAAGTGCAAGACTCGCTTTCTCTCCCGTCACCTCGGCGAACTGGGTGGCAAGGTCTCGCAGCGAAAGGTACTCGACGACAGTCTTGATTTTCACGCCTGGAGGAAGAACGGGTGGTCAGTACAGCTCCTAACTCACTATAGCCTCCGAATAATCGAAATAGGAAGGACTTACCAGAATACTTCTCGGGCTCACGGAACGCAGCGACGACGAGCCCACCCAGGTCGGCGACGCTGAACGCGAAGATCGGGACGTCGGGGAGGAAGGCAACAGACCAATGGAAACCCTTCTCCTCGTTGTAGCTCGGCGCGAAGAAGCTCGTCCAGAAGTTCTCGTAATACATCGGGATATAGACGAACGTGTAGGGGACTCCTGACTCGAGAACGCGGTCCTCAATGAGGGCCTTGGACTTCCAGCTGATGGCTTGACATTCCCCCTCACGTCCCTCGACCGTCGACCACACCAAGTGCTTCACCCCTGCTTTCTTCGTTGCCTCGACGATGTTCTTCCCGTGAAGCTGCTCGGCATCATACCCATGCTCGTAGAACTGTGTCACTCCGAATACGCCCCATGCGCCCTCGAAAGCCTTCGTCGTTTGCTCCAAACTCGACAGATCAGCCTGGACGACCTCGATACCCTTGGCCGCGAGGGCCTTGGAAGCTGGCGAAGACGGGTTCCGAGTGATGGCGCGGATGGTGAAGTGTCCTGCAGGTTCTTTGAGGAGGAAGTCCACAACAGAAGATCCCTGTCTGAGTGCACGGGCGGGATATGGTTAAGCTAGATCGTAAGTTTGTCTCATCAGGAGTACATACTGGCCAGTGGCGCCTGTGACAGCGATCAATTTGGGCATGATGGAAAGCGGCGAGGTAAGAATGCGGTATTTTCGTCGATGCTGCGAGTCAGAGCGTGATGTAGTTGGCGCAAGAACAAACACTAGCTTTGTGAACGGAGAGAGATAAGTTCAATAATTCTCTGTCTGTTCCCTCTGGTGTTTATAGCGAACCTGACTGCTGCCGCATTTTCGCCATGCATTGTGATCAAGATTCGATTATCGCTCCTCGGGCTAATCGGAAACAGATACCCGGCTAGGCCCCTTTCCCCTCGAGCCAACCTAGCTCCTTTGCTCTCTCGTCTTCAGCGCATGAGCGTTTCATCCGAGTCGATTCTACAAAATCGAGCTTCGTTCTTCGTGAACGGCTACAACGTGCCTTCTTGTAGGTCGATGTAAAGCGTTGGCCACCTGGTCATGCATCACTTTGTTGGAGCTATTGTCTTCGTCTACTTTTTCACCTGCTTTCACCAGCCCTTCCATGTCGTTAATCTTGTGCTGAATGTTCAAGAGAACGGCCCAGGTTTTTCCTACCCTTGGCAGGCAGTAGGATCGGAACTATGCCGCGGCCATGGAGTCGGTCTCATTCTGCCTCCGTTCGATCGAGAGCGTTTCAACTTACTTGCGAGGCTCACAACGCAGCTGACTTGCAATAAAACAGCTGCCCTGTGAACCTGTTGGCCTCTTGCAGTCCATGGATAGAAAATCGCCCCACTAAACTCCTTATCCTGTTATCATATCCCAGTCATTTGGAAAGGAAAGGAAATCTATTCAGGGTACAAAACGGGCCCTCAAGGACCAATACCCCTCGTGAGTGATGCAGCTGTGGAGATGTTGTGGTGCTACGAACTTGCCAGGAACGCATTTGAAACTTGACCCTGAGCGTAGTCCACCCTCCACTGGTTCTTTCTTGCACGTATCACACAAATTATTAGCCTGGATACGTTTGAGGCCCCCCGCACGATATTTCTAGACCATCTCGATGCCCCAATGAAAAAGACCCGGGTCTAAGTCGGTCCGTATTTCACGTTTTCTCCTTGTTAACCATGCTGACCTCGGTCGCTATGCAATTATCGAGCAGCTCAAAAGCTTGGAAGGGCTTGTCGATCGTGCAAGCTCCCATTTAACTAACCCCGCGCAACTATTCTTACTTTTCGCGACGACGTTCGTTTTCTCTGCTCATCGATTCGTCCCAAGGTTCTCGATAGTCCCTTGAACACCGTCAACCACGCCTTGGTCGCCACCTTCATCTCGTCGCTTTTTCCAAGATGTCTGGCATGGTAGCGGTGAATCAGATTGCCGCGGAGTCGGTGAGCGGCGGTGACGAGGCTACAGCATCGTTAATTACCACGGCTTTGGGGCTGATTCACGTCCTCCAAGTCTACACTTCGGTATGTACCCGTGGCCAGTCTGTACGCCGGCGACTTTTAACTTACGATGCTCCGCCGCCAGGTCATGGTCCGTCATTTACTCCGACTGCTGATTTTCGTCTTACGAATAGGAAAATAGGTCGCTGTGGCCGTTTGGGACTGGCTAACGTGTCTCAAAAGTACGCCTTTATCGCCCTATCACTTTCTGGCATCTTTCGTTGATAGATTGGCCTGTCACCAGTGGAGTGGGAGCGCATATGGAAGCGAAACTGGACACTTGTTAAATTCTTATACCTGTGGACCCGATACTATGGTCTCCTTTGTTTCTCCGTCAACTTGTGGCTCTTCAACGCAAACTTTACAACGGAACAATGCAAAGCCTTGTAAGTTACTATCCTCTCACGTTACTCGGCCGCTAGGCTCAATCTCGATTCTGCAGGCATTATATTATAGCCGCATCATGTATGTGGGCCACATTGGGTTCAGGTTGGTTCTCATTCGACATGGCTCGCTGGGATGATGTTGATATGTTATGTATTACGTAGAGGCCATCCTCGCCGTTCGTACCTGGGCTTTCATGGCTAAAGCAAGATGGGTCGGTATCATGCTCGTCTCGATGCTCCTCGGCGAAATGGTGTTCCTACTCTATGTGTCCATCGCTGGAGTACACCAAACTGTACTTGTCTTTGATGGGCCGTGCACTGCAAGCGATGCCCCCGGAAAGGTATGCATTATTGCCGTCCAAATTGACAGAGACGATTCGGTCTGACCTGATGTTCTTGCATAGCATGTCGTTATGGGCTTCTGGCTGGCACCGGTGCTGTTCGATTTGATCTGCACAGGATTGACTCTGTTCAAGGTAACACAGCTGTTCCCTCCATCTTCAATATCTGAATCCTCTATGATGATCACTAATGTGTGATTATAGGCCATTAAGACCAATTCCCTCGTTCGTTCGCCACTCCTGGTAGTCTTCATCCGTGAAGGCCTCTTCTACTTTTTGGTACGTCTAATTATTTTATGCTAGACTCGTCAAGGCGCTCACCATTCCCCTTCAGGCGGTCAGCGCGGTCAATGTTTTAAACGCTGCGTTCATGTTCCAAAGGTGTGTCCACTCCTCTTTTTTCGTCCTCGGCAAAACTTATCCTGAGAACGTCTTCCGATAGCAACGCAAACATTCAAAACATCAATTCATTCCTGGCTCTCATCCTCGGACAAGTTCTTTGCTGCCGACTCGTCCTCAATCTTCGTGCACCATCGGACGCCTTGGAAAGCAACACGTTCAGCGGGCCTCGTCCGCCTACTATGAACCGTTCACGGAATCCGACGCAAGGTGTTTCGTCTTCTATTCCTCTCGGTAATCTTACCAGCGGAGGGACTCAAGACGAAGACCTCTACGGCGGAGTCAAGGTGCACGTGGACGTCGAGACGGACTCTCGGGGTGATAGGGTGAAGGGTGATCGCCTCTGATTTTCTGATACTTTCTCGGTGGATTCTCCCTTCGACCTATACCAGGCCTGTATCTTTCAATGGCGTCCATACTTCGCACTGCCATTTCATTCTCTTTTGGTTTATCTATCTCGTCGTCGTCGTCATCATACACCACGCACCCACTCATTATTGGTTTTTTTTCGCTCTGTCGTCGCCGGTCCATCACCCACTTCCACTTATTTTTAACGTACTCGAGGTTTCGAACGAAAAAGAATTTTATATCATTGGTCTGTTGGCTATGTTTCTAATGAGTCGAGTCCAGAGACTCAGCAGATCATCAAACTAGTCCTTCGTTTGCTGGCGTTGCCACGATTCCAACCTGACTACTTCGCCATTGGGAGTTCTAATAATCACACTTCAGCTCGTCTAACGATTATGGAGAGCGGCGCTGACCGATGTTCATGATACTTCTTCGTTTATTATGACGGGCTCGACCTCCACGCTTATACTCCGGCCGACCCTATGGCAAGTGATTGTATCGTTTGAACGGAATCCATTGCATTAAACCGAGGTAGAGTGTGAAGACGTGTGGGGGGCTCGATGTGTTCTATGGCTACAAATGTAGGGAGAACTATGCTGAGATAGCAGAGAATGAAGATGAATGACGGCCTGCAGATGGACGAGGTGGGTAGTGAGGGAGGAACGCGTGGAGATGGAGGCAGCTGAAAGGTGGAGCACTGCGAAGGATGAGAGGAATAGGGAGAAGGCGGCGATCATGTAGGTATCGTAAGCAGACACTGGATTGGAGTGAGTGAGAAAAAAGGAGGATGTGCTGGACGGTCGTGACGAGAAAGAAGTAGAGAGAAATCTGTGAAGTTCAAACATAAGTCTAAATTTGCATCGTCGGCATGAAAAAACCCGTGATCTATCAAAGTCCCTATTAGGTCGTAAAATGGAGGAAAGCAGGATGAAAGCATGGATGAGAGGAAGGCGAAAGGCGAAGACGGGTAGGACACGAGGAAGCGGGTCCTGTACGATCTTGCATCTACGGGATTATCAGACTATCTGCTGGTGATTGGCTTTCTCGGCGTCCGCTTGACGTTCGGCTGCCATCTCTTTTGCAATTTTGAGGTCCTATATTCCAGGAGTGATAAGTACAGACCCGAGCATGAGGGAGCATAACCATAAACATACGAGGCAAGGAGCAAACTTGCTGGCGCCGCGAATCCGTGGGCCGTACTTGTAAAACAGGAATGGCATGGGCGCCATGACCAGTGCGATGAATCCGATGAGCGTCGATGCCCAGTTAATTCCGAGCTGTATAATATAGAAAAATAGAGGAACGATCATTGTAAGTAATTCGGCGGGAAAAGAATGTAGTAGGAGTGAGTGAGAAAAAGGCATACGTTTGTGTACAGTTGGACTGTGAACAGAGGAAATGCGGCTCCTACTACCGAGCGACAAACGGTGTTGGCGGCGAAGGCAGATGCGGAATACATCAGGTACGTATCGATGAGATAGCTCTGTTCAAGTAGATGGGAGGGTCAGTATGATACGATCGTAACGAGAACTCGCTAACGAACGTACTAGGAACGAGATGAACACCAGACTTATACCAGTCCCCAAAGGGATCGTCGCTAACGCCGGTACATACCACGGCACACTAGCATACTGACCCGTCCATCCTAGCCAAAAGGCGCCAATAACCAGGCTCGGCGCACCAACCATTGCTCCCTGCAGCCTCTTCTCTGGTGGTGTGAAGCCCCTCCACTTATGTAGCAGCTCGGGATAATCTCTCAAAAAGTATTGGTTGACTGCTCCTCCGACACACGAACCAAGTCCCACACCAATGAAGATAAGACCGCCTTGAGAAGTGGTGAGTCCGTGGCGTTCGACGAAGACGATGGGAAGAGCCTCGAAGAGGGCGTAGATGACACCATAGACGACGGACAGGTAGATTGTGACGAGGACTAGAATGGGCTCCTGGAGGAGCATACTGAAGGGGCGGAGGACCGTGCGATGGCAAAGTTCGGCGGCGGTCCATTTTTCGCGCTCTGCTTCGGCGAACAGGTCCTTGTTGGCTACAGGGTCCGCTTTGCGGAGGCGCTTGGCCTGTGTTTAGAAGAGATTAGTCGGTATTGGCACTATATGTTACGGTCGTAAGGGCAAGAATGATGTAACTGTAGACGTACCTTCTGGAGAAGAATGACGGGAGCGTAGGTCTCGGGCATGAGCACGATGCTCGCCAATGCGCAAGAGCCTGCGAAGATCATCTCGACCCAGAACACCCATCGCCACCCGACACCGCTCTGTACAATACTGTAACGGTGAAATAAAGCAATCCCGTTAGCTAGACGCCAGATTTACTAGATATCGCTCAGGCGTATACAATAGGAGACGAGTGCTTACAATCCACCCACCAAAGGGCCAAAACACGGACCCAAGAACACCATTGTCGAAAACATGGAAGTCGAAGGCCCGCGACCAACGGGATCCCATATATCCGCTATCAAGCCTCCACCATTAGTGAGTGGCGCGCAGGCGAAGAAGCCGGAGATGAAGCGTGTAACAAGCAAGGTCTCCATGTTTGGGGCGAGGGCTTGACCGAGGTGGAAAATCGTGTACAGGCAGAGAGTTATGGTCATGATGGGTCTACGGCCGAAGAGCTCGGAACCTGGGCCCCACAAAAGTGGTCCAAAAACGTAGCCACTGTAGGGATACATTTGGGTCAGATGATTCAGAAGGGGTGTGGAAATGAGAGAAATGAAGCCTTGGGGAGTTCGGGCCTGGGGAGACTTACAGAACAAATATGGACGTGACCAAATATGAGACCTCGGTCGGTATGTCGAACTCTGCCTGAATGAGCGCTGTCGCCGTCGACGGCATCGACGACGCGAATGTCCTGTAAAGTTGTAGGGGCCCAAAAATCCATATCATCAGCTAATATGTCACTCAACAAATCCATGACGAGGAACATAAGGATAACACGTACACATTCAGTGTCAAAATCGAACAAAAGACAGTAACAAACCACTTATATCTTCTCGACCAGTTCTGCGGGTTCTTGGGGTCATTTGGTCCATCCCAATCCACAAGATTTGGATCAACTTCCTTTCCTTTACCAAAAGCTGGCGACGATGAAGGAACTTCGTGCGTTGCAGAGTTAGATGACTGAGATGTTCGCAGAGGAGGGTCCTCCGGATCATCGCCACCGTACTTCTCGAAGTGAGCCTCATCCCGCTCAAGTTCGTCGTCGAGTGGAGAGCGAGCACGGGTCTCGATCACTGTTCTCGAGGATGCAGGCGAGGACAGATTGTATGGCGTATTCGACCCTGAGGCAACCGCAGGCATTTCGATGATCAAAGCGATGGCTCGCAGTCAAATACCGACAGGTGGACGTAGCGAGTGGCAAGAACCAGTCAGCGCGAAAGGACAGAAAGGGCGGGACGAGAGGCAGAAAGACGTGAACGGGTCAAGATCGCTGTCATCTTCGACCGGGCCTGTATATAAGCCTTTGGCACCAACGCGGACACTGGTGAACGGATAATCTGAACAAGCTCAAAACTGTGTGTAAGCTTGTCTGAGGACGGGCGACATGTAGAACGTTTTGGAGGACAAGCAAGGCCGAAGCATGCGGGAGGTCGGATAAGTTGTTCACCGAGGTCATGATTAAGATATGAAGCGGGTGTAAGTGAATCCGTAGCTCACTACAAATGACTGTTGACTGTACATTGTTGAAACCGTACAAAGGTACGGATGAAAGGCTTCAAAGGCTCAACAAATGAGGCCCCAGGCACTACGAATATCCAGAGCCTTGCATAATCGACTGCGATCTGTAAGAAAGTAAGTCACTGTCTGAAAGCAGCGTTCCGAGTCCATGAGCGTGAATGACCTTGATGGTGCAAGAATATGGAGAGATGATATGAGACGATAGCCTCCCTATTTCAAACTGCCTTCCGAGACCCGGTCGAATCAGATGAAAAAGAGGTTGCCAGATTAGGCCGCCGGTTCGCGGTCAGTGGCGGTGCATCTGCGGAGTTACCCATTCGTCCCCAGGTCCGGGTCCTAGCCACCGTTCTAGATCTTCCCATCTTTCTTTCTTCGGGGCTCCCTTCATTCGCCTCCGGCTCAGGCAAACGCAAAGACGTCGAGCCTCCATAAATCCAGGGGGTATTTGCCTCCACGACGCGGGAGAGGTTACAGTAGGACACTCGTTGGCTCCCCGTCAGTCCAGCGTCGGTCCAAAACTGGCAGGTACTAATGGTACCGGTATGGCCACTGTAAAATTCGTGCGACCCAGTCGTGGCGGACGGACCGCAGATCAAACGCTCTGCGGAACGCCTCATGGTCCAAGTCTTTATAGTCGTAAGCTGTCGTAAGTCAGTTCAGAGTCCTCGACGATCTGAATCGCGGTGTCCTCTTCATTGATTCGCCCGTGACAAAAATTGACGGTAACTAATGAAAGCAGAAAAGTAAGAGCACAACCGTACATCAGGGATTTTCGATATCCACGATTCCATGCCCGACGTCAGTCGTACACTCACCGATGCTGGAACCCGGTAAGTAAGAGGAGGTCATTAATTAGCGCGCTATCGGTCTCACGCCAGTAAACGTGGAGATCGCGTGGCTGTCCTGCTAGTAGCACGGCGTCGACCTAGTTCAACTACCCTGGTCAAACCCTGGTGTCTCCGACTTCCACAGCATTCAACTAGTTCAAGTATCGTTTTTGTTTCATGGCATCTCGTACATCTGGACGAAGTCTCGCACGATCACACGGCCCAGGAAGCAGAACACTAATCAGTGTCTTTAGCAACACCATATGATGCGACTCGGTTACTTCTTCTGGGTAGTCTCTAAATGCTGACCTCATACAAGACAGTCGTTGTATGAGTAGGCTGGGAATAATTGTCTCGTCTTAGCCCGGCATCAATATATCCTTTCTTCGTGACTCTCGAACGACATACAACTTGTTCCTAGATACTCGAGGCAACCATGACAAGTGCAGTTATATCCAAGATTTCGTTTCTGACTTTGAACGATGGAACGAAGATGCCAGTTATTGGGTTAGGATGTTGGATGGGAGAGGTGGGTGGCGGGGAGAGGGTGAAAGAAATGGTCACCAAGGCCCTAGATGTGCGTATCGTTGTGATTTTGTGCCGCCGCTGGTGCTCATCTTTTGGACTGCTTAATCTGCGTTTGCTTTGTGTGGTGTAGTTGGGCTATAGGCATTTCGACACTGTGAGTATCTTCTACTTTGGGCTACATTATGTGGCGCAGAATTGAGTAATACATGGGACAGGCTGCAGGATACGGTTCGTTTGATCATACATGCCAAGAAGCGCGTCGAGACTCACACTCTGATTCGTGCCAGGGAATGAGAATATGCTCGGCGAGGCCATCAAAATTTCCGGTGTTCCGAGAGAGCAACTTTATATCACCACCAAGCTTGGGTAGGTGTCCTCACATCGTCAGATCTTCATTCTCTTGCCCGGCTTCACTTATCCTGTTGCAAGAAGTGTGTGTGGCCCAAACTAAGTGGTGTGGCGTAAACAGGAACTCATCCCACCACCGTGTCCTCGAAGCCTTCGAGGAGTCACTTGCGAAGCTGGACTGTGGATATATTGATATGTATCTCATGCACTGGCCTCAAGCTGTCGTGGACGGTACGGCCCGTATTTGTCTCCTATATCATACCTAACAATATTCCCTCCTAGACAGACTCCGCCTCCGCACCATCCTTCAACCCCTCCGGCCGCGTGCTCCCGCCTTATTCATCGCCGACCATCATCGACACATGGTTGTCTATGCAATCGCTCTTGCTCACGCACAGATCTCGAATTCGATCCATCGGAGTGTCGAATTTCAGCATCAAGACGCTCAACGAGTTGCTCAGTGATGCAAGGGTAACTGTACTTCCGGCGGTCAATCAGGTGGAATGCCATCCGTATCTTCCGAACGATGAGTTGAAGAAATGGTGTAGCGAAAAGGGAATAGCAGTGACAGCTTATTCGCCGCTTGGTCTATCCACTCATTTATGCATGCATTTTGATTGAATGACTCACATCTCTTACTCATAGGTCAACCGCCCTCTTCTTCGAGCGTGGGGGCACCACCCAATCTACTGACAGACTCAGCTGTCCTGTCCCTAGCGGCGCAGTATCATACTACGCCGGCCCAGATTCTCCTGGGCTGGGGCCTCCAGCACGGAACGGCTGTGATTCCGAAGAGCGAGAACGAAGGGCGGTTGAAGGCAAATATCACCGTACGTTGTACCCTCTCACCATTCAATCAATTTCTCCAAACATCACGGTCACTTGCTCGTCCGGCCTTGACTGCCCTTCGAACTCTGCACATATATTTATATATGCACTTTTAGATCATTTATCTCTCCGAATCCGATATCGCGCAGCTAGACGTTCTACACCGACAACCGGGCAAGCACAGGAGCTTGTTGGGATACATACATAGGACGGGAGAGTGGGGGCCTGGCGTGTTTGGGTGGAGTTACGAGATGTTAGGATGGGAAGGGATGCAGGAAGGTGGTGTGATTTCTTGAGTCAAACGATTCGTCAGTTCTTGAGATCGCAGAGTTTGGTGAGGGCGGCGAGGGCCTGGTACGACGAGTGTGTTCGTATTAGCAGCAGATCACCCTTGTAGAGTGCTGTATAAATACCAATGATAAGAGTCCTACACCAAACTTGTCTTCGAGCCTAAGGGCCGCAGAAGCAGCTGGCGCTAGTACTGAGGCTACTGAACTTTGACGCCACACTTGCTTGTGGCCCCCGACCGCGGCTAAGTTGAACACGTTCAATTTGACTACAGCTTGCCAGAAACCTTTCCCTTTACCATTGCTTTGGACTTCGCTACACCATAAAGACTTGAATATCTGCTCAGGGACTATGATGTGCTATATCTGGCGTGGATCCGGTCCCGTGCGGACAGAAAAGATTACATGACGCGTCTACCAATTCCTTGTTTTTACTCAGCTCTTTCTCTCCTCTTGAATTCTCAGGCTCCGAGTTAGGGCCTTTCGCCCACTGGTATCATCTATCACCTTCACAAGGATCTAGACAACCCAAACGACAATGACGAGCGCAAGCATTGGTGTTGTACCGTATCTGCCCTTGAATGACGGAACGAAGATGCCAGCTGTAGGAATGGGTTGTTGGATGGGAGAGGTTGGTGGTGGAGAGAGGGTGGGGAGGATGGTCGAGAAAGCTTTGAAGGTTCGTCGTACTTGCTTTTCTGGTTGGCGTACCTCGGAGTCGCTGATGCTATTGGGTGATGAATCTTGAACCCCTGATGTGGTATCGATGCTATGTGCTCTAGTTGGGTTACAGGCATATCGATACTGTGAGTTTGCAGCCTCTTATGTGTGTTTTTGTAATTTGAAGTATTCACGGGCCCTTGTTGAACTGTATAGGCCGCAGGCTATGGTACATGGCTCATTCGTGCCTCTACTCTGTGCGTCATGAGTTTGACATCTGCACCCAGGGAACGAAGAGATGGTCGGGAAGGCTATCAAAGAATCTGGGATACCCAGGGAGCAGCTCTATATCACGACCAAACTCTCGTATGTTGCGACCTCTCGACACCGTCGACGCCCTCAATGGTACTGATTATGTTCTATCCGGGCGGCAACGGCATAGGAATGCAGCTCACGATAAAGTTGTTGAAGGATTTCAGGCATCACTAGCCAAGCTCGACTGCGGTTATATCGACATGTATCTTATGCACTGGCCTGTTGCCATCGTTGACGGTATACACTTCATTTCTATTACACCAGGGTTTCCCCACTGACATCCTTTATCCGACCTCGTGCACGATCCATTAGGCAAAGTGCTCCCACCCACCTCCAGCCCAACTATAATCGATACCTGGCTCTCCATGCAATCCCTCCTACAGACGCACAAGTCTCAGCTTCGCTCTATCGGTGTCTCCAACTTCAGCATCAAGACTTTTACTCAGTTAGTTGCGGATGAGAGGGTGACGGTCATCCCCGCAACGAACCAGGTGGAATTACACCCTTATTTGCCACAGACGGCGTTGAAGGAGTACTGCGAGCAGAAGGGGATTATATTGACGGCATATTCGCCATTGGGTGCGTATTTTCTTTGATACCTTCCATATAAACTTCCTCATGACGACTTCTTCCTCTGTATCCTGCTCTGTTATATTCTGGATGTGCATTCAGGCCAACCACCGGCCACCGCAGGTAGCTCGCCCGAAGCACCACCACTGCTTTTGGGAGACTCGATCGTCGTGTCGCTCGCTGAGAAGTATGGGGCCACACCCGCCCAGATCCTTCTCAACTGGGGTATTCAACGTGGGACCGTCGTGATACCAAAGAGCGAGAACGAAGGCCGTATGAAGGCTAATATCACTGTACGTGCCGTGCTCCTCTCTACCTTCAAAACCTCGCACTGACCGTGTTTTACCGCTCACACCCTTGATATATGCATCGGTCTGACAGATCGTCCACCTAGAAGAGAGCGACATGGCTGCTCTGAATGCTCTTCATGACCAACCAGGAAAGCATAGAAGTTTGTTACCTTACCATAAGAAAGGAGACAACGGATCTGGTGTGTTCGGATGGAGTTACGAGTGGCTGGGATGGGAGGGGATGGGTGATGGTGGTGTTATCGGGTGAGAATATGTGCTATCATTTCAACATTGGGTGTGGCGGGAATGATGGACAAGATAGGCTGTATCAATTTGACGATGTAGGAGAGATTCGGAGGGTTGAATGAAGGTGTACCAACGTGTATTTGGATTATGTGTGTAAGAGAGATTTGATTACCCAAGAAGTGTACGTCCTATAAGCATAGTCGTCCTGGCTGTTCGACTCCGAGTCCTTTCGTGGTTTCTGTCGAATCCAGCATTGTCACTGTCGCGGACCTTGGTCGCGATGACGATGGCCTCTGCCCTGGTCCTTGGGACACCCTGGGCCAATCACTGAGTACCGGCGTTCCCACCGAGCGCCATGTCCATTGCAAATTGGCGGACTTTGAAAGCTGCCGGGCAAGCCGTATGCCATTTCGACGCGGGCCACAGTAAGACTCACCGATTTGGCTGGGTGGCACCTATGTACGAGACCAGTGAGCGTCTAGGGCAAGGTACACCCACCTTTAAATCTCATAAATTCTGGGATATTATTTTACGTGCATTCACTTCATTTGGTCGCGACAGATTTTTTTCACTCTCCTCGAGTGATTTGATATGATTGTGTGCTCCGTCGTGTAGCTCGTTCAGGCTGAAATTAGAAAATTCTGTCGCGACCAAACTAAAGAAAAGTATTTTAGATGATTTTATGTGTAGCTATATTGAGTGTCACTATGCACATTGGTGCCTTTGTTGTGTTGCATGTTCAGTAAGTGACAGCCTGCAGCCACTCGGCTACGGCAGTAAGCGAGACGCGGCACAGCGGAGTTTGAACCAGCCCGCAATAGGTGAGTGCCGGTACTCACAATCACGAGACGCGGAGGTTGCCGGTCGCCATCAACAGCAAGTCGAAATAGCTCGGAACCCTCTTGCGAAAAGTCAGGATATTTGACGCGGCACCCTCTCTGGCGGTCGAGCCCCTTCTGCACTAAACCAAACAGAGACTCAGTGCATACGCAATGTTCTCCATGCCTGTAAATGGAGGAATTCCCACCACTTCCGAAGAAAACACATATGATGATCCTGGCGAACTTGAAGTACCCTCAGAATTGACGTCGTAAGCACCTCCAGAATTCTCCATACGGACTACTCCTTGAGAAGGTGCCTGACATACCTGTCAGGATCACCACTCTTTCTACATTGCTTGAAACCCAGACACAGGTGTTGCGTCAAATGCTAGAAAAACAAGACGCCGTCGTAGGTCAGTTATTACATTCCCCGAAGTTTGTGGCAGCTAAAGACCGCTGAATGGCCACTGAACCTCACATCTCTTAGCCTCCATAATGAGCCTGCACAAAGTGATGTCGCACATAGATCACAGGCAGTCTGCTTCGGGTGGGTGGAAATCTTCCTCACAGGTTTACTTGAATTGACACGTCGACCACACAACATCCGCAGATGTTTCGCGGCAACCCATACCAGAGGTCACTGCCAGCAGTTCGAATGCATGGAACCCACTGCTAACGTCTACCATGGAAAATACCATCGTCCCTGCCGTTGATCGCTGGCGAAGCAGCTTGGATACGCTTCTCATTTTTGTAAGTCAGTGGCATTCAACCGATGTTCAACCGTTGACCCTGTATGGTCCTACAGATCGCACTCTTTTCTGCTATAGTAACTTCATTCTACATCCAGGCAACAAATGGTCTGACTCCTGATGCAGGCCTACGCACAAATGAGCTGCTGGTGAACCTCACAGACGTCATCGTTCTACTCGGCCGCAGCAATGCGTCTCCGCTTTCTCTTCCGCCTCCTAAACCTTTTGAACCGGATGCTGTGAACGTCAGGACAAACCTATACTGGTCTGTATCCCTCGTCCTTAGCGTAAGTTGATATTCAAGGACAAAATTGCGCTATTCTCACATATATTGTAGGTTTCTATCGCCTCTCTGGCGGTCGCATGTCGCAGTTATCTCACAATGCTCACTCGATCATATCAAATCTCAGCCCACAAAAAGCTCACCGACTTGTACTCCCGGTGGGAAACAGCAGAGCAGCGGCTTGGACCCATGATCGAGACGCTCCCACAACTTTTGATCGTATCAGTCATCTTATTTCTCGTTGGCTTGCTCGACACACTAATCTCCGGTTGGCTCGCTCTTTCACCACGATCGACACCCGTTTTGGCCGCAGGTCTCATCTCCACGGCTCTCGTCGCGCTTACTGGTCTTATCATCCTTTGGACGTTCGTTGATGGGTGCTTACATCCGATGATTTCTCCATTCCAGTCTACTCTATCTCGTGCGTTTGATAGCAAAGTGGTGAAATCTCCCAGAAAGACCTCCACAGGATTAGTACTGCGGGATTGTGATGTCTTTCATGTCACGCTGCAGGCGACACACGACGATGTCTCTGTTGACCGAGCGACCTCGGCTTTATGGAGCGTAGCTCAAATAGAACCAGAGGCACCTGATATACGAAGTAGAACGAAAGACACGCTGCTGTATCTGCTCTCCCCTGAATCCAGCTACAGGAGCAACATCACGGCCGCTATAGTGTTGTACAAGATAATATGTGGTATGTACACTCTCTCCTGTGCATTATGTGGTGCCACAGTCTCATACTGGCTTTTACACCTAGTCTTGGGAGGAACTGGTGATCCCACCTTCTTCGATGGCGAGGCGACTATTGCTCTCCTTGTGTCTCTCAAGGACGCAGCACATCGATATCCCGCTGTATCTTCCGAGGCTTCTGACTCCTATACACTTTGGAACTCGCCGTTCACAGAGGCGATGGCGGCTCTGTTACACCGCGACTCCATTCGAAATGAGCTTCTTCGAGCGAATAGCACTCTGCTTCTGTTGCTCGCCGATTTCTCGCATTTTCAGCGAGATGGACTCGATTATCTTCCTTTACAACTTCAAATCACACAGTATGCCATGGGTATACTGTCCTCGCAGCTGGCACAACATTCCTTATCCGCTGGGTCTTCTGTACAGGGCAGCACGTCCGATGTCGTTCTTGATGAATCATGTGATAGTGTGATGCGCTCCCTTGCTAGGTTGTTCTCACATTACCCAAGTACCTGCCCATCTTGGTATAGGCAGTTTATCGCATCCATACTTCTCGATCGCGAGCATCCCCATGTTGTGAAAGCCTTTGTGCGCTGGTTCGCAAAACACAGAGGGGACACATTTATTCTCACAGCCATTGACGTTACGACTCAACACCTCGGCCGTAAATTGGACCTAGGTTTTCCGATTTCCCCTCGCAATATAATGCTCCACGTCGACGCCTTTTCTATGCCAGATGATCATTATTCGTGCATGTCGAGCTGTATCACCTTGACGAGAGCCCTCGCCGATCTCGTGAGGACATCTCGTAAGGTGACAGACTTTACGCCCATTGGGGCAACCTACATTGGCCGTTGGATTCATGAAGAACAATGCGACTTACTTTGCTGGCTTTCCACTACGATCATTCGCTTACTCGCGATCATCCGAGAGTCGCTTGAAAGATTGGACGCATCGTTCAGTGGAGTGGACCGGGAGGAATTGCGCCTCCGTCTGGACCTCACGCATGAGGATCCCGAAGCGCCACAGCCCGCCTTTTATGTGAGCACTGTCAAGCATCGGAACGAGGTCAAGGATAAACTATTGGAGGCTTTTTGGGCGGTAGATGTAGAACCTTTGGCAAAGGTGTCAAGAGACGGAAACATTCCTGTATAAACCTCGAGCGTCCATTGGATGCTAAGCAATGTTAGGCAACTCTTTCTCATCATGTTTGTGCTTGGAAAATATTACTCGCATATCACTGCGATCATGAGGGTATCGCCAAGTTATCGCGCTGGTGCCTGAGGAAAACGATAAAGGGGCCAACGTCTCAAACTTCAGTGAGTCTGGTTCTGTGGAAGACAAGATGCATCGAAAACCTTCGAGTTACGGTAACTTACGCCCTAGATGGGCCAGGTCACGTTGCGTATGATCAGGACCTCAGACTGGAATCATTGTCCCACAGAAAAATCTGAAAGACCTATTTCCTTCTTATAAGCCGGGTATGTAGAAATTTAACGAGACTGGGGGTTATAATCGTGATGCGACGTAAAGAGCGTAAGATTTAACCATAAAAGCCATAGTAACAAGTCTCATGAACTGCCCACAACCTCCATCCGCACCGTTCCATCCAATACGCCACCGCCACCCATACCCAACGCCCGTTCTCGCAACATCCCCCACTGTACCCACCAATCCTCCGCAGCATCAATCGCATCATATCCCCACACTCCGCAAAGCTCAGCAAATTGTTGTTCCAGCTCTCCTTCTTCAATTTCTGCATCTCCTCTTGCCTCCGCCGCCTTCTTCCACCTATTCCACGCGTCGTTTCGGAAATCACGCTCTGGTCCGGGCGGAAGCATGATGATGTAGTGGTTGGCGTCTTCGAGGTCCGCTAACGTGTTTCGACGTGGTTTACGGAGGTCTTCATAACCGTAGAGGAGAGGTGAGATCTGGTCGTGGCTCCGGAGTCGGGAGAAGAGAACACCCAGTACAGCAGCATCTTCAAGAACGGCGCTCAAAACCGGCATACCGCAGGGCTATTTGACGAGATGGGAATACGTTAATATATCTCAAAATGAAGATATAGGTCTTGCGGCCGCAAAGAGGCCAAGAAATATTTGTATGGCGTACTCACCCCTAGAGGATGAGCCGCTTCACCGACAAGAACGATCCGTTCAGACTCATCCACGAACGATTCCGCTTGCCCCCTTTCATCGCGGGAAACCCGAGTAAGTGTTGGGATGTGACCGAGGAGGGCTGTGATCCTTGAAGACCGGAAATTTAGCATAAGCACGGAAACCATTACCGGAAGCAATCTATTTACCGAGGTTCAATGGCCGGATACTTGACATCTCGGGAGGATACGGGTGTATCCCATCCTTGTGGTGCTCCTCTCGGTATGGGCTCTGGGACCCAGAAAGTCGCGTTATACTCCTCTCCGGATCTCTAGATGATGAGAAGATGTTTAGAGAATTGATAACGAATGATATATGAGATATAGACAAACCACGGGGTATGCTGCGTAAACAAAACACGTTTTCGTCAACATCGCAGCGCTGGCAGAAGAAGAATCTTCAGATTCCAAACTAGAAGACAATACGTACAAAGAACCAAAGAGGATGTTCCCAGCCAGTGTGGACTCTGAAGGTCGCGGATAATAGAGGCCAGGTTCGGGTCCGCTTGCATCGTGGCAACGGGTATCGATCCGTGGTAAATCGACGTACGCGATGGTTCCCCTACTTTGAGGACCTCGTCGACGAGGGGCCTTACGATGCTGTCGGCCCCATCCGCGCCTATGATAATGTCTGCATGTATGACTTCGCCGTTGGCGAGCGTAATTGACGGCCTTCCCTCAGATGAGGTACTCCCGAGAGTTGTATCATCCAGATCGTCTGAGTCCCCTGGGTTGACGCAAGCGACGGGAGTGTCGAAATGCACTTCAGCACCGGATGAAAGAGCGAGCTCGCAGAGAATACTGTGCATGTCGGAGTGCTGAAGAGAGAAAGGGAAGTGTATGAGCAGCGTAGATTCAATGTAAAACACGCACTGCAATCATGTAGAACGGTGCTCCCAGCTCCTTCATGACTTCTTCTCTCCATTCTAAGGCTCCGAGACGTGCCCCGCTCCCCACTGTAGACGTCAATCCGAATGCGCATCAGTAAACAACCCGGGGCTGGCGAATTCGCGAACGAATCAATTGGATTGGTGGGCGAAGAGACTGTAAGACACTCACTATCCACGAAATCAGTCGCTGTGCACTTCACACTTTTTGCCTTGACCTTCTCCCCAACGCCCCATTTCAGCAACACCAACATCCCATTGGGAGGAAGTCGAATTCCAGCAGCCCAGCGGCTCGTTCCTCGAGACTTCTCAAATACCCGTACACGATGACCGGTAGAGCAGAGTGCATGAGCAACGGCGAGCCCTGCGAGCCCTGCAATGGTTCGATTTTTGCGGTCATAAGTCAGAAGTCATGTGCGGAGTATAGAGGAGTTGAATATATATAATGAGGACTTACCTCCACCCACAATGATAAAATCGAGCGGAAGAGGGACTGTTCGCCGACTTGGTTCTGTCATGGTTTGCGAAATGTGGTACGAGGGTATCGTCAAACTTATACAGCGAAGACCACAAGTCAAGAAATATTGAAGAAGTCAATGGCAACGGGGGAAAAACTTTCAACGAAGAAGAGGTGGCAGGTTACGGTATGTCAGGGCATAGCTAGCGAGTAGGTAAGTGCACCGATATGCGTACCGGCGGGCGATCTTCCGTCTATTCCAAAGAATATAATTAAATAGCCCCTATAATGTCCGAACGGGCCGATCACTCACCACTGCGCGTTTGAGGAGGCGCGTGGCAGGAGACCCCTGGTGAAACACCGGCGAGAGCTTCGTGGCGTCCCCCGTCGTAGCCTCGGGCACTGTTCAGATCTGCCCCTTTCAATAGCAAAAATCTGGGGAAGGCGAGGGAAGGCGTTATAGAAATGATGGCCCAACGGCTTCCAACAGTTGTCCACTCGGAGTTGCGGAGAAAATACACCACAACGCCCGTCAAGCTCCAAGGCCCATTCGAAGCACATGTTGCTCCCACACTGTGAATCATAGGATGGCTCTACTTTAGCATTCCGGCGGAGGACGACTCAGGCTCTGCCAATCAACCCGTCCACGTCACGGTCCCACTTATTGCATCTACAATAACTATGCAAGGAGAGCATTCAGCGCAACAGAAGCCATCGATTTCCTTGGCAGCTTGAACGAGGACTTCAAGAAGAGGCGGACCCTGACAAGAGAACATCGACTCTTGGACAGTCCCGAAATCGTTCGAGATACCCCTGTCATTAGAAACACCCGAATAAGCCACACGTTTTAGACATATCTCGGTCGCAATTCATTGAGCAAGTTATACGGCATGGCATTTTAAGGCAGACCAGGAAGCGATTACATCCCAGGACCACTCTAGAGACGCCGCCTTTACACAAATAAGAGGCGATAGTCTGACCGAGATGTACGGGTGGTGCTCAGAGGAGCATAGACGAATCCGTCGACTCGGCAATGGAACACCCGGTCCAATACCCTGAGCAAGTGTATGGCAGGAATAGAAGGACCCACGAGGATTAGAGAGTTTATATTAGAGCCAATTTTGGGAGAAGTGACCGTTCGCGATCAAGGAGAGTTGGATGAAGAATATCATACCGGACACCGCGATTTCGAGACATGCAGGCCACGGTTGAACTAGTGATGCTGCACTTGTAGTAAGGAGGAGCTCGGGTGAAGAGAGACACACATCCATGGTAGCCTGTTTAGACCGTCACGTCGACAGGTTTGAAGCTTCCAGGTGGTTTGAAGAAACGTACAAAACGGAAGCAAGAAAGTGCCTCGCCCTGCGCCCAGAGAGGAAGATTAGATAAGATCATTCCATAAGTGGGTCGAATTTCAAATTTCAAGCCTGAACTTCGCCACGTCCCACCGAGTCCCAGGCTTCAAGTACTTACCTGGGCAATCTTTCCCTGTTTATCATCCTCAACCTTCAAGGACACTATCCCGAGCCTAGCTCATAGTCAAGCTCATAGTCAATCGTTTTTTGGTGTCCAGATAAAATTATCCTTGCAAATACATTGCGGTCCAGGTTCATAAACTTGAAGCTAATGATGTTAAACGGTTTTAGTACCCGGTCCCCATCACTCAACGTTCAGACTGCTGTACTCCGTTGACTTCTCTACTCCTCGCCGGAATGGGATTTCCTAGTCTCAGATCAAATGAGCAGCATTCTAAGGTACAGTAGGGGACACGCCACTAAAAGCAAAGCTACTCGTGAACCGTTCAATCGTTCTCTCTCTTCGATAGTACGAATAACTTTTTGACGACTTCTTTCGAGTCAACGCGGAGAGCATCGTGGAACATTTGGTTCGTGATGAACTGTTCCACATTGCCGATCTTTGCTGCTGTATCCTGTGCCAACCCAAAGTCGACGTACATGTCCTCCATGTACCTGATATGCAAAGTCAGTCCTTCAATCAGTCGGTCAATGATGAAAAGGCGTACGTAGCGGCAGTGACTTTCACTTCATTTTTTGCCAGTTGGTCCATATCGTAAAGCGGACCCCAAGACTCGTCCTTCGCGATAATCATCGCGGCTTCTTTCAATGGCCGAAGGTTACTGTAATTATCAAACATGTCCGGGAAGATCTACGGAACCATTAGGCCTCGCCCTATGCTTGAATCAGCAAGGTACAGAGCTACTCACCATCTCGCCGTAAAAGTAGACGGGCACTATGTCAGCCAAGCATCTGACATGTTGCCATAAGAATTGAGGATGTTCGTTAACGACACGCTGCGCAGACCAATTCGATGCTTTCCTAGAGGTATCTGTGAGCCAACGAGTTTGAAAGGACGAACAAATCATTTCATTTACCTCTGACAGTAGATAGACTCATGCATAATCGCGTACAGCGGGTTGCCGTCGTAATCCTGCTTGCCCTGAATGATCTGCAGCGTTTTGTATGCAATAGATTTGAAGACGACAAGGTCATTGGATGCGCGAAACACGAGCTCTAGACGTTGAAGAGCTATTGAGCGTGAAGGCGATCGTGAAAGACGTATACGCACGGTGTACGCGATCAATACCACCTACATGAGAGTCAGCTTGGTGAAACTTGTACAATGGAAGAATCAGGACCTACCCCGCATTCCGAAGTCGATTCCTAGCTGCTGCCAGCGGCTCGGTGTCAAGCGGCCATTGTTAGGAAGACGAACATCATTTCGTTCGAGGTAAGACATAATATCCCGAACCTACTCAAAAGATAATTCAAGACGGCTTCCAGAAGGAACAAGGTGAAGGCACACACCCGCTTCACATCCTGCGGATACTTGTGATAATACACTTGGTTCCTCTTTACGACTTTCTCTTTCAAAATGGACAACATCCCCGTGAGCATGTGGTGGCCGTTGCCGCAGAGATTACGGTGGTAAGCTCACTGATCAATGCTTCATACACTAAGTCGGGGCTGTCAACCAGAGGGGCAAGACCGCCCGTAAGGAAGACCTCCTTCAGACCATCGCTGTAGAAAGAAAGATAGTTGATTGCGCAGAATCCGCCAAAGCTTTGGCCCATAATGGTCCATTTCCGATCCTCGGGCTTTTCCTTATGACCCAACAAAGTCTGGCGGATAAGCTCGCAATCCTTCACTATAACCAGAAGGTCAGGTCACAAAACTTGCAGTCTCACCGATAGACGACTCAAGTTACTGACCAATGCTGTCCGCGCGAAAGTGTTTGAGATAGGCAGCTTTCTCGTCATCCGACTTCGACGCCAGCATGTCAGCCGAGATAGCCGTGCTCAAACCAGTCCCGCGTTGGTCAAGCCAGAGTGTCTGATTTAGATTCAGATTCACAGAGTACATGAAAATGCTGTACGATTGTGGCGTACCTGATAACCTTCAGAATGTATCTGCAGGTCGACGCATGAGATCTTGCTCGGAATCAGGTTGGTATGAGAATAACTTCACCTCGCCCGCGAAGCCGGAACTGCCTTGCAACCCGAGCTCAAATCCTGGCCCACCTATAGAAAATTTTAGCATGGCGAATTCCCTCCCGAGGGGGTCTGTAACAAACCTTGAAGGAAGAGCACTGAGGTGAAAGGCCATGCCGATCACAACATCTTTTTAGTATTTTGGGTGATCCCAGATGAGACAAGTAACAGGGCGCTCACAGTACGGCAGTTTCTCTTCGTCATCTTTCGTTTTCGCCTTGTTCCTAGGAATGAGGTTTCGCGCAAAGACTTGGATCTTCTCACCCTCTGGGTGCGAATGGTCGAGAGGAACCTCGAAAAATCGTTCTATGACCTTGATGTCGTCTAACCCTCAGACACGTCTCCGTCAGTTCATTCAGGGCTCCGTGACAGTCTAAGAGACCAACCTTTGATGAAGTATGTCTCAAGGCTCCGAGTCTCCGTATTGTGCTCAAAAGTGGGCAGCTCAGTCATGATGCGCTGAGAGTTTAGAATCACAAGTGCACGGTCGTCGTTGAGAGGAAGAACGCTGAGGAAAGGCTTCGAATTCGTGTCTGTACGTTTATCTTTGCAATTCTGATACCTGTGAGCAGGACCCTGAAAGAAAAACTAAGAAACAACAGGGCAGTGGCGGCGCTGTCTCTTCGCGGGGTAGTTGTAGTCCTGGTCAAAGGTGAACCCAGAATCCCATCGATACGGGCCTTTTTGAAGCCCTAGATTGTCCACGATGGTTAACAAAGTATGTGGGAAAATCCGGTCGGGAGAGAGGCAAGAGAGAGGGCTTTTATCAAATGTTCGATACCTGAAATACACACCTGGGTAGCAGCGTGCAACATTCTCCTTGGAGAGCTTATGAACAGCACTATTGGTACTGGTGGTTGCTGGTGAAAGAAGACCTCGCTCAGTGAATCGTCGGAGAGTAAGTATCTTACCATTAGCGTGGCGAGCCGAGGTACCGGACATAGCCGGACATGGTACTTAGGTGGCCTTGATCTTGGGTGGACAATTATTTCATTCTTCGTTGTCCCCTGAAGCAGCCGGTAATATACAGCGCAAAAAACAGTAGGTATACAACAAATACAGGGTAAAATTTCATTCCCACAATTTCCTCCTCACCTCTTTGTTAACTTCTCATTGCGCATAACATTCCTACAGAGGGCGCCCGAGTGACTCAGGCCATCCAATGAGGATGAAATCGAGTAACGCTCAAGCAACTATTCCACCCTCTTTCATATTCCAGCCAAGCTGCGCATACGACCAGCCGAAGACTTTGCCCGGATCGACGGAGTGATATGCCAGAAGTGATCGATGCATCCCGTCATTCATGTGCAAAACCTCCAGCGCCTTAACATCCGTCTGGTTGAGGCCGATGAGCTATATCAGGAAATACGTTCGGGATTTTTTCAGTGCACCGAACAGGGTGTGACAGAGGAAGGGAAAGAATATGAGGCGAACCGTAAGGTTAGCCTTCATACGGCCTTCATCCTCAGACTTCGGTATGACGACCGTCCCACGTTGGACGCCCCAGGAAAGGAGAACTTGGGCTGGTGTAGAGTTGTGCTTCTGTGCGATGGAAGTCACAGCGTCCGTGTTAAGAAGGAGAGGCATCTTCTGTTCTGCCTGTGTGGATGGCGCAGATGGACGACCTAAGATGTGGCGCCGGTGGCCAAGCAACCCTTAGTATTGAGGAGCATCGTGATGTCGGGGAGATTGCATACCGAGTGGCGAATAAGCAGTCAACAGAATGCCCTTCGATTCGCAAAATTGCTTGAGGTTAGTCTGAGGAAGACATGGGTGCATTTCTACTTGATTCGTAGCAGGGACAACTTTTGTACGCGGATCGTCCAGAAGCTGGGACAAAATCTTGATGGAAAAGTTGGAGACTCCGATAGACTTGACTTTTCCTGTCATGCAAGTGTTCCTTTATATATCCTTTAGAAGATTGTGCAGATGGATGAGATTACTATCAGTGGCCCCTCGTTCGGACAAACCGTCGTTCGGACAGTGCGAAAAACACACCCAATTCCCTATCGTTTCTCCCCGTTCAAGCTCTCATAAATCATGTTAAATCACCACTAGACCATCTGCGAAGTGATTTGAGTACAATAATGGCAGTGGGAGGTCGAATGGGGAGGGGGGTGTTTCGGACACTTTGGCGGGATCGGCTGTCCGATCGACGGTCCCACCCTCCGATCGACGACCTTTCTCTCGAGCAATTCACAACAAAATTGCATGGACATGTAGCTACAGTAGGGGGCATTGTGTGTGCAAAGTTTCATGGCAAGAGAACTTATACTGCGTGAGCTAGATTTTTTGCAGTCCGGATTGTCCGAACGAAGGGCCAGTGATAGTACCTGTCTCGAGAAGTTTCTCCATCTCGATCCACGTGTCAACGATAGTAGGACTTTCGTCTGGAGCCAGCGTCCTTCCTGTGGCCTCGGCCTGAGCTGATCGACTTGACACGGCATATGAGAACTTGTAGCGTACCATTGATAACTGCATGTGGCCAATGCATGAGGTACATATCGACGTAGCCGCAGTTGAGCTTTATAAGTGACTCTTCAAACGCTTCTCGCACCCGGTGATGATCACCATTGCTGAATTATTATCGGTGATCAATTCACGAAAACAAAACAGAGTAAACCCACCCGGGCTTAGTGGTGACGTAGAGCTGCGCGCGAGGTATTTCGGATTCTGCGATAGCTTCTCCTACCTTCTCTTCGTTTGCTATAGGGTCGACATGAATATCGCGATCGCAGAGCAGGGACACGGCGGAAGAACGTACCGTAGCCGCTGGCCTAGATCAATGGCCACCGAAAGTTTAGAACTTCATTGCTCAACTAAGATCCAGAGAGCACCATAATTTACCGTATCAAAGTGCCGATATCCAACCTAGATGTTCACAAGGGCGCTGGTCAGGCCTGTCACAAGACGGCCGAAGACAAACGATCATACCGCCAGAGCCTTTCTGCACATATCCTTCACGCGTTCTCCACCACCAGGAGTACCCATCCAGCATCTGAGATGGATAATCATAAAGATGTCTCAATCCCGAAACCTGAGCAGGAGACGGTCAGAGATCCAGACTAACCCCATGCCTATCGCTGGGATCGAGGTTCCGTCATTCAAGCGGAAAGATGGGACTTGTGGTGTCGCGCTAGTCATCGTTGTGATATACGTCTGTCAGTATAGCCAACAAAGGTGTAGTGAGGGAATATTGTGTAGATGGAGATTGTGGTTCAACTTCAAGAGGATGTGAGTGGCACCGATTTAAATCGTCCGCACGCCACAACTTTCGCACCCAAACTTGCACCGCTACGGCCATCATGTACTTCGACCTCAATGTCCCCGTACCAATACCAGCGTCGTCCTCATCTGCGATAAATACCTCTAAAAAGGGCAAAGGAAAAGCTCAACAACAACAACAACAATCGAATCAAGCCTCTTCCGTGGTTTACTCTCCAGCACAGATTACCGCTCTCGAAGCGCGTATCGACCTCTTGGTTCATTGTCCGTTCTCTCCTTGCTCTTCAGTAGGAGATGCATATACTGATGGAGTGGCTAGGATAGTAGGATATACTGTTCTTGCTCTTACGCAGACCGTGCACAAGAAAGTTGAACCGAAGACCTTCGTCAATGCCCTCGATGCGTTACTTGGTTCGGGCAACGAACGAAATAAGGGCAGAGGACAGTTGAAGGCGCGCGAAGGAATAGTCTTCCTCAAAAGATTGACCATAGTTCTTGATGAAGATAGTGAGAAGGGATTCGGGCTCGTACGTCTCCTTCAAAGCAATGCTGCTATATTACTGACAGCAACTTCCAGACGAACGCTAACGCGTCTTTCTTCGCGGCCTACGACCTCATCTCTCTTTTGCCAACAACGGAAGCTTCCCTCTCTCTGGCCTGTTTGACCCACACACTTCCCTCGCCTCTGACTGCACACATCATCTCCCTCCCTCTCACTCTTCCACGTCTTCCATTCCGTCTCAAGCATACAGTTGTCCGCACCGCCCTTCGAAACGGAGCCGTCTTCGAGATCAGTTATGGTGGAGCACTTGGTCATGAAGCAGACGCGTCATTTGGTCAGAGTGGAGGAGGTAGCGGGGAACCTGCGAAGAGGAATTGGTGGGCTGCTGCGAGAGAGGTCGTGAGAGTCACGAAGGGCAAGTCGGGAAGCCTAATCATTTCGAGTGGGGTGGCGAACGGGGTTGATCTGAGGGCACCAAGGGATGTAGGAAATTTGTGAGTTATATGGGTCCCTCTTTGATCTTGGATTCTACGCTGACGGTCGCGGGTTGTATCCGTTTGCAGGGTCACATTTATTGGTCTAGCACAGAACGACGCTCACGATGCCGCGACGAAGGCACCGAAATCAGTAGTGCTGCGAGCACGTAAGTTTTCCGTCTTGTTCCTCTGATAAGTTCTTGTCTCACTGTTGTTTTCTTTGGATACTGCTTTTATAGAGACCCGTCGAACGTATCGTGCCGTCTTCTCGGAACCGGAAGTCGTCATTCCCGTCCAAATACAAGCAGAAACTGCGACCACCTCAACCGACCCAGCGGCTGCAGATTCTGTCGTAGAAACAACTACCGCACCCACTGCTCAACCCGCTGGCTCAGTCACACCATCACAAGCGCCGCTTGCCGGCAACGGAAAGAAAAGGTTACGCGAGGAACTGGAGGAAGCGGAGGTTGGTGCGGCAGAGGCATCGAATAGTGGGAAGAAGTCTGTCGTTATCTCAGGCGGTAACGAGGGCAAACGGGATTCCTCGCAGGGCCCGAGTGCGAAAAAGAAAAAGAGAAAAACCAAAGGATCAGGACAGGAGGCTGGGCAGGCGAAGTGAGCCTATGCGTCAACGAAGGGCTCAAGATGAGCAGAGTGGACTTGTTTATTGTGCAATAGTCCTGGCATGTCATTTTCGGGGCCTTCTGAAGGATTATGTAGAGCTGCTATACAAGACACATATTTCTAGTTTGTCTGGAGGGAGCAGGCCACCCTTCGACTTCGAGTACGCCAGACTATAAGTTCCAGCAAGAATTCAAATGAGATTTTGAATCTCCGCTGGCACAAATCAAAATTGCGCGTATTGTCAGAACCCTAACCTCACTCTTCCCGCTTTTCAAAGTCCAACCACAACGACGAGAGTGGCGTCCCGGTGTGGCCCACCTCCCCGTCCACTCATTCTTGATACAGATTCATCTAGTCAGTAGTCGTCCTACTTGGGGTATCGCTAACGTACTAATTTCATTAGCATCAACTACTAGAGTGCTATAATGCTGCACTCTACCGCTCGGTTGTCTAGGTCTACGTTCTCGTCGTCCGCTTTGACGTGGACGCGAACATCCAGGTTGGTTCTGTCAATGTTCTCAGACGGCTATTTCGATCGCCGTGTCTATGGTACTTTTGAGGACTTATCTGAACGATTACTCTTGAATAATTCCACTTATGTCTATGGGTACACATGGAATGGCGAGCTCGCATGCCATCCCTGGTGAGCTTTATTTCGACATGGCTCGCCTTTGGGTCACGCGCCATCTGGTCGAAGTATATCGGGACAATCTATTTCTCTTAGTCTTGGCGTCTACCTCGAGTGGACGAGCTCTGGAGGATAACTCACCTCACGTCCTAACGGTCACGGTATGGTGGAGCGCGCAGGCAGAGTTTATGACGCTAGACACTCGTACCATCATATATTCGCCTAGACAGACCATTGGAGATGGTGGTGCGTTGTTTCAAAGGAGTATTGTCGAACTCGACGATACTGAGCGTACGTCCGAACGCAGTGCCGCTGTATGGCTCCTCCTTTGCTCTCCTGCTTTGGGTTGATATCGTTTATAACATGAATCTGATATCTCTTTCTCAGCGGGCCATTATCGTCGACAGGACGTCGTTTCCTTCAAACACAGCGAAATCGTGCTCATACTACCTCCAACGTGCTTCATCAAGATTATGAAGGCCTGCTAGACGCGCATCCATCTTTTTCTGGTACGGTAGCCCGCATACGCCTCTACTCTCATTATATCTGATTATTATCCAAACACAACTCAGCCGCAGGCCCATCTACCCTCCCAGCGCCAGTTCCCATCTCGACCTCGAACCCCACCACCGAACCCTCTACTCTCCAAGAACTCCAATCTGACCCCTGCACGATCCATATAAACCACGTCGACTTTTCGCTCTCCGTCGAAGACCTCTCCGAAGCCTTCTCCATCTTCGGGCCCATCCGTCAGACCCTCATCCCCACCAACCCTCTCACCGATGCGCCCCTGGGCTATGCCTTCATAACCTTCCGTACCCCAGAAGCTGCATGGAGCGCAGCGCACCAGATGGACGGCAAACACTTGGGGATAGGCAAGAATCCGAAGAGAAAATTGGAGGTTATGATGGCGAAGGAGGCGAAGGAGGCTAGGGAAGAGGTGAGGAATCCGAAGGGGAAGGTGTTGTGGCTAGGTAATCTGTGGGGAATAAGGAGAGAAGATGTGTGGGACATGGTCAAGCCCTTTGGAGCGGAGCAGGTCATGATGGGGATCGGGTGGAGTGGGAGGGATAAGGGGTTTGCGCATGTCAGGTTCCGAAACGTCGAGGATGCCACGGAGGCACTAAAGGCGTTGAACGGGCGGAAGTATATGGGGCAGCTGGTTAAGGCTGACTATGCGATGGAGAATAGGGATGGGGCGGAGGCATTGGCACTGATGAGGGTCCACCCGAGTGACGAAATATGGGTAGGGAATTGTTGGGGCGCTAGTGTGCCGGAGGTTTTTGAGGCGTTTAAGAGGTTTAGGCCTGTGCATGTGAGGGTGGGGTCATGGAGGGATGAGAGGGCGAGGTGGCACACGAGTTTGAAGTTTGAGAGTATGGAGGATGCGAGGAGAGCGATGGAGGAAATGGAAGGAAAGGTACTTCTTAAGGAGCCTGTGGTGATTGGATATGCGGCAAGGTTGAAGAGGTGGCAGGAAGAGAAGGCGTGGTACGGGGGTAGGGCGGGTCTGAGGCTGGGCATTGAAGGTCAGAGAGGGAGGTGGAAGGGAGATGTCTTGGAGGCGAGGACGATTGGTTCGCGCCGTGTTCGGCAAAAGAGTGGAGGGTATGGTCTCAAGCGGTCCTCAAGCTCGAGAAATACTAGGTCCATTAGCAGTAGATGGCGAAGTAGAGGGCTGGCCATGAGAGGAATAGGAAGCCGCGGAAAAAGAAATCAAAGCGTTTGTTTTTCTGATTCATAACGCATATGCTATAATTTACTGATTCCTCTCCCCCAATATTCAGCGATCTCGACCGAAAAATACACGTACAAGCATCTTGACAAGGCCAAGGCCAACATACCACGATCCACTCCGAGGCTTCGTTCGAGAAGCTCACCCTTCGTCTCCTCCGTCTCAAAAGCTTGAATCAACTCCTCCAGCCTCGGAGGATCTTCACCAGGCCGTGCAAGGCGGAATATCCTCTTCCGTCGTCGATTCTGCGTCATCCCCACAGCACACTTCCCCTGCATTAGTCTTGCTCGAAAGGGTCTCATAATATGTATCTTTCGTGAAATTTGGGATCGGCGCTCTACATAATTGAAATACACATTAAACATATTGGTACTGTCCGCCAGCGAGCTCTGAAATCACGCAAGGGCTGAACGTTACAATTAATCGCAAACATGTGCCACACATGTGAGGTGCCACTCAATGAACGCGCCGACGCGCCATTTTCAAATTTGCGCCACCAACGCGTCTTCTGCCACAAGACAACTTCAACGTCGACCACCTCCACGATCACGTCCTCGTCCTCGTCCACAATCCTCAAAAATGTCGGCAACAAATCCAACGACTCCAATACGCGCAATACCGTCGTCACTCGCACCACGAACCGCGCCCACACTTCCGCCATCCTCGGAAACATACGAACCGCATGTGCGATCCGTCCTTCAGCAACGTCTCCTCCATCGCATATTTCTGCCTTCAGCTGGTCTTACTTGGTTCGTGTCTTGGCTGTCTATCATCCAACTACTGGATGGAGGGAATGGTGTGGGTGTATGGGGTGCTTTCAAGGTGCTATTTAGGCCGAGCACAATAGTTATCACAGCTGTGACTTGGTTAATGGGTGTAGTCCCTGTGGTAGTGTTGAGGAAACGAGTGATGAGCGGTGAGTGGCCTGTTCTTGCGTCTCGCCCTTGGTGATACGAAGACCTGTATGAGGATGTGTTATGCGTCTACGCTACACTGGCGGACCTTCCAACAAACCGCGCCACAGTCTGATACGAATACTTTTCATTCTCCTGGAACTATAGCACAACCAACGGTCTCTTCATCGCCTTACCAGACACTTAAGGCTGCTCTTTCAAAACCAACGACAAGTCGTGCGCTTTTAACCTATCTAGCCTCGGCCGCCCTCCAAACAGTACTGCACATAATCCTCTGTTATGCTATCCCGCTCTCCACATATGGCGCCGACGACCCGTATCTACGCCTTTTTGTCAAATCGAGGTATGTTTTGGTCTATCTTGACTGCTGCGTTCCATGGTAGAACTGAGAAGGTGCTCGTAATACAGGAAGCACTCATACTACCTCAACGGTCGCTTCATCTTCCTTTTTTTCAGCCAGCTCTATTTCGCTGCCGCGTATCTCCTCCGAAATATCATGTTGGACCGTTTTGTCGCTCACTGGACCCCTCGAAATTCTCCCGTGCGTATTTCCACTTTCCTGTCCATGACGCGACCTAACGAAGCCGCCTACGCGTTCTTGATCGCCTTAAAACCTCGTAGGCGAAAGGCGCACCGACTCTCTCGACCCGGCTCTTCGTGACTCTTCTTCCTACCCTTCTTTTCACCACACTGTCCTACGCCGTCTACCTAACAGGCTTTGTTGCTTTGCGTTCCATCGTCTTCCCGATCGTCTACCGTGTCCCATTGGTGAACAGCATTCTGAAGCCATTTACTGCGCATTGGGCGAGAGGCGAATGGATTGGGACGTTGGCGTTGAGAGAGCTCGGAAGTCTATTCGGAGGAGGATATGGGATTGTCCGAATGGCCTGGTTGTGGGCAGTGGGGATGATTGGGTGTTGGGAGTTTGTGGATAATCTGATGGATGAGTGTGTCCAAGAGGTCAGCTGTCACCTTCATGTCTTCTTCACCCGTTTTCTAAGGCCAGTGGAACCGATTAATGATGATACTGTTTAAGATAATAATTGCCCCGGTCGCCCCCGCCACTCTGATATCAACTCTCCCGGCCACAACCACAATCCCGACCACACCACCGCTCGCAGCTTACTACAGCCTTCACGCAATGACACAGCTCTCCGCCCTTGCGTCGGAAGACTCGCCCAGCGCGAGTGCTGTTCGCGCGAAGGACATATTCAAATTCACGGGTGTAGGGGCGGGCTTGGGAAGGAGAGGTGGTGAAGAGGTGGATGTGTGGGGTGTGCTTTGCAGGGAGAGCTTGAGGGTGCTTGGTGAAGATTATCAAAGGTTGAAGAGGAGGGGAGGTGAGTACTTCCTCAATCCTGAATTTCACTGGGTGGTGTCTAGTGTGGCACGCCCCGATCCTTCGATTCACACTACAGCGCCACTGGCCCCATTATTTCTCAATTTTCGTGGACATATCCCTCTAACATATCTCCCTCCAGCTCCACCTCCGGCCCCAGCACCTCCCGCCGAACCAGCAAAACCAACCTCAACCGCCCCACCCCCGCCTTCCACGCCCCTCATCCGTCGTCCCATCTTCAAATCATCAGTGTCCCCCTCCCCGAACCCCGTCGCCTCTTCCTCCCAGTCGCCACTCAAATCCGTAGTCGACAGCTTCGCAGCGGATGGCACGATCACCCAGGCCTTCGAATCGGGCGTTCAGACCATACACTTACCAGAGCTGTTCAGGGCTTCTGTGAACACGCTTACGGCGCCTGTGAAGGATGCGGTGATGAAGATCGATCCTATACCTGCTCCTCCGCCAATAGAGTCGGATGGTTCGCTAGGCCAGGAGCTCGCAAAATGGGGACACGGATTGGCAGCGGGACTTCGGGATGGGATGGGGGCGGGAGCGGGGAATATGCCGGTGACGATGCCGAGGGGAGTGAAGGAGGCGAGGGACAGGGTCGCGGATTGGTGGTCTGGGGATAGGGTGGATAAGGTTGCGGAGGTGGTATTGTCGAACGAGAGGAGAGAGCTGGATGCGTTGATTGCGGATGGTACGTTTTCGTCTCATCAGCATTTACCTCCCCACCTGCCTGCCCATCTACCTCGGCTTTGGTTCCTTCTGCTCTTCTCCGCCTTTGCTCTCACCCCCGTTTATCACGGACGCGAACTGACAAATTGCTCCTGTAGTCCTCTCCCACCTCGTCTGTAAATCCCTCACCGAAGATTCATACGGAGTAGTCCAACGCGATATCCCACGCATACTCGAGGCGTTCCTCACTTTCCTTTCCGCAGTCGAAGATTATCAGGTCGAGTTGCGTGGATTGATGCCTCCACCTTCGTCCGAGGACACGAATGTGTTGGAGAGGGAGCGGTCGGAGAGAAAAAGAGAGCAGGTGGAGAGAGCGAGCATTGCGATGGGGGTCGTCGGGGATGGTGAGTATTTACTTGCGTTTGAAAATTCGCTCTCGGTTCGCTGACTCGAAGTCGTTGTTTGCGGTATGTGCTGGGGATGTAGCGTTGAAAGAGGGCGTTATTCGTATTGTTCGAACCTTTGGTGGCAAGCTTAGCGCTTTCAAGTTCCCGATGGGCACGGCGAGGAAGTTGCAGGGTTTCGTCGATTATTGTGCATAGCTCATTCTCTGAATGTTGGCGCGGGGCGAGTTGTACGCGGCCTCACTGGTGACCCTCGATTCGTCGTGAATGGCTCTCGTGAGATTAACCGGGGCCATGTGTGTAACTTATGTATCCAACGAATATCTGGGCGATAGTCTGTTTGCTGCATGGACTGTGTGGCTAGTACCTCGTCGGATCACTCCCACCAACCGACTCGGACGTCAGGGTATCCGCGGCGTCTAAACTGACCGTCGGTCACATCCCGCCCAGAGCAGCAGGGTGATAAGTAGCAAAGAGAGCGAAAGAAAAGTTCCGTTGCGGGTTTATATCGGGTGGGCTGGGCTGGTAGCGACCATGGTATGATGCGCAGATCGTTGGTCGCAGCAGGGGTCAGAGCATCCACGTCAATGCCAAGTCGAACGGATGAAAGACGCAGCGTCTGTTGATATCAACCTACAACAAGAGGACAAACAAACAAACAACAAAGCACATCGCATACAAATCATGATTTTTGCAACCATCCACCCGCCCTCCCATCCACCCATCCTCCCACCTCAAATCCTCACAAGCCCTATTTCGCCCCACCCCACGCAACCTTCTTCGCCGCCACCGGCACCACCGGCGCCTCCACCCCCTCCGCCGGTCCAGGCGCGCGTCTCGGTCTTATAGGCAACGGACTGTTCTTGAGACCGTCGAGGACGCGTTGGGCGTGCTCTGTGTTGCGGATGAACCAGCCTGCGAAGCGGCGGCCGACGGTGGATTCGTAGATGTGGACCATGTTCTGTGTGGGTGGGTTGGTAAGTAAGTGTGGAATAAGAATGTGGAAGAAGGGAGAGGGGGCGGAGAGGAGAAGGTGAAACGTACATCATCAATAACGAAATCCAAATCACTCGTCGAAATCATCTCCCCATCCAAAAGACTCCTTCCCTCCCCTGCTCCTCCCCCACCCGTCCCCATCTCCCCACCCCCCGCAATCCTACTAACACACCTACTAGCCCCCTTCACCGCCATCATCTGCATCACCATCTCCTCCTCATCCGCATCCAAAAAGCCCGCAAGCTTACTCGCGTCCAAGCTCGCATACAATTTCAAGAAGCTCCTGAGCGTGGGAACGGAGGCCTGGGCGCGCACGTCGGAGAGGAAGAGAGAGAGGTGGCGGTGGACGGGTTCGGTGGGGGAGGAGTCGAGGTAGGAGGAGAGGAGGGAGGAGTCTTCGTAAGGGGGTGGGTTGGCGGAGATGAATTTGGGGCAGGCGTAGGTGAAGAGTTCTTCGAAGGCGGGGATGCCTTCTTCGCTGTGGTGGGCGGGCGAGCGGGCGAGCGGGCGGCGTGAACGGACGGCGGGCGGGCGGGTGGGGTGGAATGGGCGGGCGGGCAGATTGTCAGTAGTTGACTTGGATAGATGGTCAGGATGAAAAGAGGAAGAGAAAAGAACTCACCCCCTCGCCATCTTCGCAAACTGCTCACCATACCTATCCTTCACGATATTCGCGATATTATCGTCCAGCCTGCTCGGCGACAGGGCGTTACAGATCGCGAAGAGGGCGTACATCCTGTCTGCCGTTTTGTTGATCTAGTACATTCACAACAAGAGGACAGCATCAGCTCGGTGTTCTGTTTAGTCTTGAGTCGTGTGGGCGCGGTGGCGCAACGACGCGTAACCACGCATAAACTAAGAACGAAACCCCAGAAAGGAAAGAAGGAACGAACGAACGAACGAACGAACGAACGAACGAAGGAAAGAAGGAAGAGCGGAAAAGAAAACAAAAAACGCACCTGATCATACTGATAACTCCGCGTATGATACTGCCTCATCCTCAATATAAAATTCAATATCGAAACGAAAACGCGGATGGCGTCGGGGTACCGCCGGAGCATGATGTAGCAGAAACCGACGTAGTAGTAGGTGGTTACGTGGCAGGCTGTGACGCGGGTGAAAGGTGACTGTTGGGAGGAGAGGAGGGTGAGGGTGAGGAGAAGTCAGATGAGGTTTATGAAAAGGATGGGAGGAGGAGGGAGAGGAAGGAAGAGGAGGTAGGAAGAGGAGAGAGGGAGAGGGGAGGCAATGAATAGAACGAAGGAAGCCAAATACACACCTTTTGGTTCAACTCCACATTCTCCATCACTTTCAACGCAAGCGTAAAGTCGCCCAGAAGGACATGAACGCGCAACAAGCCTATAATACTAAAAAAGCCAAGCATGCGATAAAGCGGGCGTACGCCGAATTCGCCTACGATCTCGCTATACACGGTTCACCCACCACCATCAGCACCACCACTCAAATTCTCCCTCAAAAAAAAAGGTGAAAAGGACGCACGCCATCTCCTCCTCCGCCCTCCCCTCCCTCTGTGCATTAATCCACTCATTAATCCTACTCTTCTGAATCAACGAATAAAGCACATTCAGCACTGAATAAGCGCTCCACACCTGGCCCGCTTCGGCGAGCATGGCGAGTTCTTCGTCGGACTTGGATTTGATTTTGGCGCGCCAGACGCAGAAGGATTGGAATTGGTAGATGAACTCGTCGGTGATGTCCCAGAGCCATTGTTCGGGGAGTTCGAGGGTGACGGGGCCGTCGGAGTCTGTTTGTGATATTGAGATGGAGTAGTTAGGGGGGAGGGAGGGGAGGGAGGGGAGAGAAAGAGGGAAGGGGGGGCAAGGGAGAGGGGGAGAGGAGGGAGGGAAAGACGTACTGAGGAGGTAGTTGAACAGTTCGCAGCTGTTCTCATACGAGTGGAAGCGGTCGTCGATATTCGGTTGAAGGCGAGAATACACATGTCGATAATAAAGCTCTCGATAAAGAATCAAGAACAACTGGTCTACCCACCCAAAAAAATCACATCAATCTCCTAGACAAAAATCCATTTTTTTTTTGAAAAGAGACGCGCAAACGCACCGTCATTCACCAACGGCGCAATCACCTCCGCCTCCGGCCACTCCGTCTTCGCATAATATTTTTCAGTCAATCGATTCCAGCCGCTCTCGTACGCGACGGTGATCTCGGCGAGGTTGTTGTCGAGCACGGCTTGGTGGAAGTGGACGATGAAGCGTTTGACGACGTCGGGGATCTGGGCGAAGGCGGCTTGTTGGGCCATTTGTTGTTGGACGGCGACGAGGGTGGCTTCGTTGATGCGCGATTGGGCTAGATGTACATCGAAAAAATTAAGGCGTTAGTTGAGGGTAGGGGATGGATGGGTGGGTGAGGATGGGTGGGAAGAGGGGAAGGACAGACCATCGTCGTAGAGCCCGCTCTGGGCGTAGTTTCCGATGGCGAGATTGACGTCGACATCGTGCATCTCTTCGTCGATCTCCTCTGCGGCCCAAAGAGCCATCCGTTGCTGTGCCATGTTGATGTTGAGCGGGTTGGGGGTGTCGATGGCGGTCGACGGTGAACGGTCAGGAAAAGTTTCGGCTTGTGGCGTAAGGAATGCAATTCGTAGTCGGGTGGCGTAGTGTGCATGTTTTGGGCCACAAAGTCTAACTTACGAGTTGTCCTGAACCTGCAGCGTTATTTCTGCGTTCCTCATCCCACTCTTGTCGATGCGCCTCGTCCGAGCGCTGTCCACGACAATCAGACGCGTGTATGTTCATTCACCGTTGACCGTGACGGGCAGCAGACTGCAGAGGGTGTTCAACAAGTACTACACCATGGACCACCAGCCCTCTAAGTTCCATCCCAGCCTGAACAGGGACGCCGCCTTCATCCTCAAGGTGAATTGAAACCAAAACCGCTCGTCATATATCCCCTGATCTCTTCTCAGTCTTTTGCAGTCGATGAGACCACGAAGCAATCCCGTGAAGCACTCTTGACCCGCCTGAACAAGACCATCGGTGCTGAATACGACGGTCGATTCAGCGTGGATGACTACAGCTTCCACAAATACGGACAGGACATCTACGGGCCTCCTCTCGAGCTGTATATCGTCGTGCGTCCGACCCTCTCCACATAATGATATAATATAACCAGAGCTGACGTCTCGGACAGGACACGAAGTACGAGCATGGCCTGACGCCAGACGTAGACCTGGACGACCTCCCGCTCATGTACGACCCGAGGTCAGTCCGTCTCGTCTCGTCCCGTCCATCCACCCACCCGCCCGCCCATTCTTAATGCCGTTATTGTTACTGTTATGATTTAGCTGGGTAGCCTCCCTCCTCCTACGCGCAGGCTTCAACGGCACCTTCCCAATGCCTAACTTCCCACATCGCGCCTCGCAGCTCTCCGCCACAGAAACAATCACACAACCCCTCGTCCTCCCCGATCCCGGCATTCCCTGGCCCTCATACCCTCCCATCCCATTCAAACCTCCGCACCCACCCTCCCAAAAGTCTAAATCCAAGTCCAAATCCTCCTCTCCCTCTTCCCCCTCGTCGAACGCAAACACGCTACAATACAAATACCCACTAACTCTGCATGCCTCCCACCCCTCCCCCTTCCACCTCACCCTCCCCGGCGCACCCCTCGCCTCCCTCCTCAATCTCCTCCAGGGATATTACTCGCGCGACGTGAAGAGGGGCCGAGAGTTTTTGGGTTTGCTGCAGATTTGGGTGAGGTCGTGGGGTGTAAGGGATGTCGAGCCGAGTGTGCTTGCGGTGTTGGTTTGCAAGTTCGTTCAGGTTTGTCGTTTTTTGTCTGGGTCTGCTCTGCGCTATGTGTATGTTCGCGTGCTTAGAAGGTTGATTAGGACCGGCTCGTCCCAGCGGCCGAACAAGTAGCCTCGAAACGCAAACCCATACGCTCCGGCCCTCTTCCTCTCGCTCCCCCTCCCCCTCCCCCTTTCCCTACACCGTCCACCTCCCCGTCAAGCACATCCACATTCTGGCTACCCGCCTACATACAAACTCCCCCAGAAAACAAATGGACACTAACCTCCCAACCCCTCGATATCTCCCTACCCGCGCCATCACCTCCGGCCGACTTTCGATTCCCGGGTCATGCGAGGAGTTTGGGTGCGTTTTTTGGGTGAGTTTTCGCACCCTGCAAAAATCCCTCTGCTCTGCTTTTTCTGTCGCTGTTGGTTTTCTTCGTTGGGGGAAGCACCGTTCGACCGTTTTGTGCTCATCTTTGTCTTTATGCTTTTGCATGTATATAGATGGTTCTGCGACCTCAAGCTGCACGTGAATTCGAAAGGACCGTCTGTCGTCCTTAACGTTGAGGTTCGACCGTCGAGGGTTTTCGGGTCGGGCGCCACCACCGAGACGACTGCGACTGGGAAGGCTGCCGGGACCGCAACTACGACCACTGGAACTGAGACGACTGCCACGACCGAGACGGCTGCCACTACCAACATCGAGCCCTCGACTGCCACAGAGAGAATTGCCACGACTTCCACGACTTCCACGACCGCCACCCCGAAGAAGACAACCACGCCGGGTACTGCCAATGCCAACATCACCGATGCCAACGCGATGTTCGTCCTGCCCGACCCTTTCGTGCCGTCCCATGTACGTTTTCTTTTTTCTCGTCCTCGTCCTCGTCTTGTCTCCTCGTACTCGAATGCTCCTCCCTTTTCTTGATCTTGATGTGTAGATGATTAATCACGCTAACTCACATTCCTTTCCCTCTCAAAAACTCCCCCAATCAATAAACACAGAACCTCGCCTCACACATCTCCCGCGCCTCCCTCACCCGCCTCTTCGCAGTCTCTACCATCGCGCTGGCTAAGCTGCAGGCTGGGGCGCCGCTCGGGGCGGTGTTTGGGCCGTTTGAGGGACTTGGTGGTGTTTCTGGGCTGGGCTTGAGTGCAAGGGAGGGGGGAAGGAAGGGTCAGGGGGAGAGGGAGGGAAAGCGTGCGGAGGGGGAGTTTGGGGTGAGGATAAGGGGGAGCGAGAGGGAGCGGTTTCGTGCGAGGGAGAGGGAGAGGGAACGTGCGGCGAATGGGGCCCTTGAGGGTGCTTCAAACGCGATGGATGCTGTGGATGTGGAGGCGGAGAAGGAGAAGGATGGAGTTATAGCTTCATCTGCAGGCGTGTATACGGATGCGGATGCGGATGCGGATGCGGATGGGGCGAGACGGGTTGGTGAGACGGGGACGGTGGCGGATGTTGGGAGGGCGGGTGGTATGAGTAGGGCTCAGAGTAGGAGTCGGAGTAGAAGTGGGAGTCGGGTTGCGTCGCCTATACCTGTGGGGTCTGCTTCACCTTTGCCTGCGAGGTCCGCATCGCGTATGCCTGTGGAATCGATGGTGGTGGCGGCGGCGGGTGGAGGCTCTATGCTCAGGGGTTTCCACACGTCTGCGAGGTTGGGAGCGAGGCTTGAGGAGGGGATGGATGTTTTTGTTGTAAGCTTTTCAGTCAATTCATTCCGTCACGTTCCATTTCGATCCGTTTCTTTTTGGCTGATACACTCCATTTCGTTTCCTTCAAACTCGCACTCGCACCCGCACCTGTACCCCCCACCCGCACTCGCATCCGCACTCGCCCCCAAAATAGATAACCCCCGTCGCGCCCTCCATCCTCGAACAGCGCGCAAAAACGATCGGCAAAGTGACCTACGTCGTCAAGTCCACCTACGGCGCACAGTATCGCGTGCAATGTTTCGGGAGCACGCAGTATGGGACGGATTCGGCGGGGAGTGATTTGGATTTGGTCGTCATCGTGCGTTTTTTTGACGCTTTTTCCTGTTGACTGTTCAGCAGGTTAGGTGATGCTGACTGCTGACGGTGTTGTGGGGGCTTTTTGGATGTGCATTAGGACCCGGAGAGGCCGGCTGGGTTTTCGCCGGATGTGAACCTCAATTCTTTACCACGTAACTACTCTCTCTCTTCATTCTCGGCACCATCAGATCTGAGCTGACCAAAAATAATTCTCTCTTTCAAAAAAGCGGTCTATAATATCAGGTCTGTCGTTGGAGATTCGTTGTATGGAGGCCTACGTTTGACGATGCGTTGCTCGACAGAAAATTGGGACGTGCGCTTCAGCGGGCTGGGTTTGTGAGTGTTGAGTGTATACCTGGCGCTACCGTACCCATAGGCATGTCTGTTGTGTCCTCCACTCCATCCATCGTTCTCGCACCTCCATGTCCCCCTCCCCCCTCCCGGCACTTTCTCTCACGCTCATGCTCACGCCTCTCCCGCGCCCCACAGTTAAATTCAAAGACCCACGCACGAACATCCACTGCGACATCAACATCAACGACCGTCTCGGCGTGAAAAACACCGAGCTCATCGCGCGCTACATCGAGCTCCTGCCCGTGCTCCGGCCGCTCCTGAGCGCTATCAAGAAATGGGCGGGGGTGCATGGGTTGAATAATCCGAGCGGGAGGCAGGGGGCGGTGTCGTTTAGTAGTTATGCGTTGACGGTGATGAGTATTGCGTTCTTTCAGGTGGGGTTTTTTTTTTGCTTCTTGCCATGTCATTGCATGATGTGTGTTTTCGAGGTCAAGCGACTTATTGCTAGCCAACAGATGAAGGGCTTGCTTCCGAATCTGCAGGACGAGGAAGGGATGAGCAGGCGGGAACGTGTGTTCTGGTTGAGGACGAAAAAGCACGGGATGAGGGTCAAGTGCGATGTGCGGTGGAGGAAGGACGTGCTCACTTGGGAACCACCGCGGGAGGTGGAGTTGGCGGAGGCGCTGGCGGAGTGGTTTTAGTGAGTCCTTTGCCTTTGTCTTTGTTTCTGAGCCATTATCCGTTGCTGAATACCGTTTGTATGCGATTTTCTTTTCTTCCTTTTTCAATATGTACAGTTATTGGGGCCACGAACACCGATATGGGGATGATCTGGTGAGTATTCGGCATGGAGGGTTGATCGCAAGGCAGCATCCGTATAAGGGCAAAGCCATTACGGGTGCGCCTGTGCCGTTTAGTGGAGAGGTGAAGGCTGAAGGTGAGACTATGTTGTTGACGCGACTGGACCGGCTGTTGACAGTCTATTGTTAGGGCACGAACCCAAGCAATCGGTCACGTCGCTCTCTACGGCAGATGGGAAGGTGGAAAATACCACGGTGGAGGCGGATGGGGAAGGAGGACAAGTAGAGGTGCCACTTGTCGAGATTCTGCCAGATCTTGAGGTCAAACTTGTGGACGATCTTCAGGAGGCGGAATCGCCACAGATAGCCCACGAAGATGCCGCCGATATGGCCAGCAATGCCATACCTACCGAAACGACACCTGCCCACGACTCCGATACACCCACGCAGGACAACGTTCACCCCATAGCAGCGACTCTTTTGTCCGAGCTGAAAAAATCGCAGGAGGTCGAGAAGGATTCTACCACGGAGGAGGTCAAGAAGGATTCCACCACGGAGGAAGTCCAGCTCCTGGCCGGCGCTTCCAACGTCGTGGAACAGGACGTCGCTCTCACCGTCACCGCCGACGATGATATCGCCCAGTCGGAAGCGGGGGAATCGATCTTATCTAGAGACGACGAACAACAGCCGAATTGGTCCGCCGCGCCTTTATGTGTGCGGGATCCGTTCATCGCGCAGAAGGTTCGTTTCTTATTCCCCTCGCTCTCCTCCTTACCTCTCCTCTCCCCTTCTCCCTCGTTCCGTTCCGAAACTTACAATACCTCGCGGATGTTCCATCTACAGAATGTCACCAGCGCGATCAGGATCTCCACGATTGAGCGCTTCAGAGCGGATTGTCAAAGGGTGTATATGCTGTTGAGTTTGGGGGGTACGTGGAGCGACGTCATGCCGACGGAAAGCTCGGTGGTCGAATCGGACGAAGAGGACGCGAGTCTGTGGGACGAGATTTTGGGGGCGAGAGGGAAGAAGGGTGCTGGGCGGGGGATGGGGATGAGAGGAGGGGGACGTGGGAAGAAGGGAAGAGGCGGGGGAGTGAGGGATAATGGTGATCGACCGGCGAGGAAAGAGACGGGTCAGGGTCAGAGTCATCTTCCGGTGAAGGAGGGAGAGGCTGGGCCGAGCACGTCGACGGTACAAGTCGCAAAGAAACCGGTCGAGCGACCTGCCGTGGGGCCGTCTAACGATCCGACTGCTCCTTCTCCGCCGAAATCGTCTCAGGGTCAGAGCGGCCTTCCAACAAAGGAAGGAGAACCTGTGCCGAGCACGTCGACAGTACCATTCGCAAAGCAACCGGTCGAGCAACCTACTGCGGGACCGTCTACCGATCCCTCCACTCGTTCTCCGCCAAAATCGTCGGAACTGTCGACCGCCACGGATATCAAGGGGCAGACGAAGAAGGGAAAGGAACGCGAAGTAGTACGTTCCGAAGCGACTGCACTTTTGGAGAAGTCGTTGGCTGGTATACGTGCTCAGAGGGACGGGCAGCCGTCTTCGTCCGCAGGCCCATCTCGCAAGCCCCAATTTCCGAAACGCGCTGATAAGGCCAAGGCCAAGACAGTCGACGTTCAGCAGGCTACAAAGCAGGACACCGCCACGCCACGACCGTCCGGTCAGGATCTCCCTTCAGTGCAAGATGTGCATCTTCCAGACTCAACAGCTCGGGACGCCCCTTCTACCAATCAACTGCTCCAGCCATCTTCGTCAGCAGGCCCATCTCGCATGCCCAAATTTCCGACACACGCTGATAAGGCGAAAGCGAAGGCTGTCGACGTTCAGCAGGATACACCTGCACCACGGCCGTCCGGTCAGGATCTCCCTTCAACAGTGCAAGATGTACCTCTTCCAGACCCATCATCTCGGGACGCCTCCTCTACCAATCCCAATCAACTGCCCCCAAAAGCGCCACGATGGACGCGTGCAGAGCGGAAGGCAAGACGGGAAGCAGAGAAGGCCACAGTCATAGTTGCTTCCGAAGTGGCGTCGACGAGTCAGGAACATTCCACCGCGCAGGAGACACTACATCCCGACCCTTCTACTGACCAGCCGTCGAAGAAAAAACAACTGCCGGGTGGGGAGAAGAAGGCCAAGCGGGAGGAGAAAAAGACTGACGTCGTCCTCGCTTCCGAAGTGGGTGGGACAGATGAGCAAGGGTCTCGTTCGAGCTCTGTGCCCCCTCGGAAGAAAAATAAAAAGAAGAAGAAAGCTGCGACGGATGGAGTGTTAGTTGGTGAAAGGCCGGAAATTTCGCAGGCGCCGAATGCTCAGGCGTCGTAGCCTCGGCTTTGTAGCATGTTCGAGTTTAGCGAAGGTTTCTCGCTTTGAACGTCCTTGCATTCAATCCACAGGACTTCAGGTTGTTCATTGTTCAGGACCATCTTGTTGCTTTCGATCGCTTTGTTCAGTGCATTCGATTCGTGGTATCACAACTATCTATAGATTCTCTTTCAGCTCTCGAGCATAATCGCATGCATACATCCCATTTGTACATACAACAGCACTTTACATCCATCACAATTGACCGCACCGGTGGCAATGAAACATCATCGTAAAGAAACTATGCACAATCGACTGTGCTCCATCCTTCGAACATCAATCATGAATCATGAACCCGGTCGGTTGCGGCGGTCTCATAGCAGACAAAGAATGTACTAGCAATGGGAAAGAAGAAATCGGAAACGCTTCGATGACATCCGAGCCCCTGAATGCCTCCCTCCCATCCCAACGAACTAATTTCTGCCAGTCCTCTAGAGACGGGCACCTCATATTAGGCAACCACACGATTCCTTCCTCAACCGCGATAGGCTCCAGATCTAGATCTAAGGAGGTCGAGTCAAACGGAGTCCCTGAGCTGGAGAAGTACTGTTGGCAGACGATGCGGCGAAGGTTTGATGGAAGTTGGAGTGATGGAGAGGAGGGAATGGAGACCTTGGGGGTGGTGAGCTCGCTCTTGCGCAAGTGTCCAATGGCGTCCCTGCCATGCTTCAGACCAGCGCTGTATCGGAACGAGTAGAAGTCGAAGAGGCCAGAGATCATGAGGGTCTTCAGAGAGGGAAGGGCGCGGGCGATGGAGGCAATGGCGTGTACTTCCGAATCCTCTTCTATATCACTGTCCTTATCAACGTCGTCGTCGTCGTCGTCGTCACTATCCGGGGCAAAATATGCGGCGTACTCGCCCTTTCTGGACGGCGGGGTGCGAAATTTCGCGGACAGGTGCATTGTGCGCAACGAAGGCATCTGTATCTCCGTCACGGTTTTTGCGGGGATTTCAACGAGATGATGGACACGAAGTGTGAGCGATTGGAGAAACGGAAGTGGTGTGAGGAATATGCTGGAGAGTAGAGCGGGTCTGCGCATTTCGAGAGGGGTGGCCACGGACGGATACGTGTGGAAGAGGGTACAGCTCAGTGTGTGGAGTGTTGGCGAGACGAGACGAAGGAGCTCGAGGAATACGAATGCGTCTGGTTCGTCAGGCGGGGCGTTCGGTGGCCTAAGTGTCGTGGCCGGGTAGTCAGGAAAAGTGTCCTTCCGGTAAGGTGAGAAATTGCCAACCTCTTGTAATCAAAAAAATGCAGCTCCCGAACGTAACCTCGTCTCTCAGGATGGTCCGTAATTCTCAGCATGAGTCGATTGAGCTGAACCGAAGATGATACGGTGAAGGATCGAAATCGGATAGGTTCCATGACCTGGAAGAATTGCGTGTTGACGAGCGACAACGAGCGTAAAGCCTCCTTGGTTACTTCACCGGCATCTTCGACCACGAATTCGAAGATGCGCGTGAGCAACTCGGGAGCTAGGTGGTTGAGGGTCATCTGCAGTACAGTAAGTACATCGATAATGAGGTCGAGAGTACTTTAGAGACAACCATGCCCGCACAATGAGACTCACCTTAAACACAAAGGGGGTTGTGCAAGAGTACAGATATACGCGACTCCTTGTGAAGAGCCTGCTTCAATCGAACAGAGACACACGTGCCCGCTCTTGCAGAGAACTGGTACGGCGAGACAGGGACGGACAACGACTCGACTCGAGTCACAAGGTTACAGGCGCACGAGTCCAGCATCCATCAAAGTATGTACGGTGAGCCTAGGCCACGAAGAGAAAACCAACCACAAATGGCAGGACAAAGGACCTGTGTCCTATTCTGTTGAGGACGATGTAATATTCTTTTCGAGTTGAACCTTGGGCGAGATATTTATGTGTGGTTTCGAACTCAGCTTCGGTGTCTGCCGGTAAACAGTGAACCACTCCACGTCTTCTCTCATCTTTCGATGCATGCATGAGGACGCGCCTTACCCTCTACACGTCTTGCTCAAATTGTGCGTCTTCTTTCTCTCTACATCTGGTTATGATTTGTTTCACAGTGGCTGACTCTACAACGCTATCAGACTCAGACGGCGCGACGGTGACTCCTGGGTTAATTCAGGGTCCTTACACTGGTGCGTGCTTCAACGGGCAATACTTTGATACCAGAAGTCACTGACAAAAATGAGCTCCATTTAGATACCGGTCATTGACATATACTGCAAGTCTCTCTAGGGTTAACAGAGCTTCTGCCACACCAAGTCGGGCATATCAATGTCCCTCTCACCAATATCTCGTCTGCCAGACGACGCGCTCATCGAGATTTTTCAGTACCATATCCCCAGCAATCTGATTGGCGTCGACTCGTGGAATAGTACCTGGATGAGCATCATTCACGTCTGCCGCCGTTGGCGCCAAATCTTATTGGACTTCGGTCCTATTTGGACCAACATCATCTCGACATTTCCTGATCTCGCAGAGTTCATGATCAAAAACTCGAAGGAGCTTCCCCTCTCCCTAAACCTCGACATGACTGCTCTCACTCACTCAAGCGCTTGGGCGCGTAGATTTGTCAAACCTATCAGCTCGCGCATTCATTCCTTGAGGATGTCATACACTTCTTCGACAGCGATGGGCCGAATGCTCGACACTTTTCGCGATCATCACGCACCAATCTTGACGTCCTTGACAATCTGCTGCCATGCGATCATGGACTACGAGCGCTTGTTGATACCCACGGATTTCCTCAACCTGGATTTCCCATCCCTCACGACATTATTTTTGTATGACTGCTCATTCGTATCGTCACCGACGATGCCTTTCGCTAAAAACCTTACGAATCTGTCAATTCGCTGCGACAAAGTTAAAACGATCATACCGCTGCTTCAGCATACCCCATCTCTCGGAAAGCTTGCTATCACGATAGAAGAAAAACCGAGCAGTGGAGCGGCACACATTCCCTTCGTAGCCAATCCTAGTTCCGCTCAAATATCTCTGCCTTCCCTGGGCATGCTGCGCTTCCAAGGTCCACCTGCACAATACGTACGTTTACTCGGTCATATTTCCCTCCCCGCCAGAACAATCATGGATCTCGATCTTTCTCCGCCTCTTGAAGTTCTCGATGGTTTAACGAACGAGTACAATGGTGTACTCTCCTTCGACGGCCAGGCATGGAAAGCGGTCTTTTCAAGCCTCGAGTCCCAATACACACGCCACCAAGATGAATGTGGACTTCCCTTCCGACATGTATCCTTAGATATAACCGACGATGACCACTATCAGGTCATGCGGTTCTGCGCCTTCACAACCGACCCTAACGATACATTACCCCCCGATAGCCTGTCCGCTACTTCTTTTTTGGGACGAAGCACCATTCAGCCCGACTTCACGCTTTCGTGGAACACTGGAGACGAAAGCCGTGGGGATTTGAGCGGCTTTTCATGCCAACTCGCTCATCTCATATGGGAAAAACTTCCGTTGGATTTCGTCACCGGCATCAGTTCTACTATCGTCACGGACGCACCGTGTTATGTACGCCTATGGTTTAATATTCTGCTGAACACCCCTTTGCTCGAATCCCTCTTCGTCGACCCCGAATCTGCCGCCTCCATCTGCATTTTCCTCGAAACCGCTTCGGACTTCAAGAAAGTGGCGTCTGCGATTCCCCAGGACTATCAAAAGCTGCCTCCGTTCGTGAGGATCATGATGACTCGGTCTATCACCGCAGCTGCTGTCCGCAAGGCCCACACTCACCTCAACAGCCTTCACACCCTTGTGATTGACGGGACTGACTTATACATGGAAACGATCGACGGCGCGCTGGGCTTTGCGCTTCAACAGAGAGACGATGCGGGCCTGCCCAGACTATCTCTCCTCTCATTCAAGGGGTGTAAGGTCGGAGTAGCGGATTTGACGGAGCTGCAGGGTCTGGTAGATCGGGTGGTGTGGGGTCCAGAATGTTTGGCTGAAACAGATGGGGAGGTTCCGGGGGAAGATAGCGAAGATGATGAGGTTTAGTTTTGTGGGTTGCAAAAATTTCCCTTGGATTGCTGATTTCGTCTACTCGGACGGAACAATCCCATCTCTGTATCTCTCACCGTGGTTCTAGACTTTTCGAAGGATGATTCGAGGCATGGCCTGACCCCGGGATGTCATTATTCTTTTCTTGTCCTCCAACGTACCGTTTCCCTGTTTCCTGATGCTCTCCCTTGTTCGCTATTTACGTTCGTGGCAAGTGAGATACGTATATTACGATACACCCGAATAATTTTGACGGTTGGACTCTGCTTCCACTGTAATACGGACAGGGAGACCAGGCTCACGCACGGACTCGGATAGGGGAAAGGAAAGGAGTTGTGTGGCACAAGTGCGCCACTCGTCCTGCGTCATCGGCGCTTATCTAGACTCTGTTCCGCTCGAGCGCTTATTCTACCCTTTGGTCTGCGCATCCACCGTGTCTGTGGCTCTTCGTCTCTACCTCACGCGACCTTCAATACCCACCGTAAAGACTACGCACGACTGCGCCATATACATTCACTGACTCGAACGTCGAACACCGAGCCGAAGAATATCTCGTTCTTATACAAAGACCAACCTCGCTTCCGCCTTTGGGCGTAGAGCACCACAGTCCCCAATGGCCTCCGAGCCCTTTCAGCTTACAACGCCCTTATCCTTCTCCAGTGTTTTTTCACCGGTGGTAAATAGCCTATCTAATTATGCTCAACCACTGATATCACCTGCCGACAACGACCCAACGGAGTCTGGCGGTACTGGTTCTGCCCTACCGAAATCAATCCTCATTGCGGCCGGACTGGCGACGGTGTTTGCGACGGTGGTGTCGACAATGTCTGTGTTTCTTCACCTGAAGAACTATAGGAAGCCTATATTGCAACGGTACGTTCTACGAGCGATTCATCCGTCTTTCTTTGCACCGTGTAGGGAGAGCAGCTCGCACTGAGGAATGTGCGAACACTGTTACTCTGTCAATTCAAGGCAAGGGAGACCTGAGACCTTCCTCTGGTTGACGGGTATGCATGATATGTATGACAGACGTCATTGAGAACCGTTGGCCTTCCCTGATTCGTGGTCAGCGGCGCATTTCGCATTTTTTGCCTACAGAGGCGAGGGGGTTTACTAGTGCTGCTTAACTTCATGACGCAAGTCATGAGAGTTTCTTGCGCTCGAGCGAACAATCTGATGAAGTCAGTGACTCTGTTATGCTCACCGTTGCTTCGCCACAGTAGCTCCCTGCTGAAATTCACCATATATTCCACTCGGCTGCATGAATTGGCACCCCGCGCCACAATTTGGTCAAGGGTAATGAGCGATGACGCGTTTGAACTCGTTGTGGACAGGTTCCCGTGTCTTCTTTAGGAAGGGAGGCTGACAAAAGGAGCCAGAACTCTTGATGCCGCAGAAGCATTTGAACGACGCACACTTAGGTAGAGTTCCGTCCCAGCGAACGCCTGCATCATTTGATGTTGCATGCCCGGCCCCGTTTTTGTGAGTGCATAGGCGTTTGGTTCAAGCAGAGAGCATCTTCGGAAGGGTCTGTCGCTAGTCTAATGAGATTTGCTTCACCCATGCATCATCGAACCCAGAGACACCATAGGTGCTCCAGGAAAGGCATTTAGCTCTGCAGGCCAGTCGTACAGATGTTTCTCTTCTCTTCCAGTCTAAAATCCTGCTTGTTCTGTTACCTGTCTCTTCCCTCATGGTGCTGACCGCTGCTCCGCCTCCCCAGGAATATATGTGTACTGACCATTAAATTCCACTTACAGAATGGTCATTCGAATAATGATCATGGTACCGCTCTATGGCATCTCCTCGCTTATCTCACTCTTCTCACTTGAGGCTGCATTCTTCATCGATGTGATCCGTGATATCTACGAGGTATGTAGCCTACTCCCACTCATAATACGACAAACTGACGATGTGGCGTTGTTTGGTAGGCATTCGTCATATACTGTTTCTTCAATCTCCTGTTATCTTACCTGGGCGGTGAAAGATCTCTCCTCATCCTTGTACATGGCCGGGCGCCAAAGTCGCCCCCTATCCCCTTCAATATTTTCAAGCGCGAGTTCGACGTCAGTGATCCTTACACATTCCTCTTCCTTAAGCGGGGCATTCTTCGTGAGTCTTCTCCCCCTTCTGCGTGTGGCTCCAGATCTAATTATTTGACACAGAATACGTGCAGGTGAAACCACTACTAGCCGTCGCCACTCTGATTCTCAAGGTTGTTGGGAAATACAATGAGGGTGACTTCCGCGTCGACTCGGGTTACCTCTATATCAGTATCATTTACAACACGAGTATCTGTCTCAGCTTGTACTGTCTTGCCATGTTCTGGCTCTGCATCTCCGAGGACCTCAAACCATTCCGGTGCGTCTTTTCCTGTATCACCAGCAGAGTGACCAAAAATTCTGACCACCTCCATCACAGTCCGATGCCCAAATTCCTCTGCGTCAAAGGCATCCTGTTCTTCTCCTTCTGGCAGTCCATCGTCGTCTCCCTCCTCGTCTCTGCCGGTGCCATCCGCCGTCTCGGTCCCTATACCGACAACGAACACATCTCTCTTGGTCTCACCGACACGCTCATCTGCCTCGAGATGCCCCTCTTCGCTTTGGCGCACATGTACGCCTTCTCGCACACGGATTATATCGATTCGAAGAAGAGGGTGAGTTATGTTGGGAGGATGCCGGTGTGGTATGCGCTCAGGGATGCGTTTGGGATCAAGGATGTAGTGGAGGATTCGAAGGCCACGTTAAGAGGTGAGGGGATGGATTACAGGGAGTTTGAGCCGAGTGAGGGGTTCATGCATCAGGGTGAGGGGAGGGAGAGGAGGATCAAGGCGGGGTTGAGGTATAGCAAAGGTGGGAGAGGGAAATATTGGTTACCGTTGCCTAATGGCGGGACTGGGCTTGGAGAAGGGACGAGGGCGGCACCGACGAGGTGGCAGAGAGGGATCAATAATGTGGTGAAGAGGGTTGCCGGGGATGATCAGGCTGAAGAGGTGCACGCACCGTTGCTTGATCCGGATATTGAGGATGTTTTGCATGTGGCGGAGGATTTGAGGCCGGCGAGACGAGGTGCGGATCCAGCGGAGGGGTTGGAGTTGGAGTTTGAAGATGTGGGAGAGGGTGAAGAGGGTGAAGACGAGGAGAGGCTATACGAAGAGGCGAAACAGTATCTCTTCGGGGACTATTGTTATCCGTGTATCGACGCGAGTTCAGAGGAGGCGAGGAGAAGGATGTGGGATGAGGAAGAGAGGATATTGAGGGATGAGAGGAGTGCGTGGTTCCATGGACGACCGGGGTCTATTCCTCCACCACGTGGACAGGCGAGCAGGAGTAGGGGGACTTATGGCGCTGTGGGTACGTCCTCGAGGTCGGAGCTGCCGACGAGGGAGAGGGGGGATTATAGGGTGGTGGATATGGGAGCGGAGAGCCTCCCGTCACCGCAGACGGATGTCAAGCTCAAGTGGACGAGATCGCCCCCGCTACAATCGCAGTCGAGATCATACGCCTCCTCCACTCCCGCCTCGCCCCAACGGGCCCTTCGACCTCCACCGACGACCCGCACGCAATCTTTCTCGCAATTGAACCGTTCATCACCAGCCCCTTCACCACGCCACTCACCTCGTCCCATCTCGAAGTCGAATTCAACATCAAGCTCTACGTCTGGAAGCCTCGACTCACGTGGATTAGCCAAAGCAAGAGTGACACCTCCAGGTCAATCACCTCGACCAGACGCAGTCGATCTAGTCGTAGAAGACGATGAAGCTGCTGAAGAAGACATGATGAACGAACGTCGACGTGGAGAACCCGCCGTCCGCGGTAGTGGACTCCGGAAAGTCTACCGACGTCGATACCTCGCCGCCTCGGGGGACGAAGTTGAAGAGGACGTGGAGGGTGAGGATTACGAAGATCATGACAATAGCCCAGGTGTGCAGAGGGAGTGGGGAAGGGAGAGTAAGCAGGAATTGGAGGAGGAGGATGAAAGGAGAGGGCCGAAGGACGAGGGTGAGGTGGAGAGGCTGGAGGAGGATGCGACGGTGGCGAGGGCGTCGTTACCGCCGCCGCATGCGAGGTTGGATGTGGGTGGACATGGAGCGGGTGGGGCGTTGGATAGGTGGGACGAAGAGAATCCCTGGGCTTGATCCCGGCCCTCACTTTTCTACTGGTTCAACGTGCTATGCGTGGGTGGTGCCAGTCAAGAAGTATCGACGATTTTCGCTCTGAGTGGGTTGTCTAGGGATAGAAAGCGCGTATGTTATTGTCTCAATGCTTTGGTTACACACGGTGGATTGATTTGCAAGTCTCGCTATCTTGATGTACAGTATCGTATCAATTCATGTATTCGCTGGACTGGGTTTCGCAATTTATTTACGACCGTTGACGACCCAATTTACATTATCTCTTCTCATGAGCCAAAGGCGTAGAGAAACGCGTAGAAGGGTGTAACGGAGGCCAGCCTCTTTCCGCTTCCACGTAGAATCATCTCGTTCCCGAAGCGTTATCTTCTTCGTCGCTAGGACCCCAAAGGCTTGGAAGATCCTCCAGGAAACTCTCCTCCCCATCGAAGGCGAGGGCGATAGGGAGGCTGTAGCCCATCGAGGCAAGCGTTGTCCTAGTGTTGGCTGTTTTCATCGCGGTTCTCGTCTCTGGACGAGAAATACAGAGCTCGGAGTTTGAATTGCCAGCGATCTTTTTGACTGCAGCGTTATATATCGGTTTCGAAGGTCCGATTCTGATGTGAGGCGGTCCCTGCTCGTCCAGAGCCGGAGCGGACACTGGAGGCCCCCAAGTCCTCGATGTGGAGGGTCGATGCCCGGACGGCTCGAATTGGCGCAGGTTGAGAACCAGACGGTTGACAAGCATGCTCGGCAAGCTATCGACAGTTCAAGTGTGCAGCATGGTCAATCAGAAGGCGATGATGGTCATTAGAGAAGGGACAACGAACACCGTGAAGAAGGTGGGTACGCTGCTCCCCAAGGAAACTTTTGCAAACTGCGTTGCGACCATAAATGTCGGTGCACTCAGAAATTAGACTGAACTTACGTCGCGACTGAACATTGTATCCTTTGGGTTCGATTCAGCCGGTGTTAGCGATGTAGTGCAATGAGCAGTGAAAGGAGGCGGCTTACAAGGTCCAGGAAACATTGTATAAGATTTATCAGAAGTACCGCTCTGAACATATATAGTGTAAGTACAGTAAGGCCGTCAGTTTTATCCAAATCGTTGGTACCTGAGGGTGACAATACTGACGCATAATAGAGGAGCCCTGGAGTGGCCCAGGTGATTAGATGGAGTTTGAACAACTGTGAGAAGTTGGAAGACAAGCATACGTACCGTCACGTAGTATCAGCTGGGTGATGCTATGTTGCTGCATGCGGCGCATGTCTACTGTGTGACGGAGAGTCCTCTTGATCGTTAAAAGAATCACCATAGTGTCAAAGACGATGGGGAGAAGAGACCCAGACACGAGTCGAAGCAAAACTGTGTACAGGTGCGACTTCTCAAATCCGTCTGGTATTTTTGTGTCAGACAATACGTTCTTATCCCTGGGGTTCACTGGCTATCAGAATCACTGAGATCAAAGAAGAAACATAGTGCATATTTACTGGAATAGTGTACGGCTGGTGGAGATAATGCTGCACCGTGACAGAGGGGTAAATATTGTTCCGCTCGTGGAGACTATCAAGACGAAGCTCATATACTGCATGGTATGCATTAACATTCAACAAATCATTTGGGATCATTGAGACAGCTACTCACGTAGATTTGGAGGCAGACTGATGCAAACACCAAGCTTCCGAGTATAGTGAGTACGACTGTGCTTCTGAAGTAGATGGCGAAGATCCTGTGGGCGAGGAGCACTACCGTGACGACGAACACGAATCAGTCGAATGGTCCGAGGTGAAACAGGGTGCATGACTTACAGCCCGTTGTTGTTATTGTGAAGATCATCAATGTCTGGGAGACGTAAAACAGACCATAACACCTGCGTGGTTGTGTTCAGGTATGCCAGGAGTATTGAAATATTTTCGATAGGCTTACTGTTGCTCGGAGGCATGCGTTCCAGGAAAGCCAAAAACTATTGCGAGTACTTGGTAGAGAAATGACCCATAGCGGTTTGCGACGAACAACGCAGAACTTCCCGACGGTGGCATCATCCAAATACGGCGAACTTCTCCAGGCAGCGTATGAAAGAATGAACAAAGCCACACAACTGCGATATAGAGGTTATAATGGTGGACAGATCTGTATTCATGGGAGCTACAGACGTACCCAGCATGCATACGTTGCCATAGTTCGTCAAGATCCTGCATGCCAAGCAGATTAGCATAAAAGTGTAGTGATTGGTTGTCAATTTTGATTACTTGCCATAGCTGTTCTTCCGAAGCAAGAGTGTACAGTGCAATCTTCATGGCGGGGGAGAGGAGGTAGGAACTCGTAGAAGGACATCAAGAGCACAAGGGATACAGGTAAAGCTCTAAGTAATGTCGCGTAATTCGCAAATATAGCTGTCGCTGGCGACGGCTTGATATCAGATGTTCAGACGGGGTGTGATGGTCACGGAGTTTCAGCCTGACTGTCATACAATGCGATAGCTCAAAAAGTCAGGTTAGCACTCGCACGGCTTGACGAATAGAATCATTGCATATTACCGAGCCAGGTGCATAGATGAGATCCCCTCAAAGTCTTACGGCCAATAGGCTGCACCAATAGACGGTGAAGTCTTGATCGTTGAGAATCGGAGGATCAATCAAGCCAAGATCAGTTTGTCGAAGGAAGATCTCTCTGAAACTGATGATTCACACATACTAGCATATAAGGTAGAAAAACTGCACCTATAAGCCGCCCCAAGACAAGTCAAGATAGCAAGAAAAATGCTTATCCTTGTGTAAAGCAATCAAGACCAATAGCTCAACGTCTCGGGATGGAGATGCCCTGGAACCAACAGGGATAGATGGCTATCCACGTACAGCTGGCTCAAAAATAACCCATTCCCTTTGTTTACTTACTGATAATTTTCAGACGAACAGTTATTGCGAGAAGACGGAGACGTACAGAAGGTATTTGGCTATGAAGCCCCAATGATGCAATCGACAGCACTGACGACTGTATGAACCTATCACAATCATGAGGAAGCTTTCGAGCAGAGAAAAGCATGTCATGTAAGAGAGGCGATTGGAAGTCGATATTCAAGTATTCCTGTGTCATCGTACCCCGGGAGAAGGAGAGGGAGAGTCAGAAAAGGTCGCTTGTCGTGGCAAAAGTTGGGCACAAGAAACGCACGGATAACTCCGACACCCTACGGCGACTCGGAACGCCTCGCGATTGTGTCTGTTTGTTTGTGTCCAATTCCGACCAGTCTCTACCAAGTCTCACATTCCTAGTATTTGCTACACATTCCCTTTGGAGCTTTCGATGAAGCTGCTCTATGCCCATTCACTAGAGTCTCTAGAATCTAAACTGGCTCAGGTCAATCGTTCAATCCAACTTCGACTTGTAAGTATACAAGCGGTATAAGTAATCTATAGCGGCGGTCGTCGAACAAGGGAGGAAGGAAGAAAGATTTGGGATGGAACGGAGAGTTGCAGTATGGTAAGTAAATACTTATGTTCTTGTGTCGATTTGGTGTCGATCGATCATCTTGGTCCTACTGTCCGTTCAGAAGTGACGCCGCCGGGCTCTGGAGTGTGACCTACTGAAAGGGTTCGTTCCGAATGCCGGTCTAGCTTTCGTTGAACTCGACCTTGGTTTCAACATCCCACTACAGACCATCTATACTACCGCCAACATCCTACTCACATTATTCTCAGACTACTACGCTTAACCCACTCTATCTACGGGCTAGACATCGTCTCTTGGTTGTCCTCGTTTTCAGTCCATCATGAAGGTCGCTATTAGTACCTCAATGCCCGTCTCCAAACTCCTCTCGCACATTCAAAAGCGCCGCCGACGTTCCAGGGCACTCGCAGCCTACGCCAACTATGCAGCCACGAACTTTGGTCCCTCCAGTGCCCGCGGCGGGCCCGTCAATGCGTATTGTGTTGCCCTCATGCATTCTATACCTACCTCCATCTCTGCCTCTCCCTCTACGGCGTGCCTGCAGGCATCCGCCAGCTTCGAGCTCGACTCAAGCCAAGAGAACAAGACATACGCGAACAAGGGTAAAGTGTTCGACGAAGGCGAAGATAAAGACGACGCGATCCTAATAACAGCCCTTCCCTCCCTGCCTTTTTGCTGTCACGCCGATCTCATCCTTATGGCCCGCCCTGCCCTGAAATCTGTTGCGGATCATATCAACGCGTACCTCCCTGGCGTGACACAGATTCCCGTAGGCGATGATGTTAAGAGCGAAGATATCAGGAGAATTATTGAGGAAATGGTTGGTTTGAGGGAGAAAGGCGGTGCAGCACAGAGAGGTGGCGCTAAGTCTGGACGTGGAATCGGAAGGACCATTGCGCTGGAATCCTCCAACTCTTTCTTCGGGCCCCAGGGTACCCACCGTCCCCCTGGAAAGAGCGTCACGTTCGCTCGCCCTCTCTTCGCATCTCCGGATAACGCTAGTAACACCTCAATAACCAGTCCCATCATCGACTCGCCCAGTCTCCACCAGTCTCCCACTCCTGCCCCATCCAACCCACATTCGCATGCCCCCTCTACATCTGACATGAGTATCGCAACTTCCTATGGAGCCCCTATTGTATCCTCCCTCTTGCCCGGATCATTTTCACAGCTTTCCCAGTATACATCCCACACACAGTCACAGTCCCAATCGCAAGACATTTCGGGTTCTGGTTCTGTGCTCTTCCAATGTCAGAGCGTCTCCCAAGTCGGTTCCCCAACGCCTACTCCACCGCGCTCCCACGTGTCCCACCCTCAGCCATCTCTTCCGGTATCCCCGCCCCGTTCCCATTCTCGTCGAGGACTCCCCTCTCCTGGGCGCTCGAACGGCGGTAGCACCCCGCTTAATCCCTCTGTGAGCACCCCCATAATCTCATCGTACTCGCATCGACTCGCCACGTCATACACGTCGCCCGCACTCTCCCAATCACTTTGGTCGATCCCCGAAGCTTTTCTTCCGCACGCTCCGGAATTCGATCTTGAGACTGCACTGAGCCTGAGGAGGAACGAAGATGTTGATCTAGGCGCGGATTTCGGCCATATTGATGGCGTAGACGTGATTGGTTCGGGCCATCAGGTTGGGGTCGAGGATCAGGTGGAGAGTGCGATCGGAGAAGGAAGGGTCGATGCTCGACCGCGCTCGTGGGGGAGAACTTCGGTGCTATGTCCGGATAGTCGTGAGAGTGACCGTGATGAGAGCGCGGACGATGAGGAAGGTGGGGTGGGTGGGATTGACGTGAGGTTGAACGAGAGTAAGAGTGTTCGCGGAGGAAGAGCCGAGGAAAATCGCGAGGGTAAGACCTACGAGGCAGGAGAGGGCGGGAACACGAGTGATACCGATACCCAGGACAGTGCGAGTGCGAGTGGCACCAGTGAGATTGGAGAAGAGGAAGGGACAGCGACAGAGACAGAGGATGAATGCGAGACGAGAACCGATAGCGAGAATGATATTGAGCCCGAGGAGCAGGAAGATGATGGTGGAGTTGGCAGTGAAGACGAGCGCGAAGGTATGGTGATGTTTGGAGAGGCTCGAGCTGAGAACCAATGCGCGAGAAAGGCAATGGATGAGGATGAGGATGACAAGAAATTGGACGGCAGGTTGCTCCAGTCGGAGGTACAGCAGCAAGCGTCGGATTCTCAGTTCGGGGAGAACAAGGAGTTGTCTGCCTCAGGATCGGCTGCTTCAGAGTTTGGACTGGGTCTGGACGAATCGTCTTCGTTGGTCGACGTCGTCACTACTCGCGTGCATCCCTCTTCGACGGGCTACAGCGCCAGTTCTCAGGATGAGGTCATCAACGAGAACCATGTCGAGGCTTGATCTCCTCGAGGGATCAAGAGCTTGTCACTGTTTATTTACTCTTCGGTATTTATACATGTACATACGGATCCACACATTGTCTGCCTTGTATGCCCGCATCGTTGTTTCTACTACCACAGCCCACTCCTTCTCGTCGAATGCCCTGCAGCGTTATACGCCATCTTTGTTGAGTATCTGACATGAGCAAACAATCTGGGTGGGGGCTATAGTCGGCTGCGCAACGAACCTTCTGTTCGTACACGAACGACCATCTCATCACGCAGAAATAAACGATGAAGATGATAAAGCCGTAAATAAATCGTCATTATAGCTGTAATGAACTGACGATGATGCGGTCCAAAATAAGAACATATAATGAGAGGTTATGTCGCATCTCCGATAACGACGCGGAATGGTGCTACAGTGGGTCAACGTCTCCAAAACGGAAAGGGAACCTCTTCGGTGCCTTGAAATCCTGAATATCCTGGTTCCTAAAGTCTTCGAAATCGTCGAGAGTAAGTTTCGTACTAAACATCAACCCCCTGAAACCGCAGACCAAGCGATGCTCAGGCCAGTCACTAAAAAGATAGATATTTCGATATTCACATCGGGTGTCAGCTATCCGTCATCATCAAGATTGTGGACGAAGATGTGACGCACGATCTTTGACATACAAGACTGCAGTAACCCGCTGTCTTACACGCTTTACACTTCCATGTTCTCCTGTGCCCACATTCTCGTCGCACACATATCTTTCCAGCCGTGTTTGAGGGCCGCTCCACTGATTCGAGGGCCAACCACGCTTTGCGTAAAGGGCCAACTGCGTCGGGATTTGCCTTTACCCAGTCACGAAGTTGTGGGCCGGGGGAGTATGCAAGTTTAAGGCATGCATGCATAAGCCGTGGACGGGGAAACTGGTTGCGGTAGAGGGAAATTGATCGAGGAATGAGCCTACAGAGGAGCTGAAAGTATATGATTATATGTCCTGCATCTTTGAAGAGTTGAAGGTAGGTAAGTATCCCCGTCAATTGTCATACCACACGTGATTAGGATGAGGCTTACGAGGGAGAACTTCCATAAAGTCGGCGAGCATCAGACTTTCAAGCATGTCGATTAAGCCAGCTCTGGTACACGTCCGTACGAAGACCTCCGCCTCCTGCGGCTCGCGGAGGGAAACATGTGCTCCGCAACGTTGAACAAGACATATTATCGAAAGAATGGGGTCTCGAAAAGGGTTGACCTCGTCGGGGCTGAAATGCTGGTCGAGCCCGGACATGACTAGTCTGAACAGCCGGGAGAATACTGACGTTGAACGATGTAATCCGTACACAAATCGGTGTGCGGATGTGAGATCCGTTGATTGTCGGGATAGATCACGAGCGAATGGGTAGAGACGAGAAAGCAAATAAGCCGGTGTGAATGATGTCGCTAAGGTTCCTGGTATACCGAGGGCCTGCGCGAATTTCTGGAAAAAGAGGGGGAAGTCACCGTGGGGGATACCAATACGGAGAAGGTCGAAGAGATCCGCCGGATAAGAGCGACGCGGAATACGAATCAACGCCATTATACAAGCGAAAATGTCGTTATCCTCCGTGGCGTGCGACAAAAAGCTGGAAATGATGGGGATAGTAAGGCTGTTCCGTAAAACAATCAACCTACGGGGAGCAAATTGAGCATTAGTCAAGATCGTACAAGGGATTACGAACTCGTTAAAATCGTCGTCCAATTCCACTACAGCCGCCAATAAATTAATGATAGTGGTTCTCCCGTTGGCGAAGTCATTTGCAAGAAATATCGAGCGATTCGGCTCATCCCAGAGCTTTTGAACCAAAGGAGGATGAGTTTAAGGCATGCCTGACCTGGCGATAGTACGGAGAAACAGCACTCACGACATTCATCAATTCATTCCAGTAAGCTCTCATTGTGTTAATGAACCTCTGGGTAGCTGCACTTGGAAAGCGCTTGACGCTTCTTGCCCCAACTTGTAGGATTTCGATCCATGGCATCACCGCAGATTCCCTCACCTAGAAATGGTCGGTTCAGCTACTGCTACGTACCAGCAAGCATTCCGTGCTTGAAGAAGGAAACCCTCTCACCACGGTCTGTTGTTGAGATACGACTTTGGAAAGCATGCTTTCGAGTAAAAAGCGAAAAATCGCCTCAGTGATGCCTTCCTCAATGAGATGCTGCCAAAAAGTGCCTTGAGAGGCGTCTGCATCCTCGACGATCATCAATATAACAGTTGCAACGTCCGGGAGATCCTGTTCACGATGGTAGAAGACCGTCATTCGAAGAGGCTATGACAATAATGATAGAAACACACATACCTCCCTTTCATGTCCATACCGGTCTCTCCATCCCAAGTTGGAAACGCCAGGCGAATAAGTTAAGGCCTCCAAGTACGCGATAATTCGCGCCGGATTACCCTGGGCCAGGCGGGTCCAGTAGACGGGGCCCTTCGTCATTGCAGCTACTAGCAAACCTTCAAAAATCAGCTTGGCTTTCGCCTACGGGATAGCGTAAACTCGAGCTACTGACAGCTGAAGCAAATAATGTAGAGATGAAGGAAGAGAGAAAGAAAGGGTGGAGACAATGTCGCCGCGGCGGTCTGACATTTCAAGGTCGAATGTTTCAGGTGACACCCGGGAAACTCCGAAGATAGCATTTGCCACTCAATTCATTCGTGTGGCAATCTAGCGGCAAAGCTACAGCTAGCTGAGTGGTCTAATGTTCTAACTTGGTACGGCTAACAAATGGAATATACCGCCAGAGCGATATGGTACCTGCTACACTGTCGCCTTCATAAGGGCGAGGCTCCCTTTAGGCGAGCCGAAAAGTCCTCACCGGGATGGGAGATGGTATTCTTCTACAGAATACAAAGTCAGATCATCGAAACCCAAAAAGCGCGATAATCTTAACAGCATAAACACGTACTTAACACATTCTCGCTTGCCAATCACCTACCAATCTTACCGCCTCCTCACCGTCCTCGACCTCGCAGACTCTGTGAAGAGTTCCCAGCTGACGATGTAGCTTCCAGACTCGACAGGAGCCGTGTATAGTACCAATGACCAGTGTGTATTACTGGCTACATGCGCCAATGTGAACTAGTTTTCGCACTCCGGAGGATTAAATAAACCTGGGTCCAGTTCCGGGAAGCGAAGCGGAAATCGTTCCGGTGGGGATATATAATCGACTCTTTTGTCATCTGAGCTGGAATGGAGAGCGCGCCGCAGCCTCCCGTCTTTGAACCCACAAAGCATGCGATGTTCGGCCCAGTCCCTAAAGCCACAAGGTGGATCATCAGCATGTCAGCGGGTTTTTAGAGGAGACGACGCGCGCGAGAAAGGGAAACGAGCCGCATACTCAGTCTGACACTCCACGCCACAATATTCCACCGTCCCACATGCCGCACATCGTTTTCTTCTTTTCTGTCCACAGCCTCTCCTCATACACGTGCCGTCTATATGTGACGTCCAGCACAACCCATCCGCGACGATCCAGGCGGACAATATATCCGAGACGCTAGAACTTTTGGGATGAGCTCCGATCCATTCGTAAAGGACTCTATTGGAGGTGAAAGGAAGGTTGAGACAGGCTCGGACCAGAAGAGGACGGGGGAAGTGACGACGGAGAGAGGATAGGAGCGAGGGTGATGCTCGAGATGCAGCGTAGATCTTCTGTAAAATGGCCGCCACTAAACCTGAGAAAGTCGAACCAGTCATCTATCACAACACTTCTACACACAAAAAAACGGGTTGCGGAAGTCTGACTTACATGGCATCTCCGCAATTTTGTCCGATTTTTGAAGGAGAACAGTCTCGAGAGCATCGAATATGCCCGCCCGGAGAAGGCCCTTGACAAAGGCTACCATTTCTTCCGGGCTCTCCGCTCCCGCCTGGAAGAGACATTGCCCTATGAAGCCTAGGGCCGGAGTGACAAGCAGGTCTGTATCGAACCCGCGACACGATGTCGTGTCCGCTTCATCACTCTGCGCCACAACATCACAAAAGTGGCAGAGCAGTGCCTTTGAACGGAGCAACGTGTGAATAAATTCCCGTTCAAGCCGCCCCTCACACCATTTCGGAAGCATCGAAAGTCCGAGGATGAAGTTACTCAAGAGGAGTTGTAACGTTGCTGGTCGGGTACGGAGAAGTCGGGCGAGGGATGAGAGCAAGGTAGACGGTGAGCCATCCTGAACACCAAGAAGCATGTGTTGGAGGAAATAAGTAGGTTCCCTGCGAAGGAGGAAGTTAAGTGCGACGAGAAAATCCAAGGAATCATCGAGTTCCGTCGAATAGATCAGGTATCGAGTGATGAGGGGGACGGTGAGGTCGTCAGGGTCATGGACAATGCTGATGAAAGTTTCGTCATAGCCCATGATGCCCTTGACGAGCTGCGCGACCGATTGTCGTTCCTCAACGGACGTGAGGTACGGACGCAAACTACGCTGCGGGTCGTAGAATAACTGTGGCGCACACGAAAAAATATTGAGTCATACTATGTACTCCCGGCGAGTATCGAAGATATCAGTAGATGCGTACCCTGGTAATGATCTTGGTCCAGGAATCCTTTATCTCAGATACGAACCTATCATTGGCTGGCCCAGGCAAGTACTCGAGGTTTTGTCCCCCTTGCGACAATATATTTACGAAGGGCCAATATGTAGACGGGAGAGTCTACGCACGTCGTTCATTTTCCCAGTGTATTGCACGGTGGATATCATGCATACCTGATCATCTTGATACGATTCGTCATCGGGGCACCTCCATAGACAACCGCAAAGTGCCTTCGTGATTCCCACATTCAAAAGACGGTGCCATCGTATCCCGGTCTCAGCAGCAGCGCAAGTAGAGAGTGCGCCTAAAACCTGCTGAAATCCCTGGTAACACGATGAAGGGTATAAACCAAAAAACAGTAGCATCAAATTGGGCTTATTTGATTACGGTTATACACATATGTGCGCACCGTAGAATCGTCACCGAACCTCGTCCTCGGATCCCTTTGTGCAGCCCACATCCAATCGAGCAGGGCTACGATCCGCTCAGGGTTTGTGTCGATGACCCGCAGCCAGTAGCCCTGTGTGTTTATATTTCTTCGACTGTTCATATCGTCATAGAACTGGGAGTATCTGAAGTCGAGGGCTAGGAGTATCCTGTAGCGAAAAGGAGAAAAGTGAAGAGTGGCAAAGCTTAGAGTGGCGAAGACCGTCGGGTCGAAGGAAATCACATCACGTGTTCAGCGCGTATGTGACAACTCCCGAAGGTGTGGCACTCCGGAGTCTCCTAGCTCCTCGCCACAAAGAGCTAGCTGCCTTCTACTGTCGAGCTCGTCAGACTCAGAATAGAGCGTTTTTGTTGTCGAGTGCGAGAGCTGTTGCGCTAGTAGAGCTGTCGAGGTCACCAGAGATATGTTATGGAGCGAGCCTAACAGCACAGGACACAGTGCTTTATACACATCTCAGTGGTCAAAAATGTGTTTGCAATTTTTTTCGGAGGGGACAGGACCCTTAACCATGATACGTGAGTTGTACGTGAGGCATCCCGAAGAACAATGTCGTCATGGCGCCAACGAACCGCTTGTGCCGACTTACTCTGTCGCTGTCGCAGCGACAGCTATTTGGCCTGGTTGCGGAAACGCTCTGATGAAAAATGTATCCTACCATACGACTGATTAATAGTACATGTACAAGCATAAAAACTCATCGACATCCTCCGCGAAGTCCGCGAGGCGCAGCACTACACTATCTCTCAAGCCTCCGATGCGACCGTCGCTGCGCATTTGAAGACAATCGTCAGTCATGACAGAAAATGGAACAAAACAAAACAGAACTCACGTTGCCTCGTCGTATCCCCCGTCAACTTTTTCTTAAGCTTACTCGCCTTCTCCTGCACCCCATGCTTCATCCACACCACCGTCCTCGCCGGCGCAAACTGCATCGTCCCCCTATGCCGACTCCTCAACTGCCTCTCATGCTCCCTCTTCAGCTCCCTCTCCTCTAAACTGCCCCCACTATTCCCATCCGAATCCACCGTTTTCGCCCTCTGCAACTTCTCCGCTCTAGCAGCCTGTCCCTCCACATGATCATACGTCTCATACGTATGTCTATCCGTCTGCGGTCGCCCAGGGCTGAACATGTACTTCTCGTGATCCGTATCCAGCCCAGAGTCGACTTTAACGTTCACGACGAGCACGCCGATCTGCTTGTAGTTGTGCGTCTTCGCCGTTTGGTCGTTGATGTAGTTCTGGCGGAGGACTTTCAGCGAGGTACCGTGCGAAGCCCCAGGAACGAGTACGGGGATCCGGACGGTCTTCTCGACGTCGTCTTCGATGTCGCAAAGCCAAAAGGGCGCAATGGCGTCTTTGCCGATCTCGAAGAGGAGGCATTGCGAATATCGGTCGTACAGCGGGAGACGGATGCCTTGCTCGACCTGCAGTGCCACCCACCATTTAGCTATCACTCATCGCAAGCATACTTTGAATGTCGAATACGCACCTGCCATACAACAACATCAATGCCCTCAACCCTCGCATCCTTACCCGAAATCTTCGCACTACTATGCGTCGTCGAGATCGTCAACTTCTTCCCCTCGAAATCCCTTCCGCCACCCTCGCCGCCCGGTCCAGCGGCGCTCGCGTCGAGATGAACTTGCACGTCAGAAAGTACCTCGGCAGTGCCGGTCTCCCAGCCGAGAAGTTTGGGTGGTAGTTTGGCTTGAACGTTCCGGAAGAGAAGGGAGCAGTTTGCACGGCCGAATCCTACCAACCAATAGAAACTTTATGAGGTGGGTAGGAGTGTAGGAGAAGACGAGAAGGACGTACCGACACCTTCCATCAGAGACCACGTCTGCTTAACGGACGAAGACTTTTCGAAGACGTCTGACAGACGAAGAGATATGACACCAAGGATCGGGTCCTTCTCACGTACTCTACACGGAGTTGAAAAGCCGTTAGTCAAGGTCGTACGAATAAAACGACAATCAAGCGACGCACCTTGAATCCCGCACAACGAACCTTACCACCGTCGTCCTCCAGTCCCGAATGAAAAGCTCGTGCTTGGCTTCCTGCACGCGAAAGACGTCAACTTAGAACGGGCACGTACCAGGTAAACGGCGTTGACAAAGAGAGAACTCACAAAGAACGGATACGTCGTGTAGGGCTTAACACGGGTCTTGTAAACCATCTCATCGTTGACGATGTACTCCACATACCCCGACGGCAGATTCTGCGCCTCCTCCGCCAACCTCGACGTATCCTGACCCGCCTGCCCCTCCCTATTACTCCCCGAACTACCCTTCAGATTCTGGCGCTCTATTCACAGACATTCCAAACATCAGCCTATCATTCCAGCGATAGGTGGGCAAGAGGACAAACGTACCAAGCTCCATGATCTGATGCACCGTCAAGCTCAAAATTCCACTAACGCACTCCTCATCTGGCTTCGTGTTGAAGACATCCTTCGGCGGATCCTTCTCCGCAATCTCCTTCTCGACTTCCTTCTCCTTCTTCTCCAACTTCCTGTCCTCGCGCGTCGTAGCTTCCGCGATAGGCTTCAGAGCCTGTTTCGGCTCGGGCTTGCGTTGTGCGAACTCGAGCTTCGTGAAATATCCGATAGACCAATGAAGCGTTCCGGGCATGTCGTTCGCTAAAATAAATAAAGTTAATCAACAAAACATGGAATCATCGAATGGAATGGAGGAAGAAACGCACCATCCTCAAATCCCCTCAGCTTATCAGTCCTTTGGCTCCACTGATTCGCATTCTCAGCCTTCATCAACTCCTCCACCGGGACCGAAACCCTCCCAATCAAATCATCCGCGCTCCTCTTGTCCGAATCCCAAAGCTGGAGGGACAGCTCTTCTTTCGCGTTCTTCTCCGATTCGGACACCAAGATCGCGAGCGTCTCTATTCACACGGCCACCACAACTCGTTAGTACGCCAAGTACGGACAGGCGAGAGGGGTGGAGACAAAACGGACCTTCGTAAACCGGATTCAAGTCTCCCAGAATGATCCTCGTGGAATACAATGGCTTTCCGAACTTAGCGTACGCAACGACGATGTACGGATCGGACAGTCCGTTCGAGTCTTGAGCAGAAAGGTCCTCGGCGTAATGGATCGTGATGAGGAACACGCCCGTCGCGAGTGTATCTGTGGTCCCCAGAATTTAGGATACTCAAAAATCACACAAAAAAGTGAAGACCGGGAACGAGGTGGAGGGCTGAGTGACGGTGAAGAAAACCGGGAACGTACCAGCCTCAGCCGCAGGCCCACTGAGCATATCCTGCAAATTAAGCGTCAACGACTTCGGAGCGACGAACTCGGCCGTGGCCGCCTTGATCGCCATCTTCGTGAACGTCGAGATGAGCGGGAGATCCATCACATTTGGGAGGGCCTGTGCATCCACAGAAGGAGTAACGTTTAGCACTGCCGCAGAAGTGCAGTTGGAGAAGGACAGAGGTGCAGTGAGAGAAGGACGTACCTTCGCCATCGGCTTCGCACTAACTTCCACGCCGGGCACACCCATGAGCGAGACAGTCAAGTTCCTCACGAATGGATATTCAGGGATGAACTGAATGCGCATGCGAATGGTTCCGACGACCTTCTCCACTTGGATCCAGACGGCTATATGTCACAGAGTAAAACGACGCGTGAGTTCATAGGACTTGATAGTTGATCAAATAATGAGCGGTGGTTAGAGGAAGGAACTTACGAATGGGGATGTGCATCCAGTCGTAGACACCGAGGAAGAGTTCGAAGAGAAGACTGTAATATGCATCAGTTAGTGCGCAAATGCAAAATATGAGAGGGAACTGACTGGATATTACTCGTCATCAACGTCTTTCCCTGTCCCGGCTTCGCGAGGTACGAGAACGAGACTTCGTAGTTCTACGTCCCCCAATCAGCATCCAAAACACACTCAAATAAAATGAAGCGGTAATAATACTCACGACATAATCACCCATCGCCTCCTCCTTTTTGACACCGTCAACAGCAGCAGCATCAGCAGAACCTTCCGGCTTCTCAACCATAGGTCCATTACCATCGCCTTGGGAAGGAACAGCGGTATTAGCGCCTTCACCGCCGTTCATCCATGCGTCGCGGGGGTATTCGCGGTCGATTGGCTGATCTGGGAGTGCACGCCTAACAACCAGCGAGAGAAAAAAACAAGAATGAATAGGGTAGTCAGTAAGGTGAACTAAAGTGAGATGTGAGATGTGAGATGTGAGATGACTTACATGCTAATGATACGGAACGGGTTTGTTCCCTGTCCTATATCGGAAATCTTGATGGCCTCGACGAATCCAGGGAGGGACTGCTGCATAATATCTTCTACCATATCGACAACGGGCATAAACATATCCGAGTTCTAAGAAGTCACGAAGCGACCGTCCAAAACGTCAACCTTGACTGCACTATGCAATGAAAAGAAGTACGAGAGAAAAAAACTGACCACAAGACCCCAAACCACCTTCACGAATGAATTCAACCACTCCACCGACTCAGGCGTCGGCGGGGCGAATTCCTCCCCTCTCTGCCTATGCATCTCCATCCTCACCCTCTCCATCTCCTTCTCCAACCCATTACTAACCAAACTAATAGCACTCAACACCGCGAACCCCACACTCCCAATTATCGTACTCCGCAAAAAGAACCGCCACCACCCGCTCCCGAACGCGGTGAACAGCCAGATCAGGGTCAAGCCGATGGTGAGGCCGATAGAGGCGTTGGAGAGGGAGGTGGTTAGGGGCTCGATGGAGGAGGAGATGGGTGGGGGAAAACGTTGGAGGAGGATGTTTCCGGGTCCGGATGGGTTGGGAGCGGTATTGATGGAGGAGTTTATTGGGTGGGGTTGGTCGGTGGAGGTGGTGGAACCTGCAGTGGCGGGGGCGTTTAGAGCGGGTCCGGGGACGTCTGTGCGTGCGGGGTCTAGGGCGGCTGGGTTCAAGCCCTTTCCACCACCGGCTTCCTCAAAATCTGGTATTTGAAGGTGGAGGCGTCAGTGACGAAGCAGAGTTTTTCGCGAGGATCTCATAAGTTCAAGTAGCCGGCATTGCAAGCCAAAACCTGCCAGCAACATTATTTTGCGAGTCTTGACTAGAGTTCTGGGAAGCACGATGAAGACAGGGAGGCTCGAAGAGTTCGATGCAGTGGTATAACAGAAAGGGAGCGGTGGTAAGGCACGGCGCCACAATTCGGTGGCTCGCGTAGATGGTGCTCGCCACACCACGAGCATGAGATAGGGGCTGAATCAACATTCTCGATGAAGTCATCTTCAGACCCGTGGACCAAATTATCCCTTTCGCAGATAATAGGACGACCTCTAGGGCGTCAAATAATCATCCCAATTTTTGCATAAGATGAGAGCACCTATCTGAGCGTGCAAGTCGCCTGTGCCTGTCTCCGTTTCCACCAAAAAAATCATGCAAAATAATACACACCTTTGAAGTCTGCATCCTTGATACGAACATCCATGCCCGTGACTGGATCCTTCACAGTCCTCTCACCCTGCTCCTTCAGCCTATCGGTAGGCTTAGATTTGTTCGCGTTCATCTTCTCCATCATCTGTCGCTTCTCCTCTGCGCCCGACGACGCATTCTGTGACTCCGAAGACATATTGTCGGTCGAATACACTAAGGAAATTAATCTTGCTAGCCGTGATGAGAGTGAGGACGTCGACGTCGTGGGGGATGCGAAGAACAGGCGGGGATGTGGGAAATGCGTCCGGGCTTCGTCTCGTCCGCATATGTACCTGCCGCACTTGGGCATGCGTCATGGCTGTCGAAAGGAGCCACATAGGCACTTGATCGAACGCAGACAGCATCATCGTCCAGCCACTGAGTCCTTGCTCCTCTGCATCGCGACGTTTGCGTGGCTTTTGGCGATCTCAAAACATATCTCGGTTGTGCTCTAGCGCAGCGCTTAGGACCATAGATGTGAGAACATAGACATGCTTTCCCAACAGACATAGACCATATGTTTTGGGGTAGTGAACACAGCGCCAGTGAGGTCATCGAGACTTGAACAAGGACGCCAGAAGAGGAATGTTTCTGAGCAAATCCGGACGACAGCAGACAGGCACAGGTGACAGGTGGCGCCCATTGTCACTGACGCGCTTGTCACAAACGCGTGCGCCGTGACCGTACATAGTGAGTTTTCGCCCCCGGAATAAAACGCTCTGATTCTCCAAAACGCGGAATTCGTCCACAAGGTGACAATGGCATTCTTGCCTCTGGCAAGTCTAGGAGAACGTGATGAGCATCATGTGTAGAGGGCTCTCGAATATGTTCACGATTTTTGATACACGAAATATCCCCGAGTGGAAGAATCTGGATCCGCCACTACAAAACAAATTTTCCCAGATTCTGGGTGGCGAAAATTCCCTCTTGTCAATTGGCGACGCCACAGCTGGTTGTTGCTTTGGGTTCGACCACCATGGTGAAAAGCCAGGAATATTGGAAGAACCTGGTTAACACTGATCCTGCCCGCGTTACCTCGTACCTCAATGCCTTGACGAAATTCTCACCAGCTGCCTACAGTAGTCTACATCCTGGCAGGACGTGGACCGATAGATATGGTCATGATATGGGTGTAGGTGCAATTCCTCGGTGACTGAACCATGGGCTCGTCTTCAGTGTCATCCTGACTAATTGTACCTCCGATACTGATAGGACCAACCTTATGCTGCATCCGCTATCTCAGAGACCGTCGTGCCAGGCTCCGACCCTGTCGAAATCGCTTCTGGAACTCGATGGCAGTCCCTCGTCCGCGCGGGGATCACAGAGGCCATATTACGCTACCTCCTCACAAGCCCGCTTGAGGCTTCCTACACGCTATGCGTGGAGAATAATGAGTTCCCTACGGTAAGGACCTTTACTACATATGCAGTACTAAAATTGATTGATTTGCAGGAGCTCTCGAGCTTCAGAGCTTGGCTATGTATACTCGAACATGGTGCTAAGATCATGGAACGCTTCCCAAGTTCTGCAAACCAAAAGTACCTGATCTCTATGACACAGAACTGGAGAAAACTGATGCAGCATGTGAGTAGAATGCTAGTGCATCTGGCCGCGTTTGCCTGCCATTAACGTTGCAGCGTTGCTCCGTCAAAACACGGAGAAGCGTTGCAGCCCCTGAGCTTCCCGACGGCTTTCGTGTGCAGCGTTTCTCTGCTGTTTGGCTGGACAACGCTGCAACGTTGATGGCCGCCGAACGCGCCCTCAGCAAACGCCTGGCCCCACGAGCTTATCGCCGATTTTCACCTTCTCCGACAGCTAATACTTCATCTTGAACGATGTCTCACTACTACCATTTTCTCAGCATTGCTCTCGATCAGGCTACCCTCACCATCCCTGTCATCACACGCTTTTTCATTCACGCTACTGAGGCAGAAGACATCTTCTCATCTATATTCACACTGGTCATACTTTTTAACCACTCCGACACGAGCATTTTCGACCGCGTCTTGTACGGCATACCAGACCATAGCTTCGACCTCTTCTTCGATCGATTGGCGCACAGTATGCCAAAGCTGGACGACGACTCTATCCTGTTAGCAGTCCAAATGCTCGACAGCCTCTGCTTCTCCGCCTGTCGCCTTTCCCAGGAATCGAGAGAGCTCACTTCGACACATCAATTCCTATACGCCCTCTTCCGGTTCTCTTCCCTGTTCTCCGACCTATGCTCTAGAGTCGTAGCCTCTTGTCGAGGTAGTACTAGGATGCAATCTGGCCAAACTGTTGGAGATGACGTGGCTGCTCACACCGCTAGCTCTCAGACGTCGAGTCTCAACTCTGTCTCAGGTTTACGTCGACCTGAATTCGTTAACATGGTCATTCGGACCGTGGACGGTTGTGTACTCCATGCACTTCATCACGAACCGCAAGAGGCAAAAGGATTCGTTAAGCTGTGCACACGGGCAGGCCTCATCGACATGTTCGAGAGTGTCCTTGCCTCTGAGGGACCTCTACACGCAAAAACGCCTTGTGAGTATCAACCATCCTCTCCTTCATCCTTTTATCGTGAATCTCCGCCTCCCAGGCTCAGGATTTCAGATTCACCGGCGCAGATTATGCGTGCTTTTGATTCCGGGTGGCAATGTCCAATGCGTCATCGTAGCTAACCTTTCTTGTTTTTCTATAAAAACCGTCTTTCGACCACCACAGCCACTTTCGTCATTATCTTCCACCTATTGAGTACCTTCGCCTCCTCGACCTATCCCTTGCGCCCCATCTTTCGCGACCAATTCCCCCATCCTCGCCTCACACTCGCAAGTCTCCGAATCGCCCTAGCGCCTTCTCCTCAACTTCGTGAATGTCTCAACAGGCGGCCGGAACTGTTGCCCTTGATCCGCAAGGGCTGGCTGACTGTTGATTCGCACAACCAGTACGCGTTTGTCAAGTATAAGAGGAAGACGTGTGAGAAGAAGGGATGTAGGCAGAGGAGGGTGCCACGAGGTGTAGGGCTTGCAGGGCTGTTGCGTATTGTAGTGTTGACTGTCAGGTCCGGTGAGTTTCGTGCCTGCCTACATTATTCGCTACTCAATCCATCCTCCGGCACTCCATATAATCACCTGGGTGCTGTAACTTGTGCAAGCCAGTGTTGGCACTCGACCGGGGTCAAGTCCCCCCGACACCGGGGGTCAAGTCGACATCCGGCTGCCTCGAGCTTGCAACTTCAAAGAAATCTCCCCTGTTCTTGTTGGAGGGGCCTCATATGACGGCTCTGTAGATGTTCATATCGAGAGTTTGAGCAAAATTCGTAGATTTTTCAACTTGACCCCCCGTGTCCGGGGGACTTGACCCCGGTCGAGTGCCAACACTGGTGCAAGCTGAAACTGACGACTCCATTTTCTCTTTTGTGTTCGAATGTAATGCGACAGGGATTGGCCAGACCATCGTGCCTTGTGCGGCTTCGAGGGCCTGATGCGGCGACCGCTGATTTCGAGAAGGATGGGTGTCCCGATTTTTCAAAGCCAATCCTACCGAAGAGTCTGCCATTTCGATTTAGTCTGGATCCTTTGTGAGAGGTCAACTGGATCCTTTGCGCCGGTCTTCGGAATCCGAATACTCAGGATTTTGAAAGACCGAAGAGATCCCCTTTTCGTTTAGGAGATGTTGATCGGCTTCGTTCCCTGTAAAATGCCTGTATTATTATTCTGTTATTATTTGCTCTGTTCTGACCGACCGTCTTCAGACGAAGAATGCTTCGGTCAGGAGTCTTAGATCCAACCCTTGAAGGAGTTCCGAGCATCACTTGCTATTTACAAAAGCAGTCGGGGCTCTTGACGCTCCGTCACTACCATTTCATCCTTAGTACAGTACCCTTTCTGTCGCCTTGATCCACACTACGTCATGTGGTGGCAAACATACATATATAAGGAGCACGGAGTCGTACCTACAGAGTCGTGAGTATCATTAGTTCCCACCTCACGTTCCCATATCCGCTAACTTCGCATAGTACACAAAAAGTACGCCATGTCATCCGAAAACGTTATCGTTATGGACTCCGACAACTCGCACATTCGTGAAGAGTGGGAGCAGAAAGTCCTTGGGAAGAAAATTGTCGACGACGCCACATCACAAGCTGAGGGCGGGGACTCAAACACTACCAGTGTGCCGGTGCGTAACATGACCCTTTCGTAAAGCATCAAAAGTTCCGTATCAATGGTTGACACTAACAATTCGACTTGATGTACTCGCATTGCATATTGGTGCTACAGACCTTCGCAAAGTCGGACCTGCCACCTTCCAACCGTGTGCTCACCCCCAATGGTATCATGACGATGGATTATCGATTCGAAAGGTTTGTCGACCTCCCTTCATCGACCTCAGTCCACGCAATGCAGGTACATATCAGTCTGACGTTTCGTACCCAGGGTAAACTTTAGAGTAGACGAGAAAGGTGTTTGCGTCCGAGTGTTCATGGGTTAAATAGAGGGAATCTTACTTCGAGGGAGGTGTATAATGAATCAATATTCGGAATGAGGAGAGTTCATACCTTTGCATATTGGAGCATTGTGACCAATAGAGTATATCTATAACGACGTAAACCTCCGCACCCCGGCAGATTTGGGTGGCGAGGCTCTGAACTTCATCGCCATAAACATGGCCCAATCTCTCAAGGCTTTGGCACAGCAATCTCTACGTTCTCTACTAAAATCTGAAGTTCAGTTCACGAGCAGGGGGAAAGTAGCGAGGATGCAACGTTGCACGTTGAACCACACTGCTAGTCTCTGCAGGGACTTCTGCCAGACTTAGCTCAAGCTATAATGGAGTAGAGAGATCTTTAAAAATGAACAACGCAGCGAATAAATTGCTGAATACAACGCTGTGGGTGAGATCTGTCAGCGCCACGCAAAAACAGAAGGGACAAAAAAAAAGATCTCTCACAGATCATTCGGTCGCCATCGGCGTATCAGGCTGACCTGGCTCTGGTGTTGCATCAGCGCCAGTCCCGAGAACGACCTCCAGCTCTTCCTCGTCACCAACACTGCTGCCTACCTCGGACCCTTCCAGGACCTTGACGCCCTCATCCACTCCAATTCGCATCTCTGCCGCCCAATCCACCTCCTCTGGCTCCTCAGTCTCCACCGCGACTCGCGACTTCCAGTCAAACTTCTCCCTGAGCATCGCCACAGCCCTCACTGCGCGGTCAACCCTTCGATCGTGTTCCTCTTTGATCTCCGTGCACTCCTGTAGAACTTCTTCGTGCGATATTGAGGTGCTCGGTCCAAGTCCACTGCCAGCTCCATTTTGGGTGGGCACGCTGACGGGCCCAAGGGAACCCTTCGTGCGCATGCGCTCCGCCAGACGACGAACGGTCGCGCTCTCCTTTGTCAAAACCTCATTCGTCTGCAGCGTTCGCAATAAGACGATGAACTCGCTCTCAAATTGCGTTTCGGTGAGCGGGATGCTTTGATGAAGTGCCAAGTTGGTGAGGTTCACATTATTGTCGACGAGAGAAGTCGAGAGCGTATGAGTTTGAGAGAGCAAGACGGTGTATTTGGATAAAATCTCGGGCCACGGTGGCGGTGGTGCAGCGGTACAGAGCGTATCAATGAGAGACTGAGTGGACTGTTTCAATGAATCTGCCTTGAGCTTGAGAGATTCGAGCGTGTGAAGGGTGGAAGGACTGAGCGTTTGCTCTAGCGGAGGTATCGTGGCCCCAGTAGAGGGGACGTTGGCGGTCATGGACGTTCCAAGAGATATAAAGCTAGATATTCATACACCATGCATAATACTTAGGCCTCGAGAGTCTATCGAAAGCAAGAATGAATCAACCTACCTGACTCAAATCTGACCTCTGCTGAAGAAGTAGCACGGGGTCAGCAGCAAGTTGAAAGATGGACCAGGATGAGAAGACGATGACGGCGAAAAACCACTTTTCAACTCAGGTATAAGAATTGTAGGCTTACTTTATTTCACACCCTAATATTTGCTGATAGATGGTTTTGAGGATAATCTTGGAGGTCGGATCACTGACTGTTGAAGAATGTTCGAGCTCGAAGCGAAGTTGTGTCACTTGGAATCCGGGTGTAACCGGATACGGCACGTGTCATCTAGATGACGTGACACTACCAGTACCTGAGGCTGGCCAAGTGGCCGCGGTGTGGGCAGGGTGTGGGCCATGGCCTCTCAAAGTGAAAACCCAGTCATCAATGCCCAACCATCTTCTACCAGTTACGACCATTTTAAAGCCTTATGGTGATGAAACTGTTCCAGTACCCATCGCTAACCAACTTCCTCGATGTCGTTCGTTGCACTTTCCACAGTTGATCCTTCACGATGATTAACCAATGATCATTAATGCCACAGAGCATGTTGTCCTACTACTACCTAATTTCCTAGTCGCCGTAAACATCGGTCCATCCATCCTCCTTCCCATCCCATACGAGTTTATCCACCAAACCTTCCAATTTCTCAACGGTCTCCGCAGACACATCACATTCGCTAATCGAAAGTAAATGCAGTCGCGGAAGTCGAGCAGCATCTCTAGACTGTAGACTTTCAAGAATTTCATTCATAGGATAGTCACCGTGGCGGTTGTCTAATTGTCCGGCGGACTCCACACTCAAGGTGTGTAGGTTTTGAAGCGGGGCGACCCAGTTCAACAGTTCATCATCGTCAATGAATGAAAGATCGTCATCCAGGTCGCCATCCAAGTGGGTGTATGGGCCTGGGTAATCGGATAGGAAGTCGGGATTTAGGAATTGTACGAGAAAGCAGACCAGACGGTCTCCGCGGACGGCAAGATGCTTGATCTCCTGTACAGCCTCAAAGCATGAGGGCCACCATGCAGGACCGATATAGTGGTCATTGCCAGCGCCGATACAGAGTATAGCTACGGATTCCAGTGGTAGATGGCGACAAACGTGTCTGGCGACCTCGCTTACGTTACTCGTACCGTCCTCATCGATGTACTTGAAGGTGAAGTCAGATCGAATACGCGACGTCGGGTCTAGCAGAGTTTGGGGGATGCCGTTTGCAGGGAGGAGGGCTTCCGTGCGATCAGTGAAGGCATGTATAGCGGTTGAATCTGTGGAGCCGTGCGTGTCGTCCATGTGAACGTCGACGTGAAGTCTACGAATGCCTTCGGAGACCTCTTCACGACGGCTAAATCGATCCCGGATATGTTCGAGCAACCTCGCCATAGGCTGTTCACCAGTGAGACCGGGGCGGCGAGAGTCAACGGTGGTAGCGATACTGAGGGAGGATTCCAAGGGGATGTGAACCCACTCCACGAGTTGTAGATAGTCCACGATGGGTCCGGAAAACTCGAATTGACGAAGATGGGAGAGACGGACAATGTCATCCTCGGTTCGTGGATGAAAGGGAAGGCGATGAAGCGAATAGTCGTGTGGGGTCAGGACGGAGAGATTGACGAGTGCTGGAGTATTAGAAATGGTCGAGATAGTCTCTCGAACCAACGCCTTTACGGTCAGGGAGGTGAGCCTGTGACAAACCGCGCCCACCGAGGGAGAGAACCAACAGTTGTCGAGACGTAGAATCCCTGATAGCTCCAGCGGAAGTACATCTGCCGGAAGCGAAGTGGCGTTACGAGGGCGAGTATCGGAATGTCGAAGGAAAATCTCGACGAGCATAGGGTATTTCGTATGGTTGAGTGTTTGAAGGATCCTGGACGCCTCACTACTGCGAAGGAAACTGATTCTGAGAAACCTGATACGCGGCAGGTTGGCTTTGACCAGGCGGCGTGCATAGCTGGTGGCGCGTCTCTCGGAGGTCATGTCGAGATCAAATACCAATGGCGCGTTTCTGGAGTTTCCCAACATGAATGCGGCGAGATCTGGGTCGGACGTGATGATATTCGTCCACCAGGATGCATATCCTATCGCGACCATACGCCAACGGCGACAGACGTGAATGATGTTGAGCCAGGTGTCGAAAGGATGGTTGATTGAAGCGTGATTTTCGGGTTTATGATAACGAAATATCTCCACGAGGGCATCGTCTGTTATACGAGATATCAGAGAAGTACGATTCCCTCCAAGTGGCTGGGTAGTAGGCGCTGAACCCGAGGCCATAGGCATGTTGGGGGATTGCTGTAAAGATCTCTGCTCTGCTCAAAGATGGTATTATTAGCAAGATGTTCACATATGCATACGGAACGTGAATGGACCTACAAAGGCTAAGCTTGCACCAAGCAGTCGTGCGACAATGTGATAGATAGCTCAACACTGCTGGCAAAGGGAGCCTCTTGGCAAATACGTCGACTGGCAGGCGCGCTCCCGAATGAATCCACCAAAGTACGTGAGCGAATACTAGGTCAACAAATTCGAGAAGTCATGGACCTCAGCGACACGAAATTGGCGGGTCTTCACCACTATGGTACTGAATGCTGCTGGCTGTTGCAGGAAACGGTCAAGGACAGCGCGACTTGCAAAGAATTCTGATTGCATCGGCAAACTCCGTCAACTTTGTGGCCCATCGCCGCACATTAATTCTTCATGCAAGTTCATAAGAATTATTAGGACATCTTTCGATGAAAGTACTACGTATATACTACTTCTAAGAACATGGTTTATCGAGTACATCAACATTTTATCCAGGCGCGATGAGGACGACAGAACAAGACAGCTGGGATGCAAGGCGTCCGCCTCAACGATTAATTGAGTTTCCTTAGAAGCGCGGCAAGCTTTGCAGGATCATAGGTGGCTATTGAGTCGTCCTGCACGGCCTTCAGGAGGTTGAGGCGCTCTCCGCGGTAATTCTTCTCCGTCATCCATCTGCAACAACAAACAATACTATGTCAGTCACCGAATTTCTCTAGTGGCAAGTTTATCCACCTTGCAACGGTGTATCCGTTCGGGTGCACGTCACGCAACCATGTCATGTCCTTCTTCAACAGGTCGTCCTTGAAAACATCTATAGAGCACAGGAATCAGTTGTATGGTCGAACAGAACGAAACGAATAGGGACGCACTCCACCATCCCGAAAAGTTCTGTCTAAAGGTCCACGATCCGTCGCCTTTCTTGCGCTCTCCCGCCAGAGGCAGATCCGCATCTATGAAGAGGTCAAACCTGATCATATCACAAGAATGAAAGTCAGACTGTGTGATGCACCAGAGAACAAAGGTAGGCAACCGACCATTCATCAAGACTAAGTCGCAAGTAAATGGCTTTCTGTCCCGTCACGTTCGTGAACGTTTTCGCCAAATCCTCCCAGCCGATTACTTCACTTGCGACCTCCAGATCTTTCCCGCTGGTGAGCTCCCTGTTATCGAAGGTATACCTCGCGAAGAATCCAATGTCGGCAAGAGCGATCATTGCGGCATGGCCGTCACCGATGGGGGCCGCGAAGACGAATGTACCATCAGGAGCTTGTACGGGCGCGAATAGTTCCTGCATAGAAGAATGAGAATGGAGAAGGCCCATGAGCAGATGCAATACCGGAGGAGGGAATAAAAAGCGCACATAGAGCATATCCATGTAAGGACCCGTGGATACTACGGACCAAGACATCTCATTCTCGCTGACGATAGACGGCTGAGCTTTCAACCAGTCGGCTACTCGTCCCTTAGCATTGTAGTGCTCGACCCGATATTTCTCGTCGTAGTTCGCGATCTACATAACCACCGTTACAACATTCAGCCATGATCCAGATAGGTTTAACAGTCATGGAGAGCAATACCTTAGTGATATATTCGAGACTGCTCCAAACGAAATGCTTCACCCCAACCTTCTTCGCCAGCTCGTATATCCGCATCGCAGACCACATCTCTTTCATCTCTCCCACCGTGAACGTGTCAATATTGATCCAGGCGCCATAGACACCCGTCAGAGCCGCTTCCATAGAATCGAGGTCGTCCGTATTCCCTGTCGAGATCACAATGACCACATAGAAGTATAGTTAGATGCCCGTGGTAGGTCATGCCCATAAGCTTGGAGTGAATGGCGCACCTTGCAGGACCTCAACTCCGCGAGCCTTCAAACTCAGCGCACGCTCATTCTGGGGATTACGAGTGAGAGCCCTGACACTGTAAGGTGAAGGAGATCCATCGGATGCTGGGGCGAGAAGAGCGTCTACGACGGCAAGACCTTGCGCTCCAGTCGCACCTAGGACGAGAATGAGTTTCGTAGACATGTGGAGATCGAAGTTTGGTTAGGAAGTGCCTGTTGAGCTGAAAGTATGATGAAGGAGACTATTATCGCTCTGCAGCCTTATATTCAGAGCTCTCGAGCAACTTCTCCGGGCTGCATCTCGGCCAAGAGACGAAGGCCGATTCCAGTATGCACGCAGAGGATGGCAGTGGGCTTGCGTATGATGCCCGAAGGTGTTCGAAGATGTGTTCCAAGCGGTGACGTTTAGTTCTTGGTGAAGTCCGATGTGAGCGTGGTCGCACACTTCGAACGGCAGCGCTGTGAAGACAGAAACACCGCTGGCCGATGACCGAGGTTCGTTGGCTACGAGTTGTTTCCATCATGTGCAAATTTATCCGATGATGTCGGTCGATTTCCAGTGGACGATTGTCCATTGTATGGAAAAGAGGAGGTGACGGCGGGGTGACTCAGCACTAACCAAGAGGATATACTGCGTCAGTAGAAGGAGGATGACGGAGACACTGGACGACAGGCGCACCTCCCAAATATACAGTATGGTCGTGGACCACAAGGCCCGAAGCCGAAGCCTTTCAGCGCTAAACTGACGTCGTCGTGACGTGGCCGATAGATCACCGTGGCGTTCGTACAGCAATTATAGTCGGTCCTTTTGCCCCACTAAGGACCCAAGAATTGAGAAAATACGGGATACTCACGCTGGGTATTACCTTGAAGAAGAGATGTTTCGAAGAAATCCGATGATGTCAGCTTCACCGAAAGATAGCAACATTCTCGTTGCGTCCAAGTGCACAACCAATAAAGAAAGCCTACACAAGCGATAAAAATGTCTTAACTGCTGACTTCGACTTCTACCTGTCGTACATCTTCCGCTATACCCTTCTTTCTACAGTTGACCAGAATCAACAGGCATATGAACGCTAGACGAAAGACTCTACGTCTAGCGCATATCAAAAGGTGCGGTGTGAGACTATGCGATAGCACTGGAATCGATGACCTGCTCGATCTTTCCATTATCCCATCTCACGGTAACGCTTCCATCCTGATATAGATAATGATTGTGATTAATTTTATGAGGTACGATGGCGGAGGACAAGGAAAAGACGCGCCTGATTTCCGAAATACGCTGCCTTGATCATATGGCAGAAGATCCCGACCTCAACCACACCAGTCAGCATCTTGATCTTCGCAAGCAACTGTAGACATCAAGGGAGTGAGTGAATTATTCGCTGATTGTGTTATTGGGACAGAGCAGAAAGTGGGGTGAATATGGCGACAACTGATCCACTCACTCCGTACGGGTCCTTGTAGTACTCCTCCGTGAAAGGCGCATCGATAATGAAATTGCCGTTATCGCTCACAACTGGTCCGGCTTTCGCTTTTGCCATACGCAGATGAGCTTGTGGCGACCCAAGCGTGTGCAGATTCTGGAGGAGCTTCGCGTAAGCGAACGGCGCCACCTCGATTGGTACCCCTTGCTTATACTGTAAGTACGGCCCACAACCATCAGAACATTGTACCTCAAAAGAGCAAGGATAGGATGAAAGGAGGGACGTACATTTGTTCCGAGGAGCAGGGAATTCTTGCGGTAGTCTGCCACAACGACGAATGTCATGGCAGCCTCGGCAAGGACCTTCTCACGAAGATGGCATGCACCTCCGCCCTTGATGCAGTTCAGGTGCTCGTCGACTCTATGATAGGTAAGTATATGTGGATCGCGGACGAAAACAGACAAGACATTTACTCGTCTGCTCCGTCGATGGTGACATCTATGGTGGGATACTGATCTACATCCCCGAGTCGCAGATCAGATTGAACGATAAGCTCCTTGGATTGGAAGCCTAGAGTAACAGAAGGTTTTAGAAAAAAAAATATGGAAAGAAATGTGGCACCAAGCCTGACAACGGCGAGCGAGATCGCCGGATCCGCACGTCGGATCAATGGAGCAAGATAACCACTGGGAAAGCGCACCCGCAACGTCAGACGGTAAATGGAAGGGTACTCACCTGTAGGGATGAACACACGGTCCTTATTGAGCTCCTTGCCCTGCGCCACAATTCGTTCTACCACATACGGCACCGTCGATCCTATACGCTAGATTTAAGTATCGCCCATCAAGAACAGAGAAAATTGAGCGCACCAGAGCCAATACCAATGACCTTTCCATAGCCGTCCAATTGGTGACTGCCTGCGTCTCGAAAGGGAATAAAGACGCACTTTATGCTCGGGGAGGATATGTTTATCAACAGCCGTCCAGGCAGCCAGCCTCTTTGATGCTTCGATCACGTTGACCACTTGTTCAATAGGGGCTGTAATTCACCGTGAGCACTGATTCTCCTGCCTCGAACCAGGTAAAGATTGTTCACTGGTTTGGAGAGACGGCGCGAGGGTGTTCCTGCCGAACGAAGGTCGAGGAATCGTGCCCGATGCTGTACGGGGTCGTATCGGGGTTGTCGAGACGGGCGTTCTGTCAATCGCGGCCACAAGAGAAGAATCAGCCTCTAATAAACGAATAGCTTGGTAAGGGCCACAGAACGTACGCAGAGTCTGGTACTAGTGGCAAGGGCATCTTGGTTGTTTTTGACCGAGAGAATACTGTGCGGGTGATTGCTGCTGTTTTCAAGATGGGCTGGTTTGCTCTCAAGGATACAAATGTCCTGGGTCGTGCACCGGCAAGAAATAGTGTGCGCCTGGGATGGAACGCCCGCACCGGTTCCCGTCAGCACACTGGATTATCGGGTTGACACGCTCGGATCACTAACGGAGTGGCCAGTGCTTTTGTGGCTATTGCTGACAGTATTGAAGCGTGTATATCTTCCTAAGCTTTCCGTAAGACATGGGGATAGAGTGCTCAGCGCGGTAAATTCAGCATTTAGATACTCACTGCTGAGCGAGGGATGTGGAGGAGTTGTGCCCGGATATCCGACCAAAGTCCGACTCTCATCCCCTTCGGACTCTCACGCTCTTCGGCCTTTCCCATGTTTCCTTTTTTGTCCTTACCAACTTGACACGCTTGCAGCGAACCCAAACGAACACGTTTGTCTGCTCTCGTGCGCTAAACTTCTGACTGGCTAGTAAGTTTGTGGGCATCACTCTAAGTAGGAAAACTGGGAGAATGAGGGCTATCAAAGGTGCGTCACCGCATGGCTGACATATCGGAGTCTCATCCAAAACTGTCTCATAGGCGTACTTCTTACTTGGTACATATTTTGTTCACAAATCAGCAACCTTTCTACTATAATCATTCTCTTTGCAGCGATTCTGCAGTAAAGCAGATATTGCTGACCATGAATGAGAAGCAAAGTTTCATTATCGAGGACTTGGACGACTTCCATATTGTCATCAAGGCAGATGAAGAGTGGCGAGTGCGTCGTGAGCTCGAGGCAGAGGTGGGTTCGATTCTCGAGCTCTTACAAGTCTCTTCAGAGTACTGATCTACACCTCTCTTCTTACTTTCTAAATTAGCTAGAGAAAAACACCTATACCTTAGATTGACGAAGCCTGCGGCCGTGCGCACCGTGTATTAATGATTTTGTAGCTTCCATACATCACTTATTCTCGAAGACCTGCTACTCTCCAATTCTTGTTGGCCCTCTGCCTGCGGTCTAGGTCGAAAATGGCTTGCAAAACTCGGATCAAACGGATACGGATAACATGGTGTCTCGGTTGACAGCTGACACGACCACTAGAGATATATCCAACAATCGGTCGGTACTTCCATGGCTCCTTCACGCCGATACTAAAAGGATAGGGGCTCCGTTCCGTCTTCTGACTTCTTATGTGGGTCCACAGATTCAGGGTCATCGGCCGCCGCCTATAGGCGTCAAGCCGTTTGGACTGATGGATTCTTCATTGTGGCCAGTGAACATGGCTATTCCTCAACCTGCGATCCTTCAACCTGGCCATCACATTCAGTTCGAGACCTGCTTGAGCTTTATATGACTCGCTATACCGAAGATGCTGCTACGCGAAGGCATCAAGACCACAACTTCCTATCGCCGCCGTTGGGTAAGCACCATCGGGCACTAGCGGTCAGGTTATTTTGCTTGTGCGCGTCGCCACCTCACCGACGTACCTCGGCTTCTTTCAATTTCAGACTCGGTAAATTGTCTAACTCTATCGGCAACTTCTGTCGCCGATATTTTTGGGTCCGTTCAGCTCGCCCAACGAGGCTAGCGAAAGAATATACCCCCGTTACGAGGTGGAAACTCCGCTGGAAGGTACGCTTATGGTCTCTTTCTTCACTCTCTTACCTTGTAGCTAGTAGATCTAGACTGGCCATTGTCGTTTAAGGCTTAAGACCCGCCAAATCTGGGTGAACTTATCGGTGTTCACATGGTGCACCGGCATTCACACTTATCGAGTGCTTTCTCGACCCTCTCAATCTCGCTCCTACCTGCTGCGACACTAGTTGGACCAATCGAGAACCAAAAACGGATGCTGCACTGGGGCAGGAAGGGAAAGCATGATAACGATGTCAGGGTAACTTTCTTTGAGCCGAGGAGATTATTTCAAGCGTTACATGCGGATTGAACATCCTCACATTAGCAAGACGGCCTAAGAGAGCATCGTAAGCCACTGTATTTCTGATTCGCCTCGTTCCTTCTATCTTACAGCTTCGCTGAGTCCCGGCGTATAAAGCTCCGCGCTTAAGGCTTTAGCTTTAAGCCTCAGGACCATAGAATCCATGCTTCGGTCCGATCCAAGAACAACAGAACTTGCGATCACCGTTGGGTTCTGAGCTGAGTAAGTACGAGGCCCTTGGACACAAGTACGTAGATCACCTCGCTTTGCCATGCCTCGTCCATGAGTGTGCCCTTCGAATATCTTATCTTCTGACCCAGCCTGAACAGTTCAGCCTTGAACGGTATGTACCCGCCGACAAGTAGCGCCCGCGTCACCACGCAAGACGGTAAAGCTGTGATCAAATTACCTTTGCTCAGTGGATCTCAAGTTTGATGGTACGAACCCAATTCTCATTACAAAGGCCGAGAAGGTTTTGCATCGAGATCTGCGATTGGCCTTGTCGCCTTGCATATCCTATATTCAGCATCGATATCACGGACGGAGTTCCCCCTTGTCCCTGCTGAGGCTTTTACACCCTTCTATCTTGCCCATTATGTTTTCCTCGGGGCCGTGGCAAGCACAGCGGTCCGAGAGTTCCGCTGATACCCTTCATCCTCTCGTGCACTGCATCGAATTTGTGAGTAGAGGTCTAGAAGGACGAGCTGGTGATGTCGGCGTTCCAGTTGTGCTAGTTTAAGCGTCTACGGCCTACGGATCCTTGGAAAATGAACGTCTTCCAACAGATTCTTATTCGCACGTCTGCGTCGGACACTTTCGACCGCCTTTGGGGGTGCATTGGCCATTGTTTTCTCGGTGTACGTGTAAAGATCGAGGGCCCATCTTCAGCGCCTTCGTTTAGCTTTAACCTTCCTGGTGAATGACTTCGCATTCTCTTCGATCTGATGCAATCATGTGGTGCTAATACTCACATATTTTACAGGTGACGCTAGTTTGTCAGGTTCGCCGCGTTCCATTACCGAGTCATATTCCTCCCCACAATCGAGAAGGACACAAGTCATTGCACGGTATCAAGTGACTGCGATTTTACAGATACTTGCAACAATGATAGGTTGTGTATCATCCCAAGACCACACCAGATGGGTCTGTGGGTGGCAGCGGACACGATAGCATCATAACTCATAACCGGCGACGCCGCCTTAGCTGTCATCTTCGCCGCCATCATAAGTACTACAAATACCTCCAGGCCCATATTTCTCGGATTTATTGCCGATGAGCAAGGTTTGCATTGTCCAGTCTCAAAAGTCTCAATGGCTCAATTCTCCTCGTATCCAGACTGTGAAGAGAGTATATCCTAGTTAGAAACTCGAATTCAGCTGTCTTGTGTTATGTGACGGAGTCCCCGACGTTCAGGAATTGTGGCGGTCTCTAAACAAGGTGGCGTGGGCAATTGTTCAAACTTTAGCCGAGATTGAAGATCGTTTTCCCAGATTTGGGATCTCAGGAACTTGGTGCCGGCTGAAGTGATGGGTCCTTTGAACCGCCATGCTGTTGGCCAGAAGCTTCAGAAGACAAGGTCCCTTCACCACACCAACTCCGACCTTTTCTCATTGGACTTTTCGCTTTAGTAACCGACCCGCATGATATTGCGCGGGCGTCGTCGTGGCTCGTCGTGGCTTACCGGCTTCCGAAACCTTCGGCACCCCTCTTGCTAGAGATCATAGCAAACGACGTTACACTTTTCTTCCCATTGTTTCTACAAGAGGAAGGACCTACTAGCCAATGACTTTTTGTGGGCAGTGAGACAGGAATTGTGGTTATGTATTACATGGCTACCTCATGATAAATACTTCGTCGAGCCGGCGGAAGGGTACAGCGCAAGATCTCTACCGTACCTGATCGTAATCGTTCGACGGATGTGGCTGGAGCGGCGGGGTTTAACTCGGCGACTTTGATACTCAGCCAGCCAGTCATGTTATATAGTCTCGCCCTTGTCCTTTTATCCAACCTTCTGCGTTGACGTCTCTCCAGTATCCTGTCCGCACTCTATCTGTCTTGCTTGCCCGACATTTCGTGACCGATCCATCAAACATCGTCAGCAAAACCATTACGGCCCAAAGCGTAGGGTCAACGTTCTCGTCAACTCTCCGGCATTCAAAGTGAGTCTTTAGATACTTCTTACAACATGGTGTGGTCAACTGACGACAAATAGATTTCACTGCTTCTATACCAACCAACCATGTCGGTTATGCAGCATGATCGACCTCCTCACCATTTCAACGGACGTGCTTCGTATGGTCCTCCTCCCGCAGATCCTCTTCACCGACCTAACATCCGGTCCTACTCGATGCCGTCGGGAGCGACGAACGTCAGTGCGCAGGCATCATACGACACAACTCCGCGCTTTTCCCCAGTCTCATGGCACGGTACGATCGAGGTGCTTGGCTATACCCCGCACGAGGCCCCACGAGGGCGTCTGACGGTCGATGTATCATACGGAGACTCTGCCTCGCGCTCGGTGTGCTTCCGTATTGTGGTCGCGCGGAAACCTATAGCGACTGCTGTCAGGAATATCGGAGCCGGAGGTCAACCTCTGTGGCGCCTGGAGGGCGAACTTCCTGCCTTCGACGCACTGTCCTCCTCGGTCCCTACGGTGGATCTGTCGGTTCAAGTTGTCGACTCTCGCGATAACAAGATACTAGACTCCGCTATATTCGGTGACTTTAGATATATTCTTCCTTGTAAGCACGCCTTCCGTTCTGTGCTTCCAAGATAAATTTCCAATCCTGTCGTCTTCATAGCACTTAATATCGAGACACACCCGCCGACCGTTGGTTCATCCACTACCACTCGTCCGTCTGCGCGCACTTCTTCGTGGCCTACCATTCGCCGACGAGATGCCGAAGGCAACCGTCCTATTGCTGGTGGTATCTCTCAACAACCGAAGCTCTATTTCGAGACTCCCCCAGAAGATATGGAATTCGGCCTTAATGACACCGAAAGATACCTCCGCCGACGACTCGTACGCTTTCAGCGTGTTTTGGATGGTACTACACTTCGGGTTTCCTGCCAGCCCATCCGTCACGACGAATATGACGACAAATTCGCCGTCGTATCCTGCATCTACATCCCCGAGACTGATCGATGTTGCATCACGTCGGTCGACATCATCTCTCTCATGGAGTTCTTCGTGCGCGACAAATTTGTCGAGGACGAGAAGAACCGCATTCGCCGCAATATAGAGTGCTTACGACCGACTACGGTGTCCAAGACGAGGGAGAGCACGGAGCTACTTTGGGACCTCATCATGGAGTTCCCGCGACCGAAGCCACGCAACATCGAAAAGTGCATTAAGGTCTTCCACTGGGCTGTGTTGAGGGATGCACTGGAGAAGGTCATGTCTCGATATGTAGGTTTTTTGGTACGCCTTTGAAAGCTGTCTCTCACTCACCGGCTGGTCGTACAGGAGATCGTCACCGTTCCGCCACAACCTGAAACATCACCGTCCACTCCTCAATACGAACGTTCCTATCCATCATACTCCTCCGTACCACCTAGCGAGTCGTTATCAAATCCGTCTCTCCTGCGAATCGCTCCTGAAAGTCCAATGTTGACCTACCCTGAATCGTCGTTTCCATCGGAGGTTGGTCATCGCGGTGGTTATGAGATGGGGCCCGACGTCAAGCCGTCGAGCGCACTGCACACCCCTTACCACACTCCCTATACACCGATACATGGAACCAGCTACTTCCCGTACCAAACACCACAGTACTAGATCGTTTCCTGGTACTGTTGTTTGCTCTAACCTGCCACGGGCGTTCAGATGGACTACGATTTGCCCATACACGTTGTGAGGCCTTGGCCACGATCCCATTGTCTCCTTACCTTCGTCGTACTATACTGCGCCGTGACTTTTTTGGTCTCGTACTACTTGTATTCTTAGAGCTATTATTCCTTCGCCTTTACGTTCCGTGGCCTTTCTTGCATACATCTGGCATTTGCATCTCCGCTATTCCGAATTCATGTTCTACTAGAATCCTTTCGGATATTTTTCTTTTAAAATCTCGTTGTATGCTATATGCTGTACGTATATCGTCAAAATATGATTCCGCATCACTACATGGTCGCTCTTTGATCGTCGCGAGGATGGACGTATTATTCAAGAAGGGCTCGATAGTCCAAGATAGACGTGATATGCTTTGAACTCTATCCACTGCGGTAATCGATAGGGAGGGGACGACACATAACTACAATATGAACGAGAATACACAACTATCGAAGATCCCTCCGTAAAATAATGGACTTTAAGTCACCTACCATACATGCGACTCAAGTGCCTGTCGAGCTGCCACGTTTTTCGCTGCTTTGAGGGAGGGCCTAACTCCTCGGCCGAGAACAGCATTGTCTACGCGTACCACGGCAACCCAGAGGGATTTCTGTTCAAGTTTAACTTTATATGAGGTACAAGATTGTTAGGTGAACAACGAAAGCATTCATGGATGTAGCACAGCGTACCTAGCACAGTGGACCAACGAACGAATTTACCTCCCTTAGGCACCCGGTCCAGGAGCTTTTGGAGGTCTGCCGACGTCGCATCCTCTTTCTCTGTCTTCTGTTCGACAGCGTCTTGTACAAACTGTGCTACGCAGTGCACGGCCTCATCCAGTTGTTGTGTAGAAGACTTCGGGTATTTCAATGATGTTTGGATAGGAAAGGCGGCTGGGGAAGCATGTTTTGTCGTTGGAGGAGTGTGTTCGGTGATGTTCGGAGTGAAAAACCTTGGCGTAGAAAGGGCAGCATGTGCTTCTGTTACATGGGGTGAGAGAAGGTGATTAATCCATTTCTTGACTTGTGCTGTGACTTGTCCTTGCTCGTAGTAGAGCCCCCCGACGTATGCCTGTAGAAAAGACAGCAGCAGCTCCGACATGAAACGGTCATTTATCCTACCTCAAAAATATCGGCTATTACGTTGAGCCACTCAGGATCAACGCATTTTATTTCGGCGGGGGAAGAGTACGCACCTTGCCAGTGAACGGGATTTTGTGGAAGATCACGACTCGGATCAATGCCGTATGTAACGCGCGCCATTTCCAGCAAACCGCAACGGAGAGATCTGAGGAAAGCTTCAGCGTTATACACACCGACTATCTCTGCACGAGAACTATCCTTACACCAGTGCGAGCGTTGCATTACTAACAACCACACTAAAGATACGCTACGAAGATTCTTTTCAGCCTTTCCTTTCGAGGGATAGAGAAGCAATGATGGCGCTTACAGTGAACGAGCCATTATCCACATGCGGATACATGCTCCAAACCATTTCGCACACTACTAGCCCTACCACCCTGTCTCCCAAGTGTTCGAAGCTGTTGAGATGTCAAATTTTGAGGGTTCAGCGGGCTTCAAGAGGAACTTACGCTTTATGCGTCGCATAGGACGCTGCACCGTTGTTGTTCTTGGAGTGTGTAGATGTGTCACTGTCGTTTCTAAACGCAACCAAGACAGGATGTCTAAAAGCATTTGCACGAGTCTCCTCCCCGATAAGTCCCGGTATGGGAGGAGAGTGGCCCACTGCAGCAAGACTACAGGAGGGAATATCCTTTAATCAACAGTTCGTACCTTTTTTACCGTGGAACGTACCTAGATAATGCCTTCACTCTGAGTCGCTGCGTGCTGGATGTCGCTGGATACTTGAATGACCTGCAACAAAGACAGCCTTCATAAATACAGGCCCGACAATATTCGTATTTCGAAAGTCGTACCTTGGACATGGTGGAGAAATGCGTGCCGGGAGCGACGAGCACGTCCGGGTCAGGCGCGCGCTGCGCAGAGATATGACAGGGAAAGCAACGGTCATTTTGCCACGAAACATTAGAGAGGGTGTTTAGATGGGGAGCGCAATCAGTGATCACGGTAACCTAAATAGTGCAAGATAAAATTGTTGTGCCGTAATTTTCGTGGCGTAATTATAGCCACGCTTGGGCTTCCGAACAAGAGACTCCAATAGAGACAAAGAACAACGAGTCAACGAACGGGCATACACTCGGCGCGAACATGTTGCGTAGTGTAGAATTGAGGTTACCACGGCAACAGGTTCGTGAGAGGTGATGCAAGTCGATGTGGCGAGGCGCAAGAACGGGCGCGATGTAGTCGCTTGGCCGCATGTACACTCAATGGCTGTATTCTGGTTGGGATTTTGACGCATCTCCGGTAAAAGATCATGAGACTGAAGTGGGTAAGATCTTATGAAAGACATGCGGCTAGCGATGCTGACATCCCAGACGAATATATAGAACGATACTCATACCTTCCCGGGCGCTTCAGCCTTCAACTGTCTCGTTCAGCTTCGAAAGTCCCTCCTCGGCGGCAGCGACCTTCGCCGCAGCCTTCGTCATACCTTTCCCCTGGCAGAATACTTTGCCGTCGACTTCCGCTTGGGCTATCCAAATATATTCTATACCCACTGTTGAGGAGGCATTCATCATCGCCACAGGAGAATATCGTCAATTAGATCTCACGAGACGCATTCCTCGTCGTCTGAATCATGTAAGACGTACCGTTGGTAGTCGTCCAGGTAAGATCCTTCTTAGCCTTGATTAGCTGGTTGTGCAGTGCGAGAACAGGATTATCGGGTGGCGAGGAGGACGAGGCTGCAGACACGCCCACATCGGATATTGGTTCTGTCTCGGTCGCAACAGACTCCGTGGAGCTGAAAGATTCGGTGTTGACCCCGTTGACCGGATGAGACGGTATAGACGAGGATGTCATTGTCGTTGTCACGGTAGGTTTGACGACCGCTGTGTGTGCTTGTTCAATGTGGGGCGCCAGAAGGTCTTCAAGCCAAGCTTTCACAGGAGTCGTAATCATGCCTTGTTCACGGTACAGGCCACCGACATAGGCCTAGTTCAAATTGCCGGGTCAATTCTAAGCAAGAGATGTTTGCACACCACTCTTACCTCGAAGAGGTCCGCTATTGAAAATTAGTCGTCTCGTCAGCGAAAAGAGTATAGATAATATACCCAAGCACTGACCATGGACGCCCAGACTTTGGCTGAACGAATCATCGCCCAACATAGGAATGCCGAGCAAATCACAAGAACACTCCGCTAGGCGGTATTGTAAGGAGCTGGGAGAAGTATGAGCTCCAAAGAATATCGTTTAACCGCACGATATAGACCATACATTTGTTTGAGGGTCTCATTGCTAACGACAATATGGTAAATTTGCTGAAAGGAGTGGTCGAAGAGAGGGGCCATCTCAACACCGAGTTGACCACATTTGTAGAAAAGGGACGAACCGATATACTACCTGTTTTCAAGTCGGGATACTTCTCGATGAGTAGCTCAGTGACCACGAGCCCAAGGACTTTATCGCCTAGTAGCTCCAACCTGTGATGATGATACGATGAGATTATTAGTGACGAGAATGGCATCGGATTCGCTGTGTGGCTGGGAGTACAGAAAGATTATGCACATTTCGTTGTCCCCGATGCGTTTCAGCGCGTTGTCGGAGACTTGGGGTGATACAATCTTCTTCTCATTCACGAGCTTGTTGATCCACATTGGAGGACTAAATACCCTTGAACGTATGTTTTCAGAGTATATTCGAGGCAGTTCCGGTAGTGGTCGCAAAGATACAGGAAATGTGTGGTATCCGAATCTGTCGAACGTAATTCATGTTCGCGTCAGGATCTTTTTCGAATTGTGGTATCGTTCGCAAGTCGGAGTTAGGCTCGGACTCGCCAAAGGCAAAGATAAACGTACTGGAAACGAGAAGTCGCCTCGAATCCAACTCTTGGTATCCTCCTACCAGCTTTAGACGGTACAGCACGCGACACACTCGCGCCCATCCTAAGTACTAGCGAACTCGTCCCTCGACTCGGTATTCCTTGAAAACAGTCGCGCTCGCAGTAGAAGACCCTCGCCTCGCTATGAAGGTTGAAGTGCGACCGTATCACCGGCGCTAGGAGTAAGTAAGATGTTACGGCAACATCAGGGAACCTGGGAAAGGTGGATGTGACTGTGGGACGTGGTTCACAATTCTGGTGGCGCTAATTGCCGTTAGCGCTTGGGAACCGCCGGGATTGGCCGGGAGCTTTGTTCGGGTATTTTTTGGGGGTTGTGGCGGTGGCGCTGTTGTTCGCGGTCCCCCTTTAACTCACGGCATCTGCAGCGCACGTAGACGAGACTGGACGGTGATGGGAGCGATGAATGAAAACACCATACAATAAACGCGAAAACGCTTCACAACAAGAGTATGGAGGTATACATAGATAAACGGCACAATTACACAGAGTTAGCCAGTAGACTTCCGTACATCACCCCATTCGAACCAGACGACAGGGTATCTCATGCGATGGTACACCCGTCCGGGAGCTCTGGCATACCATCCGCGCCCATATCGAGTCCGGGGGGTAAGGCGCCCATGATCTCTGCAGGCGGAGATCCGTGGCTTTGCATCTGGGAAGAGGGAGATGGTCATTAGTAAGTGTAATATATTATCAATGAAGCAGAAAATGGATGACATGCACGTCAAGCCTAGGGTATGCAGGGAACGGAAGTGGGCAACGAGCGAGGGTAAAAGGAGCAACGGAACAGAACGAACCTCAGTCATGAGTTGCATGACCTCAGTTTTCTTCTCCACATCTTCGTCGCTATACTTCACGTCCTCGAATATCGCAACGATCTTCGTTATGCATTCCTGCTGGGCAACGAATCGCTCATTGTCCTCTGTGCTAAGTTTGTCCTTGTTTTCAGATAGGTATGGCGGGAACTGAACGTCACAAGGGATAAAGATGAGTATATCCTCTGAGGAGATATAAAAAAAGAAGCTGAGTGCAAACCTTGTCGTGGAGTTCCTTCAAAGGCTCATAGAGAATATCTTTGCTCATGAGCGAACCCATCATTCCCTCCAAGATGCCCGAGAACTCTTCATCTGCCTCCCCGCTGCCCAACTGAGCGATCAATTTCTCGAGATCGTCCGGCATCGACATCGACTCGCTCGCCTATCGAGCAGAGAGTCGTTCGTTAGAAATCAGTATCGGCCCACAGCCGGATTTATAAGAACATCATACCCTCAAGTTCGCCTCACTCTCCTTCAACTTCTCCTGCGCCTGCCTCACGCTCTTCAAAAACTCATCCTCCACATCCGCACCCTCCGGCAACGATCTTGTCTGCCTCTCCTTCCCTTGTCCATTCGCACCGGCAGCAGTCGCAGAACCCTCCGCCGTAGGATCAAGCTTCAAGCCCGCCATGGCCTCTTCCATCCCATCCTTCATCATATCGTCCCAAGCCTTCTTGAACATCTCCTCCCTCCTCTTTTCCTCTTCCTCACTAATCTCTTCCTCGCCTCCAGCGCCACCCACACCTCCCACCTGGTCTGGTCCCTGCTCGCCCGTAAACGACCCATCGAACTCCTTCATCATACTCTCAATGTTCTTCGCAAACTCCGACGCGAACGCATCAGAGAACGCGGCATCGATGCCTCCTCCCCCAGATGATCCTCCATCTAACCCCGCAGCTCCCGGAATACCAGAGGATGAGGGAGCCGAACCGCCTGTGAGAGGTGAGGAAGGGAATGTGGACGTGGGAGGCGGTACCGGTGGGATTTGTGGTGATTTTGTGGAGTCAAGTGCACCGGTCGAGGGGAAGAAGGTAGTTGCTGAGGGCGTTGAGATGGCACCAGGTGGGGAGCGGGATTTGGAGGATGGGGTGGGTGCGGATGGTTTGTGGGAGGAGTCGAATTGGTCGAGGACGTCTAGAATAGGAGACAGAGAAATCAGTTTTATGGCCTCATATATACTGTGAGGTGTTATTTAGGAAAATATATGTGGCTCTCTGGAGTAAAATGGCCCTTGCGTGCGTGATGCTACTGTCCCGCCACATCCGTAGATGATGCAATAGTAAATTCGCAGAGCTCTTATGAGATGCTACCATTCCAAGATAGAAATGGTATCCATACCATACGTGCATATGGAAACCATTCAGACCACGAAACTCGATAAGATGGACGTACCATCAAGGTCATCCAAATCCTCCTCGACGTGTCTTGATGCCTGAGCGCTCATCTTCCAAATATCCACGGATAAGTATCCTAGACTTTCGTTAACACTACAAGTTCACAGCAAATAACCAGAGATATCACAGAAAACGAAGGATCAGATACGGAGAAACCAAAGACTTCGGCGGGGTAACAAGCTAGAATCAAGCCGTCGTGGATTGTGGAGAAGAGGAGGTGGCGTAAATCAGAGTTGGAGTTTCGATCGCGTACGCGCGGGAAATATCACGTGTTTCCGGTAGCAGGGCGAACTCACGGAATCCTTTTCTTCAGATTTAAGTCACTCCACTGCATAACATGAAGCTCAACCATCTAGCCAACAAGGGCAGGTTCGTAGAAGACGGGTAGTATCATCAAAAGCATATTTGCTACACCCATTCTCGTTTCAAAGTCAAGTTTGTGTGAACTGTTGGGCTGAGGCACCCGCTGCACCATCTTCAACACTGACCATTACATCTGTATATCTCGGAGCTCTCAACCATCAACACGGTATCCAGCCTCAGGCCCAGTCTATAGATAAAAACGACCATCTCTAGACGGGCCACCACTAACCTAGCCCACCCGTCACACCCACATTCACTTCCACCCCGCCTGTGAACCCGGAGCCACCCACCGACACGATCGGGTCAACCAAGAACTTGAACCAAGAACCAAGATATCAGACAGAAAGTGTCGCATAACGAAAAATAGCACAACGTAGCCACAAATATCGATTGTCAACATCAAGAAGAACGAACCAAAAAATCGAGATCGAGATCATCCATAATAAGATAAATCAAACAACTAAAAAGTAACAGGTAGCTGACCAGCGGACTAGACGCGTCGGCGTGAATGTATGTATGGCCGAAGGAAAACTGTATCAATCAAATGAGCGACGGGGGTGTGAGCAGGGATATGTACACCGGGTAACTAGTACGTGATCGGAGAGGCTTGAAGAGGGGGCAGCGCAGAGGAGGACGGACGAGGACGGGGGTATGGAAGGGGTATTCTGGAGGAGAGGCGAGGAGAGGCAACGGTACGAAAGTCCCAAACAGAATCAATGATGGAGTGGCATAGAGAGTGACGGCATGGGGGACCGCCCAGGCAAGATGAGGCGAGCAAACACACTCAATGGTTGCTGCGCCTATCAGGGTGTAGAGATGGTGGATTCAAACACACACCTGCAGGATGCGAAGACCCTACAGACGATGGCCTGGAACAGCCCAGAACAACAGCGTCAACGCCGTCACACAAGCCGCCACAAGTATCGATACCCAGACCGCCCTTCCGATGAGTAGCTTCTTGACATACTCCTCCCGGATAGTAAGCGTCCGGAACGGCGTCGTCTCCGACTGGCCGAAGAAAACGAGGATGGGATCGAGCTCGTATTGGTGCGAGATGAGGAAGAGGATGGCGAACGTGAATGGGATAAAGAGCTGCAGGGATTCATTTGTTCAAAGTCAGAATTCGAAGGAAAAGGTAATGAGTGGGGGAGAGAACACTCACGAAGAACCGCTTCGCTTTCGGCTTGACGTCCAAAAAGACCAACGAAAACGCGACGGCCAACGCAATCCACAATATTATCAAACCCGCAACCAACCTCACCAGCGCACTAACAGGCGTCAGATTGCCAAACGCCTTTGCCCTCAAGAACCTCGGGAACGCATCCTGCTCCATCGCCCTAAAACAATACTCTTTCTGCGCATGGAACATATCCGGAACCTGAGCCATCAACGCCTGCTCCGTCGGTCCTCGGGGCTCCTGGGTCGAGCTGAGCGGGAAAGAGTGGATGCGGAGAGAAGGCGGGAGATAGATCTCGTGTGAATCATTCGCGCCGGGTGATGCGCCGGCGGGGGAGAGATAGCGAAGAAAGATGCGTTCCGCGGATTGGATGAGGTCGAGACGGGTGATAGCGGCAGAGCGGGGGATGATGGTGGGTGCTCGAGAGGCGCGTTTGTGGAAGAATGTGGGCGTGCGGCGGGTCAGTGAGAATGGCGTCGTGCTCCTCGGAGGGTCCTGCTCGCTGCCAACCATGGTCGCCGCATTTGGTGACATAAGTCGAGGATCTGGAGACGGACTGCGCGCCCCTCCACCATAACCACTAGTGCCACCGGTCTTCTCATCCGCGAGCATCTGTCGCTCGTGCTCTGCGAGCATGTCGTTCGTGGATGCCGTGCTCCGTTTGGTGCCATTGGGACCTGGTGCGAGACCGACGACGGTGCCGTAGACCGAACCGCGGCGACGAGCATAGTCCCAGTATTGGGGCCAATCGTCTTTGATGGTACGACCTGATTTCCGAACGTCCTTGAAGTAGGCGCGGCAGAGGTTTTCATGCTGTTGTACATCGAGCCAGAAATCGAGAATGTCCTCTGCGCCTTCACGTTGCAGGAAAAGGCTGTAAATATACACGTGTTAGCAGAATATTCATAATTCTATCATAAAGATGGATGGTAACAGTTATGGTTATCTCAAAGCCTCTTTGACATGAAGCATTATTCCTAACCATCTACTGTGAAACTCTGTGTGGGGATACCCTGATCACGATGACTGGCCTTATAATGGCAGACGTAGCTTATCATGCCTTGCTGCAGCCACGAATTCCACCGTCACAGAGATCGAGCTCAGACGCAAGCCACGATTAGAAGGTATCCTCAGCAAACGAGCATGGGGCCACTTCGCAAATCTAACTCTCCAAACACCATAGCAACCAAGCATCTTCGCAGACCAGCCTAACCAGAGAACATGTCTCGATGTTAAGAAAGATAGATGATACGCACTAAAACATAAACAAATCCACCGGCGGTCGTGTCCTCCTCGACAACACCTCCGTGAACGAGGGCAACCTGTTCTTCCTGCTCGCGGCCCAATCGTCCATCTGCTGCTGACGTTCGTCCTCCATGCCGATAGAAACTTGATTATAGGAAGCCAGTTATGTTTTCGCCGTCGCCGCTGTGGCCGCCGACGAGCACCTAAGTGGAGAAGGAGTAAAGAGCGTAAAACGTGGGATAAATCCACACCCACAACATGCATGCCAACCCGACGTGCGAAAGCTGCCCGTCGCTGACATAACTCTCTCACGTTTCTCCGAGGCTCTGCGTGTTGCCTGACGTCGCGGTCGACAAAGTCCACATTATTCTGAATACTCGAATCAGAACCAGGTCGATATGTCGTTTGCTAGAGCATTCTCACCTGCCTTGCGCGAAGTCCGTATCCTCTGCTCTCAGTCGGGTACCGCCTCCGCCGGTACACGGTGCGCTCAACATGCTCTATCCTTTTGTATGAGGTTCTGACCTACATTTGAATATTGGATTTATATCCCTCTTGTGCTCCAATGCTACTGCGGAGCAGGCAATTCATCCAGACGAACTACTCTACCATTAAACAACACAACCCAGACCTGCCAATCCTGATTAGGGAAGCGAAGGATACGCCAGCACGGGCATTTGCACGTTATGGTACGTTTCTTTCTTTGATTTTATCATGTTCATACTCAAGTGGTGTCGTGGTATGTGTAGAGCTTGGTGTGGAGAAGCATGTAGAGTTGGACGGCCTTTCGTCCAAAGATGTAGAGTCGAAGATTTCGACGCTGTTCGCATAGGTGGCGGAGTATTGCACGCAATATATAATTCTGGGGCATGAACATTCTGGAGCCATCGCTTGATATATTCTGGTGGACATAGACCAGGTCAGTCACCCCCGATCCCCTCCAGGCCCTACCTTCAAGACAGATGCACCTTACGCCAACTCGCGGTACACGACTCTTTGGCATCTCAGGAACGCTCTCGTGATCTGTCTTAGTGTTGTCTTCTGTTATCCAATGCCTCGTCTTGTGGGTTGCTTTATGTTTGTGTAACGACATTGCCGTAGAATGGGCCACAGCAGGCTCGTCCAACCTCCGAGATTGTACGATCGTCGACTACGCCTGTTCGGGAGGCGCAACTTTTATCACCTCCACAAGGAGTTATTGAGTCACTACTTGCTCAACCGTCTACCACTTGTTCCACCCCGATGCGTTACCGAGGTCCATATATTCATAGCCTGCGTAAGGCAAGTAAAGTATGGCGTCAAAGATCCTCTATGTTCGTAGCAGGCTCGGCCATCGGGCAAGACTTTTGTCTGCCTACATCCAGAGAACATTCGGGGAAGCTACACTACGCCGACGTCGATGTTTGGAATGTTCACACCATACTCGGTCATGCTATTGTTCAGTTGAACCATCTATAGAATTCAGGTCTTCTTGGCATCATGTTATCGTCGCGCTATGTAGGAAGGCCAACTATACTTCGCCGCAAAACATCACCTTATTCTTCAGTCTCTGCGCCCGGTCATGGTAAGCTTTGGCTCTACACCCGAGTCATGGGCCCAGTAACTGATGGTGGCTGACTTCCCTGGCCTATCAGTCTCTACGCACGTCCTTCAACATCAACTCGGGCTGAACCCACTCGACCGAGCCATACACCCGCAAGACCAAGTATAAAATGACCACACAAATGACCTCTACTTCTCACCATTCCCTCTCTCGTTCAACCTCCGGCTTCATCTAATTCTACTGAGGAATGTCAACAAAATCGATCCTCGTCATCGGTGCCACAGGCGCCCAAGGTCTCGCCGTCATCGATGCTCTCCTTGCCCCATCGACCGACGGGTCGCCTTTACCTTATGCCGTCCGAGCTCTGACTCGTGACCCAAAAAGTCGACGTGCGCAGAGTCTCAAAGCCAAGGGCGTCGAATTAGCACAATGTAAGGCGTTCCACCCATCCGTTCAGATATATCTTCGCCCGGCTTCAATCCACGCCTTTCTCACTATCTTTCATGATCGTTCATTCAATAGGCAATACGGACGACTTGGACTCTGTCGAAGCGGCGCTCAAAGGCGTTTATGGCGCCTGGGTTAACGTGGATAGTTTTACGGTTGGTGAGATGAAGGAGATGTGGTCGGGCATGAGGATTTTCGAGTTGGCGAAGAAGCTTGGGGTCACACATTACGTCTGGAGTAGCCTTGAGTATATAACCAAGGTATTTCCATCTATCACCTCCATCAATCCAGAGCACTGATCTTATGATTTATTGTGCTGATCATAGTTGGGAGGATACGACGAGAAGTACCGAACCGACCATTACAACGCCAAAGGCCGAGTCGCAGACTGGATGAAAGCCCAACCTTCCATCGTTAGTGATACCGATATGTCTTGGTCTTCCGTCTCCACGGGTCCGTACATGGACACCCTCGTCGTACGTGCTCTGCCCCATCCATCGGTCGTCAACTCTGCCCAGCCCACACATAGAATAAACCTACTGATATGCACCATTGCATACATATAGGAGGTATTCGCACCTACGCAACGCCCCGACGGCACCTTCGTCTTCGCCGCTCCCCTCGGTTCCGGCCACGTCCCGCTTATCGCACTGGCTGACATCGGATTTTTCGCGAGATATACATTCGATAACCGAGACTTGACGAGCGCAAAAGATTTGGAAATCGCGAGTGAGGTTATAGGATGGGATGATTTGGTGAAGACATTTGAGAAGGTGACAGGGCTAAAGGCCGTCTACAAACGTCTGGATATCAATGAATGGTCTGTTTTTACTTCATTTGTGTTCCTTTCGTTATCGATATTCTGACCTGACCTGCCATCTTGACCAGGCTCGACCTTTTCTTGGACCCGGACCAGCCCGTGGCGGCGGACCGCGTCAAGGGTGACGGAACGACGACGTTCAGGCAGAACTTCACGGGGTGGTGGAGTACGTATGTTCCTGTTGAGATTACTACGGCCCTCGACGTTGATCGCATTTCTTTTCTCGTGTCCAGACATCTACAAAGACGACATCCTGCAGAAGGACATGTCTTGGATTCGGGCCGTGCACCCTAACGGATATACCGTTGAGAGGTCAGTTCGCCACATCCATCGTCTATATCCCTGCAGTATCCATGTATCAGGTTCTGACTGTCACGATATCGTTGGGTATAGGTGGATGAGGGAGAATAATTACCGTGGGGAGTTCAAAGGCGTCTTGAAGCGTAAAGAGGATGCGAAGGGGCCTATGTTCAATCCTGAGAAGTTAACCGCTATCTGATTAGTTGCAGCTTTCAAGCTGCCCTCCGTCTAATCCTTCAAGGCGCTTTCGGGCGTTGCGCCTACCTGTCAGTTTTCTGCCTTACATACTCATAGACTGTGAGATGCACTGCCAACGCATCTGGTTTGGAGTTCTGTGTATTAGGTGTTGCTGCTCTGTTGTGTATTCAATGATTTCGGAGTGTATGTTTTGATTGCTCGTGAGTACTGCTAGAGCAATGCATCGATGGTTCATGTTGGGTGCCATTCAGTTCTGTGTGGCGCAGTGGGCCACAGTCTACGGTTACCAAGCAACGACGCGGCGCGGCGCGTCGCGCCTTTCCAACCTCCAACCAACTTCATTCTTTCGAACCTGTAAGCACCACTTTCTCGACGGGCTGATTATATGCGCCAAAAGTGATAGTATGTAAGCTCCTAAGAACCACACGCTATCGCTACTAATTGTGATGCTCAGAAACAAACAAACTGCTTATTGAGAGCCGTACTAGTCAACCTAATAACCATTGCTCTGAGGGCGAAGACGTCTCATAACTATCGGTGAGGAGAAATTAGGGCAAGTTCCACTGCCGCTGGTGGGCTAATGTTCAGCTCTTTATTAGTATCGTCAAATATGCCCAATGTAACTCTCGCCAGCGACGGCAGCCATATCAATCTTCCCTGCAACACACTGGCGCCGGCTCATCGCATCGCAGATGAAACCCTCATCCAAATATTTTGTTATCATACCCCACAAAACGATATCGCTGTTTCCGCGCCGAAGGACGGTTATGGTTCCGATACTTGGCTCAACATAATCCACGTCTGTCGAAGGTGGAGAGCTGTCGCGATCGGCTTTCCAGCGTGGTGGACCAATATCATCACCGTTGATCCCGACCTGACCAACTTCATGCTCGAAAATTCACAACCTATGCCCATCACTCTCGATGTCGACGTCTCTCCTTTACGGGGAAAGGCCAGCTATGCGCGTCGACTCGTGAAGGCTAATCTTCCACGTATTCGGACTCTGCGGATAGGTGGGGATCGCCGTAGTATGAACATAAAGCGGGTTCTGGAGGTCCTCGTACAGTGTGGGACTCCTGTCCTTCACGAGATCCAAATCTATGACGGAGGCATACACTACGACGACGACAGCCTTCCTCTTCCCAAGGACGTCTTCCCTACAGCCCTCAGAGTCCCATCGTTATACCTCAAGTACTGCCATGTCACCTCTGGCTCGGAAGCCTTCTTATCTCATCTCACCTCCCTTACCATGGAAGGCCCTATCAACGATATTTACGACACGCTTCGTTGCACCAAGGCGCTCACATTTGCTCACCTGAAGTCTACCGAGACGATAGAGGACTTCGATATCAGCATCGATGCCATGTCATGGCAAGGTACATTTCGAATCGTAGATCTCCCTCGACTTCGTCACCTCCACTTCCATGGACCCGTCGCATCATACACAGAGTTGGCAAAGTATACTTCTTTCCCCTTGGATGTCATCGTCACTTTGGACCTAAAGTTCGAGCGTAATCGCCAATACGGCGATCATGTGCGCCAAATGGAAGTAGAACTCCCCATTCTGCTCAAACATCTCGAGAATCGTTTCAAACGTCGCCAGGATGAGCTTGGGCTACCCTTCCGAAAGCTCCATCTAGAGCTCGAGGTCGGCCCCAGATATCAAGGCGTCACGATATCTGCCTTCTCCGGTCAGCCAGACGAACGTTTACCACGCGACGGTATCCTCACAGCAAGGTGGCGCGATCGGACGGCTGATTTGCATCTTCGGGTTGGGTGGAACAATGTCCTGTCGAAACTTGATATCGACGATATTCACGAAGTCGCTCGACAGCTCTGTCGTCGCCTCCCGCTGGCGGAGGTCACCCACCTGGGCGTATGCGGTGCCGATCCTTCCTATCTCCCGTGGTGGCCATCGACGTTCGAGCAGATCCGCGACATAGAAAAACTCGCGATCAACGGCAATCGGACAGTTTTCATCGTATCCCAAATTATCAAAGGCGATTTCCCAGTCCGTTACGCTGGAAAGTACTATAATCATGGAAGGATCCCAAACGGTCTCTTGACGGAAGATTCTTTGCGCGAATGGACTTCTCAGTTCAAGAACCTTCGCGATATCACGGTTGAGTTCACTTCGCATTTCGGTAGGACCATGGATGAAATGACGGACGGCATCATCCCGGCTCTTGAGAGTAGGGAGAGGGCTGACCTCCCTCGTTTGCGGTCACTCACCATACATGACTGTGATGTTACAATGCGAACGGTGCAAATTTTGGAGAAATTGGCGGACAAGGTAGTGTGGGACAAGAAGGGGAAGGGGATGCAGGATCTTAACTGTATCAGCATCGAGAGAGAAAACCGTCTCAGGGAGCAGCGCTTGCTTGCAGAGGCGGAAGGGGAAGAATAGTCGAATAGAGTAAACGCTTGCTTGTCTAACGAAGACTTTGAATTGGTTTCCAAGACTGATGACGGAGCAATTTGCGATTTAGAGCCACCCAGTGTGTCTACCAGTGCATGGCGGCCTGCAATGGGCGAGTTCATTGTCCATGTCATGGCCCAGCCGGAAAATCTAAATTCAAATTGGATCAGACTTCCAGACGGCAAACGCCGCTGCGCGAACAAAAACATCCCACTCTTCGAGTTGTTTGCTCAAAACCTGTTCGGAGGACATAGGTTCGACATAGACCGACGTTTTACAAACATACTCCTCGGGGTATTTACTCATTGGACAAGGCGATTTGCTGTCCAAGACAGCGCACTGACTGACGAAATCGCAGATTCCTGATTCCCGAAAGGTCAGTCGATCTTACTACTGTCAGAAGATGAGCCCTTTTTTCCTCACATGAACTGTTTGATCTCGAACCTATATTGAAGGATAGCTTCATGTCTGATGACACAGAAGACCTCGATGGCGCTGTTACTGCAGCAAGGAGGGCCTTAGACGCATCTTCCACCCCCGACTCGCAAGACTCTGGTGAGCAAAATATTCCCAATCAAGCATACCTGGATCGTATTCTGGACCTATCCATGGCTTTATCCTCGCGATATGACCGCTTTGGATCCTACGAGGATCTGCAAGAGTCGCTTTCCCTGGAGCTGAAGGTTGTAAAGATGCTACCCGAAGATCACGCAGACCGCCCGCTCTATCTCCACAACTTATCCCAGTCCTTGCTTTCTGCCCATACCGACCGCTTCACGATCAGCTGGGATGAATATCCTCAGTCTGATATTTTGGACGTGGCTGTTAGCTTCTCGCGACTTGCCGTCAATAGCGCTGGTCCGAACCACACAAGTCTCCCACTTTACTGTCACGGGTTGAGCGGCGCACTCACCATCCGCTTCCAGGATCGAAATGGCAACCAAGATGTTATAGATGATGCTGTCGCTGCATCTTATAGTGCTGTTAGCAGTATGAGCGAAGATCTCCAAACTCACGCCACATATTGTTTGGGTCTGACTCGCGCATTATCCGCTCGTTTTGCTAGGTTTGGTGACCAGTTTGATCTGGAACAAGCAATCGACTTCTCACGGATTGCCTACGAGGCCTTTGACTCTTCGTCTACTCCCCGATCTGCAGCTGCGTCGACCCTCGGAAAAGAGCTAATGTCACGGTATGGCTATTCTGGCGACTCTCAGGATATGGAGGAAGCCATCGAAGTTCTCTCGCGAGCTGTTGCTGAAACACCAGACGACCATCCATCCTCCCAGTCACGCCATCTAAATTTGGGTAATGCTCTCATGAGCCATTACAAGCGATACGGGGATCGCGTACACGCTTCACATGCCTTGAACCATCTCATCGCTGCTCGAGACGGACGCAACGAGCGAATATCACTGCTTGCCTTTTCTTCCCTTGGCGCTTTACACCAGACTTTATACGAGAATGGCAGTGGCGAGGACAATGCAGTCGAAGCAGTGCAATGCGCTCGCAACGCCCTCACGCTGCTCGAAGCCCGTCCGCATTCGTCTTCGGACAGTGTCTTCTACCAGGACCGATTGAGCGATACTCTACTCACTCTCTACGACTCCACGAAGCAGGAGACATGGCTACACGAGGCCATTGGGCATTCCTACGGAGCTGTAGCAGCTTGCCCCGAAGACCGTCCAGAGCGCTCTTCATATCTCGCTACTTTGGGGCTGACGTATTACATGCGTTCGCAGACCGCTTCTGCAGATGCGGAGGACGACCTCTCGAAGTCGGTGAGGTACCTTCGGGAGTCTATGACTGCGATGGATTCCCACAATTCCCGTCTCCCTCAGGTGTCCACCAACTTCGCTCGTGCGCTGCTTGCTCTCGACGACGCTAGACGCGCTGTCAAAACAGACTCTGACAGCCTAACAGGGGAGGCGCTGATCGAGAAGGCTTACGACCATTACCGACGCGTTGTGTCTTCTATGACCGCGCCACCATTGGTCCGTATAGATGCTGCACAACAATGGACAACCCACGCTCAGGCCAACAACCGGATCGCGATCTCACTCGAAGCGTATCAGCTTGCCTTGGACCTCATCCCTGAGGCTCTCTGGATAGGTGTTGATTTCACCATGCGCGTTCAGGCTGCTTCGAGGGTAACCACGCTCGCTGGGGATGCAGCGGCATGTGCCATATCATCCGGAAATCTACCTCTTGCTATTGAGTGGCTCGAAGGAAGAAGGAGTATTCTATGGCAGGAAATGTACCAGACTAGTCGACAAAGAGTCGACTTGGATGCTTTGCGAATAGTAGACGAAGCTTTGGCCGATCAGATTTCCACCTCTGCGGAAATGATTGAGAATGGATCTATGCGGCGTAATCAACGAGGATTCAACATCCTCGATAAGGACGGTTTTCCTACTGTCGGGGTGATGGACGACATAAGTCGGCGTCAACGGGATGCTGCGAACGAGTGGCCTGCTCTCCTCGGAAAGGTGCGGAAGCTACCAGGATTTGAACATTTTCTGTTACCACTGTCCTTCGACCACCTTCGTCAAGCTGCTAGGAACGGGCCTGTTGTCTTCCTGAATGGAACTCAGTTCCGATGCGATGCCTTAATCCTCCTTCCTGACTCCGTGGATGCGCGCCTGGTGGAAATTCAGGCGAGCTACGAGGCCGTATTGGCGATAGCCTTGAAATTTGTCCAAATAGACAAGTTGCCGGGAAGAGGATCACGACCTCATAGGCCACCAGGGTCCAATCCAGAGGATGTGCTTCGCCGGGTCCTCGAGTTTTGCTGGATCCATGTCGTGCAGCCGCTTATCCGCGTCTTGGACGAGGTATGTCTGCATCTGTCTTGACGCTCGCGATCAGGACTGACTGCCTTTATCAGATACAACCAATCCCACCTCGTACCAAACGCCGCATATGGTGGTGCTGCAGCGGTCCTTTCACTTCATTGCCACTTCATGCAGCTGGCATCTACACCGAGAGGTCGCAAGTCCAATCGATATCCAACGCCATGGATCTCCTGATATCCTCTTATGTACCGACGCTGGCAACTCTCCTTCCCAAACCCACACATCATCAAACACTCAGTTCACCCGCAATCCTTGTTGTAGCCGTCCCAAATGCCCCGAATGCTTCCTCAATTCCTAACACTCTCATTGAACTTCGTCTCATCAAGGAAATCGTCCCGAAGTCGACGCCTCTCCTCTCCCTCGAATCCTCAGAAGCCACGATCTCCGCTTTTACTACCGCACTTCATTCCCATTCGGTCGTCCACCTAGCCTGTCACGGTCGACAGAATGCCCTACAACAGGACGTTCTCAAGAGCGCACTAATACTGCACGATGGCCCTTTACAGCTCTCGGAACTGATTCAGACTCCCCTACCTCACGCCGAATTCGCCTTCCTTTCGGCCTGCGAAAGCGCGACGGGGGAAACGACACTTATGGACGAAGGGTTACACCTTGCGGGTGGAATGTTATTTATGGGCTTTAGGGGCGTTGTGGCGACGTTGTGGGGCGTCTGGGATAGGGATGGGCCGATCGTGGCGAGGGCCTTTTATGAAAGGCTTTCTGAACTTCCTTCGTCAAGTTCAAAGAACGAAGTCGGTTCTGACTCGAATGCGTCATCAGGGTTGAACGATGCAAACTCGGAGGGAGGGGGAGGTGGGATAGGTCACGAAGGGGGACTGGATGGGACTCTGGCGGCTGAGGGTTTGAACGATGCGGTTCGGGTTCTTCGTGATTCGGGTGTGTCTTTGCTTCGTTGGGTCCCTTTTGTTCATCTAGGTGTTTGATTGTGCCAGCGTCCGCCAGTACAACGTTTTGGCAAACTTCCATCCTGGCTGCTTTCTATAGGTTGCTGACACCTTCCAGTCTTTATCCATCGTTATACCGTTTTCCCATTTGAGGTATGATCATACAGCTGATCTTCTTTTGCGCCGTCGTCGTATGTTCAAGCGTTAAGCTCGCTATCGCCTGATCATTAATTAAATCGTTTGGGTATAACATTGGCGGCAACTCAAAGATGCCGCTGTATCCAAGCCTTAAGAGGCAAACAGCTGTTGGTTATATGGTTTCATGTGAGTGAGCGGAAAGTCTTGCGCCGGGCAGGCAGCGCAGCTGACGCCTAACGACTCAAAAAACCTGCTTGGGCGCCAGGCGCGAAGTTAGCCCTGATGCACTGACTCGATACTGCGTATCGTCGACAAAGGCGTAGTGAAACTCAGGGTACCATGTTTCAGTTTTGTATCAGTTTTGAAGGGGCCGTGCATGGATGTAGGAACTCAAACGGTTTGCAAACGGTGCGCCACAGTGACACGGAGAATGAAGACACTCGTCCGGACGGGGTGTCCGGTCCGAGGGCAAAGAGGCACTGAAACGGAGATTTATTCCAGATCTGAGTCATTTTGGCATCATAAATGATTGAATGGTCCGATGATGGCTGTGCCAAGAAAGGAACAGTGTCACTTTTCCTCCGGGGCCTTCAACGCCGTAACAACTTGTCTCGTCTTTTGACCGCTCTTGTTCACGAACACCCATCTCTGTCTACTATCTTTTGTACGGCGAACACCAAACAGTCCATCTCTGCTTGCTCTTGTATTATTTGGGCCACAATACGCCGATAGTCTCGTTATCCGAAAGAAATAACGTCAATCTCACGGAACGATCTTCTGGTCGGAGGCAGTTTCTTTACGAACTTCATCGACTTCATTTTTGACGGACTCTACACGGAACCACATTTTTGTTTGACAGTATCCAAGTAGCTCCACCAGTTTCACGCCGCTCGTCGAGCTAGAATCTTATACTACTCAAGATGATGTGGGATTTACGACAAGACAGGGAAGGAGGAGGACCACCGCCGCCGATCGTCACGGCGGCCAGTCATCATAGTCATCATGGCCCGCCTTCCCCGATTATGCCGTGCGTTGTCCTAGGTTCTACACATATTGAGTTTTTTTCTATGTACTCATGGGAAACTCTCTTCTGCTAATGTAGTATGCCTTCACCGTATGTGGAACATCGGCTTCGCACATTTATCTACACTGACATCACATCTCATTATATTTCTTGTGTCGATGTAACAGACAAGACTTTACACAACCCCCGGAGCTCGTGCAGCGCCCTCCGAGCGCCACACCGTACGGTTCTGTCCCCTTTCCTACTTCGTGCGTTTATACACTTGCCTTTGTTCCTCCGCGGAGGCGGTCGCAACTGACCTTGCTCGTACAGGCCCTCGTATGCTGGGTATCCCGGTTCTGCTACGGGGTGAGTAACAATTTACTTTTGACCGGTGCCTCGTGTGAAAGCACTATATTGGACGACGTCGGCCAAGGAGCCGCTCGCCAAACGCGCACGGCTTTGACGGCGAACAATTTTGGCCTACGGTACCTCACTTGACACGCCCTCATCCAGACTGCTCGTCATGTTCTATGTGGACCGCGGCCCCTTGGCGTGTGATGCAGACGGCAGGTGTCTTGACTAGAGTTCGGTGGCGTCTCACGAGCAAGATTTCTTGTCCATTGTACCATAAAAATAGTGTTGTCTATGGCACGTTTCATGCCAAGTACGCCCGGCAGAGATATCTCTGCTGCATTACTTGAAATCTACACCTGCTCTGGATGGAAGGAAGGAAATTGTCCAAAGCATCTTGAGCTGTATTGTTTCCGAGTTTGTCGAGATGGGTGGCGGAGGCAAACCAGGATAGGGGCTATGTGGCGCTTCCGATGTCTCTCCGACCCTCTTTCTAGCTACGGTCTTTGGCAATGTGACCCAGGAAAGGACGAGTAGCTTTTAAAAATGTATCGTAAAAATGGCCGTTGCATCGTGAAGGTACTAGTGCGATAGGGGTCATATACTCTATTAGACACGGCACGGCCCTCATACGACTCTCTTCGCATATCCAGCTTGAGCTTCGTGCATCCTCTTTTTATACATTGGATTTTCGCATCCTAACTTCAGCTGATAACTTCGAACTCTTGATTTTTCATAGACAATACATGCCCACACCAGCAAATCCTATAACTCCCACGGGTGCTCCAGTGGGCTACTCCCGCTCCCGAAGCAACTCCTATAACCCCGGTGTTAACGTTGGTGTCAGCGGAGGTGCTTATCCTCCTCGAGAACGCCACACGTCTCACTCATCCAATTATGATAATGGAGGTTATCCGGACTACGAGAGAGGCCGGCATGATTCATATCGAAGAAGTCGTCACAATTCCTATAACGGAGGTCATGGTGGCGCGTATGATGATGGCAGGCCACGTTCAAGGTCGAGACATCATTCGCAGTCGCATTCCCATGGGAGGACGAGGAGTCGAGCGAATTCGTATAACAATTTGTCAAGTGGACAGCCGCTGGTGTCCCCGGGTATGACGTCTTGTACGTCCGTTCGTCGTTCAACCTCTCCGTCTTCCGTCTTCCATCTCCGTCATCTTTCTCGGCCCCTTTACCTCTAATCTATCTACCAATCCTCGCTTCTCATTGTTCCTCTATTCATCGTGAGATACTGACGAATGAGGTACCCACCTATCTTGAACCATTCAGATCCCTCTGCACCCGTCCCCGCAGTCTACAATGCCTCCGTCCCATCCTCCTCCTCCCACCACTCACACTCCCACCCCAACCGTCCGATCCCCCACGCGCGCTCCTACTCCGGTGATGCCCCTTACACCTCAGGAGGTGTCTACGGCGACGCTTGGGATATGCGTACGCTCGCGAGTCAACTTGGACCGCCTACGGCCACTTCGGCTACTGGTATGGCTGTGAGATCGCCTGTCGGGTGGGATAGAGATGCGGACGTTCCGGGTGTGGGGGTGCAGTATCATTCTACTAGGGATGTTGGGGACGATGGCTGGAGGGCGGAGGAGAGGGATAGGGGCGTTTTGATTAAGCATTCGAGGCATCAGCATACGAGCAGCCACCATCACCAACCCCATCACACTAGCGGTGGGAGTGGTGGAGGGCATCATCATAGCCAGAGTTATGGTGGAGATGGACGGTATGGTGATGGGAGGTATGCGAGTGGAGGGTATGGAGGTGGACATTCGGGTGAAGGGAAACATGTAGCGTATGGGGATAGGTCGGGACAGCACCCTGATTTTTGTTATTCCAAATGTTCCGGGAGGAAGAAGGCTCTTTGTGTGAGTATCTGCTTCCCTTTCTCTCTCGAACGGCATGTCGGTCTTCGTCCCGCTGCGGACGGGGATTTTGACGTTTAGGGTGGCGTGTGGCGTAGAGTACCAGGATCGCTGACATTTTGGTTCGTTGACGTGGTCGGTTCTTTGTAGATCGGGATCAACTACAACGGAAGTAGGAATGAGTTGAAGGGATGCGTGAACGACGCGAAGAGCGTGTATCATTTCCTCGTTAGTACGTGCATGTCTTCTCACTTGCTCCTCGTCTCTTTTGCAATTCCTTCGCATTCTCAACTCCCCTCCCTTCCTTTCCAAAATCTCTTCTACCCCTTCCCGCTTCTGACGTAAATCGAAAAATCTGACTGACTTGACCCCATGGAATAGATTACCACCACTACAAACCTGGCGACATCGTCTTCCTCTCCGACGAGGCCCGCGACCCGCGTTCACAGCCGACTAGGAAGAACATGATTAATGCGATGAGGTGGTTGGTCCAGGGAGCGAAAAAGCACGATGCCCTGTTTTTTCATTGTGTGTTTCCATACTTTTACCGCGAACTCCGGGGTGTTCGGTCGAAGTACCGATTTCTTTGGGTGACGATTGCTGACGAAGTGGGTGTGATAATTCAGACTCAGGACACGGAGCACAGACGAAGGATAAAGATGGGGACGAGGTTGACGGGTACGATGAAGGTCCGTGTCCCCATTCTTTCAACGGAAGATTTGGGCATTGACTAACTCCTGTTTTAGTTATCTTCCCGGTGGACTTCAAACAGGCGGGCATAATCACGGACGATGTTCGTCTTTCGCCATTATCTAAAGGTTCTGAATTGTGTCTCATATGGTATTTTCAATTATGTGCGTGTGTAGGAATTACACGATGTGATGGTGTCTAACCTCCAGCCTGGTGTGCGATTGACGGTAAGCATTTTTAAGCTCAAACCACTGCTTCGCGACGCTGACCAGTCTGTACGGCTCATCTTGTAGGCCGTGTTCGACGTTAGTACTACTCTTTTGACTATCTATTCGCTTTGGACTCTGACCGTGAAGCTTTTATAGTCATGTCATTCCGGCTCCGTACTGGGTATGTCAGACACTGCAGATTCGCCTTCCTCCATACTTGCATATTGATCAGGGACTGCTATTACAGACCTTCCCTTCTTATATCATTCTGACGGGCGCCTACGACACAGCGATGTCACCGCGCGATTCAGGAAACTCAAGGCTACCCCTGCTGATGTTGTGCGTCCAATCTTCTGCCCACTGCATAGCTCTTCTTCTAATTATAGTCCTGGGTCTGCTCTTGACGATGTTTGGCTGGCGTACGTGTGGAATAGATTACCTGGAGCGGGTGTAAGGACTCTGAGACGAGTGCAGATACGTACCAAGGAGGCTTGGCGGTTGGTGCGATGAGCTACGTGCGTGTCGTTTCTTCCTGGGACCATCCTGAGAATTGAAGAGGGCTATACTGATACTTGGTGTTCGAATGAATCTCATAGGCATTCATCAAGATTCTGAGTTCGTCGCTTGTCCCTGATCCCTTCGACGTTTGCCTTTACTGACTGCCCGTTGTAGAAGCCAACCAGAATATATCTTACGAGCATCTGTTGCAAGGTCTTCGGTGAGAACTCCCAACCATATTTGTTTAATCGATGATGCGATAGCTGACGATGTGGTTGGTGCGTGTAGAGAAATCTTGAAGAGCAAGTATAAGCAGAAACCGCAGCTTTCTTCGTCTCATAGAATCGTGAGTCCTTGCTCTCCCTCCATCTGTCGCCTGATTGGAGCGTTGCGCTGTCGGCTCACAGTCATATCTTGCAGGACACCCATCTGAAGTTCGTTATGTGATCCTGGGAGTGTGTGTAGGTGTAAGATGTCGATGTTGTAGCAAGAAGTTACTCGGAGACTTTGTTGTTCTCGCCTCTCTTTGACGTGTGTAACTTTTTGGCGAATTCTTGTTGTGAACTGTTCGCTGTACGACGCCTGTTCGTCGTTGTATGTGCACTACCCCTAGTGTATCCTATCATCTTGTTTTGAATACTTTACCTCAGGCACAAATATTCTATCTTTGTAGCAGTAGACCTAGCATTCCTACGTGTCACTCCATTCCTTTCAGGATCACTATCGTATTCAGTCGTTTTATGAATGTAAGTTATGTGATTTTTTGTATCCCCAAGTTCTCTTCCATGAGAAGACTTTCTAGATCACTTATCGACCCCCTTATGCTACGCCACCCTGACACCGATATACAGCTCCTCCAGCTGACCGACGCAAACCGAATGGGCCAGCAGTGGGATAAAAGGAGAGATGTGAGTGTATTCATACAAGAGATAGGCATTACAATCAAGAGGCTTTCCGATACAGTCTAAAATACATCCAAAGACAACTTGAATCCCTGTCATTCAATCGTCTAGTATCTGGTCCGACGGCGACCCTTCACCGCTTCTTCTTCAAGACATGTGGCTCAATCATCGGACTCTGAATGCACGCTTTCCAAAGCTGTCTCCACGAGATCGGGTTACCCTACACACATCGTCACACATACGTTAGTAGAATATTCACAATTGAAATCATAGCACTTAGAAGAATGAATAGAGCGAGTGGCGCACCTCGTCCCTCCTGAAGACACAGAAACTGCCCGAGTACCCATTCCTCGCAAAGGACTCGACCTCTACATATCCCTTGAACTGCACCCTCCTCGCATCTAGACCACCAACGCGGCACTTCACGGAAATTCGTTCCTCTGCGTCGGTCTTATCGCTGTCGCTCATGTCCTCTGAGGGGCGAGGTGGATTCGAAGGATGAAGTTTGGTCTTGCATCCGAATGAGCGGAGGACCTCATCGCAGGCGGTTAGGAGGTCGTGTGGAGGGAGGGAGGCGTAGAAGCGAGTGAGATGAGGCGTGTAACGCGAGCCGGATTGGGTTTGAGACTGTGGAAAAAGACCATTAGAAGAGGTGAGTGGATGGGGATCGGCGAAGGAGGGACGTGCGAATAAGAGCAAGTTCTCTGTGAATTGGGACAAGCGTGTGGCGTTCGTCATCGCTTGATCAACATCTCCTTCTTCACTTTGCTCTGGTGCCCTGCACGACAGTAAATTCGAAGACTGAGTTCAAAACGGGCAAATAAAAGATTGCAGATTACGCTTGCGCTACGCACTGTGAGGGCATTTCAGGGTTTGCGACGTCCATGTCACCCGCATTGCGGAGAGCCTCTGTTAGCTTGTCTGCGAGGACACCGGGAGCTTGGCTTGCAAGTTGACTCGGGCTGAGCATGTGGCGGCCAGGATGAGTTTCGTCCTTCTTAGAACGCAAGGGGTAATGGAAAGAAAGGACATACCGGAGAACCCAGTGGTGTCGAAAGGCGTCCGAAAGCGTCGCTCGCGTTTGAGGATTGACATCGAGCAATCGAGTAATCAGTGCTGTCGAACGATATTTAACCGTCAGAGTTTGGCATCATAGGCGAGGTAGAAGGGTGAGTTGATGTCGGAGGTACTGACATATGACGTCTGAGCTCATTTTTGTCCATGGTTCGTCCCCCAAGAATGCTCCAGAAGTATATCGTCGATATTCTCGACTCTTGATGGTAGGTTCATCCCATGGTGTATCTGACCACGACAACATAAACATATTTACATGTATGCAGGTGGTTAAATTGACTTACTCCCAGCCAGCATGGTGAAGAGGATGACACCTACGCCCCATACGTCAATCGGCTCGGCAGCGTACGGTTTCTCTGAGTCTAGCTATACAACGAGTAAGAAGTGCGTCGGTATGACCCTTCGCTCGGTAATGGACGAGCTCAGTGGTGAAAGAAGATACCTCGGGTGCCACATACGGCAAACTGCCGCACCTCTCCGACAGCAGCCTTGTTCGCCCAGTTTCCTTCAACTTGTATACGGAACATAGACCGAAGTCAGAGATCTTCAAGGTTCCGGCTGCATCGAGGAGAAGATTTTCGGGCTTCAGGTCGCGGTGGCAAACGCCTTCGGTGTGTATGTAGTTCTGCAGGAACCAGAAAGCGAGAGAAGAGAGAAACAGAAAGGTCAATGTGGGCTGAATGAAATATCATGATGGACAAGATCGCGCGCTTACGAGTCCGTCTATAAGTTGGCAGAAGTATAGATGTGCGACTTCTTCGCTCACACCCACTTCGGGTGCTGACAAGAAGTATCACAATGATTAGTTGTGTGTTTAAGGCAGAAAATACAATGGATGGTTGAAAAAATAATCACCAATCTTGTCGAACAGATCGCCGCCCGCTGCAAACTCGAGTAACATATAGACTCCTGGATGCCAAGGCGTCTTGTCATCAGGCTCGACGATGACAGCATTAATGAACTCCAAAACATTCTGATGCTTGAGGGCAGCATGAACCCGCATCTCCTTGTCCAAAGTCTTGCGCTCGATTGCTGTGGTCTTCGGTGTTAACTGGACGACTTTGCATGCTGCCACACGGTGATCCTCTATATGGACTGCTCGATAAACCCTGGACGGCAGATAAAATCATCAGTATGATGGTTTACTGATTCCACAGCTTCATAGAGTTTACGTTGAAAATCCGCCACCACCGATTTCTTTGATGAGCCTATAGCCTGTTACGAATTATGGTGCCACACTCAGAAACGCGTCTATCAGACAATGCTCGATGACCCACATACCAGAGATCTTCGGAAACTTCAGGTCTAGCGTCTTCGACATGTCTGTCTAGCGCGATTTAGCAGGAGAGTGGCAGAGATGTCGGAGGAATGAGATGGATGGTCGCAGGAGAGATGGTGGTCAGAAAACAAAGGGTGTCGCGTTGCAATTGGCACGCGTCTTTGTTGATTGATTGATTGACACGCGACTGTCACATACACGTGACCGTGACTGGCCAGTGGCCACCCATGTGTGGCGCCCGCTGCGTTGTTCACTAAAAGGACCGTGGAAAACATTGTGATCTCAAAGTGATCCAGGACACAAACTCGGAGACTCAAGTGCAGTACATAGAACAGTACGGCAGCAGTAAAGGAAATGTGGCCACAAATCTCAGGTACATGCCGAATAGCAAGAAGATCATTCTCGCTCAGATGTTGGTTAGATGAGAACAAGCAGCAAACGTAGGCAAAGAGCGGCCTTCGACGGCTGGATCCGTTCGCCCGTTTGTGCTTGAACCAATCAGAAGTACCTCCCTCCCTTAGCTATATGCATCGTTACCACTCTGTTAATGGCGGATAGCTCTTCCTCAGACAGCTCGATGTCCCCACTGGCGGCATTTTCGATGGTTCGTGCCGCTTTCCTATTCGTCGGCACATATGAGAAACAATTCAGTCTCAAAGCAGGCTTTCACTCGAAGATAGGAGTAGATAGCGAATGAAAGCAGAGACATACGCGGACCCGGGAAGGGGAATGACTTTACTGCTCCTCGACGCCACCCATGCGATACACAGTTGAGCGGCTGTGACGTTCTTCTTCGCAGCAATGGGAGCGATGGCGTTCGATATGGCAAGGTTGTGCTCGAAGTTCTGTATGGAAAGGGACGGCGATCGACAAAGGTTGTTTTGAGTTTGAGGTACGGACAGAGATGATGGTTCAGTGAATAGAGTGAATTGACTCGTCCGTACCTCTTTCTGGAAGCGAGCGAGATCTTTCCGAACGTCAGTGACTTCGTTCGCCATGTCCTCATACTTCTTCCATTTTCCGGTGAGGAATCCGTGGCCGAGCGGTCTATCATAATAGGGTGAGTATGACAGGCACTGGTCATGGCGGGAGAAGTGAAGTCACGAGTGCGCAACAATGGCAATGCCCAGTTCTTCACAGGTGGCGATGACTACCGTAGGCAGAAATGTAAGATATTCCTTCAAGATGCAGGATATATGACGATACCTTACCTTCCTGTACATCCTGACCATACGACCAGGGACTAACCTCTACTTCAAGAGCAGTTATAGGGAACGTCTTGACCAGCCATACATCAACGCACGTGCCGAACGCAATGCATTTCCTAAGACTGACCGAATGTGCCTGTCGAATAATACGAGAATCGAGAACTTCCGACAACCCAATGTGGCCGAATTTTCCCTCCTGAATAAGTTTGCCGAAGATTCTGGTGGTCAATTCGATCGGCACTCCTTGGACCGGACGGGCTGATTCGAACAGATCGATCTTCTTTGTTCCACGAAGCTTGTCATTGATAGCGTCGACCCTTCGTCTAATATTCTGCTCTCTAGATTAGTAGGTTATACGTCATTCAGTGAGTAAAATGAGTATCGAAGCAAAGATGTGGAGGGACGCACAAGGTAGCGGCCGATCCACCGTAGGAAACACCAGTCTGTCATCATTGCCCAGAGTCAATAGAGGGCAGCAATACATACGCCCATTCAAAAGCATGCACACCTTTACAGACAAAAACGCCTTGTCGACATACTCAGGATACTTCTCAAAGAAGCGTGCTAAGAGCTCGAGGTTCGCGGTAGGAGGATTTATCCCGTAGAATTCAGCTTTCGTCATCAGGACCCGTCAGCTTCTCAATATCCACTACTGTGGAACACTTCCCTGCCAAGACATTGAGAGTGCTTACCGCTATTGAGGAACATTTTCGCGCCCGGAGGGAGCAAGTCCATGCCGGCCTTCATCGATTCAAAGCATTGTTCATCCGGGTCCGGGTTTTGCTTCCAACTGCCACGGTCCTGGGTCCATCACTGACATTTAAAGCGTGGATATGGAAGAACAAGCGCACGTCATCATCATGAGGCCTTGCTACAAACAAACCAATGGCATTAGATAGTGTTGAAGTTGAAATCTCTGTGGCGCAGGAAGGAACATACGCCAGTCTTTGCCACGACGGAGCTTTCAACAGAGTTTGAGAGAGTGACTGTCTTGCTCAGCATATTCAGAGTTGGCGTGTCTGGGAGAAAAGTGAGCTTGAGCTGGAGTGGAGCGGGATAAAGGACGTAGACTGTGTGGAGGGTAATGACGAGCAGAGTCCAATCGTAACGGGTGACCATTCGCATTTGTATTCGAATGCTCTGGCGAATCAGAGGAGCAAAACCTTGACCTCCATTCAAGTAGCATCCAACGCTGACTTACCACCAGGAGGTATAGTGGGTCCTTGCTGGGTCCTTGCTGTGATATGATAAGACAAAGCGATTTAACCTACAGCTTTAGTAGAAAGCGCTTGCTGACTGTCTGATGAACCGTCCACTAAGAAGCGCCGATCTCACGTCGAGGAGCTGACGAGGTGATGTGCAGGTACAGCCCGCAATGGCATGCAAATCTCCTGACCAGTCGGGGCTGAGAGCAATACGAAGAAAGCATATTCTATACCCAATGAGTGTCGACGCGACAATATGGTTGTAGGTCAGAAGTGATCGCCACGTTGACGCAGGTCAACGCGCCCAACAACAGCTCGGCAACGAGCGTGAGCAAGTTCGAACTCCGAGCAAGAACGTTCGGACGCCGCAAAAAGCATGCATTTCACGGTGAAGAACGGAGAAATATAATGTCCAAAAACGATTCATTGATGACATTAGAAGTTACAGTCTATACGGAAAAGAGAAGCATATAAAATGATAGGACCCAAACGCAGAGGACGCAGAGAGAAAAATCTATGTGAGTGCAAGAAACGAAGAGGAAAATAATCGAGACAACGTCGTGAAGATGATGGTATGGTAATACTGTAGCGAGTCGACGTTGTCTGGTGAATGGAGACGTATGGTCGTACAACTATAGATAAGCTTGAACTTCCAACGGATTTCACTTCTACCTTCGTCACGACAGCGCTATAAGTACATGGATAGGGTGATGAAGATTGGAGGGAGGTGCAGAGCATCGAGGATTATATACAGTACGCAGACATCAAAGCCGCCCAGCCACGGAACGAGATGGAAAAGATAAACAGAGGAAGAGAAGCTTACGAAGCCTCGACACCCCTCAGGCTCACGGGCGTAGTCGGACGTGAGGGCACAAGCGAATGACCGGCGCGCAAGTCGGGGAAGTAACCCTCCTGGGGAGTGGGAACTCCAGGCAGGTTGCGAGCAGCGAACACCATCTTCGCGCGAGGGAAAACGGCATCAGCGGCGATCAGCTGGTTTGCGGCACCGATCAAGGCCTTGCACCTGGCGTCGACGACATCGCCAGAAATTCCAACGCCCCAAGCGGACTCCGACGAGGAAGCAGAGGAAACATCGAGGATAGCGGCGATACCTCCATCGCAGTTCTGCAAATGGGACTCGCCGACGGTGAGCTCAAGGTCGAGGTGAGACTGGAGGGCGTCGCGGAGAGCAGCGACGGGGCCACGACCCTTGCCTTGGATGTGGCGCGACTTGCCGTCCACCTCGATCTGAGCATCGAGCGAAACATGGGACTCGTCTGCGGCACTGTTAAGTTCTTCAGAGTCGTCGGACGAAGCGGTAGACGGGGATAGAGGGCGAAGGTCGACAAAACGAAGGGCAAGACGGTCGGAAGGGGAGGGAGTGAGACCGAAGGTAGTGTGGAAGACGTCTTTGAGGAGGTTGACGGTCATCTCGCGTTGGGTACGCTCGCTCTCGTGCTGTACGGCCTTGTAGAATGCGACCTGCATGCGGCGAGGGAGATCGATGCCCATGGTCTCCTTGATGATGTAGGCCGCGCCTGCCTTGCCACTCTGGCTGCTGACACGGATGAGGTTCTCGTACCCATAGCCAAGGTCCTTCGGGTCGAGCGGGATGTACGGAACCGACCAATACTTGATCCCTTCTCCAGTCTGATCCACCTTCTCCCAACGCTTCCTCTGCGACTCGAGACCCTTCTTGATAGCGTCCTGGTGGGTACCGGCGAAAGCGGTGAAGACGAGCTGGCCGGCGTAGGGGTAGCGTTGAGGCGTCATCATCTCGTTGCAGCGACAGACGACCTCGACGATTTCGGGAAGGTTGGAGAAGTCGAGGCTGGGTGAGACACCCTGAGAATAGAGATTGAGCGCGAGAGTGATAAGATCGACGTTGCCGGTCCGCTCGCCGTTGCCGAGGAGGCAGCCTTCGACTCGGGTACCGCCCGCGAGAACGCCAAGCTCTGCGGCAGCAACAGCAGTGCCTGTGAAAAAAAGAAGTCAGTGATTGACTCTTCTCGGAGGCGAAGAAGCGATGCTCACCTCGGTCATTGTGAGGGTGGATGCTGAGAATGACATTCTCTCGCTGGTTGATGTTGTTCCCAAAATATTCGACCTATCATTGGTGGACGAATGGGATTAAGCACGGGAGGAGCCATATGGAGTGAGAAGGAACGTACCATATCGGCGTAGTGATTGGATGGGGCGCATTCCACGGTAGCAGCGAGGTTGAATGTCACCTTGTCATCGCCAGGACCGGCTTTGCCCCAAGCCTCGAGGACGCGGTTTCCAAGCTCGACAGCGAAGGTGGGTTCTGTCTGCGAGAACGTCTCCAGACAGTAATTCAAACGAAAGTGGGTGCCTACAGAGACGAAGTTAGTCAATAGAGTCGGCGGGAAAGGGAGGCGGCCGATGCCTTACCAGAACGAGCGGTCTCCTCCTCCGTGAGCTTCTTCACGAGGCGAACGGCATTGAGGGTGAGATCGATGGTCTTCTCCTCTGTGTTGCGGAAAACGACCTCGCGGAAGAGAGGCGAGACGGCGTTGTAGAGATGAATGATCGCCTTCTTGGCGCCTGCCAGCGAAGCGATGGACTTCTCAATGAGGTCAGCACGAGCCGGAGTGATGATCTGTGTCAATCGCGCGGTCAGTGCACTGAAGTGCGACAAGAGGATCCAAATTTACCTGAAGAGACACGTCATCGGGAACTTCGTTGTTCTCGATGAGATATCGGCAAAACTCGAAGTCTGATTCCGACGAAGAAGGATAGGCTACTTCGATCTCCTTGAAGCCAATTTTGACGAGCAGTCTAGGGCCGAAGTGAGTGAGTGTTTCACATGATATAGTCAAGAGATGAGCACATACCTAAAGAGTTCGAGTTTGGTTTTGTTGTTCATTGGATTGATGAGTGCTTGGTTGCCATCTCGAAGATCGGTGGACAGCCAGGTGGGGGCAACAGTGGTTCTTCGGTTAGGCCATTGGCGAACGTAGCCGGGAGGGAACGGCACAGTGGGATAAGGGAGATACTTGGTAGCGGGGTCGACACTGTACCGGAGGGACGGTAAGTATGGTGGGCATAAGATAAACCAAGAACAGAGGCTTCTTACAGCATAGGCATGGTCGAATATAATCGTTGAGGCAGTGTTGTGCGAGGTAGATACAGAAGCGGTGTTCAGATGAGCGACTTTTGAGGAGGGGGGTCAAGAGGTAATGGGGGGTCGCTGCGGGACCAGCCTCAATTTATATTCAAAGAGACCGCACCAGTAGCCGAACGCGTCAGTTCGATCCATCTTGAGTTTACTCAAGAGCTGCGGTGTGAGAAGATGGGCCCTCACCAATGGCGAGCGCGCTGCCCCAGTCCAACAGACTGATAGCTGGAGAAGCACGCCAGCGCTGGTTCACTACCAATCGCGCAGAAACGGCCCCATTTGAGGGTACCAGGGGCCCACAACATGCTCCGAGGCACAGACATAATGAGAGTCACGGAGGTCAATGCCACCGCGGTATGTGCAAACATGCCTGTAAGGAGCCTCCATTGGAGACCCATATCTGGCTTCAATTCATTAGATGGGAGTGTGCGAGCGTGGCTACAAAAGAGGTCTCTCGCAGTTACAATGCTATTGGGCAGATCGCGAGCGAATGAGGCCGGAAATCATACGCTTAGCATTCACAAGGTCTGTCAGAGACGGGGTCAAACTATGGGCCTCCACTCGTAAAAAGCACCCAAAGCATACTTGCAACGCAATGACCAAGAAAAGAATCAGGGCGATTCCTGTGAACGGGGTGGTAATGGCCATCATCTGGAAGTCTATCGAGACGATAACCTCACAACCCAAGAGCGAACAAGCATGCATGTCGTCTCCCTGAGTTCGGTGAAGAAGGTATACCAAGCCACACCTTGCAACTGCGAAGGTCAAAGACGTAGGTAAGCCTAAAGACCTATCAGTGAAGAAGGACTTCGGGAGCCGATGGCAAGTCGACGGTACGTTATCACGACTCGGGGACAGGTCTCTCCAAAGCAAAAGTGCGGTCACAGTGAGAACTTACAAGAGTGTGGCCCAACGTTGCTGGGGGATAAGCATGGTGATGTCACGGAATGCTGGGACTCGGGGATCCACGAACTCTGTGGCACTGCAGTCCTAATGATGGATGCAGGCTTGGCAGTCCCAAAACAACAAGCATGGCAATGACTACCCTCGGTAAGAGCGATAGAGTTTTCCCCGACAGTTCTCGCGAGATGACTGCCTGGTGATTCTGTCGATCTTTTGGCTACGAGTGTCGTTTACTGCTTAACCGTCGGTAGCAAGGTCATGAAAATGAGAATGGAGACGCTCCAAGGCGTCCTATGCAGCAAAAGTCGTGTATCAGAGCGTGAAAAACTCTAGGGGACTAGACGGAGTGGGATATGAAGCTTGGAGGGACGAGCGGTCATTGTGGCGCGAGCGCCCAAGAAATTTTCTGGCGCTCGGGGAATGCCGGGCTGTCCTTGAATGGGAACGGAGCTTTCTCAGCTTGCTGCGAACCACGCACCTCTTCCTGTCTTTCTCCATGCTTCCCGATGGCTACTCGTGTCTAACAAGTTTTGAGCCAACGTTTGCTCCCATGCGAAGTTTACGGTGGCATCAGATAACCACACCTTTGTTCGTCCTCGGCTGGGCACTGATCTCGACGTTGTCAGATACTCTTTGTTTCTCCGTGAGAGTTCGAACTTCGTTTTCGTATGGCCAGGAATGCCCTATAACTTACGATATCTCTGGACCTACCGGCACACAGCTGTAGCAATGGAAGATACGCTATAGCCGAGGACTAATACCAAGCCAGAATCATCTCTTGGGCTGCTAAGAGACCACCGGAGATGCTCTACTGGGGCTCGTTTACTGACTGTTGTGCTCGTCTTTGGTTTACTCAATCGATACGCGGTCGCACGCGGAGCGCGAGCTCGCTCTCCGATACAGGGTGGGAACGCTACACTTCCTCACGATGTTCTCATCGATGCACAGGGTGATGACAGTGCGCGATGGCGATGGGCATCTTTCACCCTGGTCACTACTGATTACTAGCGGCTCAGTGGGAAGAAGTCTGTATCTACGCAGCGCATGGGCAAGTCTCTTTGCATTATCAACGGGATAAGACAGTGACATAGCCCTCGGAGATGGGTGGCGCGTTAGCGAAAGGTCCTCACGACCCCGCTCATTCCTTCGTTAACGTGGGCGGCGCCTGGAGCCGCCATGTCTGAAACGCAAAATCTTGAGCTTTAACGTCGATGAGACCCTGATCGGGAGAAACAGCCTCAGCTTCTCATGCTCTGGCTGATACATCTTCCAAGATTACTGTGTGTCCTGCCGATGCATTTCGGGCCAAGCCTCACATACAGTTCTCTGTTCTATGTTGGTCGAATCAAGCCTTTCTCGACTCGACAACTTCTCTCCGTAGGCCGATGAAGCTACGTATGTACCCTTATTTCGGAACAGCCACCGCTATCTCCACCTATCCATAATTCGGGTACCCATGCTAACGGTCTTCGTCCATTTACCGCAGCAGTCCAATCGAAAACGAGGCCAGCTCGGCGAACCGTGCATTCAGGAAAAAAGCGTCCCTGTCCCTACCTTCTCCATTCACGAACAGATTCTGTCATCACTCCATCCCTAGAGTGACCCCACCTCGCTCTTTCCCCCCTCACCCTCTCTAGATTTCTGACCTATCTCGAACTGCCCGCTCCTTTCTCTATCTTTCAACGCATGACGATCACTATTATGGACACAGGCAGTACACGTCCCTCGTCTCTTACAACTACCCGTGACCCGGAAAAAGGCATAGACGGATATGTCTCTCCCTCATCCGCGTCCGCGAACGAAAAAACACGGCCATCTTCAGTTTCTTCGTCACACTCTCAACCACTTACCGTCACTTGGGACGGACCCAACGATCCGGAGAACCCAAGAAACTGGACGACGCGTAGGAGATGGGTAGTGACTATGGTTGTTAGCCTGTTCACGTTCATAAGGTTTGTGCTCGCTCTCTCTATATTTGGTGCTTGCAATGCTTATTGAGGGTAAACCTCGCAGTCCGGTCGCTTCTTCCATACCTTCCCCATCACTTCCGGCGATCTCGAATGACCTTCATCTTCCCGTGGGGTCCATCTTGCAAAACATGTCCCTCTCGATATTCATCTTAGCGTATGCACTCGGGCCTCTTGTATGTGAGTATTTTCAGGCGCATTGTGTGCGAGATGAATCAATGCTTAACAGAACTTCTAGGGGGTCCACTCAGCGAATTATTTGGACGCCTTCCCATCCTGCAGTCATCAAACATCTTCTTCCTTAGTAAGCAACGACATATACTTCTTCATGCAGGTCTGACTCATACTCTATCAGTCTTCAATACAGCGTGTGCTTTTGCCAAGACTCCCACTCAGCTTCTTATTTTCCGATTTCTGGCAGGTCTTGGTGGTGCTGCCCCTCAGTCTGTTGGCGGTGCCGTGGTGGGAGATCTCTGGGCTCCCGATGAACGCGGGAGCGCCATGAGCATATATTCTCTTGCACCCCTCGTCAGTCTTTTTCTTGGGCGAAATCTTGTACCGTGTGCTGAACCGTCTTCTCCCGACCCGTATCAGGTCGGCCCTGCCACTGGACCCCTTGTGGGCGGATGGATTGCGGAGAAAAGCGAATGGCAATGGGTGTTCTGGAGCGTTAGTATAGCCGACGCACTTCTCCAAGTTGCAGGTTTTGTAAGTCCATCGCCTTATCACGGAGTTTCTTCCTTCTTAAAACTTTTTTCTTTGTTCCATCAGGTCTTCATACGTGAAACGTACGCAGGTCAGATTCTGAGGCGCCGCGCTGCCAAGTTACGGAAAGAAAAGAACGACCCTCGTATTCGATGTGAGTTCGAGACTCCAGATCGTCACTGGAGTCGTGTACTCGCCCGCGGCATGATCAAACCGTGGTACTTCCTCGCCACCGAGCCTATCGTGCAGGTCCTTGCACTTTACATGGCAGTTCTCTATGGCTTGCTTTACTTGACTTTGACCGGTGAGTGTCATCTAGTACCGCTATCGTCGTTCTTCATGACCTTCCACTGATACTCGTGTATCTGCCAGCATTTGTCGAATTATTCACGGTCGAATATGGACAGAGCGACGGTATAGCTGGCCTGCACTACTTGTCTATTGCTCTTGGCTCCACTGGTTTGTTCATTCCACACTCCTATCCATTCTCCATCAAGTTACCCTTCTTCCGTACCAGTCGGCGGCCAAGTTGGCGCTCGTGTCCTCAACAAGGTCTATGCAAAGCTGAAGGCCAAGAACGGAGGTGTCGGCACACCCGAAATGCGGTCAGTCATGATCCTCTTGGCCTTCCCTTCATCCTTACTCCACACTAAAACTTCTTCACTTCGCCGCGTCTGTCAGGCTTCCCCTCCTCATGGTGACGGCGACCACACTGCCCGTTGGCCTTCTCATCTATGGTTGGACAGCGCAAGCACACACGCACTGGATCTTCCCCGACCTTGGCGTGTTTATCTTTTCCATCGGAATCGGAGGTAACTGGACATGCATCCAGACGTATCTCGTAAGTGTCTCTCCCGCAGTCTCCCACACAGACAGTTTTCATCTCATTGTCTTGGTTGTGCACTTCGTGTACAGGTCGACAGTTACGCCGTTTACGCCGCGAGCGCCATCGCGGGTGTTACTTCGTTCCGTGCCCTTGCTGGATTTGGTTTCCCGCTGTTCGCGGATAAGATCTATGGACAGCTTGGAAACGGTAAGCTTTTTTTACTTCACAATTCGCTTCTCCTATCGTTATACTGTGCTGACGTTGTCCTCAGGTTGGGGCAACACGATCCTCGCCCTCGTCTGTCTCGTAATCGGATGCCCAGCACCGTTTGTGTTCTACAAGTACGGTCCTGCACTCCGAGCCAGGGGACAAGGGGCGTAAGGTAGGGTGACGGAATAGACGCCACTGGCTTTCGGGAGTCCTCATTTTTGCACTGTTCTATCTTCACAATCGGGACTGTATCGTGTTGGGCCACACATTATAGAGTGGCCCCTATGTGTTTTTTCCTTCATTTTCTGCCACAATGTAGCCTCCATCTCCGTTATCTGCCAATGTTACGGTAATCTTAGTAGGTTCAACCTTCTCAGAGACTTACGTTTCTACAGTAACCTGCTATGGAATGAGTCGACGACGCATAGTGATGGGGCAGCTCACGAGGTCCTCTGCTAGATCACCTTTAACGAGGTGGCAGCGGGTGTTGCCGGTGTGGCGTTAGGAGCGAGTCCGACGTGGCCACACTGAGCATGTTTGGTCATAGCGTTCATCATTCCTTAGTACTGTTGGATTCGGTGCTCATTTGTCTTCCTCTCGGCCATGAAGGACAGCAGTGGCCGCCGCCGAACCCGACTACTGTTCAGACGACTAGCCGCGACAACTCACAGTACGCAACACAATAGCACATCACTCGCCCGCAACTTTGCCCGTCAGCATAAATAGTATCCCATACGGTGGCTGCTTCCCTCATCATCCATATTTTCACTCATCTTGTCTCTCGTCCTCACCAAGCCTCTCATTTATCTTTTTTTTCGCCGCTCATTCCTTCCTTGCTTGCGCACAATGGTTACCGTGCTGCCAACGCGATTCAACTTCGTGTGCTTTGCAGTACTCCTGGCTGGGCTGGTATCCAACCAGGCTGTCGGCCTAAGTTTAAGCAAGACGAGGTATCGTCGTGCGGCTGAGACTGTCCCAGGATGTACCACCGGCAACACTACTACTCCGTTCGTTCAAGGGGACACATGCGAGGGTATTGCTGAAGCTTACAATGTCACTCTGTAAGTCCCGACCTCTGAATCCTGTGTCTAAATGGATTTCCTTCGTTCTCAATGTGACCTTTCGGGTGGCTGATGTCTGCACAGATTTGAGGTCTTTATAAACGCAAACCTCTCTGGAAAGAACTGTGATGCCCTCAACATTGGTGATGTATGTCGCCAGCTGCTTTGAAGAGAATGTCGCTGAATTCTGTTTATCCACTAGACTATGTGCATCCAAGCGAATGACCAGCCAAGATGCATACTGGGATATCTTACCGAGGACAATGTTACATGCGACGAGATCATACAATCCAATCACATCCCCGATATCAGCACCTTCATCGCCAACAACGGGCTTGATAGCAACTGCACGTTGCGCGCAAATGAGGTAAGAACTTCTTCCTTGGGTGCTGAAAACGAAACATCGAGCTCATATTCCCATCAGACTGTTTGCGTGGACAACGCAGTAATTCCCTACATTATCACTGGACTCAATATCACGGAGGATGCTTGACGTCGCAGACGTGCGATATCATGTTGCCTTGATGGTAGATGACAGAAGACGATGATGCTGCTCGCAGTTCGTTTCGTATGATATCTGTGATACCAGAATATAGTACCCACTACTGGTGGTGGTTACACATGAGTTATTGTTTATCGTTCGTCGGAACTATGAGTGAGCTTTACCTAGTAGCATGGTGCCCCCTTGAGCTTCTGTACAGACTTCGCTACCAAGGACCTCGCTGCCTCAACACCATCCGGCCCACCTCTACCTTCGATAATGGCAAGCAACCCCGCATACAGTGCGTACCATAGAATCTTCGTCTTCTGCCTCGGAAAGACCACGAGAGGTCCCCCGTAGCCCTCAATAATAGCGTCATTTCGCTCCATCAGCGTCGCCTCCATCATAGGATCTCCCCACAAACCATGTTCCCAGCCGATGAAGGCGATAATCTCTGAGTCCTGCTCTGTATCCTCAAATGGGATCTCCACCAGTATCGCATCCTCGTCATCCGTAAACGAGACGAGCGATGGGACTTCGACATCGTCAAACAGGAAGAAACCGATTGCACGAGAAAGGCACTGGCGAAGCTCGACCATGGGCAATGATAAACCCAGCTTATCCTGGTGACTCTCGACGTGTGACAAGAGATCTTCGAGGAGGAGTGTGAACGCCTCTTGCCAGCTCCAGGCCCTGTCCTTCTCCCGGGCAGGCGTGCCGAACCAATCGTTCTGCACCTGGTGGAGTTGATGTAGATACGACCCTAGCCTGAGGTCAAGCTTGAGGGCTTGAGCTTGCGTCACAGATCGACGCGCTTGTGATAGCGTGACGAGTGTTGAAGAAGAGGCCGTTGCGGACGGTAGTGAAAGAAGGATGTACAAGTATGGGATGACGGATTTCGAGGTATCGAGGGCTAAGTACATCGGCACCGGCAGGGGTGACGGATTCTGAGCATGAAGAAGGTCGAGCATAGCTTTTTGTGCTAAAAGTGTGTTTCGCGAGTATGTGGATCGGGAGTTGGCCTCTGGCACTGTGGCCCTCAAGAGGTACCTGCTCTCGCCACAGCGAAGAGAGATAGTTGCGGAGGTTTGGCTGTGTGGCGCCATGAGTATATATCGCGACATGAAGCAATAAGTATATGTCCTCACGTTCTCAAAGATATTATATTCTCAAAGGAGGATATCGGCTCAGGTGGTTGAACATGTTGGTCCAGTGTGTCCTGCAGTTCTTGAAGGGAGAGATCGATGGCGATCGACATGATACTACGGGATAGGCCGTCAAACTAGACACATCCATTGGATTCGAGTGAGAGTTTGATTAGGATGAGAGTATAAGACTCTTACGTCTGGTAGAACGAATGCTGGGAAAATACCTAGGCAGTAGCAACGTACATACGAGTAGAAGAAGGAAAGGTACTGTGCGCCCGGATGGCTTTGTGATCTTATCTTATCTCTTGCATTCTCACGACTCTAAAGCACTGTGATCTTATCTCACCTGGACACAGACGCACGCGTTCTTCCGGGCCGTCCAAGTTCAAGTCCTTCGTCTCGACCTTCACCATCGTGGTAACCAACAGCTCGCCAGGTAGGGTGTGCAGCTCTGTTGATTTATATTCGGTCAGTGGTTCAATCAGAAGACTATACTCTTAGATATCTGCGAGCTTCGAAGCAAGCTTTTCTAAATCTGAAACTGTCTCAGGCTCGACACCGTCATGGTACCCAATTCGCAGACATACCCTTTTCAATCTTCCACAGCGGTCGCAGGGAGTTCCTTCCCTTTTCAGGCATCCTTCTCCGATATGGCTTTCCCAGGACATATGTACTCCTCCCAGTCGCTGTCCGATCAGAACATGGACCCGAATTCTCCGGAACTGTTCAAGGCAAACATACGACTTGTTCAAGAGCAGTTGAACCATGTTCGTAATCTAGCGAGAGAATCCTTGGACGGGATGTATGTGGTCATTTCTGTACTTCCATGGCCAACGATCTATCTGACGTCCTATCCTTTAGCGAAAGAGCTTACCTTCCCCAGATAAGTCCTGCGCAGACAGCAGGTACGTGCTTTTATCTCTCCTCCACATCAGTGCTACATTCAGAAGTCACGTTACAGCCAACATCGCGAATCTCAAGCAAGCCCTTTTCACCCTGAACGAGCTCCTGCGATCTACTGGCGTTGGTGGATTGCCTGTGCTTACCCCTACAGCTACCGCAGCACCTCCAGAGGATCAACTCGCCGATCAGACGAACAAGACGATCAACTTGGTCTTCAACCGTCAGAGCAAGAATCAAGAGGCTGCTGCAGACGTTGCCCATATTCTCGCTGCACCAGAGCAGGCCTTCCGTCGATGAAGACGAGTTATAGCCAAAGTTTGTAACTTACGACACCCTATTGTACTTATATGCCCGTAACCCGCTTTGTATTGTTCTCGAACCGTCTAGCTCCTTATTCACCTATGGAAGTGTCTCTTCTTCTTTGTGTCAAAATGGATACCGACCCCGACCCCGCACTCGTATTCAAGCCTCCCAACATTTCAGTCTACTTTGACTATTGTACAAAATGTGATTGAAACCTCGCTACAGCTCTGACATCAGGATAGCTGGCCAGTAAGTACTGAGGAAGCGTGTCGCGAGATAGCGCCGCCGCTCTTCCGCCTTCATTCCCAAACTCTGTCCATCCCATCGTAACTCGTCCACCACGCCTTATATACCCGGCCTCATCTCTAGCACGCAGCATCCCTGCAAACGTCGTCAGATAGGGACGATCTTCTCCGCCACAATCGCCCAGAACAATTTCGCGGAGGTTCGATGGATGGACGTCCGTCCACTGTTATGCTCACCCTTGGGTACGCGTGGAACGGCACTGTTGGCGAAAACAAATTGGTCTTCGATCTCGAAATCGGGGTCGGCGAGTCGGTACAGTAGAAGACGGACAACGTTTTGACTGAGTCAAGATCGCTCCCTACTTCCCAATCTACGTCGAGAAGTAGGGCTTGTCTCGCTGCTGGGAGGCTGGTTCCTTGGTTGCCTATGTTGTAATGATGTTATGGTTGGGCAAGATTGCGAGATAAGTATGGCGGCACACTGTGCGCTGAGGACACTAGCGCGATATTATCCTAACCCTAGCATTCAACTCACGACTCATGCATGGCAGCGCAAGTTGAACAAAACGTTTCGGCCTCGCTTATCCCCTAGTCCGCGGTCGGACTTCTCCTCGTTGATCGCTAGAGATATCTAGGGAACTCTCGTAACGCGTCGATACATGGTATGCACGCATTACCCAGTGCTTCATTCACGATGCATACACTTGAATCTGCGTACACCAGAGTTGGTATCCCGACGCCCGCACAGTAATATACAAAATAAACACTCAAGAATCCACTCTGTACGAGCGCGAAATAAGTCCACTGAGGCCAAAACTAAGAAGCTCATGTGCTGTACACGAAACTCGGATCGGAGAGGCAGAAGGACGAGAAAAAGCCTAAAGTGATAAAAGACTAAATATACGGGAAAAGATGCGAGAAATAATAGGATTGTATGAAGCTGCTAAAAACTGCTCTCGTCATAACTTCGCTTTCATCTTCCTCCAATGCTTCAATACGCTCAACAAACTAATGCACCCAACTTGCAATACCTCGTCACCCCTCTCCCAGTCCAACAAGTCTGCGTAAAAACCATTCAGCTCAATATCCCTGTGATGGTGACTCTCGTCCTCCTTTTTCTTTGTGAAGACTGTACCCTCAACGCTTCCCCTGAATACGTTCGCGGTGTGGTCGAAAGTCGCAGTGGGTAGGACGTACATCGACGCCCGGAAAGAAGGCGAGTTAGCGATGGCATCGGAGATGAGAGCGTGGGTTGTGGTTGGAGGACCATTGGAAGGCGGGTGTTGTGGAGAGGGATAGACCATATCGAGGGCCGTTGCAGCACCGCAGAGAATGCGACCGACCGACGAGCAGTTTGTGAACCAGGCGTTGCGAAGACCTAACATAACGTCGGGACGCTTTGTTATGAAGCCTCTCGCTAGTCTGTTGCACAACGCCTGTGTGATGCCGCCGGAGGAAAACTCTGGTAAGATGCATACAAGCCCGAGATGGAGAACTGGATGAGAAAGCGAAGGGATGTCGAGGAGGACGCCGGAAAGAAAGGCGATCACGCGGTCAGAGTTGGAAGGATCATAAGCGACGGTGATAAGCTTGTCGTCTAACCCGTCGTAGATAAGGCATTGGTATTGAGGTAGAAGTTTGGGAGAGGAAAGACCGAGAGATAGTGCAGCGACATGGCGGAGCTGGTCCACAAATAACTCGATCTTGCGACGAGACCAGTGAAGCCCGGGGCGCTCGTAGTAGGCTATGGTATAACGCGGTTTGGTGGAAATAACTTCTGTCTGAGAAGACATCGGTGGTACCTGAGACGCACAAGCGGTAAGCAGCTCTTCAATGTGAGTGACAAAAATATGTTATGCATACGGTGTGTAAACTCTCGGTATAGAGAGAGAGAGAGGGCGTCGCGTCGAACAGCCCCCAAGGAATTCGTGAGAAGTATGGCTCGCTGGTGCTCATGTGCAGCTGGATAGGTGTTCTCTCTCTTGAGAGCCAGGCATGCATCTGAGAAGTATCACCATTGCAGCTATTTGTATCAAAAACGGGGATCAACACGATACAGGCTAGGGGATGACACCACAATACCTTATACGGGGCTATTAGCCGGAAGAGGACGGTGTATGAAGAGTGGTTCGAGTATCTCATTTCGTCCTGTACTCGAAGACGGTTCTAGGGGTACAGACAATTTATTGATAAATTCTCTTTGATGGTAGACAACTTGGGGTACTCATGTTTTTCGTGCAGGAGTGTTGCACCTCACTAAGAAAACCCAGTCGATAGAGTACTAATCATCGCCCATGAAGTCCAAAAAACACAGTCGTTTCATCGGGTATGCAATGTACCGCAGTGAAACAGCGTCGTCCCAGGTTGCATCAGCTTCTCGTCCTGAGGACTGGCCGACTCGAGCGTGTACAGCGCATGGGACGAATTGATGTAGTTCTGATGAGGCTTACGCTCAACAGCAAAGGTTTCCGTTGAACACACGCACCTTTTCATCCAGAAAACGCTCTCAGGCTGAAGCGGCTAAGCAGTGCATCAACTTCCTGAGCTTCTGATATCCCGCTCTGTTCAGTGAGCTCTGCGCGCTGAGAGCAATCACGGGGCCACTTACAATGAGTTGAGACTGTAGTTCAGTTCAGAAGCGGGTTTAGGACGTCCATGTAGCCATGCTCACGAATATTTCAGTTCCGCATCACCTAGAACTGTTGTGGTATCAACAAGACGATACGAGTGAGCCAAATTCGAGCGAAGTAGCTGAACTTTAAGCTCCATGATTTTCCCTCGGCGCCGGAAGAATCCGAAGCTCCGATTGAACCTGCACGAGTAACTCACAATTCGACCCTCGTTGTCAACTCGTTATACTTCAAATGTACACCACTCCATATTTCTCTTCATCATCTCTCTCTAGCCTCCTTCCCGCCTCTTTCCGCCACCACTAATCGTAGTCTTTTCGTACAGCTTGGCTTGGTGATGATGCATGGACTATCTATTCAGTAACATCACTGTTACTGAACCCTGTCGATTGATATCTATTTCACCCGTCAAGGGGAGTATTGGGGCCCCTTGACATGGGCTTTACGGGCTTCTACTTCCGGGTGCGCCATGTGCGCCACATCTATATCTGTCGCTTTTCTCAAGATATTGTATACGAATGAAATTGGTTGAGCTCTCAGCTCTGTAGAAAGTTGGCGTTGTTCGGCCCGGCTTCTCGTCACTTTATGTCGTAGAGGTTGACCATATCAACCGCCTCGCGATGCATCGTCAGTACTATGAGAAGCAGTCCGAGGAACAAAATGACTGGACTTCTGAAAATGGCAGTTATCGCGATCACTGGCGCCTACGGGCTGCTGTTGTCCGAGACTTCCTTGATCAACCGTTCTCCGATGATCTTTTCATAGGTTATTTATCTACTTCGCACTGTGGGACGATTCTCAGGACCTGCATTTCGAGGCGCCGGTCAGACGTCTCTAATCTTCTGGGTGTTGTCTCGAACAGATTGCGTTTCCTAGCCCTGTTCACCCTCTGCCACCGATTTTCGAGAACGATGGACGCTGGAGCAATAGAATACAAGTTGTACAAAACACGCTTTGCCGGTCTCTTTGGCATCGTACGTCTATTCCTTGTCTTTTTCCATCCATCATAGTAGCTGATGACCCTGGTCTTGGTAGTTTGTCCTGTCGCTTACATCGCAGATGGCTTGGTCATGGCTGGGCCCCATCGCTAATGATGGTATGTGTCTCAACTTGAACATGTCTCTCTGAGGTCTTAGGTTGAATCATACTTGTATAGTATCTCAAGACTTTGGGTTCACGCTAGACCAAATCAATTGGTTGAGCAACATCATAGCCTGGCTGCACATTCCCTTCACCGTCGCTGTCCCGATGATGGTTCAAAGATATGGAATCCGACGCTGTGTGAGTCTTATTGAATTTTATTTCATTACTTCGACTTACTGGTTCTTTCATCCCGGGAAGTGCGATGTTGGGGCATTGGGACTTCTTTTTTCAGCGTGGCTTCGATATGCTGGAACAAAAACATCTTCTAAGCAAGGATCCTATGCGCTTCTTATCATTGGACAGGTATGATTATTTGCATCATTAGTGACTTTCTCACTGACTACAGGGCAGACTATCTCTGCGGTACCACAAACGATCTATCAGGTATTGGGTACGAAATACTCGGAAACCTGGTTCGACAGCGGCGGAAGGACCATGTCAACCGCCATCCTCAGCCTAGGTGATACCATCCCATCTTCATACCCTCTCATATGGTGCTCATCTTGGTTGTTTCAGCAAACCCCCTTTCTGGTGTACTAGGACAGCTTCTCTCCCCGATAGCTAAGGATCCGCGAACATCAGTACGTGGCCCTATGCTCTTTGAATGTTATCCCGGGTCAAACTGATGTATGTACTCTGAACTTTTGTAGATAATGATATTGACTATCATATCCACGGTCGCCTCTCCTCTGGCCCTCGCCGTTGGTAACAGCCCACCTACACCTCCAAGTATGCCGCTCTCCACTGCGACTGCAAATAATCACTGACCTTCGACTACAGCTTATGCGGCTTCCGTGTCTCAGCAATCTAACGAATCTATATTCTCATTTGCTCGCTCCTTGGTCAAACACGACCCATCAAGGACTTCCATGTCCATCAGCGAACGGAGAGACTTTCTCAGCTTGCTGCTCATATTCGGAGCCTTTGTCGGCGTGTACGTACCTCTTTACTATCCATCTCCTTTACTCTGTGGACTCATACAGTGTTGGCGGGAAACATAGTACCAACACATTTTCAATTCTGTCCAATCAGTTTCTTGCGCCGGTCGGATACTCTTCGCTCATATCCGGCGCTTTAGGAGCCACTCTTTTAGGGTCTGGAATTATTGCCTCACTTGCATCCGCCCCTCTATACGACCGTATCTTCACCCGCCATCTTGGTCTTTCCATCCAAATTTCTTGTCCACTTGTAGCTGGCGCTTGGATTGGGCTCATCTTCGCCGGTATGTCAGTGTTTGCTATGCCATTCGGCGAGTGAACTGACAGTGGTACGCAAGTGAAACCTCATAACATAGGGGCTTTGTTTCCTTTGATGGCCGTCATTGGCTCCATATCTGTCACGCTGTTGCCGATAACTCTCGAGCTCGCAGTAGAGCTAACGAGGAACGCTGAAAGTTCAAGCGCCTTCTTGTGGCTTTTGTGAGTATGCGCCTTGCTGCCTGCGCACGTTCATCAGCTCATGTTGTCCTCGCGCATCTCCGTGTTTAGTGGGAATTTGTTTACATGTATCTTCATTCTTGGTGCGTATAAGCAGATTCTACGCAGTCGTAAAATCATGGGCTTACAGGCAATCTGTCAATTCCACAGTTGAATCCGCGCTTCGAGCTCCAACATCAACCATGCCACCTCTCAACATGAAGCATGCTCTGATCTTCCAAGCTGCAGTCGTCGCCAGCGTCGTCCCATTCTCAATTTTCTTTAAAGGGAAACAGGCTCGAAGGGAGAGGGACGAGGCGGAGGCTAAGAAAGCTGTGTTAGCGCTGGCTATCGTGGGGATGGAGGTAGAGCAGAAAGAACATGAGAACGAAGCAGGTAACGCTGCTACCCCTGAAGACAAGGAGGCTTTGCCTTGAAACATTTAGATCATGTACTTTCGTGGTTACTCTTTCGATGTCGGTGAACCAGCGCCACCATTGCTTACTGAATAGAATGATATGAAGCATCGAGGCCTTCTACACTGTGTATACCACATGGAGAGCAGTCAATATACTCACACTCACCCGGCTCCGCCAAAGTTTGACCAGAGCGATCATTGTGCCGTAGGGCCGACGAGACTTCGAGGCTCCAACTTCAGCGCTCAGCCCGGGGCTAATTAATTTACATGGTAAGATCCATCACTCATTGAAATAGAACGGAAAACAATCAACCGCTTCAGCCGTGACGATCAAGGCTATTCCGTATTTCGCGCGTCCAAACGGAGAATGCTGACTTACCTATGTTGAGGACCCGGCTCAACTTACGCAAAACAATCAGATATCGCTCCAATAATTAGAGCAGAAAGACCAGGTGCCCGTGTCTCTCCTTACACCGGTGTTAGCGTTGGGCTGAGGTATCTGTCCCGAGAGCCGCGGGGAGCAGGAACTGAGGTGACTGACGAAGGAAGTGGGCAGAGAGCCTGAGAGGGCGACAAAAAAACTCGGAGGACGTCAGCACAGGTCTCAAGGCGTAAATGTCTTATTTTATCAATATTAGGCTGTGGAAACGCAGTCAACAATAATTCTAACGACAAGGGGTTGTACTGTCTGTAGCTTCAAGGACAGAACGAGTCGCCGGTGTCGTTCACGCTCGGGCTGGTTCGGAAAATGCCGGCTCAGCCCGAGAAAACCTTCTGACTGCCAGCTCGTTGTCAGTCTGACTCGCATTTCCAGTCATCAGGCGTTCCCCTGAGGTTGTATCGATTTATTATTGTTTATAGGTTATGTGGTTTAGGTCTTCTGCTTGCCCTTTGTCTCTTCTACTCCATTATCAGTGCCTGAGCACCTTGATTCTTGAACGCCTGTCGCGTTGCCAGCCAAACTTGGACTCAGAATCGAGGAGCAGTGAACTGCTACGTTTCTTTTCAACTTTCCGGCGTTCTAAAATCTCCCGTCGCTATCTCTGTGATGATTCACCCTACGATTGGAGACGGCTCAAAAAGACCGTTGAACAGAGCCATCATCCACGGGCCACTGCCTGGTGGAATCTTGCCAGTGATCATCGCTCGGTGTAACACTACTCTCGGGTGAGTTATTCTCAGAACATTTCTGATGGGTGCTTATAATGCCGTTAATGTTAGAGAAACTGGCAATACAACCGTCTTTCATCAACATTGTAAGTAGGTTCTACTTTCCCCGACCTTCTCACGTTGCACCGCCGAGCTCTGATACGACTCAGAGGCTGGTCGGCCCGTCACAACGGCACTAGCTCTTTGCATAGCGCCGGATCCAGTTTTCTGTACGAGCAGAAATAAGAACAATACTATTCTGCACGCTCCGAACTCGTTCGGACAAAGGCAATACTTATGTGTTCTGTGGCGGTAGAATTTAATGGTGATTCGGTAGAGGATCCTGTGTTGTGTTGTTACTCGCGGTACGTGTCCTCTTCTCTGTCCTCGGTTCTTGCTCTGTTATACTCTGGGTCGAGATACGATAGGAACGCACCGCTCAATTCATGGACAATAATCCCACAAAAGGTCAGTTCGTCCCCCTTTTGCCCGCTGAAACCCATCATCATCAGAATCTGATACGTTTGAACTTGCGTAACAGTGAATGACAATGAGGGCGATCAGCTATTTTCTATCAATGCTTCTTCATCTACTGTACTTCAAGATCAAGACTCGTGAGCCTGCCACATGTGGCGATTGAGGCGCCAGCTTGACTGTAGTATTTCCCGGTCGATATAAACACCAGGTGACGTATCTATTTATCGACAAAGAAGCTGATGTTGTGAACTGTTGAGATTTGAACGCGCGAAATCAACTCTCTGCATCAGTGACAGAATCGTTCTCCGCGTTCATACTCTCGCTGAGCCACTCTATTAGACGGATATTTTGCCAGCAGTACCGGCGCGAAGCAACGTCGTGTCTCCGTGGAGCTTAGACAAAGCTCAAATCACGTCGGGTGAGCCTGGCAGCAGTAGAGAGAATCTCACGCAATCCCACGACTGTTGTATATGCTCAACGTCTCGCATCGGTATAAGTAAACAACGAGGACAGATCGATACTCCGTTACCTCACCGGCGCAACCACACATCCAGAGTGATTACGAGAAATCGGTGACCATGCCCTCCCTCATTCCACTCAATGACACGTTGGGTGCCAGTTTCATCGGGGTCGTTTTCTCGAGCGTGTATGCGGTTTTATGTCGATTTACACGATAACTAAAGGAGCACTCACGGAATGATAACTCCCCGATTTCCAGGGTATTCGGCATAACATGTCTCCAAGCCTATATGTACTACACTCAACACTGTGGACGTGACAACCTAAGGCTCAAAATAATGGTAAGAGCCATTCATATCTCAACTTTCACAGTACTGACCAAAAGGTGCTTTTTTTACAGGTCGGTTCCCTCCTGTGAGTTGTGCTGCCAATCTCTCTGCAGTATCGCTTCTCAACGCAGGATGGCATATCTAGCGCGCTGGATACACTACATCTTGCTTTTATTTGTGTGTTCATGTACCACTATACCGTAACGAACTTCGGGGACTATAAGGTCCTACTATTTGCCCACTGGTAAGCCATACCGTTCGATTCGATTCTGGAGGATGGTGTACCTTATCCTTTACCTGTTTCAGGAGTGTTCTGGTATGTTCCGCACCAAACAATCCTCGGGGGTGTATGTCTAACATCGTTTAATCTAGGTACAAGTACCCTTAGCGGTGAGCTCATCGTAATACTGTCCTTGTACTCCTAATCCCATACTAAATATGATCCAGCATCTACTGAGCGTGATTATTCAGCTGTGAGTACTCATTTTCGTTGAGTCTCTCTTCAAGTCGCAGTCTTTCTCAATCCTAGACCGATTGTTTCAGATTCTTTGCCTGGAGAATATACCATAGTATGTATTCTACACTTCTGCCTTTATCTGCCTCTGATTTCCTGTGGATTATGATTCAGTTAGTAAGAAACGTCTCTGGATCCCCTGTGCCATCGTATGTACGCTTTTACTACCTCGTGCCTCTGTTAATGATCATATACTTTCTCTTGAAGTTCGCTTTCTCCATAGCCCAGCTGCGTGAGTTGTTCCCTTCCATGTTGTCAGTTTAATTCTCAGAAAACTTTTCATTGCAGCGTGTTCAATAAGTGAGCCTATCGAACCATGCCTCATGTTAAAACACTTAGCAATTCTCGATGGTCCTAGTGTATGCCATCAGGGCGTCAGTGGTTTCTTTGTAATGTCCGTACTTTTTTCGAACATGACGCTCAACGCACTTTCTTGGTCGCAGGTTTCAACTCAAGTTATTCACCAATGCTGGACAAATCGAAGTAGATTCCTGTCTTCAACTCCCTCTTCGCATCATGCCCAAATAAAGGTTCTCTGACCGTGACACTTCTCAATAGGCATGGTCCACAAGTGCCTTATCCCTCAATGCTGCCTGTGACGTACTTATTGCGGGATCAATGATGTTCTACTTACGAAGGAGCAAGACCCTATTCTCAAGGTTCGTTATATACATGTATATCGAGTTAATGATATCCTAAATGTAGATGGCTACTGCTGTATCTCTATCCCTACTATAGGACGAACCAGGTTATCACTCGCCTCATCACATACGCCTTGAATACTTGTAGGTTCTGCGCGGGTACGCCTTCGGGGTCGAGTACTGAACCGATATTTCGCATTCTTTAGGTCTTCTTACAACGTGTGTATGCTTGATCAACCCTCCCTTTCATGCATCCTGATTACCCGTTCGCAGCGTGTGTGGCATCGCATGTTTAATCACGGTAATTCCATGACGCTCATCTGGGGGGTACAGTATATAACACCGTCTTTCTTTTGAACAGTATATCGTCGCAGCAAGTGACTCTCTGGCCTTTATACCTTTCTTTTTCATGCTCCCTCGCGGTATGTGCTATCCTCTCGATAACCTGCGTCACTATGCTCACTAGTCTACTCCAGTGTATACTTGCTCCTTCATCTCAACGTTCGTCAACTGCACATGCGTACTCTTCTATACACCTCTGTCCTGACAGATTCGTCACGGTCTAGGTTAAATACTCGCGGTAACATACGGCAAGACCTTATACCTAGTAGCGGGCTGATCACACTCTCCCATCTTGGAGACAGCCGCACCTTGGCGCACAGTTCGGACAATAGTCAGGGAGCAATGCACAGGAGTGACGCAGCTTGGTCGGACGACATGAGACTCGGACACTCCGATTACTCGGGAGTGATGGACATCGATGGCGTCAAGAAGGCAGGTGGGACTGTATGAGACCGAAGTATGCTCTGCGAGTGTACCATAAGCCACGGACACATGGTTGCCTACGGGCTTGTTTGTGCACCTATTTGGACCACAATCTGTTGGGTCTTTGTTTTGTTGTGACTGATTGTACCAATACTCCTTCGCTTTTTCCCTTCTCTTTCCAACTTTACTTTTCTCTCTTCTGGCCTGAACCGTTGTAGGGATGCCTGGTTTGCGCTGGTCGACATGACCGGGGATGTGATAATGTTGATACCATTGAGCTTGAAGTCTAAGCATTGAACAAATAGTCGGTTTATCGGTCTAACTTCCTCTCGGAGAGGACTTGAAAAAAATGTATGAGTCAAAATGCACACATACGTTGTTTGGTCTTGCGGGAAGAAACAGCTAAATGGGAGAAAGAACAAAGAGGTACCGAGGATCGACGAACTTCGAAGTGGCCCTGGAAGGAACGAGAAAGGTGTCGACGAAATAGGCACGGTTGCCGCCAACACTTGGCCAACGCCGTGGCTCCTAGTCTCCCACAGGCAGACCTTGGTGTTGAAGATAGGGCGTTCAACGTGTCAAGGTCTGCTACGGAACGCGCCCCCGAGACCGTAGGTCGACCTTCGAGAACCAATATCGGTGTTAACGCCGCAAAATGAAATTCGGCAGGAGATGCCGGCTGTAGCGGTTACACCAGTTCTGTCGACTCTTGTCCTCAGATAAAGCTTATTTATGACCGAGGATGATCATGTATCACTGTCATCTAAGATTTCTGAGAGATTTTTTAGCTACCAAACAATACAATACTTGTTGTGGGCTGCACAATCTCCAGATTCTCCCATTTCACTGGTGCCCGTTGAAGACACCCTGCATAGAAAGGTTCTATAAGCAATTAGGCCATAGTAGAAACACTCATAGCCTTTTTCCTCCCCAACAATCAGGCAGAGGAAGCCTGAAAAGAAATATAGATATATATTTGAGTGCCATATCAGGAACACGAGAGAGCGAAAATCAAATTGGGTTGGTGGGACGCGCGCTGATTGGTTTGCCCGCCTCCACATGGCGAAAACGTGGCTCGTAACGCCGAACCTCGACCTACGGTATCAACCCCTCCGACAGTACAAGACTAGTGGCTCCTCGATGATGACATTGTCCCAGAAAGGAAACCGGTGCTATATTGATTTCGTTACGGGGGCTGTGGGTTCAGTACTTTTCTTTCTGCTGCCGCCATCATCCACAGTACGTCTTTCATTCGCGTGTCTATAACATGCATTTCTTTCTCATATACTGACACAATTGTGGCGCGATCTAGGACGTATTACTATTCGCGACGTTGACCTGATCTTTACACCCTCTTCCGTCGCGTGTTGCGATCGTCCCTAATCCTCCTTTGCCGCCTCACGGTCTCCACCCTCAAACTCTTCGACAACGCCTCTCTTCACTAGACCTAACCGGTACTGCACGCCATCTTTCTCTTACCGCACATCCCCCGTGACATCTTTTCCACAGACGAAGTATGTCTGCCGCCGAACCTGCCAACGCTCCCGCCAGCGCATCCCAGTTGCCCGCTGGTATCACCGATCCCAACTATAAGCCTCTTCCGGGTCGTCTCGGAAATCTTACGGTCCCCCAGCAACATGCTCTCGATACCCTCAAGAAAGAGTTGGAGGCGGAGGGCAAGTTTGTGCCGGAGAGGATGGACGATGCTTACCTTCTAAGGTGTGTAATGGTCACGGTCTCTTATCATCGCGTCAGGTCGACTTGCATGGATCAATTCCAGATTTGTTCATTTTATTCTTTTATGTTGATTGCGCATACGATTCCATTCTGCTATCTATGTTATGATGGGCGGTTTGAACGTCGAGCCTCGGGTCTGACTTGTGTTCTATTTTTAGGTTCCTCCGTGCACGAAAATTCGACCTACCAAAAGCCAAGGCCATGCTCCTTGCTGCCGAACAGTGGAGGAAAGACTTTGGTGTAGATGATATCACCAGGTGCGTTCTCCATCTTTTTGGATGGACTGCTACCGAGGTACTAATCCATCCACAGCAACTTTGACTTCAAGGAGAAAGAGGAGGTCGACAAGTATTACCCCCAATACTATCACAAGATGGACAAGGTTTGTTTCTCGCTCTTTGTGTTTCTCTTTGCCTTGCCCAGTCTAATCGCTGCACCCTCAGGATGGCCGCCCGATCTACATCGAACGTCTCGGAAAGCTCGACATCAAGGCCCTTTATGCGCTCACCACCCAAGAACGTCAACTCCAACGCCTCGTCTTCGAATACGAGAAATTCCTCACCGAGCGTCTGCCCGCCTGCTCCGCTGCCATCGGCCACCCCGTCGAAACCTCCTGCACGATCCTAGACCTCTACAACGTCTCCATGTCGAACTTCTACCGTGTCAAGGACTACGTCATGCAGGCCTCCAGCATCGGCCAGGAGCGCTACCCGGAGACGATGGGCAAGTTCTACATCATCAATGCACCGTGGGCGTTCAGCGCGGTCTGGGCCGTGATCAAGCCGTGGTTGGACGAGGTGACGGTGGCGAAGATCGATATCTTGGGCAGCGGGTACAAGGACAAGTTGTTGGCACAGATCCCGAAGGAGAACCTGCCTGTGGAATTTGGGGGTACTTGCCAGTGCCCTGGTGGGTGCAGTTTGAGCGATGCTGGACCGTGGTCAGAGTCGAAGGGTGCGCCGGCGGCTTGAGGTGGACGGATAGAGATGAATTGGTTTGGATTGTAGTATGTGGTTAGGAAGGATGAATAAAGCCGACGTCGAATAATATCTCGCACAATACATACGTATATACATTTGGTCCCTGGATTTTCACAATTCTCTTTTGATTGACTTGACAATCCTCTGGAGCCGAGCTATAGCAACTCGTTGATACTCGAAAACAGTGTCTCTCCACGGGGTATCCTCTCGATATACCCGGTGGATTGAACCTGATTATGGGTTGTGGTGTTGGCGGTCCTGTTGCCCTACTCAAGGCGGGTAGAGGAATACCATTAATGTTGCAGATCCGACGAGGAAGTAGCAGGCGCCACAATTACAGTGGCCCTACCGGGAGATCCCGGTTATGCCAAAACTTTCGATGTCCGGACTCCGGATATAAATTCTCCTGGTTACTGTTCGATCTACGACCTTGTTATTTCGAGCGTCGGCCATGCCTTGTACTCGCCATTCAGAGAGAACGACGGGAAGCAGCGATGATGGTAAGTATTCCGGATTGCCAGCAACGACTCCACGTGGCGCCCATGTGGCGTCAAAGCGGAAGCAAATTAAGCTTCAAAACCTACCACGTCATCGAACTTGTTCGGTACACCGTGATGGATTTTGACACTCACGAATATCCTGGTCTCTTTATCTTCGACGCGCTGCCATATCAAATTGGCAAAGTTTCCGTACCGACTCCCTACGAAAGCGTGGCTTCTCGGATGTTGTAGGAGGGCATGCCTGAGCGTGTTGTACCCATGATGTCATGAAGACTGCAACCCCAAGGTCAGAGAAGCACTTTTTCAGCTTTGAGCGTACTTTCTTCTTGTTCGTCTCATGACCTACGCCGGGATGTCCATCTTCACCTAATAATTACTTTTGCCAACATCGATAGCACTCCTGAGTCCTCTCAGTTGAAGCAGATCCTTACTATTATAAAGCTGCTGCGTCCAAACGCGATTTCAGCCGGAATTCCGACGCTTCCCCGCGTTATAGAAAGCCAGCAACTCTTCCCAGCTGATTCCTGTGATCCCACCACTAGCACACCGAGCTTCTCATCGCTGTGTTCTTCGTGACCGTCATGTCATCGCCAGGCCATCGCCCATCTGTTAAACATGTCGCCTCACTACCGCCCTCTGCCTACGCACCTCGTCCATCGGTCATAGCACAGCGAATGGACAGCAGTGGTCGAATCTATCCACATTCCATGGCCAGAGCTGCTTCTGGGGGTACTTCGATTGGGCCATCCAACCTGTCGAGACCTGACGGACCTTCACGTACGACGAGTGTCCAAACGCAGTACATGAACATGCTCCTAGCTCTTGACGCCGTCCCTCGAGGACACAATATGATGGCCAGCTTCTTCACTTGGATCTTACTTGCCGGCTTCGTCATTCTCCCGGGAACGTTCAATAGTCTGGAACAAATACAGGCCGGAAACAGTGTTGAGAATCTGGCGCTGCATGCGGTTCAAAATATTCCACTGTGTGTTATCTTCTTTCTCTACGAGGCCGTTGAACGCTGTAGCTTGATGTCTATATTGATGCTTGAGATTTCCAGGTTCGTCATTGCGTATGTTTGCTGTGCGACCGGGGCGATCGGTATGATCTGGTTGTGGTGGAGGTGGAGTGCGAATTATGTGTGGCTTCTGCAAAGGCGAGTACTTCGTGCTTCTATCAAGCCATCTCTCCACGCTGAGCACAGTTGTTCGAATCGTGTAGGATCTTTCTGTGCGTACGTTTCCTTGTGGTATCGATCCAAGTTGGATTAGCTGCTGGTCGTATTGTTGCATTTGTACGCTTTGAAACGTACAGGGGTATGAATACTGCGATGTCGCCTATCTAGGCTGTAACCAGATAGTGGCTTCTACTGAAAAACAACAATGAAGCGAGATCCCTTCCCTTCAACTCTACGTCCTCTCGTCTTTCTTCCTCAACTTCATCGCTCGAAACTCATCGCACCCTCTCCTAGTCCTGGCCTTCTCAACGGCCTAGCCGGCATCCTCACAACAATCGCCAGTGTCTACGGCGCTCAATCTGGCCGCTTCACCGCTACAAGCGAGACCACCATCGTCGTCACAGGCGTCACCACTCTCGCCAACGGCATCCTCGTCGCGTTCTATAGCCTCTGGAAACTTCGAATTGTGAAGAGGCGGCATGATAAAGAGATCGGAAAGGAGAAGGCGGAGCTGCATGGTGAAGGAATAGTGGAGGAGATGAAGAGGAAGGCGAGGCAGCCTGAGCCGGAGGTGAGGATGTTTTGATTGACCTGGAGTAACATGGATGGTATGTGTAGGAGGAGAAGTCTGGAATGAAATACCTTGCTGCTTTGGACGGCTTGGACGAGGAATGTAGATAATGTATGGATTATCCGTTATGGACGGCCTCGACTGTATACCTATCAGCACCGTGATGTAAACATAACCACGATTTCACGAACGCCATGCCTATTGACGCGTTTCAGCTTGCTCGAGCAGGAACAGATTCTTCATAGGGAATGATGTCTACGTTCAATACAGATTTGGTCTTACAAGATCTACGTATTGTACAGGTGCAGAGGTGAAGAGAGACAGAATACAAGATGCTACTTGATGAATACTAGCCCTTCGTACCCCTTCAACTTGATTTCTTCTTCCGCCGTGGTGTTCACGCTACCAGGGTAATTGCCCAAGATCGTACTGGCACCTACCATCTTCTCCGCGCCGGCATCCTTCAACTTGAACGTAGCCTCGTCCGTGCTGAAGTTCAAGACCACAAGGACAGTCTTCTCCTCGAACGTCCGCGTATAGACGAACAATTGCTCGTGGTCGGGAAGATATAGTTTGAACTCTCCGTAAACCTTTCGAACTGTTAATCACAATAATTGCAGGAAATCAGATGGTCAGAGAGTGCTCACCAATATATCGTTCGCCTTTCGCACTCGCAGAGCTTCCTTCCAGAAGTTGCGCACGCTGCCCGGATCAGAGAGTTGGGCCTCAACGTTCCATTCCGGATAGTCATCGTTCACGCGCATCCACGGTGTTCCAGTGGTGAATCCACCATGCTTCGACGCATTCCACTGACAATCGCGAACATAAGCATTTGGCAATAGATATTAAGAGTGAAAATGGTATGACAGTACCTGAATGGGTGTACGAGCATTGTCCCTCGCTTTGCGTTGACAGCCATATTTCACGTCGGACATGTCGACCTCTTTACCGTTATCACCCGCCTCTTTCTTCCTCTCAGCGAGTACACTGGCTGGAAAGTTAACAAATCTCGTCTATGGCTTACCTGGAAAAGCCGCGTCTCGTCCACCCGTGTTGAACGGTGCCACAGGGTCATGATGCAATGAAGATCAAACGACGCACCGATTCCAGTAATTCTGAGTCTGGATGTCCTTGTATTCTTCGATGGGCCACTCGAGTGGAACGTTCTTCGTCCCGATCTCTTCACCCTGATAAACGTACAATGTACCCGAGAGCGTAGTCTGCATCACCGCGAGGAGTTTGGCCGATGTGGCGCGCCACTCGTCGGAATCATTTGCGTATCGCGAGACGGAGCGAGGTTGGTCGTGATTCTCAATAAACACTCTGAATGTACGAGCAACGAGCTGAGCATGAGTTCGCACGTATGCGATAAGAATGACGACTTACGAATTCCAAAAGCCCTGGTCCCTTTGAAGTGTCTGCCAACGGTTGACGATAGTCTTCATTTTGGGCAGCTTCCATGGACTCCAGACGAGCGTCGAGGAACCAGGTTCATGGTCAGGACCTTCATCCGCTTGGTCTATTTCGACGATCTCGAAGGAGAAAACCATATTAAGCTCTTTGTTGGCCGGGAGGACGAAGTCGGCAAGACCTGAGGGGTCATAGGTGAAGGGTGCTTCGCCGACAGTTATGATGTCGTATTCTGGAAGGCTGGGTGAGTACAAGTAAAAGACCATGCGACGGAGGACGTACGTGAAAGAACACGAGTGTTCATTTCGCGGATATATTCGTGGACTTTGGGGCTAAGGAACAGGGCGCGTGAGAACTGGAGGGCGTCGTCAACACTGGGCAAAATATGAAGCTTACCCGTTGGCGTACATCTTGCTGGCCAGTTGGTATGTCTGGGTGGGGTCTGCGATGGGTACGTCCGTAAGACCGGGAACCTTTGAGATTAGGTTTATCACGTCCATCTACGGTCGCCAAAACGCAGTGAGTATTCGTCTATAAGTGTGAATTTAAGGACGACGAAAGAATAGACCATACACGGAAACCATCGCATCCTCGCTTCAGCCAGAAGTGCATGAGGTCAAACACAGCATCGCAAACTTCTGGATTGTCCCAATTGAGGTCCGGTTGCTTGTCGAGGAAAAGATGAAGGAAGTATTCGTCTGTGGCCTCGTCATATTCCCAGGCTGATCCTGTTTAGCCAGTGTCAAAACCAGAGTCGGCCACACGCAACGATGTTCCGAACATGAAGACAGCCTACCTTCGAAGATAGACTTCCAGTTATTAGGAGGCTGACGATTCCCCGAAGCGTCATACTTCGGAGGACGCCAGATGTACCAATCTCGCTTCGGGTTCGATTTGCTAGACTTGGATTGTACGAACCATTCGTGCTATACGAAGACATGAGTAAGTACACCGGTACAAATGGTCTCGAGTGGCTAGACCTACCTCATCCGACGTGTGATTCACGACTAAGTCCATCCTATACAAGGATAAACCAGTTAGAAATTTCTCGTAGCGTAATGAAACAGTCTCCAACATACATCAGCTTCATGCCACGATCGTGAACGCCTTTTATGAGCCTATCCCAATCATCAAGCGTTCCGTAGCGAGGATCTATGCTACGATAATCCGCACTACACAAAGAGAGTCAAAGACCCAGAAAGCATCAGCTCCATGAACTCTTTACCAACAAGCTATAGAACGATAAGAGACTGGGAATTGTACGCACATGTCATACCCCATGTCTGCCAATGGCGATTTGTAGATTGGCGATAACCAAAGCACGGTGACTCCCAGGTCCTTCAAGTAGTCCAACTTCGAGTATATTCCGTTCAAATCACCCAGTCCATCACCGTTCGAGTCAAGGAACGACGTAGGATAGATCTGATAGACAACAGCCTCCTTCCACCATGCCTTCTGTGCCACTATGGCTGAGGACGCTGCTTGGGTGTCGAGTGACATGATGGCTAGACGAGAGGTGGAGAGGGTGAGAGTCTGTCGGAGTGAGCATTTATATATGTTCTCTGCTATCGATCGTCGATCTCAGCGTATGTAAATGGATGCACGCCAGCCTTGCCGCAATACTCAAGACTTATCGAAGTGCAAGTGAAAAGCTGATTTGCGCTATGACGTCCAGACCTACTGTGACCCAGTACGCCCGAATGACCCATGTCGATTTTGTTAGAGGAAAACAGGAGACTTATGAGACCTCTATTCGTCCTTGCGTAACTATCCCCTAAAGTAACAACAGCTTCTACAGTTGCCTTGCTTGGCCGTTTGGTGGAGAGGTCGGACAACGGAGGACCGCCGGCGGAGTTCGATCGTTTGAGGCAAGCGCTTGAAGTACTCCTGTGGCGACCGCGCCACATGGACAACACTCTTCAACGTCAACACCGACAATATCAAAACTTTTTCTAGCCCAGAACCGTCGGTATACGTGTCTGGACTCTGGGCTGAACTCCTCAGCTGACAACGGGCCACACCCTGTGTGACGACTTCTTGCTGCTGGTGTCGAGAGACCAGGTGAGATTCCACAAAAACAGGTTCCAAAAAATGATCATTTCACAACGTCATAAAATACATTCTACAAGCAATTTATCGACCCTCCGAGCACACGACCTAAGACCACAAGATATTCAGCCTCCTCCACCCCTTGGGCGACTTGATAGGAGGCTCCGGGTTGTCGCGAGCCTAAAATCGGAATCAAAGACTGATGAGCAAGCGGTCGCCTCAAACATGCTTCCCGGAATGTATACGTACCAGGTCCAAGAAATGTCGGATCGGGATATCCTCCAAAGCCACAATCTTCGTCTTCCTTGAGAACTTGTAGCCAAAGTACAGCACAAAGATGAGCGGGATGTTGAAGTATGCGGAGAAGAACGTCTCGGTGTCCCAGTCGCCCTTGATGAAGACGGCGTAGCCGGCGGTGAGGAGGATGATGGAGAAGGAGACGAGACCCGTCCATGCGGCGTAGGGCTGGAGGGGCCCCTTCCATGGGAGCTCGTCGCGACTGATGCCCTGTTTCTTCATACCGTAGTAGAAACGGAGGTAGACGAGGCAGATGATGATCCAGTGGACGAGGGCAGCGGCGGAGACGAGGTCCTGGAGCCACGAGAACACGGTGGAAGCGCTGTCTTGCAGAGACCTAGGCCGGACACGAAAGATAATTAACAGATAGCACAGATGTTTGAAAGCTAAGATACTCACATGTATCCGAGGGAGATGAAGCAGCAGATGAACAATACCGCGACGTATGGAATACCGAAGCGGTTGACACGAAGGAAGATCTTGGGAGCATGACCTTCGCGCGCAAGGCCATAGAGCGCACGGGAGGAACCAAGCATGCCGCTGTTACCGGACGACCAAGCAGAGGTCAGAACGACGGCGTTGATGATGTGTGGAACGACGCTGATTCCAGCGCGAGAGGCGGCAATAACCTGCAAGCGTGTCATATTAACATCCGGCTCATCAACGAACGGAGCAAACTGCTCACCAGAGGAGACTGGGCAGCATTGCCCGTGCTGGAGAGGAGGTTCACGTCGTTGGATGGAACGATGAGGGTGACGACAAAGATCGAAACGACGTAGAATATGAGGACACGGAAGAAGATACGTTTCGCCGCCTTTGGAATGTTCTGACGGGGGTTGCGTGTCTCCGCAGCAGCGCTGGCGATACCCTCAACACCAGAGTAAGCGTAGGCAGCGTTGGAGAAGGTTGTCCAGAAACCGAGGAAATGACCAAGTGAGCCCTCAATGCCGAGGTATTGGACGAAAGGGCCCGGGTTCCTCCAGTACTGGAAGCCGTAGCGATGGTGATCCGGGCCTCCTCCGAGATCGATAACGAGACCCTATTTGGATGCAAGAATGGTTAACAAACATGTAGGACCGGGAGTGGGCACGGGGCGTACCATGATGATACAGCCTATGATGAGCATGATCTAATTGATTCCAAAGGACAATCAGTGAGACACGCCGAGTGGTTAGAGAGAAAGATCAACCTGGCAAGACTTACTTTCAAAATAGAGAAACCAAACTCGAGCTCTCCATAGAAGCGAACGAAGAACAAATTGGTGGCGACGATGAGAAGACCTAGGATGGTGATCCACAGGCCATTGCTGATTGTCGTCCAATATTGAATAAGCACCGCTGCGGCTACAATCTCGGCAGGGAGGCCGACGCATTGAGAGTAGATGCTGTTCCACCCTTGGGCGAAAGAGAGAGCGGGATCGACGAAATAATCCGCGTGACGAACGATGCCGCCCGAGAGAGGAACAAGGGCTGCCATTTCGGCAATTGAAAGGACAACGCCGGACACTAAAACACCAACGAAGGTGTAACCCATCAAAGCGCCAACCTTGCAATGGTTTTAGCTGTCATATCAAAGTGAATCGGGGGGAGATGATACGCACTGGTCCTCCTCGGGCGATGGCCTTGCCGGAACTAAGGAACAGACCCTATAGTTTTCGCTCGTGTATTAATGCACAGATGCAGTGAACGAAGAAGGGAATGACATACTGTTCCAATGGTACCGGCAAGAGCAATCATCTGGATGTGCCGTTGCTCTAGACCACGCCTACGGGAAGACAGTGGTCAAAAACAAGAATGTCTGAACTGACAACGACTTGGACATACTTGAGCTCCTTCTTCTCGTCGAACTCGATGATATCTTCGGGCTCCTGCTCAGAGACAGCCTCAATGTCGGTCTGAACGCCAGAAGACTTCTCGTCGATAGGATCGTGGACAGCATCCTTGGTATCGGCGGCGTGAAGGGACATGATGGTGAGACGTTAAGGAGACCCGACTCGCAAGGAGGAAAGAAGCAGCTCCAAGGTCAGACGGATCACACGCTTGTAGCAATCTAATATAGGCATGAATGGCGGGCACACCATGCTCTCACGATAAGAGACAACCTGACGAGACCAGAGAGGCAAGACGCTTGAGATAACGCGCACACTCGGATAAGGTATCGAATGTAGCAATTTCAGAATCGAAGCTAGCGAATGATCCTCTCGCCAATACATGGGTACAACGTCATGTTGCCCTCCGAAGGAACCAGAGTGCTTCGCTGGATGCGGTGCTGCGCTCTGATAGTTCTGCGCCTCCACTTCGCCCTGGCAAAAATCGGAGGCACTTATCGGAAGATTGAGGAGCCTCTTGAAGAAGCAAGTCACCGCGACTACTGACAGATAGCGAGCAGGGGATTAGTGGTGGCGCAAGAGGGGCGAGGAACAATCAGATACATCTCACAGATACAGCGCAGAAACTATCCCCGCCCACTCTCACATCCAAAAAAAGATATGCTCGGGATTACCGAACATTCATTGTTTAGGGTCAGATGGCATAGACCGAAAATAGCTGCAGGAGATGATTGTTTGTCCGTCAAAGCGAACAACGGAGACGTCTACTGACGATGAATGAACCAAGGGACGCGGAGCGGAAGGATTGCGAACGTGAACGATGAATGTAGAACGAATCTGGACGAGTGTCTGAACCTGCCGATAGAGGAAATATCAGGATAACAAAACTCCGTAGAAGTGATTGGAAATGGCTCACGACTATAGACCGTATCGCCTGCATGCCAACAATATCGCGAGCTGAGGGAGGCACATCAGCAACGGAGTTCAAGTTCAACGCACAAGACCACATATCCCAAGACTCCTAGCACCGAGCTGCGGGATAGGTTGAGGTTGAGGGGAGGCGATCAAAACATGCGGTTCCGGGTTCTCCTGTCTTCCCCGTTCCTGGAATATTCAGCCCAAGTCTCAAAGGGAAACACCCTCGCAGGCCAAGCCTGCCGACCCCTGATAGTTTTCATCATGGGCTGGGTTCGTATAAGATAGCTTGAACACTTACACAAGGACGATAAGTGGTACCATGATGCAGCTCTCTACCGAGGCCTCGACGCTGCTGGCGGGATTCTTAGGCAAGCTTAAGGATAGTCTGGCGAGGGAAGTTTTGATTGGTATATCGGTGAGACCGATAGAAATCGGACACGACACAGAGCGCAATCGTGGTTAAATCTCGCCAAAGTTCTGCGGATGGAACGAAGGAAAGAAGTTGCAATTGTGCGTTCTTGAGGAGACCACCGAAAGATCATCTACGAACGGAGTCAGGATCGGTCGTACATATAAAATCATGGACTGTGACGCACTAGTTTTAGCTATGGTGCGAAGCACTTAGTCACCGCATATAATATTCAACCGCCAAATTTGTGCCCGGGAGGTCGAAATTCCAGTTTATTGAAAGAAAATTCCTGGAGCATATTAAAAAAACCCGGGACTCTCATAAATAATAAACAATTCTATTAAATATTAATTGTTTGGCGGGAGAAATCGAAACCCGCCAAATCTGGTGGGTGGGAACTTTGAAAGTCCCTCAGTTTTAATTATTTTGGAAATCTGTCTTGGGAATCTCTTCCTTTCATCAAAAGGAGCATTTTGACAAGACAGATAAGTCTTAGAGGCGAATTTGACCCTCCTGTGACCGGGTCTTCCCGGTGTTCGACTTATGCGGTGAGTAAGTGCTTCGCACCATAGTATTAGTTAGTCACTGAGTGTCATGAATTGAATCGATGCATACCCCAGCATGTGCGTATACAATACACACAGATTCATTTGTCACGCGGGGTATTGTTTCCCGCCGGTACAAAAGAGAAGAAAGCGACGCAGGCCTGACCACGGACGCAGAGTCTCCGATGCACGACTTCGAAGGTCCGTCACGTCTTTTCACAACACACGAATCCACAATTGCGAGCAAAAGCACCATGGAATTGACTATAAACGACATACAGAAGGAACGCACGAGTTCACGAATGTTGTAACAACCCTTCACCCGCCCGCCTGCAATCAAAATCCCAAGCCAAACAACGAGAAAAAGGGGGAATGATGTATCGAGAGCTGATTAGCCGCTCAACCAGGAGATATATAGGTTGAAAGGCATGCCCAGTTCTCGACTCCGTTGAGACCGTTCTCCTCCCGACAAATAACGGAAATCCACGCATCCGGGTGAGCGTCAATGCGTAGAGGCAAAAGTGAGAGTGGACTGTAAGGAAAAAAACGCCAAAATTTCGCCTTGCGATGCTTTATAGGTCGCACGTGGCGAGGGGTCCGTGCGCGGGCCGCGACTCTTGAGGCGCTGTGGCGTCGTAATTGTGAGTGTGGCGATTGTAGACATCCATGACTTGAAGCATTCCGCAAAAAGCGAACATGTGTAAACAACAGAGTCGTGTATTCGATCTACGAATATAGACAGAGAATATCGGCGCAAATGCGATGTATGTAAGAGCAGGTACAAGACTAGCGGGGGTGCGCGGAGCAGACATCACGAACTTGCAACATGCACACACTACACATCGTAAGTCGACCGAGTAAAAAGAAGTTACAAGTCAAGGGATACAGATACGAAGCACTGCGTATTTGTAGTATTCGTGGGGCATATTGGACATTCTATCAAAACATCATGGGTCAAAAGAAAAAGAAAAAAGCAAAAACTCGTGAAATATACGCAAAGCAGATCGTAAAAGACATCACCAGAGAAAGAAGCGAACCTGCAGAACACCAGGCTCGCCTCCGTCATCAAGTTCGTATCCTCGGCAAAGAGTAGCACGGTCACCCGAAAAACCAGAAGAAACCATTAAAGCACAACAACAGCAACGTCGAAGAATAATGAAAAGCGCAAGCACGCGACGCCGACGATCACACAACCACTGCAGTCGAACTGAAAAGCAAATCAAGCAAAGTGAATCAACCCATTCGTGTTTCGCGCCACCCGGGTGCGGCATCTCATGAGAGAGAGTTCCAGAAGAAGGAAGCGAAAGGAGATGTGAGAGGAGGGGCATAGGTTTTGACTTTGTCATAGCATAGGGTGTTACCGGATTGCGAACATCGCTGGGTTTTCGTGGAAGGTTGGTGCGAGGAGGAACGCGTGCAGGCATATGTTCAGGATGGGATCCTAAAGGTACCAGCCGAAAACGGGAGTTATCTGAACGGTTATCGAGGCATGGAGCGAGATTGATTGATTATGCGCGGACGGAATAGGGCCTTCCGCGAGGTCGAGGACGGTTCAGACGGAGAGAATCACTATTGCTGTGGATCATTATCGACGATCAGCCACGGGAAATGAACAGTAGAGCCGTGTTATACTCACGCAGGCACGATTGAGCCATTGGAGACATTCTCCCTACTTTCCCTGTTCTCTTTCCCGGTAGTATTGCGCTTTGACCATCCCAGCGCATTCCTCCTTGCGATAGAAGCAACCCTGGGCCTGATGGGCGCTTCAAACGAATTCTTCATTGGAACAAACGGCGAAATATCCGCCAAGGTGGCGTTGGTGAAGTTCGGGTTCGTAGTCCGCTCCTGCAACGTCATCTCGTGCACAACACTGTTACGGTTGACGTACTCGGGCATCACCGGAGACGAATGCTGTTCGAAGGGGGAAGACTTCATTCCAGGCGAGGTGGCGAACTGAGAGCGAGGGTAAGGCGAAGGACGAGAGTTCGTGCGGGACCGGACACGGCGGGGACGAAGTTCAGAGGGTAGAGGGCCGTACGTTTGCTTTGAATGCTCGAGAAGAGCCTTCATGCCCGCGGGTTGACCAGGCGGCTCGAAGCCTGTGATAGAGACACATCCAATTAGTCGGCTGATAGAAAAAAAGCCTTTTTTGAGAGAAGATAACTCACATTGAACTGCGTAGATGGAAAACGGAGTATCCGACCAGGTACGCCTACTCTCCTCAACCGTGTCGTGCGCCTCGTTCTTGAGAGCATAGTACTTCTTCAATTCCACCATGTCCTTGTCCTCGTTCCAGGACCTCACGGATCGTGTATCATCCGCATCGACGATCATGACATCGTCTCTGACAGGCGAAAGAACAGTCTCGTCTGGACTCGCGGTCTTCGAAGGGCCAGGAGTGTTATTGACGGACATTTCCTCTTCAATCGTCTCGTATACCGACGAGCGCGACATGCGAGCTTGGGCTATTTGAGATGCACGACGACGATGACCAGCTCCCCGAGCTCTGGCCCTCATTCTTTCCCGAGCGATCCCGGTGAGGGGCAGAGCCATGCCAGTGAGTATGGCGTTGAGCTGAGCGATATCGATGGAAGACTGAGATTCACTGGACTGAGATGAATGTTCGCAAGCGGAGAGCGGCGGAGTATCCCCACCAGAACTGGATGTGACAGTGCTGGACCTTGACCGTCCGGGACGAGTGAAGACCGGTGGAGGGCGCACTGAGAAGGACAAAACCTGGGTGTGAGAACTACAACAAAAGGGAGAGAGACTAGAGCACGTACGAGAACCGTCATCTTCGCCTTCGGCGCTCAAGCAATTCTCTTCTAAACTCTGTCGCGCAATTAGACCCTGCTGAACCTGAGTCATTCTCTTGTCTCCGAATCGGTCGCCCGCGATAGTATTGATTGCCGGCTGCTCTCTGAGGAAAACCTTGTTGGGGGCCTCCATGACATCATCCTCGGACCCAGCGACGCGATGTTGAGGGCCACGGATGGCCTTTCTCTTTCCAACACGGATGCATGGAGAGGTTTCGAGAACAGAACCGACAGAACGGCGGCGAACAAGGCTTCCGTCAAACATCTGGAGTTAAGACCGGTCGAGTTAAAGGAGCAGTCGATATCTACAAATATTAGTCGACATACCGTGATCATCGTATCGTCATCCTGAGGCTTCTCGTCGGAGTCGCTGCTCATGTCGTCGCTGTATATCGAGACAGGCCGGAACTGCCCAACAGAGAATAAATCGCGTCTTCCGGACGGCTCAGAGTCGTTAAAGACCTCCTCCGACGAGACAGATATCGGTCGGTTCGTCTTCTCGAAGATCGAGTCGCTAGGAGAGAACACCCTCCCAGATTCCCCATCCAAAATTGAATCATCCATCGACCGGTTGTCCATCATTACATCCTCGTCTTCGGACTCCCGAGGAGAATCAGATATCGACGGCAGAGGCATGCAATACTCGAAGGCAGAATCGAGCATCTTGTCACCCATCCCACGACCCATACCGTTACGCAGGGCCTCCATATCGCTCCTAGTCGACTCCATGGACTGTTCCTGACGATGTCTCGCAATTTTCGACCGAGCGGAACCATACAAGTGCTGTAGGTTGGCGTACGCGTGAGCGATAGAGCTCGCGCTGTTGTTCGTGTTGTTCGAGTCGTTCCTCCTGTGACCGGGACCGTAGGTGCCGAAGCCACGATTATAAAGGCTGATGGGTGGAGCGAAAGAAGTGGTAGACATGTTAGACTCTTGGCGGTGGTGGTGGTTCCGAGGAACGATTGAAGGACGGAGAATCTGCGATGCGCGGAAGGAGAAAGTGGAAGCGTCGCTTTCGAGCCTTCGCCTAAGAAGAGGCTGGTTGCGGTTCTGACGGATGAACGAGAAGGTGTCGTCAATGGACATCGAGAACGACATGGACATATCGTCGGAGGATGGCCTGTCCGAGAATGCGGGAACACCATAGTCGAAAGGATCCGGGGTACCGCTATTCAAGACCGCGCCGTAGGATGAAATAGAAGCCATACTCAGGACCGAATCACGCGGCATGTGCCCTCGGCGGGCGGTCGCACTGGGTGGAGGATAAAAAGATGGACGTTCTCCACCAAATTCGAATCCACGGCGAACGTCCCCAAACATCTCGAAACCGTTAAAACTCATGTCGGAGGGAGCACGAGAGTGAGAACCTTGAGGACCAACAACCAAATCGATCAAAGCTTGCTCACGAGCAGCCCTCTTCGAAGCCGAGTCAGGCTCAGCGTCAGAGTCGGCACGCCGGCGGGGGAGCGACGGAACAGGTGAAGTCTCAGCCGCACCATCTGTGGCCTTCTCGAAGATCGACTTCAGAACGTAGCTGTCCTCCTCGACCTTGGGCATGTCACTCGAGAAAGAGGCCATTGAGAGGGACCGCGCATGCGAGGGAGAGGGGATGATGTCCGAAAGTGTGAGGATCGAAGGTGTCCTCGTATGCGCACGCCTGGGGGACATAGATCCCTTGCCTCCGAACTTGAAGTTTACGTCCAGCTGACCATCCGACGCCTTCGATCGAGACGAAGATTTGCTCTTCCTGGATGAGAACGACGTGGTGCTCGCTCTGGAACCGCGGGCCTTTGGAACGATGATATCCGGGCTAGGAAGGAGTCCTGAGGGAGACTGTCCGATGTCGAATGAGAAGTTCATACTGTCGTCCATACCGAGTCCAGACATGGCACTTTCCCTCGAGCTACGACTCCTCGGATCGACGATGTCCGGACTAGGAAGAAGTCCCATCGGAGACTGTCCAATATCCGAGACATCCATGCTGCCGTTCGACACGGATCTAGGGAGTGAGTCTTGAAGACCCAAACTCCTCAGCGCAAGCGAAATATCAGGCATTTCCTGGTTCGCGTCGGCATTCTTGTTGTCGCTGGATTGACCATGCCTCTCGAGGTCGAATTTTGCCGGGGTCTTGAACGCGTTCTCCAGCTGCTCGACGAAGCTGTGGCGGTTGTTTGCACCAGATTCGTTCAAAACCTTCAGCTCTCCCGTGAAATCGAATGACTTTCCTGTATGGTCCTGGTACGGAGAGTTGGGATTGGAGTTGGAGAAGTCAGAATCGTCAAGCTGAACCCCTTCCTCTTCGTCCTCCATAGTGAGACTCGCTCTAAACACTGGAACTTCAGGGATGATAACCGAAGGGGCAGAGCTGTCCGGCATGGGCAGTGGCGATTCAGGTGGCGAACCAGGTGAAGGAGGTAGTCGAAGACCAAGATGTCCGTCGAACGTGAGCGTATCCTCGAACCTCTCTGTCTCTGTCTCTCCGTCCTGGCCAGAATGTAAAATCGCTTGCAACTCCTCCGGAATATCCGAATCCGGATCGTCCGACAACTCCTGCTCTCCATCTTCCTCAGCATCCCCCATCGTCCCAGTCAGCCCAAGACCCTTCCTTGCAGCAGGAGATATCGGTACTCCACGGACGGGACGTAAGCTGACGTTGCTGTCTTCAGTGTTGAGGGTAAGCATCATGGGTGGGCTCTTTGGTTTCTCCTGTGCACGCGAACGGAAGACGGGGATGGGTGACGGTTCGTCTTCCTTCTCCTCAGCAAGTGAAGATCTGTCTGCGTTTGGCTGAGATACTGAACCGAACGTCACCGATGATGGCGTACCAGTCGGAATGGATGGTGTTGACAATGCCGAACCGACCACTGAGCTTGCAGGTCGCGCCGTCGTAGCAGGGGCCTTCGCCTTTGACGGTTTCAAAGGATGAAAGACGAGCGGAGGATCGGCCATCGGTGCAGGACTAAACGTCGGCCTGTACGGGAACCTGAACGTCGGAGCACCTCCGACTGTCGGAGCAGGCGCAGTCGCCCTCCTCTGCGGACTGGCCTTCGTAGGCGAAATAGGCCACGGAACGATCTGCCTACCTACGAGAGTCGCTGTCTTCTCGGGGATAGAACCGGAGATTGTTGATTTACCGCGAGCACGAGATTGAGCGTATGGACGGAGAGAGGTAATGGAGGACATGCTGGTGCGGGTATTCGGTTGCTTGGATGGAGTAGCACCGACTGCAGTGACTTTCTTGAGGGGACTACCATATGTACCAGCACGGACACTGCCACCTGCGCCAAACCTGAGCGAGGGAGTATTGCGAAGTGCACGGGTCAAAGAAGGCGAGAGGCGGAATGGAGAACCGTTGGGTGAGCCAGCCCCTGGAGTGGCTTCTAAGTCTAAGCGGCCGATGAGAGACGCAAGGTCGCTCGTTGCCTGGTCCAAAAGCTCCAAAACACCTAGAGAAGAAAGAAGGGGGCCGTTCAGAATACACAAAAACATATAGGGTTCGTGTCTAACGGAAACTTACCTTCAACATCATCCATAACAGCACCCTGCTGGTCCTTATCCGACAACTGCTCGGACATATGCCTCCGTACCCTCCTACTCGGCGTCTCACCCTGAGGCCTAGTCTCGTTCTGGGGTTCCACACCGAAATCCTCCCCTCGGAATACGACAACATCTTCATCTTCCGTACCTTCAGTCCCCTCTGACATCTCCAACGTCGGCTCTTGGACCATGACGAGGGGCGGCTCAGGAATAGGCATGCACGAAAAGCTCGCCGAGCTTTCAGATATCGGCCTCCGTTCCTTGGGACTGCTCGTGACCATCTGTTCCGGGAAAATGTCCATCAACGCCATCCTCTTCCTCGCATCCCCTGGTTTCCTCGTATCCCGCCTCTCGGCCTCCCTCTCCTTTCCCTTCTCCAATTCTGCTGCCTTCTCCGCCTCGACCCTCTCCTGTTTCTTCTGCTCCTTCACGGTGACGAGCTTGTATTCGTCCCATCTCACAGACCCGACGCTCGAAGACGAAGAAGCACCCGACATCCCGGACGAAGTGGATATAGGCCTGAGAGACGAGGCCGCAGAAACCGCCGAACCTGATCTTCCGCGTCCCATCCCAGAAACAGGTGGACATCGACGTTCCTCTGCGCTCGCAGTCGAAGCCGAAGACGCAGACAGTCTGCTTGCAGTCGTCCCAGAGAACACCCTCGCGGTCCCGAACTTCAGGCTCGAAGGCAAGCCGATACCGAGCATGCTGGCTTTCCTCTTCGTCGGGTCCAGCATCTTCGGCTGCAAGGTCGTCTGCAGCTGCTCCTGCTGTTCACCGCCATTGAGATGACCCTGCGCCTGACCGTCGTGAGGATGCAGCAGCATCTGCTGGGGCTTCTGGTAAAAACATTCGCTCATAGGCGACGGTGCCCCGGCCTCGAAACTGCTCCCCGAATACCTCGTCGCGTTGGCGTTGGCGGTAGCGAGCGATTCCCTGGTTTTCGTTTTCTTTTTCTTTTTGCTGATCGTCGAGTTGGCGTCTTTGGGCTTTTCTTTTTTCTTTGCTCCACTCGTCGCCGTCGTTATTGGGGTCGGGTTCGCGTTCGTGGTGGTCGCATTGGCGAGATTGGTCGTGCTCATGTTGCCCATAGCGGTGTAGTTTGCGATGGCGCTCGCGGTGATGATGGCTGGAGAGATGGGGGACGCAGCTTCCTCGTCCTCTCTAGAAAGGTTGTTGGTGTTGGAGGACGGCGCCCAGCTACCAAGACGAGCCATCGAGCGCATCGAGCGCATCGCCCGGACAGCGATCGAGCCGGTGCTGGGGTTCGTCGGAGGCGCAAGAAGTGTGGCAGCCGGGGACGACACGCGACGAGCAGAAGTCGGAGAAGGCGCTAGATGAATAGGAGATGGCACCGGTGCGGGACCAGTAGACGACGGCGCAAGCAGGGCGGGAGACTGAGGCCTGGCGAAATGCTCCTCAACTGGGCTCGCCGCGTCTGCGTCGAGGTCCGTGCGGTGAGACACAGGAACAAGAAGGGTCTGAGAGGCCGAGCGGAGCCCTTGAAGAACTGTATGGGGACGCTGGCTCTCGGGTTTGTCTTCGGCGTTGACGTTTGTAGGAGCGGAAGTCTCTGTGGGAGAATTGAGGAGGATACCTGAGTCAAGGGAATTAAACCGGGCACGAGAAGATTTGAAGAGATCTGGGGCTATGAGGGTGGTATCCGAATATGGGGTCGTAAGTTGTACTTGAGTGTGGAGAGAGAGAGAGAGAGAGATTATGCTGAGAAAGAAAACGAAACGTACTCTTGGACCGCTTCTTCGTCTCCTTGTCTTTCTCCTTCTCCTTGTTCTCTTTCGCGTCCTTTCTTCCCCTCCCAATACTCCACCATTTCGAGTCCTTCTCGTCTAACTTCGGCTTCAACAACCGCGCTGACCCTTTGCTCTCCTTCTCCCGCTCCCTCTGCTGCGCATTCGTCACTTCTCCTAACATTCCTGTCTCGCTCGTAGTCCTTCCTCCACTTCCTGCACCGCTCGCACCAGGGTTCGCGTTCGTGCTCGAGTTCCCACTTCCCCACCTGATACCATCCAACCCAATCCTACTCTTCTTCTTCTTCATGACGACGACCTCTTCCACCGCCTCATTCTCCTGATCCACATAGATCTCGAATCCTCCCTTTCCACTCTTCCCTCTCCCTCTTCCGATCGTCGAAGTCCCAGCGCCTATCCTGCGCGTCACATCCGACAGATCCTTATTCCCACTCCCACCCGGCCCAATGGAAAGCTTAGATCTGCCCCTCGTCGTTCCGAGACCACCGTTCTCCTTGGCCTCCTTATTCTCCTTCGACCCACGCATACTCCCCGCGACGAGCAAACTCAACTTAGACTTCTTCTTCGGCACGACTCTCCTCCGCTCTCCGTCCTGGCCCTTCGGAGCGAGAGTATCGACGACATGGTTCGGTGGCGAAGGGGGCGAAACGGCAACATATGACGACATCCCCGTGGCCATCGACATATCGGCGAGTGCGACGGAGTCCCGATTAGGCATGGGGACGATCGTGGGAACGGGGAGGGGAAGACGAAGAGAGGTGTTCGAGTCGGAGAAAGGAGAGGCGGCGCCGATGGCGAAGGGTGTGCCGGAGACGAGGCGGATGGTTGGGACTTGACCGCCCTGTTCGCGGTAGGATTGGGAGTTGGACTGGGATTGCGATTCTATGGAGGAATGGGACTGGTCTCGAGATGCATCTGGTGATTCATCGCGGGTGTGTTGTGGTTGGGGCTGGAAGCGGTCGCGGTGGAAGTCGTGGTGCGGGTCTTGGATGGCTACTGGGTCGATGTAGGGATATGATACATGGGCGCGAGACATTGATGACGTGTACGACGGGCGCGATCTTGTTGTCGACGATATTGATACTGGGTTCATGTTGGTAAAAGAAAATGGAGATGATGGTGAGATACTGGAATGTACGAGGATGGCAGATGATGATAAATCGTAACTGATGAGACGTTATTTAATAAAACAAACACGGTGTTGAAATAGGAAATCACAAAAAAGGGAAGAAAAGAGGAAGAGAAAAATAGCGAGGCGTTAAATGCGAATCGTGGAACGTAAACGTTAAAGAAAAGGGGGCAGAAAGTGACCAATAATACGAGTCAAAACAGAGTCAGAACCAAAGCTAGCAAAAGTGAGACGGAAGTTGGAAGATGAGAAGATGTATAGGAATCTTGATGATGAGGCCTGCGATGGGTAGGACCAGTCGTAAGGCAAGGTTGCGTTCGTTCGTGAAAGCGTGAGTCGGGTCGGTCTTGAGGTCTTGATGGAATCGCACGTTATGCGAGGCGGACTTGATATTCTTGACGGGTCGTTATTGGCTTGATCCTTGCGGTTCGTGACGTCTATAAGCAAAGCACTGCGCCGACTGCCGGTTGAAACAGCGACTAAAACAAATCGAAACCTAAGAACAAGTAGGTTTCGATCTAGTAAAAGAAGCTAGGAGCCGGGTAAGAAAGAAAAGAGCAGGCAGCGCGAAAAAGAAAGATAGAAGGGACGAACGAAAAGGGTACACAGCCTGTGGCGAAACCGAACATGAACGAGGCGAACACGCGGCGTTTGTTATCGTGGGTCCATCATCCCAAAACGCGCAGGGAGGCATTCGCGCATCTGATCACCTGACCGCGAATTGGGACTGTGGCCCAAGGTATGTACTATGGTGGGAAGTCGAGCTTCTGCATGCAAGCTGATGCTTTGAGAGAGTTTGGAATGTATACTATCGTATGGTCACTGAAGGCAGGTAGTATAACATAGTGTTCCGATGACACAAATATACAAGCTTTCTTCTAGCAATCCAGACGCCACAATAGGCTGAAAGTCTGGTAAGCTGGATAAGTGATCTGGGTGACTGGGCTAAGTCGGTTGATATGCTGTGTCCACACTAAAGGAGAGGGCTTTCGCGGGATTACAATGGTGGAAGAATGCGCAAGAAGCGACGGTTGCTATACTCGCTAAGTTATAAGCGCCGCTGGACAAAAATATAAAGAAATCAGTCAATATTCAAAAGACAGAGACGATGAAAACATACCTTTACCGGTCAGATCAGCACTCTATCATCATACCTAGTTACGGAAGGGAAGAACTCATGGGAGACGGTTGTGACCAGCATGTACTGGTAATGCCCCTATCGAGGCATTGGTACTAGGCCTATGGCTGGGTCGTTCACAATGTTCACCATGACCATCATTGAAACGAACACCTATGACAGGAAAAATAATGCAGGCTCTTGTCGAGTGAAATGTTGCTTGCGGGCAGAAGGTGATGGAAGAGCAGAGAAAAAGACATCAGACGCATATATTGCGCAGATTGCGCAGAGTCCACGCATCCGGCTCTTTCCGAGAGAGAGTCAAAGCACGCCGCCACACGCCACACGGAACGGAATCGAATGTCGGGTTCAGGAAGAGGAGACAGCGACAAACTGAGATGTAAGAGAACTTGAAGAAGAGACCGCGCCCATATAGAGTAGGTCCACCCAGTCAACATTGTCTCGATATAGGGCTCATATGGGTGGATAATTAATCACAGTGAACTCTTAGGCCATATTTGTCCAACAATTCATCCCGTCGTCTGAATATGCGTCAAATCCTGGAATGCGCTCCCGAGTCCCTTACAGTCCACTCTACTACTGGTATATACACTACAGTACACCGTTCACACATCCGATTTGACCAAGAAGAAATTCACACCGACAAGTTCCAACCCATACCTCCCCGCAAACTCCATCGCATTCCAATGTCTCCTCTGTTCCTTTTCCGATCCGTACTCCGGCGCATCGGGCGGGATGGAGAACGGAGGGTCGGAGAAGGGTTCTTGAAAGAGGAGGAATGCTAGTGTGTCCGAGAATCGTCGATTTCAGTATCGAAAGTTGATGTCCACGCTGAGCAAGTCGAGTCACGTACTATATCTGTGAGTCCCAGAGTTCGGGGGCGGACCAGGCGAACGATAAGGCGTCGTCGCAGCCTTGGTCTTCATAGCCGGCAAATTCGCAGATCCTACGACTTTATCCGTCGGGATCCTCAGACCCGTCACCTACAATATTGGATAACATCATTCCCGCAGCGACCAGAAATTCGCAACGCACATAAATTCGTCACTGGTCAGCACTGAGTAATTCGTACCGTTCAAAGAGAGCGACTCACCACCCAATGTCTAAACGGCCCAAACTTTGGATCATCCCTGGACGGCGCATCCGGATCCGTCATGACAAGCGTATACGACACGTCTTCCTTCGTACTATACCCTCTCGTCCCCTCCCTGCCCTCCTTCCCGTCGCCGTCCGCCACCGCCTCCGGCACACTCATCGGCACGACTACAACACTAGGCTCTTCCTTCGTCTGCTCTACCGTCAACTTATTGCCTAACAGGACTTCAACATCTGGCGGGTACTGAATCGTAAAGAGTATGGTGGGCTGGAAGGAGGAAGGGATGATGGTGGGGATTAAGGATTCCCGTTCGAGGACTGATTTGAGGGATGTCAGAGGGTCGACGCTTGTGGACATTGTTGTAGTTATTGTTTTCAGATTTGAGCGAGATTAGGATGTGAGTGTGAGAGACGTGAAAGAGGCTACGCATGACGCACGTATGCCATGGTTACATGTCGGATGATGTTGTGGGGGGCTCAAACGCCACAGGGGCTTCCCAAGATTTTGGATAGTGTCGGCCCGCGGCCGGGATCGACGCGTGTACAAAGAAATATTCGACCTACAGCCATCTATGAGGGTTTGGGCTGCCATCCCCTTATGGGCTAAACCTCAATAACTCTCGTTCCCTTGCATGTATCCCCTCGGAGTTTGATGTAGTATGTTGGTATACATATCGGACATCTCCCAGAATATTATGGGCTACGAGATACAGAATCCAATGTGAGGGGAGCATGATGAATGGGGACAGGTCAGGTATTCACAAAAGTATTACCTAGCTCACAAACTGTCAAGGCAGTCAAAAAATTTGAATATATTTGTGAAGCATCTGCACATATATTGGACTTGATTTGCGCCATGACTTGGGAGTGACAGATGTTGCAACATGCTGCTCTTCTTATGTCGGTGCTGGAAGACAATTACCGGCTATTTTCATCGCGGCCACATTTGGAAGTCACACGTCACATTCCGAGATAGCCGGCCTCTTTTGGCGCAGGCGGCCTCCCGGACCACTGATTGCCGACGCGCGATCGTCACACGGGCTGATAACAGATTTTCGAACTGATTCTATTTGTTCGCATTCCACAGTTGCCCGATAGTGGATATTTTTGCAGAGGCATATTCTATGGTATGGAAACTATGATATGCATGAGAAGGTCTGTGTAATCGGGAAGGGAAACCACTTCTCCAAGAGCGATTGAGTTTGGCCCAGCCCAAACCCTCATAAATGGCTGTACTATGGATGGCCCAGTAGTTTGACAAGACCCAGTAGTTTGACAACCTCCGTAATCTTTTTCTCCCTCTCCACTATGTTCACGCCCCGCTCCCAAAAAATATACATATGTTCTTTCATGTACCAAGATTGATACTGTAAAGTTTTATATCCGTACGATGAATGCTTGTTGGTACAGAAAATCAAAGATGGTCAAAACTGCCACTTCGACAAGCGTGACTTCCTCTAGAAGTGGTACACAGCTAGATCCCAGCATCCATAAAATCTGATTATATTCGTGAGATATCATAGTACATATTGTAGTACATCTGGGTACTTGGTATAAGCCCAATCTATGTGGTGGTGCATAAACGCGAGAGAGGGGGGAAAGTGTTGCAGACGCGGCAGAGGTAGAATTCAATCTCCGCATGTGGCTTTCGGCCAAGGGGTGTTGATGGAGCTTGAAGATGCCGGGTGACGGAATGCGACAATGAGTGACAATCAGCGAGTTTGAGTGGGGTCTTGGCATGTCTTGGCATCGAACTCGTTCGACAAAGTCCTCTCCCCGGCATCTCTCTGGCAAAGTACTCGCTCTCTCAAAAAAATTACAGACCACACAGACACGCTCAGAAGACCTAAAAGTATATATTTGCAGGTTTTTGTGGTCCCAGGTGGCGGGATAAGCAATAGGTCGACAACTCAAGATTTTGTCGAACTACTGGGCCATCCATAGTAAGACTGATGAACTCAGGAACCAGCACGTCTTATGTAAAATTCTCTTCCCTCAACAGGAAGGATTCTGGAAGGTACTTTCGTGATGGTCACACTGTGTCACTGTGACAAGCGCGTCCAACACGACAGAACGCGACAGACGCGGTTGTTCAGTCTCGACAATCTACTATTACTCTATTGTGCGACGCTATGCCTCCAAAAAAATCTGTACTTGATTCAATGCCACTACTTGTACCCACAACACCACCACAAAGCACACAATGTCATTGCGGAACCCTTCCTTCACCAGCAAGGCCAATAAATTCTCAGACGAAACAGCCAAACCCAAAGCATTCCTCCGAAAACAATCCTCCGGAAGGGATAGCCTCAGTGTTTTGCAGTCCCAAGACACCAACCCGTACTACACAGACAATCCATATCCTTCAACACCCCTGACACCATCACGCACTCGGGTGAATCACAATGTAACGGTCGAGGATGTCGACAACTCGGACGACGATTCCAACGTGTCACTGAGACCTTCCGGAGAACGGTTACCAGCTCCCGTATTCCTTGACGCTGATGAGGAGGGCTTACGCGAGCTGCGCGATCACCTATTTGACATGGAAGAAGGTGGAGTGTACGACGAGGGAGAGGATTCCGGGTCTGAGTTTGAGTTTGAGTCGGATGACGACAATGAAAAGGTTCGAGAGGTTCAGACTGAGGCTGACCTCGAGGCCTTAGTAGACCTTATGGAAAAAACTCACTGTGCAGCCTTGGAAGACGCGTGGAAGAGAGAGCACGGCACGAAGAGGATGCGAGAGGGTGAGGGTGGCGCGGCATGGCGATGGAAAATGGCTCATAAGCCTAACAAAAAGCAAAAGAACTATTTCTCCATTCAAAAATTTTGGAACCAAAAAGGCTCACCTAGTAAGTCAACATCTCCGAACTCGACACTTCTCATCCACTCGATCTTTCCTAAGCCATCCTGTCACCTTCCTCTCCAGCCCCTGTCTCCAGTTCCAACCTGAGCACCCCAGTATCAACGCCATTCCCAGTACCTGAACCTCACTGCGAGGTCTCGAGACAATGTCCAATAAACGCACCTCAAGAACAGATCTCAGAAACAGATAAGATACCTGTGGGCAATAAGGTCAGTCGTAGAGTCAATCCCTGATCATCCAGTCCAAGCTCACTTGAACTCACCGGGCAAATCTTCAGGTTGTTCAGATGTTGCCCCTTCATACAAGCAGTCAAATCTGGTGCACTACGACACAGGAGAGCGACGAGCATACCAGGACAAAGCCAGCAGCGATCTCGAATCATGGTGGGAGCGAGCAGGCAGGAGAAGCGTCCGTGAGAGCACACATCGTGTTGAACAGCGAACACGCCGAACGACTGGCTCCTGCGGCTACACAGCGGGCGTCTGCACCTCAGCAAAACGCGGCAAGAACAGTGGATATGGAGAGGTTGTTGAGGGAAGCTGCAGAGCAAGTGCGTCAAGGAAACGATGCCTTCGCAGCGAGAGTGGCAAGTTTGGACCAGGCGGCGAGTGGCGCATCGGTGAAATTGGTGGAGCTGAAAGCAGTGGCTTCGGTGGCGGTGAAGGGCTTGGAGTCCAACTTGGATGGGAGGAAGAAACGAGGAAGGCCGAAAAAGACCTCACCGATGTCAGCTATCGAGGCTCAGAACAGGGTTGACTCGTTCTTGAAGGAGTTCCGTGCTGGTCGCATACCTGAAGACTTGAGCGAAAAGACCGCTACCGATCTCGCTCTCGAATCACTAACTTACAAACATTTACCAGCACTCCGTCGAGCATTAGCTTCCCTTTCTATCAAAGCGAAGGACAAAAACATCGACCTCGTCTTCCGTGGACGTATCATCGAGACCGTTGAACTCTTGAATCTTTACTTGGACCCTCAGCTCTCGCTCTCATGGAGATCGGCTTCCCTTCTCATCGCACGCGCACACGGACGAGGAACAAGTCACGCACGAAACATTCGCCACTGGATCCACCAATACATCCTCTATGGTCGTCTTCCCATACACCGGTATGGCAGAGTTCGCTGGACGGTTCTCGATAACGAAGATATTTCCCAGTATATTCAACTTCGCCTCTCGGAGAAGAAAAAGCCAGAGGACGGGTCTCCTGCATTCATCAGCGCGATGGATGTTGTCGAGATCATAGCAAGCGACGACATGCAGAGCATGCTTCACGGGCTAGGAATTCACAAGCCAAGCATCACAGTGAATACGGCTTGCAAGTGGCTGGCGAAGATGGGATGGAGGTATGGCCGGAAGCGAAACGGGATGTACGTCGATGGTCATGAGCGGGAGGATGTGGTGAAGTACCGAAAGGAGTTTGTGCAGCGCTGGAAAGAGAAGTATGAGCCTCGAATGCATGTGTGGGATGAAGACGGTAATGAGATAGCTCCTCGCGATCGTCTCGCCGATGGCTTTGTGCGATTGATTCTTGTCACGCACGATGAATCGATGTTCTACGCACACGATGAGCGTAAACTGATGTGGTACCGTGTCGATCAGAAGGCCACTCCCGAGCGAAAAGGTCCCGGCACATCGCTGATGGTGTCGGATTTCCTGACTTTGGAGTGGGGTCGTCTTCGGGAGGATGATAATGACTCTGAGTACGTACCTTCGATGATGTGCTTGCGACCGGTAGAAGCGCGGAAGCGAACCACCAACCACTTACACGGGTGCGAGTTTGGTTCTATGTGGGCAGAATCCGACTCCGGAACGAGAACGGGAGCTCCGGACGAGCGCGACAATACGACTGAGACTTGCGGTACGAAATACGAGGGCGACTGTTACTGACACTGACGGAACGGCGAGTGATCTCTTGAGCTCGTTGGAAGTTTCGGGGAGGCAAAAGGGGGGTTTTTGAGATATGTTGGGTGAACTAAAGGGGGTCCGAAACCTGTATTGCATGGTGGTGTAGAAGAGTACATATAGTCTGAAACATTGCAAATAAACGGAACGAAATGCGTCCGGACGGATAGAAAAACAGTCCGTAAGTGAAATAAAAGATCATCCAAGACGCTAGAAGACCCTCCGGACCTACGCGCAAGCTGCCAAGGTTACGACTGAACCAATCAAAGGGCTGAGACCTGCTACGCATGACCGGAAACCTCGTCAATGAGCGGCGAACACCAGGATCAACGGCCACACGCTATACCGACGATATCCGCACCCAGCAGGAGCCGTCCGGAATCACAAAATACAGGGCCAAGGAGTCCGGGGCCCTATCATCTCCTCCCAACTGAAATCCTGACCTTCCATGGCCGGGTACGGTGCGTATCATCGAGAGTTGTGAACTGGTGCCAACACTGGAGGCAGGTCCCGGGGCTCCGGCCTCTATTTGTACATGTTGTCCCACGGTTGGAAAGGACGCGCGGCCTGTCTGGGTCCTGCCCTCTGCTTCCCACTACTTCTGCTATCACTCCCATTTGGCTCCGCTCTCTGCTCTGCTTCCGATAACCAAAATCACCAGAGGATGTACCTCCTTTATAAAGGTACCTGCTAGTAAGGATAGGATCCTTTACAAAGGTTCCTCTGGCCCAAGAATTATAAATGCCAGTACTGGGCTGGCTACTGGGGCGGCCGGGGGGTGATTCTGGGTGGCCGGGTGGCCCAGGGTGATGGGGTAGGGTGTACGGGGGTGGTCCTAGGGGTAGGGTAGGGGGTAGGGGATTGGGTAGGGGTGCTGGGGAATGGGTAGGGCGGGTAGGTAGGGCGTATATGGTGAAACAGGCTGGGTTATTTATGGATAAAATGGGGAATATGGGCAGGGATGATCGTAGGGTGAATAGGGATAGAACGGTGGCCGATAAAAATACGGAAAAATGGTAGAATAATAGTAGGGATGCTAGGGTGGGGATACTGGGTACCTGGGGGTAGATCGGTAGGGGAAACGGGGTGATCTGGGGGTATTTCGGTAACTTTGTGAGTTTTGTGAATTAGGACGAACGGATCGCATTGCCGGGTGTCATTTCGATGGAATTGACGTATAAAACGTGAATTGTGGCCCGATTTCGGCAACATGAAGGAGGTCGATTTTGGGGGTTCTGACTATTTGACAAACATTGATAAATGCATAAGATGGTTAAAATCGATTTTGGGAGGAATCGGTCCATTTGTTCCAAAGTTATAGCACAAACGGTCAGCAAGATATTACCCTATCACCGTAAAAGGGGGCGGGCAGGCCAGAACTGGGGATATAGCGGTTCAATTGTCTTGGTTTTTGCTGTCATGGGTAGCCCTATATCAATACTAGGCGATGGAAA